CGATATTCTCAGTAGGGATTTTAGGCCCTATATGCTGTCTCTTATACACATCTAGATGTGTATAAGAGACAGAAATTACCCCGTGGGTGATCCTTACCACGACGCTATGGTACGGTACTCGTATATCGTGGCCTGTAAGCGCGGGTCCATGCAGGTCTCGGCACTCTCCATAAGCCTACAATAGATATAACTTCGAAGGATTAAATAGGGGGGAGAGGACGATACGCTTGCTCTCTTCTTCTTCGTCCTATCTTATTCATTATCTGCTTCTTCTCTCTGCGAGCAATTCCACGAGAACCCTTGCTCTGCCTACAATTGAATGTGCTATGAACATGCTCGTCCACGACCTGGGCTTTTCTCGTCGTGCGTGCGACCGCTGCCACGGCCAAAAGCTTCGTTGTCCACGAGAGAATAATAATGAAGGATGTCTGCGCTGCGCCAGGGCGGGCGTTCGATGTACTCCAAGGCCGGTGAGATCGCGGCCCCGCGCACGATCCAACGCCACTGCTCAGCCTGCTGGTAAGCAATATCCCAGAACGCTCGTTCTTGGGTGGGCCGAAGAAGGATGGAAGGTTTACTTGAAGAACAGGAAACCAGGAAGAAACCACTAATCAAATGAACCAAGAGTTTTCGGATTACTTCAATCTCTCCCCGATGAGCCTGCCGGATATTCCGGCCGATTTGGATCTTGGATTGGAATCCTCCTCCTTGCAGGCCAACATTGATCCTTCACTAACCGCTGGCTATGTGCATACCGGCGCGGATTTGGGGGCGCACAACCGCCACACAAGTCAACAACAAAATACTCCAGCAGAGTCTCGCCCGAGGACTGCTGATCAACCCGAACAAGCACATCGAAGTGAGCCACTCAATGGTGAAGCTTCGGAAGGGTTGAATGAATTCACTTCATTCTCGCCTACGATGCTCCCTTATTACCCCCCGAACTATTCCAGGCATCGCATCTCCCTGGCAAGGAACATGTCCCCCCCGCAGGATGCAAACCAACAAGGTCAATATGAAACAATGATGGATTTTATTCAACAGGACGGAAATGCCAATACTACCGACGGTACAGATACAAGAACTGATCACGGCTACAGTCACGGAATATCTTCTTCCAGTCTGCTGCAATCCATCGGCGGCAATACACAAAGCTCCAGCTCAGGTACCTTAAGCGGCTTAGGGCAGCTAGACCAGCACCAGGAGGAAACATCAAATCCGAATGCTGAGATCCATCCCCCAGCCGTAACATCATGGATTCGCAGACTATCAGATATGAACATGCAACTCCATCAGCACATGGTGTCCATCCCCCTGGTTGGAACAGGGCAGGGGGGTCAAGGAACTAATAGTGGAAATTCTCCAAACTCCACGGAGGCTGATAAACGACTTCCGGTGGATCACACGTTTAAACTCTCATATCAATATATGGAACTGTTGAACAGCATCTTCTCTCAATTAAAATCACGCAGATGCGGCAATGCTTCACAGAAGGCCGCAGATCTCACACTAGACCAACCCTCTCAGCTGCTTGTCTTATCCAGCTACCTATGCCTCGTCGAATCATATGGAGTGATCCTACAGCACATCAAGGCATGGACTGAAGTCCCGCTAAAGATGGGAACAGGAAGCGGCGCATCTGCTTTAGACGATAAGGGAAATGGTCTTGACTTCCCAATCAAGCTCCCAAGCCTCGTTGTTGGCTCCTTTGAGCTACCAGACTTCTCCTCAACCCGACCGCTTGTTTTGGTATGCATCGTCGAAACAACTATGATGCATATGCATGCTCTAGTTAGCGACGGAATGAAACTTGCATCAAACACTGATTACGGTTCGTTGACGGAGACTGCCAATTCGTCCCCTCGTGCGGAGAAGCGCATGATTGGGGTTGGTGGTAGCAGTGATGGGCTTAGTAGCGTGGCTAAGGTGACACTGCAGGCGATCGAAGCCCATGAAGATTCCACACTACAGCTAATACATGTAGTCTGGAAAATGGCTCTTCGATGTGCCATGCTTTGATCTCGGAAGGTCTGCCTTTCTAAGGGGGGGGGKGGGGGGGKGGTCGTTGTTTATAGGTTGTGTTGATAGATGGTATTGGCCGTTGTGTTGTACCTACTGTTTCCCCCCCCCCYCCCCCCMCCMCCGGTATAATTCAAGTAGATCCACTTTGCGAACCATGTGAGCTATTGGTGGAAATACCCCAGGCCCTATAATCCTGGCCCTTGTCACAATAGTGGATCATTAGGGTCATTCCCGAGGCGGGGATAGTAGAGTGCGTAATATATCCAGGGACATAGAATGAAACTCCTACTGACCGAGCACGTGCAGCGTCACGTGCTTCTAGCACGTGACCTACAGAAGGGATATATACTCTTAGAAAAGTCGCACTCTCTCTCTCTCTTCTTCTTTAGCTTAATATCTTCGTACTTACGATTATAGTCGAATAGAGAGATAGTTCTTTACTTTGAAGCACTTTTATTTGCATTCGTGACAGTAAATATAATCAATAAACCGAGATATTTTATACTGTTTACGTATAGTAGCGTGGTGACTTAGTACCGGATCGGACGGGATAGGAGGCTTCTATTTATCTTTGCCTATCTAGTATTATAAATTATCTTACGCCGCGTTTATATAAACGGCGAAGATGGGTAGAAGAACAATAAAAAATTTGCCACCGGTTAACTCTCTGAGAGTAGAGCTGTCTGAAATGCAATCGTATCCCTCCGGAAAACATGGCAGTTATAGAATCTGCCCTTACAATCACACTTCGACGCCTAGTCCCTACGCCTTGCCTACACCCACTGGAGGCGGTAGTTATGTTAGAGCACACGTTCGATCCTTGAATAACGTTGCCGTGTCCATGACCGTCCCGTTCTTGGAAGCCACGTATTCGTGCGTCATATGCGTGCAGTTGTGGAAAGTGAGTCTCGACCAGCCATAGACACCATCCGTGACATCAAGACCGAAGCGCTGGTAGGGCTTCGGAGCCGCTAGTGCGCTGAGCCCGGAATAGTGGCCCGCTGCGCCATTGGTGACTGTTCTTACTGTTAGCTGCTGGAGATGGAAAAGGTTGACAAGAGAGAGGTGGGGGAACATACTATACCAAGGCGCACTTGGGTTGTCCAACTCGTTCGGATCAATGACGCCGTCCGCAATCGGTGCAGAGCGCTGGTACAGATGTGAGTGTCCCGAGATGACAAGGTCCACGCCATACTGGATGAGAAGGGGTTCGAAAACATCCTTGCAATCCCAGCAGATGGTCTTTGAGACGTTCGCATACGACAGGTACCACGGTCTGTGCCCTGCGACGATTACCCACGGGGTCTTGGTCCTGTCTACCGATGCCAGATCCTGCTCCAGCCAATCAGTCTGCGCATTCTTAGTCGCGCCGAAAGGGCCAGCATCGACATTAGATACACCTCCCAGCTCCTCGGGACCGACATGTCCGTGGCCAAGATCGGTCTCGGTGTCGAGCTGAATGTAATGCACCATGCCTTGATCAAAGGAGTACCAGAAGTTGCCGGTCCCGCCGCTCTGTGCGGACGGCATACGGAAGCGGTTTATGAAACCCGTGAAGTTAGTCTGGCCAGGCATACAGATAGACTCAGTATACGTGATATTGTGGGCGGGGTCCTTGGCACCGCCTACATCACAATCAGCCTCGTGGTTACCTGGCCCAACCATGTATGCCATGCGGGTAGTGATGGGCGTCATCTGGTCGTAGAAATTGTTCTGGATGGATTCGTATACGATGGCACCATCAGCGATTGTGGTGTTGGGCAGATATCCTTCAATTTCTTCCTTCAGCCAATAATCCGCGTATGACATGTCGCCAGCTGCAGGTCTCGTTTAGCACTTGCCTCCTGGCAGGTTGAGAGAGGGGGGATTACGCTGCCATAGGAAGTCAAACGTGTCTATCACCGCTTGAAGTGACTGCATGGTATTATTGTCGTTTGGCCCCAGTATTGCTCCCGGGGGAACGCCCTCTCCAGCCGAGGTGCTCAAGCCATCTGAGCCCATCGTGCCGAGATCGATGGCTACGGCTATCGAATACGGCGTGCCATCGCCGGCGGGTCGGGCCGTACGGAAGCTGTACGGGGCGACCGTGGCGTTGTCAAACAGAAGCGGCTCGGGGAGGTAGTAGTACAGGGTATCCGGCTGCAGACCGGTCAAAGTGACATGGTTATTATAGGTGAGCGCGGTGTCGTATGTCACCGAGACATTAGACTCGGCGTAGAAGGGCAGATAGTGTGGTTGAAAGCCGTAGTTGACCCTCGGGCTGTCGAGCTGGTAGAAGGTATTCCACGTTACCGTCATGCCGGTGGGTCCCGCATATGCGAGACGGACCTGAGAGTTGATGACGCCATCCGTCAGCGTTTCTGGGTTGGCTCCTGGGCGAGCCGGGTAAGGGATTCCCAGGACGGCCAGTATGCTGGCGATAACCGTCCAATCCGTCATGGCTGCTGCAGGCTTGTCGAAGACGGAGGACAACGGGCGGAGGACAAATGACAGAGGACAAGAGACAAGACAAAAGACAAAAGGTAAAGACAGTCGCACCGGCAGGACCGACGAAGATCATTTTCCGGGGGAGAGGGACTCTAAATTGATTGCCACGAGGCACTGCGCACGTTCCAACGGACGGGACGCTTATGAGGTTGGTAGTCAACGGACGGAAGCCACCGGGGCTCCTGGCGGCCTGCGACGGGACTTCTCATATCGGCCAGCGGAACATTCCCCGGGCAGCCGCACTGAGCAGGTGAAGCTACGTGATATTATTACGTCGTACAGTACTATTAGACACTGCAGTAGTACTCTGTAAACAACTAGGGAGGTCAGACTATTGCCTCGAGGTAGACGACTTAATCAAGCTTCGCGCCAAGTTCGGAACGACGGGAGTGCATGTAGTGCCGTAGGCGATCTTGGCACACGACCTCCTGCGGTATTGAGGCAAGCGTTGGGAATGAGGCCGTGGTGCTACTGCAGTGGTTAGGTAAAGAGAACCTTAATTGCATCAACTAAGAGCGGCACGGAGACAATCTCCGTCAGAATCAATCGTATTTGTCCAGTCAGTGCGGTATCGCTTTGACGCTCTGCTTCCCCGGTGCGAATTTTTCGTTAATGCCATCTCAACCCATCGGACAATCTGCCGGAAACGGTGCTCCAAGACCGTGGTCCCAGGAACGCGAGTACATCGTATGCGCTTCTGTACCTTGTAGAAGAATTGGCCAGGCATCGTCGCTTGATAGTATAAACGATCAGCACGCACGACGTCCTGGATCGACGACGATGACCGACTACCAAATGCCCTCCTTGCCTGGAGCATCTCTCATCGGCATCCGCGAAGATGAACGAGCTCAACACGGAGCTCGCGGTTCTCTGGTTCCTCACGGGCACAGGAGTTGCCATCATGCTCCTGCGCCTGGCCCTCCGGAAGTACCAACAACAGGGACTTGTGGCCGGTGACTACCTCACAATGGCGGCCATCGTCACCATCCTGCTACGCGGGTCGGTCATTCATGTTGCGATGGTTTGGGGCACGAACCATATCAGCGCAGCGGCGAGGAAGACGATGGTCTTCACTCCGGAAGTTCTCTACCGGCGTAGGATTGGGTCCGAACTTACCATGATCAATCGTGCTTTGTATACCATATAGTAAATACCCACGAGAAATCCCGGAGCAAAGATTCACACTGACCTCTCTTCCTCAGCACCTGGCTCCAGAAATCCGTCATCATGTGTGTTCTCCACCGCTTGCTCAGGGGCCTGAAGTCGGACAAGCTCACTCGCATCTACTGGGCAGTTCTCGCGGTTACCTTCGTCGTTGCTTTTGTTATGACATTCGTTGAATGCCACCCCTTCAAAGTCTACTTCCAAGTCGTTCCAGACCCCGGGACTTGCCCCCGTGGAGTTCTCCAGCTAGAGGTCTTCTCCGCTCTCAACATGGCTACCGACGCCATGCTCATCGCGCTTCCGCTCCCAGCTCTCCTCAAGATCAAACTACCATTTATGGAGCGTCTCCGTCTCGCCTGTCTATTCCTCGTCGGCCTCTCGATCATCGCAGTGACCATGACAAGGCTCCTAATGAACCGCGTCTTCCTCCATCGCAGCGGCCAGTCGCACAACGTCGCGAACGTTGAGATATTTTTTGAAGCCTTTGTCGCTAATGCGCCAACGATATACGGCCTGCTGAATGTAGAGCGAAAAATCAAGGGTATGTCCGGGGCACGATATCTGACAGGTTCATACGCTAGGCCCCGGTCCGCAGGAGGGAGTAAAGTGGTGAAGACTCACGGCTTGGATTCGGGCCAGTTCTCGTCAGGTCCCATCCAGTCTAAAACCTGGGTTGGCAAAGGCCGGCATGGCAACGAGAGCGACGAGGAGATGATGATCGTAAGTATATGAAATCCTATTTATCCGTTTCTGTCGTCATTTCCTCAATGATATGCATTCTAACATTTTTGGTCAGGAGTTGGAAAGCACTCAGAATGCAGATATCCACGTAATAACGACGACGTCTGTGACGAGGTCGTAGCAGCCCATCACTTCCCATTCCTCAATCGTCTCACAGTGCCTCGACTCTTCTACACGACCAGAAGCAAATTACCTGTATATACATCCTTCTCGAGACCATGAGCTTCCAAAAATTATGATCGCTCAGCTTCGTCAAGCTTTCCAGATTCTTCTTCCGTCTCTTTCAAGAAAAGTTGTATGTTATATTAGATACAGGCGCCGCAGAATTGTATTGGTTCGAACTGGGTTGCGTAGAATCGTGTTATGATTATAATTAGCTATTCTCCCCCCCCCCCCCCCCTAATTACTTGTAATAGTGGGCCCCCTGGCCGTAGGGCTATTTTGTATGGGAGGACAGGGGGCCCACTATTACAAGTAATTAGGGGGGGTAAGAGTAGTAGAATCGTACAATCTTAGGGTATTGTGAGACTCGTTCCCAATTAGACTTAATGTCTCGCTTAGACGAGCCCCCCTACTGTAACTCACCCGCTATGAGACATCTATGGACACGTGATTGAGTCGATGGCGTTGCCAGGGACTATCTCCTTGGTTGTAACTGTGCCACGGTCAAAATGGGTGACCGTAGAAAACGCGACTAATGTGACTAGTTTCATGTAATTACAAGGAATTGTATAATGTAATAGCGCCAAATGAATAGAACCCCTGTCACCCCACCAAATTCCCGGTGCGCTACTAGGGTGGTTGTGGTCGCCGTACTAACCCATGGAATTGGCACAGTTGCAACTAAGGAGATAAACAGGGGTCAATTCCCTCCTGTACTAAAGATTTTATTACAATATTCTGTAAGAGGTACAGCTCCCGTTCTTGCCACTAAGCATGCGTGTGAAGCTTCGCCTTCAACTGTAGACGAACCTATTCCAATCTATATGTCAACATGAATGCATCCAAGCATTCTTTACATTGAACAATCCCCAGATACATCACAGCTGTACATATCAACATACGGACATACGCTTCGAGTTATACCGTGTAGCGACTAACCTCCCGCGTTGCCAGCATGGCGAGATCAAAAAGCCCTTACCTCACACGCTTCCTTTCCGACTTCACCCTCGGATTCTCCGATGGCTTGACCGTCCCTTTCGCCCTCACCGCAGGGCTCAGCTCCCTGGGGAAAGCAGATACCGTCATATACGCAGGTCTCGCTGAATTGTGTGCGGGGAGCATTAGCATGGGCATCGGTGGTTATCTCTCCGCCTTGGACGAGGTTCCTTCTTCAAAAGGATATAGCGACGAGCTTAGGGGCCATGGCGACGAAGCGGAATTGAGAGGCATATTCCACGATGCAAGCTCGCGGAGCTCGACTATTAACACTAGCGACGATATTAACGAGAAGGATGACCAGGAATCAAGCGAGGATCTCATCCGCTACCACCTCGAGCCTCTGGCGCTTCCGAACATCAAGGTACTAGAGATCCTTGCGACGCTTCGCAACCGTCCGGGTGGTGTCGGACACGCTGTTCTTAGCTTACAACAACATAATGCGGCGGCAGAGACACCCTTTGATCAACTTCCAATCGTGCCCGTCTCCTCGGGGCTGTCCATCTCGCTGGGTTATGCTATTGGCGGCATCATCCCCCTCTTTCCGTATTTCTTTGCTTCAACCGTTGGCAGGGGTCTGCAATGGAGCATAGCTATGTTTCTAATGGCCCTCATCGCATTTGGCACCGGAAAGAGCTGGGTTCTGCGCGGTGAAGAGAGGACCCTGAAGAGGAGCCTATGGGAAGGGTTTCAGATGCTCATCTTAGGCAGTGTGGCTGCCGCTGCTTCCGTCATTTGTGTGAATCTTGTTGGGGGAAATGCTAAATCGTTAAATGAGGAGGGGTAAGGATACGTTAGTCTATTCAACCTGGGCGTGGGAACTTGTAGCTTTAGGGGTGCCAGTTGACTGAATGGGTCCCGGGAAATAGGGAAAGTGGTTTGATACAGTACCAGACTCATCTTGACTGAGAACACTGAGATGATCTATATACTGTATTGAGGTGGTCTTTCGAGGTTGACGGGCCAGGACGCGCCTGGACAGAGTTTGTAATTATATAATATCAACGGGATCCTGAAGGCTTGGCTCACGTTGGATCTTGGGTTATTATACATAATATTGTAAGCATTTAGTACTGTAGCAACCGTGGGGATGCAGAGAGCGCTTGACAGATGCTCAAGAACTTGGCGGGCCCACTCGTCCCGTTCCCTCGATATAAATGTAATAAATTAATTTTATATTTATAATTATTCTAATTAACTTCTTTTTAATCTAATTATATTTTAGTAAACTATATTATAATATTAAACTGAAGTTCTTAGTTATATATATATAAAAGAAAGAGTAAATACTAAGAGTTTATATATCTAAATAGTTCTATTTATTTATATACTAATTCTAGTATAAATAAAAATATAAAAACAAAAATAAATAATTAGTAGTCTTTTAGATCTCTACTATAATAATATTAGAGTTTAAGTAACAGGAGCTTTTTGTTGTAGAGTTCTAGTAAATTACCGAAATTATTAGATAATTATAACACTAGCTTTTACTATTTCCTGGGCGTTGAGGTATTTATTATTTATCACGTTGATTGGGTTAATTCAATATACATATCTGGGGTGTCATAATGTTTGACGTTCCCCTTCGTGTTGAGCATCAGTCTGAATCACTAGTACTTCTGAGGGTCATTTGAATGCACTATCATTGTCCTTGAGACAAGAATCTCTCTTATTTCTCAACTGTAACGATACTAACACAACGATCAAGGCAACCGCCTCCCACACTAGCAGTCAACTACGGAGCGACACTCACTTCTTTGAACTCCGGATAAGTGGGTTTTCCGGCTTGATCAAGATTCACAACGTTTCCATCAACGACGTACGTCTCTATCCAACCGATGCTGATTTCAGCGCCAGTACCGTTGACGAAGGGTTCCTCCTCTGCCTGTAGCGCCTGAAAGTCCGCGTCAGCCGCCCCCTTATAAAACGTTTCCATATCGCGGAACAAGAATTCGACCTGAGCGTCGTAGTCGCGGACAACCCATGGGCTTCCACGCATTTTGTTCAGTTCCGATGTAAAGCTACGGAACGACTTAGGGGCGAAGAACTAACGAGGCTGTTATTACTGACTATCCTGCGAGAGGGACGCAAGATTTGACTTGAGGTAACACGAAGGAGATTCCCTTGTAGGCTTCTCTTTAGTATGTACTCACCATAGAAAACCCCTCAATGCCATTCTTAGCATGAAGCTTAGCCGCGCGGGCGGCATGCTGTTCAGTGACCCAGCGGTGGAAGTCTTCTTCAGTGACGTTAGGCTGGCGGTAGTGGGCCACGGTCATACGCAAGAGGCGCTTCTTTTGAATGGGTTCGGCCATTGTAACGCAAAATTTGGGAGGGCTGCAGAACTGTATATCTCTAATTTGCTCTTGCCAACGGCTTTATGCACAGGGAAGCCGAGATGCTGAGTCGTCTATGTGGATAATAAAGAACACTGGTAGTGAAATCGGGAGGTTGAGTGACTGTGATGGATCATATCAACTGGCCCGATGTTTCCCGCGCCCGAAAGCCATCGCCGAAGGGTGGGGGGGGGGTTCGGCATCTCGTCCTTGCTTGTAGGATTACCCATCTACACGTGTGTTAATCAGTTGATTCCTAGCTTACCTACTCATATTATGATCGGATGCTCTTCCAGAATAGTCAGTGGTCTACAATTTATGCAATGTGGTCGAGTCTCTGGTCACCTAGATGTGAGCACTAGTTTTGACATTTGCGCTTGAACCACTATTATGGTAAATTTAAGATCTGCTGGATGAAAGAAATGCAAGTTGAATCGTACCGTAGGATCAGCATATATTTTTGAATTTATGGTTATTATGTTTTGTGAGAAATAAAATGGAAAAGTCGGTCTATGAAAAGATAGCCTCTATCACATCCTCGTCGACTACTGACCGGTCTACAAAATCGAAAATACTAATTCCCATTGGTAGTAGGATTGACCAAAGCAGTGGACAGCATCAAAGCACTATGTCTTTCAGGTTCGGGAAGATCATATGCAGCCAAATCAACACCAGAGAACCCAGCCTTCTTGAGCAGTTCATCCCACTGCTCAGGAGACTGCAAGGGGCTCTCAATTCTCCCCTCTTCCACGCCTGCCCACCACCCAGCAAGCGGGCCAAATATAAGGTTATAGAAAGGAGTTAATCTAGTGAGCTCTACAAGACCAAGGACACCGCCGGGCTTTAGCAATTTGTGAATAGAGCTCAACGACTTGGTTAGAGATTTGGTGGCATGAATGACGTTCGCGGCGAAGATCAAGTCGTAGGAGTGCTCCTCGAAACCTTGCTTCACCGGATCGTCTTCAACGTTCAAAATCTTGAAGGTTAAAAGAGGCTTCCATTTCTTCAGTGTTGTTTCGCCTGTACCGAAGAACCCTGGCGAGAGGTCGGTGTACATGTATTGAGCACAGAACGGCTCGCCGTTGGTACTGCATTGACTGAGAACCTGGAAAGTTGTGCCTCCTGTTCCAGCGCCGATTTCCAGAATCCTGACGTTCTTTTTCTGGGAGGTGAGCTTTTTGGCATATTCGGCTAGGTAGCGATTAGATCGCGCACCTTCATCAGAGAGGTATATGCGGAAGAGCAAGTTATCTCTCGTGATATGGGCAAGTGGATGAGTTTTGCCTGTCAGAAGGTTAACAATATCAGGGCCCATTCTCGCAATAGCCTCGCCCTCAATCCCTAGTTTAGAGGTCAAGCTCTGGAGCCCTTCTTTAGTAATGGGTGCTTCCTGAACGAGTTTTTGTCCCTCCTCAGAATCAGCAAAGTCTTGCAAAACTTTCCACCAGTGAAGCCGATAATCTTGCTTGGGACTCAATCCGCGACTACGCATCTCCTTGACAGCCAAGTCCACGTAACGAGCAGTAGCAGCAGAGGAAAGGTTGAACTTCTCCGTCGGGGTCATACCAACTTCGTCGGATTGCAAGGGTGTTTTAATAGACTCCAACATCTCAGCTGTAACATGGATACCACCAACTGTGCTATTTTTGTTCCCAATGCCGTTGCTGGCCTTCTCAGCCCTATCGAGAGGCGTAAACTCCATGCTTGACCACTTAGATTCAAGTTCCTTGGTGAGCCAAGGCTCCAAGTTCACCATTCCACCAAAGTAAAACATGATCTTTGACTGCTTCCCTGGAATGTTGGTGCCGACGAACCAGGAACCTTGCTCATGAGCGTGTTGCGATAGGAACGTGCTAGCCCATAGTTCCTCGACGTGGGTGGTCCACGCATTCATAGCCTCCTTAGACACGTTAATCTTGGCAAGTTTGTTCTCCTCCATATGCTCAATGGTTTTGCCGATCCAGTTTGCTGATACTTCTAAACTGACCGGCATGTTTCCTGCAGGCAAATGAGGACCGCAGACTATGAACATGTTTGGAAAGTCATGGACCAGGACACCAGCGAATGTTCCTAGCCTCTGAGTCCAAGTGTCACGCAGTGACTTGTTTTGGCTGCCTCTAATGTCTATCTTGTTCATTGCACCAGTGCCGGCATCGAAACCTAGCGCCAAGATGATGATGTCAAGCTCGTATTCTGCTCCAGAAGCGGTCTTGATACCATTCTCGGACATATCAATCTCATCTTTGCTGACGTCAACTAGCTTGACATTTGGTCGATTGAAAGCCTGATAATATCCATCACCGGCAGGTGGACGTCTTGCACCAAAGGGATAGTGCGGGCATAGGAGATCAGCGGTATCTGGGTCCTGGACGATTGCATGAATCTTGTCACGGATATAGTCTGATGCAACCTTGTTGGCATCCGGATCCACGAAACAATCATCAAATGTACCAAGCTGGAAATCGAAACAACCACGTTCCCAGCCATTATCAAAAATACGTCGAATCTGTTCGGGGTCACCAACACCCGCGACAGTTCTCCCAGAGTGCTTCACTGCGTGACCAGCTAAGTTGACTTTAGCGATTTCCCAAACCGCATCGAAGTTTTTCTTGACTTCTTCCGTTTGGTACTCGTCGAGGGCATAGTTTCGCGCCGCGAGAACGTAATTAGGTGTTCGTTGAAAGACGGCCAATTGTTTCGCGGCCGGGGCAATCTTGGTGATTATTTGGATGCCGCTTGACCCTGTGCCGACTACACCGACGCGCTTGTTGCGGAAGTCTACCCCATGCTCTGGCCAAGTAGATGCTTGATACACTTCTCCTTTGAAAGACTTAAGCCCGGGGAATGACGGCTCCTTGGGAATTGATACAATGCCTGTGGCAGCGAGGAAGTATCGAGAGGTGGCCACACCTCCGGTTGCAGTGGTGATGGTCCAGAGACTGTCGCTGTCGCTGTAGTGCGCTGATTCAACTTGTGTGTCGAATTCTATGTTTTTGCGTAAGTCGTAACGGTCAATGATACGGCCCAAGTACCATTGGAGCTCTTCTTGGGTGGGATAGCGTTCAGTAAAGTACCACTCTTCCAGCAGCTCTGGCAAGAACTTCAAGGCGTAGACCCAAGCCTCTCCATCGGTTCGACATCCAGGATAGCGATTCCAGCACCATGTGCCTCCTACATCTGACGCGTTGTCGAAGCACTTTGCGGTCAAACCTAGTCGATCAAGTTCCCATAGCGATCTGACACCACTGAAGCCTGCGCCAATGACAATGGCATCATAGTCTGGAGTCTTGTTGGGCATGATTAGCCACGGAATGTTAATCGTGTCGTGATAATGGAATGTTGATGTAATCAACCTTGAAAATTGCCTGAGCTACTACACAGAGTGTTTAATCGATGACATACAATACAAGAACGAGTCGTGATACCCTTACCCCCCTTGAAAATATAATCACCCTCCCTTTCGCAATCGGCATCGGCTTTTGATACTTTTGATACTACCGAATTCGACGACTATAAGGGTTATATGGATAGGAATCACAACTAGTATGTATAGTGATTAGTCTTTTGAATACAGCACCGTTTGCTAAAGGCCCCCTATACCGGGGCGGCCCGGCCCCACCGAATCGCTTATGGGTGCCGAGACCTCGGCACCGGGTCGTGCCGCGCTGTATTAGGTGACCCTGCATTCCTATGTCACGCGAATGCGCACCCGTAACATTACCCCGCTATTTACTTCGTAGAGTCTCTGTTCCTAAAGCCAGGGGGTTATTTTACGAAATAGAGCCAGCAGTCCTTGGTGTTCCTTCTCGGCTGGCGATTAAGCGTCCAGCCGGAAATGTGGGTAAGCCGATTCGGTCCCCAATGAGGAATAGGGGCCGAATCCGAAAGAACCCAGGACATATCACCTGTATAAAACCGATAGACTCGGCGTGAAATATGAATTTAGGTGGAGAGTATCAAAATCAAATTCACAGTCGCTGCGTCAAGAGTACCGCATTGCACTGCCTATCAACGCATTAAAGTCGATTCACACGCGGGCAACCAACGTCCCCTGATGTCTTCTCTATTCAGCACGGATAATGCCCCTCAGCTAGGAAGCGCTCTTCTCCGCCTCTCTCCGCTAGTCATCTCATCAGCGTCCTTGATGTTTAGCTGGGCTCAGGACGTCTCCCTTGGCGCTTTCTTACACCCATCCCTGCGCAACGATGCAGCCCACCCTAGCGGCACGATCCTCCCGCGCTATCTGCCCGCCTTCATGAAGCCAGGCATCTGGGGAATTGGGTTGACGTACCCGCCAGCCACTGTCCTGTGCGTTATCAACGGTCTTAGCGGCCAGAGCCAGGATGTCCGTAAGCTGTATTTCGCCGGAGCTCTCTTCAGTATCGCCCACTTTTGCTGGGGTCCGTCCATGTTTGCTATTCTTGGCCGCATTGGGGATCCCAAGACGGCTGGAGTCCCGAATGAGGATGCGCTCGAGACTTGGCTACCCAAACACCACGCCCGAACGCTCTTGGTGAACGTACCGGCGTTCTTGTGCATCTTGGCTGCTACTTTGGCCACTGTCACCGAGGGCCTCCAGTGAGCCTTTGATCGACGGCAGGGATTGGTCTACGGAGTGCTGTTTACACTCTCTGTTGATCTTCGGCATCTCTTCCGTTTCAGGGTAGGATTTACATGTATTTCCATCCTGATCCCGACCACGTAACAGGCTACCTAAGTGCGTTGCGCTGCAGAATGCTATATTTTCCCCAAAACTGCTTGCCCTCCGTTGTGTTTTCTCAATATGTCTTAGCTTGACCATATTAAGAGGCAAGGTCTAGAATTGTGTGGTGTTAAATTTAGTCTACAAGTAGTCACACAAAAGTTGCATTCTAACTACATGTTCACTCTGTGATATCTTCAAGGATCAAGCCTCGTCACCTGCATGAGTCTACCGTAATTACAGTTCGCTTCAGACTTTTCTGAGCCCAAACCACAGTTATGGGCCAACTGAGAACGGGCACCTTAGCTCCAAGAGTTTCGTGGGCAACCATAGTTCCTACGCGCAGGAAGCCAGACGCTCTAACAGGACCTGCCACAACATCCAAGTTTGCTAAATTTGCAGGAGTCCCAATCTTGACCCAATCAAAGTGGATGCTTCAGCATGTGCAAGTGATTTTTGGTAGGAAATGAGCTAGTAACCTGTACTCTAGATCAGAGATGGGCCATAAAAGCGCAAAGATACCAGTGTTGCCGTCAGAAGTGCCTGAGTCAAGAATTCGGAGGTTAGGTCGAGTAGTATCCAAAGGTGCGAGCACGAGACTATCGCCCATGGCTATCTTTGCTGCATCATCGTTTGCCTGGAGGCGTTCGTTCTCGCTTTCTGGTGGTTTTAGCTGCGAGATTGGTCCCGTGCTTAATAAGTCAACCCATCTTTTCAACCACGGCCAGACTAGTTACTTACAAGCTCATGCTACCTGTATAAATGCCCAATTTCGACGATAGTTATGAGAAAGGCCAGCCCTGGAACTGAGATGCTCCTCTGACAAGCGAAAGGTGCATTTATTGGGGCAGCATAGCAGGAAATAATACGTTAAGCTTAATTAAAGAAATCACAACGATGGAATGTGAATAAGCTAGATGATGATATTCAAGTAATATTCAATAAGATGCATTGAGTATACAGAACAGGGCCCTGAAAACTACCCTGGTAGCCTAGGTATATAGGTACTAATGCTACGCTGACTCAGCAATTCCTAACAAAGCGGAGTCGTTCGCCTATAAGATTCCGACCGTGAAACCTTTCATCTTCCAACCAACAACCAACCCTCCGCTTGATGTCTTTTGCGCATCTGTCGCGGAACTTTTGAAAAAACAAATATCCTTCCTCTCCTCCTGCGACTAACGAAGGACCAATACAAACATACTGCGATAATGGTGGACAAGAAGTGCCTCGGGGATGGTTGCGAAAACGAGCCTGGGGCGTTGCGATGCCCAACATGTCTGAAGATGGGCGTGGAGGACAGTTACTTCTGCTCTCAGGACTGTTTCAAGAGGAGTTGGGTTCGTTATACTCGTACATGCATTTCTCCTACTCAATGTCTAACGAAAATGGGATGCAGAAGACACACAAGGGCATGCACAAAACACAAAATGGTATTATCCACCGTACTTGTTCCTTCAGTGGCTTTGTCTCTAACAAACCTAATATAGCTCCCGGATTTTACGATCCCTTCCCAACATTCCCATACACCGGCTCTATCAGACCTGTCTACCCACTCTCTCCACGACGACCTGTTCCCAAAACGATCAGGCATCCTGATTGGGCCGAGACTGGCATTCCCAAGCGTGAGCTGCGGTTGAATAGGTCAAAATGGGATTTTTTAGACACCGAGGGCCAGGAGGCGATGCGCAAGGTGTGCAGGCTAGCTCGAGAAGTACTTGATATCACAGCTACCGCGATGAAGCCGGGCGTCACTACAGATTACCTGGACGAAGTGTGCCACAATGCTTGCGTCGAACGCGATGTAAGCGAAAGTCATTTCAGTACCAGACTGACAGTTGATTGCTAAACCTAAGATAGTCTTATCCTTCGCCCTTGAACTATAACCACTTTCCGAAATCATTATGTACATCTCCGAATGAGGTCGTTTGCCACGGAATCCCAGATCAGCGAGTTCTTCTTGATGGCGACATTCTCAACCTCGACATTTCTCTATATCACGGGGGATACCACGCCGACTTAAATGAGACGTATTACGTTGGCGATAAGGCTAAGGCGGATCCGGACTCGGTCAGAGTTATTGAAACAACGCGAGAAGCCTTGGACCTAGCGATCGAACTCGTGAAACCGGGCGTACCGATTCGAGAATTCGGTAAGGTCATTGAGAAGCACGCAGCCTCTAAAAACCTTGTCGTAGTTAAGACCTGGGGCGGCCATGGAATCAACTCCGAATTCCACCCCCCTCCTTGGATTCCCCATTACGCCAAGAACAAGGCAGTAGGAGCGTGTAAACCTGGAATGACGTTTACTATTGAGCCCATTCTGGCTCTGGGTGGTAATCGAGAAGTGCATTGGCCGGATAATTGGACAAACGTCACTGTGGACGGCAAACGGACGGCGCAGTTCGGTGCGTATAGACCTTTGAAAGGGATGGAATGTGGAATTTCTAAATGCTGACATTCGAACTGATAGAACATACTTTGCTTGTCACTGAAACAGGCGTCGAGGTTTTGACGGCGAGATTGGAGAACTCTCCAGGAGGCCCAATACCGATGCCGGAGACTACAAACGGGGCTGAGAAGGTATAACCGATGTGGAAGTCAAAATGGTCATGAATAGCTAGCAATTGGTAGGCAGCGTCGAGCCCTGATGGTGCGAAGGGTTACGTTCACTGCTACAATGGCTCTCTTGTGTACCCAGGAACTCGTCAAATTTAACGCGAATGATGCTGAACCGAATGGTTTGGTGACTTATGGTTTATACATGCACCCGGATACTTACATGGGTACTTACCTTACATACCGGTAGCTTGTGCATTGATAAATGCCCCTAGGTCGGTGGCACCCCGGTGCGTGTTCGGCTCGAGAAATGTCGGCGGCCGAAAGAACATGCCGGGTACCAATATCAATACCAATACCAATACGCCTATCAATCAGTAGTCAGTAGCTGATACGACTTGACTTGGTATTCATCCTATAGACTCGGGCACCTGTGTTCAGTACCCAGGCATAGCAGCCCAAATAGGCCAACTTGGGATCTAGCATCTCGTCACACGGGGTTCTTCAACAGATAACCCTAGGCCATTGATGACAGCTTTTTATTATATCTATTGATCTGATCTGACCCCAAACAATGGATCACATACTATCCACCCCGTCACATCTCCAAGATGAAGTCCTTCGACAAAGCCTGCAGAATCCAGAGCAATTTTGGTCGCGCCAGGCCGAGCGCCTCTACTGGCACAAGAAACCTGATAGCGCACTCCGGCTGGCCCAAAGAACGCTGCAAGATGGCACTGTTCACCCAACGTGGGAATGGTTCCCTGGCGGCGAGATATCAACTTGCTACAATTGCATCGACAGGCACGTTGCCGCGGGAAACGGCCACCAAACTGCGATTTACGCCGACAGCCCCGTCACGAACACAAAGCAGACGTTCACATATAGCACACTCCTCAGGGAAGTAGAGACACTGGCCGGGGTGCTAAGGGAAGAAGGCGTCAAAAAGGGTGATGTGGTCATGTTATACATGCCCATGATCCCAGCCGCCTTGGTCGGGATGCTGGCTGTCAACCGTCTTGGTGCTATTCACTCCGTTGTATTCGGGGGGTTTGCGTCAAATGCTCTCGCCCAGCGGATCGACGCTTGCAGGCCTGACGTTCTTCTTACTGCGTCGTGTGGCATTGTCGGGAATAGGCCGCCCATCGCGTACCAACCACTTGTCGAAGAAGCCATCAGACTGTCATCTCACAAGCCGTCGCGCACTGTGGTATGGCAGCGTGACCAACTGCGATGGAACGCCAAGGTAGAGGCAGAGAGTCTGTGGAGGAAGTTATGGCGCTGGATACAACAAGTGTTCCTTCGTCGCAAGATAGTTTGCGCAGAACAATCGTCATGGCAGGATCTCGTGAGCAACGCCAAATCGCGTGGTATCAAAGCCGACTGCGTTCCAGTGCAGAGCAATCAGCCAATCTACATTATGCATACGTCCGGTACGACGGGAGCGCCAAAGGGCGTGTTGCGCGATTCAGGCGGCCACGCGGTTGGCTTACAGTTCACCATTAAGTATATCTTCAACATACACGGGCCGGGAGATGTTTCGTTTACAGCGTCAGATATCGGTTGGGTGGTTGGCCACTCCTACATCCTCTACGCGCCGTTATTAGCTGGAGCTTCTACTGTTTTGTATGAAGGTAAGCCCGTGGGAACGCCAGACGCGTCTGCTTTTTGGAGAATTGTGGAGGAGTACAAGGTCAACACAATGTTTACCGCACCGACAGCGCTCAGGGCAATTAAACAAAACGACCAGAACAACACTATGATATCTAAGATTGGCGAGCGCGGAGGCTTACGATCACTAAAAGCTCTATTCCTTGCTGGCGAACGGTCAGAGCCGACTTTGATATCAATGTACCAGGAGCTCCTCGACAAATACGGCGGACCAGCCGCACATGTCATCGATAACTGGTGGTCAACTGAATCCGGATCCCCGATAACAGGCCGAGCGCTTACACCTAATGTCGGGCTAGGTAGTGAGATTGCCAAAGACCATGCACTCCCTCAAATCAAACCAGGAAGTGCTGGAAAGCCTATGCCAGGCTTCGATGTTCGTGTCGTGGATGAGCAGGGTGAAGATGTACCAAAAGGATCGATGGGCAATCTTGTGCTGGCACTACCTCTTGCACCAACAGCGTTCCGTGCGCTGTGGGCGACTGAGGAGAGATTTTATAAAAGCTATTTGAAGAGGTTCGACGGCAGGTTTCTGGATACAGGGGATGCGGGATGGATCGACAAGGAAGGCTATGTTCATGTGATGGGTCGAAACGATGATGTATTGAACGTCAGCGCGTATCGTCTCTCGAGTGGTCAGTGCTATCTGCGTGCTTCAAAGAATTTTTGAATTCTGTCTCCAGTTACTGATCCCTGATAAATATAGGAGCCATCGAACAAGCCATTTCATCACATCCACTGGTCGCAGAATCATGCGTAGTAAGTATCCCAGACGAACTCAAATCTCAACTTCCATTCGCATTCATTACCCTCTCCGTGCCAAATCACCCTGTATCCGCCATACCAGATGCATCCGTCACAAAGGAGATTCAGTCTCTCGTACGCAGTCAAGTTGGGGCTTTCGCGTCATTGGGAGGCATAGTACAGGGCAAAGACATGATCCCGAAGACGAGGTCGGGAAAGACATTACGACGTGTACTTCGAGAGTTGGTGGAGAATGGGGTTTACGGGGATTTTGATAGGGGTGTTGAGGTACCAAGCACAGTAGAGGATGCGGCTACAGTAGAAGTCGCGAGAGCCAAGGTTAGAGAGTATTTTGACAAAAGCGAGCATAAGCACAAGGCAATTGAGGCAAGGGAGAAATCATGATACAGTAACAAGAGTACTTTGCAACCAGATATGACTTACACGAAACATGTAAATGCAATAGGCACCTTCAGCTGACGCTCTCAAGATTCTTAATTTAGCTTCAAGAGAAACTAGCTAACATCTTTTATAACGTGTGAAAAAAGCAGGTTTTGGTGCCAGAAGGGGTCATTGTTAGAGGCAGCGTTGAGCGTCTCCAGTCCAGTTATAATTGCCGGAGACTGGTCGCTCTTCCCCATGAGTATTGCTTCTGCTAAGAGGTGATGAAGATCACGCTCGGAAATAGGCATGTAATCCAGACTTCGAAGGATAGAAATCATGGCCTCACTGCCTCCGCTGCTATCAATCCTCTGGATGAAACCAAGCCCGATAATCGTTCCGAAGTCGATTACTGTAGCAGCGAGATTGCGAGCTCGCCTCCGAGACGCCAAACCGGTCATAAACTAAACAGAAATCAGCCCATCACCCCAGATATCAAGTTCAATGCTTAGTAAACTTACATTATTAGCTGCAGCATAGTTTGCTTGAAATGGTTGGCCAGTCACGGCCGAAATGGACGAGAATAGGAGGAAGAAGTCAAGGTTAGTACTACAAAAGACCTCATCCAGGATTAATGACCCATCTACCTTAGGTTTTAGTACTTCTTGTAAGGTATTATAAGTCAGATCAGGAAAGTAACAATTCGATTGAACCATTGCACCGTTAGCCACGCCCCCGATGGGTGGCATAGTGCTAAGAATGTGATTGCGGAGGTTGATCATGTCTTGTTTATTAGTGACATCTGCTGCCTCGATTGCAATTTTAGCACCTTGATTTTGTAATTCGTCTTTCCAAGGTGCTTCTTTATTAGGATTCCTAGCGACGTTAGAACATTTTATTTCCAAAACAATATTTTATATCACGGTTGATATACGTACCGACTCGTAACCACAATACAACGCGCACCACTCTTAACCATCCATCTACAGATAGATTGACCAATATGCCCGCTAAGGCCAATCAGAACATAAGTTTTATTTGGTGATAATAGGTGAGACGAATCTATAGGCCGAACGAGAGTGACAGGCTTCTTTTCAACGAAAGCTCTAGTCTCAACTTTCCGCCGTAGAGAATTGAGACGATTGTTGCGTTCCTTGTCAACAATCACTCTTGGAATGAAAAGTTTACTTCCCCGGACCGCAAGTTCCGGCTCAATACTCCATAGCCGTTTTGTGCCATCATCCCTCATAGCAACACCTGCTACAAGTCGAAGTATGCTCTCTATGACAAGAAACTCGTTGCCGTCAATTGTATCCAAATCGAGGAGCTGCACAACTTTCTCGGGGTTCTCAGCTTGAAAGGCTCGCAAAAGACCGATTGTACCGCTGTGATGTGGGTTTTTTGATCTCGCGCCGTGAGTGACATAGAGGACCAGCTCGGACCTCTCCAAAAGTAGATGTAGACCTTGGAAAGTTTCGGCGCTAAGATTCTCGAGTACTGACTGATCTAACTCGGTGAGACTAAGCACAAGTTCCACTTTGTCGAGGTCTTGATTTTTCAAATTGGATAGGGATTCAACTACGTTGATCTCTCCATCCCAGACGCATATTAGCTTAGCCTGTATGGCTTTGATGAAATTGACAATCACTTGCGAGGAGCCACCCAAAACAAGAAGTTTCCCGCTTGTACTAATAGGTGGTGTAGAATTAAGAGGAGCTCTGAGAAAGCCAACTCGATTATCCAGTGCCTGTGACAAGATAATAGAGGAAGGGTGTGTTTCTGAAGCGCTGCTAAGTGCCATGGAATCAACCCCAGAAAACCCAACGCTCTGGAGAATGTCGTGTATTTTTTCGCGGGTCGTGTTTGTTGCGTTAGGCGGAACGTCCTCTCCACCCATCATTAGTAAAAAGCCCCCTGGCTTTACTAGGCTTCGGGTGACTCTCAACCCGGCAACCTTCTCCTTGAAAGTCTGTAGAATAATTACCAGGTCGAAAGAGTTCAGGTCAAAAGGTGTTAGGTCGACAGTTTCGTCCAACGCTCCGATGTCCCTTTCAACATCAAAGACTCCAAATTGAACACTCAACTGATCGGAACTCATCTGCGCCTCCATGCCTCCAATAGCCCTATTTGATGCATCCACGACCATATATAATTTAAGGGTATGTTCAAGCTCTTGACATACAGCTTGTACGAGATCGGCTGAAGATGTGCCAACCTGGAGGATTCTCAACTTCGCATACCGGTGCGAGATCTGCCGGGTTACGCTCACTATATGCTTGTGAGCTTGTGAGAGGCCTAACTGTTTGTAACAGAAGGTATGATGCTGCTCGAATGCCACTCCTGAGAGAATGTCTTGTTGCCAGTCCATTTTCAAGCAGAGCAATTTATCATCTTTCTCTGTAGCAGGAAGCAAGGGGCTCATCATGAAGTCTTCGACGACTATCTCTAACTGGCTGGTCTCTGAGTGGTATATTTTCATGTTGCCCTTGATTATGGGCAATTGTGCTTGAAATCCTGGCGTGAACCCGGTAATTTGCGTGTCGACAAGCACTGAGGCTGGTATATCAGGGGCGATACATGGGTTCAAAGACAATGCCATGCGACCAATCTTTGTAGGCGTGAAAGCTGTCCATAGTGAACCATCTCTCGGGGCGGCAAATGCAATAAAGAACGTCTGAAAGCAAGCCTCAAGCCAGCTCGGGTAAGGGAAGGTTGGCCACTCCACTTCCTTATCGCTTATAGTCGCAACGACAGCTGACGCAAAGTCCATCCGTCTCTCTGCTGAAGTTACAGCTCTGAATGGCCCGCCATAACCCAACCCTATCTCGGCCAGTGAATCGTAGAACTGGCTGATGTTGACCGGTATTAACTCTGCTGGCCTGGGTGGTCTAGAAGGCGATGAGATAGCTGGATTGAGGTTATTGGTGTTTGCAAGCGTGATGTGTATTCTTCCTGTGACCACAGTTTTTATATCTTTATCCTCAGCTGCCCTCTCACCGAGAGTAAACTCTGCCTGAATAAAATCGGGTCCGTTATTATCGAAGTTAAGATTGCTGCGTACGGATAGCAAGGTCTCAATCTCTCCCGAGGATTCATTTATTACAATTGGTCGTATAATTGTAATATCTGAAAGCTCTATGTTTTCTACCTGCTTTCCTTTGCTGATATCCCTAGCGGCCTCGAGGGCCATAACGCAATACGTAGCTGCAGGGATAATGATCTGATTCTGTATGCAATGTTCTTGTAGCCAAGGCAAATCTTGTAACTTAAAACAATTCTGCCATCTTGACTCAGAGCCTGTGTTACCAGGAATTTTCCCCCCAAGCAGCTCATGGGGCGAGTTCGGCATAATGTCCGGCTTGAAAAAGGACGGGGAAAAAGGATTGAGGAGATCGTTAACCAAGGAAGGGGAAATTGTTCGTACAATTACGTACGTTTCCAGTACTAGATAATTAACACGGGTGCTAAACATATAAACATTTAGTGTACTGTACAAAGATGATTTATGCCGGAGATTGGCCAATGACGATAGTAAAACATGTCAGGTCGGGGACCCGATCAATTTAGGCTCACCACCTTCCGAATAATTCGGATATGATGCGGGTTTCAATACCCCTAGTTTCCACTCTATATTACATGGGTGTGATATAAAGCTCCGAGAGTGACTTTATTAAGACTAGGATTTCATGCAATTAATTATGAGGAATCACCAACTAGAGAAGCTAGACGCATTAGGACTAGAAGTTGTAAAACGCTTAAAATACTCATTTTATAGAAGTGGAAGATGGTCCATTACGACAATGATAAAAGCATTTACCCTCTTATATTGTAGAGGAGCTAGGAGGACCCTTAGGATTATCAGGAGGAATCGTGGATAAAACAACCAAAAGATTGCAGTCAAGGTAATAGGCATCAATTGGGCGGTAGGCGCGGTGTCGGATTTTCGTCGTTTGGTCATTTGGCTAAAGAAGTCTAAACAATGGTTTAATGTTCTTTTGAGAAAGTGAATATTCAGGGCGCACTCAGGCAGTGGCATTCCTGGACGATTAGTAGTTACAAGATCCAGTCATTAATATAAGTATAGCAAATTAAGCTTCTATTCGTAATTATACTAACTGGCCAGCTTCTCCCTGGTCCAGCTGTATTGCGGTGAATCGCATGTATTGACGTCGGTGCTGTGTGAAAGGGAGAGTGAGTGCCAGGGGCTTATATGCTCAGGTGGCTCCACTTATCCACGTGCTAATTCTAGTACAGGTGACAATGCAAAAACAAAGTAAATAATTGGTGGTCCCTTGATCCCCACCACAATATGCCAACTATTAGAAGGTGGCTAGCAAATGTGGGATCCAAGGAGAATACCCTATGCTGAGCGATGATGGCCTATTTGCTTTGCGCCACACGTACGCCTCCAGAGAAGCTGTTCCCTGATTTCGAAGCATTTGTAATATGTATCTATGATTGCAATATTCATCGCAGTTCGCTCGTCGCTTTTAATGGAGACGGTAGATGCCTCTCTGCCGTGAAGCCTAGGTTTGGGAACAGAGAACGATTGTTGACGCCCTAGAGCCAGGTGTTGCAAATCAATCCTAGATTCATCCACGGGGTCGTTGTGGCGTACATTCATAGGGGATCCGGTTGATTATATTAAAGATAGCTGTGCTATTAGAAGTATGGCCTATATTAAGGTTGAAGCGCAAGATCGAGATTGTGACTATTCCTAACAGGGTTTGCTATTTCTATTATAGCCATTTGACTAAGGGTTCATATTCCCTAGCGACTAATATCTGGACTATTCTGCCAATCTTCTCTAATACAACCGGCAAACCACTGAATATAATAGTCTGCTTATCCTTGGACCAATGGATATTACTAGGTAACTAATGTATCTTGTTGAAACTCTTCCATATAAATACCTAACTTAATGTATCAGTCCAAGAATTAGAGGAATTTATAGCGGTATTAATATTCCAGGCGGAGTTGTCGGCCATTGATTTAGGAGAGAGTATCGACAGTATGTTATAGAACTTGAAGTTCCGGGAGACTGATTATAGTTTTATCAATTATATTTAGAATCCAGAGAAGTATATTATTAGACACAAGTTTCGCCGCCGGAGGGTAGAAGATGATACAGAAGACTAAGGACAATACGACACAGCAGGTAGAAGCAAGGAAGTCGTCGTATTAAATACAGGAGCAACGACATTTGCGCAAGTTAATAGTTTATTACTAAATAAAAAGCGGCCAGCCGGGAAGAGGTGCAGAAGTAGGAAGTGCCAAAAGTAGCAACAGCGTTTATTTAGAACGGAATATATATATACATTATTAAGAGTCAGGTATTCTTTTAACAATGTATAACAAGGCACGAAAGCATCGAGGCAATACTCAGTATAGTATCCGATTTTTAGTAACCTGTTAGCCTTGTTAGATTTTAGAGAGGATTATAGATCTCTATAACCTAGTTCTAGGGTGCTAGTGGTTGGGGTACTATTGAGACGCAAAGAAAGTACCTAGGTACTCTTCGAGGACGGAGCGCTGCGATGGGACTATGGTGAAACAAAAATAGCTTTAGCAGGTATGGCTACGGATGTTGATGAGTATTGCTCAGGGGAGAATCAAGCCGTTTTCAAGATATTGAAAAGGCGGGATGGACTGAGGAAGTGCCGGTGCAGACTAAGTTGGCGAACCCTTGAGGACGTGCTATATTAATCAACTATTGAAGTGATTATTGGATCTATTAGTGCTTCGACCCCCATTTTGAAACTCATTTTAACCAGGATTGGATGGAAGCTACCAATGGCACCAAATGTGGAGGTCTCTACGTAGCATTTTGGCCTTTACTTTGCCGCCCATTCTCGATTCTCCAATCATTTGTGCTAGTCCGCCAGATCCCCCCAATTGAGCGACGGATGTCACTAGACTAGGTAGCTTTTGTTACAATCAAGTGCCGTCTACGCCTCTCAAACTTTCAGCAGGTGGAGCTAGTATGTCACTTCAAGTAGGTTTGGGATTGAAATCCTAGTGGACATCTTTTACATTAAGGGTGTTCAAAGAAGTTGGACTCGGCAAGAATCCACAGATCAGAGCTGCGTCTAGTACCTCAATCTAAGCTTTGCTGGTTGGGGCATCTATTGCCAATATATAGTTCTAACTGTTTCAATTTTGAATATGGGCACGTTCGATGCTACGAGCTGGAGGTGTGGTGAGGTTTGAAGCAATTGAATTGCCCTCTAGTAGCGGGATCAAGTAGTCAAATATATATGGTTGTTGAGTTGAAAGCAAGCGGCCAAGTGGCTTTCATAATATTAAGGAAAATCCTCTAGAGCTATTAGTTTCGACCCAATCTACCTAGATTTAGCAAAAAGATCAAAAGGTAGACCCAAAGCACCGGATGATGTTGAGGTAATTATGCAAGAGCGATATCTTGGGAAACACATGTGGGTCGTCGTGGTATTTCATACAGCTTTAGGTCTATGATATATTCAGCTTCCTAAATGCATATCTGTTTGGTAGGATTTGCTTGGAATTTTATCGGAAGTGCAATGATTTTTTTATCCATAAGAATTCAGGCTAGATATCTCGATCAATTAAATTCAACCCCGGTGACCGGATTCTGAGCCATCCTTTTGGGGCTTAATTGCACAAACTACTCCGCATTTTATCTTCCAATCTCCCCGTGACCCTTTTAAACCATAATATGCATCGATCCCGGCTACATCACATCGTCACTCGCCTACATGACTTGGTGGAGTGAGTATCTATTCTAGAGCCAAGTCTCGATGCCTGTGTATAGCTATCCAATTGAGTACCTTTGACTTTCCCTATTTGTCGAACATCTACGAGCCCTTAGAGATGAACAACTCTCGAGAATCCACTCATGCGGTCACCTTCTAGGCGGTGACTATCAATCTGGCCGCTCCGCCCTCGCTAAATCAACCATAAAAAAAGGTGTATCCCAAAACAAATTTAATTTAATTCTATATCACTTGTATTATTTTCCGAAAGTAAAAAATTTAATTTCCAGCTATCAAAATAGCAAAAGAGTTCGGCCCGGTGTCGAATGCCTACATCTCTTGTCGTTTTTGTTGTTTCGCTTTGTTGTTGTTTTCCCTTTTTTCCTGTCGTCCCTGGCGACAACGAAAGTACAATTTGACCCGAGCCACTTGACCAAGTGTCACGCCCTTGTACTTTGTTAGGCGATATCTGCTTTTTTGGCCATATATATATTACGGGGGGATTTAGTTGCCAAACCAATTTTCTTTGACATAACACACAGCTAGGCACCTTGGGTAGGTGATGCAAGGGATGCATGCTCTTAAAGCAAAATTGACGCAGAGTACTATATATCCATGTTTACCTCTTATTTAGAGAGGAGCTTTTTAAGAGCAAAAAAGATCTTTACCAGGGTTAAATTTTAAACCTCGAAAGCCTCAGAGAATTTATTTGGCGACTAAGAAACGCATACTAAACAACTTTCCCCAGGAGCTAATACTTATAGCACTCTAAGGGGGTGGAAGCGATAGTTTTTGAGCATTGGGAGGAGATTTCAAGATTTAGATATGGTATTAATAGAGGTGTGCGAACATTGCGTATTCTAGTTTGCTCTCTTTTTAGCTTACCGAACTATGTGCGAAATTATAAGGGCTTCGTTCTTATCTAACAGGAAAGTAACATCCAAGTCGGAAAGAAACTATGTTCTTACAGGATCATTTGAACCAAAATTGGAAGGAAATGCATATCGTCATAGCACGCGCCTTGCAGATGGATTGTCGTGGAATAGATGATTGAGAATTTACTGAAAAAGTCGTAGCCATGGCAAAAAACCAAGCTGCTGGCTCTGGAGGAATATTCGTAATATAAATGCGAATAATGTCATATGGTGAATTGTTGCTTATCTCTTGGTTTAAATAATTGCGGTGCAGTTAGTTCGAACCAGATGTAGTGTGGGAGCTGACGCGAAACGGACACGCCCCAGCACCCTGCACGCCTTGGTACATTTAATCACAACGCGTCCCTTCGCGTCTTCTACTAATCGTGGCCCCCAAAGACTACAAATTATCATGAAACACCGCGCATTATGCAACGCATTCGATCAATATAGCTGTAGAGCATAATGGCACACGTCATTGAGTTGTCTTCTCCCCCATCAAGCTCGGAGTCCGAAACCCCCGACATAGACATCGATGAACTTAAAGATGAGATTTCCCAATGTCTGAGTTCTGTCAAAGGTGCTAGTACATTCGCCCTTTTCGAGACATTGTCTGGCTCACCAAACCCTGGACTGTATCTGAAGAACGGCGGCGTAGTTGGTCTTCCTCTGTCGGATCGCGATGCAGAGGCAATTATTGCCGCCAGCCATGAAGCACCTTTCGGAAAAGGGGAACAGACCGTTGTCGACAAGAGTGTCCGAAAGACGTGGGAACTATCCCCGCCTGATTTCGAACTCAGGAATCCAGCTTGGGGAAGGTTCATTGAATCTATTGTGGCAAAAGTAAGTGCCGGCCTAGGTGTTGATGAGGCTGACAAGGAAGTATCGGCGCAGCTATACAAGATGTTGCTTTATGATGAGGGAGCAATGTTTAAGCCACATCAAGAGTAGGTCAACCCCAAAGCCCCCCTCCACCTTGTTTATATCTGACGAACTTGAAGTTCCGAGAAGGCTCCTGGAATGTTCGCTACCTTGGTCATTACCCTTCCATCGAACATGAAGGAGGTGAGGTCAGGGTCTCCCATGCAGGAGAAACAAAGATCTTTGAGACGTCCAAATATTCGGATTATGAATCATCATTTCTGGCCTGGTGAGTCTCTTAAGACGCAATGTTGATCTTACGCTCATTCACATTAGGTTTTCAGATGTCACCCATGAAGTCAAGCCTGTCCTTTCAGGCCACCGGCTTGTGCTCACGTATAATCTTGTCCATGAGACTCTAGACCCAAAAGAATTAACTGCAAGCTCTGCCAGGTCGGTTTCCACGCTGAAGGCTCTATTATCACAATGGAACAAGAAGCTTGGAAAAACTCCAGAGTTTGATACAGCGTACGCGTTTCTATTTGAGCATCAATATACAGACGCTAGCCTTCGCTTCAATGGCTTGAAAGGACATGACCAAGGTGTTGCATCCTGTATCCGCCGAGCATGCGACGAGTCTGGGTTTTACTTCTATCTTGCTAAGCTGAAAAGAACTGTTACGGGCGGTTGCGACGGGTATTACGACGATGATTCTGTATCATTCCATGAACTAACTGAAGAATACGAAAAATCAATCTCTCTTCTCAGAGTTATTGACTCTAATGGAACTGAGGTTGCAAAGAATATGACTGTTGACCACGATGGTTTTCTGCACGAAGAATTTTTTGAAGATATAGATCCAGATGACGAGGATTATTCTGGCTACACTGGTAATGAAGGTGTCTCTGCTACGCACTTCTATCATCGAACGGTATGGAACTCTTAACCTGGAATGACACCGACTGACAGTGTCCACAAGATAGCAATACTTATGCCGAAAACGCATCGCATCGACTTCTTTCTCAATCCTTCATCCCCCAGAACCTCCAGATATAAATATATTTACGACGAGAGGTTGAGAGAATACGCAACCCGGATTTTGCAATGGTTTGAACAATTAACAAATCACATGTCCGACAATCCTAGAGATATGGGAGTCCGCCAAGATCTTGAAAGTGTTTGCAGGATGGTGATACTCGAATCAGGCAAATTGAGGATTGAAGCTGTATCCAACCCAACAGTGGCATGGGGAAGGAAACCGAATGGGTTTTCTGATGAGGTTCTGGCATGTGCCACCAATACATCTATTGCTCTGGACAACATGTCTCTATTCTGCGAGACTTTTCGCTTTTGGCCCCAGGAGCCGTCTTCTTCGATGCTACGAGGGGTGGGTAAAGCGCTCGTACGCTATAATCTAGAATCACTTCTTCCAACGTAAGTTCTCTCCCTAGGATATGATTGTGGATGGAGATCTGCACGGGGTAAAAGCTTGGATCTCGAGCATTTGATCGTGAAGATCGCGGGGTTAGCCAAATAAAGGGAACTTCCTCGATGAAACATTTGCATATAGTGCCCGAATTGCTATACGGCTAAGGTTCATCCGCTAAAATATTTTATTATTCTATAGTATTTCTGAACGACTTTCAGCAATAGGCAAGTTATCAAACCGGATGGAAATGATCCTCGCACTACAAACAGGCTACATCACAGAGGCGGAACTCTTATCAAAGCCAGTTACTGTCGCCCAAGACTGGGCGAAGTCCCAGATGGATACTGCCCTAAATTCCGCACAAATTTCAACAGCTGAGGATGGAGCCATGTTGTCGAATCTCTGCAAGACAGGCTCATCTGAAGTTATATTTAACAAGTTTGTGAAGCCCGTTTGGAGTTGTAAACTGGAGCTAATTAACGACAGGATACTGCCAGCCGTCAAAAAGAACACATGCCATAACCCTATGGCCATGGCATTCCTCGCAGGCGTCATCAGTGCTGGCCTCAGTGGCGAGATTGAAGCACGTGTTTCTCAGACCCTTTTCAAGAATGTAGTCTCTGACCTCGCAAGTAATTTCAACCTGACCCCCATCTTGCACTCACAAACAAATAAGATGATAAAGATCTACGGTTTTGGTGCTCGAGCTCCCGGTTCACTAGCTGCTACGGATGATGGTAGCGAAATCGTACAAAGCGTTGTCACCTTGATTTGGAACTGTTTTGCCCTCGATTGTCAATGGGAGCTTGGTCAGATCCTTGGAAAGTTAGTCTCTGCATCCTCAAACCAACCAGCCGAAAATTTTGATACCATCTTCATACCGCTCCTTCAGCAATTGAGCCGTAGTCTTCATGACAAAAACATATCAGTCCAAGGAACCTCATTTAAAGGATTTTTCCAAGACTTGCTACGCAGCTACGTTGTCATTCACGTTGGACCTGAACCAAAACTTGCCGCCGATTGGACGCGATCGAGGACAAGTTGTCCTTGCCATGACTGTTCCGAACTCAACATATTCTTGATCAATCCTCATCAACAAGTATGGAGATTCCCAGTCGCCAAGATGCGGCGGCTACATATCCATAGAATTCTCGAAACCATGGGAGGAGGCTTTACCCACGAGACAGAGAGAATTGGGAGTCCGCAAACACTGGTCGTCACAAAGACCCAGGCCTCGTATCTTGCTGCCCGTCAAGCCTGGCCAAAGAGATGTAGTATTGCCAAAGGCTACCTCCAGAGTTTCAATGCGAACATACTACGAGAACTTCTTGGTGACCTGTTTGACCCTATAATGTCGCTCTCAGTATCGCAGCTTTCACAGCCTCCTTTCCAAACTACTCATATCTCGGAGAGGCTCCCTTTTGAGTTCAGTCACGAACCCACAGACCTCGAGTCATGTCCTCCCACCAATTTCAAGGCGAAAGGTTCCTACTTCTACTGAGGTCGTTGACCTTACGTGAATTAGCCGTTATTTGTTCATATTTTGTCTTCCGAAGGGGTTGTCAAAACCTGCGATAATTTATGCTCTGAGCAGTTGATATAATACCCTATTTATTAGGAAGTGGATGGAATTACTTGCAAATGAGCGATGCCAGTATTACGCGAAGGTGCTCGCTGTACCATGTACTGATAGTATTAGTGTATACATAGAATAATGGCCTGGGTTGAGTGCCGGGAAAGATGATTGCGGAGATCCGGCCTTAAATTAGCAACCCAATAGAATAAAAGACATCCCGCAGTCTAGTTGCGTAGCAGGTAAAACGTTATATTGCTCAATACCAATTATGACCTTCCTCCCCAAGCCTCTTGTTATTTGGATTTAGAGATAGCATTCTTTGCCCGGGTATAGCAACTCCAGATTGCGATTCGAATATACCCGAAATGGTACGTCTTCCAATGGCAGCAAAAGAGTCGAATTCAGCACAACCATTGCACGACGCCCATTCCGGCGACAATGGCGTAGACCCATCTCCTAGATCGGACCACCTGGTTACCAAAATAGCCTGCTTGAACCTATCCGACGGGTCATTTCTGTCTTCCGCGAGTTTGATATCGATAAGGTACTCTGTCGGACAATCTGGACAGCGTCTCATGGGCCGACACTCTCGGCACAGGCTGACAATAGGGTTGGCATTATGGAAGCTAGCTTGAAACTGCGGGCCTTTCCGGAGCTGTTGAGTTAATTTTTCTTTGGGCTTCGGTATGTGACTCAATGCGCACTTGCAGAGGTTCATGAGTTCGCCGTCCCTCCAATGGGCACATACTGAAAAGTAGGGCGTATAATCTTCTCGGGAGTAAAGCAGGTGACGCATTCCACTTGGTGGAAGACCGGCAGAGGCAAATGATTTGCTGACAACCCGTAGTAACAGGTGACCTTTATTGTAGTAATAACTCGTTTCGTGCGACCAGCCGCTGTCATGGGATTTCCAATGCCGGGCAAGAGATTCAACTGATATGCCATGATCTGGCGAATAATGGCAGGCTCGAAGCGCAAGCTGGACAAAAGTAAATGGAAGGGTGTGGTCAGAAGTGAGTCGCAGCCTTAACAGTACTGTGGTGGGTTCGAGGGCATTCGGGCAATCGAAGATTGGAGCCAGAGCGAGAGAGGCCTTCAAGCGCTCTTGTCCCTTGCGAGTTCGATGATGGTAAATCAAACAAGGATAACAGAATATATGATTAGGAAGGGAACTGTCCAAAGAAACTAAGAAATCAATCTTAGATGCTCGATTATCCGGATCCTGCAGGGTTTTCCATGGTTCAGGCCCAAGTTGATATCGGAGGGTCTTGCATGAGAAAGCAAGACTAGCAACATCAGCCAGGGAGAGATAACCGGTGATGACCTCCCAGATATCGTTCGGTAAGCTAGCTATTAGCTGGTCACCGGCTCCGGAATCTGCTCCTCGCCATCTTGGGTTGGACTCAGGCTCAGACGTTAAAGAGCTAAAGAAGCCGTGATCGGCCAAGCTATGCAACAATTCGGTATCATCACGTCGCTCGCCGGTTTGAATATCAACATGAGAAGAGTATTCCGATTCCGGAGACGGCCGTCTATTGCCTTGATTTTGATAATTGCCACCAGTAGAAATATTTCTCGTCTCATTGCCGGTCCGTTCCACTGGCTTTTTCGACACGCGTTGACTTGAAGGATTCGGCTTCAAAATGCGTGCCAGACGGGTTTTGAGACTTGGCTTATTCGAAGAATCCTCCCCCATTCCCAAATTATAATTGGCAGTACGAGTAGCGATATAATGTTCTTGGCTTGCAGCGGGCATTGTTTTGAAATTTGAGCGCAGCTGAGAATCAGGACCCTGTACTCGACTATGGGTCGCAGGGATTGAACGAAGGAATGAAATATGCCGGCCGTCTGGAATAAGAAGACCGAAATAAATAGATGGTATTGTACTGTATGTGTTTGTATGTTAGAAATCGGATCTCGAGTCTCAAAACATTCTCACGTTCTCAATCACTAGATTGATCTAATGCAGCCGGCCGTCCCGGTGGCGATTAGAGAGCCCAGCTAACTTTGCGAGGTTCCGATGCAATCAACCTTCAATTGCCGGGATCGGCAGCACACCAACAGCATAGCAGCATCATAATATATTCATCGTCCGTTATCCACGAACCTCATTGCGAATGCGATATGTAGTGTATATTATCCCTCGAGTGGTGACGCAAGCCCTAAGCTGACGGAATAAGCTTAAGCCAAGACCAGTGTATATCAGTCGTCGTGCCCATCCAGGATCTGATGCGAATGCGACGAGTGCTGATGCTACGTATATTCGGGGATACATACGTGGTCTGCCCTAAGGGGGCTTAGCTGTGACGCTGAGGCTTACGAGTCTGAGCGAGGTTGAAAATGAAATATTCCGGTACACTCCAGTAAGAAGCCTGCTTTTGCTGACGGTCAGCAGCTAGGATTGGTAACCTCGCAGTTGGCTCCAATGCGCGAAGGATCATCAACGGGCATTCTCCTGATGTTTCATCATTAGGGCTGCAAAAGGATACCAAGGGTGGTACACCTGGGAGCAGCACGTTACGTGCGGAGGCTCATCAGCACACTGGGTGAGATCGGTAGGTACATGTACACTCTATAATGAGGATATATATCTTCTTATCCTCCTCCACTTTACGTTGCTAGCATATAGCAACGACTCTGTACAAACTCCTAGTACTCTTTTTGGGCAATCTCAACATAGTTGTTGAACGTCATCCGTCCTTATTATTATCGCACTTTGCACCTCAGCCAATATGCATACATTCAAAGTCCTTACCGCCCTCGTCGTCAGTGCAGCAGGTATGCTTTCCAACCTCTCTTATTCTGTGCAGACTGACATTTCCAGGTGTATACTCAGAAGTCGAGTGCCCTGGCTCAGAGTGGAACCATAATTGCTGCGTAGAAGGCATATGGACTGGGCCCGTCATCTCCAACTGGCTCCACAACCTCAACAACGCATCTGCTTTCCGCAGCGCCTCGATAGTTTCCGATATCTCTTCCGTACGGGCGTCGATCAATTCCGTCGCATCATCCCTACATGCTGAGATAAAATCCGATATTTCCTCCGTCCTAGCAATCCCAGGCTCAGTCTATTCTGAAGTAACAGCGGATTTAGGATCCGCTCTTGGCGGGCCCTGGACAAAACGCGATGTACATCCTCGCTCACCAATAACAACAGAAGTTTCGCCGGGATTGACCTGTCACGGAATTGGAGCAGTGCAATTAACAGCTCCCTCGGCGAAAGAAAGCATTGCAAGCATGACAAATGCAGCTGATGTCTACTGGGCTGCTCTGGGGCATTCAATCATCGCCGGAGACGATCACACTCTTATTTCCCCCTGTAAGTTCAATCTTCTATAAACAGTACCACATAGTAGACAGTGTGACTAATAGAAAATAGTCTCTACTACTACAATCAACCAAGCGGCTGCTAGAGTTACTGGAGACCCCGCCTCCTCTCCAACGGCCGCTTCCGGCTCAACTTCTGTCTCCAAGGGTGGAGCAGCGGCAATGATTACGCAGGCCCCTATGATGGCTATGGGAGGAGCCGTCCTCGCTATTGCTTATGGTGCTATGTAGGCAAGATTGGACCTATGAGAAAAATGGCGTTAGATGGTCTGCATGCTAGATCCTTTTGGTTACTACGGTTCTGCTAGGAATGAATATTTAGACGGGTGCCATGAAATTTATGAACGGTTTGCTGCTTTTGAAAGTATGTATCAAAGTGACATCGTATATGGCCACCTATAGTTGAGATCGCAAAGATGCTTCCCCTCACCGGTCATTAAATCTTCCCGAGGATCGTAGTATACCTAGGTGTAGAAAAGCCTTATAGGTGCCGATGAGCAGTATTAATATGCATTATATATTTGTAGTATTATTCATGCTTCTAATATCTTCGTCTATCTTCAAGCTCGTTCAATCACAAATCCTCATTAACCGCCTTTCTGACGCCTAGTCTCCTCTTGGACCTACACTATCTATCCATCGGTATTGTCCCCACTTGCGTTGCTTTTCATCATCTGCTAAAGGGATGAAGGGGGGTGCATGGTCGGCGGGTGTCGGATATCGTTCTTGTTTAGACCTGTACCCCTATGTGGCTAGACCATCGTTCATCTACACAACCAACAATCCTCTAATAGCGCCCCAACGCCAACCATGCTCAAGCGAAAAGCAAGCTGTTACATATATGCACTCGCAACAGACCTCATCCCTTAAAAGTATCATACTTACTCCTCATCCTCAACTTATGTCCATGGAAATAGAAAAACCACGGCATAGGCAGTAGCGCCAGGGCCACAAACGCAAACACACTGCCCGCCCAATGGATACCTAAGGCTTCATACATCTGCAGCGTGAACAGCGGGAATATGGCACCTAATGTGTAGCGCAGAATGCCATTTGCTGCCACTGCTGACGCCCCGTTTTTTGCTTGGTAGACGTCGACGAGGTAGGTTGTAACGGAGATGAATATTCCAAGGGAGCCGAGGCCGAAGGGGATACCTGCTAGGACGGGCACGATCCAGTGGATGGACTTTTGGGGGGTCCAGGCGAACCACTGATTTGGGAGGGAGGTTAGCTGTAAAACTTTGACAGGTAGAAAGGGGTGATAAGATAGAGTGTAGAGAAGGACATGGAGGTGGGTATACGTACGAATAGCCCAATCGGCAACGTTAACGAACCCAGCAAGGCTGTATAAAGTCGGTGTTCAGGCGCCGGTTTAGCCTTTGCACGAAAGGCGGCTTTCTTGTAGAGTGTTGCATCAAAAATACCGAAGGAGACAACGGCGAAGAGGAAACCAACCAGGACGCCGAGGAAGGTAAGGCCCACTTCCTTTTGGTTGAAACCATATACTACCTGGAAGACGTAGCTATAGGAGCCAAAGAAGCTAAACATCATGGCGAAGGCAAAGCCAGAATAGATGCTTAGGAAGGCTACTAGAGGCTTTCAGGAAAGGTAAGCTTGGTTGTAGCAAGGGAGAGATAATCGAGGGGAGACTTACTTCTAGGCACATCATATGTAAAGGCCTTGTGACTGCTACTTGTAGTTTCCCAAGCAGCAGACGGGTATCGCCAGTCTTCCGCGGGACCTTCACCCCTTGCGCCTTTTGACGTAGGTACAATATTCGCTGTTTCGAGGTTTCTTGCATGAAAACTGCCGCGCATAGTATGGGCGCCGCGACGATCATAACTACCCACATCGAGTATCGCCAGTTGTTGTTGTATTCGTCGATGATATATGCACCGGTTAGAGGGCCAAGCGCAGGCCCCAAAAAGGGAGCCAATATAAAGAATACAGCGGCTCGGCCATTGCTAGTTGGCGACCAGATATCTGCGATGGTACCTGTGTTCAAGTCAGATAATGCAGATGGTAAGCAAGTAGGGTGGATGTACCTGCACCGACAGCCAGCGATCCTGAGCCAAAGGTTGCAGCAAGAAAGCGGTTGACTATCAACTGTGTGATATTGTTTGATACGCCAGCAATTGCTGTAAATATCAGTAGCAGCGGTAATGTTGTCCAGTATATTATACGGCGGCCATAGAGTTCGGAGAGTGGAGCAGCAAAAACAGGTCCCACAACGAATCCAAAAGTATACAGGGACAAAGGCAGGATGGCAACCTCTCTTTCCACTTCAAATTTTGCCATTATGATGGGAATTGATGGAACATATGCAGAAGTGGCCAGCGTGCTGTTATAATATTAGCCATGTACCAGCTCCCAAAAAACAAATGGTACTTACACCACAAAACCGTAGAGGGCGGGAATCGCGGTGTGGAAGACCCGTTTCCAAATCGGCCAGTTGTGAGGATTTTTCACATCTGCTGGCGAGTCCCAATCAAGCTCCTCTATAGGTGTCCCCGAAGTTTCGCTGCTGCTGCTCGAGGGGCTAGGCAGCGCTCCGTTATTACTTTCCTTCGGCTCTGGCAACTCAACCGATTCCAGGCTTGCATCGCCTTCGTCGCTATCGTGAGATCGTACATCCAGTTTCTCCAAATCGGTATTAGTATGAGTATTGAGGCCCATAATGTCGAATGCTTTGAGCTAGAAATCTCACAGTCTGGTGATACAGCAGTACATGGTTTGTTCAGTGTAGTACATAGCGAAAGATATATACAAACCCCCAAAGGAACACATTAGAAAGCAAGAAAGTAAACATCACCCAAGGCACTACCAAGAGTTTTTTTCACTAATCTAATACCCGCGGCACCACACATCAAGTGCTTAACCTATAGGTGGACTTGAAGAAGGCGCCATACGTGCACATCGTTAAGCCGATATTCTATGTTGAGTAAACAACAAGCACACAGAAACACCGAAACAATGACCTCGGCAGTGGCTTTAATATGCAACAGAAAAAGACTTGACCATTGTAGCACGAGACCAGCGGCCAAGTGCAGTGGACTAGGGGTACTAATATCATGATCAGTGAACAAGTCAGGGCTTCCTCCTCTGCCGTTGGTTGGACGAGGTTATGAGCAAAGAGAAGTGGGCTCTGGAGGTTACGCACGAAAGACGATACGTACGAAACTCCAGCACTGAAGGAGACCGAAGGGGAGATGAGTAATCATATCTCAAGTCACGTGCTGAGGGTATATAACCAGGTTGAGCAGTTCGTAGTTATATGTCCCAAGGCATATATATAGATAATAATGGATGGCTCAATTGATTACAATAATGCTCTGCAATATGATGTATTATAACCTGAAATCGCTTCGAAAGTGCAGCTGTTAAGGTTCAGAGCACGTGAGATCCCAAGCACTGACAGGCCCAAAATGCTTGTGCCCGGTAGCTGGGCCGGGTGTCCCGCAGAAATGATACGAGAGTTTCACGACGACCTCAATGTTGTTTAATATATCATCCCACATAACAGAGACAAGCAATGATTATAAGGTATCCTCCGAGGACCCTGTCTCGCCCCGATGGCCTCTATACCATATGTCTATCATGTCTGCGCCAGACAGCCAAACCCAAAGCTCCCTCCCATTCATTGAGGAGAAGCTTCTCCCGCACCTCGAGCATTGGGGCAGCCGTCACCGGAAACACAAACACGCCACGATTACGGGATCAATATTTCTCTGCAAATGCGAATTCTCTGCTTGAAAAGGCACGGGCGGTATCTAGGAATGGAGCAACCGCCTCGACGATAGGGGAGACAAGCCCAATTGCACAGGGAAATGGGGCTACTCTAACCACTACTTCTCCGAACGAGATCCTCCCTCATCGAAGAAAGCAAGCTGCCCGTCGTGCAGCGGCAGCAGAAGCAGCAGCAGCATCCTCATCCTCGTCGCCAGACCTCGTCCTCCCACCCAATGCCTCGTCCACGCTCACCTCTCAAGCTTCCGCCCAGCCCACGAACTCCCTCCGGCGGCTCGTCCCAGTCCTCCTCGCCCTTTCCAAGCCCCGCCTCTCAGTGCTGGTCGTCCTCACGGCAATGGCATCCTACTCGCTCTACCCCGTGCCCGAACTACTCTCCCCGAGTTTAATGGACACGCCCTCCCTCTCACCCCTCACGCTACTCTTCCTCACAACCGGAACAGCCCTCTGCGCCGCGTCTGCAAACGCATTTAACATGCTATACGAGCCGAAATGGGATGCGATGATGACACGGACAAGAAATAGGCCTCTGGTGCGGAAATTGATATCTACACGGGGAGCTGCCATATTCGCTATCCTCAGCGGACTCGTAGGAACCACAGCCTTATACTACGGCGTCAACCCCACCGTGTCATTCCTGGGCGCCCTAAACATTCTTCTCTACGCAGGAGTATACACGCCTATGAAGCGTCTCAGCGCGCTGAATACGTGGGTGGGTGCCATCGTAGGCGGCATCCCACCGCTCATGGGCTGGGCGGCAGCAGCAGGACAATCGGCGACGGAAAATGGCGACTGGAAAGAATTACTTCTGGGAGAAAGAAGCATAGGAGGCTGGCTACTAGCGGGTTTTCTGGTGGCATGGCAATTCCCGCATTTCATGGCCCTCTCTTGGTCTATAAGGGAGGAGTATAAAAATGCGGGCTACAAAATGCTCTGCTGGATGAACCCAGCTCGCAACGGGCGCGTGGCATTACGCTACGCTATAGTATGCTTTCCCCTCTGTATAGGGCTTTGCTACGCTGGGGTTACTGAGTGGAGTTTCGCCGTCACGAGCACGCCTGTCAATGCGTGGTTGGTGCGGGAAGCTGTACGGTTTTGGAAGTTGGAGGGGCATAAGGGGAGCGCGAGGGGTTTGTTTTGGGCGTCCGTGTGGCATCTGCCTGTGGTAATGATTTTGGCGATGGTGGAGAAGAAGGGCATGTGGCAGAGGGTTTGGAGGGCTGTAGTTGGTTCCCCGGATCTCGACGACGATGAGGATTGGATTGACGAGGATGAGGAGGAGGCTGTGTTGTCTGCGAAGGACGTTAAACCGGAGGTTAGGGCTGCTGCTATCGCTGCGATTCCCCCGCGATAGAAAATATGCATTTGGGGAGCAATTTCTAGGTCGAGTCGATAAGGTAGCGGGGCGTTTTGAGGCAGGAGGGGGTTTACCGTTCTTTCACTGTACCAAAAGGTATGTACTGTACGAAGTAAGTTGTACTACGCAAAAACCTCTCTCATTGTGTTTGTCTGTCATATCTAGCCTAGGCTGAAGAGCCAAATAAATGCTGCTAATGCATGCATGCTATACTTATACAATGTATCAATCATAACGAGTCGTCATAATATGCCATGTCCGTCTCTCTCCTGCCCAAAAAGGAGTGTCTGGCTCATCAAAATCAAAGTATTAAGCGTGGGAAAGCATGCCAACTTTCCCTGTCAAATGTAGAGCCGGGATTGTAACGCCTGAAAAACGCCAACTCTTAGAACGCCCCCTCCGCCAAACCACCCTCAAGCCTCACGTATAAGCAGGAAGTAACGAAAGTGGTAGAGATTGAAACTTGCTACCGCCCATTGTTCGGCCGGTTGATAATCGCATCAATCCCCATATCCATACTGGGTAGTCTTTGTCCCCGTTGCTGGTGGGTCGTATATCCACCACCTCCTCGGCCATCGACCATGCTCCCTACCGCACTTCCCCCACTATGGCTATGATAATGGCCGTGGTGTCCTTGGTGCGTTGCGTATACGGACGAGGTGCTGCGGCCGCTGCTGCTGGCGCCGCCATCTGTTGCATCATACTCAGCTTCCAGATCCTCGATGCTGCCGATACCACTGTCATCGGCATGGTGGTCGCGCACATCGTACGCACCTACTCCTAGCATTCCGGCTGAGCCAACGCCACCTGCGCCAGAGTTGTCGAGGAGACGTTCGCGCCGGGCATGGGCGCGAGCTGCGGTCTGGAGGTTTTTGAGGCCTTGAGACATACACTGTTTTGAAAAATGGTTGTTAGTTACGTTGTCTTTAGGGGTTTGAATGGTAAGGGAATATGGGAAGTGAACGAACCTTTTGCTCTACCACATTCCACTTCTCGCCTGTCTGTGCCGCCAGACCAGACCATATCTCCCTCCTCATACCCATATATGTCTTGGCCATATTCTCAAGCTTGACACCGTCCCAATCGTCAGCTGAGCGGCGCTCCATTAGCCTCTCGTGGCGTTTTCGACACGCGTTCGGGGTCTTGTTGGGAAAGTAGGCTTGTTGGATGGGAGCCCAGTTCATGCCCTGGGCACGAGCTGCCATGAGGGTCTGGTCATCTGTGGGATTCCACGCGCCGCTCGAGGCGCGGATGGACGTCAATGGTGCCGGAGGCATTGGTGCGTATTGTTGCTGGGCGACCATGGGATGCTGGACTGGACCACCGGTGGAGTAGCTGGAGGTGTGTGGTGGAGAGTATGACTGCTGGGGCATACCCGTGGTGAGAGCTCCCGAGTAGTATTGATCGGGGATGCGCGAGGTATTAAGGGCTTCGTACTGAGCTGGTTGTGCGGCAGGGCTCAGGGTGTAGTAACCGGAGGTCCTGACGGAACGGTGGCGGTCGCCTTTAGGCATTGTGTACTGTTGTATTGGTGTGAGGGGGGTGGAAGGTAGATGAATGGGTAGAGAGGTCTCGTGGATTGACGGGGCTCGAGGAGATTATGTGATTAGACGCCTCGCCGGGAGGACTTCGTATCAAACGAATGAAGAGGCAAGGAGAGCGGACGGAATGATAGGAAGAGAAGAGAAGGAATTATGGATAAGGAAACAGGTGCATCGAGGGGTATCGGAAACGGAACGAAAGAAGCTGGATCTGAGAAGAGAAGGCCTGGAGTGAGGACTGGGTGGCCGGATCTTATATGGATATCTGCAGCTATACAGAATCCACTGGCCTGGGAATGACGATGGGGGCGGCAACGGGGAAAATGTTTATAGTCCCATTGACGCCGGGTGTCCTAAATCGAGACCAGAAGCAGCCATGAAACATGCCAAAGGGCCAGTGTTCAGAGCTGTGTAACTGAGAGCGCCCACCAGAGCTCACCCAAGGGAGCGGTTCACGGCCAGGGGTGAAAGAGCTTGAAACCCCCAACAACGCTGCAGTAGCCGCGCAGGTACCTCGAGAGGCTCGAAGCGTCTCCAACAGAGGACGGGGAGAGAGCTGGCGGAGCGCATATTGGCTGGAAGAAAGCAGTGGGCGGCTGTCTCATTTGCGGCCGCGAAGCTAGGAGGCCAGGAGGCTCAAAGGAGCATTTCAAACGCCAGGAAGGCGGCAGTTGAGGCGGGTGGAGGGGTTTCTGGGGGAGGAGCAAGGAGTGGAGAGGAACGGTAGGGGAAGTACGTAGTAAGCTATGGGGGGAATTGAGAGTTGGGAGAGAGTTGGAGAGCAGTTGGAGAGTTGGGCGGTTAGAAGACCGATAAGATAGGAGGGACGGCGTTTAGGGAGAAGAATCGAAGAGTTACCGAGAAGAGGCTGTGGTTCAAAAATAGGTCCCTCCGCGGGCTGCCATTGGCCGGGCGAGGTTGGGGGCGTTGTGCTCCAGTCGCTCAGCCTTACCAGGTGTTTATCTGTTTATCCGTTGTCGCCCGTACCTGGTACATGCTGCATGGTATTACGCACAGTGCCACACTTTGTACTCTCTACACCCTCCGTGCTGCCCACTCCACGACCTCCGTCTGCTCCCTACCAAAAGTGCGAGTAACCGCTGGTCGCCTGTTGAAACGTGAAACGCGCGGTTACGGGCTAATTTTGGCCTTCAGTGTTCATTCAGCATTTGGTAACATAGGGCAGGGGCCAAACCGAGGCTTGAGTTACAGTTGGCTGTGCGAAGAAACAAAACAACACAAACAGACAGACAGCAGAACCAACAACAAGAACAAAATAACCATAAACCGGTGCTGTTCCCATCCCCACTATTCATTACTCCCACCATGATATTGGCAGCTGCAAATTCCCAGTCTCGTTCTCCGAGGCATCAATTGAAACTACATGCACTGCACCTCCGGTCCTGGGCATTGCCCTTCTCCACTTCGCCAACATCTCCACGTGTTGGTTGAATGTTTTAGGGGACTCTGGCTGCAATCATTTCTTTGGCCAAGTCAAAGTCTTGGGTCGTGGGTCTTGCATCTGGACTCTTGACCAACTGAAGTATCTCTCTTTGCGCCTTGTTACTGCACACGAGTAAGGAAGTACCGAGGTACTTACTACTCGTACCTACGGAGTACTCCGTACGAAGTACTGTTGACTGTTTATTCCTACTCCAGCTCCAGATTCTCCATCCTCCACGTTTCTCCATACTCCATACTCCATACTCCACACTCCTCCTCCTCCTCCTCCGCACTCCAGCTGCCCCGATAAAACTAAATAACTTGCACAACGAAGAACCCGTTATTATTACACATTTAGATTTTCAACAATTCAATGTTTTTTCCCCCGAGACCAGCCAGACTTCCTTCTAGTCGGGTTTCGGGTCGATGATTCGGCGGGAATTCCGGCCAAACTGTCATGTTTTTGAGGCGCCACCACAGCCAAACGCCAATGCTGGCGCTTTTCAAGCCTTTGTGGTCTTTGTATACTTTACAGGCACTTTTATCTCAATCGTGGGATTCGTGGGAAAGGGTCAAAACGTACGAGCGCGGTCCGGACGAGCTCCACTGTCTTCAATTCAGCCTGAATTACCCGTCCCCATGGCACCCCAGCAGCCATCAGCCAGCTAAGAAAGGGAAAGCAACGGCGAGGACGAGGGAAGAATGTGGAGAGTCCGGGGTGACAATTACAATGCCAGCGCCATCCCGAGTTGCGGGTCTTACGGCACCTGCTATACAGCAGTTTACTCTGCTGCTTAGGGCCTAGGCATCTACACTACAGTACCGGAGGCCCGCCTGAGATGATCAGTCACCAGTGTTCTAACTCTAACATCTCGCGTGGGTCCCCGAATAATATGGAATGCTGATCTGATCGACGGACTATCCAAATGAGCCTGCGAGTGGGACCGAAACTCTACAATTTATCCAGCTGGGGCGAACGGGAATTCGCCTAGTTCACCACTCCAGACTGTCCGGACCCCTGGACCCCTTACCCTCCGTATATCCAGGAATCATACCTGTTGGTCGAGCTGTTGTCGCCTGTCGACCAGCGTAAAGTGAGTCTCTCTGGGTCTTCCCAACGGGTGGAATGATGCTGGTTCCCAGGCAACCTCCCATAGCCTTGGGTCATTTATCCATATCCACCCACCCTCCCCTTTATCCGGAGCTATGGAGCTGTGGAGTAGCATTGAGCTCTCGAGGGATTCCGGCTCTCTGTCACCGACAAGATAAATAACTATCATATCCTCGTCCATTAATTTTGCCGTTGATCGTTCTGTTGTTTCCGCCCAATCTCTCTTTGCAGTCTTTTGCTGCTGAATTTCACATCCTTTTTCTCTAGGGAACTTATAGCAGATACCTCCAAGATGGTTGCTACCAATGCAGCCCCGGGCATCTATGATGCGGCATTGCTGCGTCGCCAGGAAATGATGGGTGCCAGTGGCCCCAAGGCGCTCGTCAAGAACTTCAGAGTTTTCAGTATCGCCATGTTCGCGTGTATTGGTGGCCTTCTCTATGGTATGTTCAGCTGAAAAGATCTCTAGGAAGCTCCAAGGAACAAAACTCTTATGTATTTTTACAGGTTACAATCAGGGAGTTTTCTCTGGTGTCTTGACCATGCCCGCGTTCAAGTCACACATGGGCGCCTACGACACAGATCGGCCAGAGGACGCATCAAAAAAAGGATGGCTGACCTCGATTCTTGAACTTGGCGCTTGGTTGGGATGTCTTCTTTCCGGATTCATGGCTGAGGCCATCTCGAGAAAGTATAGTATCTTGGTCGCCACCGGTGTATTCATCATTGGTGTTGTGATCCAGGCCACCGCAATCGCTGACGGTGGTGGACACAATTCTATTCTTGCTGGTCGATTCATCACGTAAGTTTGAACATCTCCTCCCTTTACAAGAGCTGTACTAACAGATTGTCACAGTGGAATGGGCGTTGGATCGCTGTCCATGATTGTCCCCATGTACAACGCTGAAGTAGCGCCTCCCGAAGTTCGTGGCTCTCTCATCGCCTTGCAACAACTCGCTATCTGCTTCGGTATCATGATTTCCTTCTGGATCGACTATGGAACTCATTATATCGGCGGAGTCGGAGCAACTCAATCCGAGGCTGCTTGGCTCCTCCCGATCTGCCTCCAGCTCGTGCCTGCTGTTATCCTTTTCGGAGGCATTCTGTTTATGCCCTTCTCCCCGCGTTGGCTGATCCACCACGACCGCGAAGAAGAAGCCCGGAAAGTGCTCGCAAACCTCCGCGGCCTCCCGCAGGACCATGAGCTCGTCGAGCTCGAATATCTCGAGATCAAGGCACAATCCCTCTTCGAGAAGCGTACTATCTCGGAGTATTGGCCTCACCTCCGTGAGCTTACCGCATGGAATACCTTCAAGTTGCAGTTCGTCGCCATCGGCTCCCTCTTCCGCACCAAGGCCATGTTCAAGCGTGTTATTGTCGCAACCGTAACGATGTTCTTCCAGCAATGGACCGGTATCAACGCTGTGCTCTACTACGCCCCGACTATTTTCAAGGAACTCGGCATGAACGACAACTCCACATCGCTGCTAGCCACCGGCGTCGTCGGCATCGTCATGTTCCTCGCTACTATTCCTTCGGTGCTGTACATTGACAAGATCGGCCGCAAGCCGATCCTCATCATTGGTGCCATTGGAATGGCCATCTGCCATATGATCATCGCTGGTATCGTGGGCAGTTTCCGCTACTCCTGGCCTGAACACCGAGGTGCTGGATGGGCTGCCGTGGTCATGGTATGGATCTTCGTCATCAACTTCGGATACAGCTGGGGGCCTTGCGCGTGGATTATCGTGGCCGAGATCTGGCCGATATCCAACCGGCCATATGGAATTGCACTGGGAGCCAGTTCTAACTGGATGAATAACTTCATTGTCGGCCAGGTAAGCTTTGACGGTTCCTTTTTCCTTCGCTAACCCATTTATCCGTTTCTCCATTTGATCATCGCAATCCCTGCTGGTGGCTGGCTGCGGGCGCTCGTGTTGGCAGCTTGTGGCGTTATGCCACAGCCGTTACGCCAACCCAGCCAGCGGCGTTGCTTGAAGCCTTGAACACACATCACCTTTTACCTTTTTCCCTTTTACCTCCCCACAAACCTGCGCCGCAAAAACCCCACTTTCTGCACGTCGTCTAACAGCGCCCACAGGTCACGCCCGACATGATCGCCAGCATCTCCTACGGCACCTATCTCATCTTCGGCAGCTTGACATTCCTCGGCGCCGCCTTCATCTGGAAGTTCGTGCCCGAGACCAAGCGGCTCACCCTCGAAGAGATGGACGTTATCTTCGGCTCCGAAGGCACCGCACAAGCCGACTTCGAGCGCATGGAGGAGATCAACAAGGAGATCGGTCTTGATAGCCTGGCAAGGGGCGCGAATAGCAGCCCTGCAGCGGAGCCCCATACCATCGACGAGAAGAAGGATAATGAGATCTCGACGAAGGAGGAATAGAGAGAGTGCTCGCAATATATATCCTAACACGATTTTGGAAATTACCTTATGTCTGTGAGGAATTTATTGTTATGTGGGGCTTGGATATTATATATACCTACCTGACCTGCCTTACCTTGAAAGGTTTTCAAATGCGATATCGCTATATAATTTATTAAAGCAGAATACGAAATTTAAAAACTTTAAATATCGGATACCCTGGTGGTATAATAAGATGTGCGCGAATTTCCATTATGAATCGAAGTTATTTAATTAATGGCTCGGTTCTCTTTATTTGCTAACGCAATGCTTGAGACCAACGGGGGGAATGTTTGATAAAGGTCGGAGAGGAAATATAGATGGAGTAACAAATACTATGGAGGCGTTAAGATTTCTAGACTTTTAGTTGTCTCACCTTGAGATTCTGCGGGCGGGAGAGGGAAAATAGGTGAGGACTATATGATGCGGTCACGTGCATAACTCTTGGTGATTACCTCAAGGCGACAACTTGAATAACTTTGCAATGTTCCGCTCAAATTAAGTAAGCTTAGCTCATATCTCATTCCCTCATCATGTCCTTTCGCCGTTCCCAATTTCCCCAGCCATAAAATATAATATGCCTTGAATCAAGCCGCCCGCCCCATCCGTATACAGTCCATGAAGCATTACGCCAATTGCCATACCCGAAACCCCCTTTTCTCATGCTGAATTAATTCTCAAACTCCCATCTCTCAAACCTAGCAGGACTACATAGTCCTCTACCAAATTTAACCACCCACCCTAGCACAAATACATGAATAGCGACTAATAATGCCCTGCTCCTCCAATCGAGTTTACTACCGAGGGCTAGTTCCAAAGCAGCGAGCCCCATGAGAGGCCACCAAACACCTTCTTTTGGCATCACAGGCAAACATGGTTTCGTTATAGAGACGACTTTTGCGAGGAAGACGAAAAGTCGAAGAAGTAAGCGCCGGTTTAGAAATACCCAAGAGATAATGTAGTGGCGGTATACGGAGAGGCGGTGGCGGACGGTTGACATTGGTGTGGAAGGTGGGGCCATCAAGAGTGGTATTCTGACCTTTGCTTTCGTAGGACGGGAGGAAGGGTTGCGGCCACGGGAGTTTTCATGTTGGGATTCGTTGGCGAGTTGCGAGTTGGGAGATGGTGGAGGCGACGGCGATTCAACAGAGGCATCTTCGATGTAGGCCCCTGAGCGAACGCGCTTGACAGGTTCTGGGTTTATTAGCGATGTTTGGACGTAAACAAAGAGGAATAGCAAATACCATTAATAGGAGTGCCTGGTGGCATCGGAGAATCGATCGACTGGATAATCCGCCCACTAAGCCCTACATTACTCCCCTTTCGGCTCTGTGGCGGATTATCCAAGCCTTTTTCTTGTTGAAGTGCTTGCACGATTTCCTGTGCGCTAGGTCTATTTGCTGGATCGATCGCTAGCAGCCTCTTTAAAAAGTTATAGAGCTGATTTGGTAATTCTGGACGTTCCCTCCGCTCGTCCTGGAATCCAGACCAGGAGCTAATCTCGGCTCTGAGAAGATCTATATCTTCATTCTCTTCCTGTATACTATCTGCGCTTTTGTATGGGAGTCTTCCGAAGCACATGAAATATAATATCATGCCAAGACTGAAAATATCTGATTTCGTCGTGAAATTTCCGTAATGGCCAGATTTATCTTGCTTCAAGACTTCGGGGGCACAGTAGGATATTGTGCCCGTCGAGCCAGTAGATTTCCGAGCTACATTCTCAGGTTGCACTTCGCCGAAGTCACTGATCAAACAACGCAGATCAGTCCCATCTTGATGCAGCAGACAGTTACTCGGTTTGAGATCGCGGTGAATATAACTGGATGCATGGAGATGCGCAAGGCCAGATGTAATGTCCTTAAAGAACGAGTAAATCTCCTCGAAAGAAAGTTTCCGATGGGGATTTGCGACTTTCGGCCGTTCTGCTTGCCCCCGTGATATCCTTCGAATTTGTTCCTTCAGCTGCTCCTTCGGACTGGGCATACCTGGATTCTGACCGATAATGTAGTGCAACAGATCTCCAGAGTTGCAGTATTGCTGAAGGATGAAGGCACACGGAACGGACGGACCGAATCGATTAAGTTTGGCATCTTCCAGCCAGACGTGTCGATATGAGACAAGATTTGGATGCGATAGTCCCTGGAGAAGCTGCACCTCAATGAGGACTTCAAAAATTAGCCACGTACCAGCGGTTCTAGCTAAAGGGCGTACCTTTCTCCAGCCAAGCATGATCGTCTCCAACAGGCACTCTTTTACAAGCAAATTGCCCTTCATTGATTAGCACGATAGTCATATACATATGCTCCTAGAGCTATACCTAGAGACACGCGGTCGAGTTCATGCCTGACCAACAACACCACCCCCTTCCCGCCCCTCCCTAGCTCCTTTTCCTCGATAAAGAATCTCTTGAAATAATTCGGGCTAAAGGCGTCCTTTTTGATGTGGTGTGCAGCCTCCGGGTCCGGACTACTTGCCACAAACTCCGCGTCAGCATTCGACACCGAGCCATCCGGACCGGTCGTCAACGAAGTTGCCACAGGCTCCACGAGTCTCCGAATGGGACTTGAAGGTGGCTCGTGATTTTCTGCTCCGCCATTCACGTCATGCAGCATTCGAAAGTATTCCGGGCTGATGAAGGGCGATGAGTGGCGCGGGGACCGGTGGGGAGAAGTCTGGCGTTCGGGAGATGCGCTTCGAAATGGTCGATGGCAGGTAGGACAGTCGGAGAAGGAAGGGGAAGTGGTTGCACCACGGATGGCGAGTTCTTGGGTTTGCGGATCGCGGACAACGATGGCATCGTCATGGCGTCTGGTGAAGTCAGTATCTTTGGTCTATGATGGCATTGACGAAGAAGGGGCACGGGAGCTGCCGGGTAAAGCTATACTGAGCCATCCAGCTTGGGAGGACCAGCTTGTAGTCGTACGGGTTGGATACTCACAGTACAATCTCTCGACTATCCCTCGAAGAGTACGGAACGAGCGACATGTTTGCAGCAAACTGACGGTGCTCAATCGCACGGTGATAGCATTGTGGTAGACCAAGTGCTTCCACCGCCCCGGGTACTGACTCTGAGGATGTGTTGCTGATTGAATGGGTTGACAATGGCAATTGCAAACAGGCGGTGATGCAAGTTGCAACAAGTTCATCAATGGCCAAGTTCCCAATGATCCGGGACGGGCTAGAGAGCTTTCCCCACAGCGCCACAGATGGGTCCGGTTGGTCGTAGCCACATTACTGTGGCGCAGTAATATTATTCGACGACTTTTGGTGCAAAATTACACACTTCCGCCAGTATTCTAAGGCCCATCGGCCATTACCCAGATATGACTTCGCTCTCGAGCTCCTATCTTCCTTTAGAGGGGAATGCGACGCCACACCCACGGATTAGTACGGATACTACAATTAGCAACCGAAGTGATGAGCTGATAAATCGAAGGTCACGTGCCAGACGCGGCAGAAGAAGTTACCTTAGGTACTTTACTCGTCGCGTCCCAGGAGGTCACAACAGAGACTCTTGTACCACTTCGATTCTCGAGTTCACATCGTTGAATTCGACGAGTACGATCGAAGCAGTCGGCTTCGCAGCAGCAGCATAGTGCCCCTCTCATGCACATTTTACCACACTCATTTTACCTCTCAGAGTGACGAATGTGACCGATGTCACCGATCATTCGGTAGTCAAATTACCACAGCTCATTCTGCCACTATGTATCCCATTTACTCTCTTGGTGACACGATCAACAGCTTCTTCGAATCCCAGTCAACCGTGACGCGGCGACAATGCGATGATCTTGCTGCCTCTCTCGTTGGTGAACCTGTCAATACGGCGCCAATCCAGGGTGCATTTATCTATACTGTAATAGCAGGACTCGAACAATCTAAGATCGTTCAATTTCGAGCTCAACGCTCTGTCCTGGATATGGAAACCTTAAACCTAGCTCGAGCAATTTATGGACGATTTGTCGCGGCCTGTACTTATCACGGGAATATTGGCCAATCGTTACCACTTTCTGTATACGTGATCGAAAACCTTCCCGGAACTACCTACGTTCAAGCGCGGTGTATAAACGGTCACTCCGTTAAACCGTCATTAGAGGCCCAGTCACCACAGTTTAACATTGTAGTAGGTTTTGCGAGGTACATCGAGCTAGGTGCTACTTTCATGCTAGACTAATTTTCTATAAACATATTCTTCACAGCATCGTGGAAGCACAGGCAAACAACGCCCTTGGATGTCGTCAAAGCCATCTATCAAGATTGCCAGCAGAAATTAGACCTCCTTTCTCGAGCCCTACCCGTCCACTTTACGGAGAACCTGAGAAAAGTTTGCGGAGAACTTCCATTGTTCTTTACATCGACATGCCCTTTAGTCCTTAGTCATGACGAGATCTGCGAGATGAATATCTTTATAGATCCTAACAGCGGACATGTAACGGGGATAATCAACTGGGCTGAGGCTAGGATCCTTCCATTCGGCATTTCTCTATGGGGATTTGAGAAGATGCTTGGCTACATGGATTCTCATGGATGGCACTACTACGATAATCATCATAAACTGGAGAAGTTGTTCTAGCAAACAGTTGATGAGACTGTCGGAGGAGTTTCTGAGGCCCACATGCAGGCTATCCATGTTGCGAGGATGGCTGGCTTCTTCCTGCGGTACGGGTTCGTCCGGGAGGATGGAGTTAGAGAAATACCTGCAAAGGAACCAGATTCGGCTCTAGGATATCTCGACGCGTTCTGCGCAACCGGCGATAGAGCCGCCACATAGTCGGGCCAATCAGGGGAACTTTAGAAGTCTACTCGTAATGAATAGTATCTGTAACTTATTTAACTCCTCCTTTTATTTTGTTATATTCTTATATGAATCTATATCCGATATCGAGAACCACCTCCTCGTGTCTTCTCGCCACGCGGTCAACATCACACCAGCTAGCTATTTAACCCACCTTCAAGATCTCCACAGCCTTGAGAATACAGGCTATCGTTATTTCAACCTGTGCCCTCGCCGCCACCCGATCCTCTCCATTCCTGAGCGCTTCAGTTGGTCCTGGAAGGGTCTGAGCAGAGTAACCTGAAGTCCATTGACGTTAGCATTTGTGGGCTCGTCCTGCCACTCCATTCGGAGGCACATTCACATACCGTCATTAACATCTGGAGCATATCCAACGTTCTTATAAAAACTCCTCCCCGGCAAGCCCTCGGGATTAATAAATGCCCTCTGAAAATCGCGGAGCTTCTTATTAGCCAGGCTGACAGCTGTGTCATTACTCCTAAACCCCTCCTGATTTGTCCACGCAGTGAAATCAGTCGCGGCCTGCGTAAAGTTCTTTTGAGCGTTATGTAGCCCGCTGAAGTTGATGTCCCTTTGCAGCTTTTCGAGGTCGCTAAATGAGTTCACGAGGATTAGGAAATTGCGGAGCCACTGCTCAACACCTTTCTGCATCGCATCAAGGTCGAAGGGGATGAGAGCGTCGTCGGCGAGATGGTATGTGAGGAGGGTTAAGAACTGTCCGGCTGCAGTGTGGGAGACAAAGTCTTTGTCGCCGTATTTGGTCATCCAGTGGTACGAATCATAGTTGCTGTGGTAGTGGTAGACGGGGTCGCCTCTGCTACCTTGCATTGAGAAATCGAGCTTTATAGTATTATTAGCTTCACAGTCCTGAATTTACTACTCATAATCGCGTTCTAAAAGAAAGGGAAACCTTACTGCTCCAATTCCTAGCTGCAAAAAAGCCGTATAATCACTTCCGCTTCCAAGGTTCCCAAAGCCATGATCATCCAGCCGGAACCGGTATAGAGCGTACCAGGCATCGTAGAGCGTTTTGAAATCACCTTTGGGGTACTTCACTTTCGTCATAATATCTTGAGCCACGGTGCGAAGTTCGGGCGAAGATGCCGCCCCGGGCTTAGGACCGGCCACAGCGATGTCAACGTTGATATAGCTGATTGCTGTTTCCGAAAGCCAGGGGGCATATTCTTCGACCCATTCGGTAGAGCCTACGAGCCCGTATTCTTCTGCATCCCAGGAACATAACACGCTGTAGCATGGTTTAGCATCATACCTAGCGTTTAGGGACCAAAATTGCTTACATGTTCCTTCTAGGCTTCCAACCTGTTTTTAGAAGCTCGCCAAAGGCCTTGGATAGTTCAACTAAGACTGCGGTGCCAGAATTCGGATCCCCTGCTCCACCAATAATCCAGGCATCACGATGATTTCCAACGATTATTGTCTCATCTGCGTGTGTTCCATTGATTATTCCAATAGCATTCCACTAGTACTGTGTCAGCTTTTAATGTTCCAGATATTTCAAGGCCACTCAAAGGATGATAAAATTCGTCGCTATGTTAGGGAGGTAACGAAAGCGGCTATCCTTACAATGGGTGTGATGCTGCTTGACATGATATTGGATATTGATATAGTGGTATTTGGAGCCGGTCCCGTGCTATAGGTAGCATTTAGGGCACCGACCCATCCATCTCTGCTGACGTCCTTCCCGGAAACACCATAACCATCCAATGCTTGTAATAACAGGGTTGCATCGCGATAAGATATCGGAAGAGAAGGTATCTGAGGTAGGACTTCGTGCCCATCCGTGCGTTTGGCACCTGGTTTAGACGGGTATCCAGGAGTGGTTGGGTCTGGAAAACGTCAGCAAACTTTTGCAGGGCAATGAAAACTCCAATATCATAACTTACCACCAGTGTATTTGGTAAGGTCGAGAACCGACCCGCGCTGAAGAGACGATGGGTGTCTGGCTGGCCCATCTTCTTCAGTGAGCATGTGATCTTCAACTTCTTACTATATAGGTAGGCTCTTACCGGGATATGATGCACCGTCTTGAGTGCTATCAGTTATTGGGTCCGTAAACAGAATAGCACCAACCATGCCATTCGCCTGAGCATTCTTTACTTTGACACCTCGAAACGGACCGCCATACATGGCCAGTGCAATCTTGCCTTTAAGGTCGACTCCAAGTTGGAGCAAGCGTTTGAAATCATCCACATGGCCTTTTCTATCCATCAGAAGTTAGCCTCTGATAAACGTCTGGCTTTCTGCACTCACCCAACATATATATATTCAGCCGTAGCATTCCCTGTTGCCGAATATCCATGAAATGCAGGTATACTGTCCGGATACGTTGTTGTCTCATCTTCAGCCACAGGATCTTCAAACAGCTGGGCGTCGTACTTGCTGCCATCAGGGTAGTTCAACGAAACAGAGGCAGAAACAGGATAGTTCAAAAGAACTTCATATTCCGCGAGCGACGCAGGAATACCATAACCCGTAAACTTATCCGCGGTCCACTGAGCCATGGACTTGTTTCTCCCGGCTATATGATCGCCATGAGTATAGTAGGAAGACCATGTCTCAATTTCAATGGCGTCGAAGGCGTTGGATAGGATTGCTTCGTTTTCTGTTAGATTGGTAAGTGGCGTATCACGGATCTTGAGCATTGCCCCGCTCGAGACACCGCTGATTGGTTCTGGTATAAGATGTTGGCAAGCGGTGGCCAGAGGCACAACCAGCGACAGGCAAATCCCTGAATATCTTCTTGCCATCGTGAGAATCTGAGTCGCTTGTCCAAGAGGTAGAGTTTCGCAAACCGTCGAAGCAGCGCATTCAGATGGACAAGGGCAAGAAGGCAAAGCAGAGCACCCTTTTTCAATTCAGTGCCGATTCCAAACTCTTGGTTATAAGTTCCCTGAAGAGAGAATCTGGAATTGAATCGCAACGGCTCCTACGGAAAGTCCTCAATTTAAACGCGAGGTACAGAAGAATCTGACGGGGAAAGTCTCATGATCACAACGCTGTAAATGGCAATTAAAACGGCCCAGCACCGAAGCCCTGGATTTGAAATCCAGACAAACAATGACATATATATACTAAATAGGTATGCAGAGAGCGGGTAGCTACCTGGTACGGCGACATGGGCCCGCAAGTACCGTGCAAATAACCGGCTGATATACTCCGTGTAACCAATCTTCGAGCCACACTCGTAGCGATTGGTATCCGTCATCAGGGGGTAAATTGCATGATCGAGTCGGCAGCTTGTCGTGCAGCGTACGAAGTACGGAGCATGATATTAAGTTTTACAAATAAGGCATCTCGTTGTTGTAGTGGAGAGGGGTGTTATATTAGCCGCAACCAACTTCCTCGGTTGGGGGAAGATCTGCTTTGCTAATGTACTTCGTACGTGGATAGGAAAGCCCTACGTAAATTGAAGTAAGCGGGCATGTTCCCCAATCACAAGGGATATTCCAAATTGACTGGGAATGGAGACGAGCGGTCTTAGTCTCCATGACGTTATATAGCCAAATTGAGAAGGCGAGCCTAGGTCGTCTGTCTTTGAAAGACCCGACCAAGAGCTCCCTGGTCGTATTTTCAAGTGCTCACTCGCTTCGACTGTCGTGGACCTCATACAGCTTAACAATGCATTCGCTATCCAATCCAGCGCGTCAATCCCCACTCGACAAATGCGATGTCTTCTATTATGGTAATATAATACCTATCTCTTACAATTCCAGGATATCGTTATTCGAGAATGAGATTCCGTCGACGCCCCTGCCCCAAAACTCCAAGGGTATCCGTATCCATTGGCCATAATGAACCATTTCAAAGCTTAGTTTCGAGCTGTTCCTGTTGTGCTTCCATCTCTATACCCTTGGAACCTCTTTTGATAGCAGTATCACATTATTCAACAGCCCCTCCACCAAATTAGGGTACTCGTGGGGCTCACCAGCCGCTGCTCGCTGGCCCTGCTGCCGGATTGCTTCCGTTGCAATCTCAATTTCTAGTTCGTGCTCTTTCTCCGGGCGGATAACCCCCTGGTGAAGCTTGGTCAGACAAGGACGGAAAATAAAGGGTTGGCCAACTTACATTAACTGTAACAGTCTGAGTAGTGACTTGAGTTAGATCAATCTGATAAGGCCCTTGCTTATAGCTTAAGCGATCCTTATGACGATCCGGAATTTCGTCTCCAACCCCGCCCGCAATAATCTCATCAATATCGCCTTCAAATTTCATCTCAAAATTTACGCTGAGGCGACAATCGAGCGGGGACTCGGGAATATAGAGGTTGAGATCTGCGATTCGGGCTTTGATTATCGTGGCTAAGATCTGCTGCGTCTTTTGATCATGGGTGACTCGAACTTTGACTGTTTGACGCGGGTTGATCTGCTCTCGTACTGCAGCAGGCAGACTTGCGTGCAAGGCTGGTGGAAGAACATAAAATTTATCCGTCTCTCGTCGATGAAGATAATCGATTGGTACCCTTTTCTTCGAGCTCAAATTAGCCGGATGAGTTTCGGTGACTTTCGCATTCAGGAAATGGTTTAATTTCGAGTGTTGGGCCTGCGGATCGTTAGCTAAAACCAAAATAATAGGAACAGCGAAACATACCTCTGTCATGGAGCTTCTGAAACCAATGCGCGGACTATCAGCCACAACACATTCGCTCAAAACAGGTAACATATATCGTTGGTTGGTTTCCTTGTCGATCAATTGACCTAACTTGGCTTCAATTTCAATGTCGACGCCTCTACTGGAGAGCTCTCCCATATCGGGCCGTGAGACCACTGTTTGAAACAGAAAATCCGCGACAACCTTTACCATATGTTCGATCGGCTTCTCCCCAATGATGCTCCTTTCCCACGGCCCTAATAGAACAGAAGGATCCCGTTCATTATCCACCAAAGGTCCAGGGCGTGGGACGCCCGGTGGGAGTTGCGGGCTCCCGTTTGTCTCAAGTCTCGTAACCATAGGAGCTTGATTTAACGGTTGCTCTGGCAGCTTGCCATTAACTTTCACATTACGCCGACTCGTGACGCTATGAGCACCCTTGCTCCGGACACTCTGAGCCCAGATGGGCGGTTCTGCATAGCGGGTGCGCTTTTTGGGTGGCGCTTTAGGTGAATTAGCACCAGGTGCGGAAATAGAATGATTGCCGTTCATAGAAGGTTTGTCATCCATATGGGGTCCGGTGTGAGAGTCTTCAGCGGATACCTCACGATCTTCCATCTTTCTCTTTGTAGAACTGCCATGGCCGTTTTCAGGCTGTGGAGTGGTCATATCTGCCCTTGTTTGATTGGGAAGACGTGTCTTCGGGCTCACACTTAAGCTTTGCTCCCTCTCACTCTGTGATCCTCTTTGTTCACTTGCTGAGGTTCTTTGTGAATCGGAGGCGTTAGGAGTACTTGGGTGTCGTGGAATTGTGGCTTGTGCGGGAGGCGCAGGTGAAGTTTGCTGGAACTGAGAAAATGGTCCGGCAGAAAGACCTCGTTGTTGATATGGGCTAGTTGGTTGAGGGAACCCGCCTGAGGAGTGCCGTTGAGTTAGAGGAGGCCCAAGCGGAGTGCCAGGCTGTGATTGTTGACGTTGATGCTGTGGGATTTGGGCAGGTGGGAAATGGTTTGCAGAGACCGGACTATCCTGTGGATATTGGTTATGATATGGTTGCTGACTCTGCGCAGATGTAGGCGTAGGCGTCGATGCAGAGAGTGAAGATTGTGATCGTTGATGCTGGAGATATGGATGTGGTGCTCCTGGCATACCAATCGGAGGGGTCTGCGGAGTAGGAGAGACTTGGGGGTGCGAGTTGTGCTGCTGAAGGTGCTGTGGAGGGTTCGATTGGGGATAGCTGTCTCGGTGTTGTTGAAAAGACGGCGGATACTGCTGCTGCTGAGCCGGGCTCTGGGGAGTCTGAGTTTGCGGGAAGGGATACTGGCTCGTAGATGACGAGGGCGTGTGCTGGTACGGCGATTGAGCTGAGTAGGATCTCGCGGGAGAGCGTAAATCATTCTGAGGAGGAGCCTGTATGGGAGGAGGAGGAGGCGGTCGACCTTGGTAATTCCCTTGGTATGTGGAGGGAGAGGCATACGGGCCGCCCGTTTGTGCGGGATAGTCTTGCGAAGGGGGCTGCTTGCCGGACGACGGCTGGCGAGAATGATTGTAGTCTGGCTCGCGCTCTCGCTCTCGATCTCGAAAGGCTTGCTGCGGCGGCGCTTGGATTGGGGTCGCTGGTGCCGCTTGCTTGGTGATGGAGCTCGCGGCGGACTCGGTGTTGATGATTGATTTAAGGTCCATGTTTGCGGTCGGCCTGCCAGCGCCAGCTCCAGACACGCGCGCCTTGCCCCAGGCTACGACAGAAGCGATGGGGTCTCAGGAACGGGGCTCATCTGAGGGCAATTGCGATTATCGCGGCGACGACGCCAGGAGACTCGAGGCGCGACAGATAGTGGATCGTGAATCGTGGGTGTGCGCGTGCGTCGTCGATCGATATGGGTGCAAACGACTTTCCAACAACGGGTCTCGCGCCGTCTCTCTACAACAGTATACCACGCGACAGTAGAAGCAGTGACGGAGGGCGCAGACAGTCGCAAAGCTGCTCAGTATATGGCAATCGCTTCAGCAGTATATACACGAGGGCCCTATTTTGCGGTGGTGGTGGAAGGGGGGGCATTCAACGTGCGCGATGGTCTGGTTGTCAATGTCTTGAGTTATCCACGGGCAGTATATTTTGTGGTCGTCTCCTTAGCAGGGTTAACGACACATGCCACGGGCATGACTAGAGAACATAAGAACTACCTAGGGGACAACAGAGTTCAAAATGCATACATGATGGACAGTTAGTTGATCTACCTATGTACCAGCTCTAGTTTACAGTTTACAGTTTACAGTTTACAGGAGGACCAGCTAGAATGGTTTTGGGAGCGTAAAGTCCCAAGGGCTCACAAAAGGCTACAATGGGCCATGATTGGGCACAAACGTTATATTTCTGTGAACGGCCAAGAGGCAACCGTGAACCATAGCGCTCGGGGGGTTGCTGGTTAAACAGAGCCGCGTGGCTCTATCAGAGAAGATACTCCTACGAAGCAGAGACGCAGTTCCAAGTTCACTTCACGGTGTTTATCCAGATGTATTGACATTATTACCTATTATTATTCATGATTAATCAGCCAGAAGCCCTAGGGCCTAGGTACTGCCACACAACAGCTGCACGTGATCGTAATATTGTGTCCTAAGGCGCCAAGGCCACAATGCCCGGCGCCCGAGCTCCGGGCGTGGATGCGTTACGTGACAGCTCGTGCCTGGTCGCCCAGGAGCTTCTTCATGCTTCGTACAATCCACAACACAGAACAGAACACAAACATCCAACACTCAATACACTCTTTTCATCCTCTTTCCGCTCCAGCTCCTTTCTTAACCCATCTGCCATAGGCCACACTACCTACCTCTAGGAAGCCTCAAAGGGTTTTCATTTTCACCATGCCTGGCTTGACCTCAGCGTCTGGAGTGCTGGGTTTCCTGTCCGACGAGGAACCCGAGCTCAAGGTCTTCGCGCTGCAGACTCTGAACGACGATATTGACACACTATGGACTGAAGTTGCAGGCTCTGTTGGCCAGATGTAAGTTGCTCTCTGCTCCCCTTGCTTGCTCCCTCGTCGTGCCCCTGGTTCGCCGTCGTTGCGTTCATCTTCGCTGACGCGCCACTCCAGCGAGGCACTGTATGAAGATGAGACTTTCCCCGAGCGACAACTAGCATCTCTGGTGCTGGCGAAGGTCTACTACCATCTGCAGGAATACAATGAGAGTATGACCTTTGCTCTCGGTGCCGGTGACCTGTTCGAGCTCGACAACCATGGCGAATTCGAAGAAACCATTATTTCAAAGTGTGTCGACACCTACATCAGCTTATCCGCTGCTCGCCACCCAGGCCAACAGGAGAAGCCCCAAACTGCTTCCCTCCCAACTCTGGCGACCTCTTTTGCGAATGGAACGGCTGACGCCAATGCGACTGCGGCTCTCACCTCGCCCACAACCCCTTTCTCCCAGTCCACCCTCCCTTCCAAATCTCTCCTCTCTAGAGCCTCCATGAACGCCGTGTTAGAACCTCCCGCACATGAAGGAAAGGCAGGATCAGGCGCGGTTCCAGACCGGGCTACTCAGGCAGCTTTGGACAAGGTCACCGAGAGTCTGTTTGAGGGTTGTTTACGGGAAGGTAGATATAGGCAGGTGGTTGGAATCGCTATCGAGGCACGAAACTTGAAGGTGCTTCGTCGGGTGATCCAACGCGCGAGCGACGACGAAAAGAACTCAGGTGGGAAGTCTGCGGAGGGCGCGATAGGGCCGGCCGAAGAGTTGATGGAATACGTCCTAGATATCTGCATGGGCATTGTTCAAGAGCGAGGACTTCGGACAGAGATATTAAGGTTAATTCTGGATCTTCTCTCGGAGATTCCAACGCCTGATTATTTTGCCATTGCCAAATGCGTTGTTTACCTGAATCTCGACGAGGAGGCGACAATGATGCTAAGAAAGCTAGCGGTATGGAAACCCATCTCAGATCGTCCAAATCGTACTCACTAACAATATGCAGGTGACCAACGATCAGAAATCGACAGCGATCGCATACCAAATAGCTTTTGATTTGTACGACAATGGCACTCAGGAGTTTCTGGCCAAGGTTATTAAGTCGCTGCCTAAGAAGCCAGAAGCACCGTCTGAAGACAAAGCGGATCGTGAGTATATTGCAGCATGACTTGAAGGGATCCCTTAGGCTGACAAATATTTCTAGCTACTGAAACAGATCAATTGTTGGGAGGCGTAGACGAGGAGCTTGATGCCTTGAACTCCGAATTCTCGGATAAGCAGCTCGAAATCTTCGATCGGATACGCAAAATTCTTGATGGAAGTGAGACGATAAAGCTGAACCTCGAGTTCCTCTACCGAAACAACCACACTGATCTCAGCATACTCAACAAGGTCAAGGACAGTCTAGAGGGGCGGAACTCAATTTTCCATACGGCGGTCACGTTTTGCAATGCTTTCATGAACCAAGGCACCACCAATGATAAATTCTTCCGTGATAACCTTGAGTGGCTCGGGAAGGCTGTAAATTGGTCCAAGTTCTCAGCAACTGCGGCTCTTGGTGTCATACACCGTGGAAACCTGACGCAATGTCGCAAGCTTTTGGAGCCTTATTTACCAAGGAGGTCGGCACTTGGGGGCTCAATCTTTAGCCAAGGTGGCGCACTTTACGCTTACGGCTTGATCTACGCCAACCATGGAGCCGATGCGCTCGAATACCTGAAGGAGCAATTTAATGAGGCCCAGGAGGAGGTCATCCAGCATGGTGGTGCTCTAGGCCTTGGCATTGCTGGCATGGCGACCGGATCCGAGCAGATTTATGAGAGCCTCAAGAATGTGCTTTACACCGACTCTGCTCTCAATGGTGAAGCAGTTGGGCTCGCAATGGGTCTCATTATGCTGGGGACTGGTAATACGAAGGCTTTGGAGGACATGATAACCTACGCTCATGAGACACAACACGAAAAGATTGTTCGAGGTCTTGCTGTGGGTATGGCTTTGATCATGTACAGTCGACAGGAAGGGGCCGACGAGCTCATTGAGGGTCTACTGAACGATCCTGACCCAACTCTGCGATATGGGGGTATCATGACTGTTGCGTTGGCATACTGTGGCACTGGCAGCAACAAAGCTGTACGGAAGCTACTCCATGTTGCCGTTAGCGATGTTAATGATGACGTCCGCCGGATCGCTGTCATGAGCTTGGGATTCATCTTGTTCCGGAAGCCTGGTAGCGTGCCCCGCATGGTCGAGCTTTTGTCCGAGTCCTACAACCCACATGTGCGATACGGAGCAGCTATGGCTCTGGGTATATCTTGTGCAGGTACTGGTTTGGATGAGGCGATCGACTTGCTCGAGCCTATGGTCAAGGATCCCACGGACTTCGTACGACAGGGTGCCTTGATTTCACTTGCTATGATCATGGTGCAGCAGAACGAGACCATGAACCCCAAGGTTGCTGCTATCCGCAAGACCTTGAAGAAGATCGTAGGTGATCGCCACGAAGATGCGATGACCAAATTTGGATGTGCTTTGGCACTCGGCATCATCGACGCTGGAGGACGGAACTGCACCATCGGCTTGCAGACCCAGACTGGAAACCTCAACATGGCCGGTATTGTCGGGATGGCCGTTTTTATCCAATACTGGTACTGGTTCCCATTCACCCACTTCCTGTCATTGAGTTTCACCCCTACCTCCATGATCGGGCTCGATCATGACCTGGACATTCCAAGTTTCAAGTTCCACAGCGCTACACGCCCAAGTCTCTTCGAGTATCCTCCTGAACAGGAGGTAAAGACTGATGAGGCGCCAACTTTGATCGCCACAGCCGTGCTTTCAACCACCGCTCAAGCCAAGCGCCGAGCCCAAAAGAAGGAGCGCGCCCAACGCCGCGAAAGCATGGATATTGATCAAACACCGACAACCCCGAAGATAAATGCTCCGGTTGGGGACAAGATGGAAGTGGATGACGAATCCAAGGACAAGGAAGAAAAGCCGGAGGAGAAAAAGGAAGATGCCGACGGCGAGAAGGAAACGTCTCCAGCCGAAGCCGCAAAGAAGAAACTCGAGAAGGAAAAGGTTGGCTACGAGATCGAGAACATGTCTAGGGTCCTGCCGGCCCAGCTCAAGTTCATCAGCTTCCCTGCTGGTCGTTACAAGCCTGTCAAGAAACCCACAGGAGGCGTCATCCTGCTCGTCGACACCGAACCAGAGGAAGAAAAGGTCCTAATCGAAGAGAAGCTGAAGAAAGCTTCAACTGAGAAGGCCGCTGCGCCGACAACGCTGGAGGATATGCGCAATGAGTCATTCAATCTTCGTCGTCACGCTGATGCTCAAGGTGAAGCATCTGGAGCCGGCGCTGCTGCTGCCGCCGGTGTCCTGACTGCTGTCGACGAGGATGAGGAGGGTGCTGAGGAGGCCGAATGCCCACGGGAATTCGAATACTTCTCCGACAATGAGGAAGAGTCTTAATTAATCGAACATGTAATTTTAGATCCTCTTCGTGTGTTGCCGACCATACGGCTTTAAGCATAGACTAGCATCAGCGAAGACATGCATGCACTGTATAACAAGTAGTAGCAGAATTGAACATTTACATGCGATACTATCTCTCTATTATATTCTACTGTGAAAGTGAGACACATAGGAGTAGGCGGCCATGAAAGTTTTTGAACGGTTCAGGGCCTGCTTGGGAAACAGCCCCTTTAACGCCTCATGCGGCTTCATTGGTCTATTATTTGAGAATGTTATACTTCGTACTACCTACCTAAATAGATAGTTGGGAGGTGGTTGGCGCTAACCGTCAGTTGTTACTGGTTAGGTAGACAGACGCCGTCTCCAGAAATTAACAAATTGCTTTCTTCATCGGGAGAGGGAAATTGAGCGACCAAGGGCGCTGTATTTTCTGTTTGCATAACTCCCCATCTAATACAACCCTGACCATGGCACTAATCCTGCAGTCACGAGCCAACTGAGCTGAAGTGCTTTCAAAGGGTGGCATGTGTTATGTTCCTTTAACCTGGCCTGGATGTTGGCTTTCTTTGTTCTTGACATTTCCGCATCGATAATTCCAGGAATGTATCTATGTAGTTACTCACTACCTATAGCCAGCATTGATTCCCCATGCAACATTCCGTCTTCTTTCTCTTCCCTTCGACATTACTCTAACTAAACATAATAATTCTAACTGAATATTTGATATGCATCATGTCATGGCAGACTCGTCCCCCTCAGAATAACTCTCATACTAAAAAGCGCCGGGCAGACAAGCCACTCGACACACCCCGTCCTAAGAGAGCCTTCCTTGGCTTCAATCTTCCTAGCTTTCCAAGCATATTCTCCTCGCAACCCTCCCCCAGCGACGTCGTGGCTGAGGCCGAAATACAGGAGGAATCCGAGGCGAGTGACCCACCGGCTCCTCCTCCACTTACCCGCGAAGAGAGACAACGGAAAATAGCAGCATACGTCGATGCACAATTCGATGCCGAGGCAGAGAGAGTAGCTGATGCGACGCTGAAAGACCCTAACCGCAAGTTGAATTGGCAACCTGATATCAAGCCAACGGACGAAGAGTGGAAAACAAAGCGGGTTTACTTCCATGAAGCATTAACTAAAGCATCCATTAAGGACGTGCTTCAAAAGGATTTTGAAGAAGCTCAAGAGCTACTGCTCCAGCCATCGCGTCGAGCTGGCTCAACCCAGAAGATCCAAACCGAGCACACCGAGATATATAAAGAAGCCCTAGGCCCACAAGGAGCTTTTCACGGAACCAAGAATAACCTGGCAACTAAGTTGACGATGCTGCATTTCGGATTGCCAGTTGAACCTATGGGAGCACAGAATATGCTCAATGCCGGCTTAGATCTCGACGCCGATGACCCTGAAGAGGAGCCCGAGGGGAGACCTAGGGTTCAGAGGATCTTCTATGCAGCCAAACCGCTGCAGTTCCTGGATGATTATCATGAGAGAAGTCATGGTTTCCCAATGCTCCGTAGTAAGTATCTGCACTCCCACCTTTATATGAAACCGCCTGACAGGACTAGGGCCAAAGGCCAAGGAGAATCCAATGACGCAGCAACTACCAAGCTTCCCATTGGGAACTGCTAGCGGGAGTGGTGACATTCCCAAAACTCGTCCCATATACCCCGGAGCCACGACTGTGGGCATGCGAGGCGGAGCAGGCCCAGTCCAAAACATTTACCTCTACGGCCCCAATAAGGGAAGAGTGACATGTGCCAGCACTATCGACAGTCACGAACCCCACGAGTTTGTATGTCGTGCATTGGGGTTGCTAAACCTAGATCCAAGCAGCGAATGGGAGTTTGAAGTTGACCAGTACGACGATCAAGACTCGTTGAAGACCGAAAAGTACAAGCCCTTGGTGCAGAGTTTTATGATTAACAAGTTTACCAACCAGGATCAATGGACCAAACACCTAAGAAGACTTGTCTGCGAACCCAATGGGGACTGGGCTATGGTAGTAGATCATCCACGCCCACTCGGGGTGGTGGCCCCTAAGACATTTGAGCCTCCAGAGCATGACTTTATACCGCCACCTTCTCCAACCACACAGGGCCAGGTACCAGATTTATCAAGAAGACTGTCCTCTGTTGGGAGGAAAACATCACTACCCGCCGCTAGAGGATGGCCACCGCTATCGAGATCTATTGGAAACCCTCCTTCGGGTGCTGGATCCACGAAGGCTACTTGGAGCCCTCATGTAAGTTCATTAGGGTTCGGCCAAGCAGCCCAACCACGAATTAACGAGGAAAAGCTTCTGGCTGCGAGAGCGGCGTCCGCCAAAATCCCGAAGTTCGACCCTTGGATGGCAGAACAGAGTCGACTTGATCGTCTCAAGCGGGAATCGTGGTACAAAGATCACTCAGTCGTTGAGCCAGGTCAAAAGCCAGAGCCACCCCTCTTTAGCGCAAGCAGAGAGCTTGCCTTTACTGTAGGTGATGCTATGCCTACGATATATTCCCAACGATTGACGCCAACGGATCTCGGTCAGCTCCTGGAGGAAAACCAATCGCTGCGAAACAAGGTGCTTGATCGAATGGATAACTGCCCCATGTGCGATGTTACCTTCCCCAACTATGAAACTAATCAAATTACGGCACACTTCAAGATGCACGCAGATCAGATTGCATCAGCTGGAGTGTGCCCAGAATGCGAGAGTGAGCAATGGACTTTCATGAACACGGAGCAGAGAAGAGACCATTTAGCTTCCCACCGTGATCAAAACGAGTCCGACATGATCAGCAACTTCTGGAATAAATTCGACTGCCCTGTTTGCGACATGCCACTTGGTCGCCACCCAAACACACAACATCCACAAGACATCCTAGATCATGTAGCCGGACACACCCCCGGAGCTATCCAGTTTTGCGACAGATGCGGGATTGATATCAAACAATTCACACCGATAGAGCACCTCCATCACAAGAACATATGCATCGACGGTCCAAAGAAGGACTTGGGAGACCCGGATCCCCTATTTTGTGATGCTTGCGGTAAAGATAGGACGGATGAACAAGAAGAAGGGCTCATGGAGCACCGAAGGTATTGTCATCGAGGACCGGGAAAATTTTGCAACCTATGCGGACTCAACCTGAGTTCGGCGTCTGGCTTCCTAGCTGTACACCATAAAAATCGATGCAGGCCACCGAGGGGGTTTCGCAAGAAGTTCTGCCGGAGATGTGGAGCTAATCTTCCGGCACTCGATGAAAATGGGAGGCTTGCCCATAGAGAGGCGTGTCACTTCATTGAGCCGAGACCTGGTGCACAAGATGGGAGAACCACAGGTATGTGTAGATGAATATTTCCGCCTTTTGTCAGGAAACTATGAGGTGCTGCTTTTGTGCTTGAGTGCCCTAGTAGACACTTATGCTAATATCAACCCCCACAGGATTGCGGGGAGAGATTCCAATTCCTGCAGCCGCGACAGACATAGACGCGGATGTTAAAAGACAGTCCAAACATGTTATGGACCGAGCAACAGAATTGGACCAAAGAGAGACACGCATAAAAGCTAGAGAAGCGGCTATAAATAAATCTCAACAGCAAGCTTTCGGATCCGGCCGAGAGTTTTCAGTAGCCCAACTGGAAAGTCAAAACACTCTACAGGACCCTCTGGATACTCCCGTGCACCCACTGCAACACGAGGAGACTTTTCCATGGGCCTCGGACAGCCAACAGGAATCCGCCGATGAAGGGGCTAGCGACTTCGACGTTTTTGGGAAATTCACGGGTGGTATGAATGAAAGTATCACCTCCAAGGCACCGGCCGAAGCGGGCATTTCGGATAATAACGCTAGGAGCACCGGGAACGAGCAGTCCTTAGAAAGGAAGCGGAAGCGCACCAGCAAAGGCAAGACTTTTGACCCCCTCTACCGCTATGAAGAGGATTCCGATGAAGACGACGAGGCGGATCTCGAGCATGTGGAACCGGAATATGTAGAGGACTTGCTGTCACAGGAGAAGAAGAAGAAGAAGAAGCGTGTGGTTGGGGTTCAGAAGGACCCGCCATATAGATATTCTCCGGAGGACGAGGTCGACGAGGAGATTGAGAGGGGGGCGATGCAGATTAGTCAGGAGGTTGCCGACGAAGAGAAGGCTCAGAAGCAGACTAAGAAAAAATCTCCTGCCATTAAGCCTACTCCTACAGCTGGTGGGAGGGCGCTAAGGGGTAGAACTTCTTCTTCAACGCCAGCCCCAAGCCCGCCGACAAAGACTGTGGCTGGAAAGGGCCGCAAGATGAACCCTGACAAGCCGTGAAGATGAGGATAAGGGGCCACTAGGCCTGGAGCTATGAATAGCGGTACTTTCTCTTGGTGAGGAAATTGGGAGTTTTCTGGGGTTTCTGCAAGGCGTTTTGTTTTCAAGGTATTTGTCAACATTGGAAGTTTAAGGGGCAGGGTTAGTTTTCAAAAATGTGCCAGGGCTATAATCTGATATCTTGCTTGCGTGTGCTGGTATCCTTCGTAAGTAATACTAGGCCTTCGGCATCTATCTACTGACATTGAATTGTCTTTTGTGATATTATAGTTGAGCATATCCGAATTTGGAGAATAAAACATGGAAATGAAACTGGGGATTGTTCGGCGCACAGTATTTGTAGATAACAAAGTAGAGTTTGAATGATTTCACCCCACGCCTATCCCTACTAGGCGGCTGAGCTTGGGTGTTTGTGGTTTCAGGCGTGTTAAACCACTGCCCACGGTGTGTGTTGCGTCACTTGTCGCAACATAAACATTGATGGGCGGTGAAGTTGAAGATCGCGACGCTGGTGTTGACTCTGGGAGCTTTGGCGATTTCTCGCCAATCATGTCCTTTAAATAAATTTCTTTTCAAGGAAGCAAAATAACGATCCAAACCAATCAGCTAATGCCCGAACAACCACCATGTTCGAAAATCTGTGTACACTTCCTCTCTCTTCGGAGCTGTTCACCCAAGCTCTCCATCCCAATGAGCCAATCCTCGCTGTCGGGTTGTTTGGCGGGCATGTTGAATCATTTCGACTCCCAGCTGTGGCGGGCACCCAGAGCGACGATGATGATGGTGACGGCGACACCAGTGTCCTGTCGACCGGCACAAGTACGATAGAAACTGAATGGCGCACAAGGAGACATAAGGGTAGCTGCAGAGCCCTGGCGTACAGTGCCGATGGCGAAGGTTCGCAGTCAAACTCAATTGCTCCCAAAAGTGAAGCTCTCTGCCCACGTGCTAACTCTATCTAGCTCTCTACTCAGCTGGCACAGATGGAATTTTGAAAGCGGCATCATCCTCCACTGGCAAGGTCCTATCCAAAATCCTCCTTCCCCTCACTCCATCCTCTGATTCCATCGATCCGCCGACTCTCATCCACGCTCTATCCCCACAAACACTACTCCTCGCGACCGATTCTGGAGCGTTGCATCTCTATGATTTGCGCACATCCTCAACCTTTGCAACCGGTAAACCGAGCCAAACACACTATCCACACGAAGACTATATCTCGTCTCTCACTCCTCTCCCTCCATCGGCGGCTAGCACAAGCGGCCTCAGTAAGCAATGGGTTACTACTGGAGCCACTACATTGGCAGTCACAGATCTTAGACGAGGAGTTTTAGTGAAGAGTGAGGACCAGGAAGAAGAGTTGCTCAGTAGTGTATACGTTGGAGGCCTACCTCACAGACCGGGACGAAGCTCGGGGGAGAAGGTACTTGTGGGGAGCTCGACTGGTGTTTTGACACTATGGGAGAAGGGTGTTTGGGATGATCAGGATGAGCGGATTTATGTCGATCGAGGAATAGGGGGCGGGGAAAGTTTGGACTCACTTGTTGTGATGCCCGAGGGCGTCGGAGATGGTGGGAAGAATGTCGTCGTTGGATGTGGTGACGGCACCATCAGGATTGTTCAACTGGGCCAAAATAGAGTTATGGGCGAGCCATTGAGACATGACGAGGTCGAGGCAGTGGTTGGCTTGGGATTCGATGTTGGAGGGAGACTGATTAGTGGAGGTGGTTCCATTGTCAAGGTGTGGGAGGAGAAGCTATCATTGGACGACGAAGAGGACTCCGAAGAGGATGTGGGTTTGAAAAAGCGCACGTTGGATGGAGATGATTCCAATGATAGCGATAAAGATGCTGCTGACAGTAGTGATGACGAGGAAGGAGCTCGAAAGCGACGGAAGAAGCGGAAGAAGGGGAAGGGAAAAGTATCTGATAGCGGGATTCTTAAGTTCAAAGGATTGGAGTAGGAATCCAGAATTAGTCAAGTTCAATCAACAGTCACGGCCCGAAATAAGATACCCTATTCCCGGTTCTGAACAACGGATATATTGAAGCTGCCTTGTTCCTGGTTCCCACCGGCCCTTGTGCTTTTCATTTACATGAACCCATCTTGCCGTCAGGCAGCGTGATATTATGACAACACCAACGGTTGGCTATCAACTGATATCCATTTAGCATAGGACGGTCGTATAAATGAGCCGGCGAACCAAAGAAAGGCCAAAGAACGAGTTAAACATCTAGGTTGTAGGTTGGCTATATTTGATCCCGGGACTCAGGTGATTTGCGTTAGGACGAATGGTCCAGATACAACACCCAGGAAAGACAGCAGAGGAACGGAAGTTCAAGGGCTGAACTCGCGATTCGTTGGATATTGGGATGGCATAACCGTAAGAGCCACCAGGAAGCATTGTTAGAAAAGCCTTACCAACAACCACAGTGCCTTGCGTACATCTGCAGTATGCAACTCGCCTGCTCCGTTAAGAAAGGGCAGTTAATATATAGAAGCGCTCGTAATAGACTTCAAGTTGGTCAAATATAGGAACCAATAGGAGACATGTGACTTGTAATTTGTTGAATGAGGTAATTGAATTGACCGAAGCGCTATTCTCTTAAGGAGATAGACCTAGTATTTTAACCAACTACATCCGCAAAACCCATGTTAAGGACACCATATAAGCGAGTAATATCCTGACTCAATGGAGCAGGAGATTTTCATAGCAAACTGCAAGATCAAACCGACTTCTAGGAAGTCAACCATCCATGTGCGATACTGTCGAGGTTATGGGACTTAGAATAGTGGGGACTTTGTTATTAAGCTGCCTGTATATAAGACCTGAGCCTGAACAGAAGCTCAATCCTTATATGTGACGGTCTTTGTCCTAACCCATTCCTCCAGCCCACTTGCTCCAAATCTCCCATACCCACTAGCTTTCATTCCTGGCAGCCTTTGAATCAGCCACTTTTTCAACCTTTCTCGCATATATAAGAAAAAGTAACTCTTGAAAAACTCACCACCATGCGGCAATGCCGTCTCATCGTGAACAGTCATCCCATTGATGTGCACGGCTCCACTCTCTACCTCCCTCGCAAACCTCAGTCCCCTTGCTAAATCCCTCGTAAATACTGCAGCACTCAGCCCATACTCTGTGTCATTAGCCAACTCTAGCGCCTCATCATCACTTTTCACCACCATCAAGCTAACCGTTGGCCCAAAACTCTCTGTATAGAAGATATCCATATCCTTCGTTGTTCCCTTTATGATAACTGGCTTCATCTTCGCCCCTTCACCATTTACCGGATCACCGTAAATTATTGTCGCGCCCTTCAAAATGGCATCCTTAAGGAGCCTCTTGCTTTTGTCTGCCCCACCATTGTTAATAAGACACCCCACTTCTTGGTCTTGATGAGCGGATTCCGCAACTGCTTTCTTAAACTCAAACTCAAATTCTGTGACGACTTTCTCGTGGACAATCACTCGTTCAGTCGACATGCAGATCTGACCACAGTTTAGAAACGCGCCTAAAGCACACTCCTTTGCTGCAAGTACCAGATCCGCATCATCTAACACAATAGCCGGTGCCTTACCCCCAAGTTCTAGTAACACGGGCTTGAGATTCTCTCCTGCTAGCTTTGCGATGATCTTCCCCACTATCGTCGAGCCTGTAAAGTTTACCTTCTTGATACTGGGGTGCTCAATCAGATATTTAGTAACAGGGGCTGCATCAGTTGGTTTATGAGCAATCATATTTAACACGCCCTGAGGAAGCCCGGCTTCATAGAAACAGGAAACCATGGCATGCGAGCACATGGGGGATAATTCAGAGGCTTTTAATATTGCCGTATTGCCCGCCGCCAGCGGAAAGGCGATAGAACGTACACCCAGGATGTACGGTGCATTCCAAGGTGCAATTGCTAGGATGACCCCATAAGGTTCCTTGTACACAAACGCGTTGGTGCCTTCTTGTGCAGTGGTCGGAATGCTTCCAGTAATGCTCGAGATTCTTCCTGCTACGTCGCGGAGGATATCCGAAGCCAAATTAAGATTGAATGCTGCCCATCCCTCTGTGGCGCCGGTTTCCTCAACCATGTATTCTTGGAGTGCTTCGCGGCGGGAATCCATTATATCAGCGGCTTTGAGGAAGATGTCACGTTTCTTTGGGGGAGGAAGGGCGCGCCATGCCGGGAAGGACTTTTGTGCTGCCGCTATAGCAGTCTCGGTATCGGTGATGGAGGCGGAGCTAAAGTGGTGGATGAGGTTGCCGGTCGATGGGGAGTGAACGGGGAAGGATGACAGAGTGGTGTAGGACTCGTTCGAGATGAGGAGAGGGTATGTTGGTGCTGTTGTTTCTTTTGTCTCTTTCCCAAAGCCATCGGTGATGTTCAACACTTTGCTAGCGATATCGTCGCTTGGAGTGGTTTTTGACATCTTGAGAGGAAGTCCTCTTGCTCTTTAAAACTGAAATTGGATGGAGAGAGAGTAGAAGAAGGAGAAAAGGAAATCATGAAATTAAAGCGGAGTATTTTCGTAATGGACAGAGCAAAAGGCAGCGGGATACGTATATACCTACCGTACGACCAGTGGCAGCACTAATGCGAATAATTGATATTTACCTTCTCTAGAGTTCAGAAATTTATTGTAGCCTTCGGCTGGAGTGGCTTAGAAGCCGCGACGAGCGAGAGGCAAGTGGTCCCGATCACGTACCCCTTTACTTCCGGCCCCATACAGAGTGGCTCTACGTACCCGAGTATGATACTCGTATCCGCAGCACCTAAAAATATCTCCCGAAAATAGGGGGGGGGGCATCGACTTCTGTGTCTCTCCACACTCCACCCTCCACACGCCCTTGATAGAATACTGACTATGGAGTTTTATTAGAGGCTGGCGGCCCTGAATTCGGGAGAAGTGATACTAATAAAAGTGTCCGATCACGCACTGAGAAATGCAAGCAAATTTCTGGGCTCAGACGTTGTACAATTGTTGCAGCACTCAGAGCCACTTCAAATCGAAGGCATCACCGACCATTAGGTGATGCGCGACGTTGGAGTTGTCGTATTTTAGACCAATTAATGATGCTGTCCTGAGTGCAGAATCCATGTGAACCTGTAATTTCTTTCTTTTCCAAGTACCAAGGACATCCCGGCTCATGAACTCTACCTGGACATCCTAACCTCCCCCTCAAGTTCTCAACTATCTAGCATTCAATACAGTTCCTACTTCTCGCCACCAATGTCGTATCTGAAAAGTCCCCCATTCAAGTATGCCCCCGTATATCGCCACAAGTACGACACGCTCTAAAGACACAATCAGGCCTCGACCATTTTTATGTTGAATCAGGCCGGGGTAATCTTACTGCATTCAACTGTACTCCTCTCAACATGGTGAATATGAAAGCCATTTCTATCATATTTGTACCGTCAGGCCGCTGGATTCTGTCCAAGTTGCGATTAATAGGACGGTAGTCTGGAACTCGCCGGTGATCGGTCGGCCACCAGTCCGGGTTATTCTGGTGCAACGCGTCTGCATACGGAGGGTGGGACACGGTGGATTGCTCAGACAACGATTGACCTTCAGAATGGTGAAGGTTGTAGTCAGCTAAGACCTCTAACCGGTTCGTCGTGGCGGTGTTGGTGCTTGTGGTAATGGACATGTTGGGATTGCGATCAATCGGCGCATGGTAGGAGAATACGAAATATCAGATATGAGTATAATATGTCCCCCGGAAAGTAAAGGAAGGTTGTGGCAATGTCTAGATCTGGACATGGCTGGACAATCAATCCGGCCCGGGTAGATGTGGAGGAGGAGGAGCCGATATGCCTCCCGAACGCGAGTCCCGATGAAAGCAATCACATAATGCAGCTCTATCACCAACAGAAAATGAAGTCACAACAAGAAACCTTCCAGACTCGCAGCTTTTGCATTCTCTCATCCCAATCCCCCCAAAAACATGACCGGCCAGGTTCAGCGGGTTCTTTCCGCAGTGATCGACGGGAGGGCCCAGACCCCACGATATATTCAGAAACAGCTTGCGCAGTTATACGATGCGTTGCAGAAAGCGAAACCAGCTATACACAATGCGATCCGTCACGACACCGAATACTCCTCGGCTGAAGCCGACTCGGAAATATTTTTGGCTATGAAGGTAGTCAAACAGCAATATGAAGCCTTTAACTGGGAGGAATTCCTCGACCAAGAATACAGCCTCGCCCACAGCAAGGATAATCTGAGCAGACGAGTCCCTATTGGATGCGTGTACATTATTCCATCTCAGCATAATCGGTTCTATTCTATAATCCTGCCGGCATGCGCTGCTATTGCTGCTGGAAATTGTGTCATGGTCGAGGTAAGTCCTCTGGCTCTTACCAATGGACATAGATTGTACGCTGATATCTCTTAGATCAGCCAGACTCTTTTGCAATTAGGCGCTCTGCTCCGCAAGATCTTTGCAGCATCAATGGATAGGGACACATTTGCTGTGGTTGAGAGTAAGCCTGCTGATGCTGACCTCTTCAAGCATTGCATTGTCGTAGATGGTAGAGCCGAATCAACTTCACCCGCATCCTTCCAAGTCCTTAGCTCTCCGGCTTCAAGGACAATTGCCATCGTAGACCGCACATCTATAGTCAAAAAGGCAGCACAAGACATTGTTCGTGCCAGGTTCGCTTTTTGTGGTCGGTCACCATATGCCCCTGATCTTGTTCTGGTGAACGAATTTGTCTTCGAGGAGTTCTGCAATGCTGCTGCCCGGCATGCTACGGAACGATTTGGCTCGAAAGTGAGCGGTAACACCAGGAACGGGAAGATGGAAACTACCAGTGATCTTAAGAATCAGCTTCAGAAATCTGGAGCAAGAACTTTGATCTCAGGCTCAAGCGGAAGCATTATGATTGTAGAGGATAGGCAAGTCGGAGATTTTAATGTCTAAGTGTGTGTCGCTAACCTAATGTCAGAAAATCGAGCCTGTTGGGCAAAAACATTACCGAACCAATTCTTTTAGTACATTCTATACGAAGCCTTGATGATGCTATCGATCTGGTCAATTCAAGAAGCACCACCCCCCTTCGTGCTGCATACTTATTCGCTGTGCCACCTGCAGCAAAATACTTGAGCCAGTTCATCTACGCACGCATCTCGTTCACAGATCACATTCCGGCAGATCTTTTAAGTTAGTATGATGTTGATCTTTGTGACCTCAACTAACTAATACGCAGTCGGCCCACCCGCCCCAGTTACCTCACCAACCTCTGTGCATCCCCGCTATACGAAAGAGATGTTTTCCACTCTCAGTCCGCAATACATCACGCAATCCTCGCAACACTCTATCCTATCTCAGCTTCTCGATCAAGATAATAGGGCGGCCCAAGCCAAGATAAATGCCGAGATATCGGCCCCTCTACCACCGATGAATGAGCCACTTGGCAAAGCTATCGGTTTCTTCGAGCAAGGATTATTGACAGGTGGGGTAGTCGCTATAGTATCTGCAGTCACTGGATTAGCCTTTATGACCAAATATGCTGGTCCTTCCGTCATTCAGGGGGTTAGATACATGATTGCCAGTTGAGATTAAATTCACCGCATTAATTGCCAAGAATCAGTCACCCATGCATCGACTTTAATACATTCGGCAGTACGAGTATTAGCAGAGCCCCTATATGTACATAATATTCCCCCCCAGCTAGAGAGCTTAACTCTCTCTCTGTTCCAAATACTACAAATAGCTCTACATCCATGCCCTATTTGTTGCTTGCGCTCTGTATGATCTCCAACCACTTCCGGTCAATCCTGTCTCGTTGATATTAATTGATCAATTATTTTTTACACTAACTTAAAAAACTATGTAAAATTTCCTATCCTTCGGAAAACTATGGCGCCTGATATAGTCGAAATTCTAAATTCAATATGTCTATTCTAGTGCCTTAAATTAACTAGTTGACTTGTTTTCGTCATCTTGATACCAATATGTAGCACCCATCTTGAACAGTCTACCGTTGTAGTAGAATGGAATTGCCGTTTTGGAAACAGAATATGATTCTCCCACGGCAGAATTAGATTTTAATTCTTAAGAACAATGTCTGGCAGTTCTGGCTGACCACTATGAGTACCCTGCAGCTCTCATGCTGCCCCCTTAATGCTGCCCCATTCATGCTACCTCCCTCATGCTACCGCCCCAAGTTCCAAACGTATACTGTGAATTGCACATGTTCGTCTACTCCAAAGTTAGCCAATGTTCACTCAAGCTGTGGCGTATTGTGCTTACCAACTCCCAATCCTCTGCCATCAACTCTCCGTAGTAGCCCTCATCTTCCACATCACCAGCGGCACCCGACACGAACATCGCACTCATAAAATGATCATCAGTGGCATGTGCATCCCGATATTGAGGATGCTTCATCAATCGAGTCATTCCTCTGCGTAACTTTGGCCCGCTGTTATTCGAAATAACATCTTGTACGGCTTGTCTGAATTCCATGGCCCACGCCTCCGGCGGATTCTCTTGGGCGAAGTTGTCTCGGTGCTGTAACATGGGACCCCAGACGTTTCTGTATAAGTTATGTACAGCGCCGCCGGAGCCAATGACCAGGTAGTTTTCCTTACGCAGAGCTCGGAGTGTGGAACCAACCTTCATGTGGTAGTGGGGGTCGAATCGAGCGTTCATTGATACGAGGGTCGTCGGGGGACAGCCGCCTGGGAACATTCTGATGAGTATGAGATACGTATCGTGGATCCAGTCAAAATTGGGGTTGGCTTCGGCGTTGAAGCCTTCTGCTTTGAGCATTTCCACGCAACGATTTGCAGTGGGGATGTCAGGGTTGAGTTTATAGTTGGCGTACTTTGAGGGATGGACATATGCCACGGGGCTTTTGTTGGGTTTCGGATTTGTTGCGACTTGAATTTTGTCCCCTAAACAGTCCCAATGGGCGCCCTGAAGGTTTTTATGTTAGAATAAACAAGTCTTGTTACTTGGTAACGCATGGACGCTTACCATCATTATAACACCTTTGATGCCGTGTGCTATAGCCTCGTCTCCGCATTTCTTCCAGTATGTCGCCGACTCACATTCTTCTCCTAGCATCATTGTCGAGCCATGTGAAAAGAAATGAACTGGTGTCAACGTCTCTATTACAAGGTCAACCCTCTGGAAAGCACGGAACCTACAGGTTACTTACTTTGTGCGGCCATGATTGCGAGAGCTAGGGATTTGGCGTATACTACAACCTCGTCTTGGATGGAAATAAATTCAAAATAATCAAGTTTAACCTAGGCCGAAAGTTTAATGCCTTCCTCGGCCATTAACAGGTCTCGGGCCTTGGAGGCGTCGAATTCACGATGGCCAATCCAACCTGTCGGCCCCAAAATTCGCTTGAAACAAGACCCGATGGTTTTCTTTCCCCCACATCGACCCGAGAATGACCGTTTCAAAGGATGCTCGGTATCGCCTCATGGTCAAACCTACCTCAATCTTCTGACTTTATCACACTCTATATAGCAAAATAGAGTCTTTATAATTAGAAGAAAATTAATAAATTGTTCGCAACAACGTTTTGCGAGATTTCTGTAGAAGCCATCATCCAACATCAATTGCTGTATTGAAGCAAGTTATTGATTGACTATTCACAAAGCACGGCATATGTTACATGCCATTATGTATTATGAACGACAGAGATTAAAACTTTATAAGACTCTCTAGACTAAGAGAGTGCTTGCCCACATCCACGATCGTCCAATATCTTCAGTCCTTCTCGACCACATTGGTGGTGAATCGCTGGCAGGTATAAGGCTTCCATAGCACCCTTTGTTCGTCATATTCAAGTTCCCAGTGGAGTAATAGAATGACCTATTATTGATGAATACCAAAGTGTATATCACCTAACTCCAATACCCCTCGCGGCATCACCCAACTCTCTCATCAACTGACTTAAATTCTCCACAAGCGGCGGCGGCGGTGCATCTTCATCTTCGTCACCAGACGTACCTCTCAAGACCTTAACCATGGCACTCATGACCATTCCAGGCTCACATAACTTCGCCACTTCCTTTGGCGTAGAATCATCGGCTCCTGGAGTCCCCGTTGTCGAGAAACAAGGCACTCCACGACCTAGCGCAATAAATGATTTTGTAGCCGAGCTCTCTTCCACATCCAGCCAGACCAGCTCTTCACCATTGTTACCACCACCCTCTTCTACCCCAATTCGATCTTCAGCCGTAGGTAGTTCTGGTTGCTGCGAATCATGATTGTGTCCTGGCCTTATACCCAACACTCCAACTGCCCAGAACGTGAGCGAAGCGTGGTAGACAGCGACGGCGAAGAAACCCCGCACTCCTCCTTGCATGCCAGTGATCTCACTTCTTCTGTGACTCAGCAGCTTCGCATACCGCACAACCTGCCCTGCGTGGAAAACGGCCGTCCGAGCTTCACGGCTAGCAGCCCATCGCTGGAGGGAAGGGTAGACACGTCGGGCTTCTTCTTCGCCTTCTCTGCCCGCAAAAAGTTGCAAGTTATCGAAGGACACATGCAGATGGGTGAGAAGGAGCTCGGTCAGCATTTTGGATTGCAGAGCTGTGCCTGATAAAACGTCTCTACCTAGTCCAAGTTCTGACGACGAGATAGAGAAAAGTTGTAATAGTTGGCAAAGTTCTTGATGTCGGTGTTCAAGCACTAAGAGGCTAGAGGAGAGGTGTGATGGTGGGTATGCTTTTGTGACTGAGCTCAGTTGGCGGTACTCGAGGATCAGGCCCCAGATTCCGTAGGCTATTATGGATAGAGACAGGGCGGTGTCGATACGTGCGTGGATAGAGGGACTAGTTAAGGGGGAAATTTCATGGAGGCATTGTTGCAAGGACGGGATGCGCTCGTTTGTGTTGATGGAGGAGGTTTGAGAAAGGTAGGTTGATTTCCATTCGTTAGCTGTGCGGGCAAGGAAGAGGCTGCGGGGTTCAGGTAGAGGAAGGGAGAGCTCGGCGTAAGATATTAAGGTAGGAACAATCAAGGAAATCGAGGTTTGTGCATCGCGGGTGAAGAGGAAGAAGACGAGCCTAAGAGAAGAGAAATTAATGAATTTGGAATCAAGCTTCCTGAAGGTTGGGCTAAATACCTCTTCAAAGATTCTTGATGGGCCCAACTCCTCCACTTATTCTCCAAAACTTCACCATCATCGCTCTCCAAGGGAACAATAGCCCTGTAAGACGACCGCAAAAATCGACTGGCTCGTCGACACATTGTTATAACCATGCCTGCATGGCTTTCTGCTAGTTCAATCTTCCGCTTATTACCGCTCCAAAGCCCAACATCTAGATTTAGTGCTATGGCTTGTAGGAGGCCCAGATCACGCGTCGCAGAGTTATTCTCCTCACAAACTTTTGGAAGGGAATGCCTCACGGCTTCATGGATTGCAAACCCCAGTTTGCGAATAGTGACAGAAGTTGAAAGGACAGCACCACTTGAAATAATCCCCGCTAATAACTCTGGTCTCTGCCTTCCAATCCTTAAAGTTGGGGAGTGAATCCAGGTATCAGGCTGTGCCATATGGGATGCGAGGAAGGAATGAAGGAGATTATTCTGTAGCTCCACGGAGGGAAAACCTGACATGACCTTTTCAAAGGATTGCCTCGGTGTTGTACTGAGCACCATAGCTACAATCTTATCCCGAGCCGTGGAATCAAAATTATCAGTATTAACATGCATATCCTTTGAGAAGTACGTGGTGGGACTGCTCATCTCGGAAGGGTGAAGGGTAATATTGTGTTGCTCAATTGATCCAGTGTCTGCGCGGACCGGCGTCCAGCACCAGAGGGATGAGCGAAAAGCTTTCGTACCTAGTGCAAGGCGTTCCGTATTGTTTTGAATAGGCGTGTCGGATTGTGGCGTGAGTGGTTCATGCCTGGAAGATGGATTGTCGGTAACTTCTTTCATATTGTAGGATTCGTCGAGGTCCTTGCTTTGATAAAAGTCCATGAGGCTGTAATCCTGATCATTAAGCTCGAGGTTGGATTCTAGCCCAAAAGATAAGAGATCTCTGCAGGCCATTGATTGAGTGTCGACGGCATAAGTCAGTAGTGGTTGGCTGTTGAATTGCTCGGAAGGCGTCGGCATCATGACATCTCGTAGGAAATCGGCGAACATATTCTCGTCACACTCTATCAGTTCAGCCGATGGATTGTCCATTATTGGCGAAAACATGGGTGTATTAGTGCCTGGAATATTAGCGAAACCGCACTTCTCTGCTGATGAGGGGATTTACCATCTCCAACTTGACTCTGAGGCGGATTTGGGACATGATGACCATTCTTCAGAGCGGATTCGCCACGACCTCGATTACTGGTCGGGGCCAATGTATCCTCAGACAAAGAGCTATCGACCTCCCGGTGGCTAGCATTCTGTGTGCAGCTTGGTGGTTGGGATTGCCAGGATCCGGCAGTTCTCGCGTCTATCTCATTGTACTCGCAAGTGATGCCCTTGGCTTCACATCTTTGGCATGGTTTCTCTTCTTTACATTTCAGCTTTGCAGCTGCGCACGCCTTACAAGCTTGTGAGACGCGACGTGGGCAAGGTGAGTGACTTTTGCGGTGTCGACGGTTACTAGGATGGGCTAGTGCATGCCTCTTCAATAGATCACTAGAAATGGATTAGTAGAGTATATTTCACAGGCATAGAGGGATATGAAATCTTATAATCATGACGTACGATCTGCTAAAAGTCTTGAAACAAACCTCACATCGATACGGCTTCTCAGAGGTATCTAAACACATTATGGTTAGCAACTTGGTACCCCAAGGGTCTCAAGAGAGGCTTACGTGAGCGGAAGTGACGCGAAAGGTGATCTATGCGTGCATAGGTCCGTTGGCAGACATTGCATTTGAACGGGCCGGGCTGAATCTGATTTGGGCCTCCCCGATTTGGATTTGGATTTGGATTTGGATTTGGATCGGGATCGGGATCGGCTGAGATCGCAGAGTGGATCTCGGTCTCCATGGTGAGAGGTGACAAGGGCTATACTACTACGATACTGCTGTTATGTCTGGTAGGTGGTGGAATGACTTTGCGGCCGGCAAACTGTGGAGGAAGTGAGGATCCTGATATAAGGGACAGGTGGAGGAGCGAGCCTTCTGCGGCCGGTGCTCGGGAATGTGGGGTTTGCGGGGTTGCGGGGTTGTATGGAGCAGAGTCAGGCCCTTGCAGTAGCGCATCTGCTACAAAGCAGCCACCCAGGCCGAAAGGGGAATAGCGGAACTAAGATACCACCAGGACGGATTCGTATTGCTGAGTCAGGCTTGCCGTAAGCACCCTAATCAAGCCGTGTAGCAATGCACTTGGCTTTTACCCAAGCCCTTTATCTACCTATTTACGTTACCACTTTATTGACTTATTCGTTGCTGATAATCTTAACACAATCCTGTTTAACCATAGGTCACTAAGCTGGCTATTTGAGTCTAGCATAGGATTTGACGCTGGCTATTCCTTCCTATTTTCACCACAGAGGAGACCTTCGTTAGTTGGGACTGCCCATACGATCTACGCAACCCCTATCTAAAGTCTCCCGGCCGAGTCCCTTTTGTCCCCGTTCTTTGCAACATCAATCCACTCATATTGATCATTCAGAAAATGATGCGCCCGTAAATCTCCCGACCTCGCATGTCCTTCAAAATTCTCCACCCTTGCAGCGCGCCCACATAGTCGGCCCAACTCGCCGCTCGCCTTGTCCGATGTTACCTCTTGGTAAGTAACAGTCTTGAGGTATTTCCCAACCCATAGGCCACCCGTATACCGTGCAGCCCCTCTTGTAGGAAGAACATGGTTAGTCCCAATCACCTATCCATATTAGCTTTCCAATTTGGTTTTGTTTTATAAGGGGGGTTGAGGCTTACCTTATCACCATAACTAACACACGTCCTCTCTCCCAAGAACAACGCTCCATAATTCGTCATCTTTTCCAATGCAGCCCTCGGCTCCTTGGTTAAAATCTGTACATGCTCAGAAGCGTACTTATCGGCCAACCTATACGCCTCATCAAGGCTCTCCACAACCGCCACCTCCCCAAAATTTACCCAACTCGTCCCCGCCAGTTGAGCCGTCGGCATGTCCCTTAAAATGACATCAATCAACCTTATCACTTCGTTGCCCAGATCCTCGCTAGTAGTAATCAGGACAGCAGGCGTATCAGGCCCATGTTCTGCCTGGCTCAGCAAATCCGTCGCCACTGTAAACGCGTCTGCGAACTCGTCGGCAACAATAAGTACCTCTGTCGGGCCAGCAAAAAGATCGATACCCACGGCACCAAAGAATTGGCGTTTGGCTTCTGCCACGAAGGCGTTTCCGGGTCCGGCAATAAAGTCAACCTTTGGGATGGTTTCGGTGCCGATTGCCATGCCTGCAATAGCTTGTACGCCTCCCAGGATATATATTGAGTCTGCGCCTGCCAGTGCCATGGCTGCAACTGTCGCAGTGGGAATAGTGCCGTTGATGGGAGGAGTAAATCCCATTACGTGAGGGACGCCGGCCACTTTAGCAGTGAGAATCGTCATATGGGCAGAGGCTAACAGCGGGTAACGACCACCCGGGATATAGCTGCGAAGTTGTCAGCAAGGGTCTCCTATCCGCTATACGATGCTAAGGTATTGGTGACTATGAGCAAAAAATTGTGTAAGGATGAAATTTAGTAACTCACCATCCTACAGAACCAATCGGCACATTTTTCTGCCCCAAGAAAACCCCAGGATGTATCTCAAGCTCAAAGTCTTTCAAGCTCTCCTTTTGCGCCTGAGCAAATGTCCTCACGTTTCTCTGTACCTCTTTAATATCCTTGACCACTTGTTCTGGTAGACTACTGATGATATCCTCGATTTCTTTGGGAGAGAGTTTGAAGGAAGGTGGAGACCACTTGTCAAATTTCTCGGAATATGAGCGGACGGCAGAGTCTCCATTTTTGAGAATGTCGTCGATTACTGAGCTGACAATGGAGGGAACATCGGATGGCGCGTTGCTACTCGATGCAGCTGTGCTTGGAGAGCCTGACTTTAAATAGTGGGGCATAATGGACAACTGGATGCGTTGGGCTAGATTTATAAATAGTGCTGTCAAGTGACTGGAAGAATTTCGAGACTAGAGTAATCTTATAAAAGAGGGATTCATTTGTGAACTCTGGGTTGATCAAATATATCAATATCGATTTCGGTAATACTTTACCGTCTTTAGATGGCGATCATGATGTGGGTACATCGTTAGCGTGGGCACTACAATAACCTGTTTCTAAAGGGAAAGGCCCGGTTCCATTCGGCCCAAGTGGAATTCCCCCCACATCCCGAGCATCAGACAGTTGCGTGGATATACCGACCGAAATGCCGGAACACACTTGGAAAGTCTCCGCACCGGTATCCCGCAGTACCTTTAAAACGTACCTGGACTTCGGTATCGCTGCAAGGAGGACATTATTACCTGCCCTATTCTCAACGTTTTCTTGGCATAGAACAATCGTTATCTTCTCTGTCGGGTTTCTTCTCGGGTCGTCCCGTCCCGTGCTTCTCCCAGTTTCCGGACCGTTACCCACGTTACTCTCACATGCTCGCTATCAATCATAACTTCAGTCACCACACCTCCACCGGCTTCCATCACTCCCCTTCTAGAACATACGACGCTCTTAGGGAAAACCGCCGTCATCAGTGGATCGTGTTCTGGCATAGGGGCAGCAATCGCACTAGAGCTTTCCTCACGCGGCTGCAACGTGGTCATCAATTACCCATATCAATCCCTCGAGCTGGACGCACTCGCTTTATCCAATAGGCTCACACCCCGAGCAATCGCCGTCTGTGCTGATATCTCGACACTCGACGGTCCTCAAACTCTCATTGATGCAGCAGTGAAGGAATTCGGGAAGATTGATATCTTGGTCAACAATGCCGCAATAGCAATTAACCTCCCATTCGAAGAGCAAACCATGGAGCACTGGACCTCACTTGTCGACCTGAATGGCCGAGGAACATTCCTCCTTACCCAAGCCGTACTCCCTCACCTCTCGAAAACAGACTCAAGAATAATCAACATTGATAGTATCTCTTCCCGGGCAGCACCTGCTATGCAAACGATCTATGCCGGGACGAAAGGAATGGTGGATTCCTTTACTCGATGCTGGGCGAAAGAACTACCCCCGAAGTACGGATGCACAGTCAACGCTGTTAGTCCGGGACCCACGATGACAGAGGGGTTTGCAGCGGCCGGAGAGGCATTCATAAAGATGATGCAGCCTGTGCTGGATCAAACGCCCGTAGGAGCACGCATGGCGAAGCCGGATGAGATTGCCTTTGCTGTGGGATTTTTGTGTGAACCTAGGGCTAGTTGGATCAATGGGCTCAATTTGACGGCGAGCGGGGGTTTATTTATTGATTGACTATAATATAGTGTCTTTACGCTTCCTTATATCTACTGTTTAACTGTATGTACAGCGTATATGTTAAAATTGAATGTACCTACTCATTGCATAAAGTGTTAAATAAGCGGTCGCGAGCTATATCTCAAAGGCAAACGCCATATACCTTAGGATTAATCTTGAGAGAACATACAAGCCTAGCAGTGTTTCGTTTGCGGCAAAACTTGATTTGTTAACGTACTTTATTAGTCAAAACCAAAATATCTATCGCATAACCCCTAGAAATCCCCCCTATCCTACATCTCATTCAGTAGGTATAATGGGAAGGGTAACATAATTCTCCATTCCCCTCCCAAAATGCACATGATTGCGTCCAGCAAACTTCCCTCTCGGCCTATCCAACTCGCTGACATGCTGAAACACGCCACACCCCTGCGTGTCCCCGCTTGCCACCTCGAGCACAATCTTTCCACCCTTCTCAACTACAACATTCGTTGGCCAGAGCTCAACATCCACCTCGTACACCTCCCCAGCTTTCAATTGTTCCACATCCGTAGATAGATACTCCCGATGCGGCAGGTAACTTCTATGTCTTGGGTGGTCTTTGTGAACTTTCCTCATCGAGCACCGTAACCAGCCTTTGGTTAATGGAACGCCGTCGCCTGCTGTGCCAGTATACAGCACCTCTTTGCCAGTAGTATCAATATGGCGAAGCGTGAGGAAGAGATCAATATCCTTCCCTAATCCCACATCTTCACTGCTATCAAGTGACATGCTGACATTTAAATGCGCCGTAACATGGCCAGTTATTTCGGTCTCACTCTCAAAGGGTTCACCAACAAATTTCACACCTTGGAAATTATCAATGGATCCCAGAGCATCAAAAGTCAGCTTCTCTTCCTTTATATCTTCCTGGGCAGTGGCCACAAGTCTCTTTTCGGACGTGAAGAAATATTTCGTGTATTGGGTGCGAGGAAGTGGCCAGGCGGTTTCGGTGCGTTTTGTGTAGGCGGATTCGGCTACAGCATCATTGAAGCCCACGTTTCCCTTACGGAGGGTTATGGTTACGGGTGGGACTTTGCCTGGCGTTGACCAACCATAGGTATCTTGGCCTTTCAGAAAAGCGTCGAGAAAAGACTTTTGGATCTCGACTTCGTTACGGTAGCTACACCAACGTTATTATGATGACCCCAAGAGTCTGAGGATGGGAGATGATATACTCACTAGAAGGGAAGATCATGTCGACCAGTAATAAAACGCAAATATTTGAATTTCGAGCCCGCCCACGTGTACCCTTCAACATTTCCTCTCAAATGCAAAAGGATACCCCCCCAGTTAGCCACAGATAACAGTGGAACCTCAATATCCTCCAAATTGAACTCCTTGCTGGCATAGTAGTCGTCATCTCTGAACTTATTTGCTTCGTTGTCCACAGTCTGGTCCCTGCGGCTCTTTTTGACCACATCCTCAGATAAATCACCCTCGATAGTATTTTCCTGGCCCCGCGCACCAGGGCCATCTGGAGGGAATATGAGTTCTGAACGCCCAGGCTTGCCATATTGGTTGACGAGCACTTGACGGTTCCACCAGAAGCTGATGAATTTGTTAGAGAGTATTCCCCCATGTCGACAGCGATCGCGATAGTAATCGGACATTCCTTCCCAAGGTATAATCGCGGCCAGGCCTTTCGGTCTCCGCGCAGCAACCCTCCATTGACTACCTAACACAGAGCTCAGCAATCAAAAGCTAACAACATTAAAAGGGGCACAGGCATACCAGCATAATAGCTAATTCCCAACAAGCCCACCTTCCCAGTACTCCAGTCCTGTACCGCAGCCCACTCCACCACATCAAAAAAACAATCACTTGTTCCCCGGCTCATCGTATCCAGCATGCCCGGACTCTGCCCAAGGCCTCGCTCGTCCACACGCACAACAACATAACCTCTCGCAGTCCAGTAAACGGGATCCGGAGTCTCCCATGCACTGTACTTACTCCTGTGCTCAGGATTCACTTCATTGAACGAGTCTTTGAAAAAGGTTGCGTACGGGATGTCCTTTCCATACGGCCCGTATGTAACTAGCACCGGGGACTTCTCACCACCTTTGGTGCTCAGAGGTCGATAAACGTTGCAGCGGACTGGTAAATCCGAATTCTTTAATGGGATTGAAACGTTCTTTTCAAATATGAGACTGTTTTCCTCGTCGCGATGCACTTCTCTAATGTCTCTTATAACGTTGGTTTCCGTCATTTTCGTTATGAGTAGCGGTTGCGTCGGTATTTTCCTTGTAGAAAGTACGAGGTAGTTTGGAATCCAACGAAACATATAGCTACGTCTAATTTCGTGGTTCTGGTGCTACGTTCGCTGTTCCTGACTACAGGAAAAGTTCCCGAAGCCGCTCGGGTGGTGTGGGGGAGGATTTCGTTCAATGTGGAGGGAGACTCAACTGCTAAGGCCGAGCCGAACGAGATCTACTCGAGTAATCCAATAATGCACACAAGTGTCTGCCGTCCGAGATGCAATGCTCAAGTTGAAGAGAGAGCAACATCGCACTCAAGCTTCGGCATATTTTGTGCTTTAAATTGCATCCTCGCATCTTCCATTCCCTTCCTCTGACTCTTTGACTCCCTCCAAATATTCATCGTATTATTCTTTTCGCCCGCTATTTCCTGAGACCCAATTCCAGGTTTATAATTTCAAACTCTCTCATATCCTCATTCTTAACCATGGGTCCGCCACCATGTACCTCCACAGACGCTTCCCCCGCTTCCGCCCGGGGTTTCTCCCACCCAAAGCGCTTCATCACCGATCATGACAGTGAAGGGAATGCAGTCTTTAGTACTACGATTCCAGAACAAATCCCTTTTCAACAAATACCTGGAGATGCCATCTTTTCGCTGTGCTATGCCACAAATGGGTCCCCGGTAACGTTGAACAACAGTGCCGACATCAATGTATATTCCGGTATGTAACACCAAACGAATGCATTTTTCTTCAATGCAGTAAAATAATCCGCGGATGTATGTTTCTGATTGGATGAACTTCAGACTACCTTGAAAATCTCCCCGGCGTAATGATTCCCGGTGGCACTGTCCTTCGCATGGTCGACATGCCACCAGGTGCTACATCGCCCATGCACCGCACCGTCTCACTCGATTATGGTGTAGTGCTAGAGGGCCAAATCGAACTAGTGCTTGATAACGGAGAGTCACGGCTTATGAAGCGCGGAGATGTAAGTGTTCAGCGTGGCACTATGCATGCGTGGAGGAATGCAAGTGGGGAGGGTAAGTGGGCTAGGATGTTGTATGTTTTACAAGAGAGCAGGCCGCTAGAAATTTCCGGCCAGGAACTAGGAGAGGATTATGGGGGATTGCAGGTCCCTGAAAGCAGGAAGTGATGAGGGTGTTTTAGAGAGAAAATATAAATATTTGTGGCATTATTGCCTATTTGGGAATCATGGTTGATATATGAGATGAACGTATCTCAAAGTTCCTGGTTGGAACTCTAAGCCTTTCTATAGTGGGATATGTCCGACCCTCTTCTGGATTATTTGCTTGATGTTATTGTCAAGTAGAACTTAGAAGTCATGCAAAACAGCAAAGTTGACTTAACAGTGTTAACAACATTAAAGTCATAGCCCATCAGTGAAAAGCTAAATCTTTTGTTGCATCTGAAATTGTTGGATCCGGATGATCCAGAGGTAGAAGAGCCATTGAGGGTTTGATTCAGGAAAAGGAATAGGGGAGGGAGTTTACCCCCTAACTATATACAGGCGTAGACCAACAAACATCTACTCAACCCTCCTTGCACTACTAACATCAGGGACCCCAGTACCTTCCACCACCTTTGCGCCCACAACCTCATAGATAGGAATATCCGCAAGGACACTGACAATATGATGCAGTGTTGGTAGGGCATCCAAATCCAACTTGTCAAAACTTACGCTAGCCTTTGTTGGTTTCGCAACACTTTTCACTGTCGATGGCACTACTTTCGATTCATCTTCGTGAGGTACTACAACTGGGTATTCACAGTCTGATTTCCCTCTCATATCTCTGCCCACTGCAGGAATGTATCTGTATACCAGGATTCCGTAATCGGCCTCCCCACCTATCGTCCCCTTTTCCGTGGCTGGATCAACAGGTGAGAGACCTTCAAGGTTGAAGTCGCAAAATTTGGCCCCTTGCCATGAGGCTTGCATACGATATGATTTGGAGCGACGGTGAATATCAATTGCACAATATACCTTAGGCATTCCGAGCTCGTCTCTGCCAGATACGATGGGGTCTGCCAAGCTTTCAAATAGCAGAGGCATGTATGTCCCGTCAATCGTCGTTCCATCCTTCTTCGTGTATTGGACTCCGTGGATGTATAATCCAAAATGGTTATACCCGCCGCCACCTAGCCATGTCATGTTGCCTAGTGTAGTGGTCGAGAAACTAGCATAAGCCACCGACCCAGGAGACTTGAACGTGAAGGATTCAGTTGGGAAGAGGTTCTTGAGGAATGTAGCAGAGGTTTTGAATTTCACGGACGCCGTGAGGAAAGTTTGCTCTAGGCTGGGTCTAGCGTTGCCCCAGATGTCTTGTCTTGGTCCAGGGGAGGGGCCAAATGCTATCGGCATGCGAAAGTAGAGTTCGGGGCATTTGGCTCGTCGCCATTTCAGGAAGATATTTGTTGAGTTGTCAAACTCGTCATGTCCAAAGTTATATGCAGTGTATTTCATCACTATGTGTTGTCAGCAAGACGAGGTAGGGATCATGGAATGGGCGACAAACTATCAATAGCCGGCTTCCCATTCATGCAATCTTTACCCGCCTGTCGGGAGTATTCTTGGATGTTGTTGGCTCGTTCATAGCGAATTTTTTCATAGAGCTTCAACCGCTCAGGTATCTCTTCGGGTTTTGTACCAAAAGGGAGAACCACCGACAAAGTGGCCGCGTCTTCCAACGCAACTCCTCCACCTTGCCCTTGATCTGCTTTAGTCAGTATGTGCATGGCAAACTATCTCCACGAATGCTTACGTGGCAAGAAGGGATGTGCAGCATCTCCCAATACTGCTAGCTTCCCCTTCGACCATGTTGATAACACCTCCATATCCAAGAGCTTCCAGGCCTTCAAACTATCTGGGTCTGCCTTTTGGAATAGAGATAGCAACTTTGGATCAAAGTCCTGATATACTTTTAGAAGACTTTCCATTGAGGCTTGCTTATTCCATTCTTTTTCACATTAGCATTTTCGTTAGCAAGAGCTAGGGATGAATTCAATCCATACCGGTAGTGCCACCTTGAGATTCTCCTTCCGGATGAATGCACACGAAATTCAGTTGTTCGTTGTTTTCGCAAGGATAAACCACAACGCGTCTGTCAGCTCCGTACCAAATGATTAGTTCATTATCATTTTCGAGCAATTTTGCGACCTCGGGATCTGTTGTTGCATCTTTCCGAGGAATGAGGAATCGAAACGCAGCCTTTCCAGACCCAAAGAGTTTGCTGGGATACCCAGTAATGGATTCTCTCGTCTTGGACTATATTTGTAGTCAGTGACAGCTCATTGGAATTTCAGGATACCTACGTAAATACCATCGGCCCCAAGTACCAAATCGGCTTGGATTTTTTCTCCTTTCTCCAATTCGATTGTCGCATTTTCTGTATCAACCGCCACCACCTTGCTTGACAAATACAGCTTTGCTGGCCTTCCCTCTCCCTCCACCCCAGTCGCGGTCTGCTTCAACTTGTCATGAAGTCTAACGCGATGCACCAACATCCACGGATGCTGCCACATCTTATTCTCTTCTGTCAGGTCTACTCTTCTTTTCTCAACACCCCTTTCGTCGTATTCAGCCAAACGAGACATTGTTACCGCACCAAAGTCTTCGGCCATGATACCGTAACGTCGGAGGATACCGTTAGAATTTGGAGCGAGATGAATGGCAGCACCAAGTTCAGATGCGAATTGAGATTGCTCGTATAGCTGTAAACTGTAAGTATGGGGTGTTTGGATACATATGAATGATAACACTATACAGAAACATTGTGCCCAGCCTTCCTCAATCCAATAGCAGCCGCTAGGCCACCAATTCCAGCGCCGACAATCGCAATATCGAGAGGTTTTGGGCCATTTGTCCCGTTGACCCCACTGTAATGTTTATTTACGAGCGTTCCCAGGGTGGTGTCCGCGGCGTTGTAGAATTTTGTCGCCATCGTTCTCGTGATTACTCGTATAATTTATCGGCAAAAGACAGAGTGGTTCAGGTACGGTATCTCTGGCTGGGACGAGATCAGAAGCACGGGGACGAGGTGCCAAGTCAGTGATATATTTCTAATGCTGCTATGGATACTCGACCATTACAGTGACCTGCCCACCCCGCCGGCTCTCCACATGGAATCTCATACAGTGCCAGGCGCTGTAGTGCAGCAAAATACTGGGCCTCGGGATTGTGGGGGAGAGTGTGGGCTTCGAGATGGGAAGGACAGCGATGCGGGTTAGAACTTAGAATGCCTGAGCGGGGCAGCATCGGCAATGGACAACGTACGGTACACGCCTACCTAGACAGACAAGACCTCCGTTCCGCGGCTGGGTACGTGGACCCGAACACGGACCTGAAAGTAAATGATTTATATCCCAACACAAAAGAAAATGTCGAGGCCGTATATGAGGGAAGGATTGGGGAAAATAACAGTGATTATTTCGGGAGAAAATACTCGTCATGTCGACCCCTTTAGTCGTACTCATAACTGCCGGCTCGGCTGGTCTCGGTGCAGCCACCGCACGAGTCTTTGCTAAAGCCGGCATGCGTGTAATAATCAACTACTCCTCAAATGAATTGCGCGCAAGTATCCTTGTGAAGGAATTGCACCAGATCTCTCCCTTATCGAAGACTAAAGGATGCAATAATTTTGTCTCAATTCGTGCGGACTTGTCCAAAAGGTCTGACATCCAACGACTGGTCTCGGGATCCATATTGGAAATGGGAAAACTGGATGCTGTATTCAGTAATGGGGGGTGGACCTCGATCCAGGATTTCAATGATCTAGATGATAATGTTGATGAGGAGATGTGGGATAAATGCTGGAATATGAATGTGAAGAGTCATTTGTGGTTGATGCATGCTTCCAAGAAATACCTTGATGAGACCGAAGGGGCATTTATTACGACTGCAAGTTTAGCTGGGGTGAGACCGAGTGGTAGTTCACTGGTATGCGGTATCCCAATATATCTTTACTTCCCTCATATTGCTATTGAGAAAGTATCCCGGCTAACAATTTATGTATAGGCATATTCTGTTACAAAGGCTGCGCAAATACACTTAGCTAAATCAATGGCCATGATTTGTAGTCCGAGGATACGGGTGAACTCTGTTTCTCCGGGTATTCTTCTTACCGTCCGCTTCACTTCCCTCTCACAATTCCTGGCTCGAAGCTAATAATATATAGGATTGGGGCCTTAAGTTTCCTCAAGAACGGCTGGATTCATCTGTGGCAAGATCTCAACTGAAAAGATTTGCTACGGTTGAGGTACGTTTACTACCCCTTGCCCACCAAACGAAGCTATACATGCTGTGAGAATTTTCAACCACCGCTTCTCTTACCAATGAAGATAAATTTGTGACTGTTTACTGACTCGGTGAATATAGGACGTTGCGGAACAAGTCCTCTATTTTGTGAGAAGCCGAAGTGTGACAGGTGTAAACATGTTGATAGATGCCGGGTGGTCTTTGTAGAATTTAGCTTTTATCTAATTCAAACACTTATTCTTGCCATATAATATCAAATCTTAGGCAATGTAGTGGTAGGATAATTAGACGGTCTCGAAAACTAATTAGAAATTTAACTTTTGATCCAGTTCTGGTTATCCAATCCTTCCGTCCCAGACGCATCCCCCTCATCTAAATACCCAGAAACCGTTCCTTTTGGATCCCATTTCCTCCTCAGGCTCATTAGCTTCGCCGCCGCCGCATCCGACCAAAACTTGGTTCTTCTAACCTGAAAATCTGAATCCCCAAGATAAGCGCCCTCAGACATCGGCGCGACTTCCCTCATAATGTTTTTGACCCATCCCTGACACCGCACGTCATCCTCCGCATCCTCCCAAACCGTATACAATGCAAAGTAATGATCGCTCTGCATACTGCACGCCATATCAGGCATTGGCCGCCTACTTGTAGGTACCATAGAAAACCAAAGCGCAAAACTCTTGCGATGTGGAAGGCTTGTGAATGCTTTCTCCAACACACCGGTTACATCCGCATCATTCTTTATATACGCGTTGTCAGCGCAATAGCGATGGTTTTCCGGGTTTGCGTGTGCTTGATCCACGTATTGATCGGCAATGCTGGTGGGTTGTGATACGAGTTCAACTAAGGCACCAACGGGGCGGGATTCGTCTAGGGGTCGCAGGGCCTCGCGAGCAGCCGACTCAGATTCTTGAAATGTGACAATATGGGCCATTATGCATATTTCGTTCATTCCTTTGGGTGTGAGACCAACGGCCACGATTTCGTTGCCTGGGTCGGAGGTGGGTGAGATCTGGAAGAGTTTGTTAGAGCTGAGAAATAATGCCGATCAGGTTAGACTGAGGGGAAATGAATATCTTTATGTGTGATAAATTAGAGAGAGGTAAAGGGCAAAAATGTAGCAGGGGCGATTTCAGGCACCTTTGTTATCCAGTCCATAACAGTTTTGTACACAGAAATTGGATAGATGAAAGTAGACCGGTACATCACTGCAGGTCTCTGGCGAGTTTTCAAGTAGAATCTCGTGACTATTGCTGGAAAACCTGCAATTTTGTCAGCAACTATGACTCTGTTTAGAGACAGTATCAATTATACCTGGTCCGGCGCCTCGAGCGCACCACAGAAGATCTGAATTTTCAGTCTCACTACAGTGCAAGGCCTCACCAGCAGCAGTCACCACGTCAAGGGCGACAATTTGCTCGCACGCCCATCCCCAATTCTGGATTGCTTCAAGTCAGCTACAATTCATTGACTAACGTGGGTGAGAATTCCGTAGTGAACCCTACTTCGTACCTTGCAATTCCACCCCATCCCACCCTGCAGCAAAAAACCGCCGATTCCAACGTCAGGACAATGTCCACCTCCAAACATCAATCCCTTTGGAACAAGTACTTCATTAAGCATGGCTCCTGTGGTACTTGGTGACGCTTTGACGATCGTCTTATCCTCATCAAGGTCAATTTCATGCAGCCCTTCCAAGTCAATCAAAATCGCGTCGTCGCGAACACTCCATGCGGCCCAGCTGTGGCCCCCAGATCTCACTGAAACTCTGCATTGCAGCTTATTGGCCAGTTGAACAGCTTCTTGCACATGCGATGGGTGAGTTGCCTTAATTATGGCTCGTGGATACCGGTTGGGTTTTATGGCGTTGAAGATGCGGTCGACGCGTTCTTTTTCGTAGTTGTTCTCGCCAGCGGCATCTTTCCAGACGATGGGCAATGCAGGAGCTGCCATTGTAAGGTTGTAAGGATATGTTCTGACTGTGTAGGTACAGGGAGATATGATATGAACCTGGTCTTTTAATATATTCCATGACGCAACTCAACTTCATTTTAGCCCTTCTTAGCCCATCTGGAATGCTGGAGCTCACGGACCCTGTACTCGTACACCCCACATCCCGAAAGCTCGGGCATCCCAGTCGGCTCCTCCACACCCCACAGTCTGGTCCCTTGCGCCGCCGAGCTGGGACTCGCGTCTATATTCAAAATCTGGGGAAAGGCGGCTGATCAACAACGTATAACCTCGATTCCATCCCCCAGCAGTCTGGGGGCCTGGACCGGTTCACTCTTCTCCACCAGTCCATTTCCGATATTTCCAATTGTATCATAAAGTTGAGGTCCATCATCCACTATTCCTATATCCTACAGCACCTTAGTTGCCATCCCGTCGGCAGGTGTGCGTGTAGCCAGCGTCGGCACCATGGAACCCATTAGCACGAACAATGGAGCCAAAGAACCACTCAAGCAAACCCAGACCCTTGGAAGTGTCCGCTATCACCATGAGCACACGAATGAGATCATCCTCATTCCAACTCCATCACAGGATCCCAATGATCCCCTGAACTGGTACGTATGCATGTTTAAAGCGACTACTATCTGCTTCGGATTTATGTAATTGCACTTACTGACTTATGCATTAGGAGTAAGGCAAGGAAGTACTACATGGCGACGTTGATTTGCCTCGCTATGTTCATGTGCAACTTCCTTGCAGCTGGACCAACTATCGCTATAGTAGAAACCGCCATGGACTTCTTCCCTGCAGCTGGCCCAGCAGGCATGGTTGGGGCAATATCCAAGACTTCGTATTTCTTCACATGTACTGCCCTGCTTCAAGGAGTTGGTAACTTCTTCTGGATGCCGCTTGTCAACAAATATGGACGACGACCCGTATATCTCGCAAGCTATGCCTTGTATTTTGCGGTTGCCCTTTGGCTATCTTTTACGAATTCTTACGCCAGCTTCTTGACAGCTCGCATACTCATGGGATTTGCTTCCGGTGCTGCTGAGACTATGGCCCCTTTGTCAATTGCTGACGGAAAGTTATTACATTCCCTACGCACCCGATTTCTAGCTAATTATAGTAGTATTCTTTCTTCATGAACGTGGAGCTGTTATGGCGTAAGTCTAACCCCCATTACATGAATACGAAACAGTTGTTGAAAAGATTTAGTATGTATTCGTCAGCTCTTTCATGTGGTGTTGCGGGAGGTATTATTGTTGCTGGGTAAGTCATAGTATCCCAAACATTTTTTTATTTTCTATCCCCCAATCCGGCAATACAACACCTACACGATCTCAGTATCCTTTTGGCTAATATTCAACACGCTAGACTCATCACCATCCATAACACCTGGCGCACTATCTACTACGTAGCAACTGCCTTGATCGGCTCCCTCCTCCTGCTCGTCTTTTTCACATTCCCCGAAACAAGTTACTCTCGTGAGACTACCACTGTCAACGGTAATGAAATACCTCCCGCGCAGGAAAAGTCTCATATCTCAAGCGATCATTTTGAGACCGGCATCAACCCAGCTATCCCGAAACGTAAATCGTACCTACAAGAACTCCAAATCTTCTCCGGGACCTACACGACAGAAAGTCTGTCCAATCTTTTCATCCGACCACTTGCCCTAATAGTTCTTCCCCCAGTCTTATGGGGCGCCCTCGTCATGTCTGTCACCATCGGGTTCCTAGTCGCAGTAACATCCAACGTTGCGCCAGCATACAGCACAGCATACGGATTTGAGGCCTGGCAAACCAGTCTTTGTTTCTTGTCTGCCATAGTAGGCTCGCTGATTGGTATATTCATTGGAGGACATATGAGCGATGGATTGGCCGACTGGTTTACCAAGCGCAATGGCGGCCTGAGAGAGCCCGAGATGAGGTTGCCAAGTATCGCGGTTAGTTTGATTACAACACCTCTCGGATTGATACTCTATGGGGTTGGGATCCAGTACAAACTTCATTGGATATGTCCTACTATCGGTTTGGGACTGCGTAAGTTGCTCAAACAATCGTATAGACAGAAATCGCATACTGACTAGCAATGCCAATAGTAAACTTTTCAATCGTCCAAGCAACAAATGTCTCCCTTGTCTATACTATCGACTGCTATCGCCCAATCGCAGGCGAGGTTACTGTTACTACCATGGCGTTTAAATCCTGCTTTGGCTTCCTGCTTTCTTTTTATACCAATCCTTGGGTTGACAAAGTAGGTTATTTAAATGCCTATGGAACTATGGCTGGTATTTCCGCAGCAGTCCTGCTGTGTGGTATCCCTATTTATATCTTTGGGAAGGAGATTAGACATAGATCCTGGAACTGGAGCGTGGTAAAGTTTGTCCACTGGGATGATGACAGGGAGGTTGGTGAATAAGGAGAACGCTTCATAAATTTGAAGTGTCGTGTCTTTATACTCGTCAAATCAGTTTAGTTGATCTAGATGGATTGAAGTATAATATGAATTCGAGTTCAACTTCAGGGAACAAGTTGTAATAAATGGGTACTCATCGACATAGAGTGGGTGCTAAGTCAGTTCCAGGTGGCAGACGTCCCGCGGACATCGCCTGAGCGTTTCCCCCCTTTTCGGTGGCAGATATAACATTCATTTGTGAAGCTATTATTATTCAAAGTTCCAAACTACCTGTACATCAATTCGAAATGGTATACCAATAGGTATGGTAAAGGGTGGGATTGCATCCCGCCACCATACACATCTTGAAATTATTTGTTTGATAAAGTTCTATTGCTATATATCTTAAAACACTTCGAGTTATGACAGTAGCTGTCTGCGGCTCATAAACCAAGCTGTTGCATTTTGTTCGTTCTGTCTATATCAAAGGCGAAACGACCAAAGTAGCCAGGATAAGATCTACTAGTGAAAGAACTATTAAAACAAGCGTTATCTCCTCAGTCTGAGCATTCAGTTTGTTATTCAGCTACCTTACACAACACCTTACTTATATTTCACCGAGACTTACTCTCCCCCGAGGAAATCATATGACATTTATTTTTCACGCAATCACGTACAAAGAGTTAAGTAAATTCAACTCTAATATTTATACCACGCATGTTTTGATATTGGTTGATGCTGTACCCGCAGCTTCTAACGCTTTAGCAATAGAAAACATACTCCTAGACATCAACAGGAACAAGTGTTTTTGGTGTTTAGAGCCGATTAAAGCATCGTCCGCTATGTCCGTTGAGGATATACAAAGTATAGATACTACACCTGTAGACAGCGTACAGAAAAGGCATTCCGCTTGGTTGGCAAGATGCTGCTAGATGGTTATTAAATCTTAGAGAGGTCTAACCACCCATTAGGAGGCGCTGCCCGTCCCCTTGCGATTGCTATGTACTGAGGGTCTTTTTGACGTAACGAGGTTTTAAAAAAAGGAAGAACGACCGGCTTTCATAGAGCTCCTCCATCTCCTCCTTCATTATCATTTAATTATTAGTAATAAAATTATAGACATAGGGGTGGGGGTGATCAGCAGCCCTGGCCTCCCACCTGTCAAAGCTCCTCATGGTGATCTCTTCTATTAAGGGATCATAATGATGGTCGTACTTAAGGCACCAATGTTCCGCTTCCACTTCTCCGTTGTCACTTATGCCAAGCAGTGTGCGGCCCATCTAGGAAACTAGGAAGAGATACCCGCACCTGCTACATGGTAGGCTGGTAGTTGGGTGGTGTCTTTTGATATGATAGCGCAAGGAGCTGTGGTATACGAAGGCTTCTGGGCATATATCATGCTTACAAGTTCTCTCAGTAACGGACGACAGCGTGGGGCGAGGTGGGTAAAAAGCTACGTTAGAAGTAGTATCTGGAGAGGTTGTGTTTAAGGCTACAGTAGGAGTCGCCATCGGTAATATCTGGAAGCCTTCGGCTAGAGGGTGTAGACTACAAATATGAGATTACGATTGCGTATGGACGTCAAGGTTAAAAGGTGATGCTTGAAGGTCGTAATGGTAAGGTGAGAGTATGAGTTATGGAGTTTGGGAATTTTTGTTGCGAGGAATTTGTCCGGCATCTATAATGTTAATTGATGAGCTTTTCCTCGTCTTTTGACTTTGTTACGCTCGGTGCTGATAGAAAGTAACTGTTTTCGAGCTTTTTAGGGATGCCAAAAATAGCACACAACGGCCATAGTATAACTAATCTAAGGATTCCTTTTCCTTTGACCCACCAATGCTGCTGATAAGCCGAGAAAATATCTTAGCTATTGAACAAAGTGTCTTTGTCTAGGCATGTGATAACTAAAGGGGAACCCTCATTAGTTTAGCTCTGATTTATTTTAGGAGAAAGAATGGATCGGCTTTAGCTCCACTTACAAAAGGTCCTCTAAGTTACCCTATCACAGTGTCATATCAACAAGCTTTAAACTCCTAGCTATAATTTGAATCTGCCCACCATAATACTCGCCCTGCAGTCCACTACCCACAGGCTTAGGACCCGTCGTCTTCAGCAACATGTCAAAGCCCACGAATAAGTCACCGGCTTCAACCCCACTACTTCTGATTCAGCATAACCTCCTTGGGTAGTCTTGGTACTGATGTAGCGGGACACGCAATCCCAATGAGATGGCAGCCTTCGGATTGGAGAGCGGCTTCCATACCAAGGCGTGTGCGAAAACCGCCTGCTGCCATGAGGATGAGGGAGGGGAAGTGAGAGCGGGCTGTCTGCGCAAAGGAGAGGAAGAACGCTTCCCGTTGCAGGGTACTTTGCCGTTAAATAGGCTGGTTTTGGGTTTTGGGCATCACTTGAATTCGGGAATAAATCAGTGGAGTCGGACTCTTGCATCGTCTTTGGATTTTCATAGGTGCAACCTGAGATCTCCTTAAAGTCGATCCCAACATCGACTATCAGACGGGTTTGCTCCAGGACATCAGTGACGGGCTCGGAGACTGAGACGTCAATGCTGTTGAATTTAATACCGATCGTGAATTATTTTGCTCGTTTCTGCTTGGATGTGGCGGATTATGCGGAGAACAATATCGGCGCGTTTCGAAGGAGCCACCGAATTCGTCTGTTCGGATAATTGATTTGGGCGAGAGGAATTGTGATAGGAGATAACTGCATTTGGTATAATTGAGTTTAGAGTTCAATTGATAAGGGATGGACGTGTCTTGCCTAGCGTGTAACTGTGCGCCGTTAAAACCAGCACCGAATGACTATTTTGCTCCTTCGACAAACAACTCAATGGCTTCGGAGATATCCTCAGTTGTCATAGCTCTTGGTACTCCAAACACCACACAAGACAATATCTTTGCGATCAGGCTGGGGCTGCGATTTAGTTCGATTGCTGAGGGGACAATTGTTCTGGAAAGTAACCTCGATTGCGTGCTCCTACTGGCGATTGTCATCCTGGATGGCAGAGCTACAGGATCGTTGGAGTACCTGCACGCTGACAACCATTTCTTCCACATATCCCTGGTAGGCTGTGAAGGGTTTGTAGGGACATATACGTCCCCTAGGCTGCCGTGATATTTCTCAGATAGCATTACTTTCCGTAGAATAACCCGTTAGACATGAGTGATAAGAGAAGTAATACTTGCTAAAACTGGTAATAGTATTCCCCTGCCCCCATCGGCCCACTCCCCATAGGCAATCAGCAATTTCCCATCAGCCTGGTAAGTAACTGCTGCCATTGTTTCGGCCATGGCCGCCGGTGGGATTCATAATATTTAGCATCACAATAGCTTCCCGATGTTATGCGAATCTAGAAAAGGAAAGGGTATACACCTCTACCAAGCGATTTGGCAGCGTTGGCCAGAAGGGAGAACGATCTTTTGTGGGAGTATCATCTTGGTCGAGTCGGTCGAGTGCCAAGCACTTTTTTCTAGCAATAAGCTAGAACACCGAACAAAGTAACCTACCTATGCGTTACGAGTACCCCGCAACAAATCAAAAAGTAAATAGCGAGCCTTGTAAAGTATGTTTAATGCAAGAAGAGGGAAAATGAGAACTGTCTTATAAACACTCCCGCTCGGGAGGTTACAGGACGCTTGGCAATCTGTGGTACTTGATGCCGGTCATGAAGCTGATCAGTGAGGTGTTCAGCGGAGGGGCATCTGGCCGACTCAGAAAATGAAGACTCGATGTTGAAGCCTGGATACTAGTACTAAATAATCAGATAAAAGGACCAGAGAGCAAGGACAATAATAATGAATATGTATCAAGGTGAATAACCCAAGGCCCTTTTAAGTCTTGCACGGTTGCAACCAGCTTCGGGAGTAGTTGTTGCATGATTCGCACGTCCGTCCTAGCTCCTGATCACTTGAAACCATCGTTGGAATCATGGATGATTGCTTTACCGAAGTGCCGGTATGAGAGCTCCAACAGTTTTGTACCAGAAATAGGCCATCATGAAACACTCGGATACACAGAATCTGTTGTTGCGATGCCGGCTTGACACGAAACTGAGCCCCTAATTGGACCGAGCTTTGCTCCGCGCCCTCTGCGCCACTTTCCAACAGTTGGCACGAAGGTTGGTATATGTACTCGTAATGGCAGCCTCTTGGAGATGCTCCTTATGAGCGTCAGTCCAGAGCAGAGAGCAAATACTTCGAACTATCGACGACGTGCATCCCAGCCGGAAGTCTTGAAAAGTTGCAGCATCTATCTCTCTGGCGGGAGGAAGACGGAATCCGACGAGCTCGCTCTCCCTGAACGGGGCTGACGGGGCTGACTGGTTGCTACCGCCTACCAACACATTGCTGCATGAGACATGGCGGATCATCGAAGGTCGAGATCGGTGTCTGTTGTTCGATTATCGCAGTCTCTGCCTCCATTGCCGGGCTCTCCAGACGCCATTGCCTTCCAAACACTCGCACCATATCGGGATGAGCCGGAGCAAGAACAACAATCGGGGGAGGACGAGGAGGACGAGAGCAAAGCGATGACAACGCCCAGAGCTCCAGATTCTCAACCCCCAGAGTACGAACCTATGTATGACTACCTACGGTCAAAGACACCCGAAGCCCCCCAAGCATACGGCACATCACCGCCTCACGGCCTGTGCCTGGTCGTCGGGCCAGCACCACAAGAACCATACCGAGATGAACCGCTTCAAGAGCCCGACGACGATTCCCAACATCCTCCACCGTCATACCAGGATTTATACCGGGAACGCGAACGCGATATTGAGCTGGGTAACTTGGAAAGGGAGTTGGGCCTGGCAGATTCGGATCCCCAGGAACAAGTGGAGGATATATTCAAATGGCTTGTTGCCATGCTGATCATTATCCTAACGCTCGCCGCTGTGGCCACGGCGTTCAACGTGGGAGGGCATTTCTGAGCATGGTCTCAGAGGGTTGGTGTTGGATATCGATTTTACGCGTTCGCGTTCGCGTTGGCATTTAGACTAGAATTGGCATTGGGACCGGCGGCGTTAAGGATTAGGCTCCATATAAGGATGGGATGGGCTGTGTTAGGTGCTTTACAAAGGATGATACCTCTCAACAGATGAGACAAGATGAAATGGAATGGAAATGGATATTCGTGGCCAAGGCCAATTAACTTATAAACCACTTGAAATCACTTGAAATGAAATGAAATATTCATATTCACGCTATCGCGCCGACGTGACTGTATCCACCGGCTGTGTTCTCGCTGTGCCTCTTCCTCTGCCTCTAAATATGACGACGATTAGTTTATTACAGTACGGAGTCCATCCTCAAGTAATATTAGTACAAGGCCTTGAATCACCCCAAGACCATACTTGTTTACCATTTGCTGCAACCAGCAAAACATCACCCCCACATGAACACCGTCGATTGTGACAGGAAATAAATTCCTCTTGTCTCTTCCGCCTCACTCCAGGACTCGCAATCGCCGAATCATTCTCACCGTTTTCTCCAATTCGCCCAGGAATCCAGCATACCCCGCGATCCTGTCACCGCACATTGCTTTAGTGGACCGCAACACCGGCCACATTATTGAATTGAGACTCTGCCCGCATAATCAATGTCACGCCTTTCCGTTCCTGTGTCCAATGCAATGGAACCTGACGCAGAAGAGTAGGCGCCAAGGGTGCAGGGCGAGAGGCGTGCTGGGCCAGTCGCAAAAAGCCGTCTCAACGCATGACCGCCAGCACAGCGTGCCATTCAAGCAATTCAGCAAATGGTATTTGGAGGAGGTTGTGTTTTTGGCCGGTTGTTAAAACTTGTTCGGGGGGATGGAATGGATTGGGAATAGTCGTGATAGCTTCCCACAAGCGTGGAAGAATTTGCACTCCTTGGAAGGCTTGGATTGCGCGGTAGCTCGCCGAGGCACGAATGAGTTCACAAAGCTTGGAGCTCCAAGCTCGTAGTTCGTAGCTCGAAGCTCCTCCATGTCTCAGATCAAGGCGTGCAGCATCACAGCTCCTGCAACGCTATGAAGTATGCACATTCGTTCTCCATCCACACTACCACTATACTTTTCCATTGTCGATATTTCCGCCTTTTGATTCCTCCACTCTTGCCCGCATACCGCCTGCGCCTATCGAACACAGTTCGCAGTATCGTGGAGTTGTGCCCATCTCCTACTGGGCAATTACCTATCAGTTGAGTTTATGCACGCGACTCTTTCTGCAGCTTGGAGGCGAGTCGCCGTGGGATTTGAGTTGAAATTTCTCGAATGGGGGAAGCTCACGATGATGAAAGAGTCGCAGCACATGCAGGACTGCCCAAAGCGCGGGTGTGATATCCCAATGTAGCTCCTCTTTGAGAAGTCAATGGCGTGAATCCCGCTGGAGTGCTAGTTTCCCCCACGGACTACGACGTACCCCGCGTCGCTTTCACCGCTTGTTGAGGAATTGATATTATTTATATACCTGCCCATTCATCATTTTGGCTGTTTTTCTTTCTCGTTCTTCTATTTACAACATTCTCCTCTATCAGAAGTCGTGGATAATTGCAAGTGATATCCCCACCGCTCCTACCTTTACAATCCCGAGAAAATCGATATATACACTTACGGCGTAATTCAAAGCCACAGTAACATCATCCTCGAACCCATTCAACATGTCTGAAATCGATGCTCGCGAAGCTGCTGTTGCCGCCCGGGAAGAAGCCGTAGCCCTACGGGAAGCAAACTGCGATGCCCGCGAAGCTGCCCTTCTGGCAAGGGAACAAGCGTCTGCCGCTGACTCTGCGCCCGTCCCAGCTACTGAATCCGAACCAACTCCCGAAGAGAAGGTAGAAGAGTCAGCTACTAGTATCCCTGAGCCGGAAGCTGCTGTGCCTGAAGTTGCACTGGAGGCCGCACCAGAAACTGCACCAGAGGCTGCACCAGAAGCTGCTCCCGCATCGGAGGCACCACCAGCTACGGAAGAACATGCCGCAGCAGCCGAGGAGCCAGCAGCAACACCTGCAGAAACTTCTGAAGTCAAGACTGAGGAGCCAGTTCCAGCTCCAGCCCCAGCTCCAGAAGCAGAGGCAGAGGCTGAGCCTCCATCTGCACCAGAACCCGTCGTCGAAGAGCCTACTCCAGTAGCCGAAGAAGCTCCTGAGACAAAGGCAGGGGAAGCTACACCAGCTCCAGCAGAAGAAACTCCCGCCCCAGCGCCTGCGGAAGACACTCCCCCAGCTGTCGCTGAGGAAGCTGCTGCTGCAGTAGAGGAAGCTCCAGCAGCCGCACCGGAGCCAATCGAGGAGGCAAAACCTGAGGAGGTTACCCCGGCTCCTGTCGAAGAGACTCCTGCACCAGTTGAAGAGACTCCCGCACCCGTTGAAGAGACTCCAGCACCAGTTGAAGAGACACCCGCACCAGTTGAAGAGACACCCGCACCAGTTGAAGAGACGGCTCCCGCAGCAGAAGAGACACCTGCGCCAATAGAAGAAGCCGCAAAGCCAGTGGATGAGACCACAGCCCCAGTACCGGAGTTGGTAGAGGAAGTGGCCGCACCGGTAATACCCGTGCAGCAAGAACCGATTGCGGCTTGACGACGACCGTGGTGGGAATGGTTTGGCGGGGGGAGGGGAAACGAGCAAACGAGTGCGTGAGAGATGAGCAGTCGCGAGGGACGGAATTTGTTTTGCTTCGTGCAGGCGCGGGATGGCATGAGAGTGATGTAATATGAATTGGCACTGTAACCCGGCAAATCAAATTGAGCATGGGGGGGATGAGGTGGGATTAATAATGCAGCACGACAAGGAGTATATGAATAAGTGTTGAGATTGAATCGAAATGTTGAAGATATAAACCCCCTTTCCTCTCTACTTAAAACAGCTGGCTGGCTAGCATTGTAATCTCCAAGCCAAATCTTAAAGCTTCCTACTAATGGGAAGAAGAATGTATGCCTAACCTATGCTCATGTATGCTCGTGTATCCCTGTATCCGTCTATGCCTCCAATTATCCTCATCTTGTCTTGTGTCCCTGCCCGAGGGCGCTGATCAAGTGTAAAAAATGAAAAGTCATAAATGAATCCCAAGATGGCCAATCCAAAGTTCCCATCATCATGCTTATATCCCAAAGTCCTATTTTCATACATGCATCGTAGCATATCGTATGTCATCGACGGTACCCCGTATCGTGTCCGCAATTATGTTTCTGTTCTCTCTAGTTTCCGCGGGAGAGTCCTAATCCTGAGCTGAAGTGTGGGGAGCCGGCAATACCGAGACCTCCAGATGGATTGGCTTCGGCTTCTGGCTCGGGCTCAGGGGCGGCCTCTCTCTTGTTTCCTCTGGAAAGCCCGAATCCTGAGCTGAAGTGTGGGCTACCGGCAATGCCGAGACCTCCTGAGGGTTCGGCTTCAGGTTCGGCTTCAGGGAGGGCTTCCCTCTTGCTGCCTCTAGTGAGGCCAAATCCTGAGCTGAAATGGGGAGAGCCAGCAATACCAAGACCTCCGGAAGGCTCGGCTTCAGGCTCAGCTTCCGGCTCAGGCTCAGGAAGAGCCTCTCGCTTGCTGCCTCGGGTGAGGCCAAATCCTGAGCTGAAGTGTGGGGATCCAGCAATGCCGAGGCCTCCTGAAGGTTCGGCTTCAGGCTCAGGTTCAGGGAGAGCCTCTCTCTTGCTTCCTCTGGTAAGACCAAACCCCGAGCTAAAGTGTGGGGATCCAGCAATTCCGAGGCCTCCTGATGGTTCGGCTTCAGGCTCGGGCTCAGGGACGGCTTCCCTCTTACTACCTCTAGTAAGGCCAAATCCCGAGCTGAAGTGTGGCGAGCCCGCGATACCGAGACCTCCAGAGGGGTTGGCTTCAGGAACAGGTGCAGTGTAGCCGACTGTGAGAAGGAATGCGACGACGAGGATGGAAAGGCGTGCCATGGCTGCTGGTCGGGTGATGAAGGTAGCTTGTTTAAATGGGAAATCTCGAAGATTGCAAGGAGAAATCAGATTGTGAGTATAAGAGGAAATTGAGGGTGCAATGAGAATGATAGTAGATCTCTTGATGAAGAGATGATATGGGGAATGAGGCGGATGATGATGAGGATGGAATTGTGAATGACCACTGGACTGCCCATCTTTATATCAATCATCTTCACAAGCAACTGCTGAAGATTTGCAAAATAGAACAGCTAAAATGGGCCAATCCGAGGAACTATTTCGGAGCCCACCTTGCAGAAAATTCTTCAGCATATTCCCAAGGAAGCGGATCAAGTGGGTTGCGGAAGAGAGCAGGACCGGCTAGGACGAGAATAGGACATTCAATCAACGACCAGCTCGTACGGAGAGTCGAAATACCGTAATGAACAGCCTCCGGATGTGCGAACTGGCGGCGACAGGGCTGACCTGAAGAAACACTGGGCGAATGACGGAAGTAGATTCCAGCAGGGGGTGCTTATAGTTCGAAACATAGTTTACATGGCGCGATCTCCGCGATTGCGAATCAATTGCTTCCGAGCAATATGGGAGACTGCGGTGAGATTATCACCTGCGGTTGTGGCTGATGGAGAACGGGAGGTCGAGTCGCGGTTATTTTGGGAGGAAGACGTGGCCGAGGTATCTTAAAATAGACGCTAAGCGAGCACCCCCAGCTCCGGATGCTGCAGCCACCGACCTTCTAATAGAGTTTAAGCTTGTCCAAAGCCTTTCTTCCAGGAACTACTGATTAAAATTCATCAACACTGCAGACCCAAACCCAGCAAAGGACTCCTCTTGTGTCTATTCTCAGACGCGCGGAAGTACTCGGCGCCTAACTGCCTAGCTGGTTTTAGGACCCGCGTGCTAAGGCGTATATTCTGCCCCCCGCAAAATCATCTCCGACCCGCCACCCGATCAACAGCCTACTCTCCCAGAGCGACGGGTTCCCAAATTCAGCGAGATCCCCTCTACACATCTTGACTGCAATGCATTATTTCGATACGCGATACTCTACTTGTTACAACCATACCCCGTTGTCTTCGGTTCCCGCTACCGCGATATCGATGATTTGTATTGCTGGGACTGAACAACAAGACTGTACCCCGGGCCAGCCAACGCCACAGAAACATCTTGCAAGGATCGCAGTCTCACACGAGAGGTGTCATTCTGCAGCGTTCAAGCCAATAAGTAAGCGGTGATGTGGCGCTCGCCGCTTTGTAAGTCTGATTGGGTTCCGAGAGTCTCGAGCACATGTGAAGTATGCGTGTCTTTGCTGTCAAATTTACTGAATGATTCACACCTTATGTGATGTTGGTTAAGTTCAAGCGGGGCAAATAATGCAAATCCCCTATTTCGAGAAATTGGAAAGATTGGAGCCGAATAGTTTCAGACCCAAAATACTCCACATTGCTTGAAGATTCATATGGATGGTCGACTCTCGGTGGCTTGTGATTCATCTTATGTGCTCGTCTTCCATATCTCCGAAACATCTGATTCATTGCAAAATTAGTTACTTCTCATCTCGTTTCTCGTCTATTTATATGCAAGCGCAAGCCGCGGCCAGATGGAGCCCAGCGACTTGGGCGCCAATCAACCCTCAAACGTCGTCAATTATTTCCTCGAAGCACTTTCGAAACTCCAACAACTTATTCCTACAACCCAACCCGCCAAACCTTGGGTTTTGTCCATACCCCACCACTCCGATAATTATCCTTCATTTCCCGTTTCTTGATCGCCAACAGTTTCTCTTGTTGCATTTTCCGTTAATCCAAGAGGCTCTAGTATAAGTAGGGCGGCTAGGGTGGTAGGGTAGATGATTGGAGTGGACGTGGCTCGTTTACACAATACCAGAAATTACAAGCGATCTGGCAATCAGAGTAGAATATTAGCATAGGGGTCCAAGCTATTTTATTCTCACTTTCGATACTCAAGTGCTTACGACTGTGATACGTTCCACCTATGGAATCCGTATGCCCTGTTGGTTCCGACGGCGTAGCATATGTCGATACTGGAGCATACGGTGTGCGCCAGTGTGTCTGTGGAAGTCATCTTGATATTCTGGAGCAGCTTCTGCGTTCTTTAATTCGTGCTCTAGTTTGAAGTCACATATTAGAGGATCCAATGTCCCCTTATATATTTTTTATTTTTACCGTTGTCCACTATAATTACTGCCAAAGCTGTGATGACGACAACAGCGCGAATAGTATTTGCCTTCCTTTAAATCGCGGTTCGCAAGTGGCCTTGCAAAGCCCCGGTTTCTTTGACAGCGATGAATTTCAACCTGAGCGATGGGTGCATACCTTACCCATCTTACCTACCTAGGTGCCCTTCGCCTTTAGGTAAGTAAGTGACTCAGAAGGAGAGCCAAAGTAAAGAGACACAGGGGTCGAATCATGTGATATTTTCCACCCGCGATACCTACCTAGGTAGCTGTTCCCCTCATTAAGTCACCGTCAAGTATCAGGGAGAGCGAATGGGCCAAAGAGACATGAATTTCGTTTGTTCGTATGAGATACCCATCATCGGACTAAATGTACAAAATCAAACGTGCCCGGACCAACTCTTCTGTTCCCAAGCTGCTGGCCCTAGCGAGCAGTTCTAGATCAATATGGATATGAACTTCGTTCTAGCTCAGATCAGTGATCATTTCGATCACCCTTTGCCTGTTCTTCTCCTGAGTTCCCCTTGCTGGTGCTATCTTTTCTACAGTTCATCTTATAGCCATTCATCCCGCATCACGCTACAAGCAAACCCCCCAAACTCCCGTTATAAAATTGCTCCAGAGCTCCAGACCAAATATAACCCAAATTACAGCTCAATCATTCCGGTTTGTGCGCCATATAATAATACCAATCGCGCATGCGATGTGGAAAAAGCCAAGAGCAATTAAAATATTCCTACATGTCCTTTTCTTTTCTTCCCTAGACCGGTCTTGTCTTTCCATTCCATAGTCTTGGGGGGCGTATCCATCACGCGGTATGGTTGCTTGAAAGTATGGCTCGCGTCTCGTTTGTCTGGGGAAGGAGATTTCTGGTGCGTGGGCAGCGGGGTCGCCGCGGTATGCTGGTGGTGGATCCCTGAGATTGAAAGATTTCTGTGGGATGGATCAGCTTCTATTGCCCTTAACTCTTGTGCAAAGCTAGAATCTTACATTCACGGCCTCCTTGTTAGAGTCTTCTCCTCTTAAGGGTATAGATTCCATGGCTTTTTCAAACATCCACCTCTGCAGATATATTTTCTTTTCTGAAATTCCCAACGATGCCCAGGCCAGTGTCTCCTTCGGACTTGAGCCTACTTTGCAGCAAGGAAATTGAAGAATGATTTACTACATTCAAGCCACAAAGCCGATAAATGCTTGATGTGCGAGGCCTCTCGGCCTTATAAGTCAAGCTCGCCCGGGAACATAGAAGCTCAATCAAGTTGCCGTGTGACCATCGCACACTGAGCGTGGGCAACCTGTCATTACGAATCCCTGAAATTTAATGTGGCTGAGCGGCACACTCATACAATAACATGTTGTCGGGGGCGAGGCAGGAGGCGAAGCTTGTTTCGGAGTTAGCCACCAACACATAGCCCCCAACACGGTAAACACCAACTTCCTTCAAGATGCGAAGTATCAACCAATCATTTTCCAACTCTCGTCAACTCAACCATTGATAGTGGTTTGGCCCTGCAGCAGATGGGTTTCATTCGAATACATTGTACGTACATTGACTATAATTGATGCGCTTGTGCGCTTTTCTTCTGTTCTTGAGGGTTGTCTGGCCGATTTTTAAAACCGGTTATCTTAGCAGCTTCGATTAAACGGCGTATTTGGAAGGAATGCCGAATAGTTGCGTGATTTAATATAATATATTTCGCTCAGTTCCAACACCAACACCAACACCAACTCCTGTGATTCAAATCCTACAAAAATGCCAACTCTAGTGATTCTCCCACGAGCAATGCCTTCGGCCCTGGTAATCCGAACCTGTAAAATTCCACTCTCCACGTCCAAAATGGAAAGCTGCGCCGGCCACGACCAGCGATATGATCATGATAATGATAATGACGAGGATGCAACACCAGCGGACATCTATGGGTGTGCGGCGTGTGCCTTGTAGAAGCCTAGAGCGGATGTTTCCTGTCGCCTGTTCCTCTGGATCTTTGAAGCCAGCTGCTTGCTGGAAGTTGAATGGTAGGGAGGAATCCCCATAAGACTGTCGTGCACCCGCTTTTGGGGGAGGATGGATGTAGATTGGTGGAGGTGCAGTTGGCACCTAGTTTAAGAGGATTGTTAGTGCTTGTGCTTTTAGGGACGATGGAATGGGAAAAGGGCTGTGACAAAAGACAGCGGATTGGAGTTCCTACCGTGTATTCACCGCTGTAAGAAGCTTTATTGTCCATCATGTCTGTCTCGCTGCTGAAAGATGCCTCTTCCACCAGCACTGGTGCGAGGATCACTTCTTCGAACACCAAATATTTCTAGGGACAGTTTATTCGAATGGACTTGACTCTTGGAAATTCTCAATATTTTAATTAAGAAATAAAAGTTCAATTAAATAATTGAAAAATCAAGATCGCATATTTAAGAACTCGGGATGCACTTCGCCCAAAAGAGACAATCTAGAAAGGAATCAAATATCATAGAGGAGGGAAGCTGGGGCTTTAACAGTGTCAATTCTACTTCAGTTCGCCAGCCACCATAACTGCTACGAGTGCTGAGCAATTGGGAAACATAAATCTTGAAGGCGGAGTTGAGTTATGCTGATTGCAGGGTTGGTGAGAGCCTTGGAGGATTACGAAGTAGGCTCCTCAAGTTATGGGATGTGTTAGTCCATAACTTGAGCACAATCCCTCATTGGGAGCCTCCAGTGAGAAGATGACAGCTATCACACCCTCTAGTTTGGCACCACGGAAAGCAAGTTACCTTATGTAACCACGGCAATAATGATAGGTCACGTGCGCCGCCGTTCCTCTTCCGGAGTTTAAATGCAGTAAGTGGAGAAATTAGCTATTTCTAAATGTCGTCTATATCCTCTTTTATAATAGCCCTATATCCAACTCTACCTAAACGGTCGATCATGCTGTCGCAGTTGTCACATGATTTTGTATTGGAAATATTACGGGTGCGACGCACAAGCTCGTCGAGAACATCGCACCAACAAAGTTGACCAAAGCGCCGAGGAACCCCAATTCTGCCACACGCGCAATGGACGGGATTCTGCAAGGCTGTCGCAATTCGAGGAAAATTACTTCTGCCGAGTGCCAGGCACAGGGAATGAGCAACCGCCATTGATCCCATTGGGGCGGGGAAACTACAGGAGATTGGAGCGGATGTCGTGGACATGGCTCGGTCGATCTGCCTGTTGAAATACTACTCCACGATAGAACGATGCCAACCTGGCATGTCCCCGAGTTTATGAGGTACCATGGATTAACATTCTACCTGAAATGAGGCGGGAAAGGTTATTCGGAACCCATGTGAGCGAGCTCCGCCCCTTACATTCTAGACGAATGTTGATCCATGATCTCAAAAATATCCACTTCCGAATTAGCGGGTTATTTTTCTTGGTTTTTGGTCTCTTTCTGATAAATATAAGCATATCTCTTTTGCTTAAGTTGATATTTTATCGCCAGAATTGGTGGAGCTATCTGGAATATTTAGGATTTCTAAGTTATTTTGCAAAATGATTCTGTCATCGAAACAATTCCTCTGGTTTCTGTGTCCAGCTCTGGCCCATACTGCGACTATCTCCTATACAGTTCCGGCCTCGGCTCCAAATGGGGCAGCAGAGCTTGATCCAGCCCCCGTGGGTGTATCGTTGGTCTAAACTATTTCTTATTCTAGCTACGAATTCTAACAACATTGATGGTAGATTTGAATTCTTTGCATTTCCATCGTACTTCACCAATGTCACGGCTACGAACCAGTGCTTAAAGAACTTTCAAACTCTTACGGGAAAGTGGCCCCCAATTCGAATTGGGGGGACGACTCAGTACGTGTTTAAACTGGGAGAGGGATTTAAGTTTCTAACTCGAGAACAGAGACCGCGCTACATACGATGCCTCTACGTCGGCATACGTTGTATATAACGTCGCAAATCCAACTGATGCCCCAGCATCGTTGACATTCGGCTCATCGTTCATGAAACTTGCGGCGACTTATTCAGGATCTGTTGTGGTCGGTCAGTAAAGAAAATTAACAGGAACCAGGGCGCTTCATTAACTGCTTAAAACAGGACTCAACCGAGCCCTTGACAATCTCCAGAATACCATAGCCGCTGCGAAAGTGGCAAAGAGCAACATGAACAATCTCATCGCGATTGAATTGGGAAACGAGCCCGAATGTACGGCATGCCACCCTTTGTATTTCACAGCTTATAATTATTAGACTATTCTCGCACAAATCTACCTGTCGCCGCACATGCCGGGTCGTGGACACCAGCAGATGATGCAAAATCGCAAAACAATTGGGCCATACAAGTTGGACAAGCACTAGATACAAAACTTATAATCCAGGCCGGCAACTCTAATGATTCTCCGCCAAAATGGGGTGCCGAAGAACTGATTGCAACGCAGAACGCAACGGTGAAATCTTATATCCATAATTACGCGCACCATAATTATCCCGGAGGAACTGTGGCATCGTTAATGAGCCATAGTGGTATTTCTAATAATCTTAAGATGTTCAACGCAGAGGTCGCCGCGACAACAAAAAAGGGGAAAGAGTATGTCCTTGGGGAGACAAATTCGGGTATGAAGTCCCTTTTCTCCTACTGATATCTTTACTTACAGAATACAGTCTCTGGTGGAGGTGCAGCGAATGTGAGCCCCACATACGGCGCAGCGCTCTGGACTATGGATTATGTTCTCCGCGCTTCTCTTACAAACATCAAACGCACCTACTTCCACCATGGCACCGTAGGCCTATGCTACTACTGCTGGTGGGGGCGGTACAGCATGGGCGCTCCATACTTCGGCGCCTATACTGCAACAGCTGCAATGGCAGGCGGCTCGTACATGTCAGCCCTAGATACAGGGTCAACAGCCTACGCCGTGTATATTATATACGACTCAGCTCGCAAACCGCTCCGTGCCCTACTGTACAATTCAGACTACTACAGTGGCAGCGGGAGTCGAAGTAGCCAGAACTTTGTCCTAGGTGGATTGAGCGGCGCGACGGTGAAAGCGAAGAGACTGACCGCGGCAAGTGCAACATCGAGGGTCGATCAGGGATCAAGTCCAACGTTTGGTGGTCAAACTTTTGCAGACGCGTCGTGCAATATTGGAGGGAAGGAGACTTTTGAGGACAAGAGCGTGGCTAGTGGTTCTGCTACGTTTACAGTTGCCGCTTCAGAGGCTTTACTGGTGTACTTCTAACCAGAGTGCAATAAATCTACTCATTTTGGAGCCTACGTGCAGGTGCCATGAAACGATCCAGAGTACTAAACTTTTACAAGGATCGATCTCTATTACTAAAATAATACTTCGTCCGCAACAGAGATATTGGTGGCTTTCATGGCGTCTCTAGCATCGGACTCCGTCGAAGAAACCAATACTCACGGCCTTAGCCAATTGAAACATCTGAAGAACAGTGGAAGAAAAGATCGGAATAACTTCTTTGCCGGGCATTCTATATTTCCTCCCCTCGGCAGAAAAACGACCGATAATTTCCATGAATCCGAAGTTCGTGCTATGTACATATCCCTGACAATACCTCTGTAGGATCGTCGAAGAACATTTTAGGTGCATACAACAGAACAAGGGTGACACTGGTACATGATCAAATCCGAGGTAAATCCGGTACGGCCTTGGTGAAATTAGTACGGATGCAATGGGGTTATAATTTCTCAACCTGGCCATTGCTCACTGCTCAGCAATGTGAACATCAATGAAATATTGGTTTCTGAAATTATATTATGGATTATCGTGTAAGTTAAGGAGATAGAGGTAAGACTAATATAAATACGGAGCTAGTCAACTAAATCCGAGAGAAATGAAAAGGTAACCAATTAACAGGATGGACAATAGACAGGGCAATCCGGCAAACAATCACCCCTCCCCTGGATTAATCTCTCCACATGACACGGATCTGGGAGAACAGATCGCGGAACCTTTAACCTATTTCCCGGTAATATGGACTCGGCGATGAACCCGACTCACGCCAGCGTGGAATGCGATATAGAAATGAGGGGGTGATTCTTTTCTAAATTTCGAAAATCGGGTTATGTTGTATTGTTTGGTTTGTCCTTTTAGATTTTGAAGTCTCCCACCATTGTATATACTTTTGCTTTCTTACATCGTTCAACATGTTATGCCACTTCTCTTACCTCCTGCTGCCCCTCTCCGGCCTCATACATCATGCAACAGCAAGTGTGCAAATCGTACGTAATTTCCAGCCTCTTGCTTTCACCACTTTCCTCGTCTCCAATCCCGAACCCCTTTTGCTAACTGTCGATGATACCCTTCCTAGATCCCGGGCGCGTCTATAACTACAACCAATGCTCCCTACCAGCACATGCAAGCCCATGGTGGGGGTCTCATTCTCGTAGATGGCGTCTACTACATCCATGGCGAGAATAAACTTGACGGCAGTGCCTTCCAGAGCATAAATTGTTACTCTACTGTTGATTTGGTCAACTGGAAGTTTGAGAGTAAAGTTTTGACGGTCGGGGGAAGTGGTGATTTGGGACCTGGGAGGGTTGTGGAGAGGCCGCATGTGTTGTATAACGAGAAGACGAAGAAATATGTTATGGTGAGTCTTCTTCTGATTTGTTTAAACGAAGTGGAAGAGGGGATATCGAGAAAAGCAAGAGCGGAAGGACACTAATTTTGGATGCTCTAATACAGTGGTTGCATATCGATAGTAGCAACTATGGCGACGCAAAAGCCGGTGTGGCAACGTCTGATAGCGTCTGCGGGACGTATAGTTATATGTGAGTTGCCATTTTCTATGCAATAATTCCAATGCGGAATTTAAAAAAAGTGAAGTCCAAGGTAGAAGGGGAACAAGAAATAAGTTTGAGCAGACAAAGGAAAGTGTGCTAATCATATAATATAACAATAGTGGCTCAAAACGGCCTCTCAATTTCGAGAGTCGAGATATCAGTCTTTATCAAGGTTTACAATACCCGTTATTAGGCTCAAACCTCTTTCCAGGAAGCCAAAAGACAATCAGCAGACTAACATGCGAATCAAATTATATTAGATACCGATGGGACAGCTTACCTACTTACGGAAGACGTAAGTTGCATTAATTTCCAAAAACAGCAATGCCAGAAGAAGTTAACAAATCCTCGATAGCGAAAAAATGGTCTCAGAATCGACAAGTTATCATCAGATTACCTAACCGTAGAATCAGCAACTTACCTCTGGGCTCAGCCAGCTGCATTTGAAGCGGCAGCGATCGTCAAAACGGGCAATACATATTTTATGTTCGCGTCTAAGGAGAGCGGATGGTGTAAGAATTGTCCTTCGTTGGATTTTTATATGGCTAACAAATGGTATTTCAAACAGCGCCAAATGATAACGTCTATTGCACTTCGACAAGCCTTACTGGGCCTTGGTCATCTTGGGAGAAATTCGCACCGTCCGGATCAAATACTTTCAGCTCACAAACCACAGCCGTGGTTAACATCAATGGAGTTATAATGTACGAATTTTCCTTTTCACCTGGCCCTTGAAATTATGAGCCGGAGGAGATATGCTAACAGGAAATTTGATAGGTACATGGGTGATCGCTGGGTCTCCTCGAACCTCATGAGATCTACCTATGTTTGGCTACCATTGACGCTTTCGGGGACAAAAGCAACCCTGGTAGGCTTTCCACTTGTCCTCTCATTGATTTTCAAACTGACTAGCTTTCCTAGACCAACCAAGTAAACTGGATCCTCGACATTAAAGCAGGCACATGGACACCCGGCCCCAGCGAGACCCAAGTCGAAGCTGAGGCAAGCAGCAACACAATTGCCTCTGGTGCCAAGACAGTCAGTTGCAGCGGCTGTTCAGGCAAAACAACGATCGGATACATTGGCGGTTCTCCTGGGGGCAAACTAACTATGCCTAATGTCTCAAGTACTGTCACGACAAATACAACGATTCGAATCGGTTATACGAATGCGGATCAGTCGCAAAGATACGCCAAAGTGTCAGTCAACGGCGTGAGTTATATCGTGGCGTTTATTCCAACTGGCGATGATAATACACCTGGCACTGCCGCATTGACTGTTCCGTTGAATGCTGGAGATAATAACGTGGTGGTATTTGAGGCGTATAATGGAGGTTGGGGTGAGTACTTGGCAACCTAGATCGCATAGAGATAAAAGTGCTGACAAGCTGTAGGTCCAAACATTGACCGAATCATGGTCCCAAAGTCATGAGGCGAGTTCGACGTAGCAGAAACGAACAACTCGAGCCTTGCTTTCCCGGGTGGTGGAGCTATCGAATGGTATCGAGGTTTTCGAGAGCACCGACTAGCTCGCCGAGGAAATAAATCTGCCGTCCTGCAATCTCCCGATAATCATAAATCTTGATGGTAGAGCAACGTCTGATATTGGTGGCAAAAGTATATATCTCTCTAAGCAATAAATAGAATCCTAAATCGCTTGGGACCAAGTGCTTTGGGATGAGAAAACTCGGCCTGCCTTTGAACAATCGCGATTTCGGTTGCTTATTCATATAAGTTTCACCAATAACTGAATGAGCTCTGCTCTGACTTGTAACAAATATTTCATCTTATACATCCATAATTGTGATTCAAATTTTTATCCGATAGTCGATATAAACTAAAAGAGATATGAATAAGGAAGAGTGTTTCGTAAGGTAAAAGCCCATAGGTATCTTCGTATAAGCGGTTGCCGAGCACGTACTCTAGTATTAGGTCTGGCCGGTTGAGTTAGGATAAATCATGCTCGAAGTAAAAGATTGATGCTTCCTATTTAGTCGATAAAGACTATGAAACGATATATGGCAGGAAGCAGCTATCTAATGGACTAGATTTTTTAAGTCCTCGGGTGCAAGAAATGAGAGGTAATCCTAAGCAGAATGAAAGTAGCATACATTACTAGTACTGCTATCGACGCTTATTAAGGAAACTGCAACTCGTTAACAACTCCTCATGATCTGACGCTCCTGACTCGGTCACAAGACCCTATTCTCAGACCGCCAAAAAGCATTCCGGACGTCACCCCGTGGTTTTACTAACAACACCCAGAGAGGAAGGTATCAGGGTTTTGACAGCGCCCACGGGACCGTAGGTTCACGGATGCCAACATAGACCTTCCATAGGGAATAATACATTTCGCCCACTGCGTGTTCCTCAAGTATGAGGATCCTGCGACTGGCGAATGGCAATCGGTTCCGCGGGAAGTATTGTATCGTGACAAACATCAGCATCCTTAGGTAGCATGTGTATTGCATTGTCTCTCTTCAGGGAAGGTCAGACACATGTGGTGGTGTAGACAATTTGGTAGGCAGTTCACCTGTCGCTGTAGTTCATAAACTCGCTACTGGTGCTGGCACACTTCTGGCCAGTTGATACATGGAAGTAGTTCATTGACAATCATGATCGATAGATTTCGCGTTAACTGAAAACGAAATAGGCGGTTGAAGAAAGTAGGAGGTTGGATTGTAAAGCAAACCGTAAGAAGTGTGTTCTCTTGCCATGCTGCAGCTTGCAGTGTGCATTTTATTTTGGACGAGGTGGTTGCAAATACTTCGGCCAGGTTGGCGTTCTGTAAGCCCAAAGATACTTGCAAATAGGTCACGAGCACCACGGCACGTTTTGCTCTCTTCCACAGGAGAGAAAGCGCTGATCAATTCTCTCGGCGAACCTGCGAGATCATAGCCTTGTGAGAATCAGCCGTAGAGTTCAAAAACATCATTCGATTTCAGAACACGATCGAGTGTCTGGATAAGAGTCATCGTGCAACACGTTATTTAAGTGATTGGGATCATCGCTGTTGCAGGGATGCCGCGTCAATTTCGTGGATTCATGCAGAGCAAAAGTCTCCCCACTTGGTGTAGAAACTACGAGGGAACTTGCAACTGCACGAGTATCTCCTCGATCTGTTGATCTACCATACATACATCCAGGTTCATCCTCAAAATCTCTATCATTTCTGCCGTGGTCGTTGTCCTTGTCGCTGAAAAGTACGACGTCGTTCGCGAGAAAACGCGCCTTGGAAATTGCCGAACGCGTCACTGATAAGATTTTCTTCAGTGCGGCCTCAAGATTACTAGTTCAGGAGTAGTTGACCCAAACATCCACTTTCGGCACAATTGCTACTCAAAATGTCCTCAGAAATTGTGAAGAAGAGAGGCAGACCCAAGAAGGTCGTCTCTGACCCGGTTGAGTCCGAATTGGCAGAACCAACTAAGAAATCAACATCTACCCGGACAAAGTCCACAAAGACAACTACCACAAAGCCAACGACGGCAAAGAGTACTGCGTCTGCGAAACCCTCTACGGCTGCGACGCCTACACCAAAACCCAATGCTGATGTGACGGCACCTCCATCTCCGAAGGCCGGCTTGAGGGCAGCAACTCCAGCCGTAAAGAAAGCAGAATCCAAAGCACCTCCCCCTCCAGCGGCAAAGAAATTAAAACCACAAGCTCCTTCGCCAGCTCCAGCGGCAGTCAAGGCCCAATCTCAAGCGCCTTCACCGGCTCTTGTAAATGCTGCAGGCAAGAAGTTGCCCATAACACCGGCGACATCCAAAATCCTAAGCAAAGTCCGAGAACTCTCTCAACAACAGAATACCCCATCCACACAAGAGCCTACGCCATCTTTCAAACCACCAGCAACAGCTACCTCGGCCAAAATCCCGCCAACAAAGCCTATATCATCCCCTAAATCCCCGCCAGCACCGAAGCCCATTGCATCAACACCACCCCCTCCTTCAAATCCAAAACCTCCCATCGCTGCGCTCAATTCCGCAATCGTGTCTAATATAACGACGCGCGCAGGCGCAAGACCAAGTTCAAGCGGGAATAGGCCGTTGCCACCAAATTATAAACCGGTGGCTAGGAAAATTACAATGGCGATTGTGGCGATGCCGATTGTGATTGTCACGAGTTGGGTGTTATATGAGAGGTGTAAGTTCTGCCTTATATGTCCCTAGGATCACTAAATGGATTCGCTAACGTTTGGACGTAATGAATAGTGGTGTTGGGACACGATCGAAAACTTCTTGTGATGCCTGGATTACCAGAAGCTGATGTGGGGAAAGAGGAAAAGGTTGTGGTATCATCGACCTCAACCCCCGAATAGATATGGGAGCTGTGCGAAGAGGCTGGCTGGAGATGAGCATATATTGGGAATGTACACAAATGAACAATCGCCATGATACGATGTGTTATGATAATGTATTCTTGGTAGGTATATATACAAAGGAAAATCTCTACATTGGAAACCTAATTAGGACATATTAGGAGGCATTGGGTATTATTTCAAGGTGTTGCACCTGCTACGCTCCATATCCTCAGCTGTAGCTAATTTTAAGCTGAGGAAGTGGCGGGTTTGTTAGATTTCTCAGAAACAATAGTTCTAAAATCTTGTTTGTTAATTGCTTTGGGTTTAAAAATTTTGGGATGTCCTCGCATCGCGGTTGTGGTCGCTTTTCTTGACGAACTACATTGTGTGTGGCACAATATGTCTTCACACGAACTTACAAAGTTCAACTAACTCAACTATTCATATACAGCATCGCCCACCTTAATCAACGAGCCTTACCATGAGCCGTAGGTGGGATACTAGCAAATAACTAAAGTCATCTGCAAAAGCAGACATCGCCTATCCATGCCAACCTCTACTCCAAACATCAATGTACTAGCCGTGAGAATTCCGTGAGAATTACACTATCTAGACACCCAGCTTGCATCTCATCTCTAGACAATCTCTAATAGACCCAGGGTTTCCGAAATCAACAAGCCAACAACCCCCGATTAACGCGTTCTATTGCCAGAAAGGGTTGGTTTTACCAGTGCCTGTTTGATTCTCATTTAAATGAATTTTGCGCTCAACACCAAAACGCGGCAATGAAACCATCGGAAGTTCATAATATGCAAGCTTCGGGTCGCAACTAGCTATGCTATACCGTGGAATCTTGTGTGTCCCCGTGCAGTTCTATCACCGCGAAGAATGTAAGCAGCAAAGGGTTTTGCAATCCGCAGTAGAAAATCCCGGCTTGACGCTTTGGCTACAGTACCTCGCACGTAAAGTTCCTTTGACATCCATCGCTTTTGAGATGTTGCCCGCTTGGAGGAGTCGGTCAACAGACATGTGCCTTGGCTGCATGATATATCGACTTTGTTCTGTTGGATCTCGTCGGTTTCGTCATACGCTCCGCTCTTAAAGTAATGGTAACATGACCATAGGCTCTCTTTTCACTCCCGAAATTATTGCTTAGGAGGATCATCCCAGGTGACTACCAACCGGGACCAGCGTACCTATCCCTCGGAAGAAGAGACGTTACTTGTACCGTGGAGATCTGGGGCCTCGCATCTGCTTGGGATCATGAACATGAACAACAAATGCCCCTTGAATTGTGGTCCCGTGTTACTGAGGAAAGGCTACGGAAGACCTACGGCTGTACTTCGTACAGCTTTGTAGGGTTATCGGCGAGTTAGCTGCCTGCATTTTCTATACTACGCATTCAATCCCCTGAAAATACAACGCCAGGCGAGCTTCTGACGTTCCCTGTTGATCATCAATTCGAGACCGTAGGGGTGGCCAGGAAGCCCCGGGGCCAGACTGCCTGCTCGGAGTCGACACAGTTTGACAAGAAAAGGAAACTATCCCGGTGTCCTGTCGGTCGAACAACTACCGGACGCACTACGGAGGTACCGCAAGGCACTTCCGTACCTGAAGGCTCACATCCTACGAGTAACTAGTATCTCTAGATGTAGTGATACCCGTACAAAGTGCTGTATGGACTTCCGTGGCGGCGATGGCTACTTTATATCGCCTTGCTTGTACGAGTATATCAGCAACAGCAAGCCGTCATACTGCGTCTTGTTCAGATTAATCTACCTGGAATAAGCCGAGTTGGTGCTAGGCCTATGCCAATAACACCAACAGCCAATAACACCCCGAAAATTGAGAGGCATAAGGTAACCTGGGGTGCATATCGATCGTGGCGCTCATGCGCCGCCCCCTGGGGCTACCTGTCCCTCGGCAGTCAATATTCCGATTCCGATTCACGAGACACCAAACATCAAACACCAACTTCAAATGAGCTCTCCGGACAAGATGACAGCGGAGAAAAGCCTCTTCTCAGATTTTTATGTCTCTCCTTGTCTCATTTCCAACCCAAATGCCATGGCGCGCGATGGAACCGTTCTCCTCTGGCCGTCTTGAATCAGCTTCTTCAGGAAGGCGATGAGCTCGCCAAGTCTGTCGTCTGATGGACACCGTCTGGCCCAGCATGTTGTAGTTGTGAAGAATAAGTGGAGATGAGAAGTCTGGGATGCATCAACAAGATGCATCATCTGACGGGGGTTCTGAAGGATCGTTCGAGTTGGAACAAGTCAAACGGACATATATCTAGGCAATGACCTCCCTTCAGTCTTGAGAACGCACTGCCCTTTTGACCTTTTGACTACTCCTGTCAGGCGCCCAAGACTCCATCTGTTCTCACGGCATGTTATAGTTGGCATTGAAGGTATGTTTTGATTGAGATGATGTTCTGTCGTCTGTCGTTCAAAATATGAAGAAATATTATCCCCAAATCCATTCCCGTGCTAAGAGCTTGTTAGTGATCAGCACCATGCTTTTTGCCGCATTTCTCGTCACCCTGGTGGCGATCCTGTCTCAAAGATCGACAATGGTAACCGCAGCCGGGTGTTGGAGGAATACCGCCTGCAATGGCCCATCCACGCCCGCATTTTCAGGAAGCTGGGACAAGTACAACTATTCACCTTCGAGCCGAACAGTTACTCCGAAGAGAGTTCGTTCTTCCAGCGAAATCACCTTTGCAGATTTTCACGGACCCGCATCGTTGACGGGCAACGGCTCTTCTCTCATATTTGATTTTGGCTTCGAAGTTGGTGGCATTGTGACCGTCACTTATGCTGCCAGAGGATCCGGGTCACTGGGTTTGGCCTTCTCGGAAGCGTCAAACTGGACCGGACAATGGTCCGATAGCTCGAGCGGTTCATATGTGCCGGATGGAGCCATATTCGCCAATATCACCGCCACAAGTGAAGCGAACTACACCATGCCTGACGCTAAACTCCGAGGTGGCTTCCGGTACTTGACCCTCTTTACTGAATCTAACGGGCAGATTGAAGTAGATATTACAGACATAACGCTAGAAATTGCATATCAACCCTCTTGGTCCAATTTACGAGCCTATCAAGGATACTTCTACTCTAACGATGACTTGCTGAACAAGATATGGTATGCCGGAGCATATACCCTCCAGACGAATGCCATTCCACCTGCTACTGGTCGCGAAATTGTTGGTGGTGGCTGGCAAAACGATCGGAATCTCAATGACGGAACCACCGACCCAACCATCTATGTTGATGGAAGCAAACGTGATCGCACTGTTTGGGCGGGGGATCTCGCCATTGCTGTTGCTAGTATTTTAGTGAGTACGGGAGATACCGAAGGTGTGAGAAACACGCTGCAGGTGTTATACAACGATCAGGTAGGTAGCTTCATATTATTCTTACCTTCGAAATACCTTGCTCACCCTGTTATAGGCTGATAATGGAAACCTCCCTTTTGCCGGACCTGGGCTTTATATTTACAACTCAGATACATACCATATGGCAACGCTGATCGGAACTTATGATTACTTCCTATATACGAACGATAGAGATTTCATGTCCGGAGTATGGAATAAATACAAATTAGCCATGGCATATATTACAGGCAAGATCGACAAAACAGGATCAATCTGGGTGACGGGGACCGAGGACTGGGGCCGTGTTGGCCAAGGAGAACATAACACTGAGGCTCAAATGTTGCTATACAAGACCCTCACGAGTGGCAGCCAAATCGCAACCTGGCAAGGAGATTCAGCATTGTCGTCAAACTGGTCATCGCTGGCAGCAACTCTGAAAAAGGAAATAAACAGCGCTTATTGGGATGCTTCAGTTGGGTATGGCTAACCATTCTATCATTCTGCCTCTTGCTCTCTAACCACCTCCCAGTGCCTTCAAAAACAGCGACGTAGATACCAACGTCTACCCCGAAGACGCAAATAGCATGTCCCTCGCCTTCGGCGCCGCCGATTCCTCCAAATACTCCACTATCAGTAAAAGCCTCACCAAAAACTGGGGTCCCATCGGCGCAATCTGCCCCGAATTACCAGGCAACATTGTCGGGTTCGTTGAGTCCTTTGAGATCAAAGGACATCTAGTAGCCCGGGAAGCAAGCCGAGCTCTTGATCTCATACGCCGCTCATGGGGCTGGTATCTCAATAACCCCACCGGAACTGGAAGTACGACCATTGAAGGCTATCTCGCTGATGGCACGTTTGGCTACCGGTCCCAGTACGGGTACAATAACGATTACTCGTATACTTCGCATGCCCATGGCTGGAGTACCGGCCCCACTGATGCTTTAACCTCCTACGTTGTTGGCTTGACCCTCACTGCACCAGGTGGAAGTTCTTTCCAGATCGCACCGCAATTCGGAGACCTGACGCATGCTGAAGCCGGATTTATGTCACCTCTAGGCAAATTTGAAGCTAATTGGAGTTTGATTGAGGGTGGGTACACGGTTGACTGGTCAGCACCGGGCGGTACCAGCGGTGTGCTTATCTTGCCCGCCGCAAATGGAAAGCAACCCACTATCGAGGTGGATGGGAAGGGAACGATGCAGAGTCAGGAGTTTGACAGCGCTACTCAGACCGTTACGGTTAAAGTTGGGGATGGGAAGCATAGAGTTCACGTTACTTATTAATGCGCCTATATCTCGATGGTCTATAGTGGATAGGATTTGCTTTGCAGCATTTCATTCTTCGTGGAGTTTCAGGGGAGGCGATATGGGCCGAGCGGGCTATTCATCGCGTGGATATTAAATGAATTAGGTGAGCATATTTGGGATGCAGAATAAGTCTATTGATGAGAAGATGAGCAGATGAGATATACCCCAATAGCAAGATATTTCCGTTTCTAGGATACTCTCTACATCGTGCATATAGTAAAAAGGGTACTTCGTACTGTCATGCAATCCACTGCCCTACTATTCCCCTGTATCCCATTGAAGTGTAATAGGGGCGAGATACAGTGTCATATTTTCAAGGCTATTGGCAATATGTGCAATTGATATATGTGATTGATAAATCCCAGATGCTTGATGTTGGACCTACAGCTCATTATCACATATTCCCACTATCAGCAGGCCCGATCATCCAACATATAATTCAACCATCCGTCCCTCCACCTTTCACCGGCGGCCTCAACTCCCCTGACCCGTACTCAAACTCGGTGGTAAGTCCTCCGGCTTCGTTCCCCACTTACTCTCAGTGCTCCCCAATGTTAACTCCAACACACCCCCGTCGAGCCAAAACTCATGGCCAATCCAGTTCTTAGTATACTCCTCCCCATTCAACTTCGCGCTCTGGATATAAATGTTCTTAAAGCCGGGATCGAAATTAATACTCTTAATCGTAGCCTTCTTCCCAGTCTGCCGATTCGTGATCGAGACTGAAGGCAAGTAAGGCGCGTTGATGAGATACACGTTTTGGCCTGCGACGGGATAGAGACCTATCATAGCAAGCGTGCTAAAACTACCCATGGCGCCAGAATCGTCGTTCCCTGGTATACCGTTGAGTGATTCGTTGAACTGCGAGGGGATGTAGAAGTGAGAGAAGTATGAGGAGAGCCCTGGACGGCCAGCGTAGTGGAATTGGAACACGGGCAGGAAGGCTTGTTCGTCACCAATATAGAGCAGGCCGGAAGTGTGCAGGTAGCTGAGGCGGTCGACGAAGCTTTCTGGGCCACCGAGAGTTTTTATGAGGGTCGCCATGTCTTGTGGGACGTAGAACGTATACATCCACGCACTGCCTTCGTAAGTCTCGCCACCGTCTCCGTTGAGGTAGCAGGACGTGAAGCCTAGGAGTGGGGAGCAGCGGAATGGGTCTTGGTACGCCCATGACCCGTTGGCATGCTTTGGTTGTAGGAATCCTATAAACCCGGGGTCGACAGACGTCCCCTCGTGCCCATTAGAGTTGGGGACGATGGACGTTTGGTCTGCCTTGTACAAATTCATCCAGTTTTGGGATCTCTTGTAGTATTTCTCTGCATCATCAGGGTGGCCGAGTCGCTTGGACATTTCGGCGATGCAGAAGTCATTGTAGGCGTATTCGACTGTTCGAGAGACTGACCGAGTATCATAATTTTCGTTTTTTGGGATGAAGCCTTTAGTTTTCCAATCCTCGAGTCCGCCTCGCCCCGCGACTGACCAGTTTGGAGGATCCTCTACGCAGATTGTCAATATAGACCATTTCACCTCAAAACACCATTATAGGGGTGTTTTTTACCTTCTGCATCCGAAACCACAGCTTTATAACCAGTTTCCCAGTCCACGCCGTCTTTGATATTCTTCAAATAGGCATCTGCCAACACAACATCTGCATTCGAACCGCCCTGTGTCCAACCTTGGCATAGCGACATTCGACAATCAGGAAGTTTACCTACAAATAATCAACCACGTATCCGTTGATATGAAAGGAAAATCACGCACCTTCATGCCTATATATATCAATCAAACTCCTAACCATTAACGTCTGACTCTCCGGGTCAAGTATAGTAAGTAAGGGATGGATACTTCGGAACGAGTCCCAGATGCAATAATACGAGTCATAATACGGCTCCGTTGAGTTCCACAACGGGTTCTCGCCGGTATAGTCCTGCGGCGAAATCATTGATCGATAAATTCCAGACCAGAACACCGTCCAAAACCGAGTACCGATCTGGCCTTCCTCGATTTCCACCACGGAAAGCTTATCTCTCCATGCATTTGTGGCGGCTGTCTGCACTTTCGCGAAATCAAAATCTGGAATCTCCGTTTCTGCATTCTTGCATGCTTTATCAATGCTAATGAACGAAACCCCAACTCGAGCTAAAATCTGGTTATTTTCTGCTGGGGGATGGAACTGGGTCCAACCTCCTGCTGGAAACCGCCAGTCTTCGAGCTTAGGAGTCGTGCCATTTGCTGGTTTTGGCAAAGGTTTGCCGTATTGCCACACTCCCGTATCCCTGACCTCAGCACCCTTGAAATCGATGCAGAAATAGAGCTGGTAGGACCCCATCCCGAAAGACGGAGAAAAGGTACCATGCCCAGTTTGCCGGCCAGTTTTAGGATCCACTTGAACTCCACCGTCCCTTATGGAGTCCGGTAAGTCCGTCAAGTCCACAAGTATTAGAGGACTGTAGGGCAGCCCGGTTTGATTTTTTAATTCTGTCGTGTTGGCCTTATAGGGGAATTCAATGCTGTACAATACAGAGTGGTTGCTAACAGTTATCTGAGTCCGGATCCCAGTCTCTAGAGTGACTGCAAAGTAGCCCGGTTTAGCAAAAGTCGTGTCCTTTTTTCTTTTTACAGCGCGGTCCGCTTCGCTAAAGAAGCAGTTGGTGATATTGTCGTCACGACAGCCCGTTTGTGGGAAAATAGGAAAGTTTCCTAGAGACGGGGCCTATGAATCTTGCGAGTCAGATGATCGAGCTGTTTCAAATTGGGGTTGAGCTTACCCCTCCAGTGCCAGAATCGTGCATATGAGAGAAGCCGGTGATTTCACTGTCATCTGAGGCAAACCCTCCCTGATTTTCATTGGGGTTATTAGTATCGGCGACGGCCTTTGCCATACCTTCGAGATATTAGTACGATTGGCTGGGTAAGATATTTGTAACTTCCGTACCGAATGGCAGCGTTGCCCCAGGGAAGACATGGCCTATGGTTTAATCATCAGCTCAACCCGGGCACACTTTCAAGACTGAATATATCCTGACCTCCGTTTATGGTACCGATCAAAGGATCGATATAGACGAATTTGTCAAAACTGGTATCGCGGGCTTCTTCGACGGCTGCCACGGCCAGCGGCACCAGGAGGAGCCCGAGCAACGACTTCTGCTTGAGATTATACATGACCATGAAGCCTCTCAATAATCACGACAAAACAGACCGTCGACTGGAAGCCATTGATAGAATTGGAAGGGGCAGGATATTTATTTAGAATTCCCCGCGAAGCTTTTCATGGCTCCTGGCTCCGGTCCCCTTGCGGAACACATGCCGATGGATGGCACCCCGCGTTGTATACAATTCTACCATAAGGGGAATATATATATTACCACGTTACATAGGCTGCCCACTCACATGCCGTATGTTGTGCCTGATCGACTTATCCCCAGCACATCGAATAGCCATCCGAAATAGTGGTGCAAGGTTGTACCCAGTGACGATGGGGGTTGCAATCTACTATACCTATCCATGTGTATTGCAGGTGGCATGAGAGGGGCGGGGTGGCATTTGTGGCATTGTGGCAGACGCCTTTACCGGTCGAAGGCTGCTTGGCGGATAGCTGCTTCGGACCATGCGTACCGGATTAATATCCATATAAAATCCGTGGCCTGAAGCTCGAAGGATAAAAGGTCGTAACTTGATCATCTGCCGGCAAGAATAATACTTCGTAAAACTCCATGGGTGCCAAGGGGGAAGGTCGTTATCGGGCCATCGCTTGGAATGTAGCCGAGAGGACCTGCCCACGGCATACGGGCTAATAAGAGCTTTGTAGTGCGCTATTGGCTTAAGAAGATTAAGAAAATCTACAAAGTAACCGTCGTAGCAAAAGACAAGCTACGTTCTATATCGCGCATGCGAAAGGAGAAGAGTAATTCTTGGCTCCGACTTGGAAGACGAATAGGCCCTAGCGTACAACATACAAAAAGGTTCGGTCGGATTTCCTTTTGATATCAATTTTCAATAACGACAATGGGTTGGGACATTTAGGCAAAATGAACTGACAATTCCCGATTCAGGTTCAAGGTAGGGATATAATTTCGCTGCTACTGTACTAACTCAAAGCTACTCCTACGCTTACACAACAAATTCAACCCTGACTTGGCAGTTCAATCTCCATATCAAATGCCTTCCCCATTGTTACTCCAATGCATAATAAATTGGAAATAGCTTATTCGATTTGGGCTAGCTTTGCCTCTTCCTCATCCTTCAAGAATTCAGCATTGAGTCTCGCGATTTCATCCCTTGCTTTGGCATCTTCTGGATCTTCCACAACTTCTGGTTTGCTGTTGGCTGGTGTGGGGATAATCCCCGGCTCCGATACCTCAGATAATTGCTTCGGCGCTTCCTCCTCGGTAGCTGATTCTTCCTCGACATCTGGTGCGGGAACTGCCGGCTCCTCAGTTGATGATTTCTCCTCGGGCGATGCTTGCTCCGGCTCAGAAACGATGACCGGCTGGGTATCTTCCACCACTTCCTCCACAATCTCTGGGATGGCTGAATCCTCTTTTACTTTCACTTCTTCGCTGGTAGCAAGCTCTAGCTCCATCTTAACATCGGCAACATCGGCAACATCAACAACATCAGCAACTTCAACAACATCAGCAACTTCAGCAACCTCAGCAACTTCAGCAACCTCAGCTACTCCAGCAACCTTAGCAACTTCAGCAACCTCGGCAACATCGGCAACTTCGGTAACATTGGCAACAGCTGCAGCATCTGTCGTTTGTATTTCCTTAGGCTCAGCAGGAGGGTCCTCAATAGTATGACTCTCAGCTGGCACCTCCTTGACTTCTGCTACGTGTAGATTCTGTGCCGGTTCTTCGGCGACAGTTTTGTTCTCGACTTCTGCTTTCTCCTTGATCACTGTAGGTGCCACTACTTTGGGCTCCTTCACCGCTAGCTTAGGTTGCTTCACAGCCGGCATCGTAGGAGCAGCTTCCTTCACTTTAGGAGCCGGACTTCCATTCGATGCATCATGAGCTTGCGATGTTCTATCCCTCGTAACTGGCGTCTTAACAGACTGTGCTCTCTTCGGTGGGGTCATGTCTGGCTTGTCGGCCGTCTTAGATGCAGAAGACGTAGTTGGCCGCATCATTCGAGCCAGGAACGAATCATCAGCGGGGGCCGACTGCTGGCCTAGGCTGGCTCGCGATGCTTGTTTCTTTACTGCAGGGGGTGGGGGGCCAAGTGAAGGTCTGCCGCTGGCTTTGTTTAGATTTGATGGTTTGCGGGCGAGGGTTGACTTTGTAGTCGTCAGGCTTGCTCGACTCGGTGAGCGGGAGGCGGCGTGGTGTGCTTGTAATGAGTTGGGAGGTTGTGAGTTTCCGGATGCACGACTAAGCGATCGTCGAACGGAGGGCGGTGATGAAGTGGTCTTCGATCCCGACGAAGCAGTATGTGCTGTGAGCGACGCAGGAAGTTTAACTGGCCGGGTTGGAGATCTAGGCCGTGGTTTTTTGAATCCAGTTTGTGGTGGTGACGGTTGAATTCTTGATTTGGCGGCCGATCCATGGGCAGCGGTGGTTGGTGGCCGGCTGGCGGGCTTTGGCGGATGACTTGCTGTTGTTGAAGTTTTGCTGTGCTTGCTCTCTGTAATCTTCACTGGTGCCTCCTTTGCATGGCTTCTGTTTGGTGTAGTTGGTGTCTTGGGTGCTGCTGGAGCTTTGAGATTCTTCTTTGGAGAGGATTTTGGAGCTGTAGCTGTTTTGGCGACTGATATGGGAGACGGCTTCGTAGTCGATTTGGTGGATGCTGGCTTTTCAGCCGCTTTGGTGACTGTAGGCTTTCCAGCCCCATTCATATGTGCAGCGACCACCTTCTCATCCGGCTTCGCTATAAAAGGTTTAACCGTCTCTTTCCTCCTATCGTTGCCATTTGCGACTTCTGCTTTTTGGTCTACCTCGACCCGCGGCGTTTCTTTAGCAGCGGCTGCTTCAAACCCAGAACTAGGCTTCCTAGAGGCGCTGTCCGGAGGCATGGGCGTCTTCTTTTCCATGGAATCTTTCGGATTCTCCCCGTCAATACTGAAGCTCGATCTCCGTTTCAGGATGGTTGGTTCGCTGCTATTCTCTCTCCTCAGGCCCAGCTGCCCGCCCATTCCACCCGGCCGCTCGACGGTCACAAAGCTCGTTCGCACTTTCGAAAGAGGGCGGGGTGACGTTGCAGCACTGGGGATGCCTTCAGATACTTTAGCTGGTGTTAAGGCAAAGAAGGAAGAAGCTCACCTATTGATCCTCCAGGAGAGCGACCTCTATCTGGCGGATCGGCGGGATCCTTATTCTCAAACATGGCTCGCAGGTTGCGAACACCTCCAGACATCTTGACTGCGTGTATAATTACAAAATATATGCGGCTGTCCGATGCACCGAATTCTCAACCTAAGAAGAGAATTAATCCCACGCCACGCCTTTGTGTGTGGTGCCAGCTGGCTCTAAGTCGGGCATGCGCTTTCTTGAAGCCGTGTATTAAGATTAAAGGTCGGAACCAGGAGGAGTAGAGCCAAAACACGCGGTATGGAACAAGGAGTGGGCAGACGCGACACGCGGGTCTTGTAAACAAAGGCGGCAGAGAATGGGTACTGGCTTGCAGAGGGATAGAGATTAATAAAGAATAGGTAGAAGGTGTTCAACACTGCACTAGGCACTTCGTATGGTATGGTATATGGTATGGAGATGAGCACACGGTGGTGGAGGGCGTCGGCGTCTCGAATATAAGGGAGACAGGACGGATATTATGCAGGGGGCTCAGGGGGTTTGAAGCTCTCCTGGCCAGAAATGATGTGGGGGGGGGGGAACTTGGGGGAGCTGTCAGTCAGTTGTTCTGGCTCGGGCTCTGGCCGGGCTGTCGGGGGGTCGGTGTTTGGGAAATGAAATGCCAATAATGAAATGCCTAGGGAGTGAGTCTAGGGAGCAAGTCTAGGGACTCTAGGGACTCTAGGCACCGCCTATAGGCGCCTCAGACCCTCCTCTCTCAGTGTGGACCGATCGACCGACCATCGGACATAGAGACCTCAAGAAAGCTGTCCCAGAGCAACCATTATTCCCCCAAAAGAAAATATCCTCTGCCCCCGAGTCGCAATTGAACCACCACGCAACACAAAATGGCTGCCCGGACATTGCGCATAGGTACGGCAAGATACCACTTGTCTCCATTCAATTGCCTCCCGCTAATATACAGGTTCCTCTAGGCCTCATCCCCGGCGATGGAATTGGCAAGGAGGTCATCCCCGCCGGCCGCAAAATCCTAGAAGCGCTACCGGCTTCCCTCAAGCTTAAATTCGAGTTCGTCGATCTGAAGGCGGGTTTCGAGACATTCGAACAAACCGGGGCCGCTCTGCCAGACAAGACCGTCGAGATCCTCAAAAACGAATGTGATGGTGCTCTCTTCGGTGCCGTCAGCTCCCCCTCCAAGGCTGTCAAAGGCTACTCGTCCCCAATCGTTGCCCTGCGCAAGAAGCTCGACCTGTATGCCAACGTCCGGCCAGTCAAGAGCGTTATGACCGCCAAGAATCCAATTGATATGGTGATTGTGCGAGAAAACACCGAGGATCTGTATGTCAAGGAGGAGAAGACATACGATGCCGCCGATGGAAGCGGGAAGGTCGCGGAGGCGATCAAGCGGATATCTGAGAAGGCTTCGTTCCGTATCGCGACAATGGCTGGGGAGATCGCTCTGCGACGACAGAAGATCAGGGAAAGCGGTGCACCGAGCATACACAAGTCGCCACTTGTGACAATTACCCACAAGTCGAATGTTCTTAGCCAGACGGATGGTCTGTTTAGATCGACTGCCCGGGAGGCATTGGCTGCGTCAAGGTTCTCGAGCGTGGGCGTGGAGGAGCAGATCGTCGACTCGATGGTCTATAAACTCTTCCGCCAACCAGAGACCTACGACGTCATTGTTGCACCGAACTTGTACGGAGATATCCTGTCTGATGGCGCCGCTGCGCTTGTGGGATCTCTGGGTCTTGTCCCCAGTGCCAATGTAGGAGAGGGATTTGCCATCGGAGAGCCCTGCCACGGTAGCGCACCAGATATCATGGGCCAGGACATTGCAAACCCCATCGCGACATTGAGGAGTGTGGCGCTGATGCTGGAATTCCTCAACGAGGAAGCAGCTGCAGCGAAGATTTACGCGGCTGTTGATGGAAACCTCGAGGATGGCAAGTTGCTCAGCCCTGATCTAGGGGGAACGGCTACCACCACTCAGGTTGTTGAGGATATTCTGCGACGCTTGTAGATTATGTCGAACGGAAAAGTTTAAAATATAGATTTAGATTGGAGCCTAGATGCTTGTAGTTTCTACGCCCAGGTCCTCGCACCTATCTGCAAAGCGGAGACCTACCTGGGGGCCAAGATCTGATATCTGGAAGCTATTTATACGCATCGCCCCGAAATGCCTTGATAACATTCATGTTGAACGCCGTCAATGCCAACCAATTCCATATCATACACCGCCCCTTGTCTTGTTTTTTCTTCTCGCCTGTATCCTACAAAACTCTACATAACAGCATCCCTCCAACCTTCCTCTCCACGCATTCTCTCGCCTCTAAAATCCCCCTATCCGTACTGATAAACATACACTCCCCGGGCTTCGTCAGCCCCTTCACAAACCCGGCCTCCCTTCCGCGGACGATCCTCCCCAGACCCTCGACATCCATCCAAATCCGCTTTGTAGGCTTGCTCACCATACTCATCTGGCTCAACACGGGCTCATTGTTCCAATACTTTAAGCCGAGCCACAACCGCCGCGTGCTGATATTCTCTTGTGTGACGGGTTCGGGGACGTACGTAGACAGGGCGTCGAAAGGTGGAGGAGTAAGGCCGCCGCGTGCTACCGTTGACAGGAAGCCGGAGGTTTGTAGCGCGAGTGTGAGCCGGAGGATCATGTTGGAGGAGGGGACGGACGTTAGGCCCAGGCGGGCCTTGGAGGCATTTTGGAGATGCGAGCACACGTTTGAGAGGTGGACGAGTGACATATTGAGTGGTTTGGGCGAGTGGCAGCTCGTACAGAGGTTCTTTGGCCCGCGCGGGCGCAGTTGGTGATGGGCTCCAGATGGGGAGGTAGGAGGCGGAAGCGTATTAATCGATCTGGAAGCCGTGATTAGAAGCTTATTATGTAGGGATAGGACAAGTTCCAAAGCTGTACCTTTATCGAAAATGACGATTAGATCTGAATAACGCGAGTATCCTAATTGTGCGTTGTTGGCTTGCTTGGTGTGGTGAGAGCTCGAATTTCGTGATGCCGAAAAATAAGTTTGCCGAGAGCGCGACGACATCGAGAGGGACAGAGCCTCACCTCACGACCACATCAACCCCTGCCAAGATTCTAGCATCTATCTAACAAATTCGATATTTCTTAGGCAAACGGGTCTGCAGTCCTTATAAATGTATAAGTTCTGCTTCCCTTTTTTTACTACTATGCAATACTTTGTTTGATTTTGCTCGGCCATGGTCAAAATCAGATTCCCTGTCAACCTCCCCCAACCTCTACCGCCAGAACAGATCTTCACGACATGGCAACCTCAGTCCCTAGACCTGACCCCACGTATTCGCTATTTAAAAACAAGCCAATTGAGCAGTGGATTTCGGAGGTCGGAGTTGGTAACATCATAACGACGGCTGCCAAACCCCAACAAAGCTTTAGAGATCCCCTCGTGCAAGCAATCGTGCATCGCGATCGCGACCGATTCATTGCCTCTATTCGTGACGATGATGTCTGTCGCCTCGCAGCATTGTATCACAACGGCGACGCCTGCAAATTTTTCAAGCCGCCAACTCGCGGTAGCTACAACATCTGTTACTTCTTGCAATTTGGCTCCTCCGTTGAGGAAGATGGCGATAAATGGGTGGTGCGCGTGCCTCTTGCGCCTTGTCTGGCGTTTGGTAGCAGGAGTAAGCTTGAGAGCGAGGTCGCCACAATGCAGTAAGAGTGTTCGTCTATGTTTATGATAGATGAGATGAAGCTGATATTTCTTGTAGGCTGATAGCTGAGAAGACGACAATCCCGATCCCTAAGATCCACGCCTGTGCCCTCGGCGACGACACTAAGCCACTTTCCTCGTTCCTCATGTTCCAATATGTTGAAGGCCGAAAGCTGACCCACGCCGATATTAAAATACTCTCAGATGAGCAACGCACACGCTTGTAGACTTCCCTCGCCGACATATATATCCAGCTTAGACGGCTTGAGTTCCCCTCGATTTGGTGTCTAACGCAAGGGCAAGATGGTTTCGAGGTCTGCAAGAAGACCTTTACCATCGACCTTAATATACAAGAGCTGGAGGGCCTAGCTCCATATAGCATCCAGAGCCGGTACTACGGTGGCGGTAGGATTCTTACTTCAGCTAACTACTACATTACGATGCTGCTTAAGATTGCGGACAATGCATTTGCCAAGGATCGCATACCTATCTCGCAAGAGGAGAGTGAGGATCATTTCTACTATCTTCACATGTTTCGCCAACATGTCAAGGGCTGAGCTGATCACAGTTTCGACCGTGGCCCCTTTGCCCTAGTACACGGGGATTTGGAGTTGTTTAATCTGATCTTGGATGATGACATGAACATCATTTCTGTTCTTGACTGGGAGTGGAGTCGAGTGGTCCCCTGCCAGTTCTTCAAACCACCTTTGTGGCTTAGCAGTTCCACGATACAGGACCTGTCCTACGGCTACCGATATAAGGACTTCCTCGAACCCTTCGACAAATTTCTGGCCATCCTGCGGGTCCTCGAGCGGGAACGATTTGGTAGCGAGCTTTTGGCAAATGAGTGGGACAAACACAAACAGAAAAGTGGGTTCATGGCCGCTAATGCTTTAGAAAATTGGACTGCCATAGACTGGTTCGCTAACCGATATATCAACTCGAGGGTCTATGGTGGGAACGAGGATCTATCGGAGCGAATAATGGCATTCATGCAAGCTGACCCTGCTCGCAAAACATTGATCGAGAGGAGACTCCTAGAAGCAGCTTCTTTCACACCACAGCTCAAACAACTAAACGATTCTACTGGCTACTTACCAGATCACGGCGTTGCCACGGCAGCACCAGATGGCACAAGGAAACCTATTTCCACACAAGATTATCTGACGCGGCTATGGAAAACATCCCCTTTCATACTGAAGCTCTTCCATTCACTATGGGAGGCATTCTTGTCGTCGCCGGCGTCTCGTATTTATTTCGGAGACTTATAGCTCATGCCTTGTTGTCCTGGTAAGCCCACACGTAGTCACTAGGTCGAGCCTATAAGCTTCTTCGGGCAGTTTAACTCCTCGTCTACTTTGGAAAATTGCTCTTCTAGGCGTTCGACCGCAATGTCCAGGTCATCCAGCAGATCGTCACTGAGGTAAGTTAGGCTACAGAGGTACCCTAGGTGCATTATACAGAAGGCAAGATCCCTAGAGTTAAGTTCACCACCTCAGAAACGACATGCTAAAGGTAGCCAATACTTATTTTTGTTAAGGCTGGGACGGTGAACGTTATGGCTCGCCAAACTCCCTCTTCCCATATTTGCCAGCCTACTCCTATTAATAAGAAAGGAGAGCATTTGTAATGGATTGTAGATGGCAGCTCTTGACCGGCGATATAAGCGCGTGCCGGAGTCGCGTGATGATTTGGTAGCTTCCTAGGTTTCTATCAGCTCTACACATTTTTTTGATCTATTCTAGCTTCTTGCGGAGCATATTCACTTGAATAACTTTTTTCGCTCCCCGTCAAGCATGTCGATGAGTTTCTCGGTTGTTAAGTGCGAACCCGTAGTTGGATTCGGTGGCATGGCGAAATAGTAGCCCCAGCAAGTGGTGAAAAGAGGAAGTGAAGAACACCAAAGCGAAGTGAGTTGTGAAGTAAACTCAGGCGAAGTGAGATAAAGTGAAGTGAGGGGAAGGGAGGTTACTAGTCAGGAAAACATAGACTAAATTGCTTAAGTATATCTAGTATGGTTATTCTTCGTGCTAGAACTTTTATAAGACATTGCCTAACCTTGGAAAATTCCAGTTTATAACCCATCGGCTGCATTGTTCATTATCATGTTGTACAATAGAGTCTGGGGTATTTGGGCTTAATGTTGAGAATAAAAGAACGGTTTTGACCCTGAGTAAGCTACGGCATAGGGCTCATAGGGTGGGTTGAGAGAAGCACCTTCCACTTCGAATGCTACCTATTTAATCGACAAAGCCGCCCCGCTTTTTTGAAGCGCTCTTCGCCTCTACGCGACTCGAGGCGAGAAGTACTTGTCTCTTCAAAAAGCCAAAAGAAAAAGAAAAAAGGCCTCAACATCCTCAGTAAAAGAGATTGGAATAAAAAATAGAAGAATATTCAGAGGCAAAATATGGCAAAAAGGTTCGAGATACCTGAGCACCAGGATTACTCTACATCCTCCCCTAGATAGGACATAGTCGTATCTAGGGCCGTTTCCCCTGTCCAATCTGTACTCCTCGGTGGTTAATGCACAGTCGCGATTTTGGCTTCACCCCGGGGTGCTGGGGATCATTAGCTGCTATCAGAAAGTGGTGTTTGGGAATTCGTCCGTATTGGCGTTCGAGCTGGTCTCCCGTTTGAGCCAGGTTGCCGGTTGTTAAGTGAAAAGGACTTAAACTAAATTATATAGAGTAGGAGTGTATTCACCGTCAAGAGCTGCTCAATTTGGAAGTTGCGGTGGACTTCTGCCAAGAATATAAACAACACGTGATCCGATTCGGCTCGGGCCCCGTGCAAGGGTCGCAAAGTTTATTTTCGCGCAAAGGCGCTTAAGATACAGCTACTCGACTGGCTATTAATAGCATCCTATTGGACTCCAACTGACAAGTATCTTGCCGCCCAACGTGCTCTAGCTCAGGTCTTTGATTCTTTAGATTCCAGGTCAGTCGCATTTCTTCGTCCTTCCTCCCTCTCGCACCACTTTCTTGGTTTATCATTTTCTCCTGTTGCAGCTGTAGATTGTTCCCATCCATACCTTCCTATACTCGTCCTTCTGCGCAAGACACTACGCGTAACATGGCAGCGCGACCCGGGGAGGAGCTTGTGGCTACTCTGTGAGCTCAATCTGGTTATAATCCAGCATTAAAGACTAATAACATATAGCTTCGTTGATGCGCACTACTACTACAGTCCTCCGACTTCGAAACCTCTGCATCATCGCTTCGATAAGAGCTCCTACCTCTACCTCTTTGAGAATGCGACACTGAGGAGAGCGAGGATAGAGATCGCCAACAATGCCGGAACGCCTGAGCAAGATGCCTTTACCGGACGTACGGATTCTTCAAGGGTTCTATTTTCCAGTTCGAACGCTGACTTGTGCTGTTAGATCTTGATGGTGCCCATGTTCATTACTCGCACAAACACTCAAATCTTGTCACACTGACTGTCGATGGGCATAGTCGTCAAGCTATCAGCGGGCCGCCGCCTGATAGCCAAGAGTGGCATCTCCCTACCTTCGATCCTCGGAATGAAAAGAAATACATGTACAAGCTCCATACTGTCGATGTATATTTCTGGCTGAAGGAGGATGCGCATCAATTCCTGAATGGTGTTCGGAGGGTTTTGCCCCCGCAGCAAATCACAATACAAGATGAACCGGTTGCACCTCCGCCTCATCAACACGACATGAGTCCTGTAGTTCAGAAACTAGAAAATATGGCCATTACGCATTCCCCATACCACCAGGGGCAGATTGGCAGTTCTCAACCTGCACCCGCTCCTATATCTCAGTCCAGCACTAGTACATTCCCTGGGCCACCTATTTCAGCAACACCACAAAGTCAGGAAGCATCCAACTTTGCGCCACTTGCATACAACCCCGCCGCGCCAGCAGCCCCGGAATCTATCATGCATCGAGAGAAGACCCCTCCCCCTCAGGATGGAGCTGCAAATCCTCTTGCCGCAGCGGCAGCCTCAGACCAAGGCCAGACCTACGGTATCTCTTTTCAAAATCCAGGAGGTTTTGCTGCTCCTCCAACCCAGGCCACACAGCAACAACATGGTTATTTCCCCGGTCCTCCAGCACCCACTGCACCTCCATCACAGTTCAACCAACCTCCTCCCTCCGCTGGGATGCAATCGCCCTACGCGCAACACTTCCAACACTCCTTCGCCGCTCCCCCAACCGCGCCAGCAAGCTCAAGTCCCTTCTCGCAACCACCCCCAGCTGCGCCTGGCCCTCCGCCATACCAGCATCAACCGCAAGCCTCAGCACCGCATATCCCCGTGACGCAACAATATGCTACACAACCTCTCTCCCCAGGATTATCGTCATCCGGCGTCCCCTCCCCAGGGATTTACTCTCCGCTCCAAACTCCTGGAACGTATGCGCCAGCGGCACCTTCCCCGCCAAGCGCGCCGCCAGGCGGCTTCGCCACCTTCAATTATGCGCCACAGCAGCAGCTCAACCGTGCTCATACGCAGCCTCTGATGACCGACTATTCGATTCACCAACAAGCTTATAGGCCGACAGCAGAGGAGGCAGCCGCATACGGAAATGAGAAAAAGCCAAAGCCACCGGGGGGAAAGCTAGAAGCACATGGAGCGCAGGTAGAGAAGGGTGTTAGTGGGTTATTAAGGAAGCTGGAGAAGAAACTTGGATGAGTGAGTTTGTGGATGTGGAGGTCAAGTGTGGTACTGCGAAGGGGAGATGACCGTGGAGCTAGTAAGTGAATATGTTTGCCTATCTATATGACTAATGAATAATCTTGGTTCGAACGCAAGTACGAGTTCTTCTGAATTTGATACCAATATTCTCCGCCCAGTTTTATCCAAATCCAAATCCAACCCCAACCCCCAGAATTCCAAACCGGCCCGTTCCGTCCATTTTAATACGCCAGTCCTTTCCCAAGTGGGGTATATCACGTGTGGCATTCTCCACATCTCCTTTACCCCTGAGCATGCGCAGGACCGTTCACGTGTGGAATATATGCGTCCTTAGAATTATCATCAGTGTCAAATTGTGTGCCAACACCGACGAGATCATATCCCCAATCGGCAATGTCTTGACCAAGTGGTGCGGTATAGAACGGCTGAGGGTTGTCATGTGGAATCCAATACACCGGATTCTGGACATTGGTTTGGCCATGGGGATAGCCTGCCTCAGAGACGCATTCAACATTGCCCGAGGATGCTCGGTCCTGAGTGTGGCGCACGGTGGGTTGTTGAATGTTACAAGCATTGTGTAGCCCTTGAATTGAGAGGTCAGAATGCTGTTGGGACGTCATGGCCACTTGGGTTTGGCCCTTGCCCAGCCGACCCCAGATGCGTGGGGGCAAGCGCACGCCCAAAGCCTGGACGGTATGGAGATGTGTGGCGTTTTGCTGTTGGGTATTGCGCTGGGCAGTGTTGTCTTGGTGGATGGAGGATTGATAAGTATCATGCCTCGCCAGTATCTCGGTTGTTATGGCCGTATATACCCGTGGTTCCTCAGTGGGGAAGGGGCAGTCTGGGGTTGGTGGGCCTTCGGGGTGCTGAGAGGGCATCACGGTGGGATATCGACCAAGTCGGGATGTGTCCTCACGATGGGTGTACCGATGCCTGTGGCCATGTGTATGTTAGCTTTTGAGCTTTACATAGAAGGTATCTTGCAACGCAATATGGTTCTGGAGAAGGCCATCTGAACTTACGGTGGTGGGGGACCGGCCTTAGTTTTGTCTGTGATCATGGTGCGAGCACTGGGCAACAGGTGGCAGTGGACATATAAGGCTGTGGCACCGGAGTATTGGAAGGAAAGTAAGTACCTCCGCCAATATGATTGTCAAAAGGCATTGGGATAGAGGAAACGAACAGACAGCAGCAGAGCCATCTTATATGCATATCTGCTACTCGTTGGATGTATCTGAACGAGTGAGAGATTGCGGCTGGGGGCACATTTCGCCGTCGAAATAAACCAACCTGAACGGAGAGTGCTGGACAGGAGGATACATGCTCAGGGGTAGAGATTAATTAGAAGCCGCTCGCCTCGCATCCTGAGTGTGCCACAGTCCGATTTTCACATTCTGAGATGCCAAAAGTGCAATACAGTACATTAAGGTACCTGGTATTCACGTGGCGTGGGAGAGTGGGTGGGGGTGGGAGCCCGAGAGTCAGCGTCACTTAAACCTCAAAAATAACACAACCACAAGGCTCTAGACGAGGAACCAGCAGCTCCAACCCCTCCGGGAACGAGGATCTGCGTAGGAGGCCAGTTATCAGCACTTCCCCGGGCCATCCTGCAGCTGCACACTGGCACTTGTGGCAGCGAACCTCGAGCAAAGCCAGGGCGAGACGTATTGGCACCTAATCCGGCCGCTTCTGCTTCCGCTTCCGCTCGGCAGCATCGCCTCAGCTCTTCCGTTTCCTGTTCCCACCACGTTGTTGTTCCAGTCCCACAGTTGTCAAGTTTGGCTTCCGGCTGCAATTCCACCTGCACATCAATCCGAGATCATGCGCCACTACATCCCTCCTGCCTTGCTGCCGAGTCATTCGGCCTCCCGTCCACAGCCACACACGCACCCCCCATCTGGGCGTCTGGTTGCGCACATGGCTTCCTCTGCTGGGTCACTAATTAATATCTTTCGTGTAATTTCACCCCAAGACGCACCCAGCTTCGTACCATGCTAGATGGTTGACCGGTTCGTTAACCCACTGGCTCAACCGACGTTCCCCGACGTGCGCTCTTCCTCCACACCCATCGAGTTGTCAAGCTACCCTGGTTCGAATGCACACTGCGAAGTAACAGCAATAAACATGCCTTATACTGCCTTGCTGCCAAAACTGACACCCGGAGATTTAAGCTCAACAATTATATGGCTATGGAACTAGTGACACAGTCACACAGCGCTTACTGCCGGGGTGGGCGTGCAAGCATCTCCCAAGCTAGTACTTCGTATAAGTAGGTATGTAAGACGAAGTCTCTCCCAGGGGAGGCTAATGACGTACGAATCACCCCGTACAATAACGGATCTTAATAATGATACGCCGGTGCTGTTGTCATTATTATTCCTCTGTTCCTGTGCGTTTTCGATTAACCCCTGCTATTTGAAGGGCATTTTCTAAACCCCTGCTATTTGGAGGGCAGAAAATTTCGATTAACCCCTGCTATTTGAAGGGCATTTTCTGCCCTCCAAACAGCAGGGGTTCGCTCTACAGCGCCCTCTGGCGTGCGATGATAATTGATTATTTTGCCCTATTATTCCAGAGTGGCCACCTGGTGTGCCTATTTGGGCGCTGATTCCGGAGTTGTCCTCCTCCTCAGCCTTGCGGGGCTCCAAAGCTACATGTGCTGTAGATATAGTAAGCTACAGAGCCGTGGGTGGACTCCCATTCGTCGTACACGGTCTAACGATGGACTTGTTGTCTCGGGGACCTTCCTCGAGGACGTACCCGCCAACGGGTACAGTACATATCGCACTGACCCTCCCTCTGGTCCCTACTGTGGTTGGTTCGGACGATGGTGGCCACGTCAAGGGGCGAGGATTCTTTGGTTTCCAACTATCCTCACCCTCACCCTCAGCAAAAAGCCCCCCTCCCCCCCCACGGCATCCACCACGGGACATGGGAGTGAGCGCTCAGGAACGGCCCCGGCTCCGGCCCCTCTAGTCGGGACTTCGCAGGGCGCGCTGGGGAATAATGGGAATGGCAATGGCAATGGAATGGGGACTGGCGCGTGGGGAACTCGGCACCGTGCCCCTTTATTAGAGCCCAAATGCGCTATGCTATTTTGAACAGAACACGACTTACGTACAGACGATTGCCGACGAAGTACTACCCGTACGGAACTTGACATTCCATCCGTGGTGGTGATCGCCATAGGATCTTCCGGGTAAACTTCCTCCTCGCCGTGTTTCTTTCCGACAGCATGCTCGCTCTCCCTGAGTCCTGCAGGCACCTTCCACATACGCAGCTTGTACTTCACTGCCTCGTGGGCTCGTGTTACTGCCAATGCCAGATCCTTACCAACAGCCACTTGCACTCGCCTTTTGGTCTCACTTTCCATGTACGCTTTGTTTCTGCCACCGTTCCCTTCCGCTCGCTTTTTTTTTTGGATCTTGCCTTGCAGCTCCTTTTTTGCTATCACGGTCTTGGACTCGTTTCATGCACTCGCGCCCACACTTCTCTATTCCCGATGCTCCCATCTACGTCTAGGCTTGCTGCCTCAGTCTTGGACTTTGCAATTTGCAACTAGTGGTATTATTCCATGGCAGCGTTACGCTTTGGTGTATATCCGCACTCTCACCCGTCCTAAATCCAGATATCTCTGCCTGGCAGAATAGGCGCTCGTCTAACGAGGCTAGACGAAGTTGGGCCCAGTCAGAGAACCTCGAAGTCGTTGCTAGACAACTTGTCGGAAGTACTTTGCTAGACAAAAGTCATCCTATCCCAAGGGGATACTGGAACGTATCTAAGCGTGAACCATTGATTCTGGTGACTCCTCTTATGCACAAGGAAACGGTACTGGACGACGCTCTCGTTTCATTGACAGATCAGGGAGGAGCCGACTTTCATATCACGTGTTCAGCCTCCCAATACGATAAAATATACTTAGAAGGGAATTCCTCCCTTGTTGTGGAATATTCTTACAAGATAAACTCTCACAGCCTACTCTCTAAAGTCCCAGGATGACGGGTATGATATAAGAGGCTGGCCTTAGATATGCTGCATTATGGCGCGTATCCAGTTTATATATCTGGAAACCAAACGTTGCTGACCACCTTCGCCGATAGCTTCTTCAAGCTAATTTAAAAGCGAATCTCTTTCGATGAGCGATGGGTTGGGGTCGAAGTTAAACGTCATGGAATATTATCTGGAATATCCACTTAGATACTCGCCATTTGGGATCCACGAACTTGGACGCTACCTCAAGAAAGGGGTTCTCCTGCAGAGCCTTGTCTATCACATAACCCAACTCCACACAATCAAACTTCTTCGGACCACCTTCCAATCATATCAATTGACTTTATTACTACCTAAGTCCCTTGCACGGCTTGCTAATCTCAATCGCTAACTAACTAGCAATCTCCTAGAGCTGCCGACTCTGTGGGGCGGTTCGCAACACGAGTGCTCAGCTACATTGTCACATAACAAGCAGCAAGTTCCTAGAGCTACCGGAATTGTGGACCAGGCCCCATCCCGGATCCTCGCCCACATTGACACACGACAAGGACGATGAGTCTCTCTATATTTGCTCTACATCATGCAAATGGGATGAGATATTGACTCCTTTTACCCATAATTCAGGGTGTTATCTCATGAAGTGAGCTCAGAAAGAATACCAGACTATCTAACAAGGTCATGCAGACGCTGCACCTGCCACTTGATACCTATTTTGGAACTCCTGTTTGGGCCGTGCTACTTGTAAGTATTGTGTCAGCATGAGCTTGAAACATGTCCTGGTCGTGAGGTACTACTAGACTACCTGATATGTTGTGGACAGGCACTCCTTATCGACGACGCGAGTCCTCGGTCCCCCAGGTTTCAACTCATCTGATTTGCAACCAGAAATTCCGGAAGCACTGGAAAGGCCCACCAATTTCATTATTAGTCACATCCCGCTGCATGCAAAAGCACTCAAAATAGCCTCCCGAGCAACAGAAGCTATTTGATTACTCAGGAAGTTTGCGTGAGCGATCAAGCCCCCTTCCCGACGGCCCGTCAACTGGCGCCACTCCAGTGACCAGTCTTAGCGCGTATGCGTATATTTTGGTCCTGGAAAAGTGGGCAAATGTAGTCCGTAGCGGAGACTGGGAGAATATCCAGGTCACAAAGCGCTATCGCAGCCAAACAACCCGTTTCGCACCGGTGCCACCACCTTTGAATCTGACACGCTAGTGGCGAACACGGTGGACACGGCAATTGTCCAGCGACATGTGGCGGCTCCCACGGCTTCATGAAGCTTGTGAGGGGGCCAACTGCTCTCAGGGCAGTGGACGACCCCACTGACAAACGGGCTGTGGCGTGTGTTGAACCACTGCCGGCGAAATTCAGGAGTCGCTGAGATGGTACCGCTAGAAGCGAATAGGATAACCCGCGGGGGAGACGGGTATTTCCCTGACGTGCAGGCTCAGAACCTCTTTTGGGCGCTCAATCGCATCTGCCGGTGTCTCAACCCTTCTTCCATGGGCCTTATGGTGGTCATATCCCTTCCAGTAGTGTCTATTAAGGCCCGTCAGCGAGCCCGGTTGAGTCGAGATAAACCTACGAGCCACGGAGTTTTTTAGTCTAGCTTGGACGCGGGGGTTTCGATGCCGAAAAGGTGTATAAGACAATGGGAACTCCCGTTAGATCGGGCCGGAGCGGTGGTCCGGGGGCCAGTAAAGGGGGAGCAGGTGGGTTCCCTAAGCTTTGCATGGCAGCAAGGAGGTCTCGAAACAAACTAGTCGTAGCCCAGGCTTACGACGCTATGCTGACCTGGAGCTGACCAAGTGCTGACCATGAGGGTTGTAGAGAAGTATCCAGATTCCAGATCGTCAAAAACACTGGGGACAATGGGACCATGCTGAGGCAGCCGAGAAACAATCGTGGAGAAGCAAGGCCAGACCCGACCGGCGGGCAAACCCGGTGGTCTGGGAAGGCCTTGCCGACGGCGGGTGAGAAATTAGTACGTAGCACGGAGTATGGGTGCGGCCGGGCTCGAGGCACGTCAAGCCTGCAAGAAATAATCAGATCGTCGACGAGAAACCTTACATGGACAGCAGGGAGTGTGCGAGGTGCTACAGTAGGTACAGTGCGGGTACAGTACGTACTGTAAAGACTGGGCAGTCTAGGACAGCTGGACTCCGTAGCGGATCGCAGATCAGATCCCCCCCGACGCGAGTGCCTGGCCAACGCCAAAAGGAAATCTGGTGAGTTGTCCGTGCCTGTGCTTGTGCTTGTGCCGGTGCCGATGCTTCTTCCTGTTCTTGCGCTTGTGGTTCTTCCTGTGCTTGTTTTCTTGTTTTCTTGTGCCACTATACGAGTACTGTGCCCAGCGGTGGCCGTCGCACCACGCACGGAGTCGTTCATTGTGCTGCGTCCTTCTTGTGCGACGCTCATCTGCACCCGGCGCCTCGTTGTCAGCCTGAGTGGAGAGGGGAGCGTGCAATTTGCCGCGTTGCAACTTTGCAGCCGGCTCTCTCGACGCTGCAAAATACGGCACATGTACAGGAACAAGCCACCCGATCGTCCTATGTGCAGCCCCTGGGGAGGCGGCTTGCTAGGGATTAGGGGATTGGGGGGGGGAAAGGGGGAGATTCGCCACCGAGGCCAACAGGGCTCCTGGCGCCACGGGGGGAAGCGTGACGGTCGTTTTGGGGATCATTATTATTGTTATTATTGCTGCCGGTCTGGGTGCTCTCTGAGTGAGTACGTACAGCTACAGCGTAGTGCCACCGACGTGGCTGCTCACTACTTCGTCGGCACTACGGAGTCGCTAGAGTAGCGGGACACTATGCCCGCTATGCGACGATGCCACTCCCTGAGCGCTATGCCACGCTACGAACTACCCGTACGCACTGAGCAGCGAGCAGCGAGCACTCCTCTCCCCGAACTGCTGCCACTGCCTGCCGAGGACGAGGACGAGGACGGAGTGCCAGAAACAACTCTCCCGGAGCACGACGTGGACGGAATCCGGCATGCTACGTCCTACGTAAGGCATACAGCAATGCATCCCTGGCCCTGCCGCCGTCCCGATCCGTTGATGATCCCGAAGCTCTGAATGGCTTCTTTTACCGCCGTCTTGGCTCGGGACCACCTCCCGCGCTCCCCGGGGCTCCGGGTCGGAACCCTTGCATGCCGCGGGCAGGCAAACAGGGTCCTGGCCTCCGTGTGCCCAGCAGCGGCCGAGATCAGAGATCAGGATGGTCAGCGGCTGCCAGTAATTGCATAACACAGCCCTTTCCGTCTTATACCCGCTTTGGGGGATGGGAGTCTATAAAGGCAGAGCAGGGCCACCGGCGGCTCGGTGGACGGGACTGGGCTGCTAAGTGGCTGACGGTGCTGCGTACTAGTATCAGTATATCATATCCGCGCAGCCTGCCCAAGTTACCGTATCACCGATTCAACTGTCTTCGTCTCGATCGCCCATCGTCAGCATCATACTTCCGTATCCTCCCAAGGTTAGGCCAGCCACAGGTGAGGGGCCTCTACCACATATATACCTAATCCGCTTCCCCTGCGATGCCAAACTCTCGTTGAATGCCCGTTGGATCACCGTCTCCGTCTCCTTGGAAACTCCCGTCAAATATAACGCCGTACCCAGCTGCGTGGTTCTTCACCGGCGGGTTGACGCAAGGGACAGCGTCTGAGGAAATGGCCCGCTGCACCTAGCGGAGATTCCTCTGTCTCAGCTTCACACATTTAGCCTCGTTAAAACCACGACCACCCACATTTCCCCGCGAGGCTTCTCCATTTTGGCCAAATACCTGGATCATGCAAAGAAATTGGGATATTTACAAAGCCGAGGTGGAACGGCTTTACATCGACGAAGGGAAGCCCATGAGAGAGGTCCGCAGGATCCTGAACCGTCGTCATGGCCTCACCGCATCGTAAGAAAAAAGGCCCGATATATCTACGCCGAGATGCATACTTATTGTTGCTTGTAGTGTCTTGACATATCGCTTGACGTTTGACGAGTGGGCTTCGCAGAAATACAAAAAGAAGCGGCGGCCGTCCGCCGACGAGGGATTTGTCGAAGACCCGCCAATTGCTCGCATTGGCTCCTCGTCAACTAATTCCGAGTCGCTGTCGACTCCGTCCTACCAGGCCGGCAATGTGCAACACTTTTGTCAAGAGATAGCAATCCCGTCCAGTCCACTGGATGCGTCCGACGTCCATGCCTTTATACAAGGCCACCCTGCGGCCCCTTTTCACGCCTTCGAGATTCTACTCACCAAATGGCAACGCGGTGGCGAGTATTTAAAAGTACTAACTCTTCTTCTGGAGAAGCCCGAATATTGCAAATGGATCCCACGCCCTGCCAGTGATGGTAGACCACTTTTATTCAAACTGATAGGAGGACATGTGCCCCACGAGGAGCAACTCTGTGTTGGAAAATTACTCCTGGAGGCTCACTTGTCAAACCTTGACACGGCGATGCCTCACGATGCCCAATGGCTAACTGCATGGATCGCAGCTTGTCATTGCACCGAGTGGGATGAGGCCAATGAGACCCTCTACCGTGGAAACAGAGTTGCAACGCTCGCGGGCGATAATTTTCTGAACTGCGCCCGGGCCGTGATTGCTGAGCAGTTTCTGAGGCGCTACATACAGAATTTCAGGTCCCTGAAGATGCAGAGTGGATGGCTCAACGAGTCCGAGTTGCTTGAAGCAGAGAGTTGCCGGCAAAAGTATCTGATTATCTTGGAAGAATGTCGATATGCGGATCTGACACTGAGGCCTGAGTTCTACAGGGACTCGTTGGAAATAATTGAGGCTCAATATCCTTTTGCTGACAACCGACACCAGCCTCGGTCTGTGGATCTTGCTGATGAATGCCGGCATAAGTATCTTCAGCTTATAAGCGACTCCGGGAGCACTGTCGCCTGCAATAAAGATGTGGAGGATGGGGTGCCAGATCTCGAAGCGAACAATTCGGTGGGAGCCTCGATTCAAGACTCGTCATCTAGCGCAAGATATTCGGATTCCCCGGGAGTCAGGCAAAGCATAGAAACTGTTGAGTCTCCTACTACGAGATCCGAGACGTGGACTATGAATTCCGCCAGGGAATCGGAGCGATCGTCAATCCAACTGCTCAGCCAAGATGTCGTCGCTCAAGAGTGCGGTCTTCCGATGCCATGCGCCTTTTTGAATACTTTGATCAGCAAGTGGAGGTCTCTGAAGGGGTTCAGGACCTATGTGCATGGTCTTCTTCAGGAAGAACGTTCAGACATCTCGATATTCGACTCGAGGGTACAATGCGCTAGAAACCTCTTCGACATAATCCACGAACACGTTCCGAATAACGAACAGAACTCCTTGACGAAAGCTATCCTGGTAGCATTTTCGACCGCCAACCTCGACCTGTGCCGACATCCACCTACCTTGGTATGGTGGCTGACCCTATTCTCCGCTTCCTCATGGGATGAATTTCAACGCAAACTTGAGCCTGAAAAGATCGACGAGCATCTCAGGCCACTCATGTCTCCTGCAGCGGTGCAGCTTGTCCTCAACACAACAACCCTGCTCGTCGGTGAACGGCTTCTATCGGGACTGAAGGATGAAATGGTGGCGAACCCGTACTGGAGGGCTACGGGTGATGATATGGCGAGGTATCGTGACTCGTTTAAGCAGTATATGGATATTTTGGGGGAGTTCAGAAAGAAAAGCTTGATTGTTGATCAGTCATGGGTATCACACGCGCTAAATGCGATGTGAGTGTCTTGCTCTGCTCTTATGTAGAGGATGTTAACTTGGGATATTATTTACGTGACGCCATATCTTATTTATTTTCCTACTTTTGTCAACTTGATCTGGAGGAAACATAGGGACCGGCGTTGGGGGAATGCGGCATCGGGATAAGGAGCCGGAATAAGGAATTCCAAGGATATTATTTATGTTGGGTTTGAGCGAATTCAGATGTATAATAAAGGCGATTGTCTTTTGATATTTCCTTAGAAGAATATCAATGAAGGTGTTGGTACCTATCAAGGCACACCAGAGCGTTCCGGAAATTGTGAAACATTCAAATTTTAATACCCTTTGCTTTGGCCGTGCTAATCATGCCCCGAAGTCCTACTAAGTACCTACTGTTTATTAGTCCACGATTAGCCCAAACACATCCATATATATGTACACGTACTTCGAACTTCATATTTATTAAAGCCCAGCGAAGCCCATCCTGGTAATTTCATCTTGTTTCCACGTTGCAAAGCTTGTTCGGCTGCCACTTATTAACCGCTACTAGTTGTATAAAGGATCCTCTCTCGGCGCAGTAAAGAGCATCCCAGAAAATCCAAGCTTTATTGAATAAAATACACCAAAGTCACTTAAAAGAAAAACCACACAATCTAGCACCGTTCGACTATTAATATGGCACAAAATTTCACAACGCGCTAAGATGAGAGCAGACACTAGCTCTACGATCACGATCCACGCTTTCTCGACCAAGTAATCAGCGGCAGTCGTCGAGATGTGCAGCTAATTATTAAAATAATAGAAACAGCATTTACACTGAAGAGCACCCGGAGGATGCTACCGTTGACGGGCGGGTATTTATATGTCAGAAGGAGGTGAGAATATTGCTAAATACTTTATAATAAATTGTAAGGCTCAACTGCTTGAACCGCGATACTACTGTTATGTATTAATATATTATTTATTATGCCTAATCTACCAATTTTCTACACCAAGGGCTTCACCTGAGCAATGGAGACCACAAAATAAAACACTAATCTGCGCTGCATCTTAAAACTGGGTGGAATGTTGGGGCCTCTCTGAGTGCTCTCGTAATAGTACCCCAGGTACTGTAGGTATTAAAATTGGTTTATTGTGCGCGTACGGATATATTCTCGTTCTATTTCTTTTTTGCCTTGGACGCCTAAAAGGAGTAAAAAAGAAATTAATTCCCCCCACATTTTTGCCTTTTCGTATTGATGTCTCATTGTTCATTCAATCTAATTGTTTTGCAAACACGAAAGGTTTGGGGGTGGGGAGGCAGGGAATGAATGCATGGATGGACCCAGCAACCCGCATTTCTGGTGTCCAGCGTAAACAAGGCGAGCAACCGGGGCGAAGCACCTGACGACATCACTAAGTGACAGAGCTCTCCCCCGCATTTGTAAACAAAGTCACCCAACGTCCAAACATTCAATCTCTCTTCCTTCTCCAAAACACCAAAACTACATTCACGCAGTACCAATTATCAATATACGATCAGTCCCCAAGCACCAAATAAACAAGGACCAGCTCAAGCCAAGTCCAAAGAAACACAAGACAACCAAATCAAATAATGGCCTCCGAAGGACAAGACCGGTCAGCTCTCATTGACGAGTCGCCCATTGCGCCCGTCCGACCCACAGCGTCCCACGTCCGTCAGAACTCGCTCGAGAAACATCTCCAGCACCGTCCTGACCCACAAGATTTGAAGAAGCGGCATATTTTGCTGGATACCAATGCTGCGCCGTGAGTTGCTGCTTTCCGCTTTGTCTTAGTTGCTGTGTTTCATGTGGGGCTGGATGGGTATTGTGGGAGTGAAAGAGAAGGGGTGGATGGATACGAGCGAATACGACTAACTAAAAGAGAAACCTCTTTGCTGATTATATATTGTGCTTATGGGTGGATAGAGCATTGCAATGCCGTGCACATGAATTGGAACGCCAGCGTGCGAGTGACAGTCTGAAGAAGGGATTAGAGAACAGAGCGGAGAGGGATAAATTGGTTGAGCGTTTGTTCCCCCCCTTTACCCCGTCTTGATTTCATCCCTCTTCCATCGAGACCACTCTCACACTCCCCTTATACAGGCAACATTCTCCCATCCTCCACCGCTGCCCCGGCCCTCATTGGCCACCAGCGCGAGCTGGGGAAGCACATGCTGGCCGATACTTTGAACGACAAGATCTCGCATCGGCCGAGTCCGGAGGACTTGGTTAAGGGGGGTATTCTGCAGGAGGACCCTACGAGCCCTGTTAGGAGCAAGGGCGAGGCCGATAGGCTTTATGAGGAGAGGATAGAGGAGGAGTACGCAAAGAGGGAAGGAGGTGCCTAGGTTAGGCACCAGACGAGCGAAATGGTATTTTGGGACTGGGCGCATTCGGACTTGATTGGGCTGGGATGGTGGACAATTTGATGACAATGGGACAGAGATTGCTTTTGATGGATTCAAAATGATGGGATATGTTGAACGGATGGCTGGACCACGGTTATGATAAATGGCGTGCTCTTACTTTCTGAGAGGTGCACGAGATCTCCGCTTTGAGAATAAATCTGAACTTCCTTTGGTATCTAAATCTTCCGTGAATGCATTGCGCTAGAAAATAGAAACGCCTCCAATGCTAAAAACCCCCACACAGTTGATGCCGCCCAATGTCCAACTCATGTAAGATATTACAATATACATGTTCGTCAGTCAGCCACCTCATCGACTAGGTGGGTGGCTAGTCAACGGTTGCATGTTATCATTCCCGACATAAATTCATCCAAAACATAGCCGCCGCTGCTTAGGGTCACCCGGTACCCCAGATCTCGCTCTTCCTTTCTCGCTACCAGATTTGATCCTCTTATTGTTAATCGAGGTATGTTCTGACACTCTCGCATTGGCAGTCTCCTGCACAACATCCCTGATCGTCTGCCTCGAAAGGCAAAGGTCAATATGCTCGTTGAATTCCCTCTCACTGGCTGCTTGGCGCCTCATGCAGATAGGACAATCCCACCACTCCTCCTCGACAGAGGCTTCTCTCCTCGGATTAGGTACGATTTCCTTGCCGTGATGTCTTCTCTTGTCGATTTCTTGACTTAGGCTTTCTAGTTCTTGCAATTCATCTTCGCGCTCTTGACGCTCGGCGGCTTCGAAGAGGAGCTCATCGGGCCATTCCTCCCACTGGGAGCTAGTATTTTCGTCGTCAAGAGCATCGGCTTTACGTTTAGAGTGGGGCGAGGTAGAAGACTCTCCTATATCTGTTGGCGAATCGTTGCGTCGTTTCCTGAACCCGAAGAAGGCCATTGTGTCAGGTCTTTTCATACTGACTAGATGGGTACATCTTAGACCCATAAGTCGTAGTTTCATCCCAGGAAATTCCTGCTCGAGCTTGGAGAGCATCGGAACGGAATACTTGTAAAGATCTTCCGCCATGTATACCGATTTGGGAGGGATGACTTGTCTAGTGAGAACCTCAAAAGTGTGCAGCTTGACCTTTAAGCAGAGTGTTCGGCCTTTGAACTGCGTCCGGACCATGTCTTTTTCTAGTGCTTCCGCCGTTGCCCGGAGTTTTTCTCGAAGTTCTCTGGGATTCCCCATCTCACCAAATGTACTTTCGGTCCCTACGCTTTTCCGCTCATACTGCTCAGCCGGCTGGACAGTTGTTCTCCCCAAACCGAGATGGCATTGCACTAAGAATACAAATGCTTTCTCGCCGAACAACTTGGTAAGATATTGCCGATATGTATAAATATCGCCACATGTTTTGACACCAATTGCATCAAGCTCTCTCTCGAAAACTCGACCAATGCCGTTGACCTTCCGGGTTGGAAGATCATGCATGAACGCCATAATCGCATCCCTATCACTCGGAAGGAGGAATTGTCCATTTGGCTTATTCTTATTAGAGCATATCTTGGCCAATTTAGCATTTGCTGCAATGCCCGCAGAAACTGTAATATTAGACTTTTCATGGACCTCGCGCCGCAGCTTCTGAACGGCATCATCGGGAGAAGTGCCATTCTTTTGACAATATTCTGTGATATTGAGATAAGCCTCGTCTATGCTTGCACTCTCAAATCGTGGATCGTAGTCGACTATGACCTCCCTAACTTCTTGCGCTTTTGCTGTATATTTGTCAAAGTTCAAGGGAAGTAGGATGAGCTGGGGACACAATTTCTTGGCCACGAAGCTCGCCATGCCGCTCCTGCACCCGAACTTCCTAGCATGATAGTTGCAGGTTGTGAGAACCCCCTTCCCAACAGCAAATGGAACTTCCTTTAGTTCGGGGCGATCCAGTTCCTCCACAGCGGCATAGAAGGCGTCGCAATCGATGTGTATCAGGACTTGCGACAAATCTCTGGAGGCTTCAAGCTCGGTAATATAATCATCTGCCTTCCTTAGATCGCCGGCTAAGTCTAATTTCTCAAGCTCCTCCTTCCTCGCTAGGATGCGTTCGATTTTTTGCGTTAGATTCTTGTCCCTGACTTCCTCATTGTTGAAAAATTTGGAGCCTTTCGATGCGTTATATATGATTTCTGAAACCTAAAAGTAGTTAGCTACGTTCGAGTTCTCTCTAGGACCCAAACTAACCTTCTGCTGATCTACACTCTCCTGGCCCGACTTTGTAAGTGACGGGCCTAAGAGGGAATACTTCAACGTATCATGCTCATTGACGGCTTTTGGTTCGGTGGGAAGTTCTGATGTCATCTCGAAGGGATAAGCATGAGCCAACAAGAGCTGACTGATCTATGATCTCTATGATCACACACTGGCGATAGTATCTTTTCCATCTGCACGCGACCCTCACCATGGGTTCTCATCGGCAAGTTGATTGATCGATGTTGTTTTCCTTGAGCGAGGACTTGTCGCCGAAGTTGGCGGGAAACCGCGCAAGTCGTCAACGCGTGATCACGTGATCAACAGATTTTCAGGAACACCCGAAGTCGCGAGCGAAAAAAGTTCGAGTTCGAGTCAAGATAGTCGATTCTATCAAACTCAATTGCGCCCACGACAATGAGGATGCATAGAGCTGTTCGGGCTGCGGCCTCGGCAGAGGCATCCTTTGGAGTCTTCAAAACCTGCGCTGCAAGACCTAGATTCATGTGCTTAAATGCACCAAGTCGGGTCTTGCTTGCTGGTTCATCCCCAGCAATGGTCGCAAGAGGGAAGGGCGCCCAGAGACACTTCTCAGAGTCGAGGAGTACACTGGCTGCTGCAGCAGAGGCCGTGTAAGTTTATATCATTGTCTCTTCGAAATATTATTTACGTTGCATATCAAGCTTTGGGTTTCCCCAGAGATATACCTTAACAATTCATACTAATCCAAGAAGTCACAAATCGCTGATATTTATGTTCTATTAGACTCAAGCAGGCAGCTGCCGATCCTTCAGCTTTAACTCAGGATGATATCATAGGCAAACTGGATAACGTTGAAAAGGAAAGGCTGCGAAAACTCAGAAACATTGGCATCGCAGTAAGTCTGGTAATTCGGAGATCAATGGACATGGTTGACTGATGTACGCAATATGCAGGCACACATTGATAGTGGCAAGACGACGGTAACAGAGCGAGTTCTTTTCTACACCGGTCGAATCAAGGCGATACACGAAGTTAGGGGTAAAGATTCTGTCGGAGCCAAGATGGATTCCATGGACCTTGAAAGAGAAAAGGGAATCACAATTCAATCTGCGGCCACGTTCTGTGACTGGGTGAAGAAGGAGGATGGCAAGGACGAGAAATATCATATCAATCTCATCGATACCCCTGGACATATTGATTTTACGATTGAGGTCGAAAGAGCTCTACGTGTTCTGGACGGTGCAGTCATGATTCTCTGCGCCGTGAGCGGAGTTCAGAGTCAAACCATCACTGTGGATAGACAGATGCGACGGTACAATATCCCCCGTATTAGTTTCGTCAATAAAATGGATCGAATGGGCGCGAATCCCTTCAAAGCAGTCGATCAAATCAATCAGAAACTTCGTATGCCCGCCGCCGCCATCCAGGTTCCAATCGGCACGGAGGATAGCTTCATAGGTGTTGTGGATCTGATCAACATGAGGGCTATTTATACGGAAGGTTCAAGAGGAGAGATTATTAGGGTTTCCGACGAGGTACCAGAGAGCGTCCAAGCATTGGCGAAAGAAAGACGGGCTATGCTGATTGAGACTTTGGCGGATGTCGATGACGATATCGCGGAAATTTACTTGGATGAGAAGACGCCAAGCCCCGAGCAGATAAAGGCTGCAATCCGAAGAGCGACTATTGCGCGCAAGTTCTCCCCAGTGTTGATGGGAAGCGCTTTGGGAGACAAATGTGTTCAACCCATGTTGGATGCTGTTTGTGATTATCTTCCAAACCCCATTGAAGTCGAAAATCTCGCTCTTGACAAGCGAAGAGAGGAAGCACCAGTTAAGCTTGTTTCGTACAACTCCCTACCTTTCATCGGTCTGGCTTTTAAGCTTGAAGAGAGCAACTACGGACAGTTGACCTACATCCGAGTTTACCAAGGGTCGTTGAAGAAAGGAATGAATGTTTTCAATGCGAGAACAGATAAAAGGGTCAAGGTGCCTCGAATTGTGCGAATGCACTCCAACGAAATGGAAGAAGTCCCTGAAATCGGAGCTGGCGAAATTTGTGCCGTGTTTGGAGTTGACTGCGCATCCGGAGACACTTTCACTGATGGCAATCTCCCCTATTCCATGTCCTCCATGTTTGTGCCGGATCCCGTCATATCTTTGTCGATCAAGCCTAAGAAAAGTTTGGATTCCGGGAATTTCAGCAAGGCGATGGCTCGTTTCCAACGTGAAGACCCCACATTCCGAGTACATGTCGACGCCGAAAGTCAAGAGACGATTATCTCTGGAATGGGAGAACTCCATCTCGACATCTATGTAGAGCGCATGCGAAGAGAGTACAAAGTCGAAGTCGAGACTGGCAAACCACAAGTTGCTTACCGGGAAACTATCACCCAAGGCGTGAAGTTCGATCATACGCTTAAGAAACAGACTGGAGGAGCAGGTGATTTCGCTCGTGTTGTGGGCTACATGGATCCTATTGAGCCTGGCCCAAACGGCTATCTCCCATCAAAGTTCCGCGAAGAAGTCACTGGTGGCTCCATTTCAGAAAAGTACTTGTTTGCTTGCGAGAAGGGTTTCCTGGCATCCTGCGAAAAAGGACCACTCATTGGACATCCCGTGCTTGGCACAACCATGGTCATCAACGATGGAGCTACTCATATGACTGATTCGTCGGAAATGTCGTTCAAAAACGCAACTCAGCAAGCATTCCGCAAGGCTTTCAAGGAAGCCAAGCCTCAAGTTTTGGAGCCAATGATGAAAACGACGATCACTGCGCCGAACGAGTTCCAAGGAAACATTGTTGGGTTGTTGAATAAGAGAAATGCGATCATCAATGACACCGAGATTGGACCTGAAGACTTCACCCTCCTGGCCGATTGTAGTTTAAATGCTATGTTTGGCTTCAGCTCCCAGCTCAGAGCTGCGACACAGGGCAAGGGAGAATTCGGCATGGAGTTTAGCCACTACAACCCAGCTCCTGGCCAGCTACAGTAAGTTATTATGTGTTCTTTACCCATGATACCGTACTAATACTAGTTATAGGAAGGAGTTGATTGCAGCACATGACAAGGCGCAGGCGGATAGAAACAAGAAGTAGAGTTGATATTCTTGCTTGTATTTTTGGTGTGTGTTGATAGACTTTCTTGTATTATATAGATAGCGTATACCATCAGGGCGCTGCTGATATGGCATAAATTTGGGAAGCCACGGCATGGGCGTATAGCTATGGTAACAACATACTGTATCATATGACAACGAAACGTATCTCAACTCCTCGTTAGAGCTGGCAAAAAGGATTGCGTAGCATATTGTCTGAGCTACCTCACCAAATAGTTGGAATACGCTGGGAAAGCAAATTTCCTGAGTAAAGACATGGATTACTCCGCGAACATTATGCCTGGTATCTCCGCGCCCAAATCCCAAAACCAAAACAAAAGCACCGTATTCATATTACACCACTCGTCCTGTCTCCCAATCTCCGAGACCCGACCATCTAGACAGTATGCTGATGCTTCGCCGGGTCGCCTTTACTAATAACCCACCAAGCGTCTATATTTACTAATCAGTTATTGTCCCTTAATTCGAGCACACCAAGGAATGGGAATCTTACGTATAATCCCAGGGATCCATCCAAGCACGCACAAGCAGATATTGATGATCAGGTCGGCCCCACATCCGGTCTTTAGGAATACTGAGAGGAAGGGGAGGAAGATGGCGACGAGGTAGAGGAAGACGTCGCTCTGGAGGAGATTTTAGTTAGCTTAATTTCTAGGGCCCAAGTTGTAGGGGATGTAGATTTGGGGCGAGGAAGAAGAAGGCATGGACATACATTGCTGGATGCTCTAGCCATGCTGATGTGAGGTTCTCGTTCGCGAGTTCGGATGCGGTTCGATTGGTATTTGTATAGCACTGTGCTCGTTCCGAAGTATTTGTCAACCGGGTTTTTTGCATTTGAGGAAGGAAGTAAGATTTTATTTACTATTATTTATATTCCTAAAAGATCTGACGAAAGCCAGCGTTCTTGGTTGCTCACACTGGTGGCCGGCAACTTACCGATGACGTCAGCTACGATGCGCCTCGGCTTACGAGTACGTATAACTTCCCTGCAGTGCATCTGTCAGCTAATTTTAGAGCTTGGCAATGGGTCGGCACGTACCTGGAGTAGTCCTCTATTGTACTTGGTAGCTTGGTATGGAGTATATATGCCAGGGAGTGCCCCGTCCGTCCCTTGTCCAATCTCCTTTTCCAATTCTCATACATCGAATGAATCCCACGTTCCCCCTGGAAAATCTAGCTTCTAAAAAGTACCTAATATGGGATACGGAACAATTTGCCCTTGGATTTACGTCATTCAAGAAGAACAAACTTGTCACTTGTCTTGCATAATGCCAGTGCAACTAGAACGTCTTCGGAGGAGCTATTGTCAAGATACTCTAAGAACGGAGACTTGCTCTAAGTTTTAACATATTAGAAAAAGACTTTAGTCCTATACATGAATAAGTGGGGTTTTACTTCATTATCTACTTCCAATATCTCACTTCCCCTCTTGCTTAGATTCCTCGTCATTAGTCTCTACGGCATTTATGGAACTGGACTTCCGCGATCTAGAAAAGGATTTCGACAGAGATGAATTGCGTAGTTGTTTTAGGACCGATAACGAAACTGGGCTCATCCGTGAGCTTGGGACAGGTATGTCTGGCGTCGGGGTTTGCGTTGCGCTTCCTAGAATAAATGTCAATGTTGCAAAAGAGGATCTGAGTAGCCCACCAGCATGACCTTCATATTTGGCTTTGGCCGAACTTTTCGATTGATCGATTGGGCAGCCGGGACATATTTTCAGATGCTCTAGGGCTATGTGGAAAGCGCACTTTTCTTGATTGTTGTCCAAGTGGGATGCCCAATTCCATTTGTCGTTTCTAGATCTCTGCTTGATTTACGAATCTAGGTCTATTGCTGGCCTCATCCGAGAACATATTCCATAGAACTCTAATAAAGTCTTCTGGTGGCAAGTAGTCACTAGCATGCTCCCCGCCGCCTGCCATGTTACTGCTTTTCTCATTGCTCCACTTGAATTACCTTGGCGATTCTTGTTATCAAAGAGAAGCCAACAAGATCTACAACTCCGAAGGTATTCCAAAGCGAGGGCAAAGTGGCTCCCAGGGTAGATGTTTTGAGGTTCTTAATTGTGCGAACGAAGGCGAATATGCGGTCGTCGTCTGATTGAGAATCGTACGGATCGAAGCGATTTCCGTCCCGTGCGGATGTGAGTGATATTTGGCGTAGTTGGCCATATTCTGTAGGTAGGCTGCCTGCATTCGGAGTCGGACCAGGTGTCATTCTGGGAGATATTGATAAGTAGACTCCATCTCGGGCACCCAGCTTCTTGGTCGTGTGAAGGCGAGTCTGCAGGTCGATGCGGGCACCTTGAGCTGCGCTTAAGCGCTTGCTTACCTGTCGCGGTATCTATTTAGATGAGTTGAGCCTAGTCTGTTTACACTTGCCTTGGCGAGGATTAAAATGCCATAGAAAGGGTCGTGGTTGTAAGGTGAAGAGGATTGGAAATGTATGAGAAATTTAAGTAATCGTCAATTTTTGATCTTTACCCTGTGATTGCTTACTCCAGTTTCTAAGTAACTATTCTGATTCACAAAGGGTCCCTCGCGTGCTTTACACGTTCTTATTGTTTGCCACACTTCCCTCTCCATGAAGTTCATCTCTATCCTTTAAAGTACGCAACACATCCAACTACAATCACCTCCCAGACGGCCCCCTCTATATACCTCATCGAGTTTGATCTTATTTGAAATTAATGGAAGGAACATCTCCAAGATCGCCCTCCCAGGCTCGCCGACCATATCCGTTCTCAGCATCCCAAGCTCGCTCCTCCTCGACGCCTGGAACAAACTCTTCAGCTTCCACGAATCCGCAACATCCACTGCCCGTGCATTTTTCAATCCACAGTTCGATGATATCCCTCCCTGGTATGTCGCTTTCATCGTCCTCCGCCTCGCCTAGTCCCGGCCAATCCATAGCCTCCCAGATGTCTTGCATTGCTTGCGAAAACCTATGCTCAAGGCTGCTGCGCCCTGCCTCTCCCGTGGGGTTTGATTCGATGGCCCGGGCCCTGATTCTCCTAATGGTCTCGATATCCAATGGCCGGGTCTCAAATTGATCGGCGTCGGGGTCGGGGGCATCGAGGTCGGGGCTCATGAACTGCGCCATTTCATCCCATTCGGGTGGAATAAGAGGAAGAGCTCCATCATCTATGTCCATCACTTCAACTCCTTGCTCTTCGTCCTGTTGATGTGGAAGGACCTGAAGAACCTCAGATACATCCGGCGCACCTGCCGGGGCAGCTTCAGTTCCCGGTGCTTGAAGATGTTCCTGCGGCGCAGAAAGGTGAGATTGGAGGTCATCATTATCCAGGGGAAGCGTGTCGATGACTTTCTCATCCAGGGGAAGGGTATCGATGTCTTTCTCATCATCTTTTGCTTTGGAGAGCAACGGGAGAGGTTGTTGGTGCTCCATTCTGAAGTTTCTTTGTATCTTGTATCTTGTGTCTTGGGATTTGGTTGTGTCATGGTTTAGGGCTGCTTTCTCTGTGGATATAGTGTGATGAACCCCCCGTACGTGCGGTTGGGCGTCTGAACGTGTGATTAGTGCTTTGTAGGTTGTGGGCTTGTGAATGTTTGGATTATTCGGCGACGACACATTCAGATCCTTGAAGATGGAAGCGATTTGCTTGTGGACATCTGGATTAGTCGGCGATGACAGATCCATATTCTTAAATATGTATGTGGCTTGATTCATTGCATTCAAGATATTTTCAAGCCGTGAGAGCAACATAGAATGAAAGGGCATGACCTTTATCATTGTTGGATATAACAAGTGGTCGATATATTTAGATTTCAGAAGGTGAAGGTGAAGGTGAGGGTGGTGTGATAACCAAGACGTTGTTAAACACTAGGAGTATTCTGAGGTCGAAGGAGATGGACGTAGCAATGGTAAAAGCGGTGTGATTCAGATGCCAGATACCGCATTACACTGTGAGCAGTTTATATTCACGTCGGTATAAAGCGACTTGGGCAAATTGGTATTACTCAGCTTTGGCAGCCAATATTATGCTTAAGGCATATTGGGAGATCTAAATTACCTCCCCTGACTCCTATAATGGATAGCGCAGCCGTAGCTCAATCATCGCCAGTTCCCTAACCAGCAATTCAATCGGTAGTAGCGACGGTCAAGTTATGGAGTAGTGTTATATCCCCAGGCTGTATTTCCGTCTAACCCACTCCATAACACCCCCCTTCCCAATTCCCCAACCCGCCCTTCGATAATGATATGGTGCTTTGCTATTCCACTTCCCACAATACCAAGTTAGCTGTTAATAAATCCATTCACCAGAGATTCTTTGGGCCGCAGCCTTGGCTTTCTTTGGCTCTGGACAACCTGGGCAGTCGCACCAGAATCCGTAATTAAAGTGCAGCGCCGAAGGATTCCGAGAATAGGCAATGGTTATCTCCTGTCCCTTTTTGATGGACATAACGGAACGTGTAACCATTTGGTTCTTCTCCTCATCCCAACGATAACTACAGGTTGCGTAGGGGTGGCAAGCGTGGTTAAAGCGAGAAGATTTCAGGAATATTCCACATTGGGCGTTGGAAATAGTGAAACTGCGGGACGGTCAGACCAATCAATATCTCAAAGCTTGCAAAAGAGTTTCCTATGAGTTGATGTCCGGGATTGTGGGCCTGCTTTACTTACCGATTAGTTGAGAAAATCGCAAGAACTTTATGGCGTTCGATGCCGGACCACGCGTATAGACTGAGGTATTCACCCCTCTTCTCTTTTGACAGTTTTTCGAATTCGTAGAACACTTCGACAAAGGTTGCCTTAAAGAGCGGCTCCTCCGCCATAATAACGGTGTCCTCCTCTATATCCTGCACAGCAAACGCCCCGAGCCCTCCTTTCGGAGACTCCCGTACCTCGAAATACATCGTGGCAAAGAGTGGCCCTCCGGGAGCTGGGACGGGTGGCTCGGTCGAAGAGGTTGAGGAGGAAGTTGGCTTCGGAGATGAGTTTGGGGATACGGGAGGTGTCGAAAGCTGCGCCAGTTTCCAGATCGGAGAGAATGCCCCGTCGATAGGTCGGCATCGTCGAACTGGAGAAGGAGATGAGGAAGGTGAGGATGAAGGTGAGGGGTCGGGAGTTAGGAGCTGAGTGTTGATGGCGCTCGGGCCGACCCTACTCTCAGGAGCAGGCGTAATGTTGACTGTCATCGTCCCTCTTCTCTTATACTTCTGCTGATAATTAGACGTGCTACTATATCACAGAAACGCAATCGAGAAATGCGCCTAGGGTAGTGCTCACCTCCTTCCAACCGGAATCTTGCTTCAATATCCATTGCTCAAAAGTTTGAGCTAGGCAGCCCACGCCGCTGTTCTTCTTGTCGGACATCTTGAATACTCCCGAGGGAGTTGGCTCTTTGCCACTGGAACGCTGTTAGTTAATGCTATAGTCGATCTACCACAGAGAGGGAGGTAGAGAGTTGATAATTCTATGTAGAGAAGGAAGAATACGGTTGAAGATATGTCTCCGCCAAATCCACCGCAGACTCGTACGTGAAGGGTTTGGAGGGAGAAAGAACGACCGGGCCACGAGCCCGGAGGGGGAAGATGGGGAAAAGCCTGTAATGGAAAGCCTCACGGAGTATAAACTTTGGAAGGCAAAGACAGCAGTGATCGAGCCATCATTAGGATCCAATAATCAACACACATCCCAAACCCGCAGCATCTTTCGCTGACTATGTACCATTATGCTTCTCAAGAATTTGATTGACTGCTGTCAATTCCCCTGGCGCTGTCAAAACTGTACAGAAAAAGAACAATGGTGCAAAATGACAACCAGTGCGGAAGGCCCGTAAGAAAAAAGCTACTGACCTCTAGACACCATGGGAGGCGCCTGCCACGAATAAGGGGTTGGAGCATTCTAGGTCGAATCTGCATCTCGACTCTCCCAGGCAGGCGTGTAGACTTGAATAATGACCTGGCGCAACACTCCATTATTAGTGAGAAGTGGGAATGAAATTTGCTGCGGAGATCGAAAACCGGCACGAAAGTTTATTGAGGAAACAAAAAGTTGGAGTACGCGATGCCGCCTTGTAAACCAAAACAGCCAGTTAACCGATCACGTGTTTTGCCAAAAGGGGGTTGATTGTTCCCACCCACTGTGGCAGATTTTATGGAAAATAAACGAGAACTTGAGCAAGAAGTATCTAGCTACTAAAGACACTAGGAATATTTTGGCTGTGGTAACTGCAAACTGCATTTTCCAGCGGTTTTGCAGGATATGAAGACTTGGGATATTCCGCCTTTCCTAGGATTTGAATGTTTTGTCTCGTCAATGACCAGAGATGGAGAGAGACTAATGAGGGGTTTTGGAGGAAGCGGAGGTGGGATACAAAGGAAGAGTCAGGTGGTGTCTCAAATTAAAAATGAATTTCAACTTCAAAGATCATCCGTGGAGATTTGATAGCGAATAGCTTAAGAAGTTGAAGGAAACTAAATCAACAATCAGGTAATGAAATGGAGCTCTAAGCTGTGATGAGGACTAATCTATGACTTGTGAGAACTCTTCTCAGAGCTTTCAAACTGCTCAGCCCGGAAAATCAATCAACTATATAACATAGCAGTTGCCCCCTGGGGAAACAGTGACTCTCAAATCAGATAGAGCTGTGCTTTTCTGTATCCATTCTTGTTTTACCATTCTCTTTTATGAATGCATTCCCATTCTCGTATTCTTGTTGATAATGCTGCAAATAGACGCATATCGTGCACCAGCAATGCAAAATTCGTTTACATCATCCCGTCGATAGGAGGATCAATCCCCGGAAAACTATTCCCCCGCTCCGTATCCGTATCGCGGGAATGGTCCGTGTATAGCAGAGTTGGACATTTCCAGGATTATAGCAAGAGTTGCCACAGCAAGTGACGACTATACAGATGCCGCTTGCGCAATCTGAGGCCGAGGAGCATGTAACTACGCAAACCCCCTGCCAAGACACATATTCTGTATCTGAACTTTTGTAGCAGGTGTTGATGCCGTTATAAGTGGTACCACAGGCTGGGGGAGCCGAGCAGGCCGCTTCCCCAGGCACAGTAACCGTTATGGTCGGAATAGGAACCGTGATCATTATTCTCGCGGTTCCCCAGCATGAGCAGGTGCTGAGCTTCGTTAGTTTCGTCATAGAAATCATTTGCGGAGGACTTCTAACCTGGCATATTCGTGGGGCTTACTTACTGTAAGCGGTTTCATAGGATGATAGGAGGGGGATTTATGGACGACATGGTGACTAGACGTTCCACATGGTCATGGGCTTTCAAGAGATTGACCCTTCTTGGGTGTATAGGTCATACCTAGAGTCATGGTGGTCGTCCTGAGTGAGGGGCACATTAATGGAGAGGAGGGCTGCAAGGAGGCCGGTAGTGCTTATCATAGCGCGATTGTAGTTATTGCCATTGCATTCACGTTGTTGCACAAAACTTGAAGACACCCGCCGTTGAGGCAAGGACGAGAAAAGAGGCGGGGAATTTCATGTTGATGGCCATGGATTGCTCCTTGGCAACTTGGCAAGAAGACTAATATGTGTGAGGATGGTGGGTGCATAAATATTTCAATCGATCCGAGGGACAGACCTGATTTTATATCAAGTCTGCGAGGTAGATTATCTAGGCTCGGGTTAGAGGCGTACTCGTGAAAGCAATATGAAGCTCTATCGAGTTAGGCGTTAGTCTCCAAATAAAGGCAATAGAACACTGGCACACCAGCTCAAACTCTCATACCACAAGGCTAAATAAATCAGGAGCGATGTCACCGTACCGGCAGTCTGAGGGCCCTGCAGGCTGCATGCCACGACTCTGGGAGGGAAAGCTTATCACATTGTTGCCGCCAAACTGTCTCGAAGGTCCAACCGGGGCGATTCAACCTAAGCTTCGGGTTCTGCACATCATAATCTCCATGGGGCAAGCCCTACCGCGGGGTCTAGATCTGATATGAAGGCCAAGAGCTGCCCTTCCTCGCCTTGTTTTGGCGTCTCTTTCGTCCAGGTCTGGGTCTGGGTGCACTTGAGCGACTGGTTAAAGTAGTGGTCAATTGCAGTGACCGAGTGGATAGGGGAAGGTCGAGAAAAAACTTGTTTCGCTACAATCATATCGTAAACTACTGAAATTTTCAGTTAATTGCCAACTTTAATTAGATGCACTGGCGGCAATATCCAATCATTATTATGTTGTATTTATGCCGCGCCAGAGCGTTCTCAATTGAATGGGCGCTGCTTAGAACAAGCAACAAGCTGTAGTGTCTGATGTGCTGTACGAGTAGTAGGAATTACTAGTTTACCTCACTCGGCCTTCGTTGGGCGTAGGTGAAGAGTTAATCCCCCGCCCATACATATGATAGCACAATGCTCCGTATTTCGTCGTTTGTGTGTGGTTTGCTGAAAGCTTGCAGATATCCCCCCGAAACAGGACTAGTTGACTGATATGGTGGGGCCCAGCCTCATCCTCTGTACTCTGTACACTCTTCTCCAGCATTATTCGACCGACTTTTCGGCCCACGGAGGTAAAAGACAATAAACCCCGAAACCCCCTGAGGATGCTGATCATCAACCAGGCTGCTGGTTCGTGGGATTGGCCTCCTGCTGCGGCACAGTCGAAGCCGAAGTTCCGATGGAATGGTTATGTAGAGGCCAAGCGCCTCAAGCTCCAGCTTATATTCAGTCCTTTGGAGCTTGGCCTTCGTATCCAGTTGTAGGAGTTTATGGACATCGCATATTGAATCGCAGAACGCATGCTATCCAGCCAAAGACCACTAAAGGAGAGGCATAGCTTAAGTAGTATACTGGTACTGCATGCCCCATACTACCACTAGTGAGTTGCTCTTTACACAACACCACGGCTGTCCTAGGTACCCCACAATAGTGGGGGAACCCTTCTCTTCCACGATCTACTCGAGTAGAGTCTTGCACCGTCTTTCGAAGTCAAAGATTATTCCTATCCATGTCCATGCCAAGAAAGCCAATCATGCGTCGTCGATGTGCTGACATGAAGAAAGAAAGTTTAACCCGAGACTATGGGCACCGTCTCAAACAGTCCATCGGTACCGCCTAACATCGAAGGCCAATCTGGCTCTGTTGCCCAGACGCCACCAACACTCTCGAGCTCAAGCCTAAACCATCGTTCCTCCGACTTGGAGAAGGAGGCGCTGGCAGTGTTCGAAGGTCATGATGCGGATATACCCTCAAACGAAGGTTTTGTGTTAAATGAACGCGGAGAATTGAAAAGACAAGAATCGATACGGTCGCATCGCAAGCCATTGAGCAGCCCAGATAAAAGTAACGGCGTGGATATTCCGGGTCCTCATACCCCCCGTCGTGACGCCAAGGAAGACATAGAAGGGAGTGCGGCGACGGTATCAACAGAAGATGAGGATTCTAATGTGGTCTGGTGGGATGGACCTAACGATCCCCACAACCCCATGAATTTCAGCTCGTGGATAAAGACGCTGAATATCACATTGGTTTCTGCCGTATGTTTTGTAACGCCTCTCGCGTCTTCCATGTTTGCGCCAGGAGTTCCACTGTTGATGCGTGAATTTGGAAGCACAAATGCAGAGCTGGCTGGCTTCGTGGTGTCGGTCTACATTCTCGGTTTTGCTCTTGGCCCGCTGGTTCTGGCACCATTGAGCGAGATATACGGACGGCTTCCGATATATCATGTTTGCAATGTTGGATTCGTTGCTTTTACCGTTGCATGTGCACTAGCAACCAATCTAAATATGCTTGTTGGGTTTCGATTTATGGCGGGCATATTTGGGAGTGGCCCGTTGACAAACGGTACGCTTTTCATTTGTCTAAGTTAGGACTTCGCGGCTAACGGGCAATTTAGGTGGAGGAACTATTGCCGATCTAATCCAGCAAAAAGACCGAGGAAGAGCAATGTCAGCATGGGTCATGGGCCCAATGATAGGACCTATCAGTAAGTTTTTGCCTCAATATCTTTGAGACCCATCAATGCTAAGGTGGAAATCAATCAGTTGGTCCTATAGCAGGTGGCTATCTCAGCGAAGCCAAGGGCTGGCGCTGGGTCTTCTGGATCCTCACTATAGTCTCGGGAACCTGCTTCATCCTCAGCATAGTATTTATGCGAGAAACCTATGCTCCCGTAATTCTAGCTAGAAAAGCCGCACGGCTCCGCAAAGAAACAGGAAACCAAGCATTTCGCTCGAAGCTAGATGCGGGACTCTCCCCCAGGGATTTCTTCATGAGATCCATCATCCGCCCCGCAAAAATGCTCGTCCGCTCCCCAGTGGTGCTTATGGCGAGTCTTTTCGTCGGCCTCGTATATGGATATCTCTACCTACTATTCACAACCTTCACCCTTGTCTTTCAGCGAAACTACGGCTTCTCTTCCGGGTCCGTCGGGTTGTCATTCCTCGGAATTGGGGTCGGTTCTTTTATTGGTCTCATATTTTTTGCCTGGTCCTCAGACCGGACCCTCAAAAAGCGTACGGCAGCAGCAGATACAATTGCTTTGGCTGAAGGCAAAGAGTCTGGAGGGATGAAACCCGAATACAGACTCGACATGATGGTACCAACCTATGCCCTCATTCCCGTCGGCTTATTTCTCTACGGCTGGACCGCTAGATATCACGTCCACTGGATTGTGCCCATTATGTCAACGGCGCTTATTGGCATCGGCAACCTCTCTGTCTTCATGTGCATCACCACGTACCTTGTGGATGCGTTTACCATATATGCCGCTAGCGCGCTAGCGGCTAATACTGTCATCCGAAGTCTGATGGGCGCAGTTCTGCCGCTTGCGGGTGAGAAAATGTATCTTACACTTGGCTTGGGATGGGGAAATAGTCTTCTGGCTTTTGTGGCAATTGCATTCCTCCCCATACCTTGGGTGCTGGGTCGATGGGGCGAGGTGATTAGGACGAGATTTGAGATGAAGAATTTGTAACCACTTCCCGCTTGGGCTGGTTTGAAAAAGCGACTCATTTGGTTACTGCGAAGCATGCGGTATGCAATCACGGACTTCTGCATTATGTTGAAGGCATTTATTTGCGAGGGCTATTTACAGCATTGATAGATCTCTGTCTATACGATTTCATATTGGCTGGAGAGTTTTCACCTAGCCAAGGCCAGCTCTGTTTCGCCGTTTTTGGGTTGAGTAATATGTCACCTGTTTTGTTGGACAGCTTGATGGATTTCTTCTACCCTTATATTTGTTTCATCAATGCATTTATGCTGCTAAATGGATGAGATGAGAGAAGCTAAAGGTGTTTATCTCTAAAGAACAGGAGGTCCAAAGAAATGGAAACAGGAGAACCGAGACAAAACTGGGACAAGAAAGGAAGAATGGGCATGGAGCATACGGGCACGCTGCTCGTCTCGGCGCATGGCACGAGGAGGCAGCCTCATATTTCGGGGTCTAATGTATTTAATAACGCTCAACAATCCATCCCCATCTCTTAGAGACATCTATATCGCTAAGCAACTTCATTTCTGCCAGCTTAACAGCCTGGTACCTCCCCACGAGCCGCCTCCCCAGAATACCTATAAACTCCTCGTCGCTTTCCAACTCAGCTAGTGCATCATCGAGGTTCCTAGGTAACATAGTATGCACGCCCAATTTCTCCCTCTCCTCGTATTCCAAGTCGGCGGGATCTTTCTCGCAATCCACCCATGCCAACTGTTCGCGCTTAACAACACCCTGTGTTCCAGCAGCCAAAAGTGCTGCCATAGCAAGATATATATTCGCCAGCCCATCTAGACATTTAACCTCCCAGTGGGAGCCAGAAATCTTTCTGAGCACCGTCTCACGGTTCTGTGTCCCCCATGAAACCCAACTTCCACCAGCCCAATACCCATCCACAATGCGGTCATAGCTAGCAGGATTACTATATGTAAATGCCACGATGGCTGGAAGATGGGCTAAAATCCCTGCGTAGAAAGGCTCGAATGTCTCCGGCGCATTACCGTTAGGTGATGAGATAGATATATGCACATGAGATGCGGTACCGGCCTGGTTCTCGAAAGGCTTGGGGTGAAGAGTCGCTCGTAGGGAGTGCTTTGCCGCTACTGTGTTGATGATCTCACGGGCATGGAGCAGCGAGTCTACCGCTGGGAGCGGAGGGAGCGATGGGAGTACGAATTCATATTGCCCTGTTGCGCTTTCAGGATGCCATTGCTCGAGATATATGCCAGCATCACACAAACTGTCGTAGATCTCGTTGAGCATGTCTAGAATCTTGGCCCCACGGAGAGCGCGTGCCGAGCTCCAGGCGTGGCCATCAGAATCAGAGAGCTTGGTATAAGAGCTTTCAGGGGTAATCCGGGATAGGAAAACGACCTCGATCTCAAAACCGATAAGGAATTCTAGCCCGCGGGATTTGGAATTTTCGAGGACGGAGCGGAGTTTCGATCTTGGACAAAGCTCCGCCCCTGAGCCATCGTATTCACAGAATTCGCCCTGTACGGAAGCATAGTCTTTACATGGGCCCGGTCGTATAGAAGAGAGCACCGCCTGGAGCTTGTACTCTCCAGTCGCAGTAACTCCTGGTACCATCGTATCATTTTGTAGAATTCCAAGAGAAGCTTTGGTGATGCCAATCGAGAGGTGGTCGTGGCTCTGAAGAACGGCGAGCGCTCGCCTGATAGGAATTACCCTCAGTCGGGGAGTTGCTGTGTAGTCTAAGTATTGAAGACGAAGAAATTTGGTATCTGGATATTCTTCTAGGAATGCTGTAAGGAGCTGAAAATCAGAAGTCTTGGGCTGAGAAGGAGGTAACAATTTTAAAGGAAGTGGTTTTAGTGGCAGGCCGAGGTCATATAGATCATTAGACGTCCTAAAGAGAATATGCTCCACGGCCTTGACTGCCTGCGGGACGCTTAATATGTTCTTGCGCACGTAATCGGAGAGTACCTATAAATTAGCCTTTTGCCTAAGAAATAGCCGACGCGTTCTCAATGTCTTACCACTTCTAGCACTTCTCTGACTTGGATTACTGCGAGCAAATACGTTTCTGGGAACCAATGCCCATCCGTGCTCCAAAGGACCTTTTCGGTTGGGCATAGCTCCAAGATCTCACGAACTAATCGTTCTTGCCCATCTTTACTGACCATTGGAAATACCTCACCTATATCCGCATAGACATTGTCATAAACACTTGCAAGATATCCGGCTTCCTTGGTCCAAGGGTAGCTTGCATGGAGCAACACAATTGGAACATTCGGATACTTCCTGATGAAGGGTTGCAGGTGAGATGGAGATGACCGAGAGAGTGTAATGTCGTTATCGCCCAGGCCAGTGTGGAACTGAAGCGGCTTTTTATGGCCCGGAGCTGCCTGGATTAACTCAGCCGTCAAGTTTACCAGTGACGAGTTGATAAATTGGCGGTCAATTCTCTTGAACTCGGTGGCACTTTGAGCCTTCAAATCGGAGAAGAGACTCTTGAATTCCAGAATAAACTCTTCCTCTGGACAGTCCGAGATGTCAAGACCAGTTCGATAACATATAACAGATTTGAAACCGACAACTTCCGGATCCGCAATAGCCTCTTTGATACTATTAACAAAGTGGTTCTTGAATATCTGGAATGCAACTCCAAGCGTCACGGTGTGTTTGTTAAGAAGGTGCTCAATAATCTCCTCAGCCACTTTCTCAATCCTCACGATCCGCTTGCAATTGTTCCTCGTCAACTGATTGTGCCACGAGTAATCAAAAACATCCTCCTTGCCATCCAGGCCATCGTCAACCAGGATTGTCTCAACGCCCTCCAAACATCGCTTTGCCCAGGTATTATCTGGTTTCAGTCTTTGGACCTCGATCGACTGCACAACGGCTTCCCAGCTGGTCGGGCACCCTAGAATCTTAGACAATTGGGTTACAGCGCGGATGTGAGATAGTGACGACGGCGTGGCTTTCATAGCATCTCCATGAGCTTCAGTTGTTATTGCAAGGAGCGGGTATTGCTTCTGTGCTGCTGATGTGAGTAGAGGATGGGCATGATTGTCGATTATTGGCGTTGTCCGGATAGCTCTGATGAGATCTTCCATTGTCTCTGAATTCGAACCAGAGGCCTTATAAATTTTCAAATAAGACGAGCCTTACTTATTCGTCGTGCTAGAGCGACCTAGATTCGACCGTAAGTTAAACGATCAGAGTACCGGGAGCGGTAGCGAGCTGAGGAGAGACAAACACTGTGTTGGGCTGCGTTGTTTAATTCGTCAAGTGTCACAGGTTAGAAGTTGCGGTGAAAGAAGGTAACATATCATCGCTTACAAATTGATTTGACCCCGTAGGTGGTACAAGACGTAAAGCCGATGAATTGAAGGACGTGGAATATTCCTGTTGTAGTTAGGTCTTACCTTGCATCAGGTAGCTGCTTGCAGGTCACTTACAAGGCTTGTATGTTACATCAGATGAGTTTTGCACGTGATTTCACCTCACCCTTCTACCTAGGTAAGTCTTCAGTATTTAGTAGCACTAAGTAGCTATAAAAAGGTATTTGCTAGTATCTGACATACAGGCCAGGGGTTTCCGTAAGATCTAGCATTACAAAGGCATAGTAGACCGCCAACCATCCAACCTCGTTTTAAGTATCACAACAACCGAAGCAAGTAATTAGGATACGACTTGGAATTCCCTTGCCTCGCCATCTCCGCCAGAATCAGATTGGATGAAATCTAGGGCTTGAACTATATAAGATATGGTATTAGATATGTGATTCCACATTAGAAGGTATTGGTGATGCACAGGAGGAACTCACATTTGCGCAACGACACAGTAGGAATTGACCTTGCGAATTTCTAGCTCTGAGATTCCCTGGATGGCAACGGGGCTATGGCTAAGTGCTCCGATACTCGCCAATAGGAAGCTATATGCGAGATCAACTTCCTGATCGACAGCTGGAGAGCCAGCCATTAGTATTATATGTGGAGATCTGTCGTAGAGTCACAGATTCCCACGACGTGGATCACCAGTCTATGCTATAATATTGGATTGATGGTGCTGCGGAAGGACAAAATTTCGAAACGTTTGCGAGCATTGTCCGAGGGGCTTGTTGTGGGATTTGGACGAGTAGTCTCCAATTTGTGGTTTGAATTGCGTGAGAAGAGGTAGACGAGGATGCTGGCTGAGGAAGGTAAGGAAGGTGGATAATAGATAATACTTCGTATTACTTGCCCATTGGCGGCTTCTTCCACGGCTCCCTGTAGGCTAGACAAGGAATATTGGCAGATTGAGGAGGCTGGTTATTGGAATCGTATGGTTTCCATGTCCACGGTATCATGTATTCTAGGCCATAGTATTAGCATTTAGGTACTTCCTCTTTTGACCAAGGAAGGTCATCCAGGCATCGTGAGACCCCCGAATGACTATCATTAGCCATGCTGGGCACACAGTCATGTCTTTCATGTGAAATATCCTTAACTTTAATTTTGCAATCCTTCCCAAAATCTTCGTCATGGTGATCATATACTCCATTATATTATGTATACCAGAAGTGCGCTCCAATGTATATATTACAAAAGCCGAGTGCCGCTTTCGGAAAAATTGCAGACCAAAAGCGCCATGCTGCAAATGAGGGTATTAGATCTCCGCATATGTCCGTCCCGTGTATATTCATAATGATAGCTTATACCATGGTATCCTCCTTTTACCGACCCATGATCATGAATCGTCGTGTCCCATTGCCTGTCACCTTCCTGGTCACCGCGGATGATGATTCTCTTCATCAAGCCTCCCACCTCTTGGACTCCCCGGATCGATCTCGATAGACGGTAGATTTCCTATCCTTAAACTTGGTAGCTGGGGTACGCCGCCTACGCCCCTCGACGTTCTCCGCTCATCAGAAACTGGTCGCGTGGCAGATGATATGGTTCCGCTAGCTCTTCTCTCACTACCATGAGCGGCTGGAAACATCTCTTGCTGCTCTCCTCTTGCAAGGACTGGGCTTGAGTAATCTGGCGGTGGTTCGTTTATGGGCTCAACATGTGACGTCTCTAAAGGTATATTCTCGTATCCTGGAGGACTATTCGGAGGAAATTCATCGTGGTCAATCATTTCCGGACTGCTGCCCGCTCTCCCTTCGCCGGCACCTTCATCATGGCTGGCTCCGCCCACTCGTCGTAGAGGGCTATCTGGGCGAGAATGGGTGCGGGGACGGGTTAGTCCAGGAGACGGCAGATCGGTGGTTGTATCAATACTGACGACGGAACTAACGCTTCGATCTCTTCGGTGGTAGAGACTGCTGGCTGCAATGCTTGCTGCATCGCCAAGGAGACCTTCTCTTTCACTCTCCATGCTGCTCGCCCTTATTCTCGTCCCATCATGGCGCGCAACTCCAAGATCAGCATAAGAGACTGAAGATACGGCTCTTTGGCGCTCCGTCTTGAGCCGCTCATGTTCTGCTCGCAGTTCTTCTACGCTTGCCCCGGCGCTCGCCGCAGAGGACGCTCTCGCCCTTGCTTGGAGCTCTCTCAGCGCCACATAATCTCCCCTCTCCCTTGCTTCCCTCCTCAACGTCCTGCGCTCCTCCCTCTCCTCATTCTCTCGTCTTCTGGCCATTCGGACTTGGTATAGTGCTTCCATCTCCTGCTGTCTGCGTTCTTCCTCCTGATCTCCCGACTCAGGGAACTCTATCACGATATCGATACCCCCTCTTTCCCCTTCTCTTGCTAATACTTGTTCATGCTGCAATGGATTCTGATTATAAGCTGGTAATGTCATGACCGATCTGACCGATGTATTCCTGTCAACACGGGCCGCATTTGATGCAGCAGATGCCGTTGCCGCTGCCGTTGTCCGCGAGTTACTTCCCGTTTCACCATTTCCCCCCGCACCTCCGCCAAATGATGATTGACTCGGTCTTGGCGAATTTGCGGTTCGCCTGTCAGATATTGGCTCAAGATGGTCGCCTGTGTCGGGAAGACGGTGGTGGCTAGGGGCGGGCTCCCAGTTTTCCCAAGCTCTCTGCAGGAAGGGTGTCGGCACATACTTCGGATTCTTGTGCTTTATGCGCAGTCGACGGAGGAAGAGACAGAGGAAAATGGTGATGCCGAGGACGAGTGTTAAGACTCCAATCGTGATCTGGGTATGACAAGTCAATGTTCGTTCACGTACAGCACGCAGAGGAATAAGCTATCAGCACATACAGCGAGAGTTGGAGAAGGGTTAGATTTCTGAGAGCTCGAGGCAGCGGGGGTCGGGGTGCGAGAAGGACGGGAGGTAAAGGTAGCGGTAGATGTTGGTGTTTGAGTGGGAGTCGGAGTTGTGGTGATGGATATGGATATGGATGGGCTTGATGGGGCGCCGCTAGACGGTGTGGGACTGCTGTCGCTATTGCTGGTGCTGGCCGTCGTTGGACTCGTGGTGGCGATGTCTGGTTGCTGTCGCCGATCAACTGTTGCTCCCGACAGATACATTATTGCGCTCAATTCAAGTAATGAAAGGGGCGTTGACGTTCAATGGCTGCGTCAAAGCGAGGGCTGGTGTCCAGAGATCATAACCGTACGATATGATAGTCCGAGGCGGTACCAGGCAGTGGCAGTCAATCGGACATTCCTGGATGGCTATACCAGATCTTGCTCGACGGTGTGATCAAATACTGGTCGATATGATACGCGCGTTAACTGGCGATGATGGTGGGAGCAGGGAAGGGAAGAAGACGAGACGGACGTTGGTAGGGCTGAACTGGTGCCGCGGCTCTACGACACCCAGGTTGGGATGTTCCAGGCAGATACTTCGTACACCAGCAGCAGTCTCAAGAGTAAGAAGGAATAATAAGAATAAGATTGCAGTAACGTTGTCTCGTCTCACAGTTCCAGGTCCAGGTCCAGGTCCAGTTCCAGTTCCAGTTCCAGTTCCACCGCCATGTGTTTGTAGCTTGGGATCGTGGTTTGACAGTAGCGCGGTCGCCCCGTAGCGCATTCGTAGCTGGACCACTATGCTTCTAGCACGAAGCGTCTGCTGCGGCGCCCATCTGGAGTTGTCCGTGAACGGATCGGTGCGCGGGCTTGGGATGGGACGAGGAGAGTACTTCGTAATTATTAGTGGCGGAGTACAGTATCAGCCACTCCAGCACCCTATTGTGGATTCTCACCAGCAAAGTCCCCCCAGTACTACTGGTAGTACTCGAGTACTTCGTCCTTTGCGTATTATTAATACTGCGAAGGAGACTCCGTATCGCCCCCTGTTTTCAGATCGGAGATAGCGCGGGTGGGTTGCAGTTAAGGGGAAAACGTCTCAAACCTACCCAGGCACCGTATTAGGTACTTGTACTTGTTCTACTTGTACCAATACACTATGCACCTCGGCGTCTCAAATGCCCACGCCCACGCCCACATCCACCCCTATACATGTACCTTCGATTGCACACGCACCAGTCTCGTATTAACTTCACTGGCTTTCGATATTGATAACGCCTGAGCTTTATGGTCCCGATGTAGTTGCTGTACTTTTGTAATTAATAAAAAAACTCAATTGTTGCGTACGCCCCTCAATGTTTCTATAGCCTCTCCTTGCTTGGCCTTTGCTAATTGACTTCTCGAAGTTGTAGAAATTCGCGGACAACCTACAATCCCTCAAGGTAGGGTACGGTACAGTGCTCCCACGATTCCGTCCCTTTATTAGTTTATTTCTTGGGCAGTTCTTAACTCCAACAAATATTAGTATTAATAAGGTGCATAATTATAGTAAGAGAATCCGATTGGTTATGTAATTACAATCGTTCCTGTCAGTAAATCATGGTATTATACGGCCAAGTCCATTCTGTGAAATCTCTATTCGTGCGTTACTCGAGATACTGTCATTTTGGAGTTGCCCTTTGCCTTTGTCCAATCTCAATTCATCCTCAGCTAGTTTGTTTCCATTGGCCTCATGAGCTTGTCTATATCATGCAGGCGGCCGAGGAAATCTGGGGTACACCTTGGAAATTAATCAAATTCTATGATTTATGCCTAGGTATTAACCCCGCTACTTGTCCGATCTGTCAGCGAGGTATGATGTTCTGCATACTTTTTATGGTAGACACTGTTCTAATTTTACAACAACGAGAAACTTACTATGTATTCCGGACTGCTTAGCCTATCATTCACGACTCATGAAACACATGGGACGTGTCGGTATCCTCTTCTGTGTCTTGTAGTTGGGGCTGGCTTTAGGACGCCCTGGCACTTTTTATCCTGAACTGCACGTGCTAAGTCCCGATCCCGATCCGGATACCCTCAAATTTATTCGAAACTTTTTGCGGCCCTTTAGAAAATACCATCCTTCTGAGAAAATGAGGTGGTTTGGCACGTATATTATCGACTTGTTTCTGCCTTGCGGTAGGTGTACGAAGTAGGTGCTGCGACGTACAATATCAATAATAATACCCCGGTTAAAATCTGCGAACCCTCCCCCCTGACTGGAGCAACGATACTTTGTATACGGTACTTGATGTTGGGAATAACTAACAGCTAATAACCAGCAACGTTCCCACCTTAATTTATTTAGCTCGTCTTACTTATACTGAAATGGTTCCCATACCATTATCTTTTCTCTCCAACTCAACTACTCGGCGCAAAGCATAAGCGGACTTCAGTATGGCTTCCCTTCATTCCGTTCATCTGAATTTCAAAGGTTAGTTCGGCAGCCTGCTCGAGACTCCAGATTTTTCGATTATTACATGGCTGGCGTTCGGGGCCAGTTTGCAGCTGTTAGCCCAGGAATCTCTCCCCTGGTGACTGAAAGTTCGGATGGCGTTGTTTTGTTCTTTTTGGGGGCGCGGATTAATTAGTTTGTAGCCCCATTCTCGCCGCGAAGGCTAAGTGTAGATTGACTGCGTTGCGTTGTGCGATCCTCTTGGCAAACTGGCGCCTGGTGTTGCCGACATCGATAAAGCATTTAAAGACATGTGGAAGGAAGCGGAGAAGAATCGAATAAAATGGAGTTGTCAATTGCATCTTCCACCGCTTTCTGTTCTTCCTCGGTTTATTCTAATCTAGGTATTTATTAAATCTCGGGAGATCGGAAACCCTTCTCGATATTTCGGACAAAGAAGGGATTACCGCATTTTGGATTTCATATTGGAAAGATCTCAATGGCCTTCGGAAATTCGCATCTTCACCTGTCCATAGCCTTGGCTAGAGTGGTTTTGTTAGAAACAAATTTCCGTATATGGGGATCATGCACGAGACATATCATGTACCGAAGGGCCACTGGGAGACCGCCTATGATAATTGTCCACCTCTAGGACTAGGCAAGTGAACATTCCCAATTAAGTAGTACCGGAATCTTTGATTTGCTGGCCACTGTGAAACTAAACAGGAAGGGCCAAGTACGTCGTCAATGAGGAGTCGGATCGTCTCAAGCTTGGAGTTATACTTCAACCCAGTTCTAGAAACTCAACGATGTTTAGTCGAATGGGGAAGGAGAAGGAACCGGAGTGAGAATGAATAGCGCGCGCAATTAGTGCACGAATGGCAATGGATAAAAAGCATTGCGTGGTACGTGCTGCCGTAATACATCTGGGTATTGGTTATTTAGAAGAGTCGGGAATGTTTGATAAGTTGCAATGAAATCGTAGATAACGCCGCACACACAGCCATATAAAATACCCGTGACGACTTTTTGTAGAATTGCAGACCATCAGCAAGCACTGCCTAATAGGTAGTTTGGGGCGAAATGGTATAAGCTCTAATAGCAAGCGCCGTTGATTTAATCACGAATTTCAGGCCGGAGAGCAGCAGAGAAAGACTTGGAGGATTTCGGAAGATATCCAATTTCCATTGTCGCATTGGAGGCGGCTTTGTCACGGGTATAATTCAATATACCAATGCATGCTGTTTGATCTCGTGTGGCTAAATTGACATTGGTTATCCTCATGAACTATGACGGCTAACGCGCGTGGCTAGCAAGAGGTCGAATTCGGATAGGAGTTGAGCTTCCCCAGGGCTGAAGCACGGATGCAGTTCATCGTTTCCAGCAGCCAATTTTGGCATCGAACTATAGTATAACGTTGAACAGACCAATGGAAGGCGACTATACCATTCCATTGTTGGGGCATTATCAAATAAAAGGCGTTCATATGCGGAAGCGATAGTGGGAAAAGCCAACGGTAACTGGTCGTTGACCTTCAAAGAGACAATTTTGAGCTTCGAGATTGACAAATAAGAGTATGAGCGTCTGGACTTTGCACTTAATATCGGTGCTACGCCCATAATATTCGGCACTTGCCGGGTGTTTACTAATATGAGCTCCTCATAGCAGGACATATTGAAGATCTCTTCACCCAAGGTTAGGGCCATGCCTCTATCGGTAACAAAACCAACAGTGTCAACGATAAATTAGAAGTAACTCATAGATATAGGAATGCCTCATCGTATATGATCATTTGTACACCAGTGAAGCTTTCCAGCATAATCCCAACTAGTATACAGCGCAATTTCTAGTACAATATCTAATCCATCTTGCCACCTGTCAACTCCTCAGCAATCTTCTTGATCCTTTCCCCAGTAATGACAGCAGGGCCACTGTGGTAATCAATGACCCTCTTCTGTGAGTGGTTGATCGTCGACAGCATATTCCGAACAGTTGGAGGAGGTCCCTTAGCGTCCCAAATGTTGTTGGAACTTGATCCCTGGAATGGGAACTTGACAAATATCTCCTCAATCTTTGCATCGAGCTGCTCTTCCGTCGTGATGAATGACCGAGCATTCATGTACAGAGTATGAAGTGCGTTTTTCCGGGCGTCTTCCCTCGCAGCTTCGTTCGCTGCCACTCTCGCTGCCTTCTTGGCAACCCGGACCTTCCGGTATGGATCCGGAACAGGACCAACTTGAAGGGTGCGCATTGCTTCTGTGATTGTCGGGCTTGTCAATCTTTCGTCTTCCCGCTGAGGCGCATGAAGCCGCGCTTCCCTTTCCCTGCTCTTCGTCAAACTCCGATGGGCAACCCTTTGATCCTGACGTGTCTTTCTCGCACGCAATGCCACAAGGCCCTCGCGCAGATTTTTCCGCCTCATTTCAGCCATTTCGCGTTTCCATGCCACATAATCATTCGCTGGTTCGGACTGTGCTGTCGGTGTAGGAATCGTCGCACCAAAATATTCGGCAGAGGTCTTGTTGCCGGCACGTTTTGGAAACAAATCTCGGGGCCTAGGCAGAACGCCTTTTATGACCGGTTTGGACCGAACTTGTGGTTGAACTGAGGCGGGGATCTCGATAAATTTGGGGCTCTCTGGTCCGATCAGGCAGACCGAGGCGGTTGTCGAGAAGGATCGTAGTTGGACGTGGCCATTGGGACATCTGAGCCGAGCCAGAGCTCCAATTGAGCTCTTGGGTAATGACGAAGCCATTTCAGATGTAGCTTGCGCCGGCTCGGGATGTGAGGGTGAGGATGCACCTTGCGTACTGAGTGTTTTTGGTTTGAGGTTGTCGATATTGTTGATAGGGGAGCCACATGAAAACTTTAGCGCGCTTTCTTTAGCGCGGTCCAGCCACAGTCAAGCCACATCCATATTTTCTCCCCATCCTCTTCCATTCAGAAAAATTATTTGCCGACTCTTCTGAAATAACAAATAGTCCACCACCCAACCCCAACACAACAGCGCTGTGCGCACCCCTAGTTCAATATGGGTTCCGGTAAGAAAGAGGCCCAGCGAAAGATCCGCCAGGGGAAGGTTGGCGATGGCATGGCAAATGTCAAGGTCAAGGGCGAGAATTTCTATCGGTATGTCGACCCTGCTACTGCTAATAGATGGGGTGGAGGCTGACTGGGGATATTATTGCAGCACTGCAAAGCAGGCTAAGACCCTGAACATGTTCAAGGAGGGCAAAGCCCAAAGAAACGCTGCTGGTGATATCACAAAAGCTGCATCTTTTCAAAGTCGGCAGGTTCCTCAAGCACGAGTTGAACCGAATCGCAAGTGGTTCACCAATACTAGAGTCATTGGCCAAGATGCCCTCAATTCATTTCGAGAAGCCATGGCTGAACGAGCGTCTGATCCATATTCGGTGCTGTTAAAGAGTAACAAACTACCCTTAAGCTTAATCCGCGACGGCCAGGGAAAGAATGGGCTTAAACAGCATCAAGCCAAAATGACTGTGGAGACGTCTCCATTTGGAGAAGTATTTGGTCCCAAGGCTCAGAGGAAGAGAGTACGGCTTGGTGTTAGCTCGGTAGAAGATCTTGCTGAGGACAGTGTGAAGTCTCACGACACATACTTGGATCGTCTGGAGCAATCTAGACTCTTAAGCGGAAATTCAGGCGCGGATGCTGAAGCAATCGGCGAAGCAGTAGTTCCGGACGATGGCTATGTCACAAGCGCTCGAGAAGCTATTTTCAACAAAGGGCAAAGCAAGCGGATCTGGAACGAGCTTTACAAGGTCATTGATTCTTCAGACGTCGTTATCCATGTGCTGGACGCCAGAGACCCATTGGGCACACGATGTCGGAGTGTCGAGAAATATATCAAGGAGGAGGCCCCGCATAAGCACTTGATATTCGTGTTGAACAAGTGTGATTTGGTGCCTACTCGTGTTGCCGTAAGTCCCCTCTTCTCTTTTTCTGGTTTCCCCCGTTCCATCGTTAAGTCAAGGCTCCTTCTGCATTAACGTGCTCGTCACAATGGAAGGCTGTCTGTTACAACTTTGGTAGATTGACTCCATTCTCGCCGCTCTCGATCTTCGGATCGTGAGTAGACAGCTAGCCGTCTTGGCAAGTCTATCGCATAGAGTCTGGTCATGTTTCGTTTGAGTTGAATGCTACTTCCGCCTTCAGGTGGCTTGTGGTAGTTTTCTTAGTAATGATTCATACATACCAATTGAACAATTCACTTCTTGTGCTCATGTACTAATAAGTGCAGGCTTCCTGGGTCAGGTATCTGTCGAAAGACTACCCAACACTAGCATTTCATGCATCAATCACCAACTCCTTTGGCAAAGGATCCCTAATCCAACTCCTTCGTCAATTCTCCTCCCTTCATTCAGACCGCAAACAGATCTCTGTTGGCTTCATCGGATATCCAAACACCGGAAAATCCTCCATCATAAATACACTTCGCAAAAAGAAGGTCTGCACAGTCGCACCAATTCCAGGCGAAACCAAAATCTGGCAATACATTACGCTCATGAAGCGGATATATCTGATTGATTGTCCGGGTGTTGTTCCTCCTAGTACTACAGATACCCCTCAAGATATTTTATTGCGAGGAGTAGTAAGGGTAGAGAACGTTGAAAATCCAGAACAGTACATCCCAGCTGTACTGGATAAAACAAAGCCACAGCACATCGAAAGAACATACCAAATCAAGGGGTATAAAAACCACATTGAATTCCTGGAGCTCCTGGCAAGAAAAGCAGGAAGGTTACTCCACGGTGGTGAACCAGATGTTGATGGCGTAGCGAAGATGGTATTGAACGACTTTCTCCGCGGGAAAATTCCGTGGTTCACTCCTCCACCATTGCTGGAAGGGGCGGCCGGGGAGGCCGGGGAGACCGGCGTCGAAGGTCGACAGGGAAGGTTGGGAGAAATGGGTAAGAAGAGGAAACGTGATGATGAATCAGTCGCGGATACATCCACTGCTGGTACATCAATCGCCGAACCAACCTCAACTGGCGATGAAAATGACGAGTTCGAGGGCTTTGGTAGCGATGATGGTGGTGTGGCATTAGATGATGTTGCCGGTGATGTAGATGCTGCTTTTGGACTAGACTCTGAAGATGAGAATAGTGAAGCTGGTTCCGAGGCTGAAGACGATGAGGAAGACGACGAGGAAGATTCTGCCCATGCTGCTGAGGAGCAATTGCTGGGTGAGCTACGTGAGGATGTGGAGGACAAAACCGAAAAACGTCCGCCTTCAAGGAAGAAACGTCAAAAGCAGTAAATAAATTAATTCAAAGAGTATCTCAATTCAGTTGCTCTCCTCAAAACTGTGCCTTGGTCATTCAGCCCAGTGATGTCATTGTATTCGATCTTCGCCCTTACTGAGTGGTCCACGGCTGTGTAAAGAATTTTCTGTTCGGCCAAGGAGCTTGGCAAGTTAGGCTTCATCATTGTGTTAAGATGTCGTACATAACGAGTTGTTCTGGACGCTCAACGATCGAATCAAGTAGGCGCCTAGGGACTTCGCCCTTTTATTTACTTCTAATTTATCATGGAAGCAGCTTCAAAGAACTAATAGTTGTTCCAAGAACTCCTGAAGCATTCTCCCAAATTTCGCAGAATCCATATTTCATTCATGATATCTGAGTTGATGTAAAGTCTGCGGTTACAGTCTACATAATATTCAATACACCGTGGCCCACAATCGAACATTCCATGAATCGCTATATGAGGATCTAGCTATTGCTCGTAAACCTTCAAAGTTAAAATTAAGACCTCTTTTATCTCTCGTAACGGATTTAGCCAAGTCCCAAACTTCAGCTCTAGGATCTAGGAGAGACATTCCCAGAAGTAGACTTTCCTCTGAGTCTCTCTAGGAACATCATAGACTTCCGTTTCACGATCCCACGATTGCTGGTGCTCGCACTAGTGGAATCAGGGTTCTGGCTCTCCGTACTTTGTCCTTGAATTGGGTAGGTCGAGCTTGTTCCAGGTGGTTCAGGTTCGGGCGCCATGGCTGGAGAGCCCACTAGAGAATTCAACGCGCGCAGGAACGCTGGATCTTGTCCATTGATTTTATTCATTTCGTCCGGATCTACAACCATCGGAATAGGTGATTTTTTAAAGCGATGAATGCCCGGACCTAAGCCTGGAGTTCTCAAGTCGTGGTAGGAGTAATCTCGAAAGACACGAGAATGCTCACTAAGAGGGGCAAGAGACTCTTCATTAGGGAATGGAGCAATTGAGTTGTGGTATTGCCAGGCCCATGTGGGGATTAGAGCTCCAACTTCACAAGGCGGGAGGTCATCCAAATCGAGGCCGTCTTCTTCATCAAATCTAACAGCTACCGTTGCGCCATAGCTCGACGAGCTGGAAGAGTCTGAAGACGATCTGGCATGGTTACGGGGTGGTCTTTCCTCCAATTTTAGTTTCGAGGAGGCGGATTGAGTCGACTGAGTCGACCGTGTCCATGTCGATCCAGAATTAGACGAGAAGCTTGAGGAGGATGACTGAACAGGTAATGGAGGCCAGGCAGGCTTTTCGGGAACGATATACTCAGGCTCATCTTCGCCGTCTGAGAATAGAGCCGAGAGCAGCACCCTGGTGTATGTCGGCGCGAATCCAGCCAGTCGACACTTCTGGAGAATGCCTCGGAGACTACAGAGAAGGTAACCAATATGCACGACTGTATCGGAACAAACAGGGTCTGAATGCAAGAAATAAAAGGTCAGCAACCATCAATATATTCACCACATGAAGTACATACCAGCATCTGGGCCAAACTCATAAACAAACGATTGCTGAATATATGGGTAGGAGTTATCATAGCGTCTGCACAGAACATTGAATTCGCTGATTGTCGAATTGTCCTTACGCTGAGCAATGCCTTTGATAATGTCGACCAGCAATAACTCGATCTTCTTCATGTTGTAGTTAGACTCCGGAGCCGACTCCATGTAGCATCCACCAAATATAGTGCAATCGATTTCCACTGTGAGATGCTGAATAATATCGAGGCGGCTTTTAACCCAGACGTGTGATAGCGGAGAAAATATCGGGCCGCAAAGTGTGTTCAAAGTGATGAGAAAGTGGAATTCAGTCCAGAAATAGACCATAAGGTCATTACGAAGGGCACGGCAAGCCTCAAGACCCCCTTGGACATGTTCGAGGACAGCCCAAGGGGAAACTAGATCGTTTTCCTGAAAGATAATCTTAGTTGCAAATCGCGGAGAGAGTGTGACCCGTCGGGCTTCATTTGGGAAACAGTAGCGGTAGATTGTCCGCCGAATAGCCGCTGGCAAGCTGGAGAGCGGCTGGTTGTTGATTAATGTATGTGCGGCTCTTTCGGGATACAACGTTGGACGTGCTGGAAGATTTGAAATGGCCAAGAGGTCAACGTCTCTATCAAGAGGAGGAAGTGGTGGTGGTGGGATAATCCATCGCCTGTTCATACGCCTGAGAGCCCTGCGAATCTTGGCTTCATCACGCCTACGTGTGAGAGAACCGGGGGTCTGACATGAAGCATCGTCTTGGTCAGCGTAACCATTTTCACATCGACGTGAATCAATGCTGGCGTGCGACGGTGGGACGAACGACGAGGAGATGCTCGGGGTGCTAAATCGAAAGGAGGGTCGCGGCGACTTGATCGGCGAGTGACTTGGAGGCACCAGGTCATCTTCAGCGGCGTCAAGTGACATGATGAAAGCGACTCTTGCTCTGACAGGACTACCACAATAGAATTGGGGTTCTGAGGTTTGGTTTTGGTTTTGTCAATTGGTGGGCGCAGAGGAGATAGTGTGCTCGATCTAGGTCGCGACCAAAGTTTGTTGTGCTCGCTTGGGCGTTACTTGGAGACTTCCATTCATCACTGACCGCCTATTAATTGCCCAAGGCAATCACGATTGAAGGCGTGCAAAATACCTTAGGGAACAAACCCCTTTAGCTTCAACACCACTTGGATTTTCGTAATAGTGACAAAGCTAAGACGGGCTCAGCCCGCAACATATCTCTTTCAGTTAATAGTTGCACAGCAGGCTGCGGACATATAACCACGAATTCCACTTGGTTAACTATACTTGAGCCGCATGGCATCCACGCCGAGTATGAGATGGCCATGGCTGCACAGTTATCTTGATAGCCAAGTAGAGGATATGAGAGGATGAGTGCGTTACAGCTGACTAGGTGGCCCTAATGACTAAAAGAGAAATAAAATGATCTGCATGAACGTGAACTGAAGCCATTGAAGATCTTTATAGAGCATGAAGCTAAGCCGTGCAACAGTAGAGGGACACGGGTAGACCAAGAATGATCTCACCCACATCCACAAGGACAATCGACGTTCACAATTTAACGGTTGGGCAGCAGCTAGGAATATATCTATAGCAAATGAAGGGATAATATGGAGCGTATTAGGAGTTGACTCGTTGCATTAAATGCCATTGAAAAGCCAATGAAATATTCGATGCTTGATTATTTTGATTTAATGGAGGATTTTATAGAAGGCGGCTGCTTTCACACCTTCGTAGTACTTGGAAATAAAGATTGACATATCTTGAATAGACGGTTTATACAGTCCATATGCAGTAGAGCGGACGGATATTAGTGTACGGATCGATCAGCAGCGCAGTGTTTGAGGCCGCTGATCTGTATCCTGCATAGGACAAGCACTCATTATTGCATTAGATGCCGGTCCAAAGGGTATCCAGGAGCCCAGGAGCTGGCATCTGTTACACGTTCCAATTATTGAAAGGGTTAAGGTAAGAAGTGGCAATTGAGGCGATGTCGATGTCTGGAAGAACCTGGAAGATTCTCGCAGTGACGTCGTGACGTTTTGACTTTTTGATGTGCGTCGGAGCGGGAGATAGATGATCCGAGATGCTGGCCAAGTCATACCTCCTTGGCAAACCTTCGCCCCTCCAACTTATAAAAACCCAGGCAACATCCAGGTTATCTACGCTGAATGCTGTCGAATATCTTCCTATTATTGGAGTCTAACAAATCGCTACCCCTGAATCTACCAGAAATCCTTTTTATCAACTACCACAATCTTCACCATGTCCGCGGCACCTGCACCTGCTTTCAACGCAGAGGAAGCGGATAACCTCGAAGATGTAGGCATTCTCATCCTGCCCGCAATGTATACTTCTTGATATAATGTATGCTAATGTATGTTTCAGATCGAGAAGCAGTTCGCCGTCAAAGGTTCGAAACCTCTTTCCGTGCAAATCCCATTTTACCCCGCCACTGACCCCACCACAAGTCGTCCAGCACATGTCCACGTACTGGGCAATCCTAGAAAAAGTTCGCGGCTCGACTCTGAGACTTACAAAGTTGGACGACGAGATATACCTACATCTTAGGAAGGATTTCCCCGAGTTCGACCCCTCCAAGACAATCGACGAGGATGAGATGAAGAGCAAGATCGGCAAAGAGCGATGGCGAAACTTCATGATGGCGTACGAGAAGAAGATTGACGATTATAACTTTGGTACAGTGATGAGGGCAAATCCCAAATGGGAATATGGAGAGGATGAGACAATATTTGGTAGGTGCATGTAGATATGCTGCCGTGGTGGTGATAACGCTGACCTGCGAACAAGTGCCTCGAATGCAATTCTATGCCATCGAAATCGCAAGGAATAAAGCCGGGCTAAATGACTGGGTATATGATAATAGCGAGAAGGGGAAGGCGGAAGCACTGGCAAAGGCGAAGGAGGAGTCTGCGTCGACGTCATGATGCTTTCGAATCATTTGAAGAAATAACGCTCTTGTCTCATGTTGACTATCGTGTGAGAAACCGTAGTTTGCATTGCCCATTCGATATCGTTACGCCCATGCGACCTCGCATATTCAATCAACCGTTGCAAATTTCGTCCGCTTTTTCTCTATCCGAGTGGATCTTTCTTGTCTATGAGGTTATTTTTCTCCTTTTGAGTCTTTTAATTTCGATCTCGTTTGACGTGGCGCCGTTGATTTCCATTGTCCAGCAATCGGCTCATTCTTCGCCTAGGAGAACAATACGAAGATACCGCCACGGGACAACACAATCAAACACCCCAATTAGCGGAAATTTAAGCCATTGTTCTCTTAGTATTATCCTCTTTCCGTGGATATTCTGAGTTTGCTCCATCATACATGCGAGATGTCTTCCTCTACGCGTTTCTAGGTTGCTCTCTAGTTGTGAGACAAGATTCTCTAGTGCTGTTTCCATTTGAGATAATGACGCCGCTATCTAATGAAAGCCCTCCAGGCTTAGAAAATTCATTTCTATCTATTCCCATAACCTCCAACAACCCCTCCCAGAATACTTACGAGCTAAAATCTCTCGAATCAACAAAATGCGACACCGGGGATCAAGTCTCCTGGCGTTCATTGTTTGGATTTACGCAACGACATCACACCCTTTCTGCTGTGTTCGCAATCGCCTCATCAGTTGCAGCCGGGGTCCCTCAACCACTCGCCGCTATCTTCTACGGACGCATCTTCTTCGCCTTGACGAGTTACGGCGGAGGGAATTCGAGTAGCCAAGAGACGCTCAAGAGCATCTCATTGTGGTGCATTGCATTGACCGCCCTAGGAGTGGCGGCATGGGTTCTGCAGGGTGCATCTCTGTCTTCCTGGATGGTATTTGGAGAGCTTCAGGCGCAGAGCGTACGAAATCAGATGTTCGAGGGCATGCTGGATAAAGATATTGGATGGTACGATCTGCGCAAAGAGGGTATTGGATCGCTGCTAATCCGAATCCAAACGTGAGCCTCTTTATGCTTGAGCGAAACGCTTTGCTGACTTGTAAACAGGCAAATTCGAGAGTTACAATTGGCCGTCTCCCAACCCCTTGGGTTCCTCTTCACAGAAGTCTCGGGTTGTTGCGTAGCAATGGGTATCGCCTTTTCCTATTCATGGAAACTTACTCTTGTCATCTTTGCCACAGTCCCTGTTGCAACCGTTGTTTTATATTGGGCCTCTGCGAATCTAGGACCGGCTATTGAAGCGCAGAAGAGAGAGCTTACAAGAGCGTCAAAATATACCAACACCGCAATTACAGCTGTCAATGTCGTAAAAGCATTTAACGGACAAGAGCAGGAGGTATGGCAATACCACTCGACCCTCCAGGATGTTGCTGCCAAATATCTGATCCAAGCCCGAGCGAATGCTTTGCAATTCGGCATCACGAAATTCTTGACCATGGCTATTTTCGTACAGGGATTCTGGTACGGCCTTGTCTTGGTCCGTAAGGGTACGGATCCAGGCCATATCCTCACGACTTTCTATGCATGCTTGTTCGTGATACAAGCTGTTGAAACCGTTCTGCCTCAATGGTTAGTATTGACAAAAGGTATGTCAGCGGGACAGACTTTGAAGTCAATCATGGATCAGATGCAGAATTCGCGAAGAGACTTCAAAATTGCTGGCTGTATCAAGCCAGAGGCATGCGCCGGTGATATTGAAATAACTGATGTAAGAACTGCCGTTCATATGCACGAGTATTACTAATTATCATAGGTTACTTTTGCATATCCGTCCAATCCCCAACAACAGGCATTGAGCGGAGCATACTTCTTTTTCCCAGCGGGGGAGACGACCTTCATGGTAGGAAAAAGCGGTTGTGGCAAAAGCACGCTAGGAAATATTCTCATGAGATATTATGAACCAAGTCAAGGCGAGATTATGGTGGATGGGCACCTTATTGAAACTCTCGATATAGAATGGCTTCGCCGCAACATTACTTTGGTTCAACAAGAAACCTTGCTATTCAATGAGACGATTTTTCAGAATATCGCTCTCGGGAAGCGAGATGGTTCTACGAGAGAAGATATAATGAAGGCATCTGAGACCGCCGATCTTGAACAGACCATTATCAAGCTTCCCCAAGGTCTTGACACTATTGTTGGCTCGAATGGCAAGTCATTAAGCGGTGGACAACAACAAAAGGTCGCCATTGCAAGATCTCGCCTTCGAGACTCACCGATACTTATCCTTGACGAGGCTACGAGTGCTCTAGATTATGCGAGTCGAGACAAGGTGATGAAGGAGCTGAGGAAATGGCGGGAAGGCAAGACTACGATTATCATCACCCACGATACGACGCAGATCTTAGATGATGACTACGTTTATGTTATGGAAGGAGGCATAGTTGTACAAGAAGGCTATCGAAGAAAGCTGGCGAGGGATCTTCGTGGCCCCTTCTCATCCTTCATCTTGACAGAACAGACCTTGACAGCTGCTGTGGATGATAAGATACCTCCTTCGCCCAAAATGAGACGCCATTCCGAACCACCAGCACCCATAATAGTGGTTCACGGTGATCCTGACGAGGAACAGCATAATTACCGGCATCACATCTCTCAGCTCTTTGGAATGACAGAACGAACTCCCACCGCTTTCCTAGCGAGCCCGAATCTTCGAGGAACCGGCCAGTTTTCTTTCGGTGCTGGAACTACTCAGGCAATTTTGTTGCGGGAAGATGAGTTTTGGTCCCGTCCGGTGGTGATAGATACACCAGCTTTCCAACAACGGCAGTACTCATTTACCGCTGCTGGCCTACCAAAGATAGAAGCGCCGAAATACGACCTTCCAGCTTTCGATACTCCCATACAGCATCACGGCGGCCGCACTATCAAAGATCTACCTACTACAATATCTTCACGGGTAGAAGGCCGAGAAGGAGAAAAACAGGGAGGTCCCGCTTCCTTATTCAGAATCTTTGGCACTATTTGGCCAACGCTGGTATGGAAACACAGGCTCATCCTGATTGTTGGCTTTTTCGCTGCCTTCGTTGTTGCAGTTTGTACTCCGGGGTTTGCATTCTCCTTCGCCAAACTGCTCAGTACATTCTACCTCACTGTAAACCAGTCCGCGGAGGCCAAGAAATGGGCATTGATCCTTTTAGGCGTTGCAATTGTGGACGGGCTCGCGGCATTTACTACACATTATGCTCTTGAACACTGTGGCCAGATATGGGTTAATGTACTTCGTGTTGAAGCATTAAAGCGGATCCTAGCTCAACCAAAATCTTGGTTTGATAAGCCCGGTAATTCTGCTAGTTGGCTCAATGAGTGCTTGGATCGAAATGCTGAGGAGATGCGCAATCTCATTGGCCGTTTTGCAGGAGCTGTCTTTACAGTTTTCTGGATGCTTGGGATATCAGTGGTGTGGTCTTTACTTCTATCATGGAAGCTCACGCTGGTTGCGTTGGCGTGCGCCCCAGTTATGGTCGTTGTGACTCGAGTTTTCCATTGGATTAGTAGCATTTGGGAAGAAAAGTGCAACCAGGCCACTGAGATGACGAGTAGTACCTTCACTGAAACATTCTCCAACATTCGAGTTGTACGAGCGCTGACGTTGGAACACCACTTTAGGCGCAAACATCACCAAGGCGCTGCCCATATATGCAAAACTGGGTTATCAAGAGCAATTTATTCTGGTCTTCTATATGGCCTCACGGATGGGGTGAGCATCTTCGTTACTGCCCTGGTCTTCTATTATGGTGCCGTCACCATCACCAATGGCGAGCAAACCGTCGCACGAGTTATCCAGGTCGTCAACCTCCTCCTATTCAGCATCGCCAACGCCAACGCAATGATTTCCATTGTCCCACAGATCAACTCCTCGCGCACAACTGCAACGCATATGCTGTATCTTGCGAATCTTCCCTATGGCAGGTCCCACGAATCCTGTGGGACAAAACGGATCCTCACTCCATTTCCAGTTCAATTCAACAACCTCTCTTTCACCTATCCCAATCGCTCTTCCGTGGAAGCGTTGTCCAAGGTCTCATTCACAATTGCGGCCGGTAGCTGCACGGCAATAGTCGGTCCATCAGGCAGCGGAAAGAGCACAATCGCCTCCCTCCTTCTAGCTCTCTACCCGCCAGACCCAGCTCAACCTAACGAATATCCTCCTTTGACCATCGCAGGGAAACCCATATCCGACTGCAATATAGCCAGTCTCCGCGGCTATATATCAATCGTCCCACAAACTGCTCTGCTATTCCCCACCACCATCCTATCCAACATAACTTACGGTCTACCGGAAGGATTTCCCTTCTCAAACCTCGAAGCTGCCATGGAAGCCGCAGCGGAAGCAGGAATCCACGACTTCATAATGGGGTTGGAACAAGGGTATCGAACCCTCATCGGTGAAGGTGGAATGGGCATCAGTGGAGGCCAAGCACAACGTATATGCATCGCTCGCGCTCTCGTCCGAAGACCCAAACTACTCATTCTTGACGAAGCAACAAGTGCTCTTGATGCTGTGAATGCGGAAGCTATTAGGGAGACGATTAGGAGAATGGTCGATAGAGGTAGGAAGAGAAAAGGTGGAGGTATGGCGGTGTTAGTTATTAGCCATAGCATGGAGATGATGCGTGTTGCCGAGGAGGTGGTCGTGATTGAAAACGGCAGATTGGTGGAAAAGGGGCCGATTAAGGAGTTGGCGAGTAGGGCCGGAGCATTTTCTAGGTTGGTTGGCGTTGAAGGTTTAGGTAGGGATAGAGATGTTAAGAAAATGAGGTTTGGTAGCTTTGGAGAGGGGTTTGGGACGAATAAGGAGATGAAGGGTCCTGTGTCACCCGCTGTAGGGGAAAAAAGGAATACTGGGTGAGGAAAACCAGTATTTGAGTTCACTAGAGGTTGATCTGGTACATGGTTGATATGATTGCAAAGTTTTTAAAAAATACATCTAATTCTTAAGTGTGTCCATGCCACCATTGCTTGGTTCTATTGGCAATATAGTCTTCTTAGATGAGGGCGGAGGAGGTTCTCTCGCCAACTCGCGACCTACAATAGGCGAAGTAAAGAAAACTCTCAATTTATATTGCAAGGAAAAGAGATAGAGGTAAAAATAATACTATACAACAAAAGTATTATTATGTACTTAAGCGGCAAAAAGAGTTCGGCCCGGTGTCGAATGCCTACATCTCTTGCCGGTTTGTCGCTTTGCCCCAATCGATCCTCTCCAGAAGACAATTTGACCTGAACCACTTAGCCAAGTGGCCGCCTTTTGTCTTCCTTAATACTAAAATCGCTTATTTGGATCTATATAGGGCAACCGCGACAAGGGACTGTCATTTGACTAGCCTTGTATAATTTCTACAAGTTAGAGCTTTTGGTACCTATAACGCATGGCTCAATTATATTAGGAACCTAGCAACGTTTCATGTTATCTTCGAAGACTAAGCTACTCAAGTGACTCTTCTTACTAGCAGCGAGGACTATTGTATATCTCTATCACGGTACTATAGGGTCTATATATGGCGATATGAGAATGAACATCATGAGCAATACTTTCATTGATGCTCGATTTATAGCTTTCTGACAACCCGAGTACTTGATTAACGGCCCCCTGTATTGCAGGAAGGGGATCATAGCAATATAACGGTCTAGTTAATGCCTATATCTAATATATCAATAAGGAGTAGAGTGCTACTGGGGAATCATAAGTCTTAACAATCCCAAAAAATTAACAAAATGACCGAACCCGTATGCATCAACAAATACCATCCTCCTATCCTCGAATCTCAGGACTTAGTAGGTAATCCTGGCAATGCCGCGGACCGGTCTCCCTTCTTCCGTTGTTTCACCCACTTGGTACTTCTTGACAATTTCCTCAAAAATCCACAGCCCAACATCCCTCCTCGAAATCGTGTACCCAATAGCACCTTCTCCCAAGTTATCCTCCCCTTCAACGGCCGCCCTAATCTTCCCCATTCCTAGTTCCTCCCCATCTGTCAATAGAGTTGCCCTTACAGAGCAATAGTCCCTAATTAGACCCTCATCCTTAGCGCCAATAATCAACTCCTCCATAGCCTTCTTGTCCTTATGCGGAACCTTCAACAACCAATGGTACAGCGGGACGTATAGTAGCGGTATATCGCGGCCATGCTCGCTCATACCTGTCGTACTAATGACGGCGATAAAAGGTTTCTGTTTAGGTGTATCCCCGAGTCCGGCTCTTAATGTAGAAAGGATAAGTGTTGTGGCTTCTGTGCAAACGGTAGGATCATCAATGGACGGGACCAAGGCGCCGGCTTTCCAGGTGGGCGCGGCGCCAAGGCCCGATATGACTATATCGACGCATGAGCCAGAATTGGAGAAGAGCGTTTTGCGAACGTCTTCTGCGTTCTTCACATTCCCTACGATGACCGTGAGCTGCGCGGCGATTGTGGAGGCGCTGATATCGTGCGCCGAGAGTAATTTTGTGAGTTTGTCGGCGTTGCGGACAACTATGGGGAAGGATTAGATTAGTAGTCCCCACGAAAAGAGAACGGAGCGATCACTAACGCGCTGTGCAGGTATAACCTTCGCGTAGACAATAGGCGAGACAAGCTGCTGCACAGCCGCCAGTGGCGCCAAAGAAGCCTATTATAGGGAGCATTTTGCGACTCCTATTTTAATTGTAGAGATTCAGAAAAGTAGTCTTCCGTTGCCTTTGGATACTCGCGTGCTGATTTAAGGGATAAGGGGAGGGGAGGGCTTAAGTCGTGAAACGTTGAAATAATATAGTGGTAAAAACAGTCGCGGCTTCAAGTCTTGGGCCATCATCAATGACGGTTGCCCATGCCATATATATAACCTTTAGGCAGGACGCTATGATGGTGGTCGGGAGGAGTTGTGTGGTGTTGAGGCTTGTGGCGTTGTCAGGAGGAGCGCCACCAGCAACAATTGACCCGTCCCCGCGTCGTGGCTTGGGCTTGGGCTTGGTACCAGGTGCGTACGAGTGCGAGTCCAAATACAGTTTGTGCCGCAGATATGCGAAGTAGACGTACGTCGAGTGCGTACGACTGTCAGCATGGAAAGAACATATCTGCAGATAAGCATGATGGGTTTTTATATTAGAATAACTTCCAAGTTATCATATAAGGGTTGGTTAACAGGCATGAGAGGGTTCTGTACAGTTTAATGTGCGTGGATCTTAGCGGGAAGGGTCCCGGTTGGCACAAGTACAGGTTGCACGTGATCAGCCCCCCCTTTTCTTATCCTTACACGCACGCATTTATCTCCGAATTACTTTTGACTTTTGGAATTTGTTCGTTACGTTGCGGTTGACTAAAGCAAGTGTGATTTGTCGGGCGCTGATACGAGCTTTGATACCTACTAGTGACTAGCATGCTAAGGCGCTTCCTCTCAATTCAATCGAGGCTTGGTCTGATAGGAACGGACAAGAAACGAGCATGGATCGATCAAACCACGTCGACAGGTAGTTATAGTGGACGCAACAGCCTTTTGTCAAAGACCGAGGTCAAACTGGAAGTAGCTAGGAATCGTGCGGTTCAGTTGGACGACAAATAGGGGCCGTGTTGCTGTGAAGCTCCTGGTAACAAAGCCCATGGCTATAACTATTATAGCCACAAAACGACAACTTGTGCGTTTTAGGAAAGAAGACATTCGATGGCGAAGACTTAGACTTCCTAAGTTTGTCAAATGCCATTCAAGGGCAAATGAATGCCACCGCTTCTTGTGGTAAAAGTCCAGCATAGCACGTTTAGGCCGACCATGCTAGATTTTCCAATCTACATTCAAGCTACGGACATCTTGTTGATTGTCTTGCGATCATTCCAACTTCTAGGTATTGAAACTTGCTTCCTCGAGAACTATCCACTCTGGAAGAAAATTGTATACTGATCCATCACCTACGGAGGTAGAGTCCTCACCTCGGGCCCCGAGCCCAGTTAAAATGTCTATCGTCCACTTGGAGCGCGCAGCCATGTCTGCCGGCTCTTCCCTGCAACAGTATTTCGAACCTTGCTCAACCAAAACACAGGAAAAGCAAGCAGGTTTTCATTATATTATTAGTCTAGGTGGGTATCTATTATGCACATGTGTACTCCTCGCGGAGAAAATCTTAGAACATCAATAATGCAATTCCAAATATCAAAACCAGAGAGGTATGTAGCTGTTTCTTCGCTGCCTGGGCTTTTGAGGGCAATGGGGTAGCGACAGTACCAACTGTGGCACTACCGGGGGTTGCTGTTTCTAGCACTTCCGGGGCAGGAGCTGTCGTATGTGACGATGAAGAATGCGGCGAAATACTGGAAGATATGAAGGTGGCCGTCCCGGTAGGCTTTGCGCTGGTGGAGATTAATGTTTGGGTAGCCTCCTCGTCCTCGATTCTCCATTCCCATCCACAGCCATCGCCACCCCCATAGTATGGGTTGGTGGTGTCCACGCCAGGACACTTCCGTAGGCAGCTGCAAAGGATAGTATTGGTCCACCAGGTCCCTTCTTTGTGTGCGGCGTGATTCTTCTCATTACACTGCCGGAAGCAGTTCATTGCCGAGCACGGAACGGCATCCCAAAGTTTCATTCCGATGGGTTCGACAGCCGACCAGTTGGCAAGCGTCGAGCCGGTCAACGTGATGTAGTCGGACCATTCGAAAGTCTGGGCATACCACGCTTGGATTCTATATGTGGAGCCATCGGGGCCGACGTCCTTTGGAATGTTGATCGTGGTTGTGGTCTCGTTTATGGGGAGGTGGGGACTCAGGAAACCTTATCATTTATTAGAAATTGGGTTATAAGAAAGATAGTGAGCGTTGTTGGCCCAGCGGTACTTACAGAGTGGGGAGAGGACGTAGTGCGCGGCACCTGCGCTCAGATATAACCTGTAATCGACGGCTTTTGAAGCTTTCGCATATGCGACGTTTGGCTCAAGGACTACTTGGACATCGGTGCCAGCGGTTATGGCAGAAGGGGCATGGAGGGCTCCAGGGGTAGCAAATGCACCTGGGATAAAGGTTGCGACGAACGACACATGAGCTGGAGATAAGTGCATCTCCCAGCTCTCCGCCGGGCGATATATACGTCGCAGACGAAAAGAGCGTCAAAAGAGTGGAAGACTCGAATCCAGTGGCTTTTAGGGAGACTGAAGTCGGGCTGGAGATGGAGTCGCAAACCACCCGGTACGAGTACGAGTACGGTCGGGTACACCAAGGTAGGTACCTAGGTACCTACCTATCTTAGGTTTAGCGCAAATGTCAGGCGATGGTCAGATGTCAAGCATCCCTAGATTATGTATCACTTAGGTAAGTAGGCAACAAAGAACTCAGATCTGAGAATTACTATTACATACTCTGTGTATCGGAAAACATAGTCCAACTTCCTTTGCTTTTCTATCCTTCTGTCGGGTAATCTAGGCACAACTTGTGCGGTATCACGTGATAAATCAGATGGCTCCATCCAATTCCGTGACTGCCTCAACGACGTCATACTCAACAACCTGCTACTGGGGCGCTGAATTCTAACTAGCATCATCATAGCTGCGTACCGCCCAGTTATTGAAGAAAGGTGCGGCAACACAAACCTGGAAATCCCATACAATGTCCCACTTGGGGCCTTCAGCCTGCCTCTGCTTCGTATTGAAGTGAAGGGACTTGGGAACCTGAGATGCAGCGGGTCACCAGGTGGGGCGATGACACGAGCTGAATCGACGCCCATTTCTTACACCACATCTCATTACTTCTACGTATCCGACTTCTTAAACCGCTTGCGTTTGCGCTGCTATATGCAACCACATTCGCATCCTCATCATCAAGCTACCGCGGGAGTTGTGAATAGGGAACGTTTACCATTGACTTACCAGTGATGCGCCACGTGTATATCAAACAATAGATTCCCAGGGCTACACAATCACGAAATCGACGAGGTATAAGGCAGGGAGAGTAACCACCCAAGGCTCCCCCGGACTCAAACCCAGTCAAAGAGCCTCCCATCTCCATCTCAGTCGACATTCCGGAGATATCTACCGCGTTCAATCGAACTACAACGTAGTAGTCACCAAGTGACTACCAAGAAGTCGGGATGGGCGCGACTACAGCTAGAAGAGCCAAAACTCCTGTGTTCTTCGTCGGGCAATTGGAATTGAAAACATTTTCGCCCGAATTTGCGCAGTCTCTGGCTCAACAATACCAAGATATCTTACCACTGCGGTCCTACACTCCATCGGTAATAGATGAGCCGACCTCACCTACCCAACGATGTCTTCGGAGAATCAAGTGTCAACAATGTTTGCGAGATCTTGTTAAGGAACATTCAGAGCTCACCGTTAAAGAAGAGCTAGAGCCCACCAACAGCTCAGACTGCGAGACGCTTTTGGGCCCCGAATCACCAACTTCTTCAAGTCCACCAAGGCAGGAATTTTCTCAAATCCGCAACCCTCCTTCGGATAACGCACTGCCAATGCACCCAATCACTCCTACGGAAGACTCATCTGTGAACCATACCTTTGATATCGACGACGGAATCGGGCTTCAGATCTGCATGAATCTTCTAAGCAATGAATTAACCACGACACTTTCCAAACAATCCCCAGGGGGGATGAAAGATCGCGGCTCTGAACTTCAAATTCTTCTCATGATTGAAGCATACGAAGCGATACAGCAACAAATTCGACAACAACTCGATGAATCTCGCGTGAGAGGGGACGCCGTGGACTATCATGTACTAAATGCTGAGAAGATCTTGGAGCAATGGTTGGGCGCGCTCTATGCAGTTTACGACCGCTCCCAGCAGAAGACATTTTGCAGTAGGATCGTTCATGATATAAAAGACGAAGAATATTGGCCAAGCCGTCGCTCAGTGGACTCTGATATGACCTATGTGGATTAGGTGGGAATGATACAGCAATTGAGATAACCCCTCGTCTAGGGGCAACGAGCAATGGTATAAGTGGTAGAATCCACAAGCGAATCGATTCGTGGGCAAAACCCCTTCGCTGAACGAACGAGGAGCTGGGCCCCGGGCCTCAATTGTCTCTATCGTATTCGGAAAAATTGTTCTTTTTGGTCGACGTTTGAATCTCTTATTCATCGCTTTGCTTTATTCTGACGGATATTTCCATTACGGATGTACTATTGGCAGGCAATCCATTTACAAAATGAACAGCACGGCACGATCCATCACGACGTCATGATTTCATGGATATCTTGATAGGCTCTTATGATATGAGAAGACTCCGCTTTTGGTAGGGGACCTTGAGCAGTTTGATGTTCGTAGCAGAAGCCTCCCCCCCATCATTGGAGAAGCGACTAAAGACGAACATTTATCTTGGAAGACAGACACGAATGGACGTGATTCTGCGAGGCAACCACACTTTATCAATCCCATGGATACTTGCAGGACTGCAACATAATGAAGAAAAGAGTGGTGGTTTATCTTGGGTGGCGTTGTAATGGCGGGCACCTGGAAGAGTGCATTTGCTTGCGAATGTAGGACTAATTAGGTTGAAGGCCGGAGTCAAAGTATGATGTCTTAATTTCGAACACGGCCTAAGTACTACCGGGCTTTATTCTTACCTCTTGATATTGAAATACTTTTATAATACTATAATGTTAATGCTATTAGATCTCATACCTATATCCCAAGCCAAAAGCTGTTAAAATCCTGACTTGCAAATAACGTTTGATGTAGGTAAACCTAATAACCTAATACTACGTCTAAAACAGAAATTCTTGATCTACCTACAAAATACTCATGACTCGAATACCTCAATATTTACTGCAGCCCTTCTCAAACAATAATCTGCACTGAACGTCAACCAACGTTACATGTACTTAAGATCTCCATACTTTATATACGGGAATGCACATTTCGGTAATGTATGGTATGCGCCCCAATACCGAGGCAGTAGAACGTTGCAATTGCAAGTCGTGCAATGAATATGGCTCCAGACAAGAGAGGCGCTCGTATCAGCGTCGCAGCTCACAACTACCAGTTATTCCATTGCTATGAGGCGAGCACAGAAAATTAACCAACCATCACGCTAACTTTCACCCTCTCGCATCCATAACCAAATCAAATCGTGGTGGAACATCCCCAGATACAGCCTGACTGATGCCCGCAGCTACCGTATTATTGTGGTGTGTTTCAAAATACTCGGTTGCACTATTTGCCACCAATTGACCGCGCGGCCGATGGAGGAGGGAGGTAGAAAATCAGATTTCGAGGTCGGATTTGTTTGTTCCATTATTCTAGTTAGTAGTGAGAAAGCGAAAGGTTATAATAGGGTCAATATGCGTGTTTGATACGCTTGAGTGCTGTTAGGGCTGAAGTACCGAAGCTGCGCTTGAGTCGTTCTGAGTGGGGCGGATAATATACTATATCTGAGGGAATTCAAGATCCACTGTTAAGTTAATCTCTCGACTGTCTATAGGGAAGGAAGGAATAAGTGCACTGTGTCATTCGGTGAGAGAATAGAAAGGAGCATCATCTACCTAGGTAGGTAGGAGTAGATCACATCGCGCCGTAAAAGAAAAATATTAATCGCGGACATGTATGCACCTACGTGCAGCTTCCCTCATCTTAGCACCGGAGCGGTAGCCGGCCATAGTTGGACCAGCAAGGGGATGCAAAGCTTGTCTTGTCACGTCTGGGCTCAAGCACATGTTCGTCAAGTCGAAACTCGTGGCCCCAATATCCAACGATCAGGCTGTTCATATCGATCAAGCTTTATAAATTGCGCCGAGACCGAGTCAGCCTCGATTTTGAGTGAAGGGATGATCGTGGATGTTTCTACCCCACAGTCCAAGGCTATAGCTATTTTTCCGAGGATGAGGGAATTGATCAGTGTTGGCGGATAAGACGCGTAACTTGCGAATCATCCGCAGCCACCTATTTGTCGCAAATATCCTGAGTCCTATTTGCAGCCATAGAACGTCGTTGGGGCCTTTCCAATGATCCATCATGGGGGGCATCTGTGGGGTGGCTCGGCGGCAAAGTGGGTGCAGGGGAAAGATCTGGGGAACCCTGGCAGGATATTCCAGGGGGGTTGAATGGTATCAGGGGATCAACTGGTGGAATGAGGAGAGTCTCAAAATGTGTATATTGAGGATAGGCGTCCTTAGAATTAGACACAGTGGGCGGTCGCAAGCCCCGTCTGCAGCAACAACAGCAGCAGCCGTCAGGTAAAAATCTCTTAAACGAAGTTATATTATCCAGACTTTTGAATAAAGTTTAGTGAGGTTCCTCTCTCTTTATGGATGTCCAGCTTATGTTCATCAGTACATTGACTTGGAAATTTCATCCTGTTCTTGGACGTACGATGCATTCATCAGTCTTACTCGCCCTAGTTGCGGCGCCCTTAACTGTGCTCGCTGCTCCTATTGCAGAGCATGCAGCTTCAGCTCTTAATGCGGCTATCAAGGCAAAGGGGAAGAAAGACTTCGGTATAGCTACTGACAAAAACCGCCTTACCGCCGGGAGCAATGCCAAAATTATCTAAGACAACTTTGCTCCGGAGAATAGTATGAAGTGGGACTGAACTGAACGTACGTATCTGCGTTGCAGTGGAACTGAAAAACAACATTACCACAGAAATGACACAGTACAAGGGGAAAATCTATGCCTGGGATGTGGTAAACGAGTCCTCAGTGAGCAGGGACCACTGGATGGCAGCTAGCTATTCATGAAAACTATGGGGGAGAACTTCATCAAAGTTGCTTTCTCGACCGCCAGATCCGTCGATCCCGATGCGAAGGTCCACATCAACGACTACAATCTCGACCAGACAAGCTATGCCAAGACTACTGGCATGGAAAACCTTGTTAAGAAGTGGATTGGCCAGGGATTTCCATCGATGGAATTGGTAAGGACATTTCTTCAATGATGATCAAGATATAGGGTCTAATTCACCCATAGGATCGCAATCCCATCTCCAAGCTAATCAAGGTTCTGGTGTTGCCGGCGCCTTGCGCACGCTTACGAGCAGTGGGGTTTCTGAAGTTGCCATCACAGAACTTGACATCGTCAACGGTTGTTCCACCGATTACGTCAATGTAAGTACATCATATAGACAACAGTCTTATTTTCGCGCACTTGCTAACTCCTTCCTCCGTAGACTGTCAAAGCTTGCGTTGAGCAGGCCAAGTGTGTTGGTGTCACCGTGTGGGGTGTCCGCGATCCAGACTCCTGGAGGGCAAGTAACAACCCATTATTGTTCGACGCATCGTTCAACCCAGAGCCAGCCTACCCTGTAGCCATGCAATACCTGGGGCAATAAGAAAAGAATATAACCTGAGAGAGTGCGCATAATTGGAGCGTGTCGAAACAATGGTGGACTGACCAAACCGCTCCTTAAAATTATATGTATATACGTATTAAAAACCATTGACAAATACGCATATGTATGCCCTAGTTGGCAATGTGATTTTTTCACGCTTAAAGGGTCAGGGCTTGTCAACAGTAGAAGGATGTTCTCAGCACTCGGAGAGGTTGGAGAAAAATCATCATTGTGCGAGCTTTGGAGCTTCTGGTCGATAACAGACTAGGAACTAAAGGGAAGCAAGGAGCAGTACCGAGTATGTTGCTGATTTTAGAGCCTTGGATTTCGTTCGTCCTTAGAAACTCCTGTTTCTAGTGGCAAAGCCAATACCACGCGGTCGAGGGAGTACCAGTGGGCATAGAATTCACGGTTTGGCGGCGGCGGCGGGGATTAGCTCTTTAATTGTACACAAACGAACCATCGGGCAAGTTTGCTAGCGGAATCCTTGGGCTTATTTCAGTATTTCAGTCTGGGATGCAGTATGGTGGAAGTGGATATGTAAATGGGAAAGAACGTGGAGGAGTAGAGGAGGAAATGTTTATGCACAGGTGATGTATTTCCACAGAACTTTAAAGGGGACAGGTGGCAGAAAATGGCGGTGTTAGCACCCTTCAGAATCTCGTCTCACGCTATGGGTCCGTCCTCTCTCCTCGAATCGCAACATCTCGACTTCGCAACTGCAACAGGTCCGTTAATACTATCATCCATTGAGCGGACGCCTATTTATCCATTAGCAGCCTTGTATCACTGCTGCTAGACAGAATATCGGGCTTCGAGGACCTCTCGATGCGACGCGTTCCAGAGAACGGCGGGGCCAAAACTTTCTCGCAGGTTGCAAGAATAGTAGCTTGAAACCCATCCGCTCTATTACATTGACCTAAGTGAGGCACTTTCCTTATATTTGATGGCGATATTTTCAATCTCTAACCAGTAAACGGCCAACGTGCTACGATGGGTGTCCGTTCGCATTGCGTGGAGTTGATCGTTACACTTCTAGGTGGGGTGGCGGTGATATTTACCCGGATCCTCGCAGAAATGCCACTATTTATTTCATCTCTCCTTTTTTTTATACCTTTCTCCATTATAATCGTTCCAAAAAACTGAAGTTTCATTAAATTTAATGATAGTTCACCTCCCCAAGCGTTAGCTGTTAAGCTTAAATTGTTACTACTCGTCTTGGCAGTGAAAAGAACCTAGGCGGATTTAATATTATCCCTCATGAAGCTCAGCGACGGGAAACACCTGAATGCTTCCTAGTAGTATCTTAAGAGATCCACTGCTTGCCTTTTATAATTCCAAGTCCGGCCTGTATACCTTGGCTTTGTAAGTCGCAGAAACCTCAACGCAAATGACTTGAATCCCACGCCTTTTCTCATATATTTTATTCGGGCCGAGACTTACAGCTCTAGACAAGCTGTTGTGTTTCTTGGCAGTCAGATACTCACTGAGAATGCTCCAGTAATATCGAATGGCCTGTTGATTTCTTAAGCGACTGTTTATGAATGCCGCTCTGAGCCTGGCTGATGAGTTCTCAATGGGGTAAAATCAAGCACCAGGTTTATATTCTTTCAACCAAGTCCTCTCCGCTGCTCCTTTTGCTGGTCATAACATCCACACAACCAACATGATGATCTTATGGATGTGAAAAATCTTCAATTTTCTGGTGACATTTCAGGAATGAATGATGCCAGGATATAAAACCCAATCGAAGTCTCCCAGTCTTCATTTTAGAGGCCAGCCAAGGAACCGGCATTCGACCCCTCTACTAACTTAAGCTCAATTTTAAGATTGACTCCAAACTTCTTTCTCTCACATCCACAAGCGTAGCCCTTGCGTTCCCGGATATCAAGCCCCAAGGGCCTATTGGCGTCGAAACGCCAGCACCAAATAGAGGTTTCTGGACCTTCCACAGCCATATATACCCACATGGTCAGCTCAAACAGGTTGTATGCATGTCTCTAGATGTAATGCTCTACTCCGACCTTGTCAAGTACATAAAAATGATAGAATGGTATCCCAACTCAACCTACCTATGCAAACACCATGCTGAATTATGCTGTCTTCGATAATGCTAGAGATTCAACTCCATCAGACTCATTCCCAGCAACATCTGTCATTTCACCAGTGGCTCACCAAGATTGTCAAGAATTTAATGGGACGATACGAGGGCAAAATACCTTTACCCAGCTTCTCCTGACTGTAAAGGTCCCATTTATGCAGAGACGGCTAGTCTGCTGGCACGAACGGCGCCTATTGAATCCACCTGCCGCGCTTGACTTCTACATATCTTCCGATCTCAACTTTAGCTCCATCACTAGAGTAAGCGGCTTCAATCTCTCTACCGGCCCAATGAAGCTTACAGCTGGGGAGTTCTGTTAACTAACATTTCCCTGTGATAGCAACACGATCTTCGATGTTGCACGCGGCAACGAACCTAGCACGGTTTATTTTGACAAGCACCCAACCTACGAGTTCCTAAATGGCCCTTTAGATCTTGGATTTACCCAAGGCTACTTCCCTGAAATCGGCTCAGCGGCCTCTACCCTAGAACCCTAGCAAGCATAGGAAGATCATCACTGGGATACTCTTGCAGATGTCGCAGCAGACTACTGTGTCAATGGCACTGGATTTATCGATCTATCTCTCATCAGGACTATCTTCGAGGCCCTGATTTAGGCGCAATCGAACGGTGGGAGATATGCCGCTGGCTCTACCTTCGTCAACCCCATCTTTGGCGCCAACACCAGCGCTACTCCAGAGAAACGGCGTGCCACAAGGCGAGTTTATCACTCGACTCAAGGCCGCAGGAAAATTTAAGTCCACGTCCCTCATCGTCGGCCTCAAACAAGGTCAATCGCTATTCCACGAGTCAACTGTCAAGCACGCCGACTCTCAACCCATTATCAATGCCATCAGGTTCAAGGTCTCCTTCCTATTGGGAGACAACGCAGTCCTAACCTGGCTTAAAAGCAACGGCAGCGACGCCCCGTCCGCCAATGCAAACTTACTGGCCAAAGCCACTGAGCTTAACATCAAGTAGGTGCTCGCCAGCGACGATGTCTAGGGATTGAGATTCGGAAACCTTCGCCAGGATTCCCGTGCCCGAGACTTTGCCATCTACGCCAACGACCGAATGGTCTAATTGACCAACAAGCAGACAACAATTGACGGTGCATGACTTCCTACTGATTCGAAGGTCCCCGCCGTGTTTGTAACCCGACTTTAAGTGCTGCCAATCATTCGTTGGAGGTCAAAATCACGTAGTTGGTTGCTACTATGCTGTCAGCTTTTGGGCTGCCATTCGCATAGTTGGATGCTTGGAGGGTTTAGGGTACGCCGGTTACTCCGTTTTTAGGACCGCCTACTTATTAAAACGTTAATATTTATAGTAATGAGGCTTCCGGAGGAAATTCTAATAAATAAGATGTGATGAAAGGTGAGATAGGTGACGATGAGGTGGAATTTCGTGTGTTATAATGAGTACAGGGTTGACACAAGAGAAACGACTTTAAAAACAAATACTTAGCTAATTCTAGACATACGATTCCCAGTGATAGAATAATATAACCATATGACTTGCTCCCTTTTCCAATCTACTGTCTACTGTCTATTGTTGGTCTCATTTCCTGGTCGGTATTGAATACACTCCCACCACCGTCGTCGCTCATCCTCACGGGATATCTTCAAAGCTGGAGTAACAGTATTCGCAAAAGAGTTTGACAGCAGACGCTTTATCCCAAAATCTGTATAACTTTATAGAATAAAATTATTATTCCAAAGACTACGGTATCGCACTATTTCGTAGCTAGTAGTCGCCAAGGCTGTGTATACCACCTAGATTAGTTGTATTTGTAAACATCGGAAGCCGTACGAGTAGTCGGAGACCAAAAGAACGAAATAAACACAGAAAATTCCGGTTCTAAACCGCGTGATTTAGAAACAAACTAAGAACAACGTTAAAACCCATCTACAAGTCGTAAGTGTAGGAGTTATGCCTTTTTCGCATTGCACAGCAAAACCTAGCCATCAGGAAGTACGGCGGGCCGGCTTTTAATTAAGGATACCTAAAATATTCTTAAAATAAGGACTATATAAGCGTATATTTATATAAAACCCCGTAGTTTATGCTCATATCTGTACGATTTCTGTTCGATTTTGGCATAAACCTGCCTCACTACCGGATATTTATCTCTAAACTACTAAGTATACCCCCTAGCAAACGAATATCGGGACCGTAGAATATAAAGACATTCGTAATTATAAGTCTTTCCTCAATTTACACAAAAACAACGTCGGAGTAACAAATTACCCAAAGAACTCAGGTTACCCTTATATTAGAGATGCTTTTGGGACGCCTTTACTGCAGTAAGACGCTCGGGGACCGAGAGCATGACTTTGGAGCATGGGGTAAGTAACCGAGTTGCAGGATTGAGTGAGGTGAGAAAGTCGGAAACCGAGAACATGCATTATCCCCTGTATATCTAGTGAACGGAATGATAATATGGTATTTGACCTCAGGTTGTCCTAAAATCCTTGGGTACAAAGCGAAACCCCTCGATGAAATATTGAAATCGAATCGGGGAACAAGTCACCGAAAGTAGCGAAGCCCCTTCCTTTCCATATTCGGAGCATACCTCCCCGCCACACGGCCATGGCATCGCAGAATTCGTATTCCTCCCTAAATTCTATTGTGGTGAACAAGTTCAATGAAATAGCACAGAAAGATGATATACCGTGGCGTTCTGGAATCGTAGTACTTGTAGGCACACTTTATGTGTTATCAGCTCTGAGGGAGTATGTCACTGGGACTAAAGTACCATTGGTCGGCCGAGCTTCCGTATTCGAACCACTTTTCATCTCGAATTTTCGATTCTTGAATAATGCGCAGAAGATAGTAGGGGACGGTTATGCCAAGGTAAGTTGTAACTTCCACATTTTCAAACACTGCTAACAAAGTCCTTCATCAGTTCAAAAACAGAACATTCAAATACAACCGCGCAGATGGAGAAATTCTCGTCCTCCCCGCCCGCTATGTCAACGATCTACGGAACGTGCCAAGGTCAACTGCCGACCAGACCAGGGCACAGCTACACAATTTCATGGGCCATCAGCTCAATCTGGAAGTCATAATACGTAACAAGCTATATTTCAGGGTTCTCCAAGAGAAAGTCACGCCGAATCTTAATAATTTGACGGCTCCGATGCAGGATGAGCTTAATTATGCTATGGCGAATGATAAGGAGTTTCCGATGAGCGAAGGTGATGGATTCCGAGTGGCTATATTTGACAGTTACTGACGGCACGGTAGATGAGTGGATGCCTGTTAAGCCTTCTCATATGATCCTTGATGTTGTCGCGAGAATCAGCGCAAGGATATTCGTCGGTCTGCCTATGTGTCGGAATAAGCAATGGCTCGAGATCTCTATCAAGTTCACAGAATCTAGTAGGTTAAACCCAAATTTCCAAAGTTCGCCTCTAAACTGGATCTAGTATTCCTCTACGCTATTACTATGCGACTTCTTCCATTTGGGCTTCACAAATTCCTCAGTTTGATAAATCCCAATGCATGGAAAGCAGCCTCGTACGTTCGACAGGCCAAACAGCTACTTGTTCCCGAAGTAGAGCGACGCGGACAAAAGATCCAGGCAGGAGAAGAGAAAGGCTCAGACCACCAGAACATTCTATCGTGGATGATTGAAATCGGCAAAGAGGACGAGACGAGTCCTTCCGACCTAGCTCACCTGGAAGTCATTCTCTCTATGGTTTCCATCCACGCCCTAGAAACGAATGTGGTACAAACCCTCTACGACTTGGGCGCGCACCCCGAATACATACAACCACTGCGCGAGGAAATTTTGCAAGTGATCAAAGAAAACGGGCCGTGGATGCAATGGAAAAAAACGGCGTTCGTCAAGCTCCGACTCCTTGATTCCTTGATGAAAGAGAGCCAGCGGCTGAACCCGCCCAACATACTCGCATACCATCGAATGATGAGGAAGGACCTCAAGCTCAGCGACGGCACGGTCCTGCGTTCAGGAAGCCACACATGCATGGCTATAAACTCAATCCAAAACGATCCGGAGAATACAAGCGACCCTGAGGTCTTCGATGGATATCGCTATTACACCATGCGTAAGCGCGAAAACGAAGAACACCTACACCAGTTTGCGACTACGGATCCTAAGAGTTTGCATTTTGGACATGGTATTTATGCGTGTCCGGGCCGGTTCTTTGCGTCGTTGGAGATTAAGATTATTCTTATAAGGCTTATTATGGATTATGATTTTAAATTCCCGGAAGGTCAGGGAAGGCCGGAGAATTTGACTGCGTATGAGTATATTTTTCCGAATCCTGAGGGGGTCTTGCTTATGAAGAGGAGAAAAGCCGGAGAGAGGTTACAGCTATAGGCGGATATCTAAGTTTGAGCGGAAGATAAGGCAGCTTGATGCTCGAGGGGCATGTAGCAATATTGGAACCAGAATCTATGAGTTCCCACACTTCGTATTATTGACGCTTCACCGAAGCTAGCACCATATGATATATGATTGAAACATGCTGGTCTACCAATATTGATAACTGCATCGTGCTGTTGAGAGCTTCCGATTGATTCGATGAATCCCAAGCTTGGTCTAGTAGTCTCGCTAAGTCGTACGTTTAAAAGGGGGGCTGAGGCACTCTCACTGCTCAAGCTTTCTCATCATACGTTTTCGATTACACTGCTCTTGAAACAGACTAAGCGGACGAAATGTAAACATCGCATCAGAGTGTAGAGTAACCAAGAACTCGCTTCATCTCCACAACAAGATCGACTTGATTTCTATGATTCAAGCCTTTTCAAAGTTTACTCAAGGCGTCTATTCGCCGCCCAAGACCAGCAGTTTCGGTGAACTTCTACGTCAAATATATTGCGTTTAATAATTGTAAAAGAATTTCGCAAGCAACAAAATTATCGTAATATATGCAGCCACTTGAATCGACGTAGAGAGTTTGATATTATTTCTACGGCCTGGTCTACTGGAGGCGGTAAGCCAAAAACCAAAGCAGAGCGCTCACGAAGCCCCTGAAATTTGCCGAGTATCCCCTGAAGGTCCCGCTCGCTTACGTAGCCCTAGCAACAACAACGCACCGGCAGCCACCGCCCCCTTTTATTTATTCTTCCTTCGTCTCTCGTCAACGGGATGGTTGAAGCACCGACTCGCCACTTCACCACCGCGTGCGTAGGCTCACGCTCACGCAAATGGCCCTCCGGACGAGGTGCGCACGGTGAGGAGATTAGGAGTGGTATTACGCTTAAATCACGATTATGCCGCCCATTTTTGTGATAGACTACAGGGCGAGCAGCTGCTGGAATAGGACCGATTTCTTCTGCGCCGAGGCATGCGTGGCAGGTCTTATTTTCCCTTTCTATAGCCCTTTCTATTTCTATATCTTTGAATTATGTTCCGAGTTGAATTTTGCAACTTCATCCTTCCGAGTGCTTTAGCAAGTGCGCCATTTCTCACCTCACCTGCCTGGCTTGTATATTACCATGCTCTATCGTGAAATTGCAATTTCTTTCTGTCGATTTTGGTATTACTACCACCATGGTGGATGCCCTCTCGCTAGCGCTGTGGCGCAACCAACCTATTTATTAAGTGGTCACTGATCGATTGGCGAGAACTGAGGGCTCGACCACCGCGAGCTGTGATACCGGAACCAGGGTATATGGTGGACGGACATGGAAAATAATTGTTGAGAAGTTAAATTATGTGAGCCTTAGGTTTTCTTGATTCTCGTGGCAACCCCTGTTATTACTTTTGCTTAGGATAGCCGAGATTAAGATGAGACAGGATGACAGGTAGAAGCGGTTGCAGTTTCGGGGAGAAGAAGTGATTTTGTTCTGGTACTAATGTGAGAAAACGTAATTCCTAAACTATGGTTACTGACCGGTTTAAATAACAGATCTAGAAATGGGGTTTATAGTGGCATGTTGAGCCTCTCTCTTACCATTTCCTAAATTTGTGTGCTACCACAACAGAAACGGATCTCCCTGATTGTTCTTAGACTTGAAAGCTCCCATTGCCAATGGCTCACCATACACGCTTAATCTTCCGGCTTCTGGCACGGGATTTTACCCAACGAAGCGCATCTTGAAATCTTGTGGTGCACAGCATACATAGCGAACTCGAGCGGGAACTTGGCTACCAGGATGGTTGGAGGACTGCCGAGGAGTTTTTATTCAAATAGCGCGCTTACTGGGAGTGGGATTTGCTCATTACTTACAGCTTATGGCCTTGATTGGACACTCTAATAATTGAGGTCTATTGGTAAGTATTGCTGGCCTGCTTTTGAACTGAGAGACACACAAACTCCAAATACTAAGTAGTAGGGGAAATTACCCACGGCAGCTTCTCGAAATACTTGAGACGGTGAATCTCCTTACCATCAAATATGCACCCCATGACTCAATCGCCGTAGATTTATAGCTACAATTATTTGTAGTCTAGAGTGCTTTAGCAATCCCCATCATCGGCTGTAGTAGATAGACTCGTCTAGTCGCTTTTCATAAGCACTAGCCTTGAATCAACGTCTATACTACCCTTTCAAGATAAGAGACTAGGATCAACTCGAGTGCTTCTAGAAGCAATTGTCGTGGACAATTCCTTGAGGGATGAGCTGTTTAATAACTCAAATATAGACACATTAGCTGCAGCGTGCGATGCCAACCAATTTTTGAGCTCGACGGCGACCAACGAGTCCACACCCAAGTCGTCGAGCTGCTGGGAAGGAGTTATCGATTCCTTAGATACCATGAACATATTCGACAACTTCTTGACCAGCGCTTGGAGAACCACGTCCGCAACCTCCTCAAGTGTAGAGAGTGTTGAAAGTGTGTCCAGGATATTTCCAGTGCTACTATCCCGGGTGCGACCCTGCTGGGCTGACGAATCGCTATACTTGAGTGGTGCAAATCTTGCGTCCTTAGCCCAAACTTGGTCCTCCCAGTGAGGGCCTGGTCCAGTGTTGATTCCAGTGATTATTTGCGCCGGCGAGGGTGAAACAATACACGCCTCGATAATCCGGTGAAGTTCCTTCTCGCTGACGGGTCTCATCCCAATGCGTTCTAACGTGTTCCCAATGTTCTGGGATTCGGCGACGTACCCAACCCCCTTGACCTGGCCAAGGTCGATCGTGACTGCTGGAAGGCCCCTTGCTTGTCTGTATTGGCAAAGCGCATCTTGGAATGCTCCTCCAGAGGCATAATTAGCTTGACCTTTGTTGCCGAGAATGCCAGATAAGGAAGAAAGCATGATGAAAAAGTCGAGATTGGGCAGCTGTTGATGAAGGTTCCAGCTCCCTTGAACTTTTGGAAGAACTGCCGTGTTGAAATCCGCGAGACTCATTGTTTCGATAACGGAATCCTGCTTCGTTAGCGGGTGCTCACAAAAGAATGGATTTTTATCGTTACCTTCAGAACCATAGCACCCTGGATAACACCCTTTACGGGCGGCATTCCAGCACAATTTTGCATGGCCCTTGATAGCTCGGAGCTACTTGAGACATCGCAAGATATGCAGCGGATATTGCAGCCGGTTTCTTCTAATTCAGCCAGGAATGGGCTCTTTTCAGCTTTTCGAGACATGATAACCAAATGTTTTGCGCCATGTTCTACCATCCATTGGCATAAGGATCGTCCAATTCCACCCATGCCACCCACAATCAAGTAGGATGAGTTAGGGGCAAATTTGACTATAGGAGAGGAACGTTTTACCTAGAGTATGAGTTAGTACAGCTGACATTTAAAAGAAAGGTTGCTTACTGGCACCATGTCCTCTTGACTAATAGTAATGACAATTTTCCCCACATGATTACCTGCTTGCATGGTACGAAATGCTTTCTCAATATCTGTGATTGGATAGGTCGTGATCGGGCTCATGGGGTTTATAGTATTCTGCCTGAGAAGCTCGATGGTTGCATTCAAGACCCGGAAAACATCATCAGGCTTATGCACAGCCCACTTCATGAGATCAACGGATGAGAACGAGACGTTGCGAGTGAATGGAAGCATGTCGAGGCTGCTATTCTGTTCTAAGTCGCGCTTGCCAATCTCCACAAATCTACCAAAGTCACAAAGGCAGTTGAAAGATTCTTGCAACAGGCTTCCCGCAAGAGAGTTCAGGATCACATCTACTCCCTTCCCATTCGTCATGGCAAGGATCTGTTCCGCAAATGAGATATCTCTGCTTGAGAAGATGTGGTCGTTTGGAATTCCGTATGTGTCTGCGATGAGCTGCCTCTTTGCATTTGATCCCACGGTAACAAATATCTCAGCACCGACTAGTTTTGAAAATATAATTGCAGCCTGACCCACCCCACCAGAAGCAGCATGTACCAACACCTTTTCACCCTTTTGGAGACGCGCAGTTTCGTAGAGTGAGACATACGCAGTTGTGAACACCAGAGGAATAGCTGCCGCAGTGGGATGGCTCATTTCATCCGGTATGAGTGCCGTATATTTCCAAGATGTCCTCGGGAGTGTAGCCCAATGACCCCGCAAAATAGAGCAAACTCGATCGCCAACTTTGAAGCCTTGAGACGCTGCTTTAGCGCCGAGACGAGCTATAGTTCCGGAGCATTCAAATCCCATGAAAGCATTGGCCTCTAGCTGACCCATTGCGACCATGACGTCCCTGAAATTGATACCAATAGCTTTGGAGTCAATTTCAATCTGCTCTGGATCGAGGTCTTTATCAACGTTTGGATCTTCGTGAAAATAAAGAGTGTCAAGTAAACCTGGAGTTCCAATCGCCATTCTTAGTGGGCTATTTGGCTGATAAAACGGTTCCATGTGAACGTCGGTTTCGTTCCTATGTGTGTCTACAAACTTGTTCAAAGAGTTTTCCTTGTATATCCGAGGAGTGTAAATTGCGCCGTGCCGTTCTGCATATTCGAAATCTCTAACGGCTTGTTGGCATGTGTCATCAAATGTGGCTCGAAGAATTTCACAGATAGTGAAAACATTATCCACAGACCATGGCTGCTGGTTAGGATCGAGATCCAAGGAAACATATTGCCTTCCCCCAGATTCATTTCTCATCGTTCGTAGGAAGCCAATTTGTAGACTGGCGTCAGGTTGCTCGCAGTCCATAGCACCACCGCTGGAGACCCAAAGAAGGCCCTTGCTGTCTGCAAGGAGAGAAGTGATTGTCTTGAATTGATCGGAATTAATGTCGCGCAGAATGTTGTCAGCTATGTCTAGGAATATGATAACTTTACCAGCAGCGATAACATCCTCAAGCTTTTCGACACTAGGCACCGATCCTGTAATTGCGGAAATGGCATTTTTGGCATCTTCTAGCCAGTATCCTGGTGGGCAAGTAGTCGAATAAACGAGCGTAAAGCTCGAGGAGTAACGTGGAAGAGGCTGGCTTGCAGTGGACATCATGGTGCTCATCATATAAAATTCCTCATTCTCACAGTCAGAAACTTCCAGCTCTACTCCATTAAACCCACTCTTTTTAAGAACTTGGCTCCAATGGTCCTTGGATAGAGAAGGTGTGAATTCTCGTTCCTTTTCGTCGCCTTTTAAATTGTTAGTAAAAAAAGGAATGCCGGATGTGGGGTGCGGGGTGCCTACTTAGCCACCACCCAGGCAGGAGCCCAAATGCGAAGAACACATCCATCTGATCCTGCGTTGTCTCTAGTAAAATTAGTTTCCCACCGGGCTTCAGTAGTTTGCGAACATTGGCCATGGTGTTTTCCATGTTCTTTGTCGCATGCAAGACTTGAGCAGCAATAACCACATCATATGTCCCAGCCTCAAAACCTTGGTCTATAGGGTCAAATTCGATGTCGAGTTTGCGGAAGTTCATAATATTTTCCCAACTGCTGAATCGATCTTTGGCTGCTTCAAAAAATCCAGGAGATATGTCTGTGAATTCATAATGGCCAAACGGTGCGCCTCCCATGCCATCTAGGATGGCTTGTGTAGCGCCACCAGTACCTGCTCCTATCTCTAAGATTTTGGCCTGAGGAAACTTGTGCGCACAGAGTTTCACCAACTGGCTAGCTTGCCAGATTGATCGGTCCCATTTCAAAGCGTCAATGTAATATTTTGTCAAAAGGTTGTCGCCCCTCATCAACTCCAAGGTGGTCACTTCTCCCTTGAGAACCGGAATCAAACTTGAACCTAGTCGAGTCACCATTTGTCCGTTCACGTTCGCCGTGGAGACCGTTCGCAATAGATCTTCAATACCGGAGCTTTTGATTTTCATACTCGACTTTTCCTCGGCGTCCAACTGCATATTCATCCAAGCGTAAAATTTCTTGAGATGTGGTTCTAGTCTTTCGACGTCGTGAGCCGTCAATAAGGTTGTTGCCTCACGCATGTAATGCAGACAGGCACGTCTAAGGTCCATCATTGCAGCGGCTTCCACTTCGTCGAATGGAAATTCCAGCCCCTCTTTCAGAATCTGTAATTTTCTAAATGAAACATCTAGGTCCCAAGTCATAGCACTGCAAATTTCTTGTTGGTGTGAGTCTGTATTTTGATTAGACCCAAGCCCTAGGGACCGACAGCTGAGACCCTCGAGTTCTAAGATGGCGCCAGAGGCATCGCAGTCATTACTGACTGAGACTCCAGCCAGAAAAGTAAGTGAATCGAGATGGTGAATTGCGGAATTTGCTTTGAAATGGTGGCCAGCAACATTGCTTATTCCCCGCGATATTCTCAATCGCTTGATTGACCTAGGGACGAACCCGGAGCGAAGGACTTTGTCGGATCCAGAAAGTGCGCTGTATGCCGCCAAGAAGACCGAATCCAATGTCGTTGGATGTATAATATGCTCATGCTGGTAGTTCATTGGCATACTTGGAGTTGTATCTGTAATAGAGAAGATAACTTCTGCTTGAGCTCTGCCATTTACTTGAATGGCGTGTATGTTCTGGAAGGGGGTTCCATGGAAAATCCCGGTGTCTCTCAAAGATTTGAAGATGTCATTGGGGTCAACCTTTGTTCTATAATCTGTCGCGTTTCCAGCCTTGGAGAGTTTTGCAAGTCCACTTCCATTCAATTGGGTACGGGGCTTTCCATCCAGTAGATCATGATCCACCTTAATGTGCCCTTTGCAATGTTCCGTCCATTGATTTTGGCTTGTGACAGAGTAGATATGGAACTCCTGCCAGTCTCTATCGCCAAGGACTCTATCATTCGAGGGGAGAATTGTCATTTGCACTTCCGCCCCGTCTTCATTGTCGGGGATTACCAAAGCTTTGGAAATCTCAACGTCCCGCAGTTGATAACCGGCAACATGGTTAGTGTCATTCTCATGTATTTGATTGATGCCCTCGATAGCCATGCAGAGAAAACCAGCACCAGGGTAAACAAATTGAGATTGCACGACATGCTCTCGTACCCACGGCAGGTCTGATGTCCGAATTATATGTTTCCATGTTGGAGTAAGAGTGTTGGACCCAGGTTGCAACGATCCCAATAGATCGTGGTGTCGATGCGGTCGGTATCGAAGGGCATTATTTACTCTTGGTTCTATCCAATGTCGAATCTGATGGTTCCACGGGTATGGAGGCAGGTCATGAAGGGCTTGCACTTCACCTCTACCATGAGGAAAGTTAACCGCATCCATGTTCACCGGTAATCCTCGACGGAGAAGATCGCATGCAAGATCATGTATGGTTTCATCAGCGTTTTTTCCTCGTAGCAAGCAACTGAAGTACGAGATTCCACGACCTTCGAACGCTGGCAAGGATAGCAGTTGCTTTACCGGGCCTCCAAGTGCTCCATGCGGGCCGACCTCGACAACGATATCAACATCCTGCTTTGAGGATTCGTTAAAACACATGTTGTGAAAGGACTTCTCGAATTCCACAGCTTGGAGCATATTTAGCACCCAGTGTTCCGGGCTAGCTAATTGCTCGGGACTATTAAGCCGAGTTGCAGTGGTCGATGACGAGAAAATAACTCCACCAAAGCCGTGTCCTTGTCTTAACTCCCGGGCAAGTATTCCAGAATAGGCTTTTGACATTGGCTCCATTTGGGCTAGATGATTTAATTGTTAGCTCTCTCTTAGTGTAAAAAGCTTGAAAGGTGGAAAGTAAAGAACGACTGTCCTTACGGGAGTGAAATGCAGTGTTTACTTTAACACGTCTTGCAAACACCTTATCCGCTAAAAGCATCTCCTCAAGTTGCGAGAGTGCCGCAACATCACCAGAGACCGTGACGCTAAGCTGGCTGTTGACGCAAGCTACGACAGCCATGCCCGCATTCAATCGGCTGATGTAGCTTTCCGCGGCTTCTCTTCCGAGACCCACTGCAAGCATACCTCCTTTTCCAACGATGTTGGCATCGCTGTTAAGGATAAGTTGGCCCCGCAGATAAGGGATTGCAATTGCAGACTCAAGGCTCAAGGCTCCAGCAGCGTAGGCTGCGGCGATTTCTCCGCTAGAATGGCCCGTAACTGCAGTTGGTGTAATTCCCCATGATCGGAGAAGTTCGACTAGTGCAAGTTGGATGGCTGTACAAAGAGGTAAACTGAAAGAAATCTCATTTACTCTGCTATTCTCTGGGTCACGTTGGAGTTCCTCTGGTGCAATATTAGCTATGAAGAATTGGGGAGGAAGGGGCCGCAGTACCAAGTATTGACCAATGAGATCCTAGCTTTTTAATACATGCATCGGCCTGTAGTATTACGGTTTTGAAGACAGGGTAAGCATTTATCAACTCCCGGCCCATCGCATACCACTGAGCACCTTGTCCAGTAAAGACGAACCCTATCCTAGTCGAATCGGAGGAACGAGTAGGTTTGAAACGGTTGCTGATAAGAGCGTTTGCTAATGCGGATGAGGTACTGGCTGGATACGCCGCTGCCCAGTTAAACACCGAGCGGCGTGATCCTAGCGTGTAAGCAAGATTGTCTAGAAAATTTGTTTCGTCTATGCTGTGATGGTTCAAAACGTAGTCCTTCAGACGTGCTGCCATAGTTTCACACGCATTTTGATCTTTTGCGCTTAGGAGAAAGATTCGAGATATGGGTTCGTCCCGCGTTTCGTTACCATTTCTGCTATCGATGCCGTTGAGGTTGTGCCTGCTATTCAGACCATTCACAGCGCTAGGAAGTCTCATTTTTAAACCATTATCCAAACTGTTGATCGTTGGCAAGAAGTCATTTGCCTCCAGGATAACGTGGGCGTTGGCCCCGCCGTATCCGAAATTATTGACTGATGCCCTTCGAACGCCGTTGGTGGAGGGCCATGGCTGAAGTGTCAGCGGAATCTGAAGGCGGGAATTAGCATCTTTATTTCTGTTACTGAATATATTCGCACCTTCAAGTTCCAGTCTTCGAAACGTAGTTTGGGGTTCTTTTCCTTAAAGTGAACATTTGGAGGAATAACATTCTTTTCAAACGCTAAGACAATCTTAATAATGCTTGCGAGACCACTTGTTGCTTCAGTGTGGCCAATGTTGCTTTTCACAGAACCCATGAACATTTTGTTCTCGGGAGTTCTGCTTTTGCAAAAGACTTCCGCAATTGCACCGGCTTCAATAGGATCACCTGTCGCCGTACCGGTACCGTGAGCCTCAATAAATGCCGTTTCATAAGGATCAAGCCCGGCTTTATGATAACACATCTGAATTAGCTCCTGCTGGGCCAGCTGGCTCGGCGATGTGATTGTCGTCGTTTTCCCATCTTGATTGAGTCCGGTTTCCCGAATGATAGCTCGTATCGGATCGCCGTCTTTCACAGCATCTTCGAGTCTTTTGACGATGATCGCTGCAACGCCTTCCCCACGACCATATCCATTTGCTCTATCATCGAAGCTGTAGGACAAACCATCAGGGGAAAGAACACTATAAGTCAGTGTAAGCCGATGACTTTCGGGCCGGGCGGATTTCAGCTTACCCTAGATTAGATAATGTGATGTACATATCCGGGTTGATGTTCAAACTCGCGCCCGAAACTACTGCTAGATCAGATTCAAACGACCGGAGGCCCTGAACTGCTAAGTGTAATGCTGTAAGAGTGGTTGAGCATCCCGTGTCAATGCTTATACTCGGTCCTCGGAGGTCATAGAAATGCGAAACGCGGTTAGATGCCATCGCAACACCATTTCCAGTCATGAAAGATCTTGGTAAGGTATCCGGATCTCTGATGAGACTATCATGGTAGTCCCGGAAGCATGCTCCAGCGTATACTGATGTATTGGAGCCTTTCACCGCACTGAGAGGAACGCCAGCTGTGAAGTTACTTTGTTTAGAATCAAAATATTAAGCGAACGAAGGGGGACACACCGCTCTCCAAGGCCTCATAGACCACTTCAAGTTCCATGCGGTACTGAGGATCTAGTGTCTATAAGAGTGAGCTTGGGCTCTCTAGGACGGTCATAGAGTTTATAGTGACTCCTTACAGCAGCAAACTCACTCGAGAAATTAAAAAAGGAAGCGTCGAAAGCTCCTATATCCTGAGATAGAAAATGGCCACCCATCACGTTTGACTTTGAATACTCAAATTAGCCATGACAGCATGGTTAGATAAGTACATACAGTGCCTTTCTTCTCCGGATCTGGATGGTAAGCTCCATCTGCGTTGAATCGTGAAGTTGGAATTTCGGACCAAGTGCTGCGTGAATTCCTGAGAAGCTCCCAGAACTTGTCTGGATCTGTGGCACCTCCTGAAAATCTGCAGCCGATTCCAATAATGGCAATCGGTTCGTTAAGGCTTCCGGCCGTCATTCTGCCGAGATAATCTGGGTCTGATTAAAGTGCCAGAATGTTGAAAGCTTAGGCTCGGAGATATATATTGTGAAGCCTGATAAGTGATAAAGACAATTTTTGTGTTGTATGAAGTCTTAAAGCCGTGTTATATGATTTGTAACTTTCTAGTATGCTACTCTACGACTAAGCTAGCTGAGTCTCACTCATCGATATCCGGATATTTTCCGCAAGTGATCTAACAGGGGGATATTTGGCAAGGCTAACAATAATTGAGCCGGTGGCCGGCGGGCTCTTACTCTCCGCGCCATGGCGTCCGTGTCTGTTCAAAGCCTGTTAATATGCCACATGCAGATCATTGAGACAAATTCCCCGGGACGCTTACTAGCCCCAAATAGAGAAGGTGTATAAACTCCCTGACCTTTTGATGCCCGAGTCTTGAGACATTTGTAGATCTTGGTGCCATTTGACAAACGCTAATGCGAGCTTATTACGGTGGCGCTTTTCTAGCTGTTCAACAAATTCGGATTCTCGGATCAAGGGGCAGAGTGGAAACTCGATATTTAGAGCACAACTACAAGCATTTACAAATTAGTACTCAACAGTTTGAAAACTATCAATTTATGAGATTAAGTCGCCCTAATTGAATCAAGGTTTACAGAAATTTTATCGTTGGTAAAGCAACGTGCAGGGTAACAATATCGGATTGACTTCTCAGCCGCATAGTCAGCGTTAACCATAGGGTGTATGGCGTGCAAAAGACCGCGTGGAGGGAATATCGGGGATGCAAGGACATCGGGAATACAGGGACATCGGGAACACAAGGGCGCCGGAGATGCAAGAATGTTAGGGCTGCAAGTATGGGATCTACAGGTTTGCTTATCCAGGAGCTAGTTGAGCAGAATATGCCATGTAGCAAGTGGGTTAATATTGAACTAGGGTAGTATATCCTAGGTGATACCGCTTTTGAATCCCACAACCCTACGCATGTAGGGCCTAGATTTGGATCCGTATCACCGGCGGTGAGTTTGAAAGACTTCAAAATATCAGCTGGTACAAGTCGCGAATTACAAGCAGCAGCTACTGTGGAAATTTCACTGGTTTGTAAGTGATTGGTTACAGCCCTTCTTTAGGGCCGCCCACTCTCATTATCACATACGAGTAGTATCCTTTGCGAAGTATTTCATACACCAACGGGATAAAACTGACGTGCAGCGGAGGATCTCTCCAGGATACGACGCTCTATGCTTACAAGCATTAAAGCGGCTTATCTGGAATAAGATAAGCCACCCGAAATAACTCTGCTTGGCGTCACGTATACCAGGACATTATCTTGTCGTCCAGAAAACGCTAGATGAAAGGGGGCCGCTTTAGTCAGCAATCGTTCCTAGGGCTGAAGTCAGCGAGAGTATTCAATAGGCGGTATGAAGCACTTCCTCCATCGGAAACTCGTTCTTATTACTAATTATTAGCATCAAGTTCAATATCTCCTCACTTATACAAGCAATCGGACCTCTAAACGCCTTCCAATAGAGTAAATCCGTGTCTCTGACACATTAACTATGGCTGTGTTTCCATCGACTGATCCCTCTGAAGCTACCGCCAGCGAAGCCTGCCCTAAAAAGTGCAGTAGTGAATTTACCAGTCAAGAATCCCAAGAATTTTCCCTGCAAATGCCGCATTCGTACACCCTCGATGTGCTACGTGGAGTTTGCCATGTTGAAGAACAGCTAAACTTCATCCGATGCGCCTGGTTGCTTGTGGGTTCAAGATATATGGATACAGATGATGCTGTCTTTGCCTACAACGATGCATCATGCGGCGAGCGAGCAGTTGCCATGAGCATCCCAATCGACTACACAATTACAAAAAGCCAGTTCCTCTCTGAGACGGGAGGTAAAATTGACCAGGAAATAGATATTCAACGTCGCGAAGATTCAAATACTCAAGTTGCGCCGCGGAATCTTCTGTGCATATGCAGAGAAGCGTCCATCAATCAATGGGCCTCGGAATCTTTTGATCTTATAGTCGATATAAAGCTTGAGGAAGTAGTCTCGGTATCATACACCTTTAATGAAGATGTTTTCTCTGCCGTGCAGATTAGACGAATCCATCGCCAGTTATCTCATACTCTTCTACAGCTTCAAGTACAAGATGATGCTGCTCAGATTGCACATTTTCGGATACTGAATGACGATGACAAATTGGAGATCAATTCGTGGAATCAGGTCCCACCAAGAAGACAAAATGATTCTTTCGACGCCGTTTTGAGGCGCCATGTGCTTGCCCAACCACAGGCACTAGCCATCAATGGCTGGGATGGCAGCTTCACATACCTCGAACTGGACCAGCTGTCCGACAAATTCGCCCGCTACCTAATTCAATCAGAAGTTCCAGGTGATCCAAGGAAATACATTGCAATATGCTTCGAGAAATCAGCCTTTGCGGTCATTGCAATGATAGCTATACAAAAGGCAGGGGCTGCTTACGTGGTTCTTGACCCAAGCCACCCAGCCGATAGGTTGGCAGGTATTGTGTCTTTGACCCAGGCGACCACAGTCATTTCATCTCAAAAGCAATCCAAGCACATCGGTCAGTTAGTGTCAACTGTAATCACGCTTGACCTCCCTTTCCTGGACCAGCTACCGCAGACCATAACTACTCTTCCGTTGGTCTCCCCATCGGCCACCGCCTATATCCAATTCACGTCTGGAAGCACAGGAGAACCCAAGGGCGTAATAATCGAACACCGTTCATTGTGCTCGGTTTGCGGGGCCCATGCTTATTGGAAGCTTGGTCCTGGCACTCGATTTCTTCAATTCGCGTCATACGTCTTTGCTGCAAGTGTTGTAGAAATATTCAGCACTTTGTATTATGGCGGATGTATATGCATACCATTGGCTGAAAGTCAGAAGGATCGTCTACCTCAATGCATTCAGGACTGGGATATCAACACTGCACTTATGACTCCCACTGGTGCTAGTCTGATGCATCCAGACAAAGTTCCAGGATTGAGGACATTACTCTTAGGTGGCGAGGCTGTGACGAAGGCGATTTCCAGTTGCTGGGCAGGTAAAGTCGCACTTTTCGTAGGCTATGGCTCATCTGAGGCGACTTTTGGCTGTACTGGCCGCCAGATCTTCGAGGACGACAAAGTTCCACAGGATGTTGGCAAAGGCATAAACGTCCGATATTGGATTGCAGATCCACAGGATCATGACCAGCTCTTGCCGGTGGGATGTGTAGGCGAACTGCTTGTCGAGGGACCAGGCTTGTCTGCCGGATATTTGAATGATCCAGAAAGAACCGCAAAATCATTTATCGCAAATCCAAAGTTTCTATCTGGCGACATAAATGATTCAGGTCATCCGCGTCGATTGTTGAAAACTGGTGATCTGGTACGATATTCCGGCGCCGGAAGCATTATCTACATCGGTCGAAAGGACACCCAAGCAAAATGGAATGGGATAAGAATCGACTTATCTGAGGTTGCACATTGTTTTAAGTTGTCACTTAAGGGCTCGCGGGCGGTGGTAGCTGAGATGATTTCCCCAGAACAACTACAGGGCAGAACCTTTCTGACCGCTTTTGTCTCCTTGGAGGAAACTGCCATTGGCGCACAAACTGCTTTTCCAGTCGAAAAGCTTCTGCTACCAACAACTTCGGAGTTTCAAGCAGAAATGGTAGACGCAAAGATCCAACTTCAAAAAAAGGTACCTCATTACATGGTTCCTCAATTATACGTCCAAGTCGGAACAATGCCAACGAATATAAGTGGTAAAACTGACAGGAAGTCACTAAGGAGCCTCGGATCTACCTTCTCACCGGCACTGATTGCAAAGTACGGTTTGTCAGTAGCGAAAGAGTCTGGTCCTTTACTAGTTACGGAACAACTTTTACAAGATGCTTGGGCTGAAGTATTAAAGATACCTGCCAATATTATTGGAAATGGAAACTTTTTCCAGCTGGGCGGGGATTCTGTTACTGCCATGCATTTGGTTGCAAGAATGCAACGAGTTGGTTTCTCTCTTACCGTAGCTGGGTGTTTTCGGTACCCACAACTGTCATCAATGGCCTCAATCATGGAGCAGCAACAGATTATTGGCTCGCAAGCACCAGAAGACCCCGAGCCCTTCACTCTATTACCACAAAGCGCAACATCTGACTTTTCAGGTATCAAAGCTCACTTTTCGAGGCTTTACAGTATCGACGAGAAGCAGATCGATGATCTCTATCCTTGCACTCCTATGCAGGAGAGTTTGATGGCACTTACCATGCAAAATCCTCATACCTACGTCTGCCAGAACGTTATTTCGTTGCCGGCGGAAATTGATGCTCAACGTTTTCAGAAAGCATGGGAGTTGATTTATCAGGAAACGCCAATTCTTCGAGCGATATTGGTTGACAACGAACATGGGACCTTGGTCATGATTCTTGCACGAGAACTTGTTTGGAACACTAGTTCCGATCTCCACGGGTATCTGATAGCGGATAAAAATGCCTATATGCTATATGGAGATAATCTAAGTCGATTTGCATTCATCGAGTCAAACAACGGCGAACATTATTTAGTTTGGACCTGGCATCATGCCATATTGGACGGTTGGGCTTTATATCAAGTGCTATCACGGGTCATGGACGCATATAATGGCAACCCACTTCGACAATCGCCCTCTTTCACTCGCTTTTCACGTTATTTGTTACAGTGCGATAAAGATATCGCCCGCAATTTCTGGCATTCGGAGCTTGCAGAAGCGCGTTTCAATCAATTTCCACAGCCTCTTCAATCATCTGAGAGATCCCAAGCGCGTACGGATTCGATCATAGAACATCTGTCTCGCAACGACTTTCAAGCCCAAGGCGACTTCACAATGTCTACTGTTCTACAAGCAGCATGGGCTATGGTGGTATCAGCGTACTCGGGCACGAATGACGTAATATTTGGGGCCGTGAGTGCTGGCCGCCATGCTCCTATTCTCGGAATACTAGACATCATTGGACCAACTATTGCCACTATACCACTCCACGTTCGTCTTGAAAACAATCTCACGGTTTCAATGTTCCTCAGCCAACTACAAATTCAACATGCTTCTTTAATGGCGCAGGAGCATTTTGGGCTCCAGAACATTGCAAAATTGGGAGAAAATTACGCTCAACTATGCCAATTTCAAAATCTTCTCGTGATACAACCTACGGCCACCGACGTTGCAACTCTACAAGGGATAACCCTTTTACCCGATTTACAACATATGTCCTATAATTACCCTTTGATAATGGAATGCCAGCTCAGGGCCGGGAGTGTGAAGTTTAGGGCCCAGTTTGATAGTTCTGCTCTGTCAAATGATTATATCCAGGGTATGGTCCATCACATGTCCTATATAACCCAACAGCTCGTTTCGGATCAATCACGCAGAGTAAAAGATATTGAGATGTTCTCGCCTCGTGACGAAACCCAGATCTCTACTTGGATGCAAACAGAACCGGTGCCCCAGCAGGTTAACGAATGTGTTCATGCTGTTATCGGAGAGCGTTCCCTTGAAAGTCCAGACTCGGAGGCTATATGCGCCTGGGATGGGACCTTCACATATAGTGAAGTTGAGAAATGGTCCGACCTATTTGCGAAGCGTTTATTAGCCCTCGGACTCAAATCTGGGACTTATGTGCCGATATGTTTTGAAAAGTCTAGATGGGCAGTTGTTGCTATGTTGGCCCTTATAAAATGTGGAGCTGCATACGTTGTCTTGGATCCAAGCTACCCCATCCTGCGGCTACAAAGTATTGTAAAGGATGTTGAGGCTACAATCATCATCACAAGCGGACAACATCGGAGCCACGTGGAAGATCTAGCAGCCACCGTGATTACCTTTGAGAATGATGAACTACCTCAAAACCGGATAAGTGATGAGATATCCTTTCCGGAAGTGTCTCCTTCATCCCCCGTCCTGATACAGTTTACTTCGGGCTCTACTGGAATTCCCAAAGGGATTGTTATCCAGCATGCCGCCCTCTGCTCAAGCTCATCTGCTCATGCATCGTTTTACGGTGTTGGGCGAAATACTCGTATGTTCAACTTTGCGGCTTTCGCTTTTGATGTTAGCGTTGCAGATATATGGACAACTTTGATGCACGGAGGTTGCGTATGCATTCCAAGAGATGAAGACAGATACAACAATGCTAGCAAGGCAATTAGGGAGTTGGATGCTAATATGAGTTTTCTGACACCCAGTGTGGCTACTCTCCTGGATCCTAAAGAAACTCCGTTAAAAAAATTGATACTTGGTGGGGAGAGAGTAACATATGGACTAGTTGAGAAATGGGCAGACTCGGTTGACCTCATCGCTTGTTATGGACCGGCCGAAACTTGCATATACTCAAGTGCAACTCTCCCGCTATCGAAAGAAAGTAACCCTGCAAGTATCGGAAAACCTTTTGGTTGCCGGTACTGGATTGTGGATGTTATCGACATTGATCGGTTAGCTCCTGTTGGTTGTGTTGGTGAACTCTGTATTGAAGGCCCAATTCTTGCCAAAGAGTATCTGAACGATCCTATTAAGACGGTGGCTTCCTTTATTAAAAACCCGCCATGGGCAAAAGGAGGAACAGAGAGTAGCCCACGCAGATTTTACCGGACCGGGGACCTCGTCCGTTATGATTCAGATGGGTCGGTCATATTTGTTGCTAGAAAAGACACCCAAGTTAAAGTTAGTGGGCAGCGAGTGGAGCTTGCGGAAGTCGAACACAGTCTTTTCACGTTCAAGGATGTCAAGAGCGCAGCAGTGCTACTCCCCGAGACAGGTTTGTTCAAATCCAAGCTTATAGCCATGGCGGTTTTGAACGGGCCTACGCCGGAAGAGATCACCACATCTTTACAACTCTCATCAATCTTACACAACAACGAGCTGCCAAATACGATCTCACGTCTCCGCAAGCATTTATCATCAACCCTAACGCCTTACATGGTTCCTTCTTTCTTTGTAGTTGTGAAGGCAATGCCACATAACTCCTCGGGGAAGATTGACAAGAACAAGCTCCGAATCTGGTTAGAAAATGCAGATGACGAGACCCGGCAAATCATAATATCACAGGCGGCCACGAAAACCACCAACACTCCCTTAACGGTCACTGAGCGGAAGTTGCAGCAACTTTGTGCAGAGGTGTTAAGGATGGGAGTAGAGCAGATTTCCATGAACCAAGATTTCATTAGTATTGGTGGAGATTCCATTTCCGCAATACGATTGGTGATGCTTGCCCGAACTGCAGGAATTGAATTGAAGGTTAAAGATATTATAACGAGCCCAAGCATTCTCGATTTATGTGCCTATGCAACCAACGTTGATGTGGCACAAGAGGAAAATATTGTGCAAGACGGGGCATCCCATGGTGGCAATGCATTTGTCACCAGTATAGGCCAGGAGTTGCTCCACGGATCGTGTCGAAATTCGTCTGACCTTGCGAATTCAGGCTCTTCTTCTCAATCACTTCTAGTCCACCTCTCCCAAGAGGAATCAACTACAGATCTACGCACCGGCCTGGATAAACTTGTCAAGAGACATCCAGTGTTACGCTCACGTTTTGAAATCGGGCGTGATGGTCAACTATTACAAACTATCGATAAAAGCCACCAGAACGCATATCGCTTTAGTGAACAGCACCTTGAGGATCGCTTAGCAGTGGAACATTGGCTACAAGAATACACCGCAAAACTGGACATTATAAAAGGACCAGTCTTTATTGTCAATGTGCTCAGAACTAATTCCGGAGACAAATATCTTCACTTCACCGCGCATGATCTGGTAGTAGACCAGGGGTCTTGGGATATTCTTGTTGATGACTTAGGTGTCTTTCTACGCGAGAGAAAGATGGAGAAACACTTGATTCCTCAATATCAGAGTTGGGCTGAATTTACGGCCAGGCTAGGGCCGAGGGTTCTTTCCACTGCCTATTCGAACTACAAAAGGTATCTATTCAACTACTGGGAAGTTCCGGAACTATACAGTTCCGTATCAGAGTGGTCTATGCATTCTTTTATTCTGGACCCTCAAGTGTCAGCCGCACTCGCTGGTGATTGTAACAGATTGTTTAGCACAGAACCTGACGATCTATTGATTGGTGGGTTGCTGCACAGCTTCGCTTCAAGGCGTGGGAGCAGCAATTCCCCAGCCTTGCTGAGCGGGTTTGATGGAAGGAGAATATCAGCGCTTGGGTTAGACATGTCTAAAACAATTGGTCGCTTTACGATCCCAATGGTATTTAGTCCCACGATCGAGTCCGGTTCTTCGTACTTGGAAACCGTGCGAAGGATCAAAGATACCCGCTGTCAGTGTCTTCAGCTCAGCCGTCGGTCAACAATCTTCTCAGCTACATCCTCTGGGAAATGCGACCTAAGCTTTCACTCAGAGATTTTATCTCGCACCCGAGCTCATCCTGGCCGACAACACCGCAACAGCCAATGGGAGAGTAGTTATACCCCTTTCAACGCCAGTGTTTCCTGGAAAGATCAAAACCTTGAGTTTAACTTTAAGATAGACTCTGGGATGGATGGTTTCGAAAATGTCAGTGAGTGCGTCACCAAATACAAGGAACTATTGACGTCCATGTCACTCGAAATGCCCAACCTATCTCCCAGACCCACATTAGTCAGTTATCCGCTATTGGCTCTAACATATACATATAACGACCTCGAGAAGCTTTACTCAGACACTTTGCCACATTTTGGGGTAAGATCTGTCGAGGACGTTGAAGACATCTTCCCTTGCTCGCCTGTTCAAGAAGGAATGTTGATCACCCGCAGTATGTCTTCGTCGAGGTTCTACGAAGCAGCATCAATTTTGGAAGTCAGGAAAACGTCAAAGACGGGTATAGTTGATCTTGACTTGTTGCAAAGTGCATGGCGTCGCGTTATGCAACACCATCCAGTGTTGCGTACCGTTTTCTTTGAGAGTCTTTCCAACACGCACTTCTTCGACCAAGCAGTTCTCAAATCCGCTGGCGACAATACAACCAGAATTGCCTGCTCGGACGATGAGGTACTGGCAGTGCTACAGAAACCTGGAGTGTACCATGAAAATAACACACAATCAAACCACAAAATGACCATATGTCAAACTCCAAGTGGTCGAACGTTCATAAAGCTTGAACTTTTGCACACATGTTACGACGGTCACTCAACGCAAATTATCTTGAGAGACCTTAGCGCCGCATATGGGAATACGCTCACGGCTACTTCGGAGTTCCCCTACTCCAGATATGTCAGTCATTTACAGAATGTTTCCACTACTGAGGATCTCGAGTTTTGGGCCGGATATCTCAATGGAGTACGACCTTGCCATCTCAAACTTACGAAGGAGTGCAATAAACCATATAATACCCTCAGCACTATACCAGTCATCCTTCCGGATGTGAAGCACCTTCTTAATCGCGCTCGAAAGCAGGGGTTAACGGTGGCTAGTCTAATTAAGACAGCATGGAGCCTGGTCCTCCGGAGATATACTCATTCGGACGACGTTTGCTTCGGTTTCGTGGCATCCGGGAGAGACACTCCTATTGATGGCATTGGCGAAGGTGTTGGGCCATATATCAAACAATTAATCTGCCGATCCAAGTTTGACGGCTCTGCTAAAATGTCGCACATAATGAGCACAATGCAATCGGAATCTTTCGACTGTATGGCCCACCAAAACGCCCCTCTTCTAGAGATTCAACACACTTTAGGGCTTTCTGGTGTAGCTCTGTTTAACACGAACATGTCCCTTGTTCATGTTTCCCGTGATGCTCTCCGCTACGAGAGCTTCACTTATGACTACATTTCGCTTGCGGACCCCGCCGAGGTATGTGCATTGATCCCAGTACGCTCTATTAGCCTGCAAGCTAACTCTGTATAGTACGATATCACGGTACGAATTGAGGTGTATGAAGATGATCTTGATGTCTTACTGAGCTATTGGAATGGGGCTATGACTGAGCAAATGGCATCAGAAGTATCTCACTCCTTCGGGGAAACACTTAGCTACTTGGTCGATAGTGCGACGAGCACTGTGCAAGACGTGTCCCAGTACCTGGATGCAAAATGCAACCGGGTGTTCCTATCCAGCACAGTTGTCCTGGATGAATTCAATGACATCCAGGCGATAAACCCCAAGCCGCTCTCAATGGATACGAACAGTACTATGTCAGCACTACCGACGCTACGATCTCTAGTCGCTAGTGTTCTTCGACTAGAAGAATCCTCTCTCAACAATGATATCAACTTCTTTACCTTGGGCGGCGACTCGTTAACTGCTATGCATCTAATCATCAAAGCTCGAGAGCAAAGCATTCATATCACCATGGCAGATATCCTTCATGCATCGAGCTTGAAAGAACTATTAGGATTTACGAATAATAGGCTGGATCAACGACGACTTAACCCATGGTGGCATCGCAAGCCTTGAGAAGTAGCATATACCTTAGCATAAGGGTTGTAGATAGAAAGTCACGACATAATAGAGTATATAGCAAGAGGTACCATGTTCTAACGGCTAATCTCTAAGCGTCCTCCTATTTGGGTAGAATTTCATAAGCTATGAAAAAGCTAAAATAGCAGCTTTAAGTTGATAAAGTCAAAGTGTATAGTAACCTAAGTAATAGATTAGGACTTTAATCCAATTACAAGAGTATAGTGTTTATGGGCTATCCTATTACTAAGCCTAACTCATCAATACCCGTTCGTATTTATATTCTAATAGTACCTAGGTGCCTGCTAGGTGTCACGTGTGAGGTGTCTTGGCGCTGCGCATTAAAGGGGGGAAGATGGGCGCGAAAAAATACGCAATTGGCGAGCTCAACATCGGGTGATCCATGCCCAATCTACCTTCATCTACAAAGAAATATATATACAGCTATACATACCTAGGTATACTTGTCACTTCTGCAAAGTATCTGCATCATTAGCAAAACGGAGATATTACACACTACTTACTATGACGTTAAACTAGCCCTGATCACTCATCGAATCCCATAATCATTCGATATAAATATAAACCCCTTAGAACCAGTCTTATCAAATTAGAGAAGTGGCAGTAACACAGGCGTATTCTACAAGATCCAACTCCTACAGAGATTAACGACATTCACTTCACGAAAGCCATGTATTATACAGCACCACACATAGAGCACAGGATTCGAAAAAAGTCAACTCCATTAGTTCTCATGCATCCTCATCTCATCCTATCTCATGCCATCCCCAAGGCAGCCAGGCCCAGCGATTCATAGCGCAGGCCAGTCCAACCCTCGCTATTAATATAAATACAAATAAGGATACACATCTCCACACATCTCCACACATCTCCCCTCCCCAGCGTCTCTTGCATCCGCACAAAACTGACATTCTTCCCTATGATTCCCATGATCCCAACCTAAACACCCTGCCCGCATGCATACCCTCACAACGCCAGAACAAAAACGCAGGCAAGCAAGAAAGAGAGCAGCAGAGGGATCTCCCACAATGACATTTATAGCATGTAAAATACCTAAGGAGAAACGGCTAGGCTTGCTCCAAGCCCATATCCCTTGTCAAGGTTGGGGCCCCTGAAGCAATCTACTCTTCTGATCCTTTTTGTTTTATCGTCCAAGTTTCATTCAAGCGCAAAACGCAGAACGCGCGTGCTTTGGTGATCTCGTCCAGTCTATATTGTCCGCTTCGTATCGTAACCATCAATCATCGCTTCTGACCGAAGTGTGCCATTATCGGCATAACGAGACCATTCAAATTCCCATGAATAGCATTCCTCATCAACATATCTCTCGAAATTTGAAACCCGTTCATAGCCAGCATCTTCCTTCCGTAAGCATTTCCAGCTATGCAAAAGGTGCTTCTCCAGAACCAAATCCCAGGGGAGATCAAACGCTCTGAGGGTACGCGCCACCAGGAGGGGGGCTGTTAACCATACTATTGCGCTTATTTCGGCTTTTCTTCATCTGGCTCTTGAGCGCACTCGAATCGAGAGGTTTCAGAAGCTCAAAGCTACATAATAGCTCCGTAGAGACGCTCATGACCGCACCATAATTATCGAATTCTCCGCAGTAATTAGGCGCAGAAAAAACGGTCACGAGGATTCGATCCTCGAAAAATTCGTATCCGTCTTCGACAACCATATGCGCCCGACATACCAAGTCGAAGTCGTGTTTAGCTAGGAAATCTGTAATAACTCTCTTTCCGAATGAGTAGCTAACGCCACGTTCGCTGGATTCCCAATCCTTTTCTTGGTCTGCGGGGTCTGCCCATAGAAGATCGTTCAATAGGCCGAAATCGGGCACATCTGTTGGCCGAGCAATGTTTCTAATATCGTCCATGTGGCTAAGGGCGGGAGACAAACCGCCATGAACACAGAATATCTTTCCAGCTACAATCGCAGCAATGGGCAACTTTGGTGGCATCAGTACTATGCTTGGGTAATAATAGAGGTACAGAAAACTTACACAATTGAAGGTATCAACGAATGTCTTCCATACTTTGACATTACATCTTCGCTTACATTCATCATAGAACCCATAAACGCGGGTTACATTTGCGCATTCGTGATTACCTCTTAGCAAAAAGAAGTTCTCGGGATACTTGATCTTATAGCACATGAGGAGGAGTATGGTCTCCAGAGAGTTCTTGCCCCGGTCAACGTAGTCTCCGAGAAATAGGAAATTCGAGGTTGGCGGAAAACCGCACATCTCAAACATACGGATGAGGTCTGAGTATTGGCCATGGATGTCGCCCACAATCTTCACTGGGGCGTCCAACTCGATCAACGGCGGCTGTTCGAGAAATATCTCCCTGACTCGAGAGCATATGGAGTTGATCTCCGCATTCCTCAGACAGACCCCCTTAGTGCTTTTACCTGCATATCCAGCATCGAGGAGTCGTTTGATATAGTCGTCCACATCAGATTCTTTCAGCTCGCCCATTGCTACTGCGGGTGAGCTCAATGCAGCGGTTTCTTCTGCTGTGGGGGACTTTGAAATGGCACCTTTGGTGATAGGATTGATCATGTTGGCCCTTTTGACGAGGATGGACTGTCCAGCACGTTGGAGATGTGTGTGGGGGTTGATTGTTCCCGAAGGGGGTTGATCAGAGACATGGTCAACTTCCCCACTACGTTGAGCGGCATCGACATCATGGTGGCCTTGCCATGTAGTTCCAGAGTGGATTGGAGAAGGGGGTGGTTGAGGGTCTTGCAGTGGCGAGGTCACCTCGTCCGACGAACCTGGCGAGACGGCTGATTGCCCTGACTGGGGAGAATCCGGCTCCACCCGACTACTCCTCGACAAGGCAGATCGAGAGCTTCTTCCGGATCGTACAGATGCTCCGTCTGACTTGTCTCCAGCTGTATCTCCATTTGACCCGGATATCGAATTCCGCGGACTATCGGTCTTTCCGGGTATCTTGGATCTCAAAGTCCCCCGGATGGATCTGGTGGATTCCTTGGTATCTACTTTGCTGAACGACGGCAATGATTGGAGAGGTCCTTCGGGGCCTTTATCCAAGGACGTCTGTGACGCGTTCCCCTTCGGCGCATTTGGCCCGGAGCCTTTCGAGTTCTGATTACCCATGCCACGATACTTCACTTCCCTCTGGGTCTCGCAGGGACGACGGTGATGTTCTGCTCGGCGGATCCAATGGGCGCCGTACGGATGAGTGGTCCTCGACAAGAGGGTATAAGGTGCGCAGCTTTCGAAATAATGCCGCTGCTGCCGGCGGTGGATTGGTAGCTATGGGATTCGAGTTGCTCCGAGTGGGTCCAGGGCGACGAAGAGAGCGACAGCGCAATTGGTATATTCTCGATCGGCCAGCACAGTGACTCTCGAGATCGGCGAGTAGTCGGTCAAGATGTGGTGGTGCGCAGCGTCGACGGGTGGAGGAGGATGGGGAGGCTCTTGGAGCTGGGAGTTCTACCGAGCTGTGGCTGTCAGCAAGTCTTGGTTGGCTTGGTGCTCTGGAACCGTACGTGTTTGGCAGACGTTCAAGGGGGAGAATGAAGACGAGGTCGTTCGCTTTTGTCTCGTTTCCCTTCAGTGGCAAAGGAGAATGAGAAACGTGCTCCAGAGGCTGAGGGTGTGGATGTGGGGGTGGGTGGCAAACCTTGCAGAGTGAGGCTTGAAGCCAACTAGGACGGAGAGCGAGGACTCAGGCTCAGCGATCGATGGGTCTGCATCCACCGGAGGGATCTCTGCTGAGAAGGGTGGGGGGGGGGGGTTTGGAGATCTGGCGCAGATTCTCTGTAATTCTCTGTATCCAAGTGTACGGGTCGAGGAGCGGCAGGCTGTGGGATCGCGACAAAACGACTTTTTGCGATGGAGTGTATCGTGGGCGACTGTCGAGGCTGACAGTTTGGCGTTGAGGATGGTGATGGTTCTGGCGCTGGCTCCGTAATTCGATTGACGGCTGGACCGGCGACGGATTGATGCCCGGTCGGGCGCGACGCTAAACCGCGAACGACGTGAACACCCGCAAGCCGCCATAGAGGGCGATTGGCGGGTTGCGAGTTGCGGACAGAAGACGGAGGACGGAGTCTGGTGTCGTTGAGTTGTGCATCTTCAGACTCAAAGGCAAAGGCTCGAACTCCGCCGTGGCAGTGGCAATGGCAATGGCAATGGCACAGGCATTTGCTTGGGGATGCAGGAGAGAGACGCTTCCAGAGGAAGTGGGACGACCGCTTTACTCGCTTCTCTTGAGGCTACAAATCCATCCAAGATCCAAGATCCATCACCTCAAGGCTACCGGAGATTGCCTCCTGGTGGCAAGGCTGCGCTGTCTATCATGTGAACTGCAGACGCACTTAGTTATAAGTACCTTGTATAGATTTAATATAGCTTTGTATAAGAGGGCGGGGGCATTAATAAATAGGCGTCGCTTATAAGAATATATATTTAATACAACTTTATTCTAATAGATAGGTAGATAGGTATACGCTAAAATATTGATTTGTTAATTTAATGAAAATAATTCCTTATAAAATCGTAGTTGCTAGTAGACTCTTAGACTTAGCCTAGTAGAGTTAAAAGGATACGGGGGAAAATAAAAGAATAAAGGACATATATTTAACACTGGCTTAAGAGTAAAAACACTTATAAAGTAGTTTGACGTTACCTGAGTACTGTATAACTTTAATTAATAGTAGTACTAAGGAGAATGTTGTTTATTATCTAAATACTTCGTACCGCAGCCACCGCTCTCAAGTTCTATCAACGTCGAGCTTGCTTACGTGGTCTGTGTATGATAACGAGGGCGCTAAGAAGGGGCTGACAATGCCGCCAGCCTCTTCAAGTTTGCTTCAACATCTGAGGAGGATCTGCGACAACCAAGTACATGGCCCTTTCCTGGGGATTACTGCTTGTATTCTTTAACATTCTGTCAGCAATCGATTTCAAGGCGATATATCTGGCAACTTGAACCACTTACACAAAACTCTCAAACGGCATTCCTCTCGTCCGCCTCGCCTCAGTCCCCTCCTCCATATCCCACTCCCTTGGCTTAAAACTCACATCTGCCCAACTCCTTAACATCCGCCTCCAGTAGCACGCCTGGGCCGCAGGCGTCAAATACCGATCACGGAACGTCTCAACATTATTCCTCGCGATGCGTTGTGCTTTTTCTGGATTTTGCAAGAGCGACAGCACTTTTTCTTCTTGGTCTGAGAAGTCTGTCTCGACTTCGACGATGTTTTGGGAGGGGCCTGAGGAGATCAGGAGAGGGTGGTGAGGCTCAAGCCAAGTCCTTTTATGCATTATTACGACAGAGTTGCAGTTTTGGAGGTATTTTCCTCGGCCGGAGTAGCTGTGGCCTGTGGGTTAAACGTGTCACCACCCTTACGGTTCGGTTTCGAAGTTTCGATTCTGGTGCACTGATTTTGGCCGCTTTACATACTTCTGTTTGGACCACAAATTGATACTGGCAGTGCTCTGGTATTGGCAGTGCCTTAGACATGTCCTGGTCCGTAACACTAGTTGAGTTGGTCCACCCCATGGCCTGCACATCAGCCCATTCCTTGTCTGCTGTAGCCCTCAACAGGTCTTTTCTATGCGCGTTAGTCTTCAATGCGCCTCTCCATACAATTTGTTTCTTTTTGGCGGCAAAGTCGACTTCGGTATTAGCAATCTCTCGTCGAACCTGCTCGTACCCGCCAATCAGATAGTTAGGCCAGCTCCAGTATCCGAAGTCGGACATCAGCCATTTCTCCTCTTCGCCTTCGGTACGAGAGAGTGCCCAGATAGAGTGCTGAAGATGCGTCGGATCCGCGATGTCGGAGGTGGTGAATGAGAACTCGACATTAGGAATTGGGGTAGGCGACGTAATAATGGCTCGGTGGATGGCGTGGAGAATACCCAACCCACGCACACTTGCGTAACCGCTGCCCGAGAATTTCGCTTCTATAACGTAAAGCTACGTAATATAAAGTGTTTAGCATAAGTTTGCTAGAGGTGGAAAAATATATACGAGATGTGCCGCACCTGCTGGTCGATTATCACTGCCCTGACCGCAGCATCATCCTTCCATGATATATCCACGTCTTCTGGAGTAATATTCCCAATCTTCTTTCTATATTTAACAGCTCGGTCAATATCTATGAATATTCCGGGAAACGCAGTCTCGCACTGCTCAGCGGTGAGCCCGTACGCTCTCTCATCTCGAGCAGTGGTGAAGCTCCATTGGGGGACGATATTAGCCGCTGGTAACTCTGCCTGAGCTGGCGCTGGTCCTGATACAGCCACTTCGTGTACTTCTGGAGGACTGGTTTTCACTCCACAGCTGTCCGCGATCGTTGTCTGGTTATCCTCATCTGCCCAAAAAAGTGGACGAGTGGTGGTGGAGCTCTTTAATGCCAGCAAGTCATTTGGGTTGCGGTAGCTATTTGAAGGCTGCAGTACTATGACAGTATGTAATAGAAGAAGGAAAACTATTGCACCTATAGATACAATAGTTGTGCGGTGGAAGCGGAGGTTGAAACTAGTCATCATTTGAATTAAAACTTCTTTCAGTAGCGAAAAGACAACAAATTTTGGGCAGACAGGGCAGTGAGATGTCAGTTGAGATGGCTACTAATAGAGGGACGAAATATTAAAGACTTGGCACACGTCGTTTCTGGAGGGGCCTGGGGGTCGGAATTGGGCTTATTTACCTGCCAGCAACAGCCTTTGTAGGAGCCTTCGGTACGACACAGTTCCTTTGATATCCAGGGGCGTTGGAAGTTCCAACTCATACAGCGATCAACGCTTGAGGACCTGTGGCCCTGCACATGAAGGCATCACTCTGCATCACTGCATCAGCCAATGCCGCCGCCAAGTTTTGTTGGTCCTGGGCTACAGCGGCCACGTTGTAATGACCTGAGGATTCCTAAGTTAGCAGCTTGCACTACCAGGACCGAAAGACTTTCAGTCCTTGTTCCTTTCCAACGTCTCCCGAAATATCTAGTGTGCCTTGGCCAAGGCTTAATATACAAGCATAGTTGTCTTGGCTCTTGACGACAGGACAGCTTGGCGAATCCAAGGGATTACGGGGCTTTGAAAAGTTGGTGATCAGTTGTTCAGCCAATCTAATAAGAACTGACTTCTGATTTCTACAGAGTATGTAGTTGCCAAGAGCAGGGGGCCGGCGATAACTCGGTTACACACTTTGTGAGCCTGTGAGGCTGTATTTGGGCTGTGTTGTGGTCATTGCCAAGACTTGGCCCCATTCCACGGAGCAATTGTTGGTTTGTTTGAACTTCTAGTTCGGAAATATACTAGATACCACTCTACGGGGTACTGTGAAAGGGTATCCGACGGTTAATAACCCACCGGACACCCACACGCGCCAGACAGTTCCAACAACTGTGCATACCGCATAATTAAGGTGTTCACAACCTATGCGATTTCGATCCAAACCTCATAATCAAAGGTTTAGACTTGGTATCTCACCTCGCTCATTCTCTCGTTCTCTGAATCTAAGAACAGCTGCAAATCTACTTCCCACCTAAGATATACTTTGTTTAACTCGAAAATCATGGCCAACCAATCCATAGTTGCCCTTCCAACAAGCATTCTCCAACACATTGCTTCTTGTCTTCCTCCTACATCAGCCTTAAATCTTCTCCTAGCTTGCAAGAAGACCTGCAATTCTTGCGATTACTGGACAGTGTGGCGAACTATTATCGAGAACAGTTCGAGCTTCCCTTCCGGGATCAACAGTGCTGGAGAGACAAATCGTCACATGTGGAAAAGATATGCCATGGCAGATATAAAAGCAGGACAAGTTGATGGCCGAAGTCACTTTACGAGTTGGATGCCTCAGCTAATGGCACTCCACCGTAAGGCCCTTTGCTCCTTTATATATATGAAGATATTCAATAACGTCTTGTAACTAGATCGAGTTGTCTCAGCTGCCGACCCACACACCCTCTATCCATTTTCCAGTCCAACAAATTATAATCCCGAGCAAGCAGATTTTGACTGCAGGATGCCACTACCAGGGGAATTTCCCCTATCCGTGTATCCCACAAACCCCGAATCTCCAGCACCCATCGAGGCTTGGCGAATCGCACAGGCTAGCAGTTTCTGTCTATCGACTCGTCTCTTATCCTATCACCAGGCCCCCAATGTATCACCCAAAACGGGTAACAGTCCTTGGGCACCATCTAAATCTCTTCTGGCAAAGTCAGAGTGGTTAAATCTCGACCCTGGGGACTCAGCACTCACTCCAGCAGCCCATGAAAAGCTTGTGGTGGTGTTGCATACCCTTGCAAATAAGGCCGTGGGCTTCTTTGCAACAGAGCTCCGATCGTCACTTGCTTATGACCGAACTAATGGGGTCGACCTCGAGGGACTTTGGCACCCTCCAACTGCTTTTGATATCCTATTCGCTTCTCTCATGGCATTGCCCATGCCTCTAACTCCAAATAGCGCTGGAGCTTTTGGAACTTGTCACCTCCAGAATATGACCGACCCGTCTTTTTTTGAGGATGGCGAATGGACTGGCTACCGTAGCTGGGTTGGGTCATGGGGCGCTGATGCCAACCAATTAGAGGGAGCTTCGATCCCCGCAGATAGTTTTGAGGGTATTGGTGGCGATAATATGAACGTCCGACTTAATCGTCTAGATCAGCTGCCCAATGGTTTTGATTGTCTCGTTGAACGGGTTGCCCGCTTCAAGCTGGTCAAATGGATTGACGATAACGTCTTTATCATCAAGTCTAATTGCTTCCAGTCACCGCTAGAGACTTACATATTTACAATGAAGGTAGATAGAAGGACAGGGCTGATTGATGTGATCGAATGGGTCGACTTTATGGGTGTCCCCAAGGGCGGAGCCACTAATGTTGTTATGACCCCATTTGGGATAGTGTTCGGTTTTATTTCAGGCATGTGGATGTGGCTATGGAAGTGCAATTGGTCGTCATACCTTGAAGATTATTCCTGAATTTATACTCACTAAACTGCGTCATGGCTAAGGTGTTTTCAACAAAAGAAAAATTTAGTAGCTACCTTTCTAGTTGAGATATAAACTTGATTTTCGTTTAACTGCCTACTATATCAACAAATAGGTGAGCCAATCGAGTTGAGTCTACAGACCCGGAAGGGAGCTATTAAATTTTGCCTTCGCCTTTTGTTTCTACCACATATGGTGATTGTCCTGAGTTAGGTAGTATTGTTATATTGTATAGCATAAAACTAACATTTCCCAACCGTTGAAACAGCTGCAAGATATCAATTAAATATGGTGCTTGGATCTCGACTCGAGGCAAATCATAAATGAAGCGTAGTTAGACAAATGCAGTAGAGCAAACGCTAGATCCTTAGTTACAGCTAATTAAGTAGGTGGTATAGAGGCAGTGAAACAGGTGGTGGCCAGTATTAGAAACGCGTTGTTCTTAAATACCACGAAATATAAGGTCACAGGACTTACTAAGATGTCTTATAGTATCGTATTGGGGTTCTAGTAATTATATATGGCTTATAGGGGAGTCATCGTACTAGTGGCAGTTTGTTAGGAGACTATGGTAAATAGCTATAAAACAATATATACCGGTATGCGCACTCGATCTATCCACCTCGGTCCGAAGCCCCAAATGAAAACGTAAATCAAACGAACAAATAACTTCACTTTCCATCCGGACGCCCAACCCTTTCCGCAACGATCAAAGCCCGTGAGTTTGCGAATCCGTTTTGGGCTAACGATGGATATACCCAGCTTTTTCGTAATTGTACACAGCCCAAGCGGCCCAGGAGAATGTTGACCAACTCCCATCGGGAAGTAATCCATGGTAGTTCCCTCGACAGATCGGGGTGTTGCCGAAGCAACGACTCGCGCACCTATCACATTACTTATTAGCTTGCGAGCAACCAGTAGTGAAAATATTTCCCACTCACCTACTAAATGATTGAAAGTATATATGTTCCAGGGTTCAGTGATCCCATATGTAAATATGATTCCGGCCCGCTCATACATCCTGCTATGCAGGTCACCTTGTATATACGTTAGAGATAATAAGAGTAATTAGGAGACGAATAAGTATTCTAAAAGTTAAGGTTTATAAAAACCTTTCCTTTTCAAAGCTTGGAGCTTCACAGCGTCCGACTCCAGGACATACTTGGCGACAGACAGATTGCACTGCTTTCAGTATCGTATTTTGACTGTCCCACATTCCGGCTTTCCTCTTTTGTCGCTGTATAGCTGACCTTTGATATCTCTGTTGCTGTTAGTCCTCTAACGTTTAGCCCTGCCCCAAGCGTGAAGTAGTCCTTTGGCTTAGGTGGAATTGTTAGGCCTCAACAGAGCCAAAGAACAAGAACCAGCTACAGCCAAGTATATCCCACAGCGATAACCCCCGGCGTCTTGCAATGTCGAAAGGCTACCTCCCTAGGTAGGAGCCGTAGTTCCAAAGTCACGTTACCGTTATTGGGCAAAAGATCTCGCGTGACCATCCTCGTCCTTGTTTGGCTACTACTCATCTAAGTCATATATTGTCGACTTCATATGACTATTTGGCGCACTCGTGGTTTGTAGTGGGGAATAACAGCCCTTCCACTCCAGCTAAATAGTTATGGTTTGAGAGGCTATCTTTTTACTTTTCGCAAGTTATATTACTTATGTACCCTTCTAGCTGTATTGAGTACAATTCTGCGTGCATGAAGGATCGGGAGCCGACCTGCTAATATTGCCCAAGGTGCGGCCAGGGTCATCATGCACAAAGGATGATGTTGCAGTGCTCAAAGCACTCTCGCGTCTTTTTTTAAACCTACCTTATACTCAGTAATCCAAACACACAGATAAAGGGTTACTCCGTGGAGCGAATTACATCATTCTTGATATTTAAATCTCTGATACGGTGATACCCCACTTGCTCTAGTGGGAGGAGGTGATCCTAGGATGGATGACGCTTGGGGACACCCAAGGCCCCGCGGACGAGTCGTGCTTCGGCACTCCTCAGGTTTATTCCCCTTCGTACTTCGTACTACTCCCCATCTTCTCCACCCTCTGCTTCCTTGGCTGCCAGCCACTTTTGTGACTTTTGTTCGTGCAGCACTGTAAGTGAGGCAACCACGTGACCGTAGCTATGTAGATCGTATGGAGTAATCCCAATCCCAGCAAAGGAGGCCTGCATCTGAATCTGAAACGCCGTGGGAATGATGATCCTTATAGAACGTGCAAGGGTCGCTGCTCCGGTCGGTGGCCTGGCCGCTGATCAGTGGCCAACCCCTATTATTATTGTCCTGATAAGAAAGACAACGAAGTCTGGCAGGACGGCAGTTCTGTTTGATGTACGAAGTACGGAGCACTTGAATCGAGCGTGTAGCCAACTTCTTAACAGACGAGAAATTAAAAATAGCAATTCCGATTCCAGCCGGATGTCTTGACTCTTAGAGTCTTAAGGTTGATCCCCGTGGCGGCCGCGTTATCGTTGGGCTGACAGCAGGTGCTATGCCTAAACGAGGTATCTAAGCGAGGAAGGCCGCCCTTTACGGCCCCAGCCACAGCTGAGGATTACGAAGGCGGAAGGCGGGAAGGTGCCATACCAAGTAAACAATAAACAATGTGATTCTACTTCGTAAACGGAGAGGAAATGCTATCTACCCAGCGCCACTCCTATGACATGAGAACTGCAACTGCCCTCTTTGCGCATCTATGCTGCTTTAAATATTGCTGTTATTAGCACGCTTATCGTGTCGTGAGAGTGACTACGTAAAGTACGACGTGGTAAAGCACCGTAGAAAGTCTCTTCACCCAACACTGCCATGAAAGCGGCGTCATTCCTGCTCCTTCACAGCCACCACTAGCGGCCCTGCCTTACGCGGTAGTGTGTAGAAACAGGTCTTGGACGCTTAGTGTCCCGTAGTCCGGACTGCGCCCGTCCCATCGGTCCCCAATCCCAAACACATGCCCCCGTCAACCTCCCTGCTTCCCTACATAAACAACAAATCTCCCATCTCATGATCCCACATCTTACATCTTTCTCCGTATCGCTGCACTCCATCCAGCTTCTGTCCTTCGCTCACCCATCGAGACCCGATAATTAAATAGATCGGTCGCACGCTCGTTCAACAGCTTCGATCATATCATCGACTCACCAATACCAACACCTCGCTCAGAACTACCTCTTCCACCATCAATATGGGCGCCGGAAGATTCGTCTGCGTCGCCATGCCCTTTGGGCTGACGGTCGCAAGTCTGATATGTATCCTGATCGTCATGCTCGCAGGCGTCACGAATAAAAACCTCGACATGTTCGAGATCGACGTCAAGAACCTCTCGATCTCGTCCTCCTCTCTCCTCAACATCGCAAACGGGGTGAAGAACGCCAAACGCGAACCTGTCGCACTACCAGGCGATCATTTCTCTGGACTCACCACCCAAGCTCTCGGCCCCAACGCAGTCAATATCACCGCCGCCGACCTCAACCTCGCAGACAGCTACAAGGTGTCGCTCTGGAGCTACTGCTCCACGAGGGGTTCGGAAACGAATTGCAGCAAGCCCAAGTTCAACTGGGCTACCTCCGCGACAAACGTCACCGAGCTTGAACAAATCGCGAGCACCAAGACCAATGCTGCTGTCAAACTGCCAAAGGAGCTGGCTTCCGCCTTGAAGACCTTCACTGCTGTCACCAAATGGACAACAGTCGTCTACATCATCGCCATCATCGCAACTGCAGTTGAGCTAGTTGTCGGTCTCTTTGGCTTCTGCTCCCGCGTCGGGTCATGCGTCACCTACCTCGTCTCTGGCATCGCAACGATGAGCTTAATTGTCGCCACCGTTATGGCAACCGCCGTATCAGCAATCGCAGTCGGGGCCGTCAAGTCCGTCGCGAAAGCTTACGGCGTCCAAGCAAGCATCAATACCTCCTTCCTCGCCACAGCATGGTTGGCAGTCGCATTCTCCCTCGCCGCCGGCTTGTTCTGGCTCTTCAGCATGTGCTGCTGCGCTTCTGACAACCACTCCAAGAAGCGCAACAGCCACGCCGACAAGGAGAAGCTCATCCCTACCGGAAACTACCATCACATTGAGAACCCCCAACAAGTTCATAGCGGACATTATGGTGCTCCTTCTGGAGCTCCCATGTATGGTGGGAGGGGAAATGGCGCGTATGAGCCTTACAGCCACACCAATATCTAAATACTAGGGAAGCTAGTAGTCCGTACAAGACGGGGAGGATGAATGACATGTGGCATGTTTAGTCGTCATATTAGCGTGCATTGTTCGGCGTTTGGGGATAATTTATCAAGGAAATATGAACTGATCGAGGCTCTATTCGTGTTGTATGTGTATGGCAGGCTTCTTTTCTTCATAAATAAATGGTATCCTACCATATTCCGAGGAGAAAGATATAGAATGAAATATCCACGAGCTCATTTTTCAAGATTCGATTTATTCCGTTCTATTGAAGCACTCAACCCCGCTAACTACAGAAGAACAACCGGATTCTATATGTGCTTAACTGACCGGCGTCCGGTAGCGGATCTTGTTATATTTCAGGCTAGCTAGGCTAATATCACAGCAGACCACAAGATTTCCAAACCTTCAGCTACGGGCTATACGGAGAGCTTTAGTTCCTATTTAATAAAGTACATGCGGTATGTCTTGGGCTATACCAGTCCTTACAGCCCTTTTATATCACCAAGGTGAGCCACCTATTCGTCATCAACACGACAGGAGCGTTCGGATGGATTACAGATCATCGAGATTGTTAGCCCTATCGATTCATCCGCACAAATACCTCAGAGATTGGGACTATTCGTCTAACCCTCGCTTTTCCTTCCCCTTTCCGATACAACATCCACAGTGCTACAACTCTTGCTTCAGCCATTTCTTATATAGGTTGTTATGAGCCTAGTCAGCCCGACACACTTCAACATATTGCGCAGCACTGTAGGACTTGATAGCTGCCCCGCCTCGATATATCACCTTTGTCTAGAATAGCCTTGTTCAAGAGAGCACAACCCTGGGCACGCCAGACAGCCATGTTCGACACAGCTACCGCACGACTCGGTCGCATCGCAATGTCACACCTAAGTCGCAAAACAGCCGTCTCACAACTCAACCATCTCACATCCAGAGTCTCAAAAGCCTTCTTAGCTAATGGGCTAGACTTTCCAAACACTAGAGGTTAAAAGCCTACCTCACTTTCACCCAAGAGACTCCAACAATGACCTTGCTTTTCATTGACGCCTACTCGGCCAACCTCCATTCTACCATAGCGCCCTTCTACGGTACAGGTACTTTTCCATCCTCTATCATTCCAATACATTGTAAAGAATGAGGTAGACTTGATAGCAACTCTGGGCAAAGCAACCGCGACGCCATGCTTCATCTACCATCTTCGAGACCCAATAGCTTGCCAATCCTACCAGTCGATAGATCCTACGAGACCGTCCACAGATATCGAGTCAGATAATCGGGAGGGATTATCTGTGCTCTCTACTGGATAATACGGTTGGGAGGGCGTATGCGGATTGGTTGGACACGAAGGGAGCCGTGATACGAGAGATGTGGCGAAATACATTGACGGCTCGGGGATGGGCATATGTGATGCAACGGTACCGCGAGTGTTATGATTTCATCCACGCTCTGACTGACTACCGGTTATAGCGGAAGGAGAGGTTGCTATAAACTCCTTTGAATTTGCGAATACGTTGACATGCGGGGATAGAGTGTTGTTGCGGTTACGGTAGGGAAGCTCGCGTAGAGGACGAGATTCGTTTTTAATACATAGGTCTTTGGATATTAAGAATGGGTTGGGGACTAAGGAAGTTATTAACGTTTATTGCGGGGAGAAGTTGGAGAGGAAAGTGGATTAGCTGCGGAGAGAGTTGGGCATTGAGAAACTGGTTGATATGAGAGGTATTAGGAAGAGAAAACGGGCTATGAAGGCGGAGAAAGCTAAAGAGGTCTGGGGATAGTTTGGGTATAAATTGAGCATAGGCCCATGTTGTCCATAGCTTTAATAGAACGATTCACCGCTCCAATTTTTGAAAGTCCTCCAGCAATACTTTGCGAGGAAGTAGATCAACTTGGCTGGATCGAACTCGTCATATTTCCATCACTGCCCTACTATTCTAAATACTTTTCCAAGTGGGCGAAAGCAAAAGCGATTTGATATTGGATTGTTCTTAGGGCCTGACAGTTCACGGCCGATTCTGATCATCTTGGTAGGTGGGATTACGTTGGGGAGCAATCACGGGCGGTGGCCAGCACAGCAGGAAAGTAGCTACAATAAATCAAGCAGTCTTGCAAGCCGACAGTAGCTTCACGCCTTGAGAGTCCGTCGTTATCTACTCGCCCCATATCATTAAAGTCGTAAAGGAACCATTTAGATATATCTTTATCCAAATCAATTTTTGGCAGGATATGTAGAGCGTCGTAACCTCCTGGCTGCACTGTAGTATTCAGCGGGCGAGAAGACCTGTTTGCAAAAGTCGCCCCCGAGACAGTAGACACAAGTTGGTGCGTCTCCTGGAATATCCTTGAGATGGGCGCGGATAATTACTCGAGTTGGATTACCGTCCATTTTAGCTTATATTTCGATAATAGTAAAGGTTGGCATTTATGGAGGAAGGCTGGCTGGCAGGCTTGAAGAGGGCAAAGGATGGATGGAGAGACCCAAAGGAGGGGCCTCCATTCGGTTCGGGCCGGAGTTTTATTCCTCCGATGTAGCTCTATCGGACTAAAAGGCCTTTATGGCGAGTAAAATTTCTAGCCGCCTTAGACACTATTGTAGCTCGCCATGCTTTATTCTTTGCAGTTCACGAGCTACCTAGGTACATTGGTAGATCTCCTTTTTGTAGCTTAACCAGAGCTCGGGCCAACACGTGTTTACCAATCCCGTGATTCTGCATGTGACCCACCACGTGATCTACAAGACAGCATATACCTACCTAGGTAGGTAGGCACCTATTTATCTATAAAAGTCAGACTTGCTGTTCTTCTCTCTTTAGCTTAATATCTTCGCACCTACATTTATAGTCGAATAGAGAGATCCTTGACCGTAAGGCACTCTTCAGCGTAACTTGCATCCGTGATAACGCGAATAGTTTCCTTTTCGTCTTAGTTTAGTCTTTTTAAATAGGCAGCATCTTGTAAGTGCTTCTACTCTAGAGTATTCTTTGCAAACCTGTAATAGTAATCATATTTAATATTTGTTAAGATAGGATATTTCAATTTGTTCTTTCTGTTCTAATTCCGCGAAAAGATTTAAAGGGGGGAGTTAGTATCACGTGCCTACCCCTCCCCCCTTGAAAATTCCACCCCTATCTGACTCTATAATCCCGCTGATAAGAAAAATAACTTTGAACAAAGCTAAACAGAGGGTCAACTCTAATATACGGTTCTATAAACCTTATTTGCTTCACTTCTTTCTTCATATATTGTATCTATGATGTCTACTCTAACGTGGCATCATCGCAAACATGACTTCTGATTTGCTGTATATTAGGCTGTTCGGCCCCGCTGTCGCCTGTGTCGCATCACATCGCGTGGTCTCCCAGAACGCGACCCCTTTTCTCTCTTTGATTGTTCTGTTCAAAATTATAGTGCGCTGTCTAAGCATCTTGTGATATATTATTGATTCGCGATGAAATGAGATGAGAAACCTATCCTCCCCTCCCAAATTTCACAATGGCGGTTCGATCCCGACGCCTACCGCAGAAGTTCGTTCGGGTCCTCATCCCAGTCCTCATAGTAGTATTTATACTATCTAAGCTATCCTTCCTATCCAGCTATTTGCTCAGCCCGTTCAAGCTTTTCGCGGCTCGGAACCCCTCGGAAGATACCAAGAATAATTTATCCTTGAGCGAGCTGCAATGTCGAGCAACGTTCCCAGGCTTAATGCAAGAGATTGACCAAAGCGTTGCGAGGGGACCTTTTGATTTGAAGAAGTTGGCGGATGATTACCAGGGGATTGTAGAGGGGAGGATTAAGGATGGGAAGGTAAGTGTATACTGGATGAAGTGCAAATGTGTGGGATTGCGTGGGTTAAGCAACGAGACTAGTTGAATAGAGAGAGAAAACTAACATTGGGTTGTTTTTTGTAGCTTTATGTCATTTCTGCTGAATGGCGTCCGTCACGCATGATGCTATATGTACGTTCCTCCTACCCGTTACCCCAACTCTTGATTCAGAGAACAGCAACCAACATAGGGGGCTATTCCATAGGAACGTAATGCTGTCCTTCACCAACTCCACCGCGCCCTCATAACGTCCCCCACTCCCCTTCCTGACACAGTCTTTTCCTTCTCAGTAATAGACAACCCCCGTCAAAACACCTGGTCCTTCTCCCGCTCCAATGACCCCAACATAAAAGGCAACTACTGGGTAATGCCACACTTCAGTTTCTGGTCTTGGCCGAAACCCTTCATTGGTACCATGGACCAGGCGCTTTCAAAGATTGACGACGTCGAGAAAAGCATCTTTTGGGTGGAGAAGATTAATAAAGTCGTCTGGAGAGGAACGGCGTGGTTTAATTCTGTGGGGAACTTAAATTTAAGACCGATGTTGTTGCAGGTTACCAAGGGGAAGGAGTGGGCAGATGTGCAGGATATGAAGTGGAAGACTAATGGGGTCATGGCTGAGAATTCGATTGAGGTCGAAGATTTCTGTCGGTATAAATACATTATTTACACGGAAGTAAGTCTACCTCCAACTCGTTTTTGTTGTTTTCTTGATCTTAGCTGTTTCATCTATCCAATATCTTAAGAAGGACCGGCGGGAAAGAAGAGTAAACAGGCATTTCAGAGCAAACAGACTAATAACTCCCAGGGCGTAACCTACTCCGGTCGCCTCCCTTTCCACCAATCCTGCGCCTCCGTGATCATCACCCCACCACTAACCTACCTCCTACACACAACCCACCTCCTAAAACCTCTCTTCTCCTCCTCCCTCTCTATCTCCACCTCCCCTCCTACTCCCAAAGATCAGCAGCGCTGGCCAAACTCCTACTCTCCTTCTGAAGCAAATATCGTATTTGTCAAGCACGACTGGTCCGACCTGGAACAAACAATCGACTGGTTACGGCAAAACGATCATATCGCGAAGGGAATTGCAGATCGGCAGAGGGAGCTTATAGCTAAGAAGGGCTACTTGAGCGAGGGGGCGGAGGTTTGTTATTGGAGGGAGTTGATTAGAGGCTGGGCCGGGGTTGTGCAAGAGAAAAATGGGACGAAGGGGGATAAGGATGTGTGGGGGGAGGGTATTAGGTGGGAAACCTTCAGTTTAATAGGGGAGACGAACTGGGTGAGGGCTCAATGATGGAGATAGAAACGGCTTCCGTGAGATCCTGATATGGGCGGTAGTATCTCTTTAGTTATTGTGCGATTTGGAGATGGGTGTTAGCAATCTAAGCCGATACAATCACAAAGTATGAAAGGCGTGTATTGTTGGGACAATATTACGCTGATTTTATATAAATATTTCTACTCTATTATATAAATAGATGGCAGTTTTGTTTATAGCAAGGGTCGCTAGTATTTTCACGCCTAAGGCTCTTAATTCTATTCCTCGGTAGAATATAGCGATAAGAAGTGTTAATAATTTAATGTATATGTTTATGTCCCTACGTATGTTATATATATATAACGGTAAGATCTTACAATGTTCTAAATGTACATCTCATTCCCCCATCAAATTTGGATTCCGCCCGTATAGATTGCCCAACGCCGTATCACATCCCCCTATCCCGTTCATAACCCATCAAATGCATTAGTCAATTCCGTCTATCGTCTCTAAGCATCTCTAAGCCAGTACCCCTATCACGCTACCAATTCCCACTCTCAAAATCCCCCGACATTGCCATACCCCTTGTCTGATTGAAAATATGGCGATCAGACACACTAGACTGGAAATCGTTGGGGCGATTCTGATATGTCGATAGCTGATATACGGGCTGTTGCTGCATGGGGGGCGAATATGATAGAGTCTGCTCAAGCGGGTCTGGGAATCTCGTATCCTGATATTCTTGACTCTGACTTCGCAGAACGAGGCTGTCATGTATGGTATAAAGTGGTGGTGATTGAACCTGCTCGGTGGTCGTCTGCACTGCTGCAGGACCGCCATTTTCGAGCACATTATCTTCGCCTGTGTTGCATCTTAGATCATCCCATGCTCCGGCAATAGCCATTTCGGTAAGAACATTGACCAAGGGAGTTGCTTGTCGAATTAGCATAACTTCCGATATATATCGGAGTCTGCCGACCACCCAGTTGCGCTGATGATTCGGTATAACATCCATGCAGCCTGCGTTATACAACGGCCAAAGAAGCAGGTTACCTTTAAATGCTCCCGGCATGGGGCGCACTGCGCCTAGGTCGGGTTGGAAGCCGAGAAAGTACGGCACACTGGAGCAGATATCCGTCGAGCATTTAAGGATAATTTCCTCCGACACTAATGTCTGTCTCCGGAAGAAATTAGGGTCATGGAAGAGCATTCCAACTGGGTGTAGCTGATAAAAATGCTTCAAATATTTACGGAGAAGATCGTGGATGCATATCCGAAGAGCACGGAAATTATTCCAGGTCATCGCAATCCAGGGACTTGAATAGACGTGGTATTCGTCGCGGAAGACCTCTTCTGACGGGGCGTTCACCTTTACAGTTTGATGTGCGTATTGTAGGGGGCAGCTCTCGACCCATTGTTCGCATTCAGCATTGAGGGCTAAACACCTGGAGATGATATTCTCGGGGTTGCTAAAGCCATCCGTTGGGCCCATTTCCCTGCGGAGATCGGCATATTTCATGTACATTTGCGCAATAGAGTCCGCTGCGGCTTCAATGGGCTCCGTCGTGTTCAGAGCCTCGTTCCATTCGGTGATGAAACTTGGGACACGGGAATTCCTCTGGATGCAGTTTGAAATCTGCTATCATTAGGGAAGGATGCAAATTCAAGACGTGGTTACTTACCGCTTGAGATCTATAATGAATAAATAGTTCTCGTCCTATTTTCGTCCGTAATTGCTTCTTCCCTCGGAGTTGCATAAGAGCCGACGCTCCCAGCGTATGTTCCATTCCAGTTTCCGTGGCCCGCCGGCTATGGCATCCGTTCGTCTGCTATTTATCAGCGCTCTATCATTTGTCCTAACCTAGCATGTTGGCGGATGGGTTTACCTCGTATAAGACCAGTAGCATAACGGCCGCAAAGGTCTGGTCGGCCTTCGCTTCGTTGACGTTCCGCAAGTGCGAACTCAAAAGCCGTAAGGCGGAGGTGTACTTCATCTTGGCCGTGGCCATAAACTGGGGCGCCTTCCAGAAGTTTGAAAGACCGGCGATGCCTACTGATACAACCAAATCGGCCACAGCCTGTCCTATTTTTTCTTGGTGGTACATATCTTGTAGATACTGAAAACTCCCACACCGAAACTCGTTCCGGCCGGGGACATAGTTTTGGAAGAAAAAGGTCGTTGCTTGATCCTCTGGGGATGTAGTCAAACCCACGGGCACCGAAGCAAAAACATTTGACTGCCCCTCATTTGCCGATCTGGGCGGCTTTTGACGGGAAGCAGCTCCATCACTAGCTGAGGCCGAGCGCTGCGAGGTTTTCCCGCGTCGCGCCTTTGCTATGAGGCCTTGAGACTCGTCGCGAAACATGAGGTCGCCCGGATCTCGATATCCTCTGCACACGCGACGTGCCCTGATGCACTGGGAGCACGAAGGCCTTAGCATATCGCACTGCAGCCGTTAGTTCCATGGCCGAGCAAGTTACACAGCACAGTTCTTGTTGAACCCGCTGGCGAGGGGGCTAACCTTCGTCCTCCTCAAACGACATTCTGCGCACGATTTGCTTGGTTTCCCACAGTATACCATCTTTCAGAGCACCAGCGCGGGACAGAATCAACTACGAATGCGGGGGCGGGAGACCAAAGAAGAAGGCAGGTCGTACTCGTAAGACACAGTATTAATTAGGTTGATCGATCGCAGGGGAGTGGACAGTTGGGCGATGTATATACTGCATCCGGCTCCAGGACGGGCACCGCGGAGGTTTGGGCAACATAAGGCTATGCTGCAGGAGGGCAGCGGGTGCCGGAAATAAGCTTATCTAGATCGTTATGGGAGCGACGTCTATCACAGAGTCTGAAACAGCTCGCAGTGGGGGCAGGAGGCGTCGGGCGTTTGTTCCAAGGCTTGTTTGGCCTGTTGAGGCGTTGGTGTTCAGCGAGGGAGGAGGCCAGTAAATGTACAGTACTTCGTACCTACGCGAGTGGTTCTTTCACTATTCTCTGGCTCCTTCGTAATTACGCAGCCACTGCTTTAGGATTAGGATTAGGATTTAGGAAGACACAAGAGCACTAGGCCGTCCCAAGAGGCCCGATTGGGGATCAGCGGCGGCGTTTACTACGCATCCAGCACCATGCCAGCAGCAACCACCATGAGACTCTGCGAGATGCCCTTCGGCCAGGGCGGCGAACCGTGGCAGGCTCTGAGTTCGTATTGCAAGGCTGGACTGGATGTCGCCGTGCGGCGCTGCAACTTAATTGAGCTCAGGTTGCGCGCGGTCCAATCGGGAGTTGGTTTGCATCGCCACGGGGCAAATTGGACATCCACGGAAAAGGCGGGTTGGAACTCTTAGGAATCATGACAGGAGCAGAGGGGGCTGTTCCTGAGGCTATGTTGAGATTGAAATTGAGCTTGAAACTGAGATTGAAATTGAGATCGAAATTGAAATTGAAATTGAAATTACTGAAGGACGACGTGCGGTGGCCGGCGTGGAATCACGCTCTCTTCCTCCCAGGCAACCAGATCGATGGCGTGGAGAGAACGCTCCTGTTGCCGGAGATGGATTTACTCCGGGAAGGATTGATATCACGTGCGCGAACCAGAAAATGGGGCACGGCTTCCACGGGGTGGACGAGCCAATCAGCTTCCAGCGCAAGGCGGCCCCTGCCGCCACGTATCCGGTCCGGGTCTCTGGGACAGCCGGTCCCGAACTCTGTGTTCTGTCGGGAAAAGCTTCAGATCAGCAACCGGCATGCACGTCAGCGGTGCGCGGCCAAAGTGCGTTGTACGTACAGAGGACAGTTGGGGTACAGTACGGAGTACAGTACAGTACAGTACAAAGCGCTTTATACGAGTAGGGCCACGTGTGCGAGGAACGGAGCACGGAGAAAGCGATCGGTGCCAGGAAGGCCCCCACTCTCTGCTCAGGTTCTATTTATAAGTTGGGTTAGCATGCTGTCAAGCTGGCCTTATGTAATATCCTTAAATTGACTTCCCCAAGACTCTTGGTTGCTCAACAATGTCAACATAGGTTGTTTACCTTCGGTAAGGTAGGTACCAAGCACACCAGCAACAACAACAAAACAAACACACTCCCCCTTACATGCCAATGATCGTTCGAATCTAGCGTCCGAGTCGGCACATAGCTGAAGGCTACCGTTTTCCCTTCCCAAGGCCGTGAATCATATTGTACGCGAGTATACTTTGCCCCTACGTTGCAGCTTGCGCCGCAACCGTGCCCAAACAGGTTGGATGAGTCTGTGAGTTTATCACTTTGTATAACGCATGGGTGTACGACCTTTAGTACTCGTACCTCCGGTACGACAGAGGGCCTCGACTAACTCGGGTAGCCCGGATACAGGAAGGCGACACTACTCCGTTGGCTCTGTTGTTATTATTGGGTTGCGAGGTAAAATGCGGCTGGCCGTGGCCCCTCGCGCCGCTTCCTTCGGAGACATCTGAAAACCTTGGTCCCCGACTCACCTTTACATATCCATTCGCCTATTTCTCCCATGTACAATCGAATTGCTTGGTAAGAATCAAGATCATCTACTAATTCTGTCTCTGTACGAGGTATCCTGCTCTGTGAATCGGGCTGGGCTGCAGATCACGCGAGGACGACGTCGGCCGAGAACCCGGATTTAGGGGGCCTCTGATTTACTGTTGGGAGAATTATCTTCTATTACCAAAAGATCGACCATATCAGAAGGAACAGGAGGTAATTTAAGCTTAAACCCGTCATCGGTGTAATATGGACAGGAAGGTAGCTTACGGAGATACCCGCGCATCTTGTGTGACCTCTGCAATCTTCTATAAGGATCTGGGATTGAGCCGCTCGAACAGCCACAATTTATTTGCGTTTAGTGATCGAGATTCTGATCACAAACCCTGCATCTCGGAGTCATCGAGATTGCAGTGTTGGAGTGCCGCAAATCCACGAGGATGACGTCCTGTCGCATAACAAAGGATTTGCTCACAGCTGTCCAAAAGCGACTCCACGAAGGAAGCCAGATGCTTTCGGCCCCCAATACAGGGGCCCTCCGATCAGCAGCTACGAGATAGCTTCACTAAGTTAGCTCGTTTTTCACTTCACGGATGGTGTACCGGCTAGGCGGCGCTGTGACATGGTTTCCTAACGCGTAACTGTTGCCATTGAGAGCCAAAACTCTGGATTTTACTGCCATAAGCTTATGGCCCCCCGGTGTGCTTCACTCTCGGCATTACTTTTAAATACTATTATTTACCGATTTTATTTTATTTTGAATGCCTGAGAGATGACACTTCCTCGTCTGCGCCGTTGCCGTTTATGCTATTCGAATCCTAACCCGTATCCTACCCATTCACGGTTTCACCGTTTACATCCTCCCTCTCCTCTATGGCAGAGTTGCCCCGCCATGAACTGAGCGATTGGTGGGTGTACGATAGGAAGGGTCTCCACATTTATCATGATAGCGTCGCGATGTGGAGCTCTGAGTGTAGGAATAACCTCTAGATTTTATACGGTTTATTAATAAGGGTAGAATGCTCTACGGCTCAGTAGAGGTAGTTTGTCATCACTAGTGACTAGTACTTTAAAGATATTACCATAGTTCGCGCGCCCTACTTGTCTGCCTAAAGCTATTATATTTAATGCCACTAGAACATATTCCAGTCCCCACGACTACCGTCCCATCTACTCTAAAGTAAATAAGACGGCAGTGTTGGAATCATAAACCAAGTGATCGGGATATGCAATGAGGATGGCGGGCAAGCAACCAGCGTCAAACGCTAACGAAGGGATGGGTAGCTATTACAATCTCCAAGAAAATACATACTTAGGTATGCCAACCATTATATCGTATCTTCTGATCATTCATGACTGACAATACTCTCGCGACAAGCAGGACCTGTCTCCGTCGAAGAAGGAACCGATAAAGAAGAAAAGTTCTTCCAAGAGCTACAGAAATATGCAGATTACCAGCAAATGCTCTCTGAGAAGTTGGAGTCTGATATAGCTAGTGGTGATACCTCTGGTGAATCGAGTTCGCCCAATCTGGTATCATCTGGGAACGGTATGGCACTTTCACTGGATTCTATTCCCTCGACGCTCTTCGGGACATCAAGTAACATTATCCAGCTCAATCTAGGACTCCCATAGGTCGATTGCAAACCCCTATTTTCATACCACAGCAGGACATGGGAGGTATAAGATGTGGATGGATACGAGCGTATGCACCCTCATTGCAACCATGCGGCATTGATCAAAGAAGGTTTCAGAATTTCTTGGATATTCTTAGTCAACAAAGCATGGTAAATCTTCCACAACATATTCGTTGTTCCTAAACGCAGCCTAACAACGCATTGTAGTCCGTACCTTACGTTGATGCCGTCAACATCGGTGCATTAGATGCCCAATCTCCCTTGGAACTCATCAATGCAGCCATCAATCTATCAAAATCCACGCCATCAGTTGCACAGTAAGTGCCACCCTTCTTTATCTTCAACAAACCGGGAATCCAGCTTTCAGAATCCTCAAATTTCCTTTCTAACCAGGAAACACAGTACATTCCTTACCCGTGCCAACACCGAGTTTCTCGGCCCCCGGAAACTCTACTCCACCATCGTAGTGTTTAAACCAGAAATCCGCTCTCAAATCATCCGAGTCGACGCCATGCAACCTATTTGCCAGACCCAGCACCATCTAGCCAACCCCCTAATAGATCTTTTACGCCCAGCCCCGCTTATTTTGTTGCCTAATTATCCTCCACCGGCAACCTTTGCGCAGAATTGGACGCCCCAAAGTAATGTAGGTGCGTCGAGTTTGTGGGCGGTAGGCGGGAATAGTGGTAGTAGAGTGGCGGGGTCTGGAGGTGTGTACCATCCAGTGCCCATCTCACAACAGGGGGGGATGTCAGGGAATCCCCAAATTGGTGAGATGAAGATTAGACCGGTATGCCCCTATCCCCATGCCCCTCCATTTGCTCACAGCTATCGTCATCTATTGGTCTTCCTGATTCTAAGAACAAAAAGCATACTTTATACGTGATGATCGCCAATGATACCACTAAGGGTAATTACGGTCGTGATGAGATAACAGAGCAACAGGGATTTCATGGGCCAGTATTATTCCTTTAATGTTTAATGTTTAATGCTTAATGTTTATGTTTTATGTTTTAAGTTTTACTTTTTAAGTTTTATTTATTATTGATGAGAGACGAGAGACGAGAAATCTGTTTTAACATGGGGAAACGGAGGGAAACCAAGAACTGAGGAACTTTAGAACTGTATCAGACCTTGAAATATATAATCGCTGAGCCTTTTCTCCAGTGCATGCAAATAATGATGTCCTGCACCCACCAGCCCATATCCTATAATACTATTTATATTGCCAATCTTTGTCTTCATTCCCTGTCTTCCTGGATTTACCCATTACTCTTCGCCCTATTTTGTTAACAAAAGCACACGTAGACACAGTGGAAGATATATATATGTAACTTAATAAGCAAACTTCTTATCAATCGCACCTATACTAATGTAAGCGTTTTGATCCGATAGATAAAGATAGAGCAAGTAAGCAAAGCGACATACAAGCACCGATAATTGTTCTGGGTGATTTGAACAGAAGTATTAGCACGCCAGTTACGTATGTAAAATCTTGTGTGCATATTAAGTGCCCAACTAAACATAAGTGGCGAAAGTAACAGGCTTGTTAAGCGAGTATGGATTATTTGGTAAATAGTATCCACCCATCTCTACATGTACATGAATGTCTGAGTATGGCTTTGTATAGTACTCAATTAGATCGTTGTGGCTATTTAAAATTTCGACCTCCGCTGCTTTTTGCGCGGGGGCGGTGCTTCCAATTCTTCCTCATCAACATCCGCATCAGAGACAGAATCATCATTAAGAGTAGCAGGCGCAGTATTCCTTTTTTTCGCTTTCCCATTCCCTTTCTGCTTAGCTCCCTTCTCTGTCTCCTTGCTATGCTTCTTTACCCACTTCGTAGCCTTATCAGCGACAGTCTCGGACAACGCTCCAATCTCCCCACCGCGTTGCTTCCGAGACTTCAACCTATCAACTGCATCCTTCATTCTCTTACTCCCTTTCTCCTTTCCGCCAGTAGTCTCCCTCACACCGGCACCTACAGCACCTTCAAAAAACCTCGTAATATTAGCCTGGGTGCCCTCCACCGCCCTACGATTCATGTCCCTTATCACAGGGACGAGAACTTCATCCGTACGCTCAGATGTCCATCCAACAGTCGCCATTAGGAAATCACGCAGACGGTCCAAATCCGGGACACCCCATTGGAAGGGCTCGGGAGTGGAGTCAACATCGGCATGCAGATATGCTTCTGCAACAGCGGGCGAGGGGAAAGTCGATGGGAGGAAGAGCTTTGTTGCGTGAGAGCGACGGAATTTCTTGCGAAAGACAGTGCGCTCGGTAGATAGGGGTGGCGCCAGAGGGGTCTGGATTGACGACCACCAGGCTTTGAATTCTTCGAGGCCGGTGCTGGGGTTCGGGAACTCGGAGAGTATTTCGACTGCTGTGACAGGGCCGACTCCTGGAAGGCCGTCTGTGTAATCTGAGCCTAGGAGTTGGGCAATGGAGATGAGCGGGTCGCGAGAGAGGGAGAGTTCTTTCTCAATGTCTGATGCCAGGTAGCATTCAACGAATTTGTTGCTGTTGAACATGTTCTTGTACACTCGCGTTCCGCCGAATAAGAAGATATCTGAGTCGTCCGTCACTACACCATCGACGAGCCCTAAGCGTACGAGTTCTGCGCATTGTGCTTCGGCTTCCATGGGAGCTGTGATGTAAGGGATGCCAAAGAGGCGGAGTAGGGCTTGACATTCAGTGACCATGATAAGTGATACTTCATCTGCGTCTCGCCGGTCCTTCTTTTGTTGACTTCGTAGCGTCTTGAGTTCCTCCTCGTAGGCAACTTGGTTTTCCCGTTCTGATTTGTTGTTCAGGGTGCTGGCAAAGCGGGCGTGTTCCTCTGCTTCCATGGCTAGCTGAGCGAGAAGTTCTTCGTCATCTGGGTCGCTAAAATCATCAAAGTCGACATCATCTCCGATCCGATCAGCCTGCTGCTGGTCCACAGAGTCTTCGATCGGTAGGCGAGAGATAGAATCCGCGTCCTGTGGGGATGCGGTTGTTGCGTCCGGAAAGTCGACATCCTCAAATAGCGGGCTTGGACTAGTTTCTGTGATGAGAGGGTGGGTTTCGGGCGCTCCGTTTAGTAGGGGCACTTCGACATCTTCAAATTCCGGTGACGCAGATTTCGATCTTGATGAGATAGCATCGGTTGGCATATCCATTGCTTTTGTTGGCATTATAGAGGTATCTCCATAGTCACTCTCGGACCAATCGACAACTTCTTTATCCGATTTCTCATGTGCAGCTTCTCTGATCTCTTCGAGAGCGGATTCTTGCTTCACTGACGATTGTATATTTTCCTGGACATTTGACGCCGAATGTGTACGTAAATCCTCTCCAAGCCCCACCAGCTCATTGGTGACTGTCGTAGCTAGGGGAAATGCATCAATTATTTCCACATCACTATCATCGTCAGACGATTGAATTTCGATGGGCGCATTATCCCGTCTAAAAACTCGCTCTTCTTCAGCTGCTGTCTCTTGGTCTTCCGCATTGACCTCCTTATCTATTTTCTGCTGCTCCTGAACTTGCGATCTGATATCGCCATTGCCTGCCAGCCATGGAGGCAAAGGTCTGGAGGTTTCCTCCTCCTCCTCACCAGCAAAACCACCCGCGAGATCCTCATCATTAGATTCAATCAGGCCAGCCGACTTCCCCGGTTGATGATTTCTCTTACCGAAAATTGAAGTTCTAAACTCGATCCGTTCAAACGGTAGCGGGCCATCGAAAGGGTTCTTCGTGTTAGGAGCGATAGGAGCGGGTTGACGTCGTTTGTGTTCTGGGGCTTTCTCCCTTCTGGCTTTCGCCAGTGCGGACTGCAGATCCATGTCACTATCACTGCTTATGCTTGCCGCCCTTGGTTTTGGAACAGCTGCATTGGCTCTGTTGTTCACAATGTGTGCGACCATTCTCCCGCTAGAGCTGGTAAGTGGCTTAGGGGCTTGGACAGCTCTTTGCTCATATTCTGGCAGTGCAGTATCCCCAAACTCGGCGTTCCCATCCGATTCTGATTCATTGCCATGGTTCTTTTGTAAGGAAAGAGCAATGGCCCTATTGAGGTGTTCCTCTTCATCCAGTTCTTCGGACTCGTGGTCTTTCTGAAGCGACAGCGCAATAGCACGGTTGAGATCGTCTTCCTCTTCGTTGAAATGGCGCCCGGCGGCAGTTGAAGGCCCGCCCGCCTGCTCATCTACGAACAACGTATCTTGTTCTGTTGGATCTATAGGTGACGCCGAAGGTGCGGCATTTCTTGAAGCATATAATTCTCGTCTTTGATCAGCCACTTCTTGTGCTTGAAAATCACCGTAGGTTAAATGCCTAGGTGGGTCGCCTTTAATCTTCGGCAGCCGATTTAGACCCTCCACAGGGACATCTTCAAACTCGTCTTCAGATTCTTCATCTTCCTCTTCCCCTTGGGGCTTCTTGTCCCATTCCTCAACGTCGATGGGTTTATTCCTCTCGCCGACTGATCTGTCCGTGCTTACAACGCCCAAAGCCCATCCGCCCTCCACGCCATCGTTCTTAACCAGCACATACTCTCTATCCCTTTCTCCTGCAATTCTTCCACTCCCCACGCCCATCATTCCACTTTCAGTATTCATCCCACTCAGATGCATTAGTCTCTGCGTCAACTCGTTTCTTTCCCTAACCCTGTCAATCTGGAACCTGCTAAATGCCATGCGGTCTGGAAACATCTCATCTAGCTGCTCCTTACTCAACCCCATGCGCAATCTGCTCCTCAACCGCGCCGCATTCAAGATATTATATCGATCGACAGCAGGCAAACTCATAAAGAACTCGCCATTGAAATCAATTTTGCTGAAATCGTATAAGTTGACATCTTCGCCATTGTGAAACTGCCTAGCATATTCTTCAAGTTCTGCGGCGCTCATAATCCTAGGATCATTAGGCTGGCCCATATCTTCGATGCCATGATCCAGTTCCGGAAGATGATACGCATCCGTCTTCTTGAATTTGCGAGTTTGAGCCCGTTGCTGTGCATCCATACCCATCTCCTCCACATACACCAGCGGCTGGTCCGCTGTGACCGCGTCTTGGTCCTCAGCAAGGGGTCTCAGGCCCTGCTTTGCTCGTTCTCGTTCCTTCTTCCTCCTCTCGGCCTCTTCTTCACCCCTCTTCTGCAACTGCACAGCAAGCAACTTCCCTGCCGTCCTGAGCGCATCCTCTCTCCTACCCTCCCTTCTCCGCTTGCGCCCCTGTATCGTCTGCCTCTTCAGAGCCGGCGCTCCGCCATCGAATACAAACACTGGCTTGATCCCAAAGAACAGCAGCTTGCATATCCTCCTAAAGAACCCCACGATGTGGGAGTTGCGAAGCGCATTGCCTTCCTTGTCGCGGACAGCTTTGAGAAATTGGTAGATCCAGATGGACGCGTCCACGGCGAGGCGCTTACGATTGAGGGTCGGGAGGGGAGTCGGTCGTGCGCAGGGCTGTAGGATGGGCCAGAGACCGGTAACACCCATTCTGGGATTCTAGAGACGTATTAATGTGAATGAGAAGCTCAAGTCGTTGATGTCGACAGCGTTGGAGGGAGGTGGCGAAGGTAGGCACACATGGTGTCGCAAGCCCACTCTGGCTTCTGTTCTTCAGACTATGTGATTTTACTAAGCCCGAGAAAATAAAACGTGAATCTCAGGGCTTCAACATTGCCATTGTTATCCTCGTCACTTGTTGATGCTGACTTGAAGGTATCATGATGATGACCCGAGCTACTGCATTAGGCTACACTGCTTATCTACCTAGGTACTAGGTACCTAGGTATCTTATCGCCAGATATACTGACCCCTGTACAGTAAGAACTTACCACTGCCCACAACAACAACATTCAACTACAAGTATCAACCTCCTATAATATCCACATTCCAAATCCCATATTCAGTCCCCAAGATGGAGAAATCGCAATCCGAAGACTACCTCAAGTCTCTCCTCAACAAGAACCTTCGTATTACAACCTCCGACTCACGCATGTTCCTCGGTCAATTCAAAGCAACAGATTCCGTCCGTCACCCCTCGACCCTATTCCATTCCCAAGAAAGAACACTGCTAACAAAATATTTTATTCCCCAGGATCGCAACATCATCCTCGGCCAAACCTTCGAATACCGCATCCCTCCCCCGCCAAAGCACGTAGAGCAAGGGGCAGAACCCGTCACGGTGGATATGGCCAGTCGGTATCTGGGTCTGGTCGCCATCCCCGGGGGATGCATCACGAAAATCGAAGTTGAGGAGTTTGCCAGCCAGATGAAAGGAAATAGGTAATTGGCATCAGCCAATAGAGCGGAGATAAGTTTTATGTGCCAGCCGTGCGTTCTCCAAGGAAGCCCGGCAGGGGAAGAGCCGCCGAGCATGGTTGACTGCCCTGGCTTTGCAGCGGTGTAATACACGGGTTCAAGGGGGTGGGCGGAGCTCCGGACAAGATAGAGATAGACTGAGAAGAGAGGGGAAGGAAATACATATCCAGCCAGGGTAGCAACGAGGATGTTGTTGGCGCAGTATGTAGCCCGCCTAAATCCGGTCCTAAGCCAAGCAGGTCAGGTCCCGGAGCTATATATAAGCCTATGAAAGGGTTCTACGCCGTTCTGGCAAGAGAAGGATATAGATAGAATATTATGTTATCATGCATCCTTTTGCGTCCACAGGAGCCTTGTCCCGCTGGTGCCTTGTTTGCAAAGCTTGCCGATATTTGGTGTGTATCTGATCTCCCAAATGACCACCGCCAATTTCTTTTCATCTGGAGGCCTTGATTTGCAATCTACGAAATCGGATATGCCTTCTAAACTCCCGATGTCTGCTGCGTGTTTGAGTCGCATTAGCTGAATCGATAGCCGTGCCTACCCCGTCTTTTGAAGTAGCTAATTGAAAGTTATAGCCTCCTCTCATTGAAGATAGAGGGCATTCAAATAACCACCTCTCAATAGTTCTAGAAGGTAAACATTCCATCTATATCATCTTTGGCGCCCTAGGATTTCCTTATCCAGCACTTCCCAAGCCTTTTTCAGCAAATAGGGGCCCAAGTAGCTATCTAGATACTCAGCACGAATAGCCGGATGCATAAACCTAGCTAGGTTGGTGCTTAGTTGGGTTTAGTAGTATGGATTTGAAGGGTACATCTGAAGTTGGTCATATATATTGTAAAAGGTCTCATTCCTCTATCTGCTGCAGATAAAATCAATTATCTCGTGTACCTCAGCGGTCTCATTCGCATTCTTTTCGGTCTCCGGCTCCTCACTTCATCCTCTGAGTCGTCCTCCTCACTCTCGTCTTCATCCTCGGCCTCTTCATAATCATCCTCTTCGTCATCTTCCTCTAAGGGCACCCCGTCCATAGGGGGCTCCGCGTCCATTTCAGTCTCCTTTCCTTTAGTAGGGGCGCTCTTCCTCGCCTTGTCCTTCTTCCCTCTACTGGAACTACCATGACCACCTCGAATAGCTGTCATCTTGCCTCTCGCCACCCGCTGACTGGAGTCAATTCCGTCCAGGGCGTCCAAGGCCTCAGCACCGACGACCACACCTTTCTTCGCGCCCTCCCTTATCTTGGGCAGCTTCTTGGTCAGGCCATGCTTTTTGGCAAACGCTTGGCCGTAATCAAAAAGAAGCTCTTCACCTGCGTCGATGTCTCGGAGGGCGATGAACTTAATGCGGTGCTCGCCATTGACAAGGCAGATGTTCGCAGCACAGTTAAGACCGTCCTTTTCCTTATCTGCGTGGTTCATAAAGCGGGCTTTATTTCCCAACCGTGCTCCATCGATCGTCTTTTCGCTATTCAGATCAAAGAGGAAAGAGAGTAATTTCTGGTCATAGATAACTCCCCGACGGTCGCCTTCGCCACGTGAAATAACCTACCCGGTTTAGTTAGCAATGGTCTGGGCCGAGGATGATTAACAGAGCGACTCCTACCTCGCCTGTATACTCGCTAAGGAAGCAGCCCTTCTGAACAGCCTCAGCGGTGTATAAGCCATACCCGGTGCCTTCTAATTGACTTTCGCCCATGACAAGTCTCTTCCCCACGCCCCGTTGAATAGCCACATTTTGGCAGCCAGTAGCAAACAGATCATCGTCGTACCTAACTATGGGGTCGAGCCGAGGAACCGCTCCACAGGTGGAGCACTCTGGACCACACTCGCGATTCATCTGTATGCATATACAGGTATCGGAGATGCAAGACTTTCCCGAGGAAGATGCACAGGAGCACCCTGTAAACCGGCGTGGGCAGTCGTCAGGACAGCTACACATGCTCTCACAGAGGATATCTGCGACTACACATGGGCATTTGGACGTGCATGGGCCAGGATGTGCACACTACAATGGTTAGCTATCCACAAGTACTATATAAAAAGAATAGCGTTGTCTTACTGGATTTGCTTGGCCCCTTGTATGTAGCAGATGTGCCTCTGTCACACCTGACCAGTCCCCTTTCAGGGCTTTTCGTCTGTTATCGTACCACTCTGGACGCTTCGCCCGGTCATATATAGGCTGCTCGGAGGCTCTACGCTGAGGCCTCTTTTCATATAACTGGATCTCACGAAAGACTTGCCAGCAAGGCACGTCTAGAGAAAATGAAATATCGCAGGGTCGACGTCCTGTATCGGTCATGCAAATAAGGAGTTGTCGAAGGTCATTCTTAAGATTCTCAGGCCACTCGTAATTATCACCGTGCAGAGATCTTTGCACTGAATAGCAGTTTGGAGAGCAGGCCTTCGGACGTCTCCCATCAGATTGTGTTTCATCTTTGTTTTTGGACATTCTCTCCTCGTACTTTCGCAGTAGATCCTCCGGTTGTATCGTGTACCGCTGTAGAACCTGCTTTTCTTTCGGAGAGCCTTCTTCGGCGTCTGAATTTTCTAAATCTTCGTCGCCGTCGTGAATTCGCTCCCAGGTGTAATCCCCGTGAGTTTGGCAATCAACCGCCGAACAAATCAGGCAGGTAAGGCTAGCATAAGTTTCCAAGACATCAATAGGTGTTTTGGTAGGCGGTTGCTCAAGGCTTCTTCGAGTTGAGCCTCTGACAAGTTCAGTCATATCTTCTAGGCGATCTTTAGATAGCAAAACGTCCCGAATTTCAAGTCCAAACACGGGCTTAAACGCCTTCGAGAATCCCGCTGCCTTTTCTTGTATGTCTTTGCCCAACGGGCGCTCAAACGATCTAGGAAGCCTCTTTCTGTACCTTGCCATCAACTCGCTATCCTGCTGGAGTAGATATTGCTGGAGAATCCGTCTCGAGATACCAATGTTCAAATTCTCAAGCCAGAAGTCCAAGTGAGAATAGAGCTGCGACTTGTGCTCCCTAGACCTACTCTCATCACGAGCCTTTTGCGAGTATACAGACTCTAGCTCGCTTTGCAGCTTTTCAGGCGTACTATCAATATACTCCCAATACGGGCTAAATCTGAGTTCCTCATCATCCGCAGAGTAAACGTTTCGCCTAACTATTGTAAGCGATGTATATTTCGGAACGCGCGGGACATCGCTTTTGAACGGCTTTCCAACAAGGACGCTCCGCGGGGCTTTTGAGAGCTTGCTATTGTTGCTACTGCTCCGATCTTTTAGGACCTATTTTATCCTAGTTACTATCAATTTATAAAGAGAGAAGAGGTACTTACAAAGGATTCAAGACTCTGTGAAACTGCTCCATTTGGAAGGGCGCTCCCGGGTTTGACCTGGATTGTCTTTAGCGACTCAAATGGCGATTTGCTATCGCAGAATTGATCCGTAGTACGATTAGCTTCCTTAGCGTCATGCAAGAGATACCTCACGGTCGTAGCATGTGTATCCCTCATGTCTCGATGACACCGGCGAAGAGATTCTTCTAGCTCCTTCGCTGACGGTACCGGGTTTTGAGATCCCTTGTTGGTGGATCTTGTAGAGATGCCTGGCCTTGTCCTAGGGCTTTCGCAGCTCTGTGATAAGGGCTTTGAAGGTGTATTCTCAAGGAGTCGACTGTCCTCCTCTTCTATGAGTCCCTCAATCTCCTCGGCTTCTGAATTTACGTTCGATCGCTCGTCAGTGCCCTTGGAGGATTGCCGGCGCCTCGTGAGTATTGGTCCACCCTTCTTTGACATCAATCGTGGTGAAGCTTGTATTCGTCGACCGGAGCTGCTATGGGTAGCCCCAATAGACTGAGAATCTCGAGGCGCTGATCTAGGAGATGCCATGGGACCTTTGATTTTTTCTGGAGGGTCCCGAGCACTTGTTGGGTTCGGAGTGTTAATATCCACACCTGATGGACGAGGCGCTGAGGCAGTTTTCCCAGCCACGGGTATTGGAGACTGATAAGGCCTACGTGTGTTCCTTATAGCATTCTCGAAGGATCGTGGGGAGAGACGTCTCCTGGTATGGGATGGTAAAGATTTCGACGCAGAAGGTCCAGTTTGTTTCCGCGGGCCACGTGCGGGTAGGTCACCATCATCGGAAACCTGAATAACGGGGGTATTACGCCCATTCGCCTGTGGAGGACTTTCATCATCTTCAGAGTCTCCCGTCAAATCAATGACTCTATAGTTCCCGGGCGGCATGATGGGCATATATATAGCTAGTCCCTGTTGACTCACGAACTGTCCAGGCTGCTTTGCACTTTATAGCTGTGGACCATGCTTTAGACCTCAAGATTGTTTCCAGCGATTCAGACGAAGTGATTGGGATTAAAGACGGTCGCTGGTACGGAATTAGCACGTGTTAGGGAACGGGTTCTAGGTTTCCTACATGACAGACTCTTAACAGAGAGGCTACTAAATATTCACTTCTCCTAATCGGTTGACATATTCTTCTGTGATTTGTTCATTTTGGAAGAACCCCTTCCGATAGAGAAAATCCACGCATCATTAAAGTGACGTTAATCACGTAAGTATATTGTTGTTGTTGTTGTTGTTTGGTAACAAGCCACACACATGACTTGAGGATGTCGAGTGCACACGGAAGTTCGCTTAAAATTTAAAGTTGTGTAGTATAATTTGCATAAACTAAGGGAGGTTGCACAAACCAGTAGTCCCTAACAGAATCAAGGCATTTTCCTTGTGCTACGTATGAAGCCCTGTATTACTAGAACAACTGCCCCGACATACCGGTATCTCACTTTTGTAGGCCATAAGCCGTTTATGGCGTGCGTTATAGCTCAGGTGGGCGTGTTTGAATCCGGCATCGTTTGATACTCTGTATATGAAAATCTGGGCATAAATGAAAGCGAGCGCTTTACTGTCATTCCGCGGGGAAGCTGTTCATCATTGCAATTGGCTGTTGGTGTAGAAGCTGGGAACTGTGTAGCTGCTATACGTAGTATTGAGCCCCCCCCTAAAGGCTTAGATCACGGACGATCATGCCCACTCTTGTACTCTTGCTACATGTACGCTATGCAGTACTATATACGTCGTACAGAGGACAGAGCACAGTATGTATCACTTCTGCAATAATAACAATAGAGCCTTAGTAGACCCTTCAGGTAATGTCATTGTAGGTTTCGAGGGGGCTTCGACAGCTCCTAGCCGTTTTCAAGATTGGTTGATCAGGGGCGAATCGTTCCTTGGGTTTGGTTTGGGTTTGTTTGGGAAAGCAACTGTGAAAGGTTAATGGGGTCACCTGCAGATATATTAAATATCAAGCACATATAGCCACCCAAGCACCATGCCTCCCATCCGATATTGTTCGGTTTTATCCGGCACGAGGAGGGCGTTGGTTTTAGAGTATGTACCAAGAGTTTGCCGACTGCTCCGCGCTGGGGATGGCCTTTCTCAGGTGTCGGTGAAGCCCCGGGTTTCGGGGAAGCAATAATGCTACTCCACTTGCCCGATTTCACTATTGGTAGGTACTTGTAGTAGTCGAGTATGGCCATGACTTACGGCAGCTCTTTACACAGAATAAACGCGGCAAATGATCGGCGACGATCGAGGATTCCAGGCATTAGGGCGTTGGAGTAGTGCGGAACGGAGTAAGATTGACGGGACCTTGGATTCCGAGATTCCTGGGTAATGGGTAATGGACAATGGAAGCTGAATGGAAGGACTCTGGAGGCTTCTTCTAGGACCATTATTGGCTGCATGTGTTCTTGGCCATTGGCCACGGGGCCCCCTGGGAGACACCATGTTCCAGAAGTCGTGGAATCCTTGGGATCCTTGGGCGCCTTACGAGGTGAAAAGCGGGAGACTCACGTATCAATTAATATATTGGCTCCCAGGAACGTTGGACAGCAGGTGCCAACTGATGTATGTACGGTATGTGCTGTGTTCAAGGAATGTATCAAACTCTCTGTCGGAAGCTAGACCGTACCAGGCAGATCAGCAACTCGAACCCGTGGTGCCATCGCACCCGAGAGGAGTCCGAGTCCCTTGTCCCCTCCATCTGAATCCAGAATCCAGAATCCACCATCCAGGTGGCCTAGTCCTGGGCTCGTTGCCCCTTGAGCCAGTAGCGTCGGGGTCCCCAGACTCTCGGAGTCCTTTGGCGATGACCAAGCATATCATGAAACGAGAGCAGCATGGCGGCGTGGCAGCTGGGAGATACTGGAGCAACGAGTAGTAACTGCGCAAGCCCTCGAGCCGCAGGGTGTTGTAGGCAAGAAGTGCCGATGGTGATCGGATCGGGTACGCAGCGTGCGTGGCCAGTCGTGAGGCGGTTTTGTCTGCGGCCTGCTGGGTGGTACAGCACAGTAGCAGCGCAGTAGTACAATACAGTGGTGCAGTGCTACTCTGTATGTCCTAACAAGTGCTGGTACTACCAGCGACTGCGTAATGCCGAATCCCGGGTTCTTGGTCCTGGATAAAGGCGCTACTAGAATCCCCATCATACTCCAGAGTCCATACTACACACCCCATTCTCCATTCTTGCTTGCAACACCTAATTACGGAGTGTACCAGTGGATCGAAGGACTTCGTACATACGCAGCAGTCCTTACGTACATGTACATGTATGTACGTGTATGTACGAAGTACGAAGTACGAAGTACTGTACATGAACTTCGTACGTGCTCTCAACTCCAGCACAGACCTACAAACTTCAATTTGCCGTTCGAAGGGCATTGTTGTGGAACTTCAACCACTCCAGTCTAATAGGCCAAGACAATCCCACGCGATGGGACATGGACTCCGGGAGAATGCGCACATTCGCTATTGTTCCCTGCGATCGTGTGGAATTGCCCTGCCAGCCTGCCTGGACAGCCAGGCATGGCTCTATCCCCTGGGCCCTGATGCTGGGTTGCTGGATCGCTGACGGCTGCGCCTGCGACGGTGACGGTGACAGGGACTGATACTCACTGTCAGTAGTCCAGCTGCTGGCGGAACTTGGAAGAGGCACAGGAAAAAGTCAGTTTCTGCTTATACAAAGCTGCACGGCGGTGGAAGCCCGACGCTGACTGGCCGGAAGTGGTGACAGCGGCCCCCTCATATTAGATGCTAGATCCTGGAAGTCTACTTTATTACTTCGTACCTAGGTAGTCTTGTGCGTGCTTTGTCCTGTAGCAAACTCCGTACTACTCGAGGACTTACACTACTGGGTCCTAACCCGTAAAGCTCGGGCTTGGAGACTAAGGCTGGGCGGAGAGGTGGACGGACGGTGTTTGGACTCTGGAGTCTTGGACAGTTGATATTTTTTCGTTCGTAGTCCTCAGTTACTCCTCTGTCGATGCCAGTATTGGCACAGTACCTTATGAACCTCATGAGTGTCATTCCGTACGTGTCCGGGGGGTCGCTATAGTACAGGATCCGTACCTTATCGCCTCGCCTCGGATTTCACAGGTCGACCCCGGAGGAGCCAGGAGCTTGACATAATCACCACAGGGTCTAGCGTCCAGCACGCCCAGCCCGCCATTTGTTCAAGCCCACGATTTGGCTCGGGATCCAAGGAGCACTTTCGCGTGGCCGCCCTCGTTCTGGTGTAGCCTCCTCGACGGAAGAGTGAGTGAGTGAGCGAGTGAGAGAGAGGAGAGAGGAGCCGCTGGAAGCGCCACCCCTCTTTCAATACGACCTCCCTCTTTGGCTTGGGCTTGACCAGGTGTTGTACCGGTACTTCATACTTCCTGTACATGTACAGTAGTACGTGGTGTCTTGGGACATACCATGGCCACGGAAGCGGTGCGTGTCGGCATGGCGTCTCGTCTCGCCCACCGAGGAGCAAACAGAAGTCGAGCAGAGCCGAGCTGAGCTGAGCAGTGTACGTACAGTAGGGGCAGACCCAACGGAGCACAGCATCGCGGGCCCACGACGGTGAATGGACGATCCGTATGCAGATCAGATTCCAGGACGGAGCGGGCTAGAAGAAAAGGCTGGTGCTGGAGCTGGTGCTGGCGGATGGCGATGGAGAAGGGTCGAGATTCGAGAAGGGTTCAATAAACACTTCGTACTATGTTATGCAGGAACCGAGGCGATGAAGACTCGCGGCGACCAGGATGCCCGAGGGTGCAGTAGTGTTCGTTAGTTACAGGAGGTAGTGTTATCAGTGCTAGCACGTCCAGTGCTTCGAAGTAATAGTGTGCTGTGAGCAAAGTAGTAGTGTGCATCGTGGGTAGTCAAAGAGTTGATAGTACGAGTATGGAGTGCTACCTACACTAGACGGAATAGTGGACCGTTTTATTACCTGCCAGGTACTGGCACTGCACGTAGCACTTGGTACTTGGTAGTGGCTCAGTAGTAGCAGTAGCTGGCAGCAGTACTACGTGCTCCAGGTAAAGTACAGTACTGTAGGTAGGGCACTGGAGGGCCTGTACGAAGGGCTATTGAGCCTGTAGCCACGGTATGTAGACCGCTGTACGGAGTAGAGCCCACTGTACCGTAGCACTGCGCTGTATTAACGAGCTAATAACCTGTTGCACGCCCACGAGTCTACGCTGCAGCCCCCCTAGGAGCACCCCCATCCCAGGGACTCTACAGCGCGTGCGCTGCACCCAGCACCAGTGTACAGCGCTACTCACTACTCACTAGGTGCTCAGTACCCACTGCCACCCACTACCACCACCACTACCACCACCACTACCCAGCCCCTAACACACACCCAGCACCCAGCACCCAGCGCCCAGACACTGTAAACCCAGCACCCAGTACCCAGCAATCCTCCCCCCCCCCAAATCACTCACTCCCCCCAAGTCCCCTCCACCACCACCACCAACCACCACACACACATGTACACACACCCACCCTCTTGCAACCGACCCTCGCTGAATCCTTCGAAACCTCTGACCTCCCTCGATCTTCACCCCATCCATCCTCGATTTCCGCCTTCGATTTCACCCGCCCACCTCGTCCTCGCCCTCGTCCTCAGCCTCAATTTGCACCGTCAACCGCAATCTCTACCCGCGAGTTGCGTTTGGATTTCGCTCATCCGCATCCTCCCCATCCCCTCCCGCCCATCGCATATCCCGATACCCTCACTGCTCGCTGCTCCCCCTCCCAGAGTCGCAGCCGTCTCACACTTCATGCGGCGGCATCGTACTCGAAAGCCTCCGCCTCCAGCTCGACAACCTTCTCGACCTCGACCGTCGCCGCCTCGTCTCAACCACGCATGCGCTGATCGCTCGAGCGAACCTAGAATCGACTGCTCCTCGACCATCGCCGTCGCCATCGACCGGTGTCCCTGGATCCCCCGCAAAAGGAACGGATCGACTGGCGCTATTCAATACTACTCCCGCCCCGCGCGAAGGCACTGCAATCGCATTTGCATTTGCATTTGCAATCGCGACCGCAACCGCGACCGCAGCGCGAACGAGCCATCAGGCGGTTCTGTGAAACCAACCGCCTGACAATTGCATTTTTTGGATATTCGGGTGGCCACAGCAGACTTCACGGCGGGCAGGGCGTCTTGATCGACGAATGGAACCCAGGACGAACACCTCCCAGCCCGGAATCTGCGTATATTCTTCGTTGATTCGCCATGGCTTCACCAAGCCCATCAAACCCGCCATTGCCCACGAGGGACCAGTGCTTCTCTCTGACCGAAGCCCAATGCCACAGGATACTGCTGCTTCGCGACCCCGATAACACGAGGGCCAACAAAAATTGGGAATTGGTCCATCAACCCGATCTGGTGCGGCTGTACATGACCATGATAAGCTTTCCCCAGATAAGAGACCATATGAAGGCAAAACTAGACTACTGGTAAGTCAGGCGCAGGGTGGTGGTGGTGTCGCAATCCGATCGTCATGTCATGTCTCACACTTTTTATCGTTAGTTACAAGACATATGCCAATCGCTACAAGGATTGGCATCTTCCCGTCGATCGCTGCGAGCGAGAGCAGGTCGTTCGAGACCTTTTTGCTATGGTCTCGGACCCTGCGAATATCCAATCCCCAATATCCTCAATGGGCCCATCGAGGCTACCTATCCGACCCCTTCAACCCCATCCAAGCTCCCAGTCACCACAACCCATACAACAACCGTATGCCGTCCCGCCAGATTATTTTCTATTCCCACCACCACTTCCGCCTCACGCACTGCCGCCGCCATTGCCACCACCACCTGGCCCGCCGCCAGGCCCGCCGCCGCCACGTCCGCGGAGAGATGATGGCAGAGACCATGAGATGGATCGTATGTCCATCATGACAACGGATACAACAGCCACATGGTCAACCGGAAGCGCCCAATCTACCTACACCTACCTCTCGGACACGTTTTCGAATGCCCGCCGTTCAATCTCTACAAGCAACTCATCCGTGAGCTCTGCAAGTCGCATCCCTCCATCTCCAATCTTTCCTCAAAGACGGCCTTTGAAACCGCCAAGGCACGACCCCCGGGATGGCTATTGGAATGATGACCTGCGAGTCGTTCCCTGCGGCAGGGACCATAGCCACCTGCGGTGGGATACTCCCTTTCCCACCTGTCAAGGTTGCGGCTTTAGTCAATGGCACGCTCTTATGCTTCAAGCTCGAGGCATCGATATCAGTACCTTCATAACCGCCATGATCAGTCTAAGGAACGTAAGCAAAGTCGATTTTGTAGGGAACCACTCGCTGCATTTTCTGATGACCGCTGGAGTGGGTATCGAGTACTTCACTCCTCAGTTACTCAATGACACTTCCAGCCAGAACGTCTTCGGGCAGAATCCGCTTCACGTACTTAACCCCCAAGATTTAGGAGATGAGCTGCTTAACCTCTTAGACTGGTTCAAGGGCCGCGAATGTCCTCCAGGCCTGCTTCTGACTCAGCGCGATGTCAAAGGACGCACACCAATGCACTGTCTTCTCCAATACCCGCTTGAGCGCTACCTCTATCCCAAGATATTGAGCATCTTCCCGTACGCCCAGCATCAGCTTCGCTCCTTCGACATTTCCGGTCGGACGGCAATCATGCTGATGAACAGGACCGCACTGAGGGTCAAGTCCAAATCTCCAGCGGATTATGGCCTGATACAAGCAGGCATTACCGAAACGAAGTTGTTTCAGTCCAATGGGGATGATGGCCAATGTGGCAGCAGGATGTACGGATTCCATGACATAGCCAGGGGCGCCAGAGGGACATCGTACATGGGATTCTACGAGTGCCGTATATGCAACCATACCAACGCGCATCGCAATTCATACCTCGACCAGATGGTCTGCGCTTGTAACTCTGGCCGGGATCGAAATGGCCCCGATGATACGGGGATGACTCCCGCCCACGCGATTATTACACAAGAGCGTGTTAATGATGATCGACATCAGACCCAAGAGACGCCATCGCAGACTGCGGAGTTGATTCGAGTCCTATTGTCCCCCAATGATCCCACGCTACGAGAGGCGATCCATGTCCTCGATCGGGAGGGGAACAGCCTAGTGTACAACCTCGCAACTCGGGGCCTCGATGAAACGCTCGAATACGTCCTGGAGCTCGAGGATCCATCAAGGAGGCGTGCCATGGTCAACTTCTGCAGCCGAGGTTCTAAAGGGGTCGAAATAAGCGTCCTCCGGGGTGTGCTTTCGAAATATGAAGAAATCGCTTCTTTAATCCGCGTTACCCACGTCACCAGCGATGCGAGGATCCGGCAAGGACTCACCGAGAAGCTCAACCGCCTTACCAAAGTGAAACATATTCTGGTCCGTTACGGAGCAGAAATGAATCCTACCCTCACAACCCGTTGGCAGATTTATTGGCCTTAACGACACAAGCGCAAGGCTCTGCTTTTCATCCATTGCCAGCATCCGCCGTTACCACCTTGCGACACCCTCGCCCAGCTCGTTTCAGGGCTTTGCTATGCTGTACTCGATGTACATATTTATTCCCCAATTTCCCTTTGTTGACCATTTGTCTTTTCTCCAGCCATTGACAAATCTGGTGGTTACCGGCTGGGGTCATTCCATCTTGCGAAAGCATTTCACGATACCCCCTTGTATTTATAGACTTTGTGATTTCGCTCAGATACCCTACATCTTTTCTTACCTTTGTCTGCTTGGATCTTTTTTGGAGGTAACCCCTCGAAGGGTTCGATTTGGATATATATCTGTATATGTGTCTGGCGACGCGTCACGAGCCCATTTCTTTCTGGAATGCATTTACGAACAAGGAGAGTATAATCCTTTTTTCCTGGGGGTTTCACGGGCAAAAGAAAAGCATTTATAGACTGTATTTTTTAGATGCTAGATGTTTTTTTTAATGTATATGCGGGTAGGAGATGGGACAGACAATGGGTGGGCGTTATGGTGGATGCGGTGCGCACCATATGGGAATGAATGAGATATGATATTTGGGAAAGGGCCCATTTATCGTACGATGATGAGTTATGGACGGAAGGAGGGCATAGCTATGAGATGGAGATTTAATGCCCGAAACGTCGTTTTATCTAAGGATTTCCCTTTTGATGGTGACCGTGACTGTTTCGTACAGCTCTCTCGACTAACCCACCACCCCCCCGAGTGCTAATATCGGCACGGCATGTTTGTCGATCTATAATAGTATTTACCTGATCTCAAGGTGCTGTTCGTGTTCCATCGTATGATATACAGTGTGATACGTGGGAGAGCCCTATCTACCTACCTAATAATATTTGGAATCATGTGGGAAGAGGTTCTAATGTACTACCTGAGTTCAAACGATAAAAGAAGTGGTCCATTTCCTATTTAAGCTATATCCCACATCGCAATCCTGCTCCAAAAATTTCCAAATACCAAGGTCATAAGCCTTCCTTCATATACGGATCATGCGGCTCGAATGCTTGTGGGCATAGGGTCCCTACACTCCTCGCAAAAAAATTCGCAGCGGCGACATAAATGATATAACTGGTATTTTGAGATTGACAAGATCCAAAAGGACTTTTATAAATCGTTGTTATCTCGGAGGCTTTTTCTAATAATACTGAATTTTCGGCTCGAGATCTATGATCATCCCCCAATCCCCCCGAAATTAAAGCACACTACTGCCCTAAGGAATGTTACACCCCACCCCACCCCACCCCACATCATATCAGATCACATTTCATCATCTTTCGCTTTCGGCATCTTGAACTCTCTCCCTCCCCTTTTAAACTTTGAGTCACGCAATGTACTACTCTGATCTACATACATGCACATGGTGATCTGGAAGCCTCGGCAAGTACATACTATGCTGTGACGTAGGTTGGGGCCTCTATAGAGTTGCTGGGCGCGAGACGGTGTGGGTGGTGGTGGTTGTGGCGTGAGGAGCTAGATACAAATACCGTAGAGATCTCTGCGGAGAGTCGAGATAGATAGATACCGGGAGGGCGCTAGATACGCATATTTTAATTTTCTTTTGGGGGGGGGTTAGATGGGATCTATTGTAATTATTTTAATTTTAATGTGGTGGAAATGTTTCTGCGAAGGAAAGGATGTTGGCTGATAAAGATAACGTTGGAAAAGTGTGAAGTATATAATGAAGTATGAAGTCAATACCAGCCATTTTGAGATGATGTGAAGTGTGGCAGTTGTTGTGGCTGCTGGTGTGGCTGTGCTTTGTCTCAATGCTTGTCCGCTTCTGGCGCTAGCGTGGGGTTCACTACGTCACTACCAGTACGGTTGCGGTGCTTGGTGTTGTGCTGTGATGTGTTCTTCGGAGGGAAGAGGGAAAACCATCGTCATTGGCAACCCAGATCTTCGACCGTCAAAGTCTCTCTCCTCCTCTTCTCTCTCTCTCTCTTCCCAACTCCAGATCCCTCCTCTGCGCATCACCACATCACACTACATCACAACAACAGCGATAGAAGACAGAGCTTCACAGCCTCGATACACCGCTTCGTCCCCCGCCCAAACAATCAACAGGCAAGAAAGAAGCCATCGAGGCATAGCACAACACTTCAGAGAACCACCGCAATACCGCTACCATGCATCGAACATACTCAATGAGGCAATCACGGGCTCCCACGGTATGTTTCTATCACAGCGCATCGCGTCGCATCTCAGGTCCAGATAACGTTGAATTGAGTACTGACGATATGATACGATACCAGGCTTCGCAGCTTCAGAACCCACCCCCGCCTCCTTCGAGCACCAAGTCTGGTAGGCTGTTTGGAAAGAGTGGTCTTGGTTAGTTGTCCCTTTTTCTATGGTGTGGTTTGTGCAAGAATATTGAGGGATATGGGTTGCCTCATTGGAAATGTCGTTGAGGCTGTACTTGAAAACAATGCCCGCGACAACTTTTCCAGAGCTGGGCCCAAATCATAGCAGATCGCCCTGTGTTGTTGGCTTCGTTACCCAAAGGCCGGCAACACCTGGGTACCTCTCCTCCCTGACTGGTGCTGCTCAATCCAGTTTGCGATGATACTTGGTGGTGATCGTGCTGATGTGCTAATTATCCATTCCAGGCCATGCTCTCCGTCGTCAAACAGCCGGTCAATTCGGGCCCGATCTTGCGAAGAAGCTCACCCAGCTGGTGAAGATGGAGAAAAACGTCATGCGTAGCATGGAGCTCGTTGGACGTGAGCGTATGGAGGTCGCCGTAAGTTATCCCTTCTGCTCTTATACAACTAGCCAGTGACTGACCGTTTCCAGCAACAACTCTCTATCTGGGGCGAGGCTTGTGACGATGATGTTTCGGATGTCACGGATAAGCTCGGAGTTCTGCTCTATGAGATTGGTGAGCTCGAGGATCAATATGTTGACCGCTACGACCAATACCGTGTGACCATCAAGAGCATCCGAAACATTGAGGCTTCCGTCCAGCCTAGCAGAGACCGTATGTTAATATCTACCAATTGAATAGATTTTACTATCACAAGCTAATCACTCCAATAGGAAAGCAAAAAATCACCGACCAGATTGCCCAGCTCAAGTACAAGGAGCCAAACTCCCCCAAGATTGTTGTCCTTGAGCAGGAACTCGTTCGTGCCGAAGCCGAGTCCCTCGTCGCTGAGGCCCAGCTTTCCAATATCACTCGGGAGAAGCTGAAGGCTGCCTACACCTACCAATTCGATGCGCTCCGTGAACACTGCGAAAAGCTTGCTATCATCGCCGGCTATGGAAAGCATATGTTGGAGCTCGTGGATGATACCCCCGTCACCCCAGGCGAGACTCGGCCTGCATACGATGGATACGAAGCCTCCAAGGCCATCATCCAAGACTGTGAGGATGCACTTACCAACTGGGTTTCAAAGAATGCTGCTGTCTCGTCTAAACTCTCCACCCGCTCGCGCACACTTTCTCAACGCCGCCGCAACAATATTAAGCGCAACGCCGAAGGCCATGACCTCTCCGGACAAGATGCCCCTCTCAACGACAACGACTCTTGGGTCCCAGCTAGCGCTCACAGAGGCGAGGAGTATGAAGACGAAGAGGATGCTGGTTCAATCCAGGAGAGCGCCATAAACGGAGAAACACGTGGCCGCCAGGAAGCCGTCCCCATTTGATTTAATGCCCAGCGCAACAAAAGTCATCAAGACAAACTAGAAATCTTTTGTTACTTTTGCTACTGCTACCGGTTAGGGGCCGATGGAGTAGGGTCGGGTCATTTCCCGGATTGGTGGAGGATATTCCCAGGGGTTCTTTTATGAAATACTTTGCTCTTCGTACCTGCTTACTATGCCACCCGACTCGTTGTGTTGGGCGTGGTGGGGGAGGGGGTGTATGCGGTGGTAATAGGTAATCTTTTCGACTGCAATATTAATGGCATAGGAGGCGCGATAGGTAGGACATGAGGACGACGAATTGAATTTGAATTTTTAGGGGGGAAGAATTGGGGCTGTACTGTACTTATAGGAGTCGCACTGTAATTTGGTAATAGACAATTTTCATTAAATCCTTATTGATTCAGTAGCGTGTATGAGTCTTATTCCTTACCTCACGTCACGCCAATTCAACTAAAATATCTCGGGGTCTACTAACTCGAAAATAATTATTGTGGTAGAGAGAGACTACTAAGGTACATAAGTAGGTAGGTAGAGAATTAGAGTAGGTACCTAGGTAGGTTTGGAAGCTAGTGGATCGATAATCGAGTCTAACATTACGTCATTGATGCCCTTATAAACATCATCTTCCATCAAAATAACCGTCTTCTCTATACAAATTTCAATTCCCCAGTTTTTCAAGAGACTAAGCAAATTGGGGGGGGGATTTATCAATCTCTAGATATAAATGTAATTACAGCTTTATAAAACTGCCTAGGTCTGTACGTACTCAGTACAAGGCAGAGGCTCGGGGGCATAGGTCACGGACGGAAGCGTAAAGCAAAAGGCATAGCACGTGACGGCAGAAAAAGGGGCGCTTTTCCTAATCTATCCACGAGTCTGCGACATTATTAGCGACGCCGCTCCCCTTTACCTCCTCACACGCGTCATATTGCCGTCTCCTATCGCACCGCAACAACGCCGCTATGGGGCTATTCCAGCAATAGCTCGCTATATGTCTCTTTCTTCGATATCTTGAGATAAAAAAAGATATCTAATCCATGGCGCGACGCCGCCGCCCTCCCCGCCCGGGCGCGCTCACAGAGCTTCCTCCCCTCAAGATCCTATCCCAGATCGTCCTGCTACAGACAATATGGTATGCGGAAGCTACGGCCCTTATTCTCTTCACAGCGCTGGTATCGGGGAAGGCCTTTAGTTTGGATATGGTTTTGAGTTGGCGGAGCTTGAGGGGCGATACGACGGTGGGATGGATGCTGGGGTTGATCTGGTTGCTCAATTGTTTATTTGGGTACGGATACTCACTTTTCTCTACTTACCCCCCTTCCGTTCCGTCTTGTTTCCCTATTACTTCCTACTTCCTACTTCCTTAGCTCCTAGCCTCGCTCTAGTTTAACAAGCATGCTAATATAGAGGTTTCACAGTGTACTATTAATCCTCTTTTTCATCTCCCGCAGCAAACTAGTTCCCGATTTCGCCCTCACACTCCACTTCATCCATCTTATCGTCACCTCCCTCTACTCACATTCTATCCCGCGAAACTGGCTATGGTGGGCGCTACAGGTTGCAAGCGCAGGTCTGATGATTAGTTTGGGCGTGTGGGCCTGTCAGCTGAGGGAGCTACGACCTATTAATTTCGGGTCCTCTACTACGACGCAGGCGACCTCCGGGGGAAATGGACTAAGTGAGGGAGGCGATGAAGAGCAGGGCTACAGCAGAGGGAGGGGTAGAGGGAGAGGGAGTGATAATGCGGGCGATTATGAGATGGTGGGCATGAAACCAGAAGCTGAAATCGGGTAATGACTTGTCTAAGGATATGATATATAAACAGGCTGGAGTATAGGTCGGCGTTTGGTATCAGGCTTGTACTTGTACTTTTGCCTTCAGCATGAGATTTTGGCCCAGAGTGCCAGGATCTAGACCACACGAACATAACATCCTGCATGGATTGAACCGTATTTACTCAGTCCTCTGTGACAACTACTTCCTCTCTCCTCCCCTTCCTCCGTTTATCCCTCCTCTCCAACAATGCAATCCCGCCTACCACCAGTCCCTGCATTATAAAACTCGCCGTGCTCCATGCAAATCCCTTTCTAAAAACCGGCGCCTCCTTAACCGGATATGTTAGCAGCGGCAACCAAGCCGCAAATGCATAACCCCCGGCATTCATGATCCCCAGCACCAATGCCCTCTCTTCCGCATCGTTGCCCATGACTTCATTTGCCCAGGACATACTGAGTGGCCCTAAGACGACGGCACCGCGCGTCATGAAGAAGGAGAACCATTTAAGTCCGTCGGGAATGTTCCATATTGTTAGGAATAGGGAACAGAGGAAACCTAGGAACTGTTCGCTGTTAGTGGTATGGGACATATGAAGGAGCTGGAGGGGACGTACAGCTGCCAATACCATAACTGGGGCGCGCTGGCGGAGGAAGTCGCTGAGTATTGCGAAAGAGACGGTAGTAACCAGTTGCACGGCGCTGAGGCCTGTACCGATGACGTTCTATTGATTCGTTATATATATCAGCAAACCTATAATTCAGTATAAACGGAGGGGCATGACTTACGATATCAGTAACACCCCAGTGGTTACTCTTCATCCAGAGCGCCAGCGGTACCACGCTCCCCGAGGACGCCGTATTGATAAAAACGATATACAGCAGCGCAAAAGCATATACGTGCCACCTCGTAAACACCCTCTTCAGAATCGACCAGCCTAGTTTTCTCCGAGGTGCTCGGCCAATGTCATCCATTCGCTTTCGAGCAAGATTGCGGTCATCCTCGTTGAGGTAGAAGGCCCGCGTGTTCTCAGGTAGATCGGGGATTAGGAAGTAGCCAGCGATGCATATTGGCAAGCTGATGACACCGTCCATGATGAAAAGCCATTGCCAGCCGGCCTTCCCGTGTACCCCGTTGAGTCCTTTGTAGACTGCGGCTTGGAGGTATCCTGAAAACATCCCCGCGCCCGCTGATGAAGCATGGAGGATACCCGCCCGTTTCCCTAGCTCAGAGGGCTTGTACCAAGATCCTAGGAGGAAAAGTGCAGCTGGATAGAAAATAGATTCCACCAAGCCGACGAAAAACCGTATGGCGATTACATGATTTGAAGTCTTCGCTGCTGCCAAGCAGAACGTGAGAATTGTCCATACTAACTCGCAGGACGGGATCCATATCGACGGGCGGACTTTGGTGAGAATGAGTTGGGAGGGCAGCTGGCCGATGACATAGCCTGTAGTCCAGGCTACGTCAATGAGATTGAGTTCATTTCCGTTCATCTTGAGATCTTCTTTCATGCCTGAGATGTAGGCGTTGCCGATGTTGGTCTGGTCGAGGTTTTTGATGAAGTAGCCGAAACAAAATATGGTCAGGAGAAATACATCTAGTTTTTGGATGAATTTTCTTTCTGTCCGAGTTCGGTCTGGATCGTAATCCTGTTCATATGTCAGTGTATTTGTTAGGAGCTAGGGTATATGAGGTATTACCCAGATATAGGACCACCATGGTGCTTTTTTGTACTCGTTTAAGACGGCATCGTTTGAATCAGAGTCGGATTTTATAGCTACTGTCTCCACTAAGCCATGGCCATCTTTATCTGTGGACATATTTTGAATTGGGTTGCGTAGCGATGTATCCTGGGAAAGATGTGATAGTGATGGAATTGGAATTGGAACGGCAGGGGAAGACGAATGGGGATAGATATAACTACGGTCTCACCAGCCTTAGAAATGAGGGCCTTTCCTAGTAACTCGCGAGGGTCAGCTTCTCGAGTTTAGAGTTGATACAGGGCCAGGAGCGAGAGGGAATCTGTAGCTCCCCAAGTATTTATGTCCATTCCGCATACCATGTTAAAAGAATTTGCTAGGAAGTATATTGGCAGACGAGTAGCCAATTACCATCCGCAATTGCCCAGTTTTGGGGGAACCACCAACTTGATCATCCCAAACATTGCTACGCTTGCAGATGAGGCAAACAATAATATCCTATCCTGCAGAGTTATTGTGCAGAGGCAGTAGCAACAGGCATTAAGGATTAGCTATTGCCCGTAACAAAGGCGTGCTCAGCGGAAAGGGGTCTATTATTCAGCGCGGCCGCTTGGGCTAGACTAGACGCGGTGAGATCTTTAAATTCAATAGAGATATCGTATCAAAACGATGGCAACTTTGCACGGCGGTATTCCTACGTGCACTCCACTTTCCTTTGGTCGCATGAAGTGCTGGATTTCTTTACGATAAGCAGGATGGTAGTACACCGTAGTACTATATGTTTCACTTCGATAACACTTTGCTACTTGATTTGACGACTTCCAGCTTAGACATGCCCCGCCTGCTCGGTGCCACCAGGTCGCAAGGGACAGCTGCTTTTCCAGCCTTTTGTGTGGCTGAATGGTGCATTGGTATAACGAACAGTCACTTGAACATATGTTGTGCCAACGTGGGTTGATGATACCACAAGAGGTTATAGCAAATGAGAACTGTCGGGTACCCGTGGGGGGTTATCAAACCACCAGCACGAAGCGGGAATAAGAATAAGATGGTGGAAAGAGACGGCAAGAGATAAATTAAAGAGTGAGATACTCACTCCGCTATCCGGCAGCTAGGATAGTTGTCGCCAAAGAATGCGGGCAGCACGCCATACCCGCGCCTCATCCCGCCCCGAAACTAGGCTGAGGAGAGCACATAGAACGTATATCTCCACCATGTGATGTAGGATTATCAATCAATGTGTTGGTTGACGTAAAATAGGACACGATTACAATAGATATAAAAAGATGGATTGTCCTGCAAAAACAAAGAAATAATTGCAATTCTTTAGCCAACCAGCCGGTTGTCAGCACTTCTGGAAATAGAATAAAATTCACAGCATAGCAGAAGCTTCCACCAAGAAAACAATGGCTCCCTCAGCGACTGCAGAACCAATTGATTCCCGCATCGTGGATTTCGTAGTCCCGAAGAAAGACACCATCCAGCTTCCAGCCCCGGCCCGAGCCCGTCTCGAGAAGGCCGGAATTGATCTTAGCAACGGCTACCCGCAACGCCCAGCAAAGCCATTGTACCTCGACGATGCAAGCCGGATCAGAAATGTGGAGCGCGAGCACCTAGATGCAGGGGCACGGGCAGATAAGTCTAAGAGCGCATTGCTCTCTGCTGCAAAGCAGGTCATCCACCTGACTTCCCATATTGGGACGGAGATTGTTGGGCTTCAATTGAAGGACTTAACTAATCAGCAGAAAGATGAACTAGCCCTTCTGATTGCTGAGAGATCTGTGGTGTTCTTTCGAGATCAGGATATCACTCCTCAGGAACAGAAGAAACTTGGAGAGTACTATGGAGAAGTCGAAGTCCACGTAAGTGAGACTGCTTTGCAGCGACGTTTGCTGGCAGTGATACTGACAATCCCAAGCCCCAAGTACCACACGTACCCGGTGTCCCTGGCGTCACGATCATTTGGCCAGCGCTCCAAGCCACTGAAAGAGCCGCTTCGTTTAGACAGCCGGGAGGAGCATCGCGATGGCACTCGTAAGCCTCTCGAAGAACATCAATACGCAGTAGAACTAATGTGCCTTTCAGAGACCTTGTCCATGAGCTACATCCAGCAGGTATCACGCACTTGCACAATGATACGGTTCCCACTCTGGGCGGTGACACTCTATGGGCAAGCGGCTACGCGGCATACTCCAAGCTGAGCCCAGAATTCCGCAAGATCATCGATGGAAGACAAGCCATCTATGTGAGCGCACACACATATCTCGACCGCAACAACACAACTGCTGGTCCTAAACATATCGAGCGTACTCATCCCATCGTCCGCGTGCACCCAGCGACGGGGTGGAAAGCTCTGTTCGTCAACAGAGCCATGACCAAACAAATTGTCGGGCTCGACAAAGCAGAGAGCGACGTCATATTGAACTATCTCTACGACGTGTATGAGCAGAATGTTGATATCCAGGTCCGTTTCAAGTGGACACCAAACACATCTGCGCTTTGGGATAATAGAATCACGATCCATAATGCGAGCTGGGACTACGAAGGTTCAGAGCCTCGTCATGGAACCAGAGTAACATCTCTGGCTGAGAAGCCATATTTCGATCCAGGGGCGCCGACAAGGAGACAAGCATTGGGGCTTAGTGATGATTGAGTTGGTGTTGGGCGGTTGATATTGAAGTTGGGGAACTTGCAGCCTGAGGTTGCAGTATGTTTTTATACCTGCGCACAGTACGTGGTCATGCCCTTTGTTTCGGCTGTACGAAGTACTACAACACCTAATTACAAAACAAACTTATAGAAATATAAAGTTAGTTATAAATGCAAGATCTATCGCTTTGGAATCTCTATTTTGAGTTATGTTATAAAGTTTAGCACACTGTGCTGTGCCACGAATTCTCAACCCCCGTTTGTAGTAAGCAGATACCTAATAGGTTCCTTACCTTAGGTACCTACCTAATAGTTACTCTACGACGTAGACACTTCGTACGGAGTACTAAGTACCTACCGAGATAGTTACCTACCTATAGTGAGCTCGGGATTTCGTATTTGAGTACGAAGTACGTACATATCTGTATGGGAATGTACCGCCACACTTCTTTCAGCCACCGTAAACCCTGCGCCATCTTATCTTATCTGCTACAGTACTGGTGCTGGAGATTGTGACCGACCAGTTTCATGAGGGGACAAACCGGCAAATAGCTTAGTACGTAGTAGCTATTTTGCAAGGGAAATATAAACCGGCGCAGTCAGCAATAAAACCCCCATAGCCGTAGCCATCCGAGGTCTGGCAGGTGAGTGGTATCATAAGGGGGGTTTGGCTGAATTGATCATCCTTGGGGTGGTCAGAGGGTTGGGCCTCGGTCTATTTTGGTTTTGCGGAGAAAGGGGCTGGCTCGGGACCACTCTACGAGAGGGCGGTACTCCAGTTCCCCCGCCTCTCCGCCTTTTGCTTCTCCACCCTTGTCACGATATTTAAATCCAGATGTACATATAAGGCATATATATATACATATACATCAGACACATACAAAGTGCGGGTGGAGACATGGAGACATAAACGCATAGACACCTATCCATACAAACTCTCTCTCACTCGACCGTACACGTGGTCCGTTCCTCTGCCATCATGGGATCAACAACAACAGATCCACCAGCCGCCGAGTACGACGTGATTATCATTGGGGCGGGCATCTCTGGCATCAACGCCGCCTATCGGCTTCAAACCGAACTTCCAGACTACAGTTACACCATCCTCGAGTCTCGCACCGCCATAGGCGGGACATGGGATCTCTTCCGTTACCCAGGAATCCGCTCCGATTCAGATCTCCACACATTCGGCTTCCCATGGCGGCCCTGGCCAAACCCGAAAGCCATTGCGGATGGGGCCTCGATACTAGAGTATATGAACGGCTGCGCCGAGGAATTTGGAATTGATCGCAAGATCCAGTATGAAAAAAAGTTGCTAGCCGCAGAGTGGTCATCAAAGGAGGCGTCATGGACACTCTCCGTTGAAAGGTTAAGCAAAAGCGAATGCGAGGAAAAAGACCAAAACTTGGAGACTTTCAAAGCCCGCTTCGTCGTCTTCGCAACTGGCTACTATAACTACTCCACGCCATTAGAGACCAATATCCCAAACCTGTCAGACTTCAAAGGGCCAATCGTCCAACCCCAATTCTGGCCATCAGATCTCGACCACGCCAACAAGAAAATAATCATCATCGGCAGCGGCGCCACCGCTATAACCCTCCTTCCTTCCCTTGCTGAAACCGCCTTGAAAGTAACGATGCTCCAGCGATCACCATCGTATATCCTCACCGTTCCAGCTGAGGACCCCTCGGGTAGCCTGTTGCGCAAACTATTTCCCTCGTGGATTTCACACCGAATCCTACGCTGGAAATTCCTTGTTCTGCCCTTCTTATTCATCACTTTCTGCAAGAACTTCCCCAATGCCGCAAAAAAGCTTATGCGTCGCCAAACAAGAGCACAACTCCCTTCCAACATCCCTCTGGATCCGCATTTCAACCCCAGCTACTATCCTTGGGAGCAGCGGCTCTGTATATGCCCGGACGGTGATTTCTACACCGCACTCCGCAATGGCAAAGCAGACATCGTGACCGACACAATTTCATCCGTCACGGCCACGGGAATCAGAACCACAAGCGGCCAGGAGCTAGAGGCGGATATAATCGTCACTGCCACAGGTCTAAAAGTCCAATTGGGAGGCGGCGCAAAAGTTACTGTAGACAGCAACCCGGTCGTGTTTCCGGAGAAATTCCTGTGGAAATCCACAATGATTGAAGGTGTGCCCAATGCCGCTGTGTCCATCGGGTACACGAATGCTAGCTGGACCCTAGGCTCGGATACTGCTGCTTTCCTCATCTGTAGAGTATTGAAGTATATGCGCGCAAATGGGTTCGAGAGTGCTACTCCTAGCCTCAGCAACGATAGGCCATCATCTTCTGCTGTAAAGTACAAAACTGGTGGGGACTGGAAAGGCATGCGCTCAACCCCTCTCCTCAATCTAAGCAGCACGTACTTGGAGAAGGCGAAAGGTGATCTTCCCAAGGCGGGGAATCGGGGCCCGTGGTTGCCGAGAAGTAATTATTTTTTTGATCGTTGGGTGGGTGTTTGGGGGGATTTGACGAGTGGTTTGAGTTTTGTGGGAATCGAGAAAAAGGAGGTATAGAGCGATACGGAATGGCTTATCTCGACTTTGCTGGTTTGAAGTTGCGCACCAGAGGTTGTCAGAATTCGTAGAACAGCAAAATATACAACTTAGTATTAATGCTCGAATGTTCCACGAATCCTGACACTCCTTAGTGGTGGATTGCGAGTGATGCTAGATATACGCCATATTTTGGAATGTGTAGCTCGAAGTTCATGGTATAAACCTTTTTGAACTACATCGTAGAGTTTTATAGTAGGAACTCAATTTAATGACGATGTTGGATTTTAACACTTCTCTTGCGATTTTAGCTTTGGCAAAGCTTTTAAAGGGAAGATGTAGATGAAGTGTTTTCCTCATGTTTGCTTTCTTTTCTTGTTCTTACCAGCTAAACTGATTGTCATAGCCTGGTAAGCGGTCATGATTCGTTGTTGGAAGTGGATAAATAGCGCTGGGGTTAAACTGGGTAGTACAAAGCGTTCTTGCTGGGCGACTCTATATATCTGGAACAAAAGATATTGCTGGTGAAGTCTTGTCAACGTCTAGAGCTGCAGGCAGAAGATATCCTCGTTGTATAGCTGAATGGGGCGGCTTGAACCCATGACCAGTGTAGAAATGCGTACGGGGCTCAGCCTCTTCGATCACCTCGTTGTCGGCCTTAAGCATGTAGACTGTCTCTCTCCAAACGCCGAAATAGTTTATGAAGTGTGAATGCTCGTTTTAAGCCGAAATCGAGGAACCCTTCAGGCATAGATATCAAAGAATGGTAGGTCGAGGCGCTGCTTGACGAGCTTGTGCTAGTCAGTGCAATATCTGCTTTGATATGTTGCATTTCGGTAGCCTAGCAGCGTTGCAGAATCGCCTACGTCATGCTACATATGCCCAGGAAGATTGGTGTGCTCCTCTGGTTTAATTACTATATTTAAGGCTACCTACTTACTCGAAGTAGGCAGTTGCCCCTGGAACGCTCCCCCCTTGTAAGAACAGTCCGAACAATGTAGAAGAGTAAAACAATTGTAACGTGAAATTATTTCCATCAATCATATTCGACAAATAGTATTTTGCTAATAGCTAGTTAGTGAATCAAAGTAGTGTGTAATTTGATCTGATAGCAAAGTTGACAGCTCTACTAGTAATCCGTGGTTCCTTAATTTAAATATATAGGCTCTTATCACCTCACCTAACCTTAACCATATGTATCTCATTAACACAATACCGCATTAGCTACTCACAAGCTCGGCGGCAAACTCTCCCTCTCCCTCCCCCACCTCTCACTCTCCACATCTCCGACCTCAAACTCAAGTACACCCCCCTCCGTAAAAAGCTCATGGCCAATCCAACTCTTCTCATAGACTTTACCATTATACTTAACGCTCTGGATATATATCCTCTTCCCCTCCGGATCGAAATTAGATGTTGTGATCGTGGCCATTTTACCGGTGACGGGTGAGGTAATCGATATGGAGGGGAAGAGGGGCGCGGTTAGGAAGTAAATGTTTTGTCCCGGGTTAGGGAAGACACCTATAGATATGAAGGCGCTAAAGGAGGCCATGGCACCCGTATCATCGTTGCCGGGCTACGTTCGGGTCAGATATAGAGTTGGTATTAGGGAGCGGATGGAGGAGATGTGGAATATAAGAAAAGGGAATGAGGAAGGACATACCAATCCCGTCACGGTATCATTAAAGTAGCCGGGAACATACTGATGCACGAGTTCCGATGAGAGACCCGGGCGCCCAGCATAATGGTAGAGAAAGGCGGTTAAGAAGGAGGGCTCATTACCGATATCTGTCAAGCCTGATGTGTGGAGAAATTGAAGGCGGGAGATAAAAGTGTTGGGCCCACCTAGGAGGGTTATGAGCTGCGAGACTGCGTGGGGGACGTAACTATCTTTCGTTAGAGTAGGTTTAAAAGAGGGAATAGGTGAAGGAGGCCGTGAGTAGCTGACGAATGAAATAGAGGCTCGTACAATTGATACTCCCAAATCGAATCCTCAAACGTCTCCTGCGGATTGGAAGTCAAAGAACAAAAACTATCTAGCGGACTACACTTGATCGGATCCTGTTCCCCCCATGTCCCATTCAGATACTTCGGCTGAAAGAACCCCGTGAACCCTGTATCGTTCCCCTGAATATAAGATTTATGACCCTCCTTCCACAGGTTCCGCCAATTCATAGCTCGTCGCATATATTTTTTATAGCCCTCCTCCTTCCCCAGCCCCTTAGCTATAGTGGCGACGCAGAAATCATCATACGAGTATTCTAATGTGCGAGATATGCTACGGGAATTAGTTCCGAAACCCAGGTAGTCGTAGTCGAGGTAGGGGATGTAGTCTAGGGCTTTCCACGACATAAGACCACCGCGTCCTTCGACGGACCAGTCTAAAGGCTCATTTTCTGCATCGTTGAGCACGGCTTCGTATGCGAGATCCCAGTTGATGCGCGAGGATGGGGAGGAAGAGGTGAGGTTCTTGACGAATGCATCGGCGAGAACGACATCTGCGTTGGAACCTCCCTGAGTAAAGCCTTTGCAGAGACTCATTCTGCAGTCTGGAAGCCAGCCGATATGCACGTAGGTATCGAGGAGAGAGCGGATCATCGCTGTGAGGGAGGTGGGGTCGATAATTGTGAGGAACGGGAGTTGGGAACGGAATGCATCCCATAGACTTCGCTCCGTTAACATTTTGGCTGAGTCCGGGAATGTATAGTTTGGGAGACTTACCAGTAGAAAGAATCATAATAAGGCTCCTCGCTCTCCCAAAGAGGATTCTCTCCCGTATAGTTCTGCGGAGACATCATTGTCCTATACATAGCGCTGTAAAAGTTCGTCACCAAGTTCTCACTAACCCCCTTCGAATCGATCCTCACCACACTCAATTTCTCCCTCCAGGCCTCCTCAGCACTTTTTTTAATACCGGCGAAATCCCATTCATCGCCAGGTATTTCTGTCTCAGCATTCTGGCATGCTTTATCTGCGGTGATAAAACTTACACCGACTCTAGCGCTCACGACTCCATCCGCCGGCCGCTCAAACTGTATCCAACTCCCAGCTTCTAGATAGAAGAGATTGATTCCTCTCGTAACAAAAATAGTCTTCGGCTCTGTACCTGCACGATTGTTGACCCAGATCCCCGTATCCTTAACCTTCGCGCCCAGGAAATCCGCACAAAAGTGCAGGATGAAGGAACCACTCCCAAAACTTGGGAGGAAAGTTCCATTCCCTCTGATCCTACCATTTTCATCCACGCTCACGGACGCATTCTGGCGACTGGCGGAAAGGTCCGTGAGGTCGAGTAGGATCAATGGGCTTAGATCCGTGCCATTCTTCGAGGACTTGGGAGGGAAATTGAAGTGGTAGAGAGCAGCATGCTCAGTAACTGTCATCTCAGCCTTAATGCCAGTCTCCAGATTCAGAGAGAAATATCCCGGCGTAGCCACTACGCTATCATTGATATATTTCGTTTTCCTTTCTCCTATCACGAAGTTGCAGTTGTTAACTTCATCTTCGGGGCAATATTGCGGGAAGAGAGGGAAGTTCCCTAAAGAGGGATTTCCTCCTGTCCCCGAGTCGTGCATATGTGAGAATCCGGTGATGTTGCTGCCATCTGTCGAGAAGCCTGCGGTGTTCTGCCCGTCGACGTCCGCTACTGCTTTTGCCATGCCATATGGCAGAGTAGCACCCGCGAAAACGTTTCCTCCATTGTCGGTGCCGATCAATGGGTTGACGTATTTGAGCGGATCGAAAGAGGTTGTGTTCCACGATGATGATGTATTTTGAGCAGCTATGAATTGCACGCAAGATGACAGAAGGACGAACTTCAAGAACCGGAGAAGTGCATTTTCATCCATCTTCGCCCACAGACTACTGCTCGAAGACAGAAATTCCCTTTCTCGCCCTTTGGAAAACTCGAGAGTTAGACATGGCAGCTGAGACAGAAAATAAACAAAAGCACCAATTACTCTTGCCTTCCACAGCAATACTGGTACTGCAGATCGCACGGCAGATCACTCGATTCCCCCTCCTCTCCGCTATTCATATTGCTTGCGCAGCTGTATTTACCCTTCGGCACGTATATGTACATGCGCTGCCACCTTACTACTTCGTCCTTTCGATGCAAGGAACCCAGCAGTTACCATCAACAATGCCGACAGACCTTCCAAAACAAGTAGCCAGTACCGCTCCGCGATGCAACCAGCAATAACCTTACGGATACTCTCAGCGTAACGTGTGCGGGGTTCCATGGTAACTGATATGAAAAAGCTTACTTGAGTATGCACAAGTAGGGGATATTGATTGAAAAAGAGGGAGTCCTGATTGTTTTGTTGCATTTCGCGATTTATGTCTTGCTTTGCTAGCGGCGTTTTACGTATGGATTTATTTATGCCTTCATCCCCTACCCAACGACTACATTTTGTGGCTTGGACTTGGTACTGTGCTAAATACTTACAATTACAACTACAGTATAGACCTTGTGATGGCTAAGGAAATCCAGATGTAAACTTTGTATCTTGTGTAGCTTTTGTGTTAAAGGGTGTAAAATCGCTGGGCTATAGATACCAAGCCAGGTACGGAGTAAGTATGGGAGGAAAATATTACACATGATACACTTTAGTAGATCATGACACCTACTAGAGTAGAACCAAGAAGCTTGTTTATCTGTTTTAAAATTTCTTATATAACAGGCTGATTCAATGCTTCATATTTACACCATGTAAATGTCCCATGACCAATGCGATAAAATTGGTATGCCAAAACTCCGAAAACAGCACCTTTCCTTATACGAGTACGGGTCTCCCCAAATATTTCCCTCGGCATCACATATAGGCTTTTCGATGTGCAGTCGAGTGCACTCGCTCAAATTCCGAACTCCAGACCAATTGTGGTCTGCGATACTGGAGCATCGCCGGCATATCATGATGACTTCGGCGCCAGTTTCACATCGTAGGTCAAGTCCAGCTTCGCATTTGGGTCCCCTTCCCTTGGAAGGAAGTCGATAACCAAATCATCCTTCACGGCAAACACGGTGTCGCTCACGAGATATGGGTCGTCTCTAGGGAATATTTGTGTGGTAACGGGCTTGAAGTCATCGTGGGTGATCTGCATAGGTTTTCAGTTAGATGGGTATTCCTTGGGCAGTGAGTCTATTGGGATTCCCTTACCATGAGATGAATATGAGCAGGTCGCATTGGGTGCCGGTCCAAAAGCTTCAAGAGCACACCGGCAGGTCCATCGGTAGGCAGCGAATAGGCAGTCGGTTTCAACATGTAGAAGTGGTAGGCGCCATTCTCATCCGTTCTAAATTTACCCCTCAAGTTGTTATCTGATTGATTCTCTGGGTCCTGGAAATCATATTTCCCGTTTGAAGACGCCTGCCAGATATCAACTACAGCGTTTGGAATGCCCTTTCCGGTCACGAGGTCAATGACCTTGCCATGCATCAGTGCTGGCTTTCCGCCGGGCGCTGGATCTTGGATAATGCTGCCGCCCAGCTCGCGGAACGGGGCATTGGGCGACCAGAAGGGACCGAGAATCGAGGATGAAGTGGGGTCGGCGCCTTCGGTGACCATCTTGTGAGCGATCTCGTCAACGAGGCTAGGAAGAAAGACGATCAGTTAGTTATGTGATGGGATGCTGATGCCTCGCCGGACAGGGCAGGATTCTTCGGTCTTGGGAACTTACGATTCTAGGCCGATAACATCTGAAATCCGCTGTCCCTCATTTCTGATTGGGGTGCTGGCCTGGCCGATGGAGTTGACGAATTTGACACCCAGCATCCATTCTTCCGGGGTGAGCTCGATTTCGCGGGCGAAATCGTGGATATGCTTGATCAAGCAGCCGAGGACCTCGCGGTCGCGAGGCGTGCAATTGGGACCGATGGTCTCGATGACATGCTTTGTGAAGTTGGGGTCGAACCGTGATTGAGACATGGCTGTATTGTATTGTGCTGTGATGGGCTGTGATGGGCTGTGATGGGCTTGGTGGGGGTAGTATTAGGGAGAGGACTGTGATTGCCAATGGAATGGACTATGGGGAGAGGGAAAGAGGAGATGAACAGGAGGAACAAGAGAGGCAGAGGGAGGGAGAGAGGGAGACGGTATATATATATATATAATAACAATGATAGTAGCAATAGCAATAGCAATAAACCTACCTCCCTGACCTATGTACAAACCGTGGGGCCAAGAACCTTAATCGTGGCAGGCAAAGGTCAGCAGTTGTTAGCTGGCTGCCCCTCCTACGTCGCCGCACACGGGATGTAGCTGCGGTATCGAGTAGCGTTGGGCGCGGTGTCTCGTACAGTAACCGCAGCACCACTGGAGGAGGGAGAGCTGACGGCACGTCAATCGGCATCTGCGATATACTGGTACCTATGTTGAGTTGCCTTCTGCGACTACTCTGCCATTTTGGCGCCATTGCTATTGGAGGGAAAGATGGAAGGGATTACTCGTATCGTTGCTCGAGTAGAATATAGATCGACTCCCGTGTTGCCATCCCGAGCGCCGGCTAAGACTTTTGCCGCCTGGCCCACCTCGTTGCTCTACGACTAATTTCCTGATTTACTGCTCTTTGGACGGAGTATTGTATCGGATCATAATAGGTTGATTAAATAATTAAAATCATCGCCATCCTAGTTCGCGTCTTGGGGAAACCCCACATGCATGCTGGGAGGACGAAGCACGGTAGGTGAGGTTCTGAAGATACCGATACCGATACTGATACCGTGGATAACATCCCCATTCTTTCTATTCTGCTCTGCTCTGCTCTCTACAATTTCAAATTTCCTCATCTCTACTGCTGCGACATTGTCTCGTTTTGCCTCTTCATCCTCACTATGTTGCATCATTTGATGGTCGGCACTTGGACCCCGCCAGGGGCCATCTTCACATTCCAGTTCGATGACGAGGCCTTGACCTTGAAGCTGATCAAGAGAACCCCCATCCCAGAGGATGAGCCCATATCGTGGATGACATTCGATGTAAGTAGAGCTATTCATTCGTCCATGCCTGGTTCTATTCGGACGGAGGGAGTCTTGGGGCCAGTTCAACTAACCATTCTCTCTCCATCCAGCATGCGAGGAAGAATATATATGGAGCTGCCATGAAGAAATGGTCCAGCTTCACGGTGAACAGCCCCACAGAGATAATTCACAATGCTTCACATCCTATGGGGCATGATCGTTCGTGTTCCATAGCCACTCTCTCTCCTATGCCCCCATGGCATTGGCCAATACGAAGTGTACTAATATCCCCTCAGCATTGGCCGCAAGTCCCGACGCCAATACTCGAGCAATCTTCGTCCTAGCAGCGAAAAAATCCCCTTTTAATGTCTATGGAAACCCATTCTACGACCACGCGGGATGGGGCAACGTTTTGTCGGTCGACCAAAATGGCGCCCTGGAGAAGTGTGTCCAAAACTACGAATATAGCCCTAAGACTGGAATCCACGGCATGGTCTTCGATTCCAGCGAGACATATCTCTACTCAGCCGATTTACGAGGAAATAAAATATGGACGCATAAAAAAGATCCAGAAACGGGCCATCTAACCTTGGTCAACAGTCTCGAGGCACCAGATCCATTGGACCACCCTCGATGGGTTGCTCTACATCCAGGCGATAAATATTTATATGTCCTGATGGAAGCAGGAAATAGACTTGGAGTTTATGTTATTGATGAACAAACGCATTGTCCTGTATTCACCCACATTACATATCCACTTATTCCTCCTGGTAAGCCAAAATCTACTACTTGACTTCATTCACCTCAACCCAGACTGACAAAAGAAAAACCAGGGATACCAAATCCCAATGGAAAACTGTACCGCTCGGATGTCGTATTCCTCTCTCCCAGCGGCAAATATCTCTTCGCCACCTCTCGAGCTAACGCATTCCACCTTACTGGGTACATTGCAGCTTTTGCTTTGGGCCCAGCCGGCAATATCGAGAGACAGATATGTCTAAATCCCACGCCAACAAGTGGAGGACACTCCAACGCTGTCAGCCCGTGTCCCTGGAGTGACGAATGGCTAGCGTTGACGGATGACCAGGAGGGTTGGTTAGAGATTTACAGATGGAAGGATGAATTTCTAGGGAGGGTCGCTCATTGTGATGTCAAGGAGCCTGGGTTTGGGATGAATGCTATTTGGTACGATTGAATGTCCAAGATCGAATATTATAATATATAGGTGTACATATAAATATAAATACACATAGACAAATAGATACGATAGGAAAAGAGGGTAGAATGGGCTTTCTCCTGATAACAATACCTGTCTACTTCGTACTATGTACTTCGACTCTGTAAATGTACTTATTACTGATTTACTGGCCGGCCCAGGAATGCCGACATTTTACCGCACTGGACGCTGTGGTGTTGTTTTCCCGCTCGATCTACCGAGATTCGCCGCTCCGCGCTCTCCACACAACGTCCGCTCTGTCCGTCACCCCTCCTGCAGACGGAAGATACTACGAGACTTACGAGACTACGAGCGTAGGGATAGACTCATCTATCACCTATTATTCTTCCAACGGTGGGTCACTGATCGGTGAGTGGGGAGAGAGAATAGCCCAGCCCGCGGTTAAGCATTCCGACCACTTCCTATTAGCCTCGTTCTTTTCAATATCTCCATACTGGTGGTACTTCGTGCAAGTAGTTAATTCTAGTTCTGAATACCTTTACTATAACAATTAATCGCCCCAGATATCGTATCAGCACCCTCAATTTGCATCCGTCAGTCCCCTTGAACCCCCCACCAGCGCTGATCCGACACCATGGCACCTACACCCGGCATTCTCTACGTGACAATGCAGCCCCAACCCGGGCTGCCACACTCCCAATTCCACGACTGGTACAATAACGAACACGGCGCAACACGTCTCCAGCAACTTCCCTTCGTCACGAACGGCTTCCGCTATCGGGCAAACGACTATAACGATGCGGAGCCTCAACCTTCCGAGCAAAAGCCAGAATGGATGGCCATATACGACATCACAGACATGGCGGAGTTAACGAAGGAGCCTTACCTACGGCTACGCGGGCCTCCCGTAAAAACACAGAGGGAGGCAGATGCAATGGCACGGATTAATGTCAATCGGAAACTGTATGATTTCCTCGAGACCTGGGAATCAAAAGAATTCAAGAGGCTGGAAGAAGTGGGGAACGAGGGCCAGGGAAATGTCGTCCTTGCTGTATCCCTTTCTTTAAATCCTGGAGAGGGAATGAAAGAGCAGGTGGATAAATGGTACAAGGAGGAACATGTTGAGATGATGTCCAAAGTCCCCGGCTGGCTTCGCACACGGCGATTTGTGACATCCTCCATCGACCCGAATGCAGCGGTGGAATACCTTACCTTGCACGAATATGCGCCGAAAAATGGATTGTGGGGGCCAGAATTTATGGCGGTCACTACCACGCCATGGAGCAGTGAGATTGCGAGCAAAGTAGTGAAGGACAAACGAGGACGAGTCTACGATTTATACTACACATTCGGCCCAGCCCCTCGACATCTGGGCCCGAGCCTCTCCGAGTGGACTTCCACCGACCCTTCCACCCCGTATCCCACCAAGACGTTCTCTACATCTCCAGTGAGCGCTGATTATGGTGCTATCGAATCATTCATCACCACCCCAGATGGCGTTCCCCTCCCCTACCGTCTCGAGGGCTCCTCCGATCCCAATGCACCACTCATCGTGCTCTGCAACTCCATCCTCGTAACATGGGGGATCTGGGATTCCTTCCTCACATCCTTCTTCTCCTCTCCATCCAACAAAAAGTACCGCATCCTTCGCTACCAGACGCGCGGCCGCTCTTCCTCCTGCGGCGAGACACCCATAACCGTTGATCTCCTGGCCTCTGATGTCATCGCTCTGCTTGACGCATTACGAGTCAAGAAAGCCGCCGCCGTAATAGGAGTTAGTCTCGGTGGCGCCACGGCATTAAACACAGCGCTGAAATACCCCGAGAGGGTTGGGAGTTTTATTAGTTGTGACACCAGTTCCAAATCACCCGCGGGCAACTCCAAGGCATGGGGTGATCGTATCGCAATCGCTGAGAAGGAATCAGCTGCCGATCCCACCTCAGGTGAAAGTACCGTGGGCCAGGATCTCGCCGAATTAACTGTCCGGCGATGGTTTGCAAAGGAAAACTATGATGGGAAAGATATGGAGAGGAAGGTTGGCGAAGTTAAGAGTATGGTTGCCACCAATAGTCTCGAGGGCTTTAAAAAGAGCGTAAGGGCACTGTTTGAGTATGATATGAGGGATGAGATGAAGAATAGTGCTGTTAAGGGTATGTTTGTTGTGGGAGGCTCAGATGGCGCTTTGCCGGGCTCCATGAAGGATATGGCTGCCTCGTATGGGCAGGGCGGAGCGAGATTTGAAGTTATTGGGAATGCGGGACATTTGCCTATGGTTGAGAAACCTGAGGAGTTCTCGCGTGTGGTTTCGAGCTTTTTGTAGACAGCAGAGGGCGGTCAGCAGATACAGTACTAGTTGGAATACGGGCATTTTCGATCATAATATGTCAATATGAAGTTTTATCTGATCTTCTATATTCCACTTCATCCGGACTTCAGCATGGTCAGATGGACAGCTGTTGCCATTCTACGACCGCACCCTCTTAAGCTTAGAAACGTGCTTCACGGCCTGCTACTGTAGCACAGTACGTATAATCGGCAGAACTTTCTTATCTTGTTGAAACAACAGCTCGAGAGCACAGGAACTATCCCATCCCCGTCCCATCCCCGTCTTCCCGGTTGATACAGACTCTAAACTTTTCAACTTCCCCGTGACATTGACCCTATGAACGGCCGTGATCCCGCCATCGGACTCTGCGTTGTCACATGAGCTTTAACCCCTAATAAGTGGATCTTGTGAGAAGAAGTCAGAATGTGATGGAGATGCCGCACTGTCAGGAGGCGCTCCACTTTATGTAAGGTGGTGTTTTAGGGGGGTAGGTCCCCTTTTGAAATTTGAAAACAGGACATATTGATATATTGTTGCTACTTGCATCCTTAGTCAGGAAGAACTAGAGCCCTGCCTTTGGACTTACATGCTGCAATCTGCCCTTCCTTGATGGACATGGCTACTCTATGTGTATAACTATACTTGGTTAACTGGGTGTGAGGTGGCACGAAGCAAAGGGACAAAATCGCGAGTTGCAATCGAAAATGAGACAGTGAGCAGAAGGGATGTTAGCTCGGATTTTGCATTACTTTTCTGTAATCGTCACTAAATCACGCTTAACGTCAACATCAACATCTACCTCAGCAACTGGAGCACCATGCCCCAATTGCTGCCCTATGGCTCTTTGCCGTTGAGTCTCAGCATCCATCCGATTCGCATAAATCGACAACGCTGCTCCCGCATCCCCGAATGCATTCAAATCAGCAGTATTACTTCCTTGCTTTTCAGATTCCTCACTTGAAGGAAGAGATATTACTCCCTGGTGAAACATGTAGCCAAGAACTAACCCCACAGCAGATATAACGCTACCAACCGTGGTAAGAGTCTGCCATGACGACGAGGTTTGTAATTCATCACCAGGAGTTTTGCCCCCGTGTTGCCGCATCCTAGTATTCCTCCTTAGCTGGCCAACGATAGGTATCGAGTCGCCAATACTAGATAAAAATACTCTACCAACACCAATTATGCCCCCATTATAAGGAGCAGCCCAAGGCAGGGAACCTTTCCCTTTCTCCGACGTTCGTATAGGTTTCGTATCGGCTTTGCCTTTGGATAGCAGCGCGTCACTCACATCCACTGGTCCGCCAAATATTGATTCACCCAGTTCTTCCGTCCACGCAGCTAAATCCGGGAAGTTCGACCGCATCGTCTGCGCGAGCCATGGCTGTGGCAGATCAGGCACTAGAATTAGGGACAGATACCCCAAAGCCAGACAATCTAAACTCGAGAAATGGGTATCCGACACCAAGTACCGCTTCTTCCCCTTCAGTTTTTGTAATGGCTCAAAAAGAGTCGTGGCCAAGGCACTAAGCCTGATCTGGGAATTTGTCTCTGGAGATGCTGCAAGGAGATTCGAAACCGTGGGCTTGGGTTTTCGTAAGCTTTCCGGTATGATGGAAGGTTCGCGACGGCCTTCCCCGTTTTCTGTGTCAACATCGAGTGATGAGAGGCCAAGATGTGCGGTCCGTTGTTTCGCAGTTGCGCGAATAGAAGGTGGGGTGAGGTATGGCAGAGGGAATGCTTGGATTGTGTTATAAATAGGGCGTGTTATGGTGGTATAATTCTGTGAGGAGACGTAGAGGGATAGGTCGATGAGGGGCTGCCCATGAGATTCCACGAAGGACGAGAAGCTGCAGACGCCATCTGTCAGTTCGGTCCTTTGCCATTGGCATAGACAGATATCGCGGACTCACGCAATGCAATCCGCACCCTGCTGATCTGGCAGGCCAGCATCAAGCACCCATTCCCCAGACGAGAATTGCGCCAGGTAGTGGAAAATATTCCTAAAGCCGCCAATCCAGATATCGCCGTTTCTCAAGGCAGGAAGTTCATCTGTGGTGGCCATGCCATATATCAGCTAAGAAACTAGAGCAATGGGGGATTAATGCCATGTAGGTGAAACACGTACTTGTTGGGCTTAGAGCGGGATCGCTGGTAGCAACCAGGACCCATTTCCCTCGCGGAACAGCTTGTTGAAGGTATGCAATTGCAGCTAAACAGTGAGGATCGATGGACGGGAGAGAGAACGCGGGGCCCCAGACATGAAGCTCGAGGATCATGGCTAGGGGCGACAATTTCCACGACGGGTTCCGTTTCCAGGAGATGCCAAATTCAATTCGGGGTTGATGTCTCGCGCTGTAATATAAGCTTGTTTGCGGGGAGTATGTCAATAATCCGGTTTCACGTCTGTATGTGTGAGAGAAAGAGAGGTTGCATTGGCCTTTGATGAGGATTTGGTGCTGTTGTGTTGCAATTCGTACCTAAGGCAAGGAGCCTACCTACCTTGGGAATGAAGTCGAGTCTCACATGGCGCATTAACTTATCTCCTGTTTGGCGGAGTTTCATTTCGCCGAAGAAACACGAATCCACGTGATCCGGCCCCCTTTAATGTACTGTATCTCAGGGGGTTAGCGATAACGATAACAAAAAACAAAAAACCCCAAACTGCGAAGTACCGAAGTACTAGAGTACCAAGTACACCCTCGACATATTAATAACTACAATGCCCCTTTATTGCATGGTGGCAAGCAAGAAGCCTCCGTTTCTCCGCGTCACACCCTTCCTCGCGTGCATCACACGATCCGACGCAATGGTTCCCCCCTTGCATTTAGCCCCTTTTGTGCTTCGTGAATTGGACTTATCATGTTGCACTTCGTTTTGACTCTCGACAAGTGGCAGCACACCCACTCTTCTGGTTCTCAACTCAAGATTCCCGCTCTTCTCCATGCGGATGACACGGCGTCCATGTGGCCGCCTCAGAAGTCGTTCTCATTCAGGCACATTTCTGAGCCCTCCCACGGCCCCTGGATCTGGTGGTTGTGGTTGCAACCACCAATGCACCTCGCCCATCTAGACCCTCCTCGCCTCGCCCCTTTTTCCCCTTTCCAAGTCCTCCTACTTCCGTAAGTTCCGCCCTGCCCTTAGCAAGGCTGAGTGAGCCCTTCGTGTATGGGTAATAAACCTTGAAATCCACGGTCTCACCATATATACAACCATAAGCTTACTTGGCCAGATCCACTGCATCATGCAGTCTCGAGGTCGTGGTACTGTAAGCACTTTTGAACAAGGTGTAGCCTAACAATCGAACCTTATTATTTTGTGACACCAAACAAACAATCCGGATTTTTCGGATATCATACTCCGTAAAGGGGTCATTCAATGGTAAGCCGAGCGGGACCGAGTTGTTTAATAAATCCCTCGCGTGCAAGATGTCTACTAACTTGGAACGAAGTACGTCGTACGAAGTACCAAGTACGGGGCTCAGGAGTGAGCTATGAGATGATGAAACTCTCCACGCGGCTGCTGGCGATCTCCTCGTCATAGAAACGTGCGCATGCCAATGGAAGGGGGGGCCGCAGAACGGCAGATAAATGGCATATTGTTGTCGATCAATCAATATATAATGCAGTGCCATCAAGGGATAGCCCGTTCCACAGACAGATCTCAGAAGGGAATTAACACCGTCAACTCAGCCAGGCCGAGTCAGCCTATATTACTCGTACCCAGGTATAACAGGGAAGGGGATCTGGAAAATCTACAATCTCCTCAGAATATTGCAATCCAGGTTTATGTACTCAGCAACCGGCAAGCGCGCCAACCTCCAAACACCAGGTCTCCAGACTACGGCGTATCAGCTTATTATTGCTATTATCATTATTATTTATTATTCCCGGGATACGCAATCGTGGAGCTGGTTGTTATCGTCATCTGCTGGATCTGCAACTGCCAGGCTCCCCCCTTGCGGTGCTGTGCCCCTCAGCAGCTGAACCAACCACGCAGGAACAATCTACGATCCAACAAGGCGGGGCAAGTTGCACCTAATATAAACCACATCATCTGACGTCTGGCCCCCAGCCCCAACCCCACCTCATATGTGCGAGCAGTGCGAGTAGGTACGAGTAGCACCTCCTTTTGCACCACTTTTGGGAGCCGTGGAGGAGGATGGCGTATGGAGTATATCAAATATGAAGTATAAAGTAGAGGAGCTAACTGTATATGTACACTCCCACCCGGGGAAACTAGGCAATCGAGGATACTCCCGTCCGCTGGCCGTCTCCCTTCCGTTCCCGCCCCCTGGTGCTACGTAGTCCGCAATGTACATGTACATATTACGCAAAGCTTGGAAAGCAACCAAAGACACGGTACGTAGTACGACGTATGGCATGGCATGATTTCCATGCACTATTGTTTACATTGGGTTTCCGGCCCTACCAGCTGCATATTGACAGTTCTTCCCTACCACGTGGAAGAGCAGCATATTCCCAAGGCTCAGATCGCTCTATCCCCGACTCCCCGCCCCCTCCCCCAACCCCAGGAAGACAAGTCCTTCGTACTTCGTACGGAGCATACGGCATTGCATTGCAGTTTCAATCTCTCCATTCCTCCCGTCTTGAAACCGATAAACTAAACCAAGCCCCCCGATAAGCCAAGGAAAGCGCACGTCAGGTAGGGATGACCGTGCCTGGTGCCTCGCCTTACCTTGCCTAGTGGCCGCGCGCTGGCTTTCCCCTTGATCAGCTGAGCGCTTCCTCAGACAAATATCCATGATCAATACTGGACTGGACACTAACTCCGCACATTACTTTTCTTGTACATAATGATACGACTTCGTATACAAGATAAAGGGGGCTTGTTGCTAAGAGGCTATTTCTATTTATAGATCTCTGAGGTGTACGTGCGGAGTAAGTGCTTCCTAACTGCTATAGTAAGTACCAAGTACGAAGTATCAGGAAATGAAACGAAATAGGAAGTCGACGACGATGCCGCCAAAGATTTTACTTAATACGGATATGGCTGAAGGCCTTGGACTTGAACTTAAAGAGCTAGCAATAGGCAATGCGGTATTTACGGGTACGGAGATACTTCCTCTTCGCCATCGGAAATGTGATGTGATGTAATAGATCCCAGCACATACTTCTATACTACAGCACGTAAGTCAAACAAAGCCAGCAGACAGGCGCCTCCCGAGTTCCCCTTGTCAAAATAAGCCATCGAAATAATTCTGTACCTCCTCAAATCGCTCCGGCCGTCCCACACAAGCCCAATGTACCATGGCCCCCGCTCAAGTACTCATTCGTAGCCCCCACGCCCATTCATCACACCACCAGGAAACCCCTCATCTCTTCCATGAAGCAAACACAACAACACATCAGATTAAATTCGAAAAATCCAACACTGGGTATGAAAATCCTGGCGGTTACGTGGCATATGTATCACACAATATATATGCATTATTACCCCACATTCGGGCCGGGCCAAGAGTGCAACATAACACATATACACACTAACATAAGATCCATGTTCCAAGCCAGCCGTGGTGGCACAGCGTATGGCTAGGAGAGCCTCAAACAAGAAACATGTTTCCTTCCGAATGTTACTGTTATTGTTATGGTGTGGCTGTGGTATATCGCTCACGGATCAATTATCCTTGATACATGTGGAGTGTTAAGGCCGTGCTAATCAAGGAAAATAGAAGCTAGGTTATGTACTCGAGACGAAGGGATTCAATGCTGATTAAATGCTGTATATTGCAGCAACGCCGCTTCCTTTGCTATAAACCAAAAATTATAATAATCCAAATGATATTGTGTGCGGAAGTCATTCCCTCATAGCATGTACCCAGGCCTATGCAATCCCATCCCAACCAGTAAATGCTAACGGGTATCCCATCCAGTCTACCCTAATTATATGCCCAGCCGCCTTCCATCAAAGTTGAAGCAGAGTAAACAAAAAACGCCGTAAACTATGCCACAATACAATAGGCAATGCAGATAATCCAAGATTGTATATTATAATAAAGCGCATTGACAAAACCCTAGATTCGCGCCCCGTAACCCGAAAGTGTTGATACAGATAAAAGGTAAGCCCTCCCATCATCGGAGGCCGAGATTTGGGCGCCGTCAGATAGACTGATTAGGAAATATGCTGGCTCCAACAGAATGGTATGATGTGCATGGATTCGAGCCTGCTCAGAACACTTTGTACGGCCGTATCAGGCCACCGAAATGCAGACGCTAGAATTTGGTGCTGCAGCATCCGCGTCGAAAAATTTCCCAAGCGGTTAGAAGTTGAGGGCTGAAGAGAAGCTGAAGGTTGAATTCGGAAGGTGCATGTTGGAAGAGAAAATACTGCGCCGCTCCACAATCGTGGCAGTGAGATCACGCTGACTTGGGGCCGGGAAGTTGCTGCGCTGGCGTCGGCCCAGAGATGCATCTCGGGTTCGCAACGCAGATGGTGGCTGAGTGTTTGGTCGAAAGATATGTTGCGTTGTTGGCCAATGGTGTGAGGGAGTGCTGGTTTAACCACCTCCCGGGAGAACGGCGTTTGGAGACGCACATGTCAGCATGTCGTTTGCTGCTGTGCAACGTGGGGGCCAGGAGACGATTGTATGCCATGTTTTTAAGATGTGCTTCGTATCGGTTTGATGTGCAGGTGTGATATTTGTGGGATGGCTGTGAAACCGTTTGTTGACCTCGGAGATAGGAAGAAATCATTTGGTTGGTTGGTTGTTTGCTTGTTGCTTGACGCATGGAAATGCCAGAGAACAGATCCGAAGTCGAATATCCAATCGCCAGTTCGAGGTTCGCCGCGAGCGGGAATTGCTTTCCAGATGGATCGAGAGAGTGGTGTCTATCAGGCGATTCTATTTTGGCAGAGGGGGGAGGGGCCGGCTGGGTGGTGGGCCAGGGCAAGGAGGAAGTTGGGATGGACGGTGAGCAGGCATGTTGGATGTGTTTGTAGTGAGAAGTCTTGACGGGTTCTGGTTCTCTCCGTTTGATCGAGTACTATATAACCAATGCCAAACTCAAAGTTACAGGCAAAGGTCGTGATATTGGTGCGGCCCGGTGGGAGATGTGGTGGTTATCTGTTATATATAAAGAGCTGAGGCAGGCGAAGCGGGTTGTGTTATAGATGTGCGATGTCGTATTGGAGACGAATTGGCTCAATGGGTTCCTGAGGAGTCGAATGGGGATTGAATGGTATTGCTGGAGTATTCATCTTTTTGGCGTCGCCCTTGGGGGGGCCGGCTCTTTATGTAGATGGTGTACCTACGTATCCCGTGCGACTCGTAGGCTTCGGGCATCGAGGGAAATTGATCAATTATTACTCACCGTGTTCGGATCGGCGTGTCCACACCGCACAGGCGCAACAGGGTGGTTCAAGTCAGCACTCATTTGGCCTTGCCCAGGAGCGCAGGAACCCAGGACCCAGGAGCCCAGGACTCAGCGGAGGCGGCGGAGGTTTGCATTTTGCATTTGCATCAGCGCCTCAAATGAAACACGATAGCGTGGGAGGCCTGTAAGTTGTGCAACTGAGCGCCATCCCTGCCATGGCCGTCGACGAGGGATTCCGAGGGACGCTGTACTATGATACTATGATACTATACTACGGTACTACTACATGTACTACTATACGAAGTAATCTGCCCCTTTCCGGTGCACTAGCTTGCCCCGTTCGCCCGTCCGCGGCTGCCGCGTACCCCCTTTTGCACGTCGAAAACGCTCCGTAGGTACAGTACGAGGACAACAATGGGGAGGTTTCCAAAGTCGTTTCTTGGTGCCTCCACCTCCATCTCCACCACCACCAGCGTCCACCACCAGGCGCCGCCAACCCGAACAGGTCCCTCCCCTGACCATCTCGAAGAATGATGACCGCACCCGCGACATCTGGCAGAATCGGGACGGTGTGCGAGCTTGGCGCCGTGGAACTTGGAAACTGGACACTTGGAACTTGGAACCCGCTGAGGACGCCGCGGAAAGGGGAAAGGGACAGGTTGGAAGAACCCGGAAACACTGTACGAGTAACCGCTCCGCCGAGGGCCAATTCCACCCCCACCAGAGCAAGGCCGGTTCATGACTCTCTCTTTCTGTGCTGTGCGAGGGCGAGGGCGACTGCGACTGCGACTGCTGCTGCTGCTGCTGGTCCGTATCCCAGTTGCTTGGGAACGTCAGCAGATGGCCAGGGGGGATTATCATCCCTCCAGCCCTTTTTTGCTCTTTTGTGCCCTTGTCTGCTCGGCCTCCCAGCACTGCCTCATCCAGTTAGACAGGCCGGCAGAAAATCCATAATGGTCAGGCTGAAGCCATTTATATATCTCTTGGCAACAATCCCTCGCAAATAATCCTGATGTGTCGTTTTCGAGTGCCCCAAGTGTTTATTTATATCTCCGGTTTAAGATTCGACGGCCGCCTTGTTGAATTGCTGATGTTGAGTTGTCAAGCCACGCCACGCTCGTTGGGCGATACCCGTGATATCAGGATTCTCCTTTCCAGGTTGCTTTGCGGTGTGGTTTGTCCCGCGGGATGAGGTAGCTTGGTAATCCTGTCGCAAGGTTGCTGTTGTAACTGTACGTAGCATACCGCTCCTGAGGTACATACATACATGCCAGTTTCAGAGATCATGGTGTTTATGAATGGTTGGTGCCGAGCTGTGCAACCCGCACCATATCATTTGTGATCGCCGCAGGTTCCCGAACTTTGTTCGACCTCGAGCCCATCCTTTGCGTCACACCAAACATGAGATCACCAGTAGATGGCTTACAAACTTGATGCTAGTAAGGATATATTGCTGGTGGGTGACCGAGATGGCGAAGTCCATGCCGATAATGCCGCGATAACGCTCATGTCTATTACATCAGGCACGAAATTCGCCAGGGACCTTCCAATGGCTAGGAAGTACTGTACCTAGGTACGTAGTAAGTCCGTTCTTCGTGCCTCATGACTGCGTCAGTTGGGATTCTGAGCGAGCTCAGCCATCAAGTCATTCAGTCCAAGAGCAATCAACCGCCCAAACCACAAACTTAATTCGGCATGCTGCAAGGGGCGATACGAAAAGCCGTTGGGCGAGGTAAATTCATACGGTCCTCATATCCGTCTGTGATCTGACCGTTGCCTCGGGAATTTTGTATCCAAAGTGTTGCGCTTTGACATCTTTCTTCAGAACTACTGTTAGAAATTAGCTGAGCACGACGCCCGTCCGCAGGAAGGCCGGGCTCCTGGCAGTGGAGGTTACGACATTGCGAGACTTTTTCCATCCGATCATTTATGGCTATTGATTACTGACCGTTGCGAACTGGGCGATTCCCGTTGACAAAGAGGAGTGCCCGAGTTCAATGTTCGGGCGACAATTCCAAATTAATCCACCAAGAATTAATCCACCACGAATTGCTAGTATGAGTGCGCCTTCCTCCAGATAGTTGTTGTCTAGCTTTGTCCTAGGGTCAAATTTTTTTGATTGATACAGTTCAACTGCCTAGACTTGAGGGGCCGAGGGGCCGTTCAAGAGAAACCCCCTTTATCGCAAAGATTATCAATTTCCACCCGTCACCAATTCAGGTTGCTCCTACGGAATAAGCCGCACAGGAGGCGATTTCCAGCCAGCTGGTTCTCCTGAAGCTTCTCCGCAGAGCGTGTTTATCATTGCTTTTCCGCTTTGGCGATCATTATTGGAGCCATAGAGCAATGTCAAGCGAAATAACCCAAAATTTCCGGGCGCACGTAAACTCCTACTCTAACCCCTTGAACATCGCCAAGAAAGGGGCATTTTAAAACCACACTTTGTGTGCTGGAAACAAGGCTGAGGCTATGTCCTCTCGTCGAGCCCCTGCGTCTCAGCGTAACAAGCCTTGCATCACTCTGCTTCGCGGCAGATTATGATGCAGCCAGCCCCTATCTCGCGTTCAAGCTGTGCTTTTCCAAACATGCTCTCATGGATGGTTTCCTGTCTCGCAGATTGCGCAGATTACATTGCGTTTGTGATACCAAATTTTGGTCATGGGGTGATGGCCAAGCAATCTACCTCTAAATCCATGGTAGTTTTAACAATTTTCCTCGCAGACAAATGCCGAAGTCAATTTTCGCTTTCCTCAACAATTTGTTCGTCTGGGCTCGCAACGGTATCCAATAGCAGAGGCCACCTCGAAACTCAAGGTGTACGTGCATATCTGCGCTTCATCAGAGCTGCCGCAGAGAACCTTCTTTCCTTCTGTTTCTTCCGGCCGCCGTCCTCGGAGTGCTGCAGCCTGTAGAGTCCGGCGGAAAGTCCTTCGGTCAGCTCTCCTTGTTTGGTCACACACTCACTTCGACTCTCAAACCCAATGGGTTGGTGCCCGATTTCCGTCTCACCGCCTACTCTATACCCAATGACAGTTCACAAGTGCTGAGGCTGGGCAGGTGACGTCTCAGGCGCCACCGCCAAGACTGTATAACGTCGTTTGGTGCCATGGGGAGCCAAAGATGTGGTCCGAACTTAGTCCGCAACAGCGGTAAGCTAGTCCGGAGGTAAAGTATGCTCGTCACGAAAGATGGTAAATAGAATGCCATGCTGGAGGAGCAAAGGCGGTGAAAGAGGTGGATAGCTGGAACTGGAACTGGAACGGCCACGGTCACATCATACTTGTTCAATAATGACCTCGGCCGAAAAACTCTTTCTAAACTTTGATAACTTGTGATCACGGTCGATTCGGTTAAAATCCGGCTACCTCGGGCGACGGTATTTATTCTTGGGACGAAAAAAGGAAAAAGGTAGACTATCCTATTCAAATTCGTTGAAAATGGGTTGTGTCACTAATCTCCGATAATTCGGTTTGCTAAAATGGGCCGCTATTTAGTTAGGTGCTTGTAGATTTGGTGCTTGGCTGCACAAGTGGAGCTGGCCGGAGGTGCCGAGTTGCAAACTTTTGTTCGAAGTAAATTTAACAAAAATGTTGTGGAAACCCCCCTTTTCGTCTCGGTGATGAAAGCGTAAAAGTAGACATACAAGTGCCCACATCTATACGAAGTACGAATTACCGCAGATGGAAACCCACAACTTCGTTTCGGTTTGTAGAGCTCCGTACACGAGCTGTTCCCGTATTTCCGTATCACTGGTATTAATAGCATCGCTCCGAGGCTGTATTCGCAAATGTTCGGGAGTTCGAGGCTGAATGCTGGATGCAGGCCCGCCCCTGAAGCCCGCAGCCGAGATTTCAGGTCTCCATCGTCGGACTTCGTACTGTACGGAGTACATCCACATCGATCTCACCAAACCCGCTAACGCACCCCTGGTTGGTATGGAATTCTTCTGGAAGAAAATTCGAATGTTCTTCTGCAGCTGTCTGTGCTGCATGCCGCACGCACTCCCTCAACATTTCATCAAATCCTTGCCAAAGCAATCCGTGCATGTGGCTTCTCCTTTCTACCGGATTTGACTGCCGGGACAAGTGCTCGTGCCTATGTACATGTACTGTACAGTACATAGTGCTCCATATGGCTCACATAGGCCCTCAGGGTCCATTTTCACCTGGAACACATCTAAGGTACCGACAATCAAGTACACATGCAGGCACCCGGCCGGGGGGTCGCAAAGAGCCATTCCCGATCAAGGGGCGCTTGCTTTCGATTATCTGCTGATTGCTCCGTACTGCGTACTGTACTAGCATCAGCTTTGACGTGGCCTTTTCACAGAGCTGGCGGGTTTGAAATTGCTTACCAAACCCCGACATGAGGAGCCACCTGATCCACCCATACCCTCGTATTAGCTCATCCTCTATCTAACTGAAATTCTGAATGGCCATTATTGGGCCGACCGGCATATCTCACGAGAACAAAACATCCTGTTCAAAAACCGAAGATTTGGAGTTCTGACTATTATCCGTCATGCCCTCCCTCCTCTCCCCCCTTTCTCCTGCAGGTGAGCCAACTTACTCTGTATTATTCTGGTACCCGAAATCGATCCGTCAAAATCGGGGGGAGGCTTGGAAAAGAAATTCTAGAAAAACCTCCGAGGCCGCCCTTGTCCGTTTGTCGGCAAGGGCATACCTCGTAATCGAAAGACCACATTGCCGTGTAAGCGCTCAGACTCTGTTTTACTGTTTCGAGTCCCCGAGAATTATTCCACGTGGCCATCAGGGGTGCTCCTGTCCACAATTCCAAAAGTCTAACGGGCGGTTCCAATAGTGAAGGCGGTGAGCCATGACCTCATCAGAAAATTTCCGATTGTCTCTCAAGACAAATTAAAGGTCACCATGGAGGCAGGGTCCATTTCGTTCTTTAGATCGTGTGCTTAAAACGAGATGAGATTTCACTGCCCCCTTGTTTCTCTGGGATGACCCCGCAACGTGTCGTACCAGGTAAAACCAGATCTCCGAGCCACAGTTTCGGTCCAACGTGGGCCGCTAACAAAGTTTTAGACGATTCGTTGGACGACATACGCTCCTAGGTCAAAAAGACAGGGTGTCATGTATTTCGAGCAAAGGCGGTGAGAACGAGTTCCTAGGTTTGTTTGGTAGAGCCGAGTTGGTTTACTGAAATGGGCGAACTCTTCTAAAAAGATGACTGCTTGCTGATGTGAGGCTGTGGTGAGCACCTAAGTATTATATAGCCGTCGGACCACAGCGTACGGGATCACGAGGACCCAATGCCTGATAATCAGACATATATATCAGGACGTCAGCATCGGGGACGGAAGTAAGTAGGTATGGAAGGTTGTGCGATATTTCCAGATTTCATAATAAAAGGATACACCTCAGAATACATCAAAACCGGCAGATATCCCAAAACGAGCATGCGTGATAGTCCAAGATGCTGAGATCCATATGGAGCAATATCCCCTGTCATAACTGTATTGGAAGCACGACTCTGTAGTTACTTTTTGCCTGTTGAGCCTCAACGGCTGTCCATATGGGACTGCAGGTGTTTCACCAACAGTTAAGCCGCAGCACTCGGTTTTGCGGTTTGGCGAACGACATTCAATTAAAGTGTATCATCTTAATACTACAAGATCCAAGATGAAGAATGTCATTCCCGTGGCCTAGTGAGTTCCAACCCCCACACGGCGCGGTTGGATTGTGGAGTGCGCATGTTTCGTGCGACGAGACTGTCGGCTGTCCCAGACTCCCAGACTCCCAGTGGATGAACGTTCAACAAATGGATATGATACCACGGCCTCCGCTCGTCATATGTCCACATATTGTTGAAGCATGTGTCATGTTGGAAATCATGCAGGCTGGTCCGAGAACCTATAATGCCGTTGAGCTTCAGCCGTCGTCGTCTAGAGGTGGCATTTGAGTTGATGTGATCCAATCTTCCATCATTGCCTGACCACCACTCAACGATGACCCTTTATTCGCCTCCCTCCGTTTTACGACCAGGCATAGTACTCTGCCATAAATTGCAAAGCCCTCATATGATGTATCCAATATCATCTTCTTCTTGTCATCAATCGGTTCTGCCGCCGGGGCGTCCGTATCTCTCCTCCGTTTCTGCAGTGGCTCTGATCCTGGGGAAGAGTCTTGAGAGGATCCTGGCGCCCATTCTGTACCGCGAGTAGCTCTGGGGCGTTTGGATCCTCTAGCTTCTTCATCCTCGGCCACGAAGAGCGAGTCCACGGCGTCTGCCACGGGGAAATCCTGCAGATTCAAGCCATCCTCTTCGGTCTCTTCTCGTCGAATAACCGATGCATCCTCAACATCGATAGCAGTTTCATTTGTAGCCCCTATAAGCTTGTGGGAGTTGGATTCAAGTGACTTTTTGCCTTTTTCTCGGAAATTTTTTTGCTTCGTGAGGAGGGAATGCCGGGTACTCGTCTCAGTCAAGAAGATCGAGACTTCGAAGTCCTCTTGGTACAGTCAGTATGAACACCATATATTCCCTGCCTGCCTAGCTCCGAAGCATACCCTCTACGACAACATCTTTCACCCCTTTCCTTTTCCCGCTTTTGGTTTTACTGCGTTCGCTCTCCTCGCGGATTTTGGGCAATACTAAGGGCCGAACGCTTTCGATAACGCGAGGGAGAACTGGAGTTCTTGGGTTCAGCAGCCAGCTCTCTGCGAGGGCGGGGTTATCGACATAGATGCGACATTCTAAAACGGAGTACTTAGTGATGCGGAGATACCTACGAATCGGAGCCATGGCGGCTCAGCTCGAGCCGTGCCGTGCCTTGTACGATGTAGGACGCTCTGTATCCAGGTTGAATTGATGTTTTCTCCATGCTGGATTGGAATTGGCGGCGGCACGTGACTCACATTCTGGCATCTTTTTGCTTCAACGTCCATTGAATTAATTTTCCACTCACCACTCACCACCGTCATATGGCAATCTACAAACAAGCTATTTCCCATGTGCCATCGCCGTTCGCCCTCGGAGTTGGTAGCCACGAGGATATTTCCCAGCCTACGATTAATCCCGAAGGTTGTCAATCGCAGCAAAGCAAGACTTGCTTATGAAATCTGCTCCTCCACATGCTTCAGTCTAATATATATAAGCTGGCATATCCTCCTCGTGGCTGCATCTATTGAAAATTGGCCCATCACATGGGAGCAGTTTGTCTGGTTTATGATGACACCGGGTGGAACCGGGACATTGAACTCCTTACTCGAGGATGATCTCATCCCGAAACACTGAATGGTGGATAGTAATCGGCAGCTTGGCTTGCCATACGAACGTCTAGCAAAACATATTTAACAACGGAGAGAAGATACCCAAGATCACTTTCTCGCTTTTTTAACTTCTTGACTTCGCTTTGATATTTGAAGATGAACATAATCACGAATACGCTAAAGAGAAGCCGTCACATCGCCCGGTCCAACCCGCTATCCAACCAGGCCAGCCGGAGATGCATATCGATAAAGGATCTAGACGCTTCAAAAGGAGGCAAGAAAGCTTGTCTCTAGATCCTGCAACTCATAACTAATATCATCCTAGACCGGGAGCGAGTTGTCATATTAGGATCCGGGTGAGCTCTTCCTGCCCCTCCCAATAGGTGGCTTTCGTCTAACATTTGCAAGATGGGCGGGATTCGTCCTGTCACGAGAGCTAGATAAAAATAAATTCCAAACTGTGGTTGTATCACCAACATCATACTTTGCATTCACTCCTCTGCTTGCATCTACAGCCGTTGGCACTCTGGAGTTTCGGACAACCCTCGAATCCGTTCGGGGCCGAAGCACAAGTGTTGAGTTTTTCCAAGGTTGGGCGGACGATGTGAACTTCAATAAGAAGAAGTTATTTGTTGAAGAGGGAGCTCAGAGACGTAAACCGTCCTCGAGAAGTAGTGGCGATAGCACTAATGTTGAGGATCCATCCAAGCCATCTTTAGAGAAAGGCCAGGTATTCGACCTCCAGTACGATAAGCTCGTCGTTGCTGTGGGCTGTTACAGCCAGACCTTTAGCACTCCGGGGGTTAGAGAGAATGCATTCTTTCTCAAAGACGTTACGGATGCTATTAGGATTAGGAGGCGGATTCTCGAGTGTGAGTACGAAGTAAGTTGCCTGGTTTTGGAACCTTACTAACAAGACCAGGCTTCGAAATTGCAGCACTACCAACGACTTCCGACAAGTTACGGGACCAGCTGCTAAGCTTTGCCATCGTAGGCGGCGGTCGTAAGTTATGTGCCGCTTACTACTGTTGTCGGTACTAACCCCTTTCTAGCAACTGGAGTCGAGTTTGCAGCCGAGCTCTTCGATCTCTGTCATCAAGATCTCAAAAAACTCTATCCAAGCTTAATCCAGCATGTTACTATCACTATCTATGATGTAGCACCAAAAATTCTCCCAATGTTCGATAGCAAGCTCGCCGATTACGCCGTCGAGCTTTTCAGGCGCGACGGAATCAAGATCAAAACTGAATATCACATCCAGGGGCTCCGGCCGGGACTACCAGGCTTCTCGTCATCCAGAGATGGTGGATGCTATACACTTAAAACGAAACAAGACGGCGAAACCGGAATAGGTATGTGCGTCTGGTCGACAGGCCTGATGATGAACCCCTTTATCCAACATGCACTCGATGACGTACACACCTATCCTGCTGCTTCTGCCACGCTCTCTCAGCCCCTCTCGTCCCCTCCAGAGTCAATGAAATGGTATTTGAAGCGCCACCCTAAGACAGGCGGCCTAGTAGTCGACGATCACTTTCGGGTTAAGCTGACCCCGCGAAACAACACATCCCCCAAGGAGAGCTCCAAGCCACCCGAAGCAACCATGAACGACATCTTCGCCCTTGGCGACGTCTCCGCGTTTGAAAAGGCACAGCTACCAGCAACGGCCCAAGTTGCTAGCCAAGAAGCAAAATGGCTGGCGAAGACGCTGAACAAGGGAAATATGAATACCGAGGGATTCGACTTCAAAAATATGGGTGTGCTTACATATCTAGGAAACATGAGAGCAATCATGCAGGGGGAGCATGGAACGGAGCTTAAAGGGTGAGTTTCCCACTCGTGATTGTTATGTGTAGCCCAAGTTGCGGAGTGCTGAATGATGCTAATATAATAAATCGTAGGAGAACCGCATGGTTGATATGGAGGGGCGCATATCTAACTCAGACAATGAGCTGGAGGAATAAGCTGCTCATTCCTGTATACTGGTACTTTTCTCCCTATTTACCTCCACTTCCTTCAACCTACTAAACTTGGATCTTCTCAGGGCCATTAATTGGGTGTTTGGAAGGGACATATCCCGATTCTAGAATCTCCACTAATGATTCTTTCCGGGTCAACATTAGTAGCACCGTACTAAAAGATCCCTAGTCTAGATTAAGAAAGGGGATATTATAATACATGCCATGTTCATGGCGTATGACCCACGTCCCACTTTCTTAGTTATGTTCGTACAAGACCTTTGATACGGCCTAGCCGAGGTTCAGCAATTGACCATATAACAACCTTTGTCGGTATGCACTCATCTGTCTCTTCGAATGGAAACCTCACTAAACATACAACGATATTATCAGGCGCTATGCAGCCTATAAATAATTTCATTCTGAGCCTTTACCTAGCTGTAAATCCCTCATCCCTCGAGCTGCTTTCATCCCGCAGGATTTACGGTCGTATACGTGCCCATGCGCCAGACCACACCTCTAACCAAACATCCTCTCCTCAATTCCTCAAAACAAAAGCCAGTAAGATTTACCCATGCAACAACGCTATACACTTCGAGTGCGAAAGCCGAATCACGCTAAGTTGAAGCGGATAATGCATGTTAAGGCATAGTCAAGCTATACACGGACACGATATTACCGTATTGGCACTTGTCCGCAGCTTTATAATAGTATCTACCTCATCCCCTAGAATACAAAAACCGGGACTCTATAGCAGTATATCTAAAGCTAGGAATTCAAGATATCTAATAAAATGAAGTGTAAGCCCTTTGTCAATTTATTTGGCTAGTGTATACAATTCCGTCGTAAAGTACGACTTCCGGTTCCTTGTCAAATGTAAGATTTTCGTGATCATTATTGTTAAAGCTGTAAGACACGGAAGAAAAATATTAAAGTAACTATATAGGGAGCTTAAGAGTAAAGTCATATAGTTACTCAAAAAGTCGTAATCGCCGTGTTCTACCCCCTGGATCCGGGTGAGGTTCCTAGTTTTAAGGGGTCGAACGGCCAACTTAAGCGAGTACTTGTCAACGACAGCCCTTCGTGCTCTCTTTAGCATCCTATTTAGTCCACCACGGCCATCTGGGTTTAAAAACGTTACATTTCAATCTACGAACCAACCTTAGTTACCACATAATCGAGTGGGCTCAGTTTGTTTTATGAGCGAGAGAACCAATGGAAATCTAACACCACTCGTTTTCTCCACGGTGCAAACAAGAAGAACTTTGGTCCAGGCCCTCGCTGCCTCTAGCATAGGGAACATTTATGTGCCGTACTATATTACGATGGACGCTGTGGATAACAGGTTGTTCGGTGCCTTATTCCTCTCGAGGCAGTTTGCATCCTTCAAGGTTCGGTTCACTTTCTACGCGTAAAGCGTCCTCGCTTTTGCGTCTGCCGAAACCCCATCAGCTATATCTCCTTACGCACAATTTCATTCTGCAGAGCAGAAAATGGACTCGATACCACCAGACCGTGAGCACCATCCGCTGCAACCCACCCCATTTCTCCATCACGTCAGTGCACTAACATGTACACAGGCCCTGATCCTCACGCTTACACAAGCTGTCGATGGCTTCGTCACGATAAGTTGGAGCGTGACTGACGCTATATTACATTTGACTTTGATGCGCTCTGTAGGGGGGTTATCGAACTGTGTCCTGGGCTGTTTCTATCGCGACCTATGATAAGAAAGAGGGAGGGTTTAACAGGGCTTCATTTTTACTACCGACAATGCAAGACGTGCCGTGGCGAGGCTGCCCTTTTCGCTAGCAGGACCGCCCAGGTTGACTACAAATTCCGAAGTTGCTACTATTAAATATCGTGAGTGCAATTCAATACACTATATCTACTTACAGCATAGCCGCTAACTATTATACACGTCATAGTGCAATCTAATACTAACATTCCTATACCGAATATCCTTGACTGGAGCGATGATGCTTCTAACGCTATTAGTAGCGAATAAATCATCGTGGAACATGCCACTGGTGTTCAATTACACCAGAGATGGTCTGATATGGCTGGGGACCAGCAAATCAGGTGTATACACGCTATCTATCAGAAAGTCAAAGAAATGGTCGGCATTAAGTTTCCAGCTTACGGGAGCTTGTACTTTGTCGACTCCCCGCTCAACTCTACCTCTAAGCAGGCTTTGAACCCAAGATTCTGCACCGGGCCTCACTGTGGAACTATATATTGGAACTGCAAGGTTGGCGGACCTAGATATTACCAAAACACAACACCTAACCAGGAGCCGTGTAAGTTTTGCTACCCTTGTCTACCTCGCTGTAAAAATACTCTTATAATTGAGTTTAGGGCTTGATCTTACTACATATTGTGATGGTATTATTGATGCTGCCCTTTCTAGAATCCCATCGTTCGATCCTATTATTGTAACCGACCGTCCTATCACGGGTCTATTGAGACGCACCTTCGTCTCCTAGAATCCAAGACGCGGCTGTACCAACGTTGCTTCACCCTGATCTACATAAAAGAAACATATTCGTTTCGGATGTCGACCCTACTGTTATCACAGGCATTGTCGATTGGAAATCGTCTAGCATTGAGCCAGCATTCTGGTATGTAGACGAGGTGCCAGACTTTGCGCGTCCTGTTACTCGTCCCCCACTCGGGAATCAGCCTGAGCCTAATAGTAACCGCTATGCTAAGGCATTTGAAGTCTGTACTCGGTTTATCGTGCCTAAGCTGTCTAGCCCCAGGCCAATGGACGAAGCCTTGCTCCGGCCGTTTCGTTATTGCTACAGGACGTGGAGGGATGGTGATGTGGGCCTTTCGCCATGAGCTGATCGAGACTTCGCGGTGCTGGAGGGGCATAAGACTTGTGGGCTAATGCCCATTCTCTGCACCCACACCTGACGAAGCAGCGAGTCACCAGAAGGAATACAGAATGTTCCAGGCAGCACACAAGCTAAGGAATAATCTATCAAGCGTACTTAATACTGCATCCGATGGGTGGATTCCGTCAGAGGAATGGCAAGCGAATGATTAGACTATAAGGGGGTGTTTAGCGCCGTGTTGCAGGCTGTATTGACCAACGAGAATCCCGATGATGATGAGCCCATAAAGGACGAAGGAGATTTAAGAGCAATCTGGCCATTTGATATATAATGGAATCTTCCGGCTGTAACTAAAAGTTTCAAGAGTTGAATGTCCCTTTTGAGCTTGGTAGGGTAGAGGTTCACGTTAACGGTATCGAAATGAGAATGCACAGCCTTCCTTCCAGACGCTCTGAATATTTAATACGCCATCAACCCTACGGCTATGGCAATTTGTTTGTAGAGCATTCTGTAGCTATTAACCGTATTTAGAGTGTATACCCTTATTGCTCCAAACTCTAGATTCCACTTCTGAATATCGGATTTCGACGGCTATCAACCCCGGTGATCCAGCTCAGATCCCGGCCACATAAACTAGCTCCTACTTTCAGGTACATGCTTCAGGTTTTGAAATCTTGACATCCAGCTCTGATCTCAATATGCTATCCTACAATAAATTAGAATTACAAGCTCTGGATCATACAAGTGAGTATTCGACTATAAACAACACCACATTCGATACTTTAAATCTCACCATATGTTTGTCCAGCCCCCTAAAAGAGAACCAACCAACCACCCGCTTCCTTCGCGGCAAATAATCCTTAATCAGTAAAATAAACCGTTGACGTTTTTAGGGATCAAGGAGCTTGAAGTCGAGGCAAAGACTTAAAAGTATAAAAAGGAGAGCCAAAAATGAAAAAAACATACAACAGCAGGTATTCGCTGGTGGTCACCCACCCAACTACTAATCTGCCGATCTGAGGCTTGTGTATGGCAGAGCGGACGGGATGCCCATTTCTCCTCAGTCTATGGTCGTATGTGAAAGATGTTTCTCTAAATGAACTATATATATTAGCATCATATCAACTCTAAAGATGGCCCGCGACAAACCCGGTTCTAGCCTGACTTCTAGGAGTATTTTTCTTGCTATAAGCTGTAGGAAATGCGAATAAGGAAGAGGCTTGCCATTGGGTTTCGGACTTTTGGGTGAGCCATTCTAGTTCAAAAGACGCTTGTCTACTCTAAGCAGTGGAGGGAAGTTTAAATGCTCGTTTCGAAGGAAAATGGAAGCGGGGCTTCGAAAGAAATTGAATTACGCGCATTCTCAATTGATTAAGGTGCTCTTTACAAAGTACTCGTCGTTGTAAGTACTACCATATCATGCGCTGAAGGGTATGCACCTCTCTCTCGGGACTGGAGCGGTAGAAGGTTATGGCTCTAAACACGTACATCAAACTTAGTTTGGAAGGAAGCTTTTTAATTCATAAGACGTAGCTATTGAATCCAGCTTTACCCCATGCAAATACCCATTGCGCTAGATAAAACACCCTTTAACGCATGCCCACTACAAACCCAGCATTTAGTACTTCTTGCCAGCACGTAGAACATCACCGAATTCCTCCAGAGGACTCCGGATGAGCTTGGTCTCCTTCCACAGGTTGGGAGTCAAGTATCCATATGTGTTCCCGACAGCCACGAAGGTAGCCTTGAGGGTGTTCTCGAGAGTCTTGGTAGAACCGGCGGAGGAAGTGTAGATGTCATCGACACCGGCAAGTTGGAGAAGACGCTTGACGGCGGGGGAGGCGACGAGACCGGTACCACGGGGAGCAGGAATGAGCTGTGAGAAACAATTAGTTTTCTCTAAAGAGAGTGTGTTGGGATCTCGAAAACTTACACGAACGGAGACGGAACCGCACTTGCCGCTCTCCTTCGTTGGCAGGGAGTGAGGAAGACCCAGATTTGTGCCCCAGTAACCTCTTCGAATTGGCAGAACGCTCAGCTTGGCGATGATGATGGCAGCACGGATAGCAGTTGCGACTTCCTTGGAGGTCTTGATACCGAGACCAACGTGACCCTCGGAATCACCAATGACAACGATGGCCTTGAAACGGGTACGCTGACCGGCACGAGTTTGCTTCTGGACAGGCTTGATCTGTGGGTGATAGATTTGTCAGTTGATATTCCAGTCACATTTTATCAAAGAAAAACTGCGCAGCTTCGAGAGAACTCCTTACCTTCATAACCTCATCCTTCAGCTTGGGCAAGAAGAAATCCACAATTTGGTACTCCTTGATGGGCAGGGAATGCAGGTAGATCTCCTCCATCGACTTGATCTTTCCATCCTTAACGAGACGGCCAAGCTTGGTAACTGGCTGCCACTCCTTCTCCTCGTTCTTGTTGGCACCGCGACGAGGTCCACGTCTTCCCCGTCCACGGCCTCTGTCACCGCGGTCTCCTCCACGGTCGCCTCGGGAACCGAATCCACCTCCACGAGCAGCACCTCCTCTTGGTGCGTCAGCCATGATTATGTCGAATTGATCGGGTGCGGGATGGGCAATTCGGGCAGTTGGGCGTTGGGCGACGTTGACGTTTCAAAAGTTCGAAGTTCCAAAATCGCAGAATTTCCGTTTGTGTGGGAGGTGCAACATTAGCGAGGCGCTAGCTGTATTGGAACACATTTCGCCTTAGGCACGATGTGGGGGTTGTTAATCACGTGATATTACTACTCTAGGAACTCGGAGCGGTATGCCGTTACTGCGCTGCGACCCTCCGCTGTGCCATGCAGGCGAAGTAGCAGGTTGTGGACACGCATTAGCTACGCCTGAGAGTGCAGAGTGAAATGTTTCAGAGCGCCTGAGACGGCATGATTAAGTGATATTTGTGGTAACATCTTAACATATGTGTGCTGCAAAGTAAAGGTGACTGAGCCACCCTACTTTTTAATCCCCCTTTCCTTGAACTCCGCGATCCTCATCTCAATATCCTTCATTGGCTTGATGTAAAACCCCTAGTCATACAAAGTGAGTCGTAACTCATCCCATTCCATCCCATCACCTGCCCTCAAACCCCCCGCCCCTGATCGTCTTCGCGATCTTCTTTTTTCCCCATGAGCATAAGCTCGGAAAATGGCATGCGCCGCTGGTCACTGGCTGGAGTTGGCACAATAAGGACGGATAGTGACGACGGGTCGATCCGTAATGATGCCTCATCTTCTAACTGAAGATTGGATTGCATCGCCAATTCTGAACGAGCCAAGCCTAGTGACGATCATGAGGATATATGTGTAGCCACTACCTCTCATGAGATGCTCCTCCGACATATATAAATCGGTCTTGAGCTGTGGCGTGTTCCTCATCGCCATCGTTTCATGTAATATCGGTGCTAAAGGCATGCGAGTGCTGCCATGCTACCAAGAAAATGTCGTCTCTCTGTAAGAAAGGTTGCCCTCTGCGTTTGCTACGGCAGCTGTGAGTTGGACCGCCAGCCATCTTTCTTCGGAGTTTATATGCAGGTACGTAACCACGTATCTTGCCGGCTCGGGGATTGTTTCCGAATCTTCTTGTATCCCTTCTCCTTCAATACTCGACAGCCAAGCACAAAGACGAGCGACCGTGATGGTATCGAAGCATAACCCTTCCCGGCGTGCTTTCGACCATAGCAATGCAATCGCTTGACGACGTATCCGTCTGTCACGGCATTTGATTGCCGTAATGGCAAGAGGAAGGACGGTTCCCATGTCGACGGTATATCGAGCGGTGTTGGTGGGCTCGTCCGGTTTTGAAATGAGTTGGTGGGACTTCTGGATGATCTCAGCAAAAAGCGGCTGAAATTCATCGTATAACATTTCCGAATGCTGGACACTAGACGCAAGTAAAACAGTGGCAAGGTTGTAATAAATGCTGAGTATGTTCGTGGTATCTGTCAGTACTGCGCCGTTTTTGATCTCTCCTGCATACACCACCTGGAATCCCGCTCTCCATATGTTGAGTTGGTTGGAGTAGTGTTCATGTTGCGTTATCCAGAACGTGGAGTTGAGGATGTCTGGATGTTGTTGCGCGTGACCGACAGATTTCAAGTAGAATTGCGCAATTCCTTGCATCAAGAAATCAAATGCTTCTTTAGCTTCTTCGACGGTGCTGAAGGATTCCTCCATCACAATGTCCTCCCAGTCGCACTCGGGCATCGGAAAGGGTGGTGGAATGAAAAGTCCTTGAACGTCGAGTCGAGCGAACATCCTCCCTAAATCATCCACTAATCCGTCTTGAATTTCCGATAAAGAATCCTGCGATAATCTATTATTTTGGCCCTTCCTCTTCCGTGCCGTTCTCCAATCCGCGAGGAGCCTCGACCCTCCACGGAGATGGGTTAATGATCCATCATAACTGCCTTGCAGCGCCTCAAAAGTCATGAACAAAACACAGGACGTAAGAGACGTCCTCAAATGCCGTCGCCCGTCCGATAAAACCGACCTCAACGCCCCAATCGCTCTACTATATTGCCGCAATGCATAGCTGTGATGCTCATCCAGATGGTGGTGATCGATCTGAGGAAACCCCGAAAGCGACAGTCGTGTCGGGAAAGATGTGACCTCCAGTGACTTTGCCAGCGCGCCTAAAGCTATCGTAGCATACCGTATAGGAGCGTCGGTATGGCATAGCTGGAGCACCTTCTCGGTCCAGAATGTTGGATCGAATTCCCCGGCGATTTCCCCAGCCGTCTTGTCACAGAAACGCTGAAAATAACGACGCTCTTCTTGAGTCCCCGGGATTGCTGCTGACGGCGTATACTGCATGGTGGAGACGGGTCGAGGATGAATGGGAATTGGTGCCACATTCTTTTCCGAATCGGCCTCCGCGGGCGTATTGTAGCCACCGCATTCTCGCCCTAGGTTTTGACACCTTATACATCCCGGTTTGGTCTCATCGCACTTCACACGTCGTTGTCTACACGCGATTAGTACAGCGCATTTGGGATGATGTCGAACATGGAGCCATCCGAACGAGTCCCTCTCCCTCTCCCTCCCTCCCCCACCCCCCTTAAACTAGACAAAACAATACGTACTTGCATGTTATACACCCGGTCTTCGAGCGAGGCCCGCTCTTCCGTAGGCCTTGACTCCGGGAAGACTGCTCTGGTGAGGCCTGATTCGGGTCGGCAAACTGGTTGAAGAACTTATAGACGTTGGGGAAGGGATGTCTCAATGACATTGTATTGTCTTGTCGGTCGAGCACAAAGGAGCGAATATGGCGGCCGCATCAAAGTCATGAAGAGTCGGTCCGAGGCGGTACCACGACGACGTGGAGGGATCGGGGTGCGTCGATGGCGATCTGGCGGTGCTGAATCAATGGATTCGAACTATTCGCAAGGCCGTGTCGCATGTCCAGCGTCTCCGTTGTTCACAGATCAAGATCGCAGGTTCTCCAGGTCAGAGAGAGGCTTTTCCGTGCGCCGCTGGAGAGCCTCTGTTTTGCACGGTGCCCATAACGGTGGAAACTGGAAATGGTCTACGCACGAAGAACGGAGTGCTGCCACGCTGAATGCGCTCCAGCGCCTTATTATGGCTAATCTATGTAAGTGTGATAGCTTGCATGGGGGGGTTAATCTGGCTAAAAGCAGATCCCCAGCAATATGTGAATCAGAGGGTTACCAGTAATCAGACTCGATACATGATGTGACGGTTCCGGAACATGCCTGTGCTGGTGCTGGTGGAAAGCTGCGGGTGTTGGGGGGGGACTTAGGGGGGGAGACTGGCGCTGAGTCGCTGGAGCTGAGTCGCTGGAGCTGAGTCGCTGGGAGTGCTTTTAGTCGGCGCTGTGTTCCCCTCAACTCACCTTTGGCAGTCCAGGAGCCCAGTCCAGTCCAGTCCAGTCCTTCCTTCGTTCCTTCCCCTCCCCGTCCCCCTCCCTCGTCCCTTCCCCATATCAGCAATAATAGTCGTTACCAAACTTGAGCAGCTGCCAGGATGAGCGAAGTATTTCGGGCCCGGGCCAGTAACAGGAGCGCTGCTAATTACAAATGGACAGGGGCCGCTCACGTGTACCGGTACAGCGGTGCATGGGTGCGACCGGGCGCGGACGGCCACTGGTCGAGAGGGAGAGGCGAGGCCTGCGCTAACCCGTCCAGGCCCAGGAGGCTTCTTTTCCAGGCCTTTTTGCCAAGTTGTGTCCCTGAAGCACCCATGGTCGCTCGTCCCCTACGGGTAGCAGCAGCGAAGCTAACTCCTAACTGCTACGTAGGTGCTGGACCGACCGTAGTGCGAACATGTCCGATGTACCATGTACCATGTACCATGTACTACTCACTCCGCACTAAGCTACTCCGCAGTCCGTATAGTGCGGATGCTAAAAGGGTCACTGCGGAGGGGTTTGGGACGAAGAGTCTGTCCTCTGTATCGGTATCGGTAGTATGTACTTTGTACAGAGCCTTCTTCTTCTCGCCCCCCTTAGCTCCGTGTCGCATTCAGGAACTCGATGAGTTGAGTGTTAAGCAAGCAGGCTGAACTTTCCAGTGTCCAGTCCCTCCTCGCTCACCACCTCACCACTCACCACTCACCACTCTCCGCTCTGTCCCTTCACCTGCGTGGACTTGTACTCCTATCGTCCGCAAAGTCTGGTAAAGGGCTGCCCGTGGCTGAGGACATCATGCGAAAACGCTGGAGCGAGGCCCGCGGGGCCAGCTGGTTGGCCCACACACGACGGGCGCCCCAGCTATGCGTTCCTAGCGCTTAACAGAGTTCCCTTTTCCTCCTTCTGCCCCCCCCGTTCTTTCGGAGATCCATACCGATGTCCCGGAGGGTCAAGAACGGTCAAGAACGGTCAAGGCTCAACAGCGCTCTCGTCGCCTCCGCATCTCGGAAGAACCTTGCGCCATTCCACGTCCTGGCTGGCTGGGTAGAGGCTGCTGCTGGGAGAATGGCTATTGTAGGAGAGGCGGAAAAAGGCGAGTCCCATCATAGCGTACCATATAATAAGTACCATATCATATCATATCATGGCATGCTATTCTATGCTATGCTATGTTATGTAATGTACTTCGCACCGGTGTGTTGATATATGGTGGTTTTATGCGGCGGGGAAAGGGTCTCGCGAAGAGAGAAGAGCCTGTCCAGCGTCCAGTGTCCAGGTCCAATAACAACAATAATGGGGGTCCCCGGGGAATCGGGGACGTCCACTCCTCCTGTCCAGCGGTGGTGGTGGTGGTGGTGGAGCATCAATAATTTGGTGGAGATGCTGGTCACTGTGGCCCGACAAAGTTGCAACTGGTGACAACACCGACAACCTGACAAGAACAGGCTTGTTCCCTGAATTGAATCGACGCCCTGGATTCTTATTAGTCGTTCCTAGTTCCTCCGTCCGGACTTCGTACTTGCGTACTCCTTCTAGCGATGCCTTCTAGCGGTGTCTTACTCGTAGCGATGTCTTCTAGTGGTGTCCCGCACCGTGTGGGTTTGAGTGCGAGGGTCCGCACAAAAACGGAGTTCTGGCCTCGATGCTTCTTCCGGCCCCATCCTCTGTCCTTCGCCATAATAACAAGTCTGTAGTGCTGTGCAGAGTGCACCTCGGCCTGTACGAACTGACGAAGTAGACGCTTTGCAGGACGTAGACTCGTAATAATAACACAGTCCAAGAGCCCTCCGGCCCTTCTGCCCTCGCCATTCGCTATTCGCTCCTCTTCCTGCGTATCTGCATTCCCTCCTCGAAGAAGCCCCACGTCAGCCTTGCCCGAATTGATATCCGCGCAGGCTTTGCATGTTTTGCATGTTTTGCATGTTTTGAAATCTCCAGCATTATTACGAAGTTACTGTATTGCAACCTGCAAACTGCAGACCACGTGGAGTCTGGAGATCTCTGGCCGGCCTCGCCCAATGTTTCCGATGTTTCAACTTTCTACCCCGTAGATACCGTACAGCACCGTCGTTGTCGTCTGGTTCTGGTTCCGATCCTGATATCCCGGGCTGAGCCCGGTGGAGCGCTGTGAAGGGAGCGCAAAACCCTCCGTCCAACAATAGCCGGCCGGCCGCCCGCTTCCTCGAAACCAAGCGGCGTGGTCTGAATCCCAGCCGTTTGCTTGCGCCCATCTGACGGCTCAGCCTTCGGCGAGGCGGCGTTGTATCTCGAGGCAAGTGACATGTCCGTCCCGTGTGGGGTCAAACACTCAGGAGGCTCGAGCCCCAAACATATCTTCTTTCATATGTGTCCACCGCCTACGCCATAGGCTGGCAACTCCCCTGATTGTTTCATTCATGCGAACCGGCATTCCAAAAGTGGCAGTGTTCCAGAAGCCCAGCATTCCCAATTAAAGTCAATCTGGAAAGCGCCAAATATACCTATCCATGGTTTCCTTTATGGCATTCAATAATAAGCAGGAGGGTTTTTAAGAACCAACTGCGGCATGGAGATTGCCTTCTGGGATACCAATGCTGCCACCATCCATGCCGCGTCCTGCGCGTCTTCGATCGATCCAATAATGATTAATGATTAATCATTAATCATTAATCATTAATCATTAATGCCCACGGCTCACGGCTAGGTACGTACCGTAGCGTCCTCCATGCGGATGAGCTCCGTCACTCTGTTGATGAGCATTTGGCAATCAATCGGATGGACAATGAGCATGAGCATGAACACCCTCATCACCCTCATCCCCCGAATGCCTCTCGGCCCTCGCCGAACTGCCACATGGCTTTGTAACCTCCACTGGCGAATTCTATCAGATCACATCTCCATAAGCCAATCACCAAGGCATTGGGCCTCCTTCGACCTGGATTTCGACTTCCTATGCAAGAAGATAGACGAGCCGCGCCACTTCGCACGCGACATTGGGTTTCGTCGAGACTAATCCGGCAAGCATGAATTTGAAATAAGTCGGAGTCTGATCGCAGTATAACCAACTTCGTACAGCCGCACTGCGTCCCCGGATCCGAATGAAGTCAGCTGCACCCGGGTGACAGCCTCAGAAACCACGGTCATAGGCCGCCTCGTACCTCATCGCGACCCCCGAGGGATTCTGAGCGAAGGGATTCCAAATTCTCGTTGCTCATCGCTGTAGAGCTCTGTTCTTCCCCAGATTGACTCGTATTACCAACGTGATGTTTAAAACTCTTGTTTCGTTGTCTGACAGTTGATTGCAACAGTAGCAAAAATAATTCGTGGCTTGTTTGAACCGCTTGCTCTCGCTCGCGATTGGGCGACGGCTCCTGCGGCCCTTTTTCAATCTCCATCTAATAGGGTTGCTTTTTGAAGTGTAGGCAGGGGCTGTGTTGCGTTTATAATGTGTTTATAATGTGTTTATAATGTGTTTGACAATCTAGTGATATGTGGTTCTAGTACCTTTACAACACAACACAAAATAAATTTTGTAAAGAGACAGACCTTTTATTTGTAATTGACTTTATATTCTTATGGGCTTGTTTTGTAATTAAATTTAGTAGTGTCCAAAACAAAGGGGTGCTAAAATTCGAATATTCCACGAATTCTGACCCTCTCTACTAGGGGACCGAGGCCACCACACGTCCAGGGACAAGTGTCAGCCTAAGCAAAGCTCACAGTTACCCTAAGCTCTGCCAATATCAGTAGAGGAAGAAGGGAAAGATGTCAGCAGCTCGTTAAGGATGAGCTGATGTCATCGTTAACGGCACTAAGATGTTCCATCCCAGTGAACGCCGGGGTAGTCGTGCCAGCTCAAAGACCTGAGAATATAAACGGATTGTGGACGGCTAAGATCGAGTCGAAGTGTAGACAATGGTGTAGAAACTATATATTTAGTGGAGAAGCCGCTGAAGTCATGCTCTACCCCAACCTATTTCCTCCCTCCGTATCTACCATCAGGATATAGAATCAAGCACTATCCGGGCAAAGCCTAACTAATGCATATCCTCGCCATGGGGAGTAATGATACCGTAACTCGGCGATTACGCTTTAGCCCAAAGGTCATATGGAAAGGAGCTTCGACATTGCTCCACTGACGATGGGGTTGTGGCTTGATGTCCATGCAAACGGCTTAAGTGTATGCTCGGGGCTCTATGTATAGCCATATGTGCTTTATGAGCCCCGCTATCGACTAATCATTTGTTCAATACTATATAAGCATGATGCTCGCAGATTCAACCGACTGAAGTAATTCTTCTCTATGGCAGCCTGTTATTTTTTATAAACTAGAGCATAAGAAGCCAAGCCACGGCTTTCCAGGGCAAGTAACTCTAGTATCATCGTAACTCTAGTATCATAAGTATATTTTCCCTGGTAGGGAAACCCAGCGTAATACCCAGGTATGTTTGCTGTCTTCGTTTTCCAGCTTCTTCTTTGCCCTTGGGATACCTGCAAGTAAGTTGTTGAACCTGTCCTGGATTTGATAATGTTGTCCACGACCTCGTTGATAAGATCGATTGTTTCCTGGGCTTTGGCATTGTTATCCACACTGGCTATGATGAAAGTATAGTGGTGTGAAGGCTAGATTAGGGCTACTTTTATGTATACCAGCTGCATTCAGTAGCCTGTAGCTCCTTTTCCCACCTCCTAAACATGACTTCGAGGCATCTAAAGCGCATTTTCAATCTTCGTATTGTCATTTACTCATTATAATTGATAGATATAGCAATTACCATGGAAGATGACGAAGACAAACCTCCGGTAAAGATGCTCAAGGGGATGATGATGCCGTGCATCAACGACTTCACCAAGACCGCACTAGTGTTTAATAGAGGCTGGAAGGTACGTCTTGGATCTTGCATCATAAGCCAGGAGTCGTGGATCCTAAGCACTCAGGCACAACAAAACGACGGCTGTGTCTGGATTGTGTTGGGGATTGTGCGGAAGATGTAGAGGTATTCATTAATTGCAATAATCAGCGATTGCTCAGGTCCAAAGACAGACATAGAGACTACTCATATCGAGATTCTGATGTAGAATTACTCGTTTTTCGACCTCACAACAACTTGTAGGGACTGCCTTCGGCTTCTTCCACCTTCTTAATAGCCCTCTTATAACCTTCCATGGCCTCTAAACGCCTCGCATAGGCAGCCAAAAGTGGATACTTTTCCTTGCCAATTGCCAACTTGAAAGATGCGAGGATAGGAAAGCTCATCAAAATATCCGCTGCTGTTAAATCCTTACCGCAAAGGAAGGTCCCCGATTCTGGAGATGAGGCAAGCTGGCTCTCTAGGAAGCTAAAATGGGTATCGTAATTACCCTGCAGGTATTCATTTGAGACCTTGCCTGCGATGAAGCTAGTGAAGGGCTTGATGAAAAATGGGACTGGGGCGGCTTTGATAGCTAGACAGGGTGTTGGCATATCAATGATACGATGAAAATAGTCGCAATTGCGATGCTATTATGGAATATCAGTGGGAGATAAGAAGTTCAACACTTACCATCCATAAGAATCTGCGTTCCAAGAAGCGGGAAAAGACTTCCTTCAGCATAATGCATAAAGAAGCGATACCTCGCCCACTCTTCCGTCTCCCCACCAAACTTATCCTCAGTCCCCTTGAACCGTTTTGGAACAAGTTTCTCCCCATTGAAGTTATCAACGAGATGTTCGGTAATGTTGGCGGATTCAGCCAAGACGCGAGGTTCGGGTACGCCCGGATACTTAATTGTGACGATCGGAGACTTTCCGAGAGGGTGGATCTGCTTCATTTCAGATGGGGCGCGCATGTCGACGCGTTTGTAGATGTTGAGATCGTATGAGAGGTTCAGTTCCTCGAGGAGCCAGACGATACGCTGGGCGCGGGAGCCATCGAGCCTAATTGAAAACAGTCAACCATTTTCCTGGTGAGCACGCAGATATGAGAGGCCTGGGTGTACAGACCAGCTCAGTGCGATTTTGGCACCGCGGTTTGCACTCATGGTTGCAGAGAATAGGTAAGGCAATGAATAGCTTCCTGTCCCGGGCTCTCAATTGATCGATAGGCTTCGCGATATCCTTTTTCTGTGGTGAGACTTTATGAGAAAGGGCGAGTGAGCCATTTATATTCGTTGACTACGGGGGTAGCGTAGCGTAGCGTTGAAGCTGGAGGATGAGTAAGATTGGCGTCTTCACGCCGTCCTTCTCCAGATCACTAACCTTAACCATCCTAGATATCTCCTGAGAAAACCCTATGATCGGCTCATGCGCTCTAACAACGCGACACATCTTAATCTCCATCCTTGGGATGGATAAGCTGAAGAGATTGTGGTTGCTTCATCAGCGATTATTGTGTATCCCTCTCTGGCAACGCAGTACGGAGTACTCTGTACCTAGGTAAGGTACGTACAGAGCAGAGGTTATCCATTTGTCCACCACCCCGCCGCCACAAGACTCTAAATCCGGGACTGTTCAAGTATGGCTTGTGTGGCTTCCAGAGCAGTATCATTCCACCACTCGGATGCGTCAGGCTTCGCCTCTAAAGCTTCCAAACAATGGTACGTATATTTATGTGGCTTTGTCTATAGGGTTGTGGGGGAACAAGGTATTCCCAACATTGGATCTTTGCTAGTTGCGGAGTAACGTGCCACAGTGCTGGCTTTTCCTGAGTACGAAATACGGTGGGTGAAATGCGGCTCCAATATCCGTTATGATCCTCATCACTTATAGAGCCAGAGTTCCAAAGTTCCACCCCAGTGACTCCCAGCGAGGTCAGAACATCCTAGAGACCATCTATGGTAATCGAATCGCGCTCTATCACGGCGCTGACTCAGCCTAAATTCCCTTCCGGCCCGCGATGACTCTGTTCATGTGCTTTTGGTGTAACCAGTACTGCGCCGCGTCGAGTCTCCCACAAGCTCGGCCAGGCTGTTTATATACTATCTTGTCGCGTCTCTCCTAACCCCTTTGATGCGGCGTCGCTTTTTTAACTTTGCGTATAGGAGTTCCCTCGTCGAGATTGAAGATATTGAACCTTTCTGCCCCTATCCTAACGTGCTCCCGATAAGTCCGACTCGGTTTTCTGAACCCACGCAGTACAAACGGCCTCGAAATATGTAAGCCCTCGCTGCCCGCGCCCCACCTGTGCGGATTTCTAATGTGGTTGGTAAGAAATGGCTCCTCTGGTAGTCCTGTCACATGGTTCTCACTGTTCGTATAACCACGGTGTTCCTGTGCCAGCCCGATGTACTGTGGGTGCTATTATCTCGCCCTTAGCGTCGCCTTTTCAACCCCATTACCAACACCAATCGTCGCACTTCGGTCCAGTTCGATATAAGGGATATCAGTGCCCTTCGGCTCCCTTCTGAAAAGAGATTCCGACGCAGCTAACCAATATCTTACACCGCAGGCTGTAGGCTCGGAAAAGAGGACTAGCATCGCGCCACCTCGTAAGCATGAATGTGATAGACGAAATGAAGATCCAAATATGTGATATAAAGCACTAAATCCCTAGAATATTACTCCAGTTCCATCACGAATCAAAGTCCAATTCTGTCTTCTCGTCACTATGATCGCATTCCTTGGTGTTTGGTTATGGTTGGCAACCCTCAGCTTGGGAGCATTACAAGTTGACTTGGGTTATGCAATATATAAAGGTGTTGAAGACTCCGCAACAGGCTTGACCACTTTCAAGGGGTGCGTTATCGACTTGGATTTATACCTTAATCTACCATAGACTCTAATAATTCTCCATCTAGAATTCGATATGCGGCCCCGCCAACCGGTTCACTCCGATGGCAGGCGCCTCAAACTCCCGCTGTGAACAGAAGCAGTGTCATAGCTGCAAGTGACTTTGGACCAATATGCCCACAGAGCATGAATAGCAGGGAGCCATTTATGTCAAACCCCGGCACTATTGGAGACGAAGACTGCCTGTCCCTCAACGTGTTTGCACCATCAACCGCCTCAAATTTGCCAGTTCTGGTTTACATCCATGGTGGTGGGTACGGCGGCGGCAATGGCCGACAAGACCTCACATCTATCATAAACGCCAATCAAAATGCCTTTATTGGTGTTACGATACAATATAGGGTAATGATGTTTCCATTTTCTTTTTCATGGATACATTTGCTAATGACATCGTAAGCTCGGTGCCTTTGGCTTTTTATCTTCCAATGAGGTATTCAGCAAGGGAGTTGTCAATGCAGGTATCCTCGATCAGAATCTAGCCTTGAAATGGGTACAAAAATACATTCGTCACTTTGGTGGAGATGCAAGCCGCGTTACCCTTTCTGGGGAGTCAGCAGGAGGTGGTTCCGTGATGCTCCACAACATTGCGTATGGTGGCACCCTCGGCAACTCACTCTTTTCGAACGTACGTGGGCCTCGATATCAATGGACCATAAGAGGAAATTAATCACTGACCTTCCATAGTCGATTACGGCCTCTCCATATTTGCCTATGCAACATAAGTACTCGGATCCCGTGCCAACGAAATACTACAACGCTTTTGCAACTGCGGCTGGCTGCCCTATTGGGCCCACGAAAGGTTCTGCGCAAACCACTTTTTCCTGTTTAGTGGCAAAAGACACCATTACACTACAACAAGCCTCTTTCAATGTATCTGCTTCTGGTGTTTACGGAAGCTGGGCATTTTTGCCTGTGACAGACGGAACTTTTATTCAGCAACGACCAAGTCAACAGTTACTGCAGAAAAGAGTCAATGGCATGATACACATGGCGGGGGTTAGTAAATGCAAACAGCGATTTGGAGTCTATGCTGACGGTTTAAAGAATAATGCGAATGAAGGAGACACTTTCGTGAACCCGGCTATAGTTACACAAAGCGATTTAGTTGCGTGGGTGAGCGAGGTATTTCCACAGCTCACAAGTCGTGACAAATCAACACTGCTGAAGTTATATCCCGCCACTATTGCTCCACGAACAAATGCCGTTGTAAGTGTCTTCTATTACTAGCGAACACAGATATGGATTAACTCGAAATTAGAATATGTATTCTGAGACTACATTCACCTGCCCAAGCTATTGGTTGGCGGAAGCGTATTCGGCGAAAGGCTCCCTGAAATCCTACAAATACCAATATTCGGTACCATATGCCCTTCACTCGACTGACATGGGTGCTTACTTTGGACCACCAACCATAAACCAAGGACCCGACTTTGTGAAAGCCTTCCAAGGTCAGTCTAGACATTTCAGCCCTCCTTTCCCTCTCGTTGAAGAAATCTACTCACACTAAATTTTTAGCCATCTGGGGTAATTTTGTCACCGCTAGCAACCCGTCGATAAGTGCCGCCATCGCGAATGGCAGGTCTCCGCCATCTCCCAACGCCGGGAACCCAGCAGCTAATTGGCCGACATATTCCTGCTCCTCTCCTAATATGATCAATCTCAACCAGACTGGTGGCATTGAGGTCAATGTAACATTGCCATTGCCACCTCAATCTGTTGAAGTTTTGCTGTATATTGATCCCGGTTTGGAAAATGACATCTCAATGGTTAATGCTTATACTTTTGATCGCGGCAGAGGTGCCAGATGTGACTTTTGGAGAAGTATATCATCTCGCGTTCCGGAGTAGGCTCCAGTACTGCTACTTTTATGAGTCTAGCCTTAGACAGTTGGGAAATTAATCGAATGGGCCTGAGAGGCATAATATATAGGTATCAATTTGAAAAACAAGTTTTCGAGTGAATACAGGTCTCGAGAGTCAATCCTGAAGATTAACCCCTAATGTCAAAACCTATAAGGGCGGTGTATCACCCTCCTCATCGAGTAAGATATTATAGGGCGTGATATCGTTATAGATAGCGCCGAGAGAGTGAAGGTAGCGAATGCCCCATCCAGATAAGCTTCATCGCATCATCAAAGGAGACGCGCCCGCTGATGGTAAATTCCCTGAATTTCCTTTTGCATTTTGCATACTTGATCACTACGCAGGTTTTCTCTCAAGGTTCTCACTTAGGCGCGAGAAACTTTCAATAATTCAAATTTAACATCGACATTACACGGCCCTTGATTTATTCCAGAGATCAAGTTAAGTGAATATCTCCGGGACGGTAAACCGTTTACCGAAGACGCACCCTTCCACTAGCAAAAGAATACAACAACAAACTCGAAAACGAAGTTGCAAACAAAAGCGCGATAATAAATAAAAAAAGACTAGGAAATGAAAAATGCAAAAATCCAGGAAGCGCCTTTCGGCGCCCGCCACTGGCTAAAACCAGACGAACTGAGTTTTATGCTTTTGCTGGCTGAGCCTTTTTCGAGATCTCTCTAAGATAAAGACAGTAACTCTCTCCAACCTCGCACACACAATTTGATCCTTGACCACTTCGCCAAGAGGCCGGCCCTTGTGTCGAGTAATAGCCTTTTGCTTGTTTGGCCTTATAAAGTAGATGCGTGGGTTGCCGGTGATTCGGGCGGTGACAGGAGGCAACCGAAGGCGGTGGTGGCTATTGCTACGATGTCACGATATCTCCCCGACCTTTTCTGTAGTAGGCCGTTTTTCATAGGATAAGTTGCATATAGTTGAATTTATAAACAGTACCAACTTTTTTTTAAAGCCGCTGGCTGGCCTGATGGTTCTAGATGTGTAGGGTCATTCATCGGAATGCATAAAATGGGGCATGGAAATAGTGTGCTAAAAGGAGTTTTGGTGGAGGGAAGGGACGTGGTGTTAGAGAGCTGGTAGATTTCTGGTCTCGACAGTGCCCATAACCACTACCCCCTAAACCCCAAGGATCTCTTCCCAATGAAATATATCCAACAAAGCTCAGCGCCGAGCTCCTAGGGATGACCCCACAATTCCACCAATTTATTTTCTCGTCTCGTCTCCCATAAGCGACAATCGCAAAACGCAAAAAAAACCCGAGAACTTTATTATACCACAGCATGAAGCAGAACTTCAGAAGGGGCCAAGGAATAAAGAAGAAAAAAGAAGGAAAAAAAAGAATGTTCGAATGATCTTGGTGAACCAAGACCCGCAGAATGTTTGCGGCTTCTGTGGATCGAACACAGTGCCTTTAGATTAGATGAAATCCGAAGTTTACTTCAGTCTAACGCTAGAATCAGGGTGTTAGTGAGAAATTCGGATTTATCCAGACAAGGTAACTAACCTCTCCCATATGAGCTAAAGCCGCTGGTTTGTTGTTTGAAAAATTCCTTATTTTAGTTATTATGAATCCTCCAATGTGTGCGGCCAAGGACTGGACGATACCATCGATGGGTAGAGCCGAGGAGTGGGTATGGAGCTGGTGGATCGCAGGGGAAGGGGCTATATGTGGTCTGGGCGCTATGGGGATCTAATTGTATACACCTGTGGAGCTACGCCTTTCAGGTAGGTAAGTATTGGAGGGACCTCGGTGTATAAGTCAAGTTAATGTAGTTTTTGTTATTGATCTTGTAGGGGGAATTCTCGTATTTGCCCAAAAGATTTCGAGGTTCTGATTTTATTATCTGCCGTCGTGGCACCCGAGAGCGCTAAATCAGGAACAAACTAATCACAGTGGGCAGCCTAGTACAGAAGTTTGATCATAGACAGCATGCAAGATTAACCAATTTCCATTTCGATTCCTACTGTGGAGGACATTTTGCGAATTCGTTGAGCGACATAACAATCCGAAGTTAAACTTAGCCCTAACAGCCGGCCAACCGCCAACCGCCAACAACAGCCACCAACAATCAACCAACATTAGACGCACTCGCACCAGCCGATTACCAAAACCGGCTTCTGCAGGGCGGGGGAGGCGCCCCCATCAGTGGTCGAGGGAAGACGGGGGTGGCTTCTGGAAGGTTACCAAATATGGATTGTAAAATGTATGACATCAACCCACCGCTTGACTATGTATATTGCATTAAATTCGTATATATGGCAAAAGACAGTAACCTCTTACCCCGTTTCTGCATATTTGTACGCGATAGCAGTACAAAGTACAGCGAAGGGAAATGCAGGCCTTGATATACAGAATCCACCACAAACACATGTCGCTTGTTTATATTAGGCATAACGTAGGCCTTCAAAACTCCTGCCCCGACCAAGACTGGTTTTACATGCCTAGCCTGTTGACCCTAGCTCTAGTTCTAACACTAGAACCTATCTAGATGGCGCACGACTTCACAAGAGATAGTACTGCTGGTACCGGAATCGTTTCGTGAAAAGTACTTGTCGGTCAACTGGGTATAAGCTGGACTTTCGTGGCCAGGCTCATGCTCCAGTTGCAAGCGAGTCACGACCTGAGAATGAGCCATCTTCTCCCCAGTTTAGTTGCTCTAAAGAGAGCAGTAATGGACGCAATATTCTCAACCATCCTGCGTCATAGGTTTGCGTCCGTAGACGACATTTCTTCATCGGACAAGTTAGCTGCCGAAAGCTATATACCCGTTCCCCATTTAAGGCGGAATATCGAGGTGGAAGGAGGAACTTACATGACATGATACGCATGTATTCTCCGGTCAACCAAAGCCTCTCGCATCTTCCCGAGATATGCTTGTACCTCAGTATAGGACCACTACAAGGGAGACCAGTCAGCTCAAGCACTAGCAGCATGGGCATAGGGGCCTAACTCCAAGCACTCTCGTCAGCAAAGCCATTGACCAGCCCTCAATCCCCTCCTGCCAATGCAACTGATTCCACAATCCAATCTGCTTCAAATGCGGATCCTTGCTCCAGGGTCCAATTGGCATCTTAAAAGCCCTGTCGACTACATCCTCGAAGCCGGCCTCCTCGAGGTAGCCTTTGACCTGCTCGTGAATTCGCAAATCCTTTCCAAACTTGTCGCCCGCCTCGAGGGAAATCTTACCCCATTGGTCAAATATATGGCCTTCATAGATAGTGCCATCGTCAGAAACGGGAACCACGGACATCTCAATTTGCTGGTACCACTGGCCAGGGGCAAGATGACTGCAGATTTATTAGCAAAGGCGTCACGATCAAGTAGGGAGATTGGCGGGTAGCTAACGCGAGGGCTTGTTGGTAGAATGCGGGCCAGTCCGCGACACTACCATACATGGTGCGGACGTGGATGAAGTCGAAGCTGTTCTTTTTGTAATCCCAATCCGCGCAGGCATCGTTGATCTCGAACCGCACGTTTGGCGGCAACCACGACGGTTGTATGGGCGACAGGTCGAAGCCGATGACCTGCGACGACGGGTATTGATCCGCGAAGTCGATGGCCCAGATGCCGGTGCCGGTGCCAACATCCAGCACGTTGTGGGGATCTTCTCGAATTGGCGCGAGATGCAACTTGCCGCCCAGCATCAAGAGATACATGTGATGCGCGATGTCGAGCTGGTTGTTCTGCTTCTCGTCGTTGGGGCCCCAGTATTCGCCGTCCTTGTAGGCATGATAGCGGCGATTGTTCTCGTAGCGATACTTGGTGATGTCGGAGAGGAGGGACGTGGTGTCCGTCTGGGTCGAGCCGGCGTCATACGCGGAGTCGCCATCGCCCTCGTCCTGTTCATACGCGGAGTCTACGGGGATATCCTCTTCAGGGCCTGACATCTGTTGTTCCTGTATCGATGTTGTTGGTGAAATGCTCTGGGACTGGGACTGGGACTGGGACTCCAGAGCTGCTGCTTGATACGAGGACTCTGGAGGTGTCGCCCTACGAGCAGCGTGCGGGGCAGCAGCTGGCGGTGAAGTGGATTTGCGTGCGGCCGGTGTTGCGGTAGTGGCCGTAGGAGCGGCAGCGGCTGCGGCAGTAGATCCGTTGCCCGCCATAGCGGTCTTCCAGCTTGGCCGTCCGAACTACGAGTAGAGCTCCGGATGAGGGCGAGAGGAGAAGAGGAGCGTAGATGGTGTTATATCTCGGGAGTGCGCAGAAGGCTCTAGGGCTGCAGATTTGGAGGGGAGGGGGGGGAAGGGGGGCAGCGAAAGGGAGGTAGATAATAAACAGACTGGTGGGTACGGAGCAGTCTGGAAGGGGGGAGGGGATGAGAAGGGAGTGCTGCTTGGTGCTGCACGTACAGTACATACAGTACATGTACAGGTAGCCAAAACCCGAAAACCCCTCCCCCAAGATGTTTCACCATGTGAAGAGCTACATTAGGTATGTGTGTAGTGTGTAGTGTATGTGCGGAGTATGCCGTGTAAAATACGAAGGACGGAGGGGAGCATGTGAAGCACAGGGGGAGCATTCGGTTACTGTAGGAAGTATATACGAAAAAGTACAGCGTCCCACGTACCACTGTACCACCCTTTACCACCCTTTACCAGTCTGTACAGCAGTACTTCGTACATGTACATGTACTGTACATAGTACCACGCTAATACGGAAGTACCTTAGGTAAAGTACAGCACAGTACAGTGACTTATCGCGTATAGCGTACCTCGTAGCGCCATGCCCCCAGGGTTTCCCATATCCAATATCCAATATCCAATATCATTTACACTATCATAGGTCCCCGGTGCCGTGTCGTTATAGGCGTTCGGCAGTTCCGTCCCATGTCCCGGTCCGTGGTGCATTAGTGTAGCGCCAGTTTCTGCTGCAGAAAAAAAGAATCCACGCCATACAGTACTTAGTAGTACGCAATACGCCATACGCAATTACTACCTAGTCCTCCGCTCCCTACTCCGATATACAGTATCTGGCTCCATGGCGAACTGGACAGCCGGATTCAAGAACGAAACGCATCGCCAATATACCCAAGTGGTGGGCTTCACCAATAACCAGTATCACCAAGGCTTTTGGTACCCAGCACTCCGTAGTGTATACCGAGAACGAACATCCATCCTTCCATCCCTATCGCGGGATCTACGCAGCGACTCTATCGACCACCTGCTCGTGCCAACACCGCGCTAGTAAGGGACCCTTCGGCGACCATCGTACGGAGTGCTTTGCCACTTTGCCCAGCATGGTTATCATTAATCCACTTCGCTCACGACGAAGCACTACTGGCCCATTATTGCCTCGTTGAGTAAGCCACGGCCACAGCAGCCCATCCTCCGTACAGTAGTGAACGGCCGCCGGGAAGCTAAACCTTGGGCCGAATGCGCCAACTGAGGTCCCCCCCGAGCGTTGCAGCGCTGTTCGCGCGCTGGGCAGTGGTATGTACTGTACATGCACGACGTATGGACTCTCTACCGGCTCCATGGCTGGGGATGGATGGGTTCCCAATTCCCCAACTCCCCATGCCTGACGTGGGCGAGGAGCCTTGACCTTGACCCGCGAGTTGTAACCCGGTAGTAGGGTCCATTACTACTCCTCAAGCACTCGCCCATCAACCCCCCCCCACCCGCTTGCTCCTCACTACGGACTTACTTGTACTACGTGTTCCCGTGCTCTTCTACTTCTCATATCTGACGGGCAAGCTAGGAATTCAGAGCTGATCCAAGCATCAAGTAGCAGACCTCTACCCTAGCACTGTACTGTATTGTATTGTACAGTACATGTACATGCTCTCCTTCTTGCATGTTCCGGCGGTAATGGCTATCCCTGGGATCCCGCCCAAGATAGTCGTTATCGCCATCGGCCTCCTCTCCGCGTGGCTGTTACAGAAGATCTTCTCCGGTATCTACAACGTCTTCTACCACCCGGTGGCTGGGTTTCCAGGACCCAGGGCCGCGGCAATCACCGCCTGGTATAAGACATATCAGGAGGTCTTTCGTGGACGGTCATGGATTGACGTGTTACAGGAGCTGCATAAGAAATATGGTAAGCGATGCATGAGCTTCAAGGCACCATAAGCAACTACAGACTGACCCTCGCTATAAGGCAAGATTGTCCGTGTTGGGCCCAATGAGGTAGGCTTCATCCCGTTGTTCCACGGCTTGCTCCCCCTTGATGGGAATTGTTTCTTTGAAATACTAGCGGCCTAACCGCAAACTATCTGCGGCTTTCACATTGGAGACATCCTAACAACATCACAGCTTCACTTCTCCGACCCCTCGGCATATCATGAGATATATAACAACAACAACCGATGGGACAAGGAGGCAGGCCTCTATCACAGCTTTGGGGAAGACCGCTCGTCCTTCGGCTTCCTGACGTACGCAGAATCCAAGCAGCGAAAAGATGTCATGGCTCCATTGTTCTCTCGCCGGGCAATCTACGAGCTACAAGGCCTTGTTCAGAGTCATGTACGCCCTCTTTCCTCGCCACCCGATTACCACCGACCCATTTGCGACTAACTTGTCTTGTAGATTGATCGATTGTGCAAAGTCCTAGAGACCAACAATGCCGCAGGAAAATCCTCCGACCTTTTCTTTGGGCTCCGCTGTTTTACCATGGACACCATCACGTCGTTTTGCTTCGCTAAGTCCGTGGATGCCATCTCCGAGCCGGACTTCAAAGCTCCCATCATCGAGGCCATGGAGGCGTCCTTGCCGGCATTCGTCATCTTCAAGCACTTCAGCCTTATCCGCAAGGCAGTATTCAACATGCCACCATGGCTCAGTGTCATAACTAGTCCACAGACTTCAGGCCTGATTCACCTTCAGCAACTGCTCGGTTCTCAAGTCACGGAGGTTCTGAATAACCCTGACAGTTTACAGGATGCGCCGCACCGGATCATCTATCATGAGCTGCTTGATCCCAAGGCCCAGAAAGGGGCACCACTTCCATCTGCTGGCAGTCTGTACGAAGAAGCTCAGGCGTTGATGTTTGGTGGCGGTGACACGACCGGGAACGGTTTGATGCTGGGGACTTTCCACTTACTCGAATCCCCAGCCTTGGTCGAAAGGCTGAAGGAAGAGCTAAGGAGCCATTGGCCGGTTCTTGAAAATCCACCCAAGTTGGAAGTGTTAGAGAAGCTCCCGTTTTTGGTGAGATCGTTCCAGTTGAGCTTCATTACTCCGCTAAAGAATAATAGACTGCAGTAATTAAGGAATCCCTTCGCATCAGTCCCAACGTGGCCTCGCCCTTACTACGCGTAACCCCAGCGTCAGGGGCAACGATCAGCGGTTCTTATATCCCCTCAGGCGCAAGTCACCCCTCCTTTTATTCCCACCCCTACTGATTACCGGGACACAGACCATCGTAGGAATAAGCGGAAGCTTCGTCCATAACTCAGCAGATATCTTCAAGAATCCCAAGGACTTCGATCCCGATCGCTGGCTCCAGGCAGATTCGGCATCTCTAGAAAAATGGCTCGTTGCGTTCTCGAAAGGGCCTAGAATGTGTATGGGTCAGAAGTAATTACCCCCCACCCCCCTTAATCTCCAATTCCAATCAAGGATATCCCCCTAATTATCAAATAGTCTTGCAAACTGTGAACTATACCTCACATTCGCTGCGCTCTTCCGACGCTTTGATCTCGAGCTTGACGGGACCAGGTAAGACACACGTGACCTACAGAAGTTCAAAGCAGATAACTGACAATTATACTCACAGTGTGGGCGATTTGACGTGGCGAGAGTGTTTCCTCCCCTACTTCCAAGGGCGACATCTGCATGCTCACTGCCGACCCGTTGCAGAATAAGTTGTTTTTGTCCACCTATACCAAAATCGCTCTCTGATTTTCCTGATCACGATGAAATGCATCACTTGCAGCATGGTGTATATTATTGCTTTATGACATTCGCTCACTGCGAGACATACGGGTATGGTGTTCTGGTGCTAGTACCCAAATGATATATCCTCTTCAGAAACCTGGTAATTATGTTCGATTGAGGGAGAGCATATTTAATAAGAAACAATGGATTGTTATCCTTATCAGAGGAAACCTCCATAGAATCTCGGATGCATTCTATCAAAGCCAGTTTGCAGTTAGCTATACAAGATTAGGTTTGTATACTGTACCTTGGGGCTTGGCAGTCGCAATATCATCCTCCTGATTGCCAGGTCTATGATCCTTAATATCATCTGATTAATTTCCAGGTCCATGATCCTTTATCTCCTCTGATTTATCTTCTCTATTGCCGAGTATATGATCCTTAGATCTATTAACATTACCTCTATACCTACGATTACCTGTAGCACCCTGACGCGTTAATGCGATAGCCCTTGAACTAGAAGGAGGACCAAATGTCACGAGTATCGTACTTAGGCGCCTAGATCCAATCCGGATCTCGTCAATAGACGTATTGCTAAATAAGAGATTGTCGTCTAGGTATTACCGTATTGTGTTCTAGTATACGCGCTCGGTGTTTCCTTAATATCTTGAGAAGTTAAGTTGAGAAGCCCCCCTAATCCCAAAACTGGCCGATTTTAGGAATTCTTGACATTTTGTATAGATGATCACACAAATGTATACCGGATGTATTCCCCTAAGAGGTACTACGTAGACAGGAACGTATAGACGCTGATTTACGAGGTACAAGGACTTGTATAACTTATTCTTTGCATGATCCGACCAAGCAATCGGGACTCGACCCCTTGTTCCCTTGGTGACACCCCTATCCTCAATCATCTTTTGCTCACGACGTCGTCTAGTCCTATCTTCGGTCTGCTATTTATTTGGTGGTTGAAGGCAAGCTGGAGGTCAATGATGACTTGGGACTCGACCTGTGAAGGAGTTAGCATGAAGAAATACTACCAGTGTCGTCAGCCCGAACACATACCTGCTCCCGATGGCCATCAAGCGTTAGCCTTTCACGTTGCATATGCGCCGATTTTGCCGGCTTGGCTGATTCAATGAATGGCTTTCCACGCCTTAGAACGTATCCCCGAAGCTTATGATGATCAAGATCGCGGTTGAAGTGCTGTTTCATAGACTGGCGCAGGTGGGTGGGCTTCAATTGGGCTCATCCGGTATCGCCGGGTCGTAGAGTCGCAGCCAACTTCTATACCGCAAAGCTATACACATACTCAGGCTGATTGGACTAGCAGCAATAGACTTTCTATCGAGGGTTAGAAACATGGGCTCGTCACTGCCACAGGCGGGCGCGTAATAACACACCGATCAGCCATTTTTGATTTTGATGCGACTTGCGTATGTCAAGGCCAACATTCCAACATTCCAACAGTGGGCTGTTGGCACTAAGTGAGGCGTACTCGAGTAGCCACACTTCTCTTGGCGAATACCTGTATTCACAGCTTCCCCACACTTTGAGAACTTTAGAGTTGTTAATTTCTTTCTTTTCCTCCAAGATGGTCCTCTCCACTACGTTGTGGATAACAGCAAAACGGCCGGCATATTCTCGGTGCAGTGAAAATAAGGTTACAGTATTATTGTAAGCGCGAATACCCACACAAGCCCACCCCAGTCGTCAGCCTCAACTCCATCAACTCGATTCAACCATCAAGCATTGCAATTATCCTTCCGCCAAAGATATCCGCAATTCGTGTGGTACCGCAATCCCACGGCCACACTGTTTTCAGTAAAGCTAGTGAAAATGTTCGAGAGTACATACCACCTGTGGCAAGAGGTCATTTCCGCAGCAGATGCTAACCTGTTCTAGTTCCTGAATATCCCGGCTACGGTCCCCGTTTCTTGAGCATACAAGGCGGAGCCACGGTGTCGCTCATCGATGATGACGTTATCTGTAAACAGGGCAGCAGAGTGACGCGCAGCGAGAAAATGGCCATGCGGCTCGTGAAGAAACATATCCCCGATTTCCCAACGCCCGAACTTCAACTTTCATCATACAGTACTACCAGGGTCTTTGGCCAATTATGCATGGATGTCGTACCAGGTTCGACCTTGAAGCTGTCTTGGGATGGGCTCGATAATGTCACAAAAGAACGTCTTTGCCATGAGACTTGGGCTTTAATTGCTCAACTGCGACAGATTCCGAAGCCGTCTGAGCTGAATCATCTTTTCCAATGCTCCGCCGATGGCTCTCCTACCAACGATGTGCTTATCAAAGATCTCGAGGACCCCCCTAGGCCCTTGCTGGATGACCATGCTGTACGGACCCGCATATGTGAACGTTATCACCACTTTTATGGGCGAAGGTTTACTAAGGAGCTCCCCGACATGCTTCCACGCTCTAGTGTATCTGTTTTCACGCATGGTGATATTTGTCCGCAGAACATTATGATAGATGGGTCCAATCATATCACTGGTATTATCGACTGGGAGACTGCAGGTTGGTATCCGGACTACTGGGAATATGGCAATATTATGAAGCCTAGGACGGAAATAGATTGGGCAGCATTGATGGATCAAACCGCCCCACAAAGATGGGATCTAAGTGGCATAAAAGCGGCGAGGAGAGTTCTGTTCTAGGCGCCAAGCAAGACACTATCTCATACATAGCGACTCCTGCAACCTCCTTCGCTATACATTACTTCCTTGAGATGGTCAAGATCAATGCTATGCTGACACGAAACGACGCTTAAGTCATCGGAATCTTCGGTTACGACCACTAAACAATGGCTGGTAGTGGACATTGAATGTGTTTCGTTTGTTATTGTTCTAAAATTCCTTCTACCATCCTCTTTTTAACATGATGAGTTGTATGTGAAATTTCTGCAATGCCTTAATAACTAAGCAGCCACAAAAATTGACAGAATGAAATGAATCACAACCCACATATCAATCCGTTTCAATGTCTATAAATCTGAATACACCACATCGACCGAAAATTAGCGGGCTTTGGGTATAGCTGGTTCTAAACTCGTTGTCTTTATTAGGCCACGGTTGAAACAAATCAATTTATCCAGCGGTAGACTAGGCGTCTCGCGATTCAATACCTCCAGCAACAGCCAGAGCAGCACATCCGGGAACTGGTAAAGCCTTTCCGGCGCTTAATCTCGCGGCTCTCGCTACGGTCTGCAAATTTAATAAGCTGCTCCACGCGCTAGACGTGCGGATTGGCTTTTTCTATGGCTTTATTATGGCGAAGCATGGTCGGACCGCCAGGGTGTGCACAACGGCTAAAATTGCAACAAGGGCATATTTCAATGAAAATCCTATTCTAACAATTGTGGAGGCTGCACTGCTTCATTCTTCACCCTCATGCTGATCATTTTGAGTTTATGCAGCTCCACAAAATGTGGCGGAGCCATTTCCGTGAGCGCAGTTCAGGATTCTATGAGGCTTATTATGTTTCACTGACATGTTGGAACCAAAAATCTTACTGTAAGTGGCGGAAAGAACGCTACCAACACATATCAATTTGGCCGAGAATATGTCTTCAGGGCGTTCTTCCAAGGCTATCCCTGTCACCACAATTGTTTGTACAAGTGCTGGCTCGCTGGGAACTCGAGAAGCCTTGTACGCGGCCATTGCGACTATTTTGGGTAGATTGAGACTTCCTTCATGGCGCTTATTGGGTTACTCCAAAACATAGGTTAAGTCACAGGAGATCTTAGAAGCTATAAACGGTTATAAACTCTCCTCTCTGCAAAGCTAGCCAACCTGAACAGCTCTTCATATAAGCTGAGCACTCTGATATTTTAAATATTATTATCCGCACAATATTTCGACGAAGACATATTCCGTGACTGTACAACTCCTACATTCACATCATTAGTGCAAAACATTGAGCGAAGACAATTCCATCATGGCATCAAAGCCATCACGCATGGGTATCACTTCCTAAATTTAAATACTGTGTGTGTAAGTTAACCTGTTTTAGCAAATGTGAACTGGAAATATGGCTCATATTTGATTATGGTCCCTATCCTACTTTTATACGGTAACCTTATCTATTTTGGTGATTTTTCTCCGAACCAAGCGGATGGGTTAATATGTGTGTCAAATCTAGTGCTATCTCTCACCGGCTGTATATCGAATTCGCCCGGGCTACAAAACATCTTCTTAATCACACCTCAAGAGCAGACTGGTAGTTCAAATGGTGCCTTGACAAAAGTCCAGCTACGTATCGGTTACTTTGGTAAGTGTATCCCGCTATTTTATAGTCCCAAATTGACCAATACAACAGGTATGTGCGTACACGCTGGCGCAGGATCGAATTGCTATCTTTCGGTATCAACTACGCCTGAAAATTTGCAATTAAAACTTAATTCGACAATGAATCTTAGCGACACAGACATTACCCGGGTCTCAGGGCTATTCTCTGCGGCATTACCGCTACAGACAAAGGTTTTCCTTCCACTTTTGGCTGCAGCGGGCAGCTTTTTTCTGCTCGGTGTCGCATTTCTCATGATTTTCAAGTGGTCTGCCAAACGTTCACGCAGCAGTCTGACGGATATGTCTACCAAGCGACAAGAACTTTACAGGAGGGGCTTAACAAGCTTTGTATGGGCTTCTGTGGGACTGGCTATTGCTTCAGCGGTGTCGATCACTGAGTCCTCAGCGGCGTTACAGTACTGGAGCGCCAACGTGTCCAGGTCAAGCATTACTGCGTCTGCGGGCATGGCAATGCAAGTTTTGCAATGGATGTTCGTTGGACTTTCCGTCATATTTGCTCTTGCCGTCACTTCTATGCTCAAAGCAGCTGAGTCTGGAGCTCTTCTTGGACCAGGAGGAAATGGATTGCCGCCTAAGCCAGTGGCCACAAGAATGCCTCCACCAGGGCCACCATCGTTTGCAGCTCAGCGCCCACCACCACCAAGCACCCTTCCACCATAATTATTGTCATCCGAGTTTACCTGTAAAACAATGATATATCCGTGTTGGGCTTTGTTTGTAGATCTTGACGGAAAACATGGAGTTGAAAAGGATTTCTTATCGCGATATATTTGGTATAAACTTTTCAGGTCAAAGAAAAGAACATGTTCAATACTTTGTGATACCCAGCACTTATCCATGAAAGCCTCAAGTAAACTACATTAGACTTGAAGCCAGCTCTCTTCGAATTCGAATTTAAGGCAGACTTGTCTAAGAATGCGTGTTAACCCGTGGGTACCCGGGCACAACATTGTGGCCTCGTGTGGCTGAGTGGCTGTGCAGATTGTGTGTGGCTTTTGTCCTCTCACCGCCCAGATTAAGGTATGGTCCGTGCCTTAATCGCGAACATTTTATCTTCCACTGAAACTTCGAGGAACTTTTTTCTATCATTCCTAATCGTAGGACCCTCAATCGGCTTCCCCTCCACCAGCACCATGGATATCCACCGCTGTCGATTCGTGCACTACCCTCCCTCGACGATAAATGCACTGGCATTTTCGCATTCTCACATCCCCGACGACCGACAAACCACCCCCCCAAGACTTGCTGTAGGACGAGCGAACGGAGATATTGAGATATGGAATCCGTTAAATGGGTCATGGCTCCAGGAGATGGTCATTCGTGGAGGCAAAGACCGGAGTATTGATGGTCTGGTCTGGATTCAGGATCCAGATGAGGAGGTTCACGGCACCACAATCATTGGAAAATCTAGGCTTTTCAGCATAGGATATACCACGACGGTGACGGAATGGGATCTGGAGAAAGGTCGGCCTCTCCGACAAGCAAGTGGGACCCATGGAGATATATGGTGTCTTGCTGCACAGCCACCTTTGGCGCCGGTGAAGGACAAGAAAAATGCTGCTACCACGGGTCAATGGCAAGGACAGCATCTCATTGCTGGCTGTACGGATGGAGCTTTGGTGCTATATTCGACGAAAGACGAGGATCTCCAATTGCAGCGAGTTCTCATAAGACCATCGTCCAAGAAGGCGAAGGTTATCAGCGTCACCTTCCAAGACCGAAATATCGTCGTCGCCGGCTGCTCGGATAGCACAATTCGTATATACGATATTCGAAATGGGACGGCCATACGGAGTATGTCATTGGGTCAGGGGCCCGTAGGCGGACCGAAAGAAATAATAGTTTGGTCTGTTAAGACGCTTAAAGACGGGACGATTGTATCGGGCGATTCGACGGGGGAGTTAAGAATTTGGGACGGGAAGACATACACTCTCAAGCAACGCATGAAGAGCCACCGTCAAGATATTCTGAGTCTAGCTATAAATTCCGATGGCTCGTCCATCATTAGTGGCGGTATGGACAGACGAACTGTTGTTTATAAGCAGGCTGGAAAAGCAAAACGATGGGCAGAGGTATCGCATCGGAGATATCATAATCATGATGTTAAGGCTATGGCAAGTTTCGAGGGTAGAGGAATGAGCGTAGTTGTCTCTGGAGGTAAGTGGTCTCGTTTTGATGTTACCAACAACATGTTAATCTTAAAAAGGTCCTGATGCGTCACCCACGGTCTTACCACTCAACCAATTTGGATTTGAAAACCAGCGAGCGTTACCATTCCTCCCCCAAGAATCCATTATCCAAAGTGCACCAAGGAAAAGACTCATGATGAGTTGGTGGGAGAGGGAAGTTTACATATGGCGGTTAGGCAAACTAGGGAAGCCCCATGCGCATTCAGAAGACGCTGACGAAGAGTTCGCATCGCGAAATCGAAAATTGGTGGCCAAGATATTGATCAAAGGGGAGGCGAACATCACCTCTGCATCTCTAAGCACCGATGGCGATCTACTGGCTGTGGCTACTGCCTTAGACGTGAAAGTCTTCCAGCTCCGAGCCAGAAGACCGGATGACGGAGACGGACTCAAGATTTCAAAGGTTACTGTTCCAGCAACATTATCATCTGGAGCGCGACTCGTCCAATTCTCACCAGACGGCAAATGGCTCAGTATCGTTCGTCCCGATAGCCAAATTGCTGTTGGGCGGATTATCTCCTCAGGCAGCTCGTCCGCGTCATCTATCACGATCCTCCCGCGGCTTTTAAAATTGGGCCGAATCGACCGACACATTGAAAAATCTATCCTTTTGGGAGGCCTTGGCAGTTACGACAGAACGGTCACGCAAGCTGCGTTTTCCTGGGATAGTAAGATACTGGCTGTCAGTGATCTTGCAGGTTACATCGACACGTTTGTTTTGTCTGGACACGAGGACCTCAAGGGGACCGACGCAATTGAGGACGAAGATGCCGCGTCATCCTCCGAATCTTCAGACTCAGATTCGGACTCAGACTCGGAGAGCGAAGAAGAATCCAAGCCAAAAACTGCCTGTGGGCAACACTGGGCACGTAACCCTTCCGCCACTCTAATTCCACGTCTTCCTTCCGCACCGGTCGTTCTGTCATTCCGGCCAACGCGTAAACCATCCCAGAGGAAGTTGACAAATGGTGCCACGCCCCATGACCCATCATCAGCCGGAGAAGACGGCCTCCTAGTCGTCACGGCCACCGCTGAAATCTTCGAATTCGAAGTCCTAAAAGGCGGGTTAAGCGCATGGTCCCGGCGCAACCCAACTGCCGTCTTCCCAGAAGAATTCCGCAAGAACCGTGACCAGGCCAAAGGCTGTCTCTGGCACATCACGGAATCAGAACAACGCGTATGGCTCTACGGCGTAGGCTGGCTGTGGATGTTCGACATCTCAGTCGACTTCCCCTCCCCAACTACCACCAGCACCAGCACAGATGAAAGCGGTGTCGTTGCCGCAACACCCAGCAAAAAGCGAAAACGACAGCAAGGCAAAGAGCCCTCCACAGGCGCCGGCTCAGCGATCCCAGACCATGAACTGGGAACCGGTATATCGCGTAAAACGCAGCGGTTCGTGCATGATGAACTCCTCGTAAACCACGATATCAATAATACCTCCTCTTCGGATGCTATGGATGTCGACGGCGAGGACGAGCATTCCACAGCGCTGGAGCAGCTACGGCGCGAGAAACAGGATCAGCACCAGCAGCAGGAGGGTGCAGATAAAGCGGGGCACTGGCATACGTATAAATACCGGCCGATTCTAGGCATGGTTGTTATAGGCGGGGACGATGAGGATGCGGGCGAGGCAGATGGTAAAACGGGCCTCCTAGAGGTGGCTGTTGTAGAGCGGCCGATTTGGGAGGTCGATCTCCCGCCGAGATGGGATGGGGATCAAGAGTGGGAGAAGAGCGGGTTGGACTCGCTATGAAAATAGAAAGCTGCTAGCTGCTTGCTGTAAGGGATTTAAAAAAAAAATCTAGATGGCTGGCTTGACGGTATGTATAAGGTAGATGCAACGCATATGTCCTTATCATGTAAACGGAGGGGGAAATTAAGATACGTAATTAGATTCTTAAAATTTCCAATCCATCTGATTAACAAGTGAAGGCTTTTTTGGGGATATTCTTTTGGAATGGAACATATAGTAAAAATGACATAGAGTAGGGGGAGCCATCCATCTAATGAAATCATCGAAAAGGTGATATATACTCACCTACGTACGTACGTACTTGCGGCCTTGGGTTTAAGAACGACAGCAAAACAATTCCAAGTTGCAAGCCTTCGCCTGTAACCTTCCGCTCTTCTTGGGGCCTGGTACGAGACATATGTAGTTAATCCGGTATATGTCGCTTACCTATACCTATAACGAGCAGAGCGATTTCACGCACACATATATGTCTAGGTAGGTAGGTATATGTCTGCCAAGTTTGCTTAGAGACCCCTTATCTCATTAGCCAGGCCGAGGAATAACGAAGTCACTGTGTAGGGACTGGTTGAAAGTAGCTGATAAAAGCTCATAATTCTTCACTGCATCTGCCTCATCTGCTGTGTATATCTACATTCCCTCTTCTGCAAGTCATCTCGTAGATAACATACCACCTCTCCGCGCAGTTCCCCAGTATCTCACTCATACATGATCGTCATCTCAGAGCAGTAAATACCACTGCCAAATGCGTCATTTCTATCGATCGCAGCACTTAAGCTCCACGTTAAACCCTTTCCCTTCATATTTCCCCTCCCCTGGCCTCCCCCTGAAAAAGAAATCCGCTTTAACGCCAGCTGTATTTATACGCCGATTCCCAGGCACAGCATGAATGATATCATCCCATCCTTCCCTCATCTTTGATAACAAAAGAAATTATATAGGTAACCTGTGATCCGTGCCCGCCTTGACGCCGTGAGAAAGACAAATTCCCTTGATGCAACCGCATAATGCATAGAGCGTACAAGCCTGTAGAAAAATAGGGCGGTGATAGTGGGTATTGTTAATGTTGATTGTAGAATGCCATGACCTTTGGATAATAAGATGGCTTGCGTGTTGAAAGGATGATGGTGCTGCCGGTTTGACGGACTCGAGATTTGTGTGTGTACTGTTACCGTACTGGCGAACAGGCTTGTCGATTCGGCTCGGCGCTTCCGGTCCTCTAGCGGTACCATTATAGCTGCTCGAAGGGAGTCAAGGAGCCTGGACTAGCTCGTTGGGTAGTTTTATGATAAATAGAAATTATTTTGTCGGTCTGAATCTTTCAGTGTCCGCGTTGTGAAGGGTCTCTTGGAGCTTGATGCCGAGGGCCATTCTCTCCTCGAGCATTGATCCATTCCTGAGTGCCCGTCTGCCTACCAGCAGGCTGCTCTGCGGGCAGCTTCTGGTCATCCGATGAGCGACGTGCAGGTGCGTTGATCGTTGCTGGGGCGCCCGGTCGAAGGTTCGATACCACGGAATGCGCTATCGACGCAACGACGTATCCTCGAAGTTCCTTGTCCTCTCGGGTATCCTCCTTCTCCAACCGGAATCGCTCGTCCTTGGGCATGTTCGATCGGCGGATATTCTTGATCTCGTTCATGATGTAGAGCATGACTTCCTCCGGGCATCTGCTTCGCTCTGAGGCGTGGTCGGTTTTGCGCACGTATCGTCGGGTGACGTCCGTTGCTCCATCAATTGAGAAGGCAACGCAGTACGACATCTTCTTGCCCCATCCATCGGTATATAGCCGTGGGTTGTCCCATGCCTCCTCACACGCATCGACATGAACCCATCGCTTTTGCATCTCGGAGTAGACCTCAGTCCATACATGGTCCTCGGCATTCCACACCCATCTTACACGGCCTCCTACAGCGCGACACAGCATGCTGAAGACATTGGCCCACTCTCCGCAGCGCCCTTTTCTTGTTTGCAGTAAGCGCCATACGTCTCCATATCGTGGAAACCTCTCATACGCGCCGCAGTCGCCGGCCGAACATCGGTATAGCTCGACTCGAAGGGCGCCATATGCCGACTCCTCGGGCGTGGGAGGTGTCATGCCTTGCGCAATTGTTGGGGACAGACAGACCGAGCAAGGTGGGTTGTTGACCCAGGAGAAAAATGATCGCTTGAACCATCTAGTCCAGTTAGAGATCATCACCAAAGGTCATAAGAGGGAGGGAGCCACAAACCTTAATAATGCGCGGATAACGCAATCTTGATAGCCCCACTCAGGTCGTCGTCCATCCCCCATACTCTCTGCCTGTGCCTGGAGCACCTGGCTCTCCTCCTCCGCCTCGCCATATATCCTGTCCAGTGGGATGACCTGTAATGCCTCGTCTAATAGCCCAGGATTTTCGTATTTCGTGGGGGTTAATGATAGCGAGATTAATAGATTTCTGAACTTCTGGGATTGAGGGTCTGCGGGCGCGGTTGGGATCTTTGGTAGGGTTCGCAGGGACGCATAGGAAGGAGGAGTGGCGCCGAAGGAAGCGCCTGGCTGGCCGCTCGATGTGGATGGTCGGTAGCCTGGCGACGGGGGAGGAAGAAGCGATGACGATGACGATGATGATACTGCTGCTCGGAGGTTGTTTGACGATGCTCGTTCGCGCGGGTGTGACTGTGGTTGTGGTGAGGCGGTTCGTGAGCGCGATCGGTCGAGTTCATTTAGTCGCTTCGTCCGCAGCAGTCCCTCGAACTGGACTCGCAGGTCCTTGGCCCATTGCTCGTCATATTCGCCATTCTGGGAGTGTGGAGGCGCCAATCCCCTATTCGGGTCGGCCATGTCGCCGGGTTCTCGTCACGGTCGAGGGGGATGTGGAGAGAGGCGAAGACGAGCCCGGCTTCTCTCCTGCAGGCGCACCTCTGATGGACTCTCGTGTGCGATGTATCTGGTGGTGGGTAATATGGTAATATGGGATCGTGGTGGTCGTAGTGGTCGTGGTAATGGTAATTATACCGGAGAAGTCGTCGTAGTCGTCGTCGTTGTGGTGGTGGTCGCTCGGAGGTGGTCCTGTTCCCTTCTCCTCTCTCTCTCTCTCTCGGCCCTCGGCGCACGGGACAAGCAGCGCTTTTGAATTGTGACGGTGACGATGCGATGTGAAGTCGGGGAGGTGATGACAATGGAATGGCGGAAAGAAGAGCGAGTGTAGAGTGGAGTGTGGAGTGTCGAGCGGTGTCGAGTGTAGAGTGTAGAGTGTAGAGTCCTCGGTGGTGAAGCGCAGCAGACAGCAGACAGCACGCAGCACTCAGCACAGCCCACAGCCCCAAGTCGTCGCAATCGTTGCCTCGCTTAAGGCAAAGCTTTTAGGCTAGGCGCAAGGCCGCGACACCAGAATAGAAATACTCTACTGTACGGAGTAGTGTACTACTACTGTGCCTTGGAGAGGTGGCAGTTGTTAAGAACCCAAGGAGGTGTGTTTAAGTTGTGGTCGTTGTGGCAGCTGTCGCCGAGTGGAGCGGAGCGGGAGTGGAGTCGTGAGGTGTGCGGTGCGGTGGTGGATAATGTGGTGCTATGCTGCCATTGATATTGATATTGATATTGATATTGATATTGATATTGACCATGGCAATGATAATGAGAGTGGAATAAGAATGGGAGGCAATAGGAATAGGAATACGTCGTAGGGAGAGCAATCGTAATAGGTTGGCAATTGCGTGGCCCAGCCAGAGCCTGAGTGAGCGGTGGTGGTGGCCAACGTACGCAGCACGCAGGCTGTCTGGGGGGGACGACTCGTAACGGATACGTCGTACGTAGGGGGAAGAAGAGGACGAAGGTAAGCTGGACTCTGGACTCTGGACTCTGGACTCTCGAGTTGCTACGACGCCTGCTACTACTTGCTGCTAAACTACTATTGCTGGTACTGCTACTGCTACAGCTACAGCTACTACCACGACTACTACTGCTACTTCGTATTGACCGTATATACTATATTTATTTACTACCTACTGCCTACTGCCTACTCTGGATACACTACTGACTGTATATTGTACGCCGGACACTGGACACTGGACACTGGACAACTACCTTTTACTACTGTACGTATAAACTGGCCACGAACGAGCCCTGGAGAACGCGTGGATCTACCGAGCAACCACTGACCGTCGGCCCTGCATTCGTCACTTCCGCCTGCTGACGCTTCTGGCGCCGCTGATTGGCCTCGCTTGGGCCCCTGCCGGTTCCTTCCACGCCGACCGCTGCAAAGGCTGACGACGACTCTCGCGGGGCTGCCTGAGGCGTGAGGCTGGGCTTGGGCTTGGCTTCCGTTTAGTCTCGTGTACCGTACCGTACCGTACTGTATCTATCTACGCTGTATCTATCTAAGGCATCTATCTATTAAAGCAGCAGAAGACCTTGGCAGCAATTAATATCAATCAAATCAAATCAAATCAAATCAAATCAAATCAAATATTCATTCATTGGGATCCAGATAGGGATACATCGGGATAGACAAGACCTACAGTAGAATCCCTTACCTACAGTAGTAATGGAGTTCTTGATATGGTCTTCCCTCCTGCTCTGCTCTGCTCTGCTCCACTCCCTCCACCAACCCAACCCAACCCAACCCAAGGCAGTTTGATTTTCCGGAAAAGAAGTGACCCGCGCTACCTCGCCAGGCAAGCAAAGATCATCCATCATCCATCATAAATCACCTTGCCTTACCTTACCTTACGCAAGCAAGAACCTCATACGCACGCCGCAAGCCGAAGGATTTTATTCATTTGGATTCCCACCAGAAGCGTCGTCGTCTTACGCATACTCGAGTACCCGTACCCGTAGCTCTCCCGGCTTTTGGCCACCCGCGCAAGCCATCGTGGGCGTAATACTTCGTACGGTACGAAGTACTCGTATGTACTTCGTACCTTGCCACCACCCCTCGACGCGTCCAGTGTCCAGGTGTTCAGTGGTGTCGTCGTCTGGCTTGGAAATTGGGAATTGGAGATTGGAATCCTCGAGTACGAGTACGTGGTACGTACGGTGCCTAGAAGGTAGATCCTGGCTCCTGAGGTATGAGTTATGAGTTATGAGGGGAGTGAGTGCCAAAGAAAAGGTCTCACTTTCTTCCGTACTCGCTGGCGTCTGTCTCTATTAAACTCCCCGAACTTCTCCTCTCGATTATAGATGATTGATTATTGCTTCGTGCCCTCATACAGTACCATTGGCTCCCCTCCCCTTGGTATACTTTTAATGCATGTACAGTACATACATGTACTTCAATCCATATTATTACCACACTCTGTACCATACAAATATCTCTCCCTCTCCCTCTCTCCGTCTCCGGCTCCTCAAGCGCGACTCGAGGCCGCGTACACCCAGTCTTGGCATCCCCTCCCCCCCGGCGCCCTGGCGAATCGCGGTCAGGTTCAACGCACGCGCGGCTGCCTCTCAGTTGGCCCCCCGTTGCTACAGTAGTATCATCATTATTATTAATTATTACTATTTGTCCAGAACTCAAGACCCAAGACCCCAAGCCCCCAAGCGAACTCATCTCAAACAACCGCCCTGGGCGCCAATTATCCCCCCCCAAGAAAAGCTTCAATTCCGTGTCCCAGCAAAGGTATGTCTTGGCATCCTCGAGCGATTGATAATACATCTGAAACCCACACGACCTTTAAAACCGCACCCGTCGCTCTGGGATTTCTGGTAACGGCGTTGCATTGCAGTCTGTCTCGGTGTCGCTCTTGTCCAGCAGGATAAACATCCCACAACCGGCTTGGATGATGTGATATCCCGTTATGTTTCGGCATCCGAAAATGCCCATTTGCGGGCCCCTTGATTTCATACATATACCTTAAGTACCTTGGGTACCTAGGTACGTCGTACATATGCAGCCTATTAGCCTTTCGGAGATTCTTTGCTGTTGACCCCCTTTACCTCGCTCCGTCGAAGCTTTTTTCGTTGGAGGTGCACATACTGCGTGCTCGTACAGCATGCGCGGCATTTTCTTCCGATTCTTGGCTACATCCGGCGACGGAGATGGGGATCAGGCACATAGTATTTACGTTCGTACGGCCATGGCATATCAGCGGCTGAAACTTCCCCTGTTCAACCAGTCGTCCATGCTTGGAAGTCTCGCATAAGAAACGGATCCCGTCTTTATCAAGTCTTCTATGCTATTTCATTTCATCATACGCCAAAGTACCCAAGTAGGTACATAGGTACCTTGATCATTACGCAGTAGGTACCAAAGTACCTATGGAATTTGGTCATGTGATTATCAATCAAATAGTCCCACTTTTATCTCTATAGAACTGCCCCATTGATAAAGAGAGCTCCCAATACAAAGAGAAGCAAGGCTTGCAGCAAACATAATAGCATGCTGCCCTTGCACATGATGCAAATTCTATGTCTGTTGAGGCCAATAGTTAGCTTCAATTCAGAGTCCCCTTCTACAACTTTATAACGAAGGGCAAGGCGTGCTCGGCCCGAACCGACATCATGTGGATGTGGATGAGACGACGTCAATACTTCGGGTGCGAAGGAAACCGTTCCGAGTTGGTAAAACGTCATAATTTGAATCTTGCTTCCTTATTCCTTTTGAATCTCCCTTAAAGTCTTGACTTTATTTTGACGTTATCTGCTTGATGCCTTAAACCGTATATTCTCCCTCCCAAGCCATTGCCACAGGGCTGTGGCTGGCATGGCCCGAAGTTACCGCCTCGTCCGGAATTTCTCACGGCGACTGAAATATCCCATAAGCAATGATCAGATTCGAAAGATCAAGTTCTACCTTCCACCTGTAAATTTCATCTCTATCCACTACATCTACATCATCACCACCTCTCTCATCGCCTCCATCATCTTCTGGGGCTCTTCAAGCCCCTCAAGATCGATCACATACACCGACTCACTCTACACCACTGTATCTTCCATGACGGTCACGGGGCTCACCACCCTAGACCTCAACCAACTGACCACGTTCCAGCAGATCCTTCTCGGGTTCCTCATGATGATTGGGAGTACGATATTCGTTACTCTCGGGACGGTGTCGATCCGGAAGAGGGCCTTTGAGAAAAGATTTCGGGAATTACCAGACCAGGAGTTGATAGAGGAGCCCGGGGATATGCGAGATATGCAACGCTCTAGAACGCGTCATCAGACTTCTCTGCCCTCGAACAGAGACCTCGAGGCAGAGAAACCCATAGAACATGCCGGAGAGCAGGACGATAGGAGAGGTGGGCGTGAATCCATCTCGCGCCATTACGGCCCAGGGATGGGGTTCAGAAGCAACGACGATGCCAATGGGATGGAGAACTACACGGGGACTAGCGTCACTCAAAACCAGGACCATATCATACAATATGCCCCTTCGCCATCATCACAATCCAAGCCTCGCTGCCGCTTTCTGAAATTTGCTGGTGTAGGGGCGCACCCCTACTCCACTGCCTACCGCCCTCATATCCCGAACCAGCTCGCCCATCGTCAAAGAGGACGTACTCACAATGGCTCTCAGAGTGGCACTCATGGAGCTTCTCAACCTTCACATTTCCCCACATATCTCACTAAATACACGACCGGACGAAACGCACAATTCCACGCACTGTCAGGGGCAGAAAGAGAGCATCTAGCTGGCATGGAATATCGAGCTACAGTAATGCTGGTTTACGTTGTAGCGGTCTACTTCGTGGCATGGCAAGTCTTTGGCGCTATTAGCCTTGGAGCATATATGGCACATAACAATGCTAGTTTAGCGGCGGACAATGGGATCAATCCTTGGTACGTGGGAAGAAATGTGAGGGTCTAAGATCTAATCAAGTGTAGGTGGATGGGCATATTTTTCGGTGTGTCCGCGTTTAATAGTGGTGGCTTGTCGTTACTCCCTACTGAACTGGTAATGATACTCGGATGTTAAGTAGTAGCGTAGAGTACTAATCTTGGACAGATACCATTTCAAAATTCGATATTTACTTTGATCGTAGTCTCTGTGGTAACCTTAGCTGGTAATACTGCGTCAGTTCTTTACCACCGCTCCTGTCGAATTGTGGCACAGTTACTCACGTATCCATAGCTATCCAATCCTCCTCCGTCTCATCTTGTGGACGATGTTGAAACTCCTTTATCTTATCTGCCCATCCGACACCCAACAAAGCCAGCACAAAGCCACCCTCCGCTTCCTACTCCGCTACCCACGGCGGGTATATTCAATTCTCTTCCCAAGCCGGCCAAGCTGGTGGCTACTCTTCATGATCATATGCCTCACCAGCATCGACTGGGTGGCTTTCGAACTTCTCAACATCGGCAACCCAGTCGTAACCCGAATCCCCGTGGGCATTCGGGTACTAGACGGGCTCTTTCAAGCAATCGCCGTGCCTACATCTGGCCAATACGTTATTGATATATCATCCCTCCGCATCGGCTTGCAGGTCCTGTACGCCATAATGATGTACATCTCTGCATACCCGGTAGTAATAACGATGCGGCATTCAAATGTCTACGAAGAACGCTCCCTCGGTCTCTACGGCAATGATTCTTCCTCTTCCCTAGATACCAACGAGGACGGCTACAAATTCCCCACCCATCCAACAACTCCAAACAGCACAACCGACCACGGCCACCGTGGCACCGGCCTCGACTTCGTCTACCACCAAATCCGCCACCAACTCGCCCACGACATCTGGTGGATAATAGCACCCATCTTCCTAATATCCTGCATCGAAGTATCCAACTACGACCGCGACCCACTAACCTACTCCGTCTTCAACATCGCCTTCGAGGTTATCGCCGCCTACACCGTCGCAGGCCTCACCACGGGCCTGCCGAATCAACAGTATAGCTTTAGTGGCGATTGGCATACGGTTAGCAAACTTATTATGTGTGCCGTTATGGTCAGGGGGCGGCATAGGGGACTGCCTACTGCGATTGATCCCGCGGTTAGTTTGCAAGGGCAGAGGGAGCGGTTGGGGGCTAGGGAAGAAGAGGATTTTAGGCTAAGGGGGAGAAAACTACATCTTGGTAAAAGGAGACCGAGTCCTGGGAGTGCGGTTTAAGAGTGCTAGTATGGTGCTATTGCGAGAGGTGAGTTTAAATGCGGATCGGGAAAAGGGGGGGTTTGTCACGTGATGACTGAATATGCTAACGCTAGGTTTGCATTGGGCTTGGCGCGGTATTTAGAAAGGGTAGAAGTTGAAATAACTCAGTGGTCTTATTATCTAGAGGGCCTATCTTGTCCTTAGTTTAGGTGTGTCGAACATAATATATTAACGACAGACTTCTTAACTTCCGAAATTTATTTTTAGCACGTTGACGAGCCGATGATTGTTAAATTTATAACTACTCTCAACTGGCACACTGCTGCTATTGTCTATTGTCTATATAAGTTAAAATTAAATTATATTACGCCTGGTAGGCACCGCTGTGTGAACTATATGTGACACTACAAGAGGGTGGGAAATATGTATCAGTTCACTAGCAAAGGAAGTCCACAGCAACCACCAATGGAGCAATAATATAGTTGCAGTGTCTGTACTGGAATTTGATCCTGGACATGGTTTAAAGTTAAGACCGTACTTCTGTTTGCGTAAGGCCTTATTAAGGACAAACACTAGGGATATAAAAGAGTGATTGATTAGAGGTGCATAAAGGACAATCACTTGCAAGCTGTGAATAGCAGACATTGCCACATATTAGGTACTCCGAAATTCACTTGCAACAGCTTGACTGCCTACAAAAACAAGCGAGGCCGAAAAATAACTCCAGCCCCTTCCTCTATCCCTCCTTGTCCTAAAAAAACCATCAACATAAGTCTCTTGCAACCATCGATCTATAGCAACGAGCCAAATTCCGGAACATATACAAAACAATCACAAGCAAGACACCGAGGATCCCAGACAGTCGCAAGCATGAAGTCCATCGTCAACTTGGTTGCCCTCGTCCTCACCTTTCTCACGCTCTCGATCTCTACCTCAGCCTCCCCTACCAATAACGGGCTTGCTACCAATGAGTTCGTCTACCCCCACCAAATCCTCAAACGCTCGTACAATCTTGACTGCGCCAAACTCGTCAATGCCAAAGTGTGCACCGCTCTCGGCGTCGCCTGCGACCAGAATGGCAATGTTCTGAATGCTCGCTCCCCTGACCTCCCGAAGCATTGCGGCCCTCTTCAATGTGTCTGTACCCCGGTGGGAGCTGGCGACCCGCTGCTTCCGAAGACCAAGACTATACGGGCAGCAGGAATGGACAGTATGATGACATCGCAGATGAGCAGCATGATGGCGACTCCCACGAACAGCATGATGGCATCGCAAATGAATAGTATCATGGGAACTCCAGCAAGCAACATGATCGGAATTTCCCCAAGCATTGTGACTGGAAGTGAGCCAACCAGTTTGGCACCGCCTATCAGCAGCATCACGGCAACTCCTTCGACCGGTACCATGGCACCACCTCCTATGAACAGCATCTTACCAACAAGCACAATGTATATGACAACCGTTGTACCGCATATGCATACGAGCCGCTTGGAGGGATCCGTGACTGGTACATCAACAGTGGTTGTCACCTCAATTACTCTGATGACAACTTCCATTACACCAACCGCTTCGACCTCAGCCAACGACGCCCATACGCATACTGCTGCCTTGAGATTCTACTTTCTCTCCTTGGCTGTGTTTCTGGCATATGCAATCCAAATGTAAAGCCGAGACTTCTGGGTTCCTGGGGGAATGTTCAGGCATATCGGTTAGTCTTTGAACAAGGATTTACTTTGCTCGTGGGACAATCATTAGGGAACTGGAGGGACTAAGGACAAAATGGCCAACGGAAATCATGCCTAAATCAGAGTTGAGGATAGAAAAGGTTAAGCTTGTGCCTAGGATAACAAGATCAATCCAAAGCAAAGTTCTCAAAGATAAATGACCCTATTGTGATTGTGTAAATGTCGTGACTAAGAGTATAACTAGATACTTAAGTGCCGTCTGATGTAATAGCTAACTCAGGCTAGAGTCTCTAATCATACCTCTACATTAACAATCACAACAGAATGAGCATCAAACTGCAACGGAGTCCATTAACCTAAAAGGTGATGCTGAGGACAAAAGATGTGAAAACGCTACATAGACTCTAGTATCTTTGTCAATTCAGCTGCGTGCTTAAGCAGGAATATCATGCTTAGCAACATAAAAGCGGTAAAATAATTGTAGTGAAGTCAAAACCAGCGAGGGAGTTAGTAGTCTCTTAGATCTTGATCGCTTGATGTTTTCTTATGACCACGGCACAACACGACGACGACATCATCACCTTCCTATTATATAAGTTCCATCTGACGGCGAGACGGCGACAGAAGTCCTATAATAACCCTTTCTCTCAAATCTCGTCGACATGGAAACCAAACACCTTCCATACCTTTTCGTCTCCATCTTCCTTGCCACTTCGACCTAGGTTGCATTCGAGATAATCATCAACAACACCTCATTCCTCAAGGGCGACTGCTTCGGTTACCATTGCCCCAGCTACTGGTTGAACTGCGCGATGGCTAATTACGGAGACAACCTCAACCCTGCCAATAATGACTTGACACCTTACCAGGCTGGAGGAAACCTCGCCGACGCTCTGGTCTCTGGCGCTCTGCCCACTACTACCGAAGCTAACACTCCTATTGAGTACGCATTCGTAAGTTTCTCTACATCCTACCCTTCGCGACGCGTTCCTAATTCCACAGACCACTGTCTTCCCAACTCACGCCAAACAAGACACTCACTCCGCCAAAGAGTATGCCATCGTCACCGTGTGTGTTATTGGTACTTGGCTGGTGGGCTTCATCGTTCTCGTCGCTCTGCTGAGATTCGTCGAGGAGAAGGAAACCAAGGGCTGGACTCCCGCCGAGGGAGCAGCCTACGATGAAGACTCGGACGCCGAGTGAGGTGGGAGGGGTGGAGATGGGGTTTCATATTGACAATACGAAATGTTGACCGACCACAAAGCTGGCCCATTTTCAAATCTCTCACTCTGTCCATAAACCGTGAATGTAGGCCTCACCGACAGGGTGATAATGACAATCTTCAGGAGACCGGAGCATACTCTTTCCAGGGGGGACGACAGCCAGATAGCCAGGATCAATCTGTTGTTGTAGGGCCATTCCTATCCATGGTTGATTGGCAACGAAGTAATGTCACCCTCGAGGTATGCCTCATAAGGCCATCTAGTATTCCTACACCCCCCACAGACGACCCATAGCGTGGTCTAATTTCTCCCGATCTCTAGTTCTGCGGCGATCTACCATGTATGAACCATGGATACCCTCTAAGCATTTCGGTATGGCCCCGTAGTAAATTCCGTTACTAGTCAACAGCTTTTGGTCGAAGAGAATCGTCTACTACCTACACTGGACCTTTGGGGAGGCCGTCAATCTACTCCAACAGCAACCATTATTCTCATATTTCAATTTCAAGTCACATCTCATGGGCAGCTTGCGGAACAACAACGCCCCTCCATGAATGCCAGCATTATTCAACTTGCCAGCCCAAGGATAGCTCACTGCCATATGTCTAACCATGGCCGTCACACGTAGCGTGGTTGACAGCCCTATTGCGACGCGACGAGTGTTGGTTGGAATCTGACCGCGTCTAGTAGTTGTGCCTCGACAGCTACCTTAGAGCTGCAAGTGATGCCTTGTTGTTTGGATCCCGTGCGTACTTCGTTACCGTGGTATTGCTGACAAGGCCTATACAGCAGCTACTACCCATCTCTAGAAGGTTCTGCGACACCCACTCTGGATAGTACCAAGGATGCTCGATCGTTATGACATTATTAGAAACTGTAGCTATTGTAAGTACGCCAAGTAATATTTATAGGGAGGTGAGGATTGAGTCGAAATAAAGAACTAATAGCTCAAAGCAATTCCGAGCACAGATTTGGATCTGGATTTGGAAAATCAAATGCTGGTGAGGAAGCTCTCTTGTCGAACGTGAGAGCTACTCAAGCAAGGCCGGGTACGAGAAAGAAACGTCAGCATACAGTGGATCTGAGTTATGGGTGTGGCACATGGCATGTAGCATACGGGATACACATGTTCCCTGCAGGGTACGTATGTTGTTGATTACTAGAGTTGGATTTGTGGATGGATCTAGACCGTATGAACGATGGTGAAAGGAAGTATTCTAGGTAAAAGGGGCGTTGCTAGGTCGAGGTTAGCTCGATATCGATATCGAACTTGCGGACTAAAAATTTTGCGTGTGGTGAGACAAAATTCTGAAGCGAAGACAGATCTGCGGACGTTGATTCAAAAGGACGAGGGAAGCTTGCCGATTGGCCGCTAGGGTTAGAAACCGGGTACATGACTTCATAGTATCAGTGTAGTTATTCGTCTTTATGCTTCTTATTTGCAATGTGGCGGGATTTGTGATCGTCGGTCCTCCGGTGGACATAATATTGCATTTTTATGCCAGTGGCTTTTGTGGCGGCGATGGGAAACCGAAAGCTCGAACTCATCGTTGGTTCAGCTGCCAAACTAATTAAGCCGCATCGCCATTACCAAACGAATCGTTCAAACGGACGACTCGAGTTGTAGGAAACAACCAGCAGTGAGAATGATTGACCTGAGAGATTATGTGAAGCCGACCACCGCTAACTGACGTTCTTCTTAACCCACGCCTCCAGAACCGCAGCGATGATATTGCTGTTCTTCTCCATGAACTGCAAATGGCCATTCCCATGGATCCCAGCCTCAGCCAGTTTCAGCCACTCAACATGTACTCCAGCTTGTTCCAAAAATTGATATGTGCAACCATCATATAATGCATGATAGCTCGCCTCACTAGTCTCTAACAGGACCGGAATATTCTTCAAATTGACCAATTGTCTCGCCGGCGAAGCTTGAATAATACAAGTGGCTAAACCAGAAGAATTGTTGACAACCTCTTGAGTTTCTAGCGGAGCTGTAGAATTCGTGGGCGGAGGGTAGTAGGTTAGTGGGATATCTGTGAGACCCCACGGACGTGCTTTGGTAGATGAGAAAATGGCCTCGACGAATGGTGGGCCGGTAGGTTCGATGCTTATAATTGCCTTCACGAAATTGGGAGCAACATCAGCGACGACCCAGGGCATGAGGCCTCCTTGAGAATGGGCAATAAGTACAGCTGGACCTGTTTTGTTGAGAAGCGCCCTGCCTGCTAGTTGCATTTTCGTCTGTTGGACCACTGTATTTGACTGAAATGGTACATTGGAGGCGTAGTATTCATCGAATATCGGATCACCCATTAACCCTGTCTGTAAACAACATGTCAGAGGTGAACCACGTAGAATTAAAAGACTCACTCCAGGCCATTGAGTGTGCAATGCGGCTTGAGGCCAGAGATTGAACGCTCCAGGAGCTGTAAAACGCTGTTCAATGATCTCCGCTGTATAGGTTGAGAGAGTGGTATTTCCAGTTGGATTCCAAGGACTCCTTGCTCGTTCCGTTTGATCGAGGATATAAACTGTGTATCCTTGGTCTAAGAAGTATGAGGCCCAACCGCGCCCACCATCTGGTTTATTCAACCAATTCTGCTCCCAATATTAGTCAAAGACCATTGATCCTAAACGTGGTGGCTTACTGTTCCGGTTTGCGCCTGCCCATGGATAAAAACGACCGGATATGGCTGACGTAGCTTCAGTGGCGTCAACTTCTCCACATACATTTGGTTTGCAAATAGATGCCCATTCTCTGTCTCCAAATAGCTCCCACCCACATAAAAGAACTCGCGCATAGCATCAGCCTCTCTCGCCAAGAAAGGGGTAACTGCAGCTGCTGCTGGGCCTATGAGAAGCCCCAAAATAACAAACGCCAACCTTCGTTGCATTATTCAGCCACTAAGTTGCAACAACTGGTTGCAAGCAGGAACGAAACACAAATAAATTCGAACCACGGGAGTTAAACAGAAAACTCCAGGAAAGAGGTGTGAAAATAGATGCTGCTACCCAGGTTGTATGGAGATCCCGTTGTCGTAACACAGTCAACTAGACAGAGCTACAAAAGCTACTGTATGTTCGGGATTTAACCAGTTGAGCCTGTAGCCTCTCACAAGCTAGTGCAGCAATTATTTCGTGGGTTCGAGGTGTTCCGAACGGCTTGGGTAGTGGCGCGTTGCTGTATCGTCTCTCTGTGGTCGCATCGCAACTAAGCCCGTCAGATCACGTTGCTGCCCAACGAATGCCGACCTATCTATTACCACTCTCTTCCTACAAGTATATCCCTCTTCATCAGCATTGGCATCTACCAATTATTCCTACATCTAGATGTGTGTGATGTTGTCAACATTAGAAAACCGAGGCTAAACATCGGCGAAAACCCAAGATCATCTCGTCTGTGTGGATAAGTGTGATAAGATCTACGAGTAGTCAAAGCATAAAGTCTGTGCACAACTGCATAACTTGAACCTCACATGAAACCCGCGCAAATTTAAACCTCGAATTCTACAATCCATCCTCCCAAATTCACCAGCCAGTGGCAAAAAAAATGAAAATTGCATGATGCAGAGGTAGTCCTGTACAAGCGTACCGGGCCGAGCGTACACCCGACGTGGTGCGGACGTCAGTCTCCCGAATGCAATCAACCTGAAGCCAGGCTGATACAGCTTGGTGACGCTCTACATGTCTTTGATCCCACGCATTATATTTCCTGTATCATATATGTAAGCACCCGGAGATCTACTCCCTGCAAAGTGTGGGGTATCAGAAGATCAGATGGATCGCCATTCTTCGGATGGCGGAGTAAGCAATATAACATTTTCCACCCCCAACACGTCCTTGTCTCTATCAGCCAGAGAGATTTTCTCAACAGCATCTTCAGGTTTATTCTGTCTTTACATTAACATCTTTCAAAATGGAGCTGTCAGGAGGCACAATCCAGACGCTCGTACTGCTATGGGTGTTCACCTGGCTGGGCATGTTCATCATGGGCCTCCGCCTACTCATGAGAAAAGTGCGTGGCAAGACTCTGAATCTCAGCGACAAAATCACTATTGTCTGCATGGTCTGCCTGCTTGCACGTCTGGCATTCATACATGTGGTGCTCACATGGGGCACCAACAAGCTACCAGCCCAATTCCGAGCTCTCCATACATTTTCAGCAATGGAGATTTTTCGTAGAGAGACAGGAAGCAAGTTACTCTTAGTTAGTCGGATTTTCTATAATACATAGTAAGTTGTCAAATTTATAGGATACGCCTTGTGCCTGCTTCTATGCTAATAAGTTTTGGCCGATTTGCAGTCTATGGTTGCAGAAATGCGTGGTGATGCTTCTCTATCAGCACATTCTTTGTGGACTTCACCACACGGGGATCGCCATGAAGGCATACTGGGTAATTCTTGCAGCGACGTATATGGTCATCCAAGTAGTGACTTTCACGGACTGCCGGCCACTCTATCTTTATTGGCAGGTTGTGCCAGATCCGGGTATGCTCCCATCCCACCTCTCCGTCTAACCACCTAGATATTGGGCTCACCAAATACTCAGGTACATGCTCTCAAGCAGTTGGGCAATTATTAATCCTTGGTGGTCTAAATATCTTCACCGACATCCTCTTGATTATTCTCCCGATGCCGACGTTGCTTCGAATTAAAAAACAGACACTTGGGGCGTAAGTTACTTCCTCGCCGATGTCACCTACCGTAATAACGGGATACAGAAAACTCCGTCTTCTGGCCCTCTTCTCCCTCGGCTTCTTCCTCGTCGCCATAACAGTTATCCGTCTACCCTTCAATGTAGAAGGTGCAGGAATGCAAATCAACCGAACAACTTGGGCGAACGTCGAATCCTTCACAGCAGCAATAGTCGCGAATATACCGACCCTGTACACGCTACGCAAAAAGCTACCAGATAGGTCTACAACTCTCAAGAAGCTTAATGGTGGGCTGATAGGAGGGTGGATGGAAGCAGGCGAAAAGAGCCCCGATGGAGCAGCGTCCGATGCTGGTTCCTTACAACCTACAGAAGATGAAAATAGTCCGAAGAAGCATATACTTGCCAAGAAAAGTGTAGAAATTCAAGAGAGAAGAAAGGCGATGTTTATCCCGCCGTTACCGGGAAAAGAAGACGAAGTATCTGAGGGTTGGGACCGGAGAGCGAGGATTAGGGGAGGGAAGATGGAGCTCATGGATGATGCGGAGTGGCAGAGGGAGAGACAGAAAGATAGGGTTAGTATGGACAGTTTTATGATTTTTGGAAAGAAGTTTTAAGTTTATACATAGTTGTTTGTTTGCTAAATGGCTTGGGAATACCCTAGGGCGGAAGGTACAGGCCGAGCTAGACTCATCTTGACTGGGGCTTCATACCACACTTCACATGTATACTCACGTGTAATAACAGTTGTAATATCGCTTCCAACAATTCATGTCCAATTTGTTATAGCGTTCTTATCTATGTTAGAGCCAATCCTAGGATGAATACTTATTCTGAGCCGAGCTTGCTGGCAATAATAATACCTTAGCAGAAATACCGACCACAATATCCTAAACCTGATGGGAATACATCTCACCGCGCGAAAATCCCGCCTTGGGAGTAAATCCCCTCTTCCCTGCCTTGGTCATCATTCCCAACTCCCTCCTCCCAATTATAATCCCCACTATAATTGGCAGGACCCAGCACACCGCGAAAGCCACGGCAATCATAGCTGCCACAAATTTCCGACTTGGTCCCAGAATTGCTCGTGCAGCAGGGGGGACAGGTCTCGATGTTACCGTTACCTCCGAAAGCTGCCTACTTGCGTCTAGACTTGCCTGGCAGAGACCAAGCGTAACGGATAGGATGAGCAGCGCGCTCACGGATACCAAAGCGTGCTTGTATGTATGAAAGACCGCGCATTGGGGGTTCGCTCTGCGCCAGCTTTGTATTTCCTCCTCGCGCGATAACTTTGCGAATAGCAGGCGGCTTATTATGGGAGTGACGAGGTAGATAACGAATGTAGAAAATAATATGAGTACCACGAACTTGGGATTTGGGTCCAAGCTTGTTATTTGCGCTGCCCTTAGATCATGAGAGCGAGCGTGTACTTCCATGCCTGCTAGACAGAACATGAAGAGAATGGAGAGGGTGAGCCTCATTTTGAAACTTCTTTTCTGGAAAACTTAGAAAAAAGTATCCAGAAATGTCCCGGAAGCTCGTGGTGGGCAAGATGATGGAGGACGAAGAGCAGAGAAAAAGGGGGTTTAGGGGAAGATTATGACTATAAGCACTTGCTCAGACGTTGTTCTATTTAATTCCAGCATATTGCTGTTCATTTCGTTGTTATCCGAACAAATGGGTCTTTGTCTCCATCGTCACTTGTCCAAGGTTTACTCGAGTATAGTCGATTTCTTTGTCGGGGAACAAATACACTGTTCTCTGCCTTAAACAAAGCTAATAAGCATAAGTTTCCGCTTTAACATGTTCCATTCGTGTTGAGACTTCAGATGACCGCAAGCGATGCTCCACAAAAAGAAGAACGTAACGCCATTATTACCTGCTCCGGACCATTCTCCATGGGATCTTGTATTTCAGATTGTCGAGGAAATGTAGATTGGGGTAACGAGGTGTCGCACAAATGTGGATGCGATAGTATCCCGATACCTTGATCGGAGTGGCGTTGAACAATTACTTCTATGTTTTGATAGGGTATGGAAGGTGATTAAAAGAAGAAAAGTTGGCGAACAGAAAGAAAGGGTGGTTTCCTGACCAGACGGTTTAACTAATAAGGGCATCTAACATATCACGTGAGCGGTTTACCGTCGAGCGATTTGGATCTACTATTGAGCTTCCCTTACAAGCTTGGTCTGCTTAATAATGAGTTAAGATTCCTCTTCAAGTTAAAGGCAACGCCTGATTATGGGATGTGATCACGAGCGAGATTTTAGGATATATTGATGTGATGATTTAGGTGTTATCTATCGTATTCGCATGACAGGATGGCGAAATAGCACTATGAAGCAATGTAATATACAGGTCCCAGCACCCGGGGACTTCCAGCCAATCGGCGCCAAGACACCACAGGCCTATAAGAATACTCGTAGTAATACAGTTATACCCTTCCATCCTTCGACACCTTGTAGTGTGGCACAAATAAATAAACCGCGCAAGGCAGGGCGAAGCGGCACGGCGATTAAAGTTATCGAGTTCGCCTTGGTGGCGCGGGTAAGCGGTGGTCGTAGCCTCATGTTTGAATTGACGACCACCAAAATGGTACGAAAATACCACATCGTGGGGAATTCTATTGAGGGTCCCCCATCATTTGTATGTTCCGTGCTCGCGGGGCTTGCGCTTGGATGCGCGGTTTTTGGTGTCTTGATAGTGCCCGGAGCTGGCGTCGTCTATTCGTGGCGCATATTTGTCGTAGCCAGCTTGGCGATGATCGGTGACACACACCTTTCCACTTCTCGAGATGGTCGAGGTGACATATTTGCGGTCTGCAACAGGACTGTTAGCTAATTGATAGGTTGATGTGGTGATTGTGTGCGACAAACCATTGTCTGGCACCCGGTGCCTGTGTTCTCGTGATTGCTCTTTGCTGTGCCCGCTGCCGTGGGAGTCGTTTGTCATGGTTGATCTCGAGGATGAATAATACCCGTCTGTTGTTGATGATCTACTATCGTAGGATGTCCGGGAATCACTGGACGACGCTCGAGAATGAACAATGGGTTTCAAAGAGCTGTAGGAGCGTCGATCTGACATGCTGTGGATGTTGTTTGGTTTGTCTTGCGTGTTGGGACTGGTGAGGACTTGATTGCTCTTATATAGGGGGGGAGTGAGGCGGGATAGCGAACGTGACCTGTGTTTGATGGGCAATGGATGCTAGCTGTTGATTCCCTCAAGTAGTGTGAATCAATCAGGTATTTATACTCCAGAGAGCAGAAGCAAATGGGACGAATTGACATCATCATTGGGAGCCTGGAGAACACCTAGGCAGAGAAATTGAGTTGGAATCAGGGCAAAGCACCGTCGTAAGCTCTGGAACGGTGCCTGATGACCGGAGGACTCCCCGGTCCTGAGGGACTCCGCCCGCTTGCTGTAGACATATGATGGACCGCCCCAGCGATTGAGATCCAAGTGACTCACGGGGGAAGGGCTTCAGCGAGTCAACCGGATACCGCAACACACCAAGAAGGGCAAAAGGGCAAAGCAATACAGGAACGGTGACTGAATGGGAAATAGGAAGATTAAAGCTCCAGTCGCCCTGGCCAGAAGCGGGTGCGCAGTCACCCAATGCTTAGACTCAAGCTCTGGCCTCGGTACTAAATGCTGCGACGCGTATCATGCCGAATGAGAGGGCCCACGGGAGTCGATAGTCGGATGAACGCTCACCCAGAGGCAGTGGGTGTCTGGGGCTGTACCGTGGCAGAGCACTGGGAGGCAAACTGGTCAACGGCGTGCCAAGGCAGGGCGGCTGTCGAGGCTGATTCCAGAACGGGCGACGTCGTCGATGGAGGAACTCTCGCACCATCCCACCTAGTGTTCCCCAAGTCGCGACCACCAAACATGTCATAGGAGTCACCGCAAAGAACCCAGAACGAGACTTCTCATCTGTTATGCGATGTTGCTGCCTCAACCCAGCGGCTACGCCAATGCCGGGGCAGCTGAACATGCTGACATTTCAGGCCCAAAAGGGACTTGGGAGCCTTGACAGCCTAGGCTAGCCTTATCGGTGAGGAGTGACTCAAAACCCGGCGGTGTCGACCGCGCCTCGATACTGGCAAGTTATCGGCATCCGCCGGTGCTGGTGTCGCCATCTGTCGTTGGCCTGGTGGGCGAGATGGGACATTGTTGTGGTGGAGGAGGAAAGAGTGAGGGGATTGCAAACAAACACCGTGGTGAGTTGTGGTTGCTGTTGTCGTCGGACGTGGCATCAGCGCTCTAGCCTCTTTCGGCCCTTCAAGGCGTGCCTTGGTTAGGTAAGCATCATCCTCTCCACTACGACTCTACGAGTACGAAGTACGAGTACGGAGACTGGAGTACGGAGCGCCACAGGGCCACGGCCACACTAGCGTAACCGTAAGTATCTGGTAGTTAAGGTACCTGGGTACCTTACCTTATCACCTCCTCGTATCGCACGTGACACAGCTACCCCAGATCCCTGTTGAAGCAACATCTCCAATTCCCACCGTCTGTTCCACCGGGATTCAGGCACAGCGACGACGCCCGATTTCAACTTCTCAACGTGTCCAGATCTCCCACCTACTTCGTATGTATACAGAACCACCGCGCCGTGCACCGTGTCCTTGACTGATCATCGTTATATATTTTTTAGCTTCCTTCCCCACCCAATTAACCAGCCAACATCCAGCATGCGTTTCATTGCCGTCTCCATCGCCGCCCTGGCATCCGTTGCCACCACCGTCCTCGCCGCCGAGGGCGAGCAGGTCAAGATAGACGTTACCCATGCCGTAGAGTGCGAGCGGAAGACCAAGGCAGGCGACAAGATCTCCGTTCACTACCGGGGCACATTGGCCGACGGAGGCAAAGAATTCGACGCCAGCTACAACCGAGGAACCCCCTTGAGCTTCGTTGTTGGAAAGGGAAGCGTCATTAAAGGGCTAGTTTTGCTATACGCTTGGATAATGAACAATTGCAGCTAACGGGCGCTGTAGATGGGATGATAATCTTTTGGATATGTGCATTGGCGAGAAGAGAACTCTCACCATTCCCCCTGAGTTCGGGTATGGCGACAGGAACATGGGCCCTATTCCAGCAGGCAGCACATTGAGTACGTTTCCGCCGCATTTAAGATATGCCTGTTCCTATACCTGTATCCTATACTGACTAGTGACTCGCAGTTTTTGAGACCGAATTGATGGAGATCGAGGGCGTTGCGGCACCCGTAAGCATCGAGAAATCCCCAAGCAGCGTAGTAGACGAAGCTACAGAAGGTGTGAAGGCCGCCGTGAAAAGCAAAATTGCTGAGGCAGCCGAGGCCGCTATGACTGTCCTTGCTGACACTGATGGTGATGAGCAGGAGCACAACGAGTTATAAACGGCTCTGATCCATGCAATCGATGGAGCTGGGGGGCGTGTTGATATTATGTTAGCTGAAGATGGGTAGTTTTCAGGGGATCTAATGCAAATATTTAACATCAAATTCGGTTTCTTGCTATGGCCTCTGCTCTTTGAGTTAAGTGTCTCGTCCTCATGTTCCAACCGGTGGATGCTATGTACGTGGTCGGCTACTGCGCCTAACATGCCAACTAACAGGGCACTTGTAGTAGGTCACCATTGCGGGTGGCCATGATCATTTCTCTCAATGTCCCCTTCAGTCTCAGGAGTGAAACATGTTGCTGTGAATCCCATTCATGCTGCCGATGCTAGTTGTGAAGCCGTACTCGAGAGGGCCATAGTGTTCCATCCAAACGCCTCGCCTTCTTTTTCCTCGCATAAATTCATCAACCCATAGACTCATAGACCCAAACGCCACGCTAAACCCCCATATCATAGTATAACACTGGCTCATTCCTCATTCCTCTCCGGCGAGGCAGCAGCAGGATTCTCGTTCCACTCGAATTCTGGTGCAGCTCGTCAGCGTTTCCTCACCGAGTATAAAATCTAAGGGCCCACTCACTCTGCCTGCACATCGGGCACTGACCCTTCGACGAATCTTGTTTAATCCATTCCAAAATACAATGCTATATCCCATCAGTCTTCCCTTCCCCTCCCACACCGTATCCAAGACCAACCATATGGAAATTGTGCCCGCATTTACCGGAAACTATATACCAATCCCAGATGTCAACACGGATCTCAAAACGAACGAACATGTAAAGGTAGGGGAACGGGGAGCATACGCAAACTGCAATCATCACCTGGGTATTTACAAGTCGGGCATGTGCCGTCGAAGTGGACTTGACAGATGCCGCAGACATCGTCGTCGGGGATATCCCAGCGCCAGGTAGCCACTGCGTTCCATTGTTTGATTTTCACTCTCATATCGTTGTTGGTATGGCTGGCTTTGGCTCTTTTTTTTAACTATGCGCTTTGGAGCACTGTGGAGGGTGTGAGTTCCGGTTCCGAGAGCTGTTAAACAGAATGGAATTTCGACAAGTAATGGTTTGTTGTTGTTTGTTGTTGATATGTCCTCTAGTACTGTACTGTGCTAGATGCGGCCTCCGAACCCGCTGGCACATGCACGGACCCCGCTCCTTATCAAGCGCAACAATTTCCACTTACGTAGCACTTCTTGCACAATTTCATCGTCTTGACCATCTTGATAACATCTCAAGGCCGCCTTTCCTTTGTTGTAGTCACATTCACATTCACATTCACATTCACATTCACATTCACCGTTGATATTTCATGCTCTATCCTTGAACCCAGCCATCTCGACATATCTCTCTTGTCGCCAGAGCTTTATCTCTCATGCGCGCCAGGTGACGAATCCTATCGCAGAACGCCATGACGGCAGCTATCCTCTCCAGTAGGGGAGCTTTCCGCTCAGCTATCCATCATCGACCCCAACTCCAATTCCAGTCCGCAATTCTCATGGCCACCCGAAGATCGTTCTCCTCTTACCTCGTCACACCGTCAGAGCTGAGCGAAGAGCTGAAGAAGAACTCCCCAAGCAAGATCTCCACATCACCCCGAACCGTACCTTTATGCGCAGCTTGGTTCCTTCCCAATGACGACCGCAAAGGCCTGGATACTTTCCGGCAAAAGCGAATTCCCAATGCGCGGTTCTTCGATCTGGATAAGGTGATCGACAAGCACTCGCCATATCCCCATATGCTACCTTCGGCTTCCGACTTTGCCAAAGCTATCAGTGGATTGGGGATTCGGAAGGACGATACTGTTGTAGTGTATGATACTGCCGAATTAGGAATATTCAGCGCCCCGAGAGTGGCATGGATGCTGAAGATATTCGGTCATCCTTCCGTTCATATTCTCAACAATTTCAAGCTGTGGGTGGAGGAAGGATATACTATTGAGAGTGGGGAGTTCTGGGATGTCGATACTTGCGTATATCCGATTCCGGAATTTGATGAGAGCAAAGTTATTGGATTCGAGGAGGTAAAGGAGTTTGCCAAGGATTATAATAAGGAGGGTGCGGAAGGTGTGCAAATCCTGGATGCGAGATCCAAAGGAAGATGGGCTGGAAAGGATCCGGAACCAAGACCTGGTCTGTCGTCTGGGCATATGCCAAGTAGTATCTCTGTGCCGTTCTCAGATTTGCTGGATCCAGTCAAGAAGACTATACTGCCAGGTGACGAACTTCGGAAGATCTTCCTGGCCAAAAGCGTTGACCCAGAGAGGCCAATTATCAGCAGTTGTGGAACAGGTGTTACTGCGGCAGTTATTGACGCGGCTCTGAGTGAAGCTGGATATGGCGACGAGAGTAAGCGGAGATTGTATGACGGCAGTTGGACGTAAGTGCTCCTCCCTTCTTTTCAATTATGTGTCACGTTAACAAATTCGCAGAGAATGGGCGCAACGCGTTCAACCTTCGGACGGACTTATAATCAAGGAAGAATAATTGATAGAAGGGTGGTGTTTTGCGGTGCATTTTCAGCGTTTGTTTGCATGTGGCGGATACCCCAGCCTCTCTCCCCTTTATCACAATTGTACATCAACAGAAACTGGGGTGCTTGTCTATTTGCCTCTCCCCTTTATTGAGTTTGAGAAACTGGGACCTGCTTGCAATGCAACTTTGATTAATTTACGCCCGAGTCAAATCGCCACTCCTAGTTCGTCATTTACTGCGTGACGTAGCTTAATATATCTTCCAGAACAATAAGGGTTAAAACCTAGCTCAGTGGATGTTACATAGGGCGCCCTGAAGAACCGTGACAAGATATGATACTTCAAGACGCCACATATTTGCTTGCAAGCCAATGCCACGATTACCTAGGGCCAAGAAACAATTTGCTCTATTCTGCCATGTGAAGCCAAGTCCAAGCTTTGCCGTTCCTCTTCTCTCCGTTCGGCAAAGCCCCTTGTCAGCCTAGGTTAGAGATAAAGATGCGATGAGTTGGCGACCAGGTACTTCTTGGAAGAGTCTCACCGCTATATGTATGTTAGCCGCCAGGGTGGGGGGGTTTGATGTGGGTTTAAATTCGCTGCTACGTAGTATACTACAACGTACTTCGTACCTGTTACTTAAATGCGTTCAGATGCACTAATGTTGGCACCTGAAGATCGATGGTGGCGCCGTGTCATGCTAACACTAAGGGTCAAGTCGTATTAACTATGCTGTCGGCTCAAGGATCTGCCCAACAAGAGCCAGAATGTGGAAATCTCATCGATGAAGTTCTGAATTGGCTGGCAGTCCGTCCTAATCTCCAACACTAAGGCGGCATGGCAGCAAAAGCTACTAGTGAGACGGTTGACTTGGCCGACAAGTAACTGTGAGATCCGTGCCGCACATAGAGGAGCGCAAAATAGAGTATTGGCGACATTCGGCCAAGTGTCAGTCTGTCTGACAGCAAAGAGAATGTGATATATTTGAGGAAAGGCGGCCATGAGTGGGATATGCGGGCCGTATATGCAGTTGGCTACAGGGTGCTGACGTTGCTGATGTTGGAAGATTATGCAGTACATGAGTACATATCATCAGCAAGCCACCACATTCACATTTGGAGGCATTACAAGACCTTTCTTGTCCGAATTTGTGACATGTCTCCGGGCCGTTACGCCCTATATATGGAATGCGGGTGTGCCCGGCGCATTCCCCGTGCAGATGCAGGCTTTTACCCACGAGGTGAGAGAAGTTGAGGGTGGAGAAAACCGTATTCCTGACAGGCCATCATCTGCCATGGCAGTTATGAATACCTGTATTAGTGCTGCTGTCTGCGAGTTTTTTGAAGTTTTGGATTTTATTTTTTATATCTAGCGTACTATATGTATGGACAGACTTCCTATCAAGCAAAACAAATATAATCAAAATGGCTAATTCCGGTGAGCCTCAACCAACAGAAACGTCAGTGGAGATACCACCACAAGCTCCTGCTGCTGCTGCTCAGTCAACCACTGGCTTGGAAGCTGAGGTATGAACTTTGGGCTTCCCATTACGTAGACTCTAGCTAACCTTTTGCGTAGGCTGATGACCGCCTCGATGATAATGACTCTTCACTAGGCGATGTGAGTTATTGACAAAGCAAATATCACGGACAATTCGATCCTCATGAGATATAAATAGGACGAGAGTTTGGCAAGTTCGATGACGTCCATATCGTCGAGTATTTTGAAGCATCGCGTGGAGAATGGCAGAACGTATCATGCATACAAAGATGGCAGTAAGTTGCAAGACTTCTTCCGATACTCTGACAGCTGCTGAGCTGAAATAGAATATTTATACCCAAACGATGAGGTGTGAACCTTTCAAAGATGGACAAGAATCTAACACATTTATTGATGCCGCTCATAGTCCGAAAATGACCGTCTAGGTAAGACAACTGCCGCTTGTAATTTATCTCCAAAGCTAATTGGCTAAGATCTCCAACACCATATTTACAGTTTAATGAATGGTGGGAAGCTGTTCACTTGCCCTATTGCTAAGGACAAGTCTATCCATAGAGTACTCGATGTTGGAACCGGCACCGGTATTTGGGCAATGGACTATGGTAAGTAACCCAATTCGGAATTGGTAGGGGGAATGAGGCTGATAGAGGTTAGGGGATGAACACCCTGAAGCAACTGTATAACACCTTATCGGCGGACGCTGCAAGCGGGCTGATGCTAATATTACCAGGTCTTCGGAGTTGACCTCAGCCCCATTCAGCCAACATTGTACTGTACCTATTGTTCTACGAAAGTGTAAGTATCAACTACTAACCTAGACAGTCTTCCACCAAATGTAATATTCCAAATCGACGACATCGAAGAACCCTGGGCGTATTCCCAGAAATTCGACTTCATCTACGCTCGCATGATGACAGGATCGCTATCAAACTGGCCGAAGTTCTTCGACAGCGCCTACGAGTGAGTCAGTCCCTTCCCGTCCACCCATCATCTAAACCAAAACCAATACCATAATAGGAATATCACGCCAGGCGGCTACATCGAGCTAACAGACGTCACCCTACCCATCGGCTGTGACGACGGAACCCTAACACCAGACCACGCCCTGCACCAATGGTCCGAACTTATTCTTAGTGCAAGCGTAAAGATCGGCCGTCCTATAAACAGTGCCAAAAGCTATAAAGCCCAGATGGAACATGCGGGGTTTACTGGTATACACGAGACTGCTGATCTTTGGCCAACTAACAAGTGGCCGAAGGATCCGAACTACAAAGAACTGGGTACTTATCTCCTTCCAGCTTTATAAAGGATAAGAATAATAAAATTACGGGTGTTAACACGCTTGCCTTAGGATTATGGAACTGCGAAAATCTCACCCAAGGGCTCTCTGGCCTCTCCATGGCCCTCTTAACCCGCGTTCATAACTGGTCTATGGAAGAAGTTGAAGCTTTTCTGGTCAACGTCAGGAAAGAACTGAAAGATCCGAAGATCCATAGTTATCTACCCATGTAAGATCCCCACCAACCCAGGGAGGGAAATTGTAGTTGTAAGCTTTCGCTAATGGGGCTCTGGTAGACGGACGATCTATGGTCGGAAACCCCTTTAAATTAGGTATTTAGGAAAGGGGAGGAAAATGGGACCGGGGATTTTTGGAGTCTACGCTTTCTATAGCCTTGGCTTGGAGTTTGGGTAATTTGGAAGTCGGAGCATTCTATCTAGGCTGGAAAATGACCGTTCTTAGATACAAATTATCGCTCATTAAAGAGTGTTTATATTAAGTACAATCACTTCCCTCCCAGATATTGAATCAATGCCGCGGACCCTAATTTTGGTAATCATCTGCAGTCTCCACTTGAATTATGCGTGCTAAATCGGGGCGCTGTTGTAGACCAAACAGCCATTTTACCGGAGAGGAAAGTTCACCGATCATATAATATAGCGTGCAAGTCTTGTGCTCCATAAGTATTAGCCACTCAGTTTCCACGGACACCTCTCTTCCTCCAATTCTTCTGAAAAGGTTGCTGGTGGAAGAAAGGGGGCTACAGAATTAATCAATCCAGCAGGAGGCAAGGGAATGTCACAATTAAGTGGTTCAAACAAGCTAGTTTCTAAATATTAGCCTTTATAGATTGTATCTATACATCAAATAGCATCTCCATTCCCACTCCACCTTATACTGTCTCAAGGCTCGACAGACATCTCCATCCTACTCTCTATAACCTCAAACCTCTACCAATTCATTATAAACCAGCTTTATATCGCAGTCTTCTCCCCATGGCTAGACGGGATCTCTGGACTTGGCGAGACCCCATGTGCCTCCGTCCCAGGAACAACTTTCTGAGTATTCGTACCATCCTCGACCAAAAACTGGCGAGACTTTTCCGTAGCCATATCTCCACCCAAGACGGCAGTCTCGCCATCGAAATACTTGACAATTTCCTCGAGGGGCGTGTTGCTGGTCTCGATGTAGAAGAAGTACACGACACAAAGCTCGACGAACAACCAGCAGTCGTAGACGATGTAATACTTCCAGTCAAGGTGGTCAAGAGCAACGGGATTGACGTAGGTATTGAAGAAGAGCGCAAGATCGACGGCCAAGAACATGACTGTAAGACCCTATAGAACATGTTAGAGGGTATTTAAACTGGAAACAACGAATGTTTTGGGAATCATACCTTGGCACGCAATCTGTATGGCAAGATCTCAACAGCGTATCCGACAAGAAGTCCAGACCAGGCAGAATTGTAGAAAACGTAGTACAAAAAGATAAAAAAGATCTCGGCATAACCAGCAGAAGTAACGCCCGTCTTGACGAACTGAGCGGCGCAGACAGTCCAGGCGCAGAACGAGCCGAGCATTCCTCCTGTGGCGAACAAAAACAAAGGACGACGTCCAAATTTATCAATGAAGAAGCACATTGTGAGGGCGGTGACGAAGTTGATGATGTTAAGGATACCGTTGATTTCCAATCGGAGTTTCTGATCTAATACACCCGCCCTCTCGAGAACATCGCTCATGTAGTACGAGACGAGTCCGTTACCTGACCACTGGGAAAAGAACCCAAGGCTGACGAGGATGATAAGGCGGCGGCGATTTCCAGGAGTTTTGAAGAGTTCTGGCCATCCATTACTCTCAAACTCTTGTTCGAGTTTGATCGTTTCGTGAATCTCTCGGAATTCGATTTGGACGAGCTCATCATCGACGTTCCCTCTGGCGTGGCAGTTGGCAAGAATTTTTAGAGCCTTCTCGCTTTTGCCCTTAGCGATGAGAAAACGTGGGGATTCTGGAACAAGCCTGCTTTGTGTAAGCAAGAGCTAAGAGTATTCTGCAATTCAGCTGATGCTTACCAGATAGCAATCAATTGAATAACAGAGGGAGCGGCCTGAACCATGGATGGAATTCTCCATGCCCAAGAGGACTGGATTTGGAAGGTGCCGTAGGTCAGCCAAGCAGCCACGATGCTACCGAAATACCAGGTACTATTGTAGACGGTGGTGAAGATAGCACGATGTTGAGGGTGGACAAGCTCTGTAATGAGCAAAGGCGCCGCGCCGTGGGCGATGGCAACACCGAAACCGATTAAGAATCTTGCGGCAATAAACATTTGGATGTTGTATCCAATAGACTGTAAAATCACACCGACGATCATAATGAGACAACCAATAACCACTCCGGCACGCCGACCTAAAATATCGGCAATATAAGGAGTGACCGGGAGAGCGACTATCGAGCCGACAGACATAATGGCATTCAGCAGTCCTCGAGTACCAGCACTGGGATCATTGAAAGCTGGAATATGTAGGTTAGCAGATCCAAAAGATAGTTGAACCTTCAAGGCTTACACTCTGTCCATTGTGGCAAAGCCTGGAGGCCGTTCATCATGGATCCATCATAACCATTGGTGGCGGAAGTGAGGACTGCAAACATCAAGGCGACGTATAAGCCTCTCATTCCTGGCTCCTTCCACCATGATATACGAGGAAACTCCCGCCCGCCAACCTCGAAGGTGGATTTTGAGGCCGTGTAGAACTTCTTCATTCTGGTGGCGATGCTCGAGAACGTTGCAGCTTCCGAGAAAGGAGATCTGGATTGAAACGTCGATAGCAACAATACCAACGGGTCCCTCCTGGTTTATATGTCTGCTGCTGAAGCGACTAACGACATGAGCGATAATAGTTCTTCTTTCGCCCTCCATCCATTTATCCGCTAATCAATCCTAGATGGATCCCCAGGCCAGTTTGCTACTGCAGTTCGAATCGCACATTTCCCAATTCATTTGTCGCGATCACGAAATGGCAAACAAGCTCGTCGGTCCAACATGCCTGTCGATCCCCAGAATTTCCCCGTTTACCCCATTGCCCCAAACCCGCCCTTGTCAGCCTTAAGACGATTGGATATATCTGGAAGCCGATCGCACAACGGGGGTCATTCTCGGATTAGCCATCGCTCATTCTCATGATTTGTGTTTACCATGCCACGGGTTCTGGAAGTAACCACTCTTTTGGTTGACGAGGTAGACGAGGTAAGACTTTGGATCTTAGCCTGTACCCGGAGCTAGGTAGGAAAGGGCACAAGTTCAAATGGATAAATTGCGATCGTCTCACCATCGGTTTTGGCGCACCACTGGACACGCACGGTCGGATCGCCGAGGCCATTACGTGGTGTGTATGGAGGCACTGCACGTCGTCTGCTAATTCTCGTGAAGGTCCCCGGTACATGTACATGTACTGACACTATCGGATCCATCAACACGTCTAATTCATATGAAATCCTGTTTCAAGTCCGGCTTGCTACAGTTGGGCATCGAAGTCTCCCACCACCTACAGATGGTCCACTCGCGGGTGCTGACATGGCCACGAACAATCATTTAGACGCGGTAAAATGGAACCTCGCAAGGCTCTTTTTGACCAGATTTGTGGGCCTATAATCCAGACGTGCTCCGGTCTCACATAACGATAGGAACACGGGCCACGGCCTCCGCAGCACACTTCTAGACCAGACTAATTGCCTTTTTAAACCAATATCGCGGGATAAAAAGAGTTTTCTTCCCACCTAAAGGGTAGGTGAAGGGAATTGGTAGGACGGGACACAGGAAGTTGACTTGCGGCAACAATTTCCGGAACAGGCCGGACCAGATCGTGATATAACGACAGGCACGCAGATAACATGCTCAATTGACAAGAAGTTGTGAAGCCATTTCCGGAAAGGTCGGATAAGATCATGGTATAGCGACAAGCACGCGGATAACCTGTGCAAGAAGCTGCAAAGCCATTTCCGGAAGCGCCGGACGAAAGCGCAACATAACGACAGTCCTGAGCCACAAAGTTCAGCCCACCACTTCCCATAAGGTCTGCCACGAGGTGCCACTCATCCGTAATCGAATCCTATAATAGCACCCGACAACTTGGAGCGGGTGCCCGTGGCCCGTACTGCCGTGTCGAACATCATCTATAGCCAATGTCCGCTGTCGCTTTGCGCGTATTTCGCCGTGAGTATATTGCAGACGCATGAGGTGCTCGATGACATTAACGGGGCACCAAAGCAGATCGACAAATGATGGAAGACTGCCCAAATTGCCCCGGGCGTTATCCAATATCGACCCATGCGCCTCTGGCGGATGCGGAGCCGATGAAATCTCTTATCCAATAATCAAGATATCCGATCGTCGGACCACATGTCCAACTCGGTAGCAACTCGTCTGTGGGAAGACTTTTTGAGCTCAATACGCTCGATATTTGCCATGGCTAGCAAATATAATATCGAACGAGATCTGCTTGAGTTTGGTGGTAGAGTTAGAAGGCATCCTTGTTATTGAATGAAGCTCAGCCTAGAGCTTCCGGTTGATGGTTAAACTTTTTGGTCCTCATTAAGGGTTTGCCGGTTCCTGGAGAACGGTATCCAAAGTATAGCGCCCGAAGTTCCGGAACCCGACGGTTTGGGCCACTTGATGATGGGCCCCCAGCTATATCTGGATTGGAGATTCAAGTATTATTCGGCATCGGGCAGATTTCCAAATGACTTCGTGCATGCATTGGGGCATCTAGGACGATCATGATCCCACTTCAAAGACTATGTCCTTCGCCATCCTCAAGGGGTTCTAGGAATTTAGTTCCCTTAGAAAATATGGCCAAAAGCAGTCATCCGATCGTGTGTCGCAAAATCAATCGCAGGTTCGTAAGCTTAGAAGCTAGACGACGTGCGTCGATGGCGCGCGGAGTCATGTGTGGCGCGGAATATGAATAGAGGCAAACCCACGAAGTAGAAACTAACAAGTAGTAATTTTCAATAGAGTGAGAGCGGATATTTCACGGTCCTGCTTCGGAATTGGTCGGCAGGCAGCAAGCACTAGAATCTGCTATGATTTGGCACTCCGTGAACTTCAGATTCCGCCATCATCGGCTGCGTTGGCTGCACCAAATAGTCAGTGTTATCATGTTTGCCTGTGACTAGGGCTAAAGATAGATAGTGCCACAAGGGCGATGTGAACCTCGGTCGTTCGAGAATGGTTGGAGTCTCTAGGCCATTCCTGTGAGTGTGAGCAAATATCAACAAACCAATCTCTGACGCCACGACTTCAAACTCGACAGGGATTATCTCCACTCGAGTACGTACCTAGAGTTGCAACTAACAACTTGTCAATTGACATTCCCTGGAAAATGAGAAATTAAGCTCTTTTGATATTCAATTGATCACTGCCGCTCAACGCAAAATCTGTCAATATCTGACAGCCGATAACCTCGGCATAAACATACCACTGGGCAATTTGAGAAACCGCACAAACCTAGGAGACTTTCGAATACCGTTACCTGATACAAGGATAAGATAAGGATTGTGGGCTGGAGTTGGGGGAGACCTAGAACAGGTCGGGATCACATGCAAGGCATCTGGCAACTTGCTGCTTGCCTGCGGGGGTTCGACTTCCCCTTCCCAGAGCTCCACTTATAATGGCTTCGACATCCCTAGGATGCAATGCTTCGTTGATATAAGACGTCGTCCATGTAGCTGCATGAGCGCCTCGCACCGGTGGTCGTGTAGTTCCCTTTTAGGATAACGAGCCCCCACAAACAGGGCCTCCCCACCGACCAGGGTATTAAGCCGGGGGGGATGCCACGAGGGACAGCTACCGTTCCATTTAGTTGGCGCCTTAGTCAACCCACCTCAACAAGTGATGAGGTAGGAGTCGGCGTACTGTAGAGTCACAAACGGTGAAGTTGTCGAGGACGTCGTTGCGACGCCTTTGCGCAGCCACCAACAGAGTACCTTATATAGATGTGCCTAGCCGCTAAAACTGCCATGGGGGCGGGTCGGCAGGGATGTGCCGCGGTACATCCGATAAGCGAGGGGCACCCCTATCTCCGCCACGTGGTGCCGAGAACCCCCCAAAGGGTGGAATAAATACAGAATAATAAAACAAAAGATTTCCTTCTAACCCGGAATCTTGGCAAGGGAAATGATTAAAATAAGATTTTTTTTTAGATACCGGAAGCAAAGGAGTTCAGCCCGGTGTCGAATGCCTACATCTCTTGCCCGTTTTGTCGCTTTGTCCCTATCGATCCTCTCCGGCCAGACAATTTGACCTGAACCACTTAGCCAAGCGACCGCATTTTGTCTTCCTTAATTTCACAATCGTTTATTTTAATCTATAAAGACAGCCCAGACATAGGATTCCATTCCACAGTAGGAAATTCGAGTCATTGCACGTGGTAATTCTCGGTCTACTTCTAGGCACCCGGGAAGTATCTTGGAATTTTCGTTAAAACAATGTAAGCCTTGATATAATTAGCTCTATACCAGCTCCTGAATTTGATATTTTAGGCAGTAGGTGGTATTCTAGGCCATCATTACCTTTAGAGGGCTTGTAGCAGCATAGCCACAAGACTCTACTTATCCTGCTGACTGGCACGGGCTCATTGCCTCACCTATCATTGCGTCGTCTCACATATAGCACAAATTATATTAAAAGTAGACCAATATGCCCTGTACGAACATCAACTCATTAGCCATTGGTATTGCTCAATCATACAAAGGTAAGCTTCCCTCTGTGCTCCTGAAAGCTTCTTCCATAATGTTCAACCCCATGTAGAGATTCTCGTCCGAGATGGTAATTGGAGGAGCAATCCTAAACATCCCGCCGAAAGACTCTATCGTCGCTATGTTGGCAGAAAGCCCCAAATCACTCATCTTGGCCGCCAACCGCCTCCCTAGTTCTAATCCCGGCGTTTTGCTATCTCGATCTTCAACAATTTCAACGCCTGCCATAAGTCCGCGACCCCGCACATCACCAATACAACCATAACGAGACATCAACTTCTGCAATTCTACATGCAGTTTCGCCCCAGATTCACGCGAACGAGCCACAAGGTTGTCTCGCACAACAATTTCCAGGACTTTCAATCCGACGGCAGCAGGAAGCGGGTCATTGGTGTGAGTAGTGAGGAAGAGGAACCCACTTTCTTTCGACGCGCTTGCGATGCTATTACTCGTAACCACAGCACTCAGCGGCAAGCCATTACCCAGAGTTTTGCTCAAAGTGAGGATATCAGGTACAACACCTTCGTGCTCAAATGCGAACATATTACCACAACGCCCGATTCCAGTCTGGGCTTCATCAAGTATCAAAAGCATACCACGGCGCTCGCACTGGACCTTCATAGCCTTGAGGTAGCCAGGGGGAAGTGTTATCATCCCCCCGGAAGATAGAATGGGTTCCATGATGACGGCGGCTAGCGAGCCATTCGAGGCCCGGTCGACCATTTCCCATCCATAATTTAGCTCGGTCTCCCAGTCATGAGATCCATCTGACTTACGGAAGACCGATCGGTATGCGTTTGGCACAGGCAGAATGTAGTTGCCAGGAATCTATGCACGATTTAAGACCTTTAAACAAGGGGTGATAGGGTTTACTTACAAGGGGTCCATGCCCTTTGCGTCCCGAATGATATTGAGCTGCTAGAGCTCCGCTCGTCATCCCATGCCAGCTACTCGCAAGACCGACAATCTCCCATTTTCCCGTGAAGACTTTGGCCAGTTTGATCGCGGCTTCATTGCTTTCCCCTCCAGTACTCAAGAACATGGCCTTATCCAAACCTTCAGGGAGCAGGCTCGTTAGTTTCATCGCTAGGTTAATAACCGGAGGGCTGATCATAGCAGTGAACAAATGATCAAGATTGGTGGCATGTTCTGTAATCGTTTGCACGACTTCCGGGTGGCCGTGGCCGATGAGGCACGACATCTGCCCTGATGTCCAATCTAAGATCCGACGTCCATCGGCCGTGTAGATGAATACATCTTTAGCGTGTGTAATTATTTCAGTGTTGAATGCGGTACCGAAATTGAGGAGGGAGTTATCAGCATCCGCTTGGAGAGCGTCAAGATCCGCGTTGGCGTACAACGTGCTCATCATTACAAAAACCGTATTCTTGTGAGCAGAAACCCTGTGCAGCTACCGACACTAAGATTAGAAGTAAGGAAGTGCAGATATAATACTAGAACACTCAATCTTAGACGGCGGGAGACCCGAGCCTATTGATGGGATATCGAGCGGCAAGGTGAACTTCCTATGTACCGAGGCGAGCTCTAGGCTGGCTGCGAGGAATGCTTGGGCAGAGGCACCGACGTTCGCATGAAGGACGAGGACAAACTGTCGCGAGGTGAAGATGGTTAAGTCGGTGGAAATGGATCAGGGATGGAAAAGATGAAGAGTGAGGAGGTGCGGGGTCAAAAAGTCTTGAGACTCGCCAAAAGCGGCGTTGAGTGTGACTTCTCAATACCACCTTAACACTTGCCAATGTACTACCTACTTGGACAATTTATTTAGTAACGTAGCTCCCTATACCCTTAATAAGCCACTTTTATAACAAGAACAGAGTGTGTTAAATGGCTGCGAGAACCATGGAAGGAGTAGAATAAGGTGGTGGGCTGAGACCAGATCCGTGAAAGCAAGTTTTCCGTTTGTTTATCGTCCCATTACTACTTCCTACTTGAGCATTCGACAGGGGGAAGATGAAAAACCACTTGAAATGAATAGTATGATGGGGGAAGAATCAAACGAATCCAGCACCGAGTATATGAAGGAGTATACACTTGACTCCGACAGAGTTGACTTAAAAATTGGCGGGCCGAGCCACCCAACCTGCATAAAAACCTACCTAGGAAGGTATTAGCAATGCAACTTCAAATTTTATGAGATTGAGGAGGAACGAAAATAATCCATACGTTTGGAACTGCAATTGCCTTTGCCACCATGAGTATCGGCACTTAGTGTTCCGTTTAAATGTGGTCGTCGAAAAAGTACGGATTGATAGATTATTGTGGCAAAGTATTATGACACCTTCCCTTGTGGCACCGCGGTTGAAGGTGATATCTGCTTCTGCAAAGGAGGGCAATGGGTTCCCACGGTTGAAGCGACGGCGGGCTTAGCTACGTCGATGCTGAGATGTTCGAGGAAGAGAGGATGCCACATCCTGTCAAGAGCAAAGTGTAGTCATTATCTACCTAGCCTAAACTACACTTCAAGCGCTAGCTTCGTCAAATAACGCAAGAGGGAATTCGCTTTGGCCTGCTCCTTTAGCCTCCGACTCATATGTACGGATAGTATGGCACTGAGAGCGAAGATAATTGGGCTCTTATAGGAGAAATCCCAAGTACACCTAGAGAAGCACCGGTGATAATTTGCTATCCTCTCAGCGCTGTTGAAACAACTAGAGGGGATTTCTCATAGGCCCGCAAACTAAACACAAGTGCGCACCGTTTGGACCCGTGGCTTCGAAATTGTGGAGCATTGACTTTACAAATTGGAAGGATTCGTCGCAGCGAGATTGATCTAGTCGGAGGTGGTGATCTTGATGACCATGTAACGGTTGCAGGCCCACCATCGTCTACAACGACGTTAAGAATGCGGATCTAGTTGGGCTCGCATATACTATTCACTCTGGAGCCAACTGTATGGGTGGAACTATTCGAGTAGTGCCCGTTCATCCTTCACCACCATCTTATGTCCGCCGTTAAAGATATTCCCTGGAGTCACTGGCAAAGGCGCTTAGGGTCGTAGTTATGGACCATCTCCTCCTTTATTGGGGGATCAGTTCGGACTTGGGAGAATTTTCGGCGAATGACTTGTGGGCACGGCGACACTTGATGGAGTGGGCGATGGGGGAAAGGCCTGAAGGGTACCGGTGGGCCAGAATTTGGGCATTGACATGATAAGAACTGGCTGGCTTTAGGGCTAGATTCTCAGCTCGAGCGCATATTACAGTACTCGTACTGCATCAGTGTTGGGTCGAAGCTGAATCTTCCTGTATCTCCGTAGGCAGTGGGCGCCGGCCGCTTTGCAGGGAGCTGCGTTCTGCCTCTTCAAACGGCGTGGTTTTGATTTTGAGACCAGCAGCCATGAGAAGCCGTTCGTAGAGTGCTCCGTGGGTGAGGTCGTGATGTCGGTTTACTGTACTCACATGCTCGAGGGCCGGCTACAGCCACAGTACGAGTCTGCGAGGATCCACTCACCCAAGGGCCTCGTAGATAACAGTGGCCGTTTCAGCCTTATTAAGTTATTGCTCCGTGTGCAGCTACGTGCGAGTACCGGTCGGTACCTGAGTCAAGTCGCCAACAGCTCGGGACTTGAACTGATAAGACGCTTAATAATCAGCGCAGGAGTCTCCCAAATCCCGATCCGCCCCGGCCGCGGCGAATCCAAGTCCCGCGATTCCGTCACCTCGAATAAATCTCACCAGGTGCATCTGCTCTGAGAATAGCTACTCATCAATTGCTCTTCTCCGTGAGGAAACTTATTCTGGGCTTATCCAGTCAGAGTCAGCTTTAATGGAGTCTTTGCTACCAGCTCAGCCTCGCCAGGAAGGCCAGCCTCCCGAGGGCGGTCAACTGGGGCTTGACAAGAGAGCACGACTATCTTGCATCAACTGTCGGAAGCGCAAGGTATCTAATCTTCCTTGGCCTCTGGAGCTACATATATGTTGTTCCTCCAAGCTTCAGCTGACCAGGATGGTTTGTAGGTCAAATGCGACCGTAAAGAGCCATTTTGCTCTCCCTGTGAAAAATATACAGAGCAATGTGTCTACCCTCTCGAGAGAAAACGAGTCGTCCGCAGGTCGTAAGTTCCGTCAGCTCCGTAGAGTGTCCTATCCGGGCACCAAATGTCCGCATACGGCTAACCACCTGTTGGCCCAGTGCCTACAAGGACATGGCTCAGCGATTGGCAAAAATGGAGCGTCTTATATCAGACCTTGCTTTAGGTCCAAATGGCGCTGATGAGGGTACTTCGCCTTCCATTTCCGAGTCTAGCCAACCCGAAGAACCATCGAAAGAGAAGGTGGCCAAAAAGAGTCCCCCGGTGATTTTGTCATCTGACATGGCCGAGTCCGATTTCTCATGGGCTATTCCCGAGGAAACTCACCCAGGGGAGTGTCCGGCTAATGAGGTAGACCCTCAATTAATCCGCGATGTGCAAGAAGGCCAATACAAAGGCAAGTCATTTAATAACCTACCAGGGCCAAACAAGACTTCCTAACTTTCAAAGGGCCATGCTCTATATTTTCACCTAAGGGCGTTCATTGGGTGAACTACTTGGTTGGCGATGACAGCTTTGGCCAGATGATGGCTGCGTTCAAGCCCATCAGAAAGGCAAGGGAGCTTGAATTCGATATAACAGTTCGCCACCCACTTCCACCCGACGAGGTTCTGCTCAAATGCGTCCATGGTCTGTAGACACCCCCTTCTAGAATCGCTTATACCAACTACTAACACTCTCTGCTTGCAAAAGGGTTTTCCCAAACACTCAATAAGGATATAACTGTGTTTCGAGAGGAAGTAATTATGGATGGCCTTCAATCATATTTGGCTGGTAGTCCCCACCTGTCAACTAGCTGGTGGGCTTGTATCAATATCATCGTGGCGCACAGCCTTCGCGATAACCCAAGCCAGCCCATGGCAGGTGATTGTGATAAGTACCTTTATAACGCACTGAGCTTAATTCCGGCCATCATATTGCAGTCGCCTGAGGAGTTATGCATCGGAGCGTTGCTTTCAATGGTAAGATAATAGTTCCATCCCGGAGTAAGCTCTGACGGTTTAGGCAATGTACTTTATGTTCGCATTCGAGAATCGGCCTGCTACGTCTATCCTCGGATTGGCGATACAGCAAATGATTATAGGTGGCTACCACAACAACACGAAGCCTCCTGGTTGCAGCGAACTCGACTTCTGGCATCGACGCCGGCTTTTTTGGAATGGCTACATCCTGGACATGGATCTTTCCCTCCGGCTTGGGAAACCACCAGCGGTTAACCCCCAGATCATCGAACTACAACTCCCTCCTGACCAGTCTCCTGATGGGATTGGTGTACGGACTGTTAGGGGTGTTTCGTTCAACTTCCTCCGAGAGCATTTTGCCTTGGCCAAGATCCAACACCAGGCTTATTTAAGACTACACTCCAGAACGTCTACAACCCAGACCCCGGAGCAATTATATTCCACGATTTCCGAACTTGATGACGAGCTCCAGAAGTGGAGAGAAAACATCCCAGAGGTTTTGAGGCCTCAAACCCCGCTAGATCGGGTTCAAAACGATAGTTTAATTATGCTGACAGTGCTACATTACACATACTTCCAGCTGATCATCGCCATCCATTCTGTCGTATTTCATGGGTTTAAAGCACACAATGCTAGTGATCGAGACGCGAGGATCATTGGGAGTGTGGCATTGTGCGTTGGTGCAGCGCGAGCATCCATTGCACTCCTAAACTATCATCGCTGTGACCACCCCTTTACCCGGTACGTTGTATATTCCTCCCGCATCTCAGAATCTTTGAACTAACTCCGCCAATTTGCAGTTACCTCGTTAACCACATTGCCTGGAGTGTTGATGTCTTATTTATGAACATCTTGCAGAACAAAACAAGCCCACAAGTTGTAAAAGACCTCAAGCTGTTGCAGAGGATTGTCGAGTTCTACGAAAAGTCGGATCCTAATCGCAGTAGTTCTACCGCGTATCAAGTAACCAAGTCCATGTATATCGTTGCATCGAGAGCTGTCAACAAGTCCCAGGGCGAAGTCCTGACAAGTTCACAAGAGAAATATCCCGCCGCGTCGGGCACCATCAGCTCGTCTCTCAACGACTACGCCATAAACTCATCTGCTAGATTCCAACCACAGCACCCCGCTCCATCCATAAGAGAGGATATGGGCGCATTCAATGGCGGACTAGGTGCACTGCCCTACCTGGAGTCGGAATGGATGATGCCCCTGGGTTTCCAGCCAGAATACTGGCAAGATCCATGGGCAAATGTGTTTCAGGAACAGCCTGGCATGCAAGGTCTATCACTGCAGTAAAGAATGAATACATACCTGGGTATCCGTATTCTAGGGGGACTTCCGCCTAGAACATGCCCGAATGCTCCATCCGCGGCGGACAATTGCGGCGGCATCGGCTGGTTTCGGAGCAAAAAGCTCTACTCGCGGGCAGTTGGAAGTACAGTACCTACCTAGGTACCTACCTTACCTACGTAGGTAGGTAGATAACTGTCTTCATGCCCACCTGGCCATTCAATCCGTAGCCAAAGTAGCTTACGCGCATCGGCCAACCCCATACTTTCAGCGTGGTGCTGCTGCGTGTGTACGAGCAGTGGAGTGTGAAAGTAGAAAGTCGTGCCAACAACGCGGTGCTGGATTACTGGCGTGGGGTGATCGCGGGTGGACCCGATCTTGGCCGGCGCGCCAAATCGCCTCATGTTGCGACGCCGTCGTACGAGCACAACCAATAACCCGCGCGGTAATCTAGAACTGGCAACGAGAAATATCAAAATCACACGATTTCGAAATAAATGCCATCAGCAGAATAGCTATACGTTTCTACACTGCCTCGCCGAAAAATGTATATCTACTTGGCCGTCTACCTCACTGGTAGCACCTCTTATTTCAGCATGAAGCAGCCAAACCACAATCCTAAAACGAAACAATTCAATTCGACCAAAATTCAAACTCCTATCCTCAAAACTCCATCTATCAACAATACCTCACCCTCAGATCTATAACCACAGACGAAACTTCCCACAAAATGAGTTCCCCAACACTGCGAAAACTCGCCCTCGCCACGTTTGCAGGGATAGGGGCCATCTATACAGCAACTACCTTCTCAGCCCCTTCAAATACCCAAACTATCGCCAATGACATGAGGAAGCAGCTGGATGAATACAATTCATCTGTAGAGGCTGGAAAGGAATCGCAATTCCAACATGCAGCACGATCGTAAGCACTTCTTTCCCCATTTTCTATGGAAGTATTACTTTTGAGCGAAGACTAATGACTCAAATAGGGATCGGTCGACCATGCTAGATCGACATGAGTTGATGGAGAATGCTAAGATACGGAAACCTTGGAACATGACTTTTGCTGAGAGGGAAAGGGAAGCGACGAAGTGAGGATCGTTGATGGTGGCGTTGGTGTCTAATATATTGCATAGATCGGAACATGTTATGGCGTTGGCGTTCGGTTGATTGGCTTGTGCAAGGAACATTGAATCATCTACATACGAAGTACGTGGACTAGAGTTGCATATCCGGTTTCACGGTTGTTATTAGAAACAGGGAAGCAAGCACTGTACGCAGCGTTTTTCTATCACCCTTCTATCGCGTACCGACAGCATATAATTCATATCTACAATGATACAAATGTAATTCGCACCTACTGCTAATGAATTAATACTTGGAATAATGTACCACTCGCAGAGGCGCAGATCATTGAGGTAAATTAGATGTGCTGAGATTTTCCGAATGCGAAGGCACTTTTTTAACCTTTACTCAGCCCGAATGCTTCTGAAGAGAAAATAATGTGAGTGCGGATCTAAAAGAAAAGAACCCAATTCCCATCTCTTATATCGGGAGTAGTCTCCATCTGTGATGCACCTCCTCTTTCAGCTGCACTTGCTTGTATTCCCTTCACAGATTCCTCCATTTTAGACACTTCTCTAGTGCGCGGATATTGCCTTGCACAGTATCATCTACATCTAGGTTGGAGTTGATGATCCGCATCGAGAACAGCGATGTCTTCTTTTTGAGTGGAACCTCGTAGCTTCCCACCCGAAAGCTATACATCTCTTAAAACACTTCATTGGAAGTTTGGAGCTCGGCCCCCACGTCTAGATCATGGTACGCGTACACTACGGAACAATGGGTCCAAAAGTATATTATCTTAAGGCTGATTGCTCCGTTAACATATGAGTTGAGGTGCTAGTCCTGATGTGCCGCTCATAGAGAGCAGTATTGCAGTTTTGGGGGTTAGTGGCTAGAGCCACGTTGGTCTCGGTGACTAGGATGGCAACTATGCTTAATGATGTAAACGAAATTGAAGACAATGAGAAGCGGTAGATATGTGTGGTATACGTGTATCTGGAGCTTGAAATTGTTATACAAGATTCTAGTCACCACTAGGCACTTCAGCACTCTGTACTTAACGCTAGAATTCGATTTATTGTCCTGCCGATGAGTTGTACTGCATAGTGTCTCGGATTGAGACTGTTACTATTCCCCCCCTTTTCTAGAAATACAATTCCGTTTCGATGTCCGCCCTTGGGCTCGATGGCTCATATAACACCGTATTAACCCTCCGATAAGTGGATTCCAGATCCATATCCAAACTCCATCGCAATGTGACTCCATGCATTCTCCTCCCAGGATCCATCGGAAATTCAATTCACCGAACTGACCGTATTTATAAATGAGTGGTATTTTTCTTCTTCAGTGAGAAGTTTCTTTGCCGGCTTGACTTTCGGCGCGGGTTTTGGATTTGTTGTCGCCCAAAGGACTTGATTATCCAACTGGGTGGTCCGCTCCTTCTCCACATCGTCGGCCTTCTCCGGAGGCGCTTGCTCGATATCTCGGGGGAGACGCATGGCTAGCAGGACGTATTCGGCTCTGGTCATGTTATCCATGATATCATCCATATACCTCCGGACTTCATCAGCAGGAGCAACGATCTTTTGTAGTGCCTCGAGCTGTCGTCCTTGGTGGGCATACAGTCGAATCGTGATGGGCTGATAATAATCTAACGCAGGGTCGTATGCTGGTGAATCACTACAGCTTCCTTTGCGCACGATTAGGAACGACGCAATGACCTGGCCTTGTGGTAGGTATTCCAATATGCTGAATTTTGGAAATAGGAATCTGTCACCTGATCCTCCTGCAAATTCAAATACAACCCCCGAAATGTCAGGTTTTGTAGAAGGAATAGGCCCTTTTGATCGGAGAGCCTGCGGCTGGCTCTGGAATTGATGCTCAGATTTTGGTGTTGGCACATGAGCTGGAGCATTGCGAACCGAGGGCGTCGGGCTTGGAGTAGGGTGAGCATGGCCATTGATCTGTGGAGAGGCTTGGGGAGGGCGAGGGGAAGGTTGACCCGTAGCTTGAGCCTGGATTGCGGCTTGTCGGGCCTTTTGTAAACGCGTCAAGTCATCGATGTGACTCTGGAACCTTTTCAATTCTTCTGCAGATGCCTGGCCATTCGCCACGATCCGCATCAGCGCCTTTAGATCTGGGTCCGTCGACGCCCTTTCAGCCAACATTTGAATGACTGGGTCTTTACTTTTGTCCGCTGGATCTGCCGCAGGTGGAGGATTAGGGTGAGGTGTGTTTAGTCGTGGGCCATTCGGGTTAGGGAGGGAAGGATTTTGGGGATGTGGCAGGCTGTTCGTCTGCGGAATAGAGGGAGTCGGTGTATAATTTGGTGTAGAAGCCGGTGGCATAGAGCTTCTCGCAGTTTTATCTTGAGGCCTAGGCGATGGCTGCGTGCTTGTCTGCGGCGATGAGAACTGTGGCTGCTGGGCAGGTGGTATTGGTGCTGGAGGAGGCATTGTGCCACTAGGTGGGCCATATTGAATTATAGGACGATACATAGGTTGCTGGGAGACTGGTGTAGGAGTTGGCCGAGGGTTTGGGTCCTTGATTGCATACATCGTAGCATCAAAGATGTGCGGTTCAACAGTTATTGTGCATGTCCCAAGCTTCGTCATCGAGTCCTTCGGTGGATTATTGGGCGGCTGTTCTGGCACCCCCTTCTTCTTCACTGGCTTTGTCCAGTATTTCTCGAATATGCCTTCGCTGATCCATTTTGAACGGGATCGTTGTAATGATTCTGCTAGGACACCGCTGGGCAAGGGATCCGGTCAGCTTGGTCTCACTACACATCCGACGCTGCCCATGGAACGAAACATACCTTTCGGAGACAGACTGGAATTCCTTTAAAGACAGGTTTTCTGGCTGTGGCTCGCCGACTGCAGGTAACGATTTGCCGGGCGCGATACTCTTTGGTAAAGCCTCTTCGACGATCTGTTGTGGCACGGCTGCTGGCGTTGGTGATGGCCCGCGTTCCTCTGGGGTACTAGACACGGCTCTTTTTTTGCTCGCAACTTCAGCTCTCGTGCTTCGCACCGGAAACTTTCTCTTCCTCTCCATGCTGTCGCTCGCGTTCAAATAGCTCAAGTGGTGGTGTGTTGTAGTCCGACGCGTCGCGGAATGGTAATGTAGTTGTAGGATGTACGTGAGCGTCGTGGTGATCGTGCCCGTCCAGGAACATCAGAGCATCAAAAAACAACCGAGACGTGTTGCACTCCCGATGGCCTGAGAGCTGTGGCACACGACCAACAACGGAATTCACACATTCAACAAGGATAAGGATAACTAAACCAAGGATTCGAATTTAGAAGAGAGGTTGGTGGTCGACGTTACTTGAAACCAGTAGGTCACAAATTACAAACATTGCGAGTATTACGAATCTTTCCCCTCACCAATGCGGCGATGCAGCCCTGCCACGTGAGAAGTCTCATGCCTGGTAGGGTCAGTTTCGTTTACCTGTTGTCAGTGTTTTTTATACGCTGTTGTTGTCTTCATACAGGTATATACCAGTTCTAACCTGGCTCTTCTAGTACTCGTTCTTTACGTGGGAATGCCGTCTCTTGCCCCGATCCTTAGGAACGCATATTGGTCCCTGGTCCTGGCCATTTCGCTCTACGCTCTTGTGCTAGTTACTCTCACGAACCCGTGGCTCCAGAGGCAGTAAGCATATTTTGTAGTCCCACAGTTTAAATGGCAGCGTTAAGGGTAGCACAGTGTATTATACGCTCACAAGATCAACACATTATGGTGGCAAGACATCAATAAACCAGAGCAGTTTGGATTTATAAGTTGGTCTTGAAAACATCTTATTGTTTCAAATGCCTAATGACACCAGAAAACCAAATTACCCCCTTCAATTTTACGACCCCGGATCATGAGACTATTTACGCATGGCACGTTATGCCTCTAGGACTTTATGCAAAGCATGAGGCCGAAATATTGCGCCAGCCCTCAGGTTGTGCTGAAGATATTACGCAGACAAAGGCGTTTCGACTTTTACAAGATGATCCAGAATCGAGACTGGTCATCAACTGTGAGAGCTTTGCAAATCTAGTTATTGCTGCGTGCTAATATGAGTTAGTTCACGGTGTATGATTAAACCACTCCATGGGCACAACTAGGCTAATAATCTAAAGAACGCCGGTACGGTTGCCCAGGGCTGGCGAACTGACTCATATCGTGCACTGGCCGATGGAAGCACTTCCAATATTCACATTCTCGCCATTGATTATCGTGGATTCGGCCTCTCTACGGGTTTCCCAACCGAGGCTGGGCTGATCATCGACGGAATTGCCGCCGTAGACTGGGCGATTCAGGTGGCGAAAATCCCACCAGGACGAATTGTAATACTCGGCCAAAGTCTTGGAACAGCAGTTACCGCAGCCGTTGTTGAGCACTATGCCCAGGAAAGGGTCGAGCTTGCAGGCGTGGTTCTCGTTGCGGGTTTCACTACTCTGCCGGAACTACTTCCAGGTTATTCAATTGGCGGGTTGCTTCCGGTGCTGTCACCTCTAAAGGCGTACCCAACTCTCCTAAGGCTATTCACCCGTCATGTCGTGGATCAATGGCCATCGACCACTCGATTGGCGAACTTCGTCCGAGCCAGCAAGAAAATACGACTCTTTATCGTGCATTCCAGGGATGATCACGAGATCCCATGGGGACATGCGGAGAGGTTATTTATCACTGCAGCAAATGCTACGACTGAGAGAGGCATGGACCTTTCTCTATTAAAGAAGATGAAGGCACAAGCAACAGTCGACATGGGTGACGGTGCATTCGTAAGCACCTGGAAAGCTGACGAGAATAAGATCATCCGAGAAGAGATTGTTTCCTACGGACGTAAGTACACCTAGCCCTCAGCTAAGGCCATTATCAGTTCATTAAGCTATTACAGACCACAGTAGGATCCTGACTTATGCAACTGTTTCTCTCGCTGTACTAAAAGCATTCGGTCTTGATGAAGGGGGTCTTTTGCCGTTATGAGGGAAGGATGGCGGTTGCACGAAACACAGAGGATGTATGGATAGCTGCCTACTAGATTGATGGACCTTTCCACTTCTAGTTGTAATATAAGGGAGTGGTGCGTCAAAGAAACCAAGTATCAGTAATCAAACAACCGCAATACATCAGCTCCTTCATAGGCTTGGAGATAGATGTATCCTTTCTTCATTAGGAAGGATTAGGGTGAATCGAGGTACTCAGTACAACAATAGCCAAAGGTTCTGAGAAAGTGCTTCCGAGACTTCGCGGCTGGCAAGCAAAACGAGAATGAAAATGGGAATAAAACATAGCAGAAGCATTAACGTAGCTCATAAGGCACACGATTTATGCCGAGAAGTCCTGACAACATTGTACCACGCGTCCAAAGCAGGACGATGACTCCTAGGCCCAGAAGCGGTAAGAGAGAAATGAATACCGTTCCTGAAGAGAGGCAGGCGATATATGATGTTTTCGGCGGATCTACCCAAAGCCCCATAATCTATCAAGATCATCAGCTCATAACATGCATTGCCTTGCATAGTTCTGCTAAATTCGACAATGAAAGAGCTCTAAATGTATAATTAAATGATAAAAGGAAACTTTGTAAAGATGTGCGTGTGAAGCTACACGGTGTCGTCTCCGAGAATCACAAGGGTCGTGCAACCGAGACCATGCCAACCCCACCAGCCCACTTCAAACACCACTTCGTCCCCTCAACGAACACCTGTCCAGCACAAAGTCAAAACAACACGATGGCGGACGACTCTACGGCCGGCGGCTCTACAGCTAAGCAGAAAGCAGCAGAACAGGTTATCGAAGAACCAAATGCTCCAAATTCGCAAAATGCGCAGGTCGATTCCGGAAATGAGGACGAAGAAGACGCTCCTGCAGATGGCACAGCAGCTTCCAGCTCCGCCGCAAAGAAAAAGAAATCGAAGAGGAAGCGAATAAAATCTGCTCTGGCCGGCGGTGGCGGCTCCAGTGAAGCTTCCGGTAGCGCCCCGTCGAAGAGCGATATGTCGAAAGCGATCAGCGGACTGAGCAAGGACCAGATTGGGGAGATACTCAAGATGAACCCAAGTCTAGCACGAGATTTAGGAGTGACAGGCGGCGATGTTTCTGTTGCCCAGGCTGCCGAGAAACTCAAAAAATTGAGTCTGGAGGAGATATTGTCGGGTCTGGCGTCGAGTGGGAAGAACGTTAAGGATATGGGAGAGTACAAGTTCTGGCAGACGCAACCGGTTCCGCGGCTTGGGGACAAGGAAAAGATCGAGAAAGAGGGGCCTATCAGGGAAGTCAACCTTGATTTAGTTCGAAAGGAGCCGTATCCCATGGCAGAAGGGTTCGAATGGGTGACCATTGATATACAAAATCCCGAAGAACTGAGGGAGGTATTCGAGTTGTTACACGGACACTATGTCGAAGACGATGAAGCTATGTTCCGATTCAACTACTCTCCATCATTCCTCAAATGGTAGGACATATAAACTCAGAGTTTAGATCTGCGCTCACGAATATAGGGCTCTCCTTTCTCCCGGTTGGCAGAAGGAATGGCATGTGGGCTTGCGAGCCACCCAATCCCGAAAGCTCGTCGCCTTCATCTCCGCGATACCTGTTCAACTCCGGGTCCGGGAAAACGTCCTTAGCTCATCAGAAGTCAACTTCATGGTCGTTCACAAGAAGCTCCGATCCAAACGGCTGACCCCTGTCCTCATTAAGGAGATAACTCGACGGTGTAACCTGAATGGTGTTTATCAGGCCATCTACACCGCTGGTATTGTATTACCAAAGCCTTTTAGCACCTGCCGGTATTTCCATAGGTCTCTGGACTGGCAGAAACTCTACGAGGTTGGATTTAGTCCATGCCCCAAAAACAGCAAGCCTCAGTACCAGGTCCGGAAGTACCAGCTACCTGAGCACACAGCTACTAAGGGGCTGCGACCAATGGAATTAAAAGATGTAGACGCCGTTCTTGACTTGCTACGCCGATATCTGGCAAGATTTGACATAGCCCCTGAATTCACGAAGGAGGAGGTTGAACATTGGTTGCTCCACCAAGAGAACAAGCTCGAAGAGCAAGTAATGTGGTCCTATGTAGTGGAGGCAAGTTTGAATCCAATATTGAACCCCAACAAATCTAATTTCACTCCAGGACCCCTCAACAAAGAAAATCCGCGACTTTTTCTCTTTCTACTGCCTTGAGTCCTCCGTCATCAACCACCCACAACACAGCGTCGTCCGCGCAGCCTACCTCTTCTACTACGCTACCGAAACCGTCTTCTCCCCCGACTCCACCAAACAGGACCTCAAAACCCATCTCAACGCTCTCGTTAATGATGCCTTGATCATCGCCAAACGATTCAAGTTTGATGTCTTCAATGCTTTGACACTGCTGGACAATACGCTCTTTTTAGAGCAGCAGAAGTTCGGGGCGGGCGATGGGCAGCTGCATTATTACCTGTATAATTATAATGCGAATCCCATTGCTGGAGGCGTGGATGCGCATAATAATATTGACGAGAAAGGGGGTAGTGGGGTTGGCGTTGTTATGCTGTAGGTTGCGAGCGAGAGTAGAGCTTGGGAATGGTGGAAAGCAGCGTGCATACCCTGCACAAGTCGCACAACGAAACAGATCCCCCGCAAAGCGGCGTTGTGGTTTTGGTGATATAGCATGCCATGCCTCTTTTGCTTAGGATGGGAAGCTTATACCATAGATGCCCCAGTTCAGCCTAACAAGTTCTACTCAAGCAATGGGCCGAATATTAAAAAAAACTGTGTATTTCAAACCAGTATATGGGCTATGTACAAATCACACATAAGCCTTCAGTCTCCCTATCGATTTAATATCACGGCTTCTTGCCTTCCCTATTAAACTCCAGCCCCTTTTCAGCCATCTTCCTAACCATCTCGTTATGCCATTTCCACTCTTCAACCATAAAAACATGTCCGTTTCCCTCCTTAATCAATCCAGTGCCAGGCGCTAACATCTCAATCAATTTTCGTCCATGCGGCAGGGTGATCATCTTATCCGCCGTTCCATGCATAACCATAATCCTCTCCCTGCCTACGGCGTCCCCAAGCCTCTTCAAATCATCTGCGCTCTTATAATGCCACCCCGCCGCAATCGCCTGTAGAATAAACCCCTTTCTAGGAAAATCTACTGGGTTTAAGCGCTTGACTAGCTCGTGCGCTGCAAAGCGCTCGTAGTTTGTGGCCCATTTTTTATAGGCCCCCGAGGGGGGCAAGATGACTCCTGGGGTGGAGGTTGTGGGAACCTCAGTGTCATCTGGGGAGTCCAGCCAGGCGTCTGAGAAGAGCATGCGGGAGCCGTCTACAATAGCTTTATCAAGAGATTTTGGAATGAACATACTGATGCGGGTCCAGAGATTTTCCGCCCAGGTTGTTGTGTTCTCGATGGCTGCGGCGGTGGAGATCAGGTTTAGAGAGTTGATACGGTTGGGGATTAAGAGGGCCTAGGGGAAGTGTTAGTTGTCGAGGTGGAATAGGTTGGAGAAGAGGAACAATACAAGTTCTTGGGCTATCATACCGCCCATTGAGACCCCTGAGACGTTGAGTTGGCGTTCTTCTGTCCACCCTAGATGGTCCAGCAACTCGATAACATCTTTGGCCATTTCACTAGTTGTATAACGAAGGACTGGCTTATCCGATCCACCCATGCCTGAGAGTAGTCGTCAGTGGTCTTCACTTTACTCGTAAGGAATACTAGCTGCAAAAAGTTCCCGGGTCAGAGTTGCTTTGCCGCTATGCTGCTTGCTATAGCCGTAACGGTTTATCTCCAGAAGCTTTACACAGAACTAAATACCGCTACTTCAAGCTTTGTGAGAAGAAGATCAAGGGGCTTACCTCGATTATCAAAAATCAACGAAGAGTACTTATCTCCTTCATCATGGCCGAACTCCTTCGTCTGTCTCTGAAATGCACTCTTTTCCTCGTAAGCCCCTATTATTTCAACGCCCAGTAAGACATACCTTGATAGTGCCCAAACCCATTATCCACTATCACAACGGTCAGTCACGTGATTTTGATTTCCTTCGAGCAACCTCGACCGGTATACGATTCGTTTGGTGTTGAAAGTAACATACCACAAGCTTAATATCGCCCTTCCCATGAACTTCATAGTCAATGTTAAAAGGTCCTCCTCTTCCCTCCGCCACAGGCACTTTTCCGCTTTGCGTTGGTGTAAGATTCCATACCGTATCTGGATACGCTGGGCTGCTTAGGATCTGAGCAACTGCTGGCCGTGGAAGCGTGGTGGGCGGTGTCCTGGACTACTTGTCAGCATCTCAGATCCACGATTTAACGTACCTAGGTAGCAAACTCACATTGCTGCAATCGTGATCCTGTGATATGAAGGGAGGTTTCAAATGTATAGGTAGGTTCGTCGGAAGGTTTGTCCGTCGGTGTCCGCTTATTTTGCTATGGCAACTCCTCGGGTTCCGTACTCGTACTCCCTTGCCGAGGCTCTAATTAAGCTTACGCACGGGTAAATTGCCAAGTTAATACGTACCCCGTACCTCGACACGCCAGGTTGCACAGGTAAGTGCACTATTAAGGACCGCAGTAGAAAGAAGTAGCTTCGATGTTCGAAGCTAGCGCGACGACGACGACCACAAGTCCCGTATTATTAGGAAGCTCTTTACGAGGATTAGGTTGGGTGTGTTGAAGCACCTATAGGTAGCTATACCAATGTGGTAGACATGTGGGAATAGCCTCAATTGTTGGCTAGGTATATATGAGCTACCTGCGTCCCAACTTGCACCAGCCACGCATTGTTATTTTCACCCGCGTTTGAATGCGAGGACAAGCTATCACCGTGCTGGCCTAGGAGCTTGGCTCCGGTTCAAGTACGGTCTTCGAAACTTCGCACCTTTCAAGTGACAACACCCTGTCCAACATCTATCTTTCAGTTCTAATACTACCTTGCAGACCATCACTCGAATTTCATCTTTGTTCTAATAATTATGGTTGGTGTTCCAACCAGCAATCGCTGTGACAATTGCCGAAAGCGGGGGAAAAAGGCATGTCTCAAACATTCGTTCATTGCATGCTCCCCTTGAGTCTATCACTCCTGGAGTCTATGAAGGAAGATGCCAAACTAATGGCCAACTTAGTGCGGAGAGGAAACTCCATCATGCTTGGAGTGCATCCGTAGCGGATGGACTTGTCCGGGATGCAAGGCACGATGGAAGTTCGTCGATGAAGCTCCTCGATTGGCCAAATATTATGCCGGGAGAAGGTTCTAATACGATGTCGTTGACATGAACCCAGAATAGAAGGACGCAAATGAGGATCTGAAATATGAGAGAGTGGTCGTCCGGAAAAATGCCCCTTTTCAGCGCAGCTCACGTCACGGAAGGTTGGAGTTGTCCCGCTACCTTGAGACCAATCCCCTGGCTCGGAATTTGTATATTGCTTAGAGAGCAACATGAAAGGGGCATATGTTCCATTACGGCTTGTTGCCTCCTTTTTTGAGTTCATTCCGACACGTCTTGGTCGCAATGCAGCACTCGACGACGCAGTTTCGTGTCTAAGTTCCATCTATCGCTACCCTACCTTTAATCCCCACTCACTTCACAGTGGAATCTACAAGCGCTATGTCAAGGCCATATCCTCCTTGCGCATGTGTCTTAGCGATCCTTCTCTCCAGATGGAGCCAGAGACGTTGTGTGCAACGATTTTGCTCCAGTTAGGCGAGGTGAGAATGCCCTCCAGGTATCCTAAGTTGGATGATGAGAGCCATGGCTAATTATAAATTACCTTGAGCAGCTCGCTGTCAATGGCGAATGGGAAGATTGGAGCCGGCATGCTAGTGGAACGGCTTTCCTCCTACGTGCTCGCGGCGTATCCCGATACTCAACTACTTTCGAGTACGCCTTGCTTAAGTCTCAGCTAGGTCACCTAGTAAAACCCCCTCTTATAATGTTGCCGATTGCAAGATCCACTAATTATTAGTGTTCTGGTATAGATTGCTCACGGTACAAAAGTCCAAGAACATTGTTTTCTAAGCTCCCCGGGATGGCGAGCTCTGTTGCTGGAAGGCCCGACCTTCCCCTTTCAGGACCGCCGAGCAGCAACACTAAGCTTGCAGCCTCGATTTATTCGTATGCTGATCGACATCCCGAGTTTGACGCTGGCCTATGGGGCAATGGATGAAAGCCAGATTTCTCAAAGGGAATGGAGAGCTCAATCAGTGCCGCTGATGCAGGGGATTTCCACAACAATGAACCAAATCAAGTTATTGCTCAGTGAAGTCGAACCAACGTTCATATCCTATGCTGATTCACAACAGGCCATCCGCCGCCTCATTGCGTATCCAGATACCCTGTATGGGCTTCTAGATTGTAGTGCAAATACAGCACTGTTTCATGCTTGATACAATGCTGCGCTCCCTGTGGGATAGGACGCTTCATATGAACTGCAAACAACCGGGAGCCAACTACGCTCCTGTTGACCTAAAGAGCGTCGAAGAATGGAGTCGGCGCGCCATGACTGCTTATCAATTCGTGGAGCGCGAATCTCCATTGGTAGCAAAAATGTTCAATTACGTGGTATTTCAATAGGTCGTGGAATTAAAGTGTTGAATTTGGAGATCGGAAATAGGCATATCGCTCGACCCAGCTCTCAGCTGATAAACTTTTGCGATGAAGGACGGCATTCAATTCTTAGCCTTGCCTGTGTTATTGAAATATCTTGGACTTTCTATATGCCACCTCACTAGGTCCCCTGGGCGATTCTCGTCAATCTACAAAGTCTTGGACACAAGCGCCATTAGATCCTCGAACGCCTTATAAATATCCTTCCGTTCCTCAGTCCAAATCCTGGACTCCTCGCCCAGGTTCAAATCATCTCCTTTCGCCGCCTTGACCAGCACCGTCCTGTCCGGAAACGCAAGCGCAGGCATAGTCTCCGCCACGTTCATGTTAACACCATCGAGGACTTGTCGCAGCTGCCCGGCGGATTTTGTACCGCCATGACCACCATAGCTAACAATCATCGCGGGCTTGGCTCTCCATTCGTTGAACAAATAGTCGATTGCGTTCTTGATGACGGCTGGATAGCCCCAGTTGTACTGGGGCAGGATGAAGATGAAACCGGCATATTTCTGGATCTCTTGGCTCCAAGCACGGGTGTGTGGTTGGGCGTAGTCACAATAGTTCTTAATCTGAGAGGGGATTGTTGGTTCGTCGAACATGGGGAGATTCCATACTGCCAGGTCGATCAGCTGGAGTTTGGCTCGAGGCGGGGAATCCGAAGATGTAGAAGTCCAGTTTTCGATTGTTGAGGTGACCAAAGCCGCGATCTGAGGGCAAACCCGTGGCTGTCGTGAGGAGCAAACAATCACACCAATCAGGGGTGTGGGTGCAGAAGTAGATGACATGGTTTTGAGAGAGCAGGAAGTTGAGATAACTGTGGAAGCAGTAGTGAAGATATCGAACGAAGATTAGAGATGATTGTTTTTTTGGCAATAGAGATGATCTTATATATATCTTCACCTGCAGGGGCCACTCTCTTTCCTCCGCTTCGTATCCGTGTCTCTCCACAATCCTCTCTGGCATGCCTTTTCGCAGATATCAAGTTGTCGTCAGCACTATCAACATGCTTTAATTGTGCAACCACTAAGAAACTATACTTTGTCCCTACTTGCCGTCAATATAGCGAGACTCCCAGCCACACCGTCTCGAGTGTCTCTTCTCCGATATCCAGCACCAGATTTCAGAGGGTGACCAAGTCACATTGCCCAATGGGACGTTAGGTCGCGCCTCGGATCCGAAGCCATTGGGCTTGCGTGGCCTAGGCGCTGATCGGACTTAAACGACTCAACGACGTAGCTTCTCCAATAACGTGTCGACTTAAGCAAGTTTGCGGCGCTTCCGGGAAAAGCTTCAGTTTTCGGTACCGGATTTCAACCCGAAAAAGGCACCAACAGATTGCGAATGCATATACACTATTGTGACTTTGAATATCTCAATCTGCATGGATATTAAGATAAGTGATGAGATCTGAAGAGAAGTGGGTTTTATTTGAGTATGCAAAGGAAAGAGAAGCAAGGAGGCCAGTTGAGTACGAAGTACTGTACTGCGCTAACTAAAAATATTCTCTATCTTCTTATTTTACAAGTGAACCTTCGGTAACAATCTAGGATTTCCCAGAGCAATTAACTGTGTTAATTATAGTAGTTACTAGAGTCAATGGCCCGACTGTTTTTATTCTCTCAATACCTATCGAGGGGACGCCGAGACATCGAGACGTCGACATCATTTCCAGGATATACATAGTATGCGGCGGTGGTAACCGCCCGCAGTTTCACTCGAACCGGAGGGCAGCAGCAGTTTGTAGTCTAACGGTGTTTGTAATTTCTTAGCGATCGTATCGTGCGTGAAAGTAAAATCCCCAACCAGTCTGTAAATAAATTATTATAGTTGGAATACTATTTGACACCGATCTGTATTATGACAAGCATTAGCGGCTTGACAGCTATCCCTTTCATAGCAAAGTTTACTTGCTTTATTAGCTAATTCCTACAACTAGTCAAACTTGTCGGCTTGATCTAGACGATTCTTCTTCCAAGCAAGCACCTAATCTTGTAGAATGTTGCGCATAATACGGGTCTCTTTTTTAAAGCTGTCTTATACAGCCTGTTTGCCTTTGGGTTCGGTCCAGACAAATGTTTATTGGCCATCAGCAAGGTTCCATACTCGTAGCCTGGCATTAAGTCTTGCAAGATTGCTTTCACAGCAGGCACTCAGATCTTAAAACGAATTATAGAATATTAAGACTGGCAATTGATTATATTTTTTTAAAATTTGGTATACCATAAGTCGCAAGCAGAGTCTATCTAAGTGCTCTTATACTCGAATATTGGTAAGTATACAATATACCCATGCTCACCATGAACGTATATAGCCTCAGCCGACCTGCCGCCGTAGAAAATGCATTGAAACGCTCCTCCCATCCAATGGACGCCAGAATCCTGCCCCCAGTCCCCCAGTCCGTCCCCCAAGCCCAATATTTAGCAATTCCGCTTTTCCCACCGGGACCACCCCCTATATATATATAAGAGCCTGTAGAAAAATAGTTGAGTAGTGCCGCCCGAACCCGCTCCGATCGTTGACTTTTTCCCATTCACATAATACATGAGACATATCAGCTCATCGCGCCCAAAAGAAATTCGTCTTAACCTAGATTTTGTTTTTAAATATTGTGAATATTTCCACTTCTTTATGCCTCGTCAAACCGACACACGTCCCGGAAATCGGGATACTTGTCAGCAAAGGGCTTCTTCATGCTGAAGTGGTTGATATCAGCTAAATGCTGCTCCATCAGCGGGCTAACCATGAGCTGGCCGTTCTCGAACACCAGCGCCTTCATAGGGTCATGTGGGAAATTAATCGATAGATTTGAGGCATAATCATTCTGAAATTCCACGTTGTCGTATCGATCCTGATTCTTGATCACCCTTTCCCGGAACTCTCCCCAGGGGGGAAGATCCATCCACGCGGGGTGCGGGATGACAAGTTGTGCATGCCGTGGTTGTTGCCAGGCATGTAGCTTCTGGTAGGTCTGGTAGGTCGGCGAAATTTGCCATTGTACGAAGCGATACATGCACATGAAGGACGCTAGTTTTTCTGGAATGAGGTCGAAGCCGCGGTTAGAGAGGATGGCGGAATAACGACCCATCACCTCGCTGAGGGTGGTTGGCGGTCTTGCAGGGTCGGGTTGATTGAAGAGGAGGTGAACGGAAGGGAAAGATGACCCCGCGACCTCTTCTCCGTGTGGATCTTCGAGGGCTAGCTGGCGTTGTGATTGTATGACGCTTAGCATGAGCTGGTCTACAAATGTAACCGGAGCTTTGAGTTTCGTCGAGATCTGTCCGGCGAACATTGACGGTTGATTCTGCCAGGACGACTGGTTTGTATATGGTGGGTGGCTAAGAAGGTTGGTCATGCCTGAAGGCTGAAGATCTGCAAATCGCGATGGCTGATTAAAGGCAGGGTGAAACGGTTCCCACGCCGGAGTCGGTTGCGTCACGGCTTGAGAGGTATTGCCAAAAAGCATAGGATCCTCCCATACGGGGGTCATTATAGGTGTTGCGGTCTGTGTAAAGCTTTTCGGTGGCGCCTCAGCTTGATTCTCGTCAGTGCTGTATCCGTTCGGCTGTGCGGCCGGAGGAGCGGGAGCATAGACTTGGTTGGGATTGTTGCTGAAGGCCCCGTTTGTCACTGGAGTCACTTGTGGCTCTATCGGCCGCATATGTGAAGGGACCGTACCAGTCCACTCGTGCGGCACCTGCGGTTGGGACATCCATTCCAACGGCACCTTTTGTGGCATCAAAAGTGTGTCTGGCATGGGCTGGGGCCCCGACTCCGCTTGTGCCGTGAGTTGCGCCTCGAGATTCTCAACCTTGGCCTCTAATTCCTTATTCCTTTTGAGGAGCGTGTCGAGATTGCTGGACCTCGTAACGGCCTCCAATTCCTTCACTTGCGCCTCTAAGGTTTCGATATGTGCCTTGGTCCGCGCGCGAATGTTACGCTGCGCTTCGCGGTCATTGGCACGTTTGCGGGCCAGTTGCGCCTTGCTTAAATGTGTAACAGATCTCTTTCCACCACGTGAACCTAAGGGGTGTGGCCGTCAGCAAATAAATTCTATTTAATCGATATTCGGAGCAGGAAAAACACTAGAACGGCAAGAGGGTGAGGATCAGGAGGTGAGAGATGTGGAGAGAGAGAGAGAGGAGAGAGAGAGAGAGGAGAGAGAAGAGACGGGCAACAAGCGCAGGGGATGCTGTCCCACGAACCTTTCTTTCGCGGTTCCTCCTCCGTGGGCGGCGGACTAGGAGAGCTTCTTGCAGTCGACGACATTGTGTCTGTATCCGTAACGGTATCTGTAGCTGCGGCCAGTGGCGTAGGAATCATGGCAAGGTTTCATGAAACACGAAACATCCTCTCCGGAAGCCCAGGAGAGGATGCGAGGGGGTGCGAGAGGGAGCAGAAGGGATGCAGAGAGGGCGAGGATGAGGAGGGGCAGTCCAGCGGATTGGTGTGTTGCGGGTGTGGTGTGTGTTGCGGCGCAAATGATGAGGTTGGTGATGGGTATTGTCCGTGGATGCGGTTGCGGTACGTGCAGATGGATGTTCTGGCCGGGCCAAGAGAGGCGGGATCAGCAATGACGACGGCGTGGCGAAGGAGGGTGATATATTGAGATGGAGATGGGGATTGAAATTGGGATTGGGATTGAGATTGAGATTGAGATTGGGATTGAGATTGAGATTGGGACTGATAGTGATAGTGATAGCGATAGTGATAGTGATAGTGATAGTGATGTGATGTGATGTGATGGTTCGTTTCGGGTGGAGGGGTACGCAAGGTACTCGTGGTGCAGCACCGTCTGAAGTCCACAGGAAGAGGAAGGGAACGGTGCTTATCGATAGTGGGGGAGCCGAGTCTAGAGTCTAGAGCGTGGTTCGAAGCAATGGACTACCTACCTATATATATATATATACACCGGATGTGTAGGTAGGTAGGTACCTTATGTATGCATATAGCGAGATATATGTAAGCACGCAGGCAAGAATGTAAAGTAAAGTAAACTAAAGTGAAGTAAAGTAAAGGTAGGTCGGTATTCTTTTGGCCACTCAGCAGTCGGCAACGATCCCGTAGTACTGGCACTGTAGGTCCCGGTGTAGGTAATGTGTTGCTTTATTTTAGTTTCGGGGGGACGGGGATCAGGATCATCGGGCGAGCCTCGTGCATCATTCTGAAAACTCAGGTTCTGGCTAGGTGCTGCTTGCTGCTTCCTGGAATTCCCTGGAAACGCGAGTTTCCCTGCCCCAGCAAATCAGGCGCCGCGCCCAGCGACTGACCGTTCGGGGCGCTCGGCAGGGCTCGGCGGAACGATGATTAGTGAGCGTGAGCGTGGCTGGAGGGGGAGGAGACGGCAGCTAGCGGGGGGGGGGGCAGGGATGAGGGCGCCCAGGAAGAAGAAGGAAGAAGAAGAAGAAGAAGAAGAAGAAGAAGAAGGAAGAAGAAGGAGAAGGAGAAGGAGAAGGAGAAGGAGAAGAAAGAAGAAGAACAAGAAATAGTAGTACAGTATAGAGATAGATAGGTATATATACATATATATATAGAAATAATAAGTAAGTACATGTGCTGTACCTACAGATCTATACCTTAGGTGCTACTGTAGGTACTGTAGGTATGGGCTACCTAGCCTAGAGGGGTGGGTGGTACTGTACCGTAGGTAAGGTACCTAGGCAAGGCAAAGGCACTGTACAGTACCTCGTAGGTAGAGAATCATCCAGGTAGGTAGGTGTATTGAGGCATCACAGGCAGGTATAGATAGAGGTACATACGAAGGCATAAGGTACGCAAGGTAAGGTAGAGGTAGAGGTAGAGGTAGAGGTGGGTAGATACCTACCGAGGCGGAATGGTTACTTACTAACTTACTACCTTGGGTACATCATCCATCCCCCTTCACCCCTTCATCCCCCTCGCCCCCCCTAACACGCACCAGCAGCGCACCAGGGATCACGCAACACACCGCAAACGCAAACACGCGCGGGTGGCAAGGAGTGGCTGAAACTACTCCTGACTACTTCGTGCTGACACTTACCATCACCATCCAGCACTAACTCACTTTCCAGCATCCCGCATCCAAACGCAGGCAGCCAGCAGCAGCGAGACGGTGAGAGGAGAGGGCCCAGCAACCCAGCAACCACAGATTCTGCCAAGCCGTGTCGAGGCTGGAGATCCCAGGGCCAAACAGCCTCAGCATCCTCAGCATCCTCAGCGTCTTCACAGGCTTCAGATCGGCATTGGGTCCGAGGAAGCCTTGGCCTCCTTGTCTCCTTCCTGGTCCCCGTGGAATGCGAATTTTGATTATTGTCGACGGAGTAATGCCGCGAAGGCCAAATCGGACGCGTGGCTTGGGGCCACTAGGCTACTCGGACACCCAACGTCACGGCCGCCGGTCGAGGATGGGACGTTTGCTCCGTGTCACTCTCCCTCACGATCAGGCAGACAAAGAAATCCCTTTTTTATTTTATTTTAGTGCGCCTGCTCGTCTGCTCGTCCACAGTAAGTTAGCAAGTTCGCAAACCCCATGCGCGCAACCTGTTCTGCAAGCTCGAAAATTTGTCCTAGGCTACCGACGTCATGCAGCAGATCTAGATCGTCCGCGGATCCGGCATGCAGTCCGACGACCCAAAACAGCCATCCCGTTGATGTTAAACATATCAAACTCTCAAACACTCAAACACCCTCCAAACGAAGCGCTCTCTCGCCGTGACGCGGAGCCTGGCCTACGCACCTCCTACGGAGCATCATTATCCAGAATCATCGAGGCATCCCGCGATCGAATCCAAAAGGCGGCGATCGTCGCCGGCCCGGAGATCGCGAGGGTTGGGGTTTCCGACTTCGTCTCATGGCCGACTTATGATCAAAGCAGTGTGGGAAACTCCGTCGTCGCCTGTTTCAAACCTTTCCCAATTTCGAGAATTGATCCCGGGCTGGGATGCAATAATGTTAATGATGCCAAGCATAGCACAGCACGGCCAGTTCTGCCAATCGGCACTCGTTTGAGATTGTTGAGCTGGGGCAATCCTGGACCGGTGGGACGACAGAAGCCCTACTGCTACTCGCCCTCTCTCCACAACCGAACCAGACAGAGCGAGCCTGACCTGCATCCATTTTCCCAATGCCGGAACTTACGGGCTTCTAGAATCAACTTTGAGAACACCGCGTGGGCTTGGCTGCACCGAGGCACCATGTCTTAGGCCGTGATAGGCAACTATTCCGGTCCTGCCTAGCGCCCGCAAGCAAGCAAGTTCCCTCGACGAAAAGATTATATTAGCCCCGTTGCAAAGAAACTCAAGGAATTGGCTTGCCGGGTCTGCCGCTAGGAGGACTCGGCAGTTGCCCATAAAATATGGGAACGGAGAGCCCAGGTTTAGGGCTAAGTGTGTACTTCCCACTTGTGTACGAAGTAAGCACTACAAAAGGGGGTTTGCGGAATCTCCCTTGGAGATTTCCCTACGCCGTACAGCGCCTTAGCGCCCTGTATCACCCCAAAAACTCGGTACTGCTGGTATAAACCCACCAAGGCCATCGACGCCTTCGGCCGCCCACCACGTGGCAATGACCTGTTTCCCCGGGCCGCTGACGTAGCAACCCTGGGAGAGTTGTGATACTGCATATCTGCCGCAGACGTACTTCGAGCGCAGGGACTACTTCGTATGCACATTCATTTTGTATCCAGGCTTTTGGCCGCCAAGACTACGAGGTGTATGGTGGGCTTTTATTGGTTAACCACTGCAAAGTCTGCTGAAATCTGCTGGTCAAGTGAGGCCATTTATTTTCATGCGGTGGAACATCCCCAGCTGTCCAAAGTTTTGCTTTTCAATCATTCGTGGATGGCGCAGCTTCACGACCATCAGAAATGACGAGAACTGAAGTGATCAATCAAGTTCAGATGACGCTCGTCATAGGTGTTGGCTCTGCTATACCCCTCGAGTTCCAAGCATGAACAGTTGCCTTCAAAATTCCACGTTTATTAGTACGCACCTAAGGATAAGCTCGAAATTTTATACATGTACCTCATCGGCTTACTTTGCTCGACAATCGCCCATAGCTATTCAAACACCGGCTTGTTTTCCATGTCTTGTCACGGTATCGGCAGCACAATCATTCATATACTTCTGAACCACACGAGTGTTTATTGTACGTGTGTCGTTCTCTAATTTAGCTATGCCGGGTACTTTGCATTAGATTACAATACGCTTATATCCCCTCGCACTTGCTAGTGGTCTCACCGCCGGCATAGAGCTTGCTTGGTAGGTAGGTAGATGGATAAGCCAGAGCCCCTTAAACCCGGTCCACCATGCCTGGCCCTATGGATTAGTGTTGGTTGAGATCGATGAAGCAACCCTACTAAGCGGCGTGGACCCAAGGCGATTGTATAGCAAGAAATGTCCCAGTAAAACGAAAACGACCACGATGGAAACCCAAATTTTTTGGGCCGCGTGCTGCCCAGCCATTTATTTATCCTACGAATCAGCGCACTGAGCAATGCCACGTGTAGAGCAAATATCGAATTAACAATAGAAGTTTTATTAACAAGTTAACCCCGCAAGCCATGAAGCCACAAAAGCCTCAAAAGCCTCAACCCTCCAAACGCCAAGCCAAGGGCCCCTAACCTGGCCTCCAAGACTCTGGACTCCTCCCCTTAATAATAAACAAATATCCACCAGTGAACGAAATGCGCCACCCCCAGCATGAAAATAACAAAGCTCATATAACGCCATTTGGAGCTTCCTATTCCAACAGAAATGCCAAGTAACCAGGAAAACCAACTCCATCAAGCCCGTTTACCCCGCAATCCTCGGACTTCTCCTACGGCCCGTACTCTGCGCTAAGACATTCACATTTTCCCTACCATCCGCAGGGAGCACACTACTGCTACTCTTCTTTCCACTCCTCAATACAGGCAGCTTCCCTCCCGCCGTGACACTCCTCTTGAAAATCTCCCTAGGCTCCTTCGCACTGCCGCTTCCGACGCTAGCGGAGTGTGCCGTGTCTTGCGGTTCGTGATTTAGCGACCCGGCGTTTATGTTGACATTGATTTCTCGGAGACCACCACTTGTAGCAGGCCGGCCTTCGGATGGAAATGCTGGCATCGAGGCTGAGAATGTGAATGGCGTAGTACTTTCGTCGGATACCCCATCTGCTGCATCGTGGAATATGACTGGAATCATTGTCGGCTTGCTCGGGCTTGCTACATTGGGTGAGCCACGGGGACGATGCAATGCAGCGAGCAGTTGTTCGTGCGGTTCAGTCTTCGGCAACTGGGTTGGGTATTGATATTGGACTTTCTGGGGCGTATCCCCTGTTGGCTGATACTCCTGGAATCGTGTAGTTGTGATATTTGATCGAAGGACTGCAAGTGGTTGTCGTAGGATGGAGTCCAAGGGTACAAGCGTTTCCTGCAACGACGTCGTATTCTCCGACATTTCATCTCCGAGATCACGAATTCGCTCATAGGTGGACGCGAAACGCGAGCCAATATCATCGTACGAAGTTTTGACGGTGCCGGATAGGTTTTGTAACGATTGTGTATGACTGTTATGATGCCGGGCATTTTGAGATCGAGCACGGCTTACAAAGGCATCGAGAGCTTGCATTTGCGACTCCATGCCCTTCACCTGTTCGTCCACGATGTGGACGGTTTCCTCATGAACGGATTTGGTGGTGGCCTGGAGGGATGAGTTATATTTATTTGCGATCTGGTTATGTGTTAGTAAAGCGACAAGGCTGGAGCAGCTTAACACATACCACCCAGTCTTCCTTCAGTTGATTCTTTAGAGCCTCTCGTGATCGAATGACTTCCTCGGCCAGCTTGTCTTCCTTCTCATCCCAGGCATCCATTCCGAGACTGTACTGGGTACGCGATGCCTCGAATGCATCTTTTGAAGATGTGACATCTTTTCTAACTTCCTCGATCTTTCCACTTAAACGGGCGTCCTGGGCCTCGCCTTGAGCCATGACAAGGCTTGTGATCTGGGAGAGTAGGCTTTGACGATCTCTCGCTGCCTCTTCACGCTCTTCTCGAACAACTTGATCTAGTCTCGAGGAAACGATCGCATTGGACTGCATAGCAAGCTCACTGGCCGCAGATAGCTGCCTCCGTAACTCGTCCGCCTCCGCCTTCTGGCTATTGACGTGTTGGAGTAGATCTTCGAACAAGGTCTTGAAATTATGACCAAGTGAACTATAAGAGACATGGAGCTGGAACTAGTTAGTTGAAGTCTTCAAAATAAGAGTAGTCTACATGGTTATCTCACATTGGTGTGGAAATCACCTAATTCACTGATCACTTCAGCAGAAATACGTTCAGTTGCGAAAGAGAGCCCTTGGAGCCCTTGTCCTACGCGAGCTTTCACATCCTCCCTGAGAGTCTTGATTTCTTCAAGAACAAGGTCCATCTCCTCCTTTGCCGATTTCGTTTGCTCTGAGACCTCGTGCTCGGAACTTTCAAACGCAGCTACATTTTCCTCTAGAAACTCTTGGGTTGAGGATAGTTTCCCTAATTCGCCTTCTATAAACGATTGCATTCTGTGAGACACAGCGTCCATCAGCTCCTGTTGTTGGCTGCAGAATTCTTCGACTCTGGTTTCGACAAGACTTGTAACTTCGGAGACCTGTGCTTGGGATAACCCCCAAGTATTCCGGTTCAATGACTGCAAGTCCGATTTCCTCCGATTTTTGTCATGAAGACCGCCGACATCCTGGACTGTTTTACCTAAAGTAGCAATAAGCTCTTTGCCAACCAGGTTCAGTTGTTCTTCGGTTTGTTCATGAGCTTTGCGGAGTACTGTCTCGTCCGCTAAACTCTGGCGAGTATTGGAAAGAACAAACTCAGTCTGCTCTAGGAGGCCTTTCGTCTCATCTAGCACTGCTTTTGTACCCTCGTTGTCCTTCTTGAGCGTCATGAAATTTGAGGTTAGAGAGTATAATTCTTGCACCTTGTTTCGCAAATTTATCTCCATTGCCTCGATCTTTGCAGACTGCTCATCGCTAAGAATACGCGTAGATTCGCTCTTCGCGGTCATCTCCTCGAACGCCTCGTTTGACAAATAGACGCCATTGCGTTGACGGGTTGCGATCAACTCGCTCTTCAGCTTCTCGATTTCCCAGGTAAATTCCTTCAGCAGTGTTTTCTTATTGATCATTTGATTCACCTGTGGTTTATTCCGGATGTTTTTTGCCCTGAACGCGTAGTCTAGCGTTGAAATCGTCTCTTCCAAGTTACTCTTAGCAGGAGAAACTGTGGCGATGATGCAAGTTTTGGTTCTTCCACCGAGAGAATCCTGGAGCAATCGCGTAAGCTTCGACTCGCGATACGGAATGTGTGAGCTTCGATCGACCAAAGCATTGATAACTCGTCCGAGAGTTAATAAACTCTTGTTGATGAGGCCTGCCTCTGCGGCACGCTTGTTCTCCGCACCACTGCGCTGGATGTTTTCGCTGCCCGCCAGGTCGACGAGATTTAACTTTCCAGCACTAAGATAATCCTCCCCATTTTCTCTAGTCCTTTTAATATATGCGGTTATTGTGAAAACCGTGTGACTCCGGCTGCTCAGGTCATTGCATTTGGTTGCTGCAACTTGGCGCTTTCGGCTCCCTTCCTGTAGCAATTTTACGCCGTCGACTGCACTCCCAATGTGGGATTCCTCCATGCCCTGAACAATTGTGCTCGAGTGGCCCTTTTTGCTGTCGTCGACGAACATCTTTAATTTGGCATTATCGTCGGGGGAAATCAAGTCACGAAGCTCCTCGTTGTAGAGCTCAATAAAAGAGCACTTGACCGAGGATTCTGCATCATCAGTATCTAATTTGGTAAACAGCGAATAGAGGACGCGAGGTATTATGCCTGCAGCATCGGAAAGGATGCCAAAGGTAGTGTTCATATCACCAGACATGGTATACGTTTTGCCCGTACCAGTCTGTCCATACGCAAATATCGTGCAGTTATAACCAGCGAGCATCTACAAATGTCAGTATAAGGGAACATCATTTGTTCAGTTGGACATACCTCATCCAGGATCGGCGTCACTACATCATCATAAATCATAGCTTGGTCAGCCGCCGCAGAAAATACTTTGTCGAAATGGTAAGTCTTATTGCTGAGCGCGCTTGGTCCCATCAGGAGATCCAGGCTCTTTCCCTTGACGCCATCCGTTGACAATACGACTCCGCTATTCTCCCTCACTTCGCGCTCGTTCCGCCCTCTACATCGCACCACAACATTGATATTGGTCTCTCCTTCGTCGCGCTCAAAATCCCGGTCCTTGCGTTTTGTGCCTCCATTATTTGTCTGAGTCGTCGCGACCGAGGTGAGTGATTCTGCAGGTGATATTGCCCCAGACCTGTCCATCCGGGCTGCTGCTGCTGCTGATTGTGCCCTAACTGTCGAAAACCTCGCTGGTGGTCGCATGCTGTTTTTCCGTGAAGGCGCGACAAGAGTCGGCCGAGAACGTCCTGACATGGGATTAAATAAACCCCCGTTCCTGGCTAGCAGTAGCCTCGTAGTGTAGTGTTGTTGATATCGAGGGATTGTCGATATCGGTGCTGATGCTGATGCCGATATTGATGTCGATATCGATGTCGGGAAACTCAACAAGGCTGGAGGCGACTTGGGCCGGCTTGTCGTTGGCTGGGCAACGGACCCCTCCATCCCATCATGACTTCACCTTGTGAGATATCTAGCCGGAGGTAGGTGACAAACAATGAGACATACATAACCACAACCACAATCCAGATGCAAAGGCAAATGCTGCTAAAATCGAAATGTCGCTATTTACTGCCCAAGTCCGCCCTGGACAAGCTCTAGGCTTCTTGGGTACCTTCCTCCCTATCATTGGCAACGTCCCCGTGGCTAACTCCCCGCCCTCTCTCTAGTCCTCGGCGCTACCCTTCATGATATCCTCACACGGCTGAAAGCCGAACCACAACGTTTCCCTAAGCTCGATTTGGTATATGAACTCACGTCGCCCGTCAAGGAACCTGTTATCCTTAGCCTCCCAACAAACGGCATCCGTTTACGATTTGATGGGCCGGAGCAGCGCTTGCGCCTTATCGAAGTTTTGGACTTCACTAAAAGCCATCTCACATACAATGATAGAGATGTCTTGCGCCCGGTAACCACTGCCCAAGCGTCCTCTGCAACTTCCCCAATACCAAGCCAGAGCGGCCCTACGTATCGCCATATTTACAAAAACCTGCTAGGGCCTACTTTCCCGGGTGAGTACATACAACCCGACGCCGATGATGACACGGCCGCGGCACTCTATGTCCTTTCATACCCCGGACTTGCGTTCTCCTTTCCAATCGAATCTTCACTTTGGTCGACAGGGAAGGATGCGGTTTCGCTACTATCATCATCTACTAGCCCCCCAGCAGGTTCCATGGCCATCTTTTCTGGAGATTCATGGGTAGATGCTCGGGAGCGTTTGTTTACCCAGACCATAGACCCTTCGGATAAATTTGGGGCAATTTTGAAGGGAAAGGACTCTGTGCCAGCTGAGGTGCGGCTGGTGAAGATATATGGAGGAGGTCGACTGGAACTTGTGCGCTCGCGAAATCATAATCCATTCTGGATTAAGCTAGGCCATACATCGCCGCAAGAGCTCGTTGCCGAGCTAGGTCCTCCAGATGCGATATATCGGAAAAGCGACCAAAGAATGTCTATCCATAAAGCTCGTCAAGGGGCCGGAGTCAATAGGTTAGACCCGAACGACATAAGACTCCATGATGACTCCACCGATACAGATCAATCGTCGGCACATACTGCTACTGATGACTCGGACGATGATAACGGGGAGGGGGAAGTCGCTGGGAATGTATCTGGAGAATGCTTTTATAACTACTTCTATCACGGCATCGACGTGCTAATGTCGACGCCAACCACACCATCACAATGTCCCCCGTCGCAGGATTCGACGACCCAAGATGGCAATCCAGAGGTCATTGTTCTCACCGATGCATCGACATGCCTAGTTGCATCAAAATTAATTCTCCATGGCAATGTGCCGGGCTCATATCCGTTCAATCGGCATTGCCGGTGTCGATGGGAAATTCAGTATTTGTCACACACAAGTGGCGAAGATGTCGTCAACTCCGAGACTCCCTTTATGGATATCGAGAGTAGATTACATGAGGATTGGAAGAGCATTTACAAGAATGCGGAGGAAGCCAAAGCACGCCAGCGTGGCATGGTCTTAAATCGTGACTGGGGAGACAGTCCGGGTAGCAGCTGCGAGTTATTAGGAGGATGGGAGGACAGCGTTGGTGGGGGGAGGCTGGATGCTATAGGTGCTGGCATAGAGGATGTCAAGGGCCTGGGTAATACAACCCTTTTCGGATTTCCGGGGCTGGTGTTTGAGGTGTTGAAGAATGGGGTTGTCAGCAGTGTTACGGTCTTTTGACGCTTCAAGGCAATCCAATATTGGATATATATGCATGGGATGGAGGCGTTCGGACTCAGGCAATGGGCATTTTTTCTGGCTAGCAATGCTGGAGTTGGGAGGGTATTTGGCGTCGCACTGTTTCAATACCAGAAATACAATGCCGTATTATGTTCAATTTATATATAAATCACAAACCAGCCTCCATCGAAGAAGCATGAACTGCTCAGACCCACTAACGTTCAACAACATAAATCGACGATCAACCCTCATCAAAGGAACATAAACTATTTTAATTCACAAATGTTGAACAAAATATAAATTACTCACTAGTACTTCGTAGTCCTCGAACATATCATAGCGTTGATTTGGTGCCTCGTGGCCTGAATTGAAAACGCGACTTCGCCCATGGCCCTCGCGAACATCAAAGAAAGATGCGACTGCTGCCCTTCGACCAGAGACCATGCCAGTACGTCCTGCTGCATCCTGGTCATCGACTTTAAGATTACCAAAATCCTCATTCCCGTAAGCAGATGTCAAATATCTATATCCATTATTACAATTGCTGAATTCCAAACCCTGCGTTAGTCCTCGACCATTAGCCGCGGATCAGCCCAAATACTTAAAACGATGCGCCGATGACCTCTACGAGTGGCAGAGCCGCGAGCGCTCTTCGCAGAAGCCTTTCATATTGCATGATGGGCCCCCATATGCCAATGGGAGTCTCCATATCGGCCATGCGCTGAATAAGATTTTGAAGGATATCGTATGTAGGGTTAAACTGCAGGAAGGTAGGCCGCTCAGCTATTGCAGAAATATGCATATTATTTCATCCATGGGCGTCGTACTGATGTGGATACATTATAGGTCACAGGGTTGTCTATGTCCCTGGATGGGATTGCCATGGCCTCCCGATCGAAATCAAAGCCCTTGAGAGGCAATGGAAGGAAGCAAAGGATGCGGAGCACATACTGGATGCTGTTGCTGTACGCAAAGCAGCAAGAGCCCTTGCAACAGAGACTGTTGAAGAGCAAATGAAAGGATTCCGGGAATGGGGAGTCATGGCAGACTGGACCAAGGCCTGGAAAACCATGGACAAATCTTTCGAGATCAAACAGTTGGGCATCTTCCAAGAGATGGCGAAGAGAGGGCTTATATTTCGACGATATAAACCGGTATATTGGTCGCCGTCGTCGAGAACAGCTCTTGCGGAGGCGGAACTGGAGTATAAGGATGATCACTTGTCTACCGCTGCCTACATCAAGTTTCCCCTGACGACCGTGCCGGAATGTTTGCGACTGAAATTGGGAGGCCTTGATAATCTTTCGGCTGTTATATGGACGACTACGCCGTGGACTTTACCTGCTAACCGAGCTATGGCTATTCACAACGACCTAGAATACTCTGTTGTCAGGAGTGGCCCAGATCATTTGCTAATCGCAAGCACAAGGCTTGACCATCTTGCGAAGCAGTGCCTTGGCGATAGACCTGTGGAAGTTGTCGCTGAATCTATTCTCGGCAAAGATCTCCAGGGATCCCAGTATGTCAATATACTTCGTGGTGGGGGGTCTCAACCGCAGCCTGTGATCCACGCAGACTTTGTCTCTGCAGATTCTGGTTCAGGATTGGTTCACCTCGCGCCAGGTCACGGAATGGATGACTACGAAGTATGTCTACGTCTGGGGATTGAAGCAACAGCGCCAGTGGACGACTTGGGCTGTTTCACGGAGACCGCGCTTCCAGACGAGCCCCAAGCATTATTAGGGAAATCCGTTCTCGGAGGCGGCAGCGGCGAGGTTTTGAAAATCCTCGGGGATAAGGTGCTTGCTGTCCATAAATATAAACACAAGTATCCTTATGACTGGCGGACAAAACTTCCCGTCATAGTTCGAGCTACCGAGCAATGGTTTGCGGATGTCGGCAGTGTCAAAGACAGCGCGTTACAATCCCTCACCGATGTCCGATTCATTCCTGGAAGTGGGCGCTCCAGACTCGAAAGCTTTGTTAAGGGCCGAAGTGAATGGTGTATCTCCAGGCAACGTGCCTGGGGTGTGCCCATTCCTGCCCTCTACAATGAGCACGGGACTGCAGTACTCACCGATGAAAGTGTTGCTCATATCATCTCTATGATTGATGAAAGGGGAATCGATGCCTGGTGGACAGATCCCCCGGATGAGCCAGCATGGATTGTCTCTGGGCTGGAGGGCTCGTACAGGCGTGGAAAGGATACAATGGATGTCTGGTTTGACAGTGGGACCAGTTGGACCCAATCAGAGCAGCAGGCAGACGTCTATCTTGAGGGCACAGATCAACATAGAGGCTGGTTCCAATCCAGCCTCCTAACACATGCAAGCGCTTCCGGGAGAACCGGTGCTCCATTCAGAACCTTAATAACCCATGGATTTACCCTCGATCATACCGGGAAAAAGATGTCCAAATCCCTTGGCAATGTCATTGCACCTGGCCAGATCATGGATGGGTCATTACTTCCTCCGGTATGTATTCCGTCCTCTATTCTCCATAATGAGCTGACGTTGACATATCACAGGTTAAGACAAAAAAGAAATCCAACGCCCCCGTCTCCCAAGCTCTCGGAGCAGATGCGCTGCGGTTATGGGCTGCAAGCAGCGACTATACTCGGGACGTCGTCATCGGCGAACCAGTCCTTAAGTTCAACCATACAGCTCTACTGAAATATCGGATGACTATCAAAATGCTATTGGGATCAATGCACCAGAGTGCCAGAACAGCGCCCCTCACCAAGCTAGACCAGATTGCCCTTATCCAACTGGAAGTTGCCATGGCAGAAGTTAACTCCGCATACGAAAATTTTGAGTTCTACAAAGGTGTAAATGCCATCAATAAATGGATCAACAACGACCTTTCCGCATTTTATCTCGAAGCGATGAAAGATCGATTGTACTGTGGGGATGGCGGCGGCGTGCTAGAGGAGATCTTCAGCGGGCTATTGAAAATGCTGGCGCCCATTACCCCAAGTCTCGTCGAGGAAGCTTGGGACCATCGGCCAGAGTGGATGGCAGCCGAGTCCGGAGCCCACCCCTCACTTCGGCCACTGAACGAACCTGTTATTTCCCCTGAACGGGGATCGGTCGACTCCACCATTCGGGACGATATCACCCTGATCCAGAGCGCAAATACAGCCATCAAAGCAGCTCAGGAGGAGGCACGAGCGGAGAAGCTCATTGGATCTTCGCTAGAGTGCTCTGTGGCTTTGAGTCTCTCTCCGGAGGCTTATGCAGTCTTTACTCGCTATGCACATGAACTTGACAGTATCTTTGTCGTATCTTCCGTTCAGCTTAATGGCCCGGATGCGGAGCCGGAAGGGGAGTGGAAGTACTCTGTTGAGTTCGACGGCGGGCGATGCAAGGCTTCTGTATTGCCTCCTAAGGATTCGAAATGCCCTAGATGTTGGAGATATGTCGCGCCGGTTGATGAGCTCTGTCAGCGGTGCGAGGATGCTGTGGGAGTATTATAGATGTAGAGGGTTTGTACTATGTACTATATTAGACCGGGAGTACTTTATGATACCGAACCTCAATTCCCGACTCTTTGCTTGTTAATGACGGACAGTGTGTATGTGACCCCATGAGCTATCCGCCCTCCAGTATAGGGATGGAATCTCCAAGCCCATCTACTTATTAGCCGATCCGCTACTTCTCTCAGAGTGGAAAAAGTTTCTAGATGTAACTTCGCCACGACATGCAGGGCTAATTCTCTAGCTCCCGGCCGGCTTTGCGTCTTTTATTTATTACGAAGTGCTTACCTCCACACACCGGTTTTGTGAGTCACGGCTCATAAAGCAATTGTTCCTTCAAAAGCCATTCATTCGTGCTGTCTATGTCTATCTCACCTCTTCTGGGCTATCTTTAATATAATTTTACTTAGACGCAACAATACAATACAAGATCTCAGTTCCAATGGCCAGCAATGGTCCACTCCCCACTTTGTCAGAAATTTCTCCAGCCTCCGAGTCCCGGCTCGACCACCTCGACGACCACCACAAAAATGTAACTCACAATCTCGAGTTGACAGCCGTAACAACCTCGCACTCGCGGGCATCATTGTACTTCCCCGATGGCGGTCTCAGAGCATGGCTCGTAATCCTCGGCTCTTTCTCCGTAATCTGCGGTACCTTCGGGCTCATGTCCTCCGTGGGACTCTTCCAATCCTACTGGCAAGCGAACCAGCTAGCCAACTATAGCCCGCGGGACGTAGGCTGGATAGCCGCCGTCAACATCTTCCTCAACCTCTTTTTGGGGGTGCAGATCGGTCCATTGTTTGATCGCTATGGATCTCGCTATCTGGTTTTGGTGGGGAGCGTGGTGTATGTGGTGAGTTTGGTGGTGTTGGCGGAATGTACCCGGTACTGGCACTTCATGCTTGTCTATGGGGTGGTGAACGGTATTAGCGGTGCCTGTTTGACTACGACTGCGTTGGCAGTTGTAGCGCATTGGTTTGAGAGGAGGCGGGGACTTGCGAGCGGGATTGCATTTATCGGTTCGAGTGTCGGCGGGATTGTCTTTCCGCTTGTGCTGAAGAGCACGCTTGAGAATTTGAGTTGGGCTTGGGCGCTTCGAGTTGTGGCTCTTATTGCGGGTGTGCTCCTGGTTGTAGGGAATCTGTGTGTTAGGGGACGTTTGCCACCGAGGAGGAACGGGGGGACTGTGGATTTGAAGTGTTTACTGGATGCGAGGTTTGGCTGGGCCACTGCAGGGATTGCTTGTAAGTTTTTCTTGTTTACTTTGATGGGTGTTGAACGGGATAGAAGAACGACTGGCAAGTCAAGAAAGCGGTTGCTGATGCTTGAGGTGGGATAGGCTTCGAATTTGTGCTATTTGGCGTCTTGGGCTTGTTACCGTCCTATGGCTTGTCCCAAGGTTTCAGCAATCAAGCGACATTTAACATAATAGCAATTCTAAATGCGTAAGTTAACCTCTTCTTTTGCCCATCCCCATTCCCACTCTATTCCTCAAAGCACGACGGCCCCTCAGCAACACCCCCCACAAATACCCGCAATCTAACAGTCCTCCAGTGGCTCAGCATTTGGCCGCTTCTTCTCAGGATACCTATCTGACCGCTGGGGCCGATTTAACACTATGATCCTAACCCTCCTCTGGTCCCTCATCGTAGTCCTCGCTTTCTGGCTACCAGTCAGCAATAACGTGATACTTTTCTACACCTTCGCCCCGCTCTTTGGATTCGGTTCTGGCAGTATTATCAGCATGGCGCCGGTTTGTCTCGGGCAATTGTGCAAGGCTGATCAGTATGGTCAATTTTACGGAACATCTTATAGTATAGTCTCATTTGCGTAGGTCTTTTCCCCGTCCTCAGTTCCTGTGTAACGTGGTGGGTTTTGTGCAAGGAGGAGGATTATACAAGGAAGACGCGGAAGATGCGATATTTGCTGACTGTGGAACTCATTATAGGACATTGCTATGTATCCCCGTTGGTGGGGAACTTCTCCCCGCTCTAAGCGCAAGGTCATTTGTGGGCTTCTTCGCGGGGATCCTCGCCGTGAGCCTGGTGAGCTTTTTGGTCGCTAGATGGGCTTGCTTGGACTATCGCTGGCGGTGGGGGGCTAAGATTTAAGATATCTTGCGCGAGTGTAGTGTGCTATAGTGGTGAAGCAGGGGTAAACTGTAATTAACTGCGAGGGAAATGGGAGAACGAAAAGGAAAAGGAGGGCAAGATGGGGAAAGCAAAAATTGACCATGGGGAGGAAAAAACCAAAGAAAAAATAAGAGTGCTTTAATGCTCCGAGGAAAGGAGGTACGTAAAGACACCGTTGAAGGCTATGAACTCAAAGCAACGAAACGCTAATCCGATCATTTTTTTAGAATGAACGAGAGGAAACAGAAATAAATCGCATAATGGAGGGATGTTGAGTTGCAGTTTTATGCGAAAAGAGTGTGGTTAGGCTCAGGTACGATATCGGATGCTCCAGTGCCACTTAGCTATTTGCAAGTCAGCGGAGCTCCTGGGCGATGAAATTTAAATTCTGTAAATCAGAGTATCAGTCGAGGAACGTTTCATCCACGAGGAGACCGAATTAGCAAATCTTCGTATATCTGTACAATAGTATCGCAGCCCCCCAAGATACCATGCCCTCTAATCCCAATACTTTATACTACCATCTAAGCCCGCCGTGACAACCTTCGAGCTCTCCTGTGGATGCCACTGAACACACGTAACTGCCCCATCAGCAGCCTGCATCTTATGCCACATCTTACAAGTTTTCCAATCCCAGAAACACACGTAACCGCCCGTGTCTCCAGACGCAACGAATTGGCCGTCCGGACTACAAGCCACGTCGGTGGCGTAGCCGGCGTTATTGTGGCCTTTGAAGACTTTCTTCCTGTTTTGCCGGAATTTGTCTGTCGCGCCGTAGACGAAGATGTTGTTGTCTGAGCTTTGATATGCGACGTATTTGCCGGATGGATGGAGAGAAGCGCGGGTCATAGGGTACATGTGTGGCTCCGCAATGTACTTGATAGGCACGGGAATATTGTAGTCCCAAGCTCGTAATGACTTGTCATCGGAAGTGGTCATGAAGCGGCGATTATCATCAACGAAGGTGATAGTGTTAATAGCAGCGAGATGGTGATCGTACTCTTGCACGATTTCTCGGGTTCGGATATCAAATTGAATGATCTTCTTGTCGGACATACCGGCAAGGAATTCATTCGAGTGCTCGGGCGATGGATTGAACCGTACAACGTGAGGCGTTTTGCCAGTTGTGAAGCGGTTTATACACTGGCCAGTTTCCGTGTCCCAGAGTTTCATCATGCGATCGTACGAAGCCGAAAGGAATTGTGTGCCAGAGGTGTTGAAAGTAATATCCGACAATGATTTTGTATGCCCCGAGTATGTGCGTAATAACTCCCTTTGATGGTATACATCCCAAATCTTGACCGTCGAATCTGCACTGCCGGAAAGCAGTAAATGTCCTGATTCGGGGAGGAACCGCAACCCAATAATAGGCTTCGTATGACTCTTCCATGTATGCACCAACTTCTTCGGCACATAATTCTTAATGCTGCCAACCTCCTTCTTCAGATCGGTATCTAGATCCTGCGGAACATGCATATACGTCCGGCCCTGGTAGTCATATTGCTGTGATCCCTCAAACACACTTGTCTCGTCACCCATCTCCTCAGCTTCCTTCCGCTTTGCTATAGCTTGTGGTAGAGCTGGAACTATAGTGCCACTCTCAATAACTCCATCCTCCGCTTCCTCAAACTCCTCATACTCTTCATCGCTAGCCAGCTCCTCGCCCTCGGCCACCTCCTCGTATTCCACAGCCTTGTACTTGGCCCACGGGCCCACATAGGCATTATCTCCCTCCACAACCGTAGCGTCGCCTTTCTTCTGTCTCTTCGCGCGTATCCTCGCAGCTTCATCTTTCTCCGCCTGCCCGCCTCTATATTGTCTATCCCCTCTTTCCACAGCTTGGAGCTGACTCCGAAATGTATGCTCGCTGATATATGTTTCTTCCGCAAAGCCTGTGAGGACATTTTTTCGTTTCAATGAGGCTGTCTCATCTCTGAAGGGATTTGCCGGGCCCTGAGAAGGGCGAGATAAGTCTTCTGCTGTGTACGGGACTACTGCATGATCTGGTCCTTCTGCCTGCCGGACTATCAGCGCGTTTTGGGGCGCCATATTTGGCGGGTAGGCGCCAAAGTCCGCCATAATGAATGTATCGAGCCGCGATTCCGATGGATGGAAGAGCCGCCGCAAGAAGAACGGAAAGGATCTGGAGATTGTTGGCTGTGGGTATGGCAGCGCAAGTTGGAACCCAAACACGCCTTGGAACCAAAACTACAGTACGGGTTTGGCGCAGCGATAGACGATAAAAGTTTTAGCGCCAACCTTAAATTACGGCCCTGTAACACCCGCACGTGATACGTCTCACGGTCTGCCAGACGATGATGTTATACAAAAGGAGAACGACATATGTGTAAACGAGGGTAAAAAGCTCAAGTCCAGATTGCAAGCATGCCATTATAAGCATACCTAGGTATCTATCCACAGCCGGCTCCAATAGAAGCCCTACTAATACTAATATGGGGTACGCCCTATGCCAAGTATCACATCAATGAAGAAAGACTCCGAAGCCACCACCGTCATGTCTAATCATTGCACATCTCCACGGGTAATTATCCTGCCATCGTATCCCATTGCTATACACAGACTTCTAGGGTCGCTTCTCTCCGTACCACCTCTTACAGCGACCCCTTCTCGCACCATACATCGATACCCAATATCCCTTTCTACGAAATTCCCAGCTTATGCCTCTTCGAGATTATATTGACTTTTAATCGAAGAGGAGAGTCAATGTGACTCATCACGGATGAGAGCAACTACAAGACGTTAACAACTGCACTTCTTGGATGAGATAGTGCTGGGCAAGAAGGAAAAGTACAGCACTAAGAGTCAAGGGGGGGAGAGTAATAGATGGGGGTAAAGGTATCTTCAGTTGACAGGTACATACCAATCATGCTGTAAAGGTAGAAGAAGAACATGATGAGATGGAAACCAAGTTTAATGAATGATTCCTAGATCGACAGGTCAGCGTAAGCCCACTACAATCCCTAGTTGCTCAATAACGATTGTTCCCTTACCTTCTTATGAACATTGAGTTTCCTAAAGATCTCCGTGGCGTCAAGAAGATGTGCGTTATCCACAATCCTGAATATCTGATCAGCAACTGTACGAATAGAAACTACGCATGCTGGACGCATTTCCCAAGCATAGATCCTGGAGGGACCAGGGATGTTATGACCTACTTCTTAATGTTGAATGCGAGGAGTGGTAGATTGAGCACAAGCGCAACCCAGTAGCCGTTGATGAGGAATAGGAAGGTTAGGACGCCATGAACAGCGGCCTCGGGGATGATATAGGTGTTGAGACGGTTGCAGAGATCGATGGGGTTAATATAGTCACTGTTTTAGCACCATTAGTCAAGAACTATTTCACTAAATACCCGCATGTTATGTTTCTTTCAACATAGGTTTCTTTCGGACCAAGCGATTCCTTTCCCTTAGAGCTCTCACGAAGGCAAAAGTGGGAGGGGAGAGAACAGAAGCTACTCACCACTCGAGATCGCTGTACATAATCGTGAAGAAAACCTGCAGAAATAGGTTGACGGCATTAATCAATACCGCCAACAGGTATAACCACGCCTCGCCGGACATCATGGCTGAGATATCGCGGGTCAAAAATTTCTTCTACTCGGTGGTCTGGTGTTGGCTTTGGCGGCTTGTGTGTCCTGCTTCTAGTGTTGGTTTGGCGTTGTTTTGTTTTGGTTTTGCTGGCAGATGCTCCGAATGCTTGGACCGAGGTAGCTTCGACGGAGCTTGTCTCCAGTATCGCCGGATTCACGAAATGGTTTGGCTTGGTGAGCGCGGTGGGGTGGCTGGCTAACGCGACAAATGCAGCTTGGTCAAGGAATGCCTAGCTTGCGCAGGGGACTCTCGAAGGACGGACGAGGATAGTCTTTGATGGCGATATCTTCGTAGAGGCGTGGGAGGGAGAGGGTGTTGGGGGGAGATGGCAGCGCGGTGTAGCAGTTGCAGCTGTAGTTGCAGTTGCAGTGCAGGCTGAAGTATAATGATGAAATGTGAATACGTAGGACGAAGCACGAAGCCTGTGAGGCTGGTTGGACTCGGGGCGCCGAGCTGTGTTGTTCGCCTGCTGCGTGCAAAATTCGCCGATGGGCGGCGGGGAGCGCTGATTGGCCCGCTTGATAAGCTCATCACCGGTTTAAGCTTCGGGATTGCTGCGACCAAGAATTAATAGAATTAATAGAATTAGTATAATAATAGTACAAAGTACCTAGGTAGATATTTCAAATGTACGAAGTATCGCGGATACTTGCAAATACAGTACTCCGGTTTCATGGCTTAGGTACAAGAGATAGGTATTAACTAATCACTTATCGCTTGGATGTCTTATATATATTATATATATATATATATTGGATCAGTTAGCATCACGCTTCTATTTTGTTTTGGGTGACGAAGTAATTAGAGGTTCCGAGGTTCATGGCTCCTTAGTATCACTACATCCAACACAACTACCACTACAGTAGTTACCACTCACTCACTCTCTCTCTCTCGCTCTCGCCCTCGCCCTCGGGCCGTTACTCATATTTCATGGGCATCAATCATTACGCCGCTGCTTCTTTATCTTTCGCCTGCCCAGCCTTCTCTCCATTTGCCTCCGCCGGCATTGGCTGTGGCCCGCCTGGAGAGTTTGGGAATCGTGCTGTCAAGATTTCAACGCCATCCGCAGTTACTAAAAACGTGTGCTCTGTTCCACATCAGCACACATTACACGCAAATCAATTGGAGGAATGGAAACTCACCAAATTGTGCTGTCCTCTTCCCATCCTGCGTCACGCTGGTCCAGTCATCTGGCCATGTCTTATCCCTATGCGTCCCCAATGCAATCATAGGCTCAATCGTAAAACACATCCCTTCCTTAGCCACTCCGACCGCCTTGTTCTTGGCATAATGAGGGACGTTCGGAGGGCAGTGGAATAAGCTATTGATGCCGTGACCACAATAAGTCTTGACGACGCTACAGTTTTTCGACTTAGCATGCTTCTCTATAACATTGCCGTAGTCTCTGAATAGCGCGCCGGGCTTGATAAGCTTGATCGCCTCATCCAGGCACTCGCGTGCGGTCTCCACAACCCGTACGGAATCGGGGTCGGCTTTTGACTTTTCCCCAATGTAGTATGTTTCGTTGATATCCCCATGGAAGCCTCCATGATATAGAGTGACGTCGAGGTTGAGAATGTCACCGTCAACGAGAACTCTTTGATCGGGAATGCCATGGCAGATGACTTCGTTCGGGGACGTGCAGACGGACTTTGGGAAATGGCAGTAATTTAGAGGCGAGGGATATGACTGGCATCGTTAGCTACCGGGTGGTCATAATTGTCTAAGCGGGAAAGTTCTTCCTTACCTCTCGCTCCAAGCAAGCCTTGTGCACAATCTCATCGATATAATCCGTCGTAACACCCGGCCTAGCAGCAGCCGCAGCAATATCCAGCACCTCTCTTGCTAACCTGCACACCTTCCTCATGCCCTCCTGCTCCTCCTTGTTCAAAATCTGAATCTTGGTCCTCCCATTGAATGTGCGCTCGCTTTTGGGGTTGCCATCGTGCCAGTAGTCGGGATGCGGTATCGATTTCGGTACTGCCCGTCGTTCGGAGAGGGGATACACGGGTCTTAAGGAGCCGGTGTATGGGAAGGTAGGGAAAGGGTTGAAATATCCCGTATCTGGATCCGGTTCAGAGACGACTTTAGGGGTTATAATATTGCTCAGGAAATTACTTTGTGATTTGTGTACACTCTTGTGCGAGCTCTGGAAGAAAATAAATATTAGCCCTAGATGGAATGCGGCAAAGCCATGGGCAGATGTAGAGCCTACCCAATTCCTTTTAAAACAGTCCTGCGAACAGAAATAACTGTCTTTCATTCCCAGCTTGAGACATGTTGGGCATTGTAGCGATCCAGCCTCGTTGTCGCAATCATTGCCCATACATTTCCGCTTTGCAGCGGGTGTTTCGTTCATGGCGAGGACTAATTCCGAGTGGAGTGGTAGCTATTCAAGCTCAATATAGGATGGTATGTGTCTCACGGGAGAATTATCTCTCTTGACTTCGTGGTTGTCGTATTGATGCTCCTGTACAGTTGGCGGGGCAAAATATTCCAGCGGATCAACATGGTGGATGAATTGCCCCTGCCTTAGTCAGTAAATAGCAGTCCATAAAAGGGCGCGGAATCAAGCCGGATCATCCCGTCAAAACAAATCGCAAAAAAAATGGGACGATTAACAACTATTTTCGGACTTATCAGTCTATTTGCCGCTGCCGGTCCCGGAGCCGGGCACGGTACACGTACTTTGTAGCAGGAGTTGCCAAAGCCAACGCTGTTTGCTTTTCATTCTCTAATATTGTTGTAATTCTGGCGGGATGGCTCAAGACAACAAGGACAAGAGGCAGAGGACTATTGTCATTGGGGCAGGCCCAGTTGGGACCCTTGCTGCGTTGTATGCAGCAAACCGTGGACACGATGTCGAGGTCTATGAATTGAGGAGCGGTATGTTGTACACGTCCTCGCTTCCACAGCGAGAACCATTCAGATCTATTCTTTGTGAGACGCTTGAAGTCAAGAGCCAGTAAAAAGGAGCATGTGTTCCTCCACTGCACTGTGTGCTTAATGTCTTGCAAGTGCAGAACGATCCAGCCCAAGCCGCGTCGTGGGCTTTGCGCCGACATTCTTGAGAGGTGGGGCGACCTGGCGATCCTATCCAGGTGGAAGACGCCTTGTCCTATCGAGACAGTGCCATGTTTTATGATTGCTCTTCGAGAATATGACAATTATATTACTTTCAAGTACTACTATTCCCAGAATGCTCGTTCTGACTGCCATCCTACAGATCTCCGAGATCCTCAGACAGTTCCCCTCAACTTCACCAAATCAATCAACTTGGCGCTCTCAGAACGGGGTATCAATGCCATAAGGCAATCCGGTCCTTCTGCACTTCTAGAAAAAATATTCAACGACACCATTCCTATGGTAGGGCGTATGATCCATGGCGAGAGCTCCACGGGAGATTTGTATGAGAAGTCACAGAATTACGATGTCCATGGAAGAGTGAGTATAATTCCCCCATCACAAGCAAAGTTCCAGGGCTGAAAATCATCGCAGGCTATATACGCTGTTGATCGAGGGGGTCTCAACAAAGCTCTGCTCGATGAACTAGATTCGATGCCAAATGTCAAGCTGGTATTTAACCACAAATTGACCGGGGCCGATTTCCAGAAGCGCAAAGCCTGGTTTGAAATTTCTGGAAATCCTGGGACCGATGGGCGTAATCGGGAAGTAGAAGTCGACTTCGACCTGATGATTGGAGCTGATGGTGCTCATTCTGCGGCACGATATCACCTGATGAAGTACACAAGGATGGACTATCAGCAAGAGTACATTGATACCCTGTGGTGCGAATTCCAAATACGGCCTAAGGAGTTACGTCCTGGCGAAGATCCTGACGCTAGATTCCGGATATCACCAAATCATTTGCACATCTGGCCGGGAAAAGATTTCATGTTCATTGCCATACCCAGCTTTGTACTTTTCTCGCTCCCCCAGTCACTATAACTTCTAACAACCCAATAGGATGGCTCTTTTACTTGCACACTCTTCATGCCGTCCGAGAATTTCGTCACCCTCGATGCAACTCCCAGCTCAGTGCCATCCTTCTTCAACAAATATTTCCCCGGCGTAACTTCCTTGATCTCACCGGCGGACCTAATATCTTCATTCACCAACAACCCCCATCTCCCATTAATAAGTATCAAATGCAACCCCTACCACTTCTCCGACTCCATCGTCATAGTAGGCGACGCTGCACACGCCATGGTCCCCTTCTATGGCCAGGGGATGAATGCCGGCCTTGAAGACATCCGCATTCTGTTTTCCTTCTTCGACAAATATCCTTCTATCCTGCCATCGGATCGAAGCAAAGCACTCGCGGAGTACTCAGCGTTCCGGAAACCGGACGCTCATGTAATAAACGATCTAGCACTACATAACTACGTCGAGATGCGTGCCTCAACCGTATCGCCCACCTACGCATTGCGGAAATGGTTGGAGGAGAACCTCACGCTGTACGTTCCGAGTTTGGGATGGCAGACGAAATACTCCCGTGTGAGCTTTGGGAATGAGAGATATAGCGAGGTGATGAGGAAGAGCGAGAGGCAGGGAAGGTTGCTTGTCATTGGCCTCGTGGGATGCTTAACCAGTCCTGTGGTTTTCGGCGGGGCGCTGGTGTGGTGGAGGTGGAGGAAGGGGAAACTATTGGAATGGCCAGGGTGGTTGAGAAGCTGAGTAGATAAGTGGGTATATTGGATATGTTCATATTTATAATAATGCAAGGAAACCCTCATCCCAAAGCTATCCGTCGCTCGGAATTTAAACATATTCCTCGACACAACGTATCTTAATATGCAAGTCCTGGAAAAAATAACTATATCCAAATTGAATTGAGGGCATAATGACTGGACAAGTGTACAGAGAAGAGTTTTATTTCTCGACTATTAATGCCCTCCAGACCTACCCCTTTGTTCGTCGTCCGATTCTCTATTTATGTCAGGACTCATTCCCATCCCCTCCTCGTCGGAAACTGGCTGCTTCCGCTGACTCCTCATCCTCCTCTTACGCTCTCTCTTGTCCTTGCCCCTTAGCTGACGCTTATCCGGTCTTAGAAACCGGTCAACATGAACAGCACCATCCATCTCCTCGTCACTTGGGATATCGAACTCTGCAATCTGCTCTTTCGTCATATGATGCTGTTTTTTCAAGTGCAGTCTCAGAAGCATCTCGCTTGTAAACCCTCGCGTTCGACGCCGGCAGTTCTTGACTGGGCAGAAACAATGTTCGACTGAGCCAAGTAGTCTCAGGCCCTTGTCCCGCTGCTCATCGGAGTCCTCCATCCCCTGGGCTGCGGCATCTGATATCTCGTCTGCAATTTCGCTGTCCGGTCCTAGATCAGGGATCTCTTCCGGTTGGTAGGTTGTTGAAATCTCGGCATTCTTACGTCCGAAAGGTGTCTCGGCCATTGTTCTTATAACCATTCCTTCACCGAATAGATCGGCACAACGTTGGGTGGCTCGGGTTATAACATCCGGCGGAAAACCAACAAGAGTGGCTGAACCGAGAACCTCACTCCAATCGCGAAGACCAAGCTTCCTCTGATATTTTATCGCAGCTACCTTCGAACTGACTCTATTACCACGTGGGGTAGTGGGCTTGTTTAGAGTTTCTTCACGAGACGGTGGATTCTCGGGTCCTGGAGTAGCTGTTCGAGCAGGAGTAAACGGAGGGAGCGGCTTTTTTTGAAGTCGAGCAACTCGAATGTGATATTCCTCCTCCGTCTCGCCGTCAAGACGCGGATATTGCTTTGGTTTGCGACCCCGGCCACCCTTCCTCTGGCGTAATATCTCAGCATCAATATCTACTTTTTGAGGGAGTAGATATGCCGCCGCTCGATCGGTCAAATTATCAAATTTTCGGGGTCTTCCTCGGGGCCTCTTGGGGGCTGCTGTTGAACTGACTGTGGCACTGACTGGAGCTATCTCCCCATCAGTATCGGCTTCAGACTGTGAAGAATACCGAAGACAGATTGTGCGAGCATGGTGTAGGGCGATTAGCAGGGCATCTAGCTTCGAAAGACTATGCCGGACTGTTGGCCGTAACAGGTCTTGGGATCTCTCATCGTCGGCTGATAAGATAGGTCTCAGGACATCTTCGGGAGGTGTAGATTTGGGCCTTTTCTGTTTAGGGAGCCTCTTTGTTACATGCGAGACTCCATCCTCATTGCCAGCATTTTGCAAACTCCTTTGCTTCGTGCTACCTTTGGTGCGTTGCTCATCATCTTCAAAGCCATCAACATTGGGCTCACCTTCACTTGCCCACTCCCTGGCCTGGAATCTCTCCTTGGCAAGCCTCAACGCAACACTTGTGAGCACATCCTCCAACTCCCGACTAGGCCGCTCTCTCTCCCTCCTCTTAAAAGTGTAAACATCATCAGGATCTTCCTCTCCAATATCTTCTCCATCCCGCGGCACCTCACCCGGCGGCAAGGGCCAAGCTGTCCATAGCTTTGGAGGCACAAATGGTTCGTCCGCATCCTCGTTAATCGGGTCCTCAATCTAGCACAGATATATCAGTATTAGCTAGTGATGTGAGTCCCACCGAACGTACCTTTACACCATTTGCCTTGTCTTCTAAAAGGCGCGCAGCGCGCTTGTTTAGCCCATGGGCGTTGAATAAATGCACACTCAAATCCCTATTTCGTAGCTCGTCCAAGGAACCCGCGAGGTCCCGTTCTTGCTGTGTTATCGATTGCCAGGTTGAGGGCGCGCCGCCCCAGCGATTTGGACGAGTGGCTTCCGATTCGGCTTCCCCCGAGTCGTAATATTCTGAACCTGAGGCAATGTCGTGTTCTGACATGGTAGCAGCAAGTTTATATTCATAATTGCATCCCGTTGTGTTTACAAACACAAGGCACATGTACTTCGTAAGGTTGTTGCTGTCGGTAAGGGATGGAACAAAACGTTCATCAAATTCTGCCGGCAAAATAAATGTTTCACTCACCACCGTCCATACCTGCGAATTACTAGTAGTTTACATTTCATTTTGGTGGCTTTTCAGCCTAGCATTTATTCTATACAAGCATTTAATATTTATTTATTCCCTATCCTATCATATCTGGCGTATCTCCTTGCCTCTCATTTCGGGTCTTTCTACCTCCCATTCGTCCCGTAGTACGGCAAATAGAAAATCCGCAACCAATATACTCAAACCCAAGCTCCAGACGAGCGTGATAGCATAGAAGAAATTTGCGTTCCCACTTCCGGCGTAGATCCAAAGGTAATAGAAAGCTGGGCCCAGCAATGTGGCGTAGAGTATTGTGGAAGAAGCCAGAAACGAGTACCTCATGAGCGGAAATATGTGTCGATATAACGGCAAAAGGGCTAGGAAGAGTGATGTATCTGATATGGATGTGTATGGCTTAAAGATGGCGAAAATTCCGAGAAGGATAGTGAGAACAGATAATGGTTGACGTCGCAGTCGAATCGTTAAACCGCCAACGTAGGAGGATAGATGGATCCAGAACACGCCAAGGAAGAAGTTGCGGAACGAATCAAACATCTCGATGAAAAAGTACCACCAGAGTCCAACGTTTGGGGTCAAATCAGGCAGGAGGAGCGAGACGCCGTATGTGGATTCTAAGAATTCCCAAGACCCGGTAATAACGTATGACATTTGCAAGAGAGAGTATAAGAAACCACCGACTGCCGCAACGTTCCCAATCACAAAGGCGGAGATAGATTCGTTTTCCTTTCTCTGCCCTCTGCGGTCGTAGCAGAGGAGTACTAATGGAGGGAAGAGGAGGAGAGGGTACAACGATAGGTACGACGCAATGGATATGGCAAACATCGATGTAAATGAGGCTCCAACAACCGCTTTCGAGACGGCATGAAGTATGGCGCAAGTCGTAAAAACGCTAGTCGGCCGACCAATACACGTCGCAATTGTAAATGGGTTGAATAAGAAGCTGGACGTAACATTAGCCAATGGCCAGATAGCATATCGCAGCAGGGCTTACGCTGTTGCAATCGCATAGCTACTCCACTTCTTATCTTTCCTTGGAGAAGTATAGAGTTTAGAAGAACCAGCTTCACCAGATGCAGCAATATTCATTAAAGCGTTTGCGCTCAAAAGATCGACCAAGATGTATAGCAAGTATGTAAACACAGGATAGGCCGCGGAGCTTGGGAGGAGTGAGAACAAGGGAAGAAGTATAGGCGCTTGGTGGTAGACCCCGCCATCATAGGGAGATACGTTATGGTTATAAAGGAAGAGACCCTCTTGCACTGGTACAGTTAGCTTCCTTCAATTGCGTATCGGTGAGGTATGGGATATGGGACTTGCATCTCTTAAAGCTGGTGACAGGAGTTGAGATCTCGACGCGTGCCGTCAGCAGGTCCGGGAGGCCTGGAAAAGCCGTAAAAAGGAGCAGGCGAACAGCAGCTGCGGCGCCAAAGATAACAGCCTTCCTCCTGTCAATGTCCATGTCGATGTTCATGGTGGCTAGAGTGTGCGCGCACAGAAGAACAGCTCAGCCTTGTGTTCCGGCGTCGTCGTACTGTAGGCAGGCTTGCGTGCATTGCCAGCTGCCAGAGCGTCACTTGTCCTCAGGCTGCAGGGCGGTGAGAGGTGAGCGAGGCCCCGTCTAACTTCTGCCCAAACTTTTTTTCTCACAGAAAACCGGGACCCCACGTTTTCTACATCTGCACTCCATTGACGTTTCCTGAACCTCACGATTCACGCAGCCATGGGGAAAATCAAGAAGAAGGGAGTCGCTGGCCAGGCCAAGAACTTCATAACAAGAACCCAAGCGGTGCGGAAACTTCAGATCGCTCTCCCCGATTTCCGCAAGCTCTGTATCTGGAAAGGAATCTATCCCCGCGAGCCACGGAACAAGAAGAAAGCTTCAAAGTCTTCAAGTGCATCCACTACCTTCTACTACACCAAAGACATCCAGTACCTTCTTCACGAACCGCTTCTGCAAAAATTCCGCGAGCAAAAGGCGCTTGAAAAGAAGATTTCGAAGGCTTTGGGCAGAGGAGATGCCCACGATGCGTCGAGACTCGAGCGCAATGCCTCCAGACCAGAGAAAACAGGAAAGCCTAAATATACACTCGATCATGTCATTCGCGAGCGGTACCCTACGTTTATCGATGCGCTGCGAGATCTCGATGATTGTCTTTCCATGCTATTCCTCTTCGCAAACCTCCCATCCACCTCGACCGTCCCCGCAAAGATGATTGCAAGATGCGAGCGGCTGTGTCTTGAATTCGAGCACTACTTGATTGTGTCTCACAGCCTGCGGAAGTCCTTCTTGTCCATCAAGGGGATTTATTACCAGGCGACCATCCAGGGGCAGGATATCTTGTGGCTGGTGCCGTACAGATTCAACCAGAGGGTTACTGGCGACGTGGATTTTAGAATAATGGGCACCTTTGTCGAATTCTACCAAACATTGTTGGGTTTCGTTAATTTCCGTCTCTACACATCAGTTGGATTGGTCTACCCCCCAAAGTTCGATCAAAACAAAGATGATCTGGGCGCAGAGCTTGGGGCATTTTCGTTGGAGGCAAATGCTGTTGGTGCGATCGAACAGCCAAAGCAAATCACAAATGGAGAAATGGCTCAGCCAGATCCCAAGCTTCAGTCTGAGATAGACAAGCTCATGTCGCAATTGAACCGGGCTGAAAAGGAGCCATCGCCAGAACCAGTTACGAGTCAGACTTTGGCGGATGGGGAGGATCAGCCAACGGACACAATTGATAAATTCGAACCAACTGCACCTGGAGGAGATATTCTCCTGCAACCTTCATATTCCGCAACCGACCCTTCTACACTGTTCTCGAACTTCACATTCTTCCTCTCCAGAGAGACCCCACGTCAGCCTCTAGAATTCATTCTCCGAGCTTTTGGGTGTAAACGTATAGGCTGGGATGCGGTTTTGGGCGAAGGGGCGTATACTCATAACGAGCTAGACCCATCAATAACTCATCAAGTTGTTGACCGGCCCCCCATTCAGGTCGACCCTGACAATGAGGAAGAAGTTGAAGATAACCAGACATCGCAACGATTAAAGCCTGGTTCCCGGGTTCCGGGAAGAATATATGTCCAGCCCCAATGGGTGTGGGATTGCGTCAATGATGAGGAGCTAAAGCGACCGGATTTGTACGCCCCTGGAGCTCAATTACCTCCTCACCTGAGTCCTTTCGTAAAGAAAGTCCGTGGTCAATATGATCCTAGCGCGCCACTCAATGAACAGGAACGTGAAGGCGAGGAGCTGGAGGTGGACAGTGATATGGATGAAGAGCCGGACGTTTCAGATGTGGACAACATGGCCGTGCAGAAGCCTAATGCCCTCCTTGAGATGGATATCGATGCGACTGCTGAAGGCATGGATATTGCAGGTTCCGAGGAGGACGAGCCTGAAAAGTCCGACGCTGAAAATTCCTTTGGAGGTTTCTCAGATGCCGAGGAGGAAGAGGAAGACGAGGCTACTTCAACGGCTCTTCAGAGACAGCGAGAATTGGAAGCTGAATTAACAGGCGTTGCACTCGAAGACAAGCAAATTGACCCCAGAGCCAAGGCCAAGGCTGATGCTAGGAAGAAAGCAGCCCAGAAGACAAGGGAGGAAGACGAGGAATTGGAGAGAGCAAAGATGATGATGAGTCGCAAGAAGAGAAAGATCTTGGAGAAGATGGTCTATAGTAACAAGAAGAAGGACGCTGAGGCTGAGACGCTGAGAGCTAAGAGAAGAAAGATTGAGAAGGCTGGGAAAGGCATCCTGAAGAACTGATTGGCGAAACGGGTTTATAAAAGTGTGGAGTTATGATGGACCTTGGTAGATGGCGTATTATATTTATTAGTACTGTACTCTTCGTATTATGACCCTATGAGAGATATCGTGAAAGGGTGCAGTATCGTAGTTTAGATAACCAACTACCTTACCTAGGTAGTATTTTGGCATGACAATACTTCGTATATGATCGTTTATCCCTTTCATTTTCCTATGACCCCCTTTTTAAACGTATTGTTATTATACTCTTCCCCCCCNCCCCCCACGCTGCTCCGTCCCGGCCCCGGACAGAGATTCCCCGGCCCGGATTTACCCCAGACAGCGCCAAGCCTTGCTTCCGCGTCGCGCTCCATTATTGTTGGCAACAGGGACACATGTGAAAATACACTGTCACTTGTACAACAACGCAGTTTGTATATCTTCATCTCGCCACCGACATCTTCTTCTCCTCCTCGTCACAGCATGATTTGAAGCTTACCCTCCTATCCGATGGCTCACAGGCATAGACCTGCGGAATGAGCGTTCAAAATGACCTCCAATCCACCTACACCAGGCGTCATTCGAAGCAAAGATAAAGATGCGTCAAGCAATTCTCCCCCGGGCCACCGCACAACTGCAAGCGCATCATCTAGCTCCAACCCAAGATACAGCCTTAGCAGCGGCCAGACCGGCGAATCGAGCACGTCGGCCACAAATCGAAATAGCCTCGCAAGAGATGGCGTCGCCAACGGCCCGGGAGAAAGAGAGTCGAAGAATGGAGGGCTGGAAGACGATAAACTATCCAAGGATAGTAAAAGAAGTCACAGAAGCCGTAGGAGCAGGACCAGCGGCGGCTTCCTCCTCTCAAATTCGTTTTTTGAGCCGCCTTCGCACGGGGCGATGTCTGAAGCTTCTGCCCCAGAGCAACTTCCATATCAACGGCCATCGGCTCATGATCCCAAGGGAAAATCAGCCTTGAGGAGCCCCGAGAAACTACATACGGAACGGCGGTCGAATGTTGGAGCGGGAGGACTAGAAAGTAGTCCGTTGGCTGCCAATGCGACGGTTGCGCTCACAGGGCGAAATCTCGCTGGAGAAATTAGACAACAAAAGGGAGAAGTTGTGGATGATGGGTCCGGGGCAAAACCTACGGCTCCTACGCTGGACGTCGATTCTGCACAGATTGTAAACCTTGCCTTAAATCTGAGCGAGAGTCGACATAACGCTAGACGAAACATCTCAACTCCTTTACTACCCATCGCACAAGGACTTGGGGAAGGATTTGCGGGAGGTAGCCTTCGCCAGCATTTACAGCAGCAAAGGCGGATATCTAGAAATATATCGCCGAGGTCAGATCGAGGCGGCCGGGCAATGACACCATCACCAAGAATTACACCCAGCGTCCAAATTTACAATCCTTTACAAGGAGCGTTTGATACGCAGCCAGATGGAAGTTACCAGTATCATTTTTCCCCGTCCACTTTAGCTCGCGCAGCGAAGGCCAAGAACGTCATCGAACTCATGGCCGAATATCGTCGTCTTTTACAATACGTGCCACCTTTGAAGCCTCAATTAGAGCGAGTTACATCAAACGATAGGGGACCCATCCCTTCATCCCCGACCTCCGCACCTATCTCGCGGGCAGTGTCGGTGTCTTCCCATGCTCCCCGGCCATTAGGAAGATTATATAATCCTCTCCAGTATATCAGAAATCGGAAAGTTCGTGCCCGAAATGCGAAAGCTATCGACGGGGAATCGCAGGGTTTTGGAGATCTTTCAAAGGTTTCATCTTGGATTGATCAAGTGGCAACAGAAGCATCCTCCGAAGACTCACATTTAGCTGATTGTCTGTTCATGCCTTCGTTCTCAAAAGCTGCAGATGCTGCTGCCTCGCCCCATACCTCGCCTCAATCTGGTTCTGGTAAAGGTCAGGCAGCTCCACCGAAAGTCAAACGACCTAGAATAGATTGGGTCACAAGTCCGGCGGATATGATTGCGGATGTCTTCTGGCTGGAACAGGATGACAATAAAAAGATGATCGAGAACCGACATGGAAGAAAAATATTTCCTCCAGCGGCTGAGCTTAAGCGGCCCATGTCCCGAAAAAGTGAGGAGCCAGAACCTCAACTATCTCCCAATCGAGCCGTGCCAGAGGATTCAGCATTGGACCTTCGCCTAGACACAAAGCTTCCTGAATTCAAATCCATCAAGGGAGATTTAGATAAGCATCCAGATAGCGCTGGTTCTAGAGCACGCCAAAAGCTACGACATGTGCGCAATGCCACACGTATACATCACAACTATAATGGGTCAATACATGATAGGTCCCATTTATTTCGCTCCCGCAGCAGATCCCATTCAGATTCCTCGGACAGCGGTTCACAGCGCCGATCAGCAAGGCGACGAAGTGGAACAGTAGATAGTAATGATCGTGCCACAGACATTCTGGAGAAGCAGATGATGCAAATGCTCCAGAAGGAGGCACAGGACAGTGATCGGAAGTCATCGCACGACTTTCCTGGCGACCTAATAAACCGGTCGGCTGAACCATTGAAGCCCTTGCCTGAGCCATACTCACCTTCTGAGGCTGTTAAAGATGGATCCAACTACGGAAGGACTAGGCCTGTTATGAATCAAACAAAAACAGATGCGGCCAAAAATGGTTCATCGGGCAGGGCGAGTCTCGAAGTTCCTGCTAGTAGCCCAAGGCGTTCCTTGGAGGAGCTCGACAGCACTGCCCCCAACTCTCCTGAGGTGAGGGCTTCTAAATTGTCCAACGCATTTGTTCCAAGTCTTGCTATGAACTTTTCGCCTCCACGAAGCCGGAATACATCGCAAACGCGAAACCCATTGTCGAAAGTCAAGTCAAAGATCCTACCTTTCCGTGATCATAGTCTAGAGCGAAGTCGCAGCCGGGTACATATGGAAGAATCCCAAGTTCAGGTACAACCGCTGAGCTCCAAGGAACTGATACCAGGCAGCCCTGATACCCCGGAAAGGCGAAGACGATCCATGAGTCCCACCAAGCATATTCCATCTGGGAAGGCTGATGAGGATTCGACGCCCCTCAAACAGACCTCGAGTTTACGGAAAAATAAAGGCGAAGACTCAGGCATTCGAGGTCTGTTCAAAAATAGCCGTAACCCTGTTGCAAGAGTTGGTGAGTTATTCTGGAAGGCCTCAAAGGAGCCCTCTCCAGAACACGGCGTATCTTCAAACTTTTCCACAGACGAGTCCGATATCGAGGATTTTAAAGTGTCGCAAGCTCTACCAGCTAAAATTCAATCTCATGAAGGCCCTACCGGAGTGGGTATTCAGGATGCCGGAGGCTTGCCATCGCGAAAGGAAACGCCTTCTTATATCAATGATATGCCAGTGTTCGCTTCCCCCTTCGAGCGCCGTGGAAGGTCCGTTCGAGCACGAGGGGAGGACGTGAAGTCGAACCAACAGATTGGAGCAATAGGCAAACGAATAAGCCAGCTTCACATTCCAGAACCTACACCAAGGATAGATGTCCAAACCGCTTCCCCAACAACGTCACCGGATCATGGCCCCGTGGCCCCGTTCCACCGCGATTCTTCCATTTCAGATCTGGATTCTCGTCGTGGCAGTTTCATGCCTGGGGTTGAAAGCGCGGATGCGCGTCTCAATGCAATCCTCGGTTTACCAGGAAAGCATAGCAACACCTTACCTGTGACGGGCCTTGCCAACCTCGACGTAGGCCATGATCAAAGCCCATCGCAAAATCGCAAACGCGAATGGAGTATTTCAGATAGAGGCATTTCGATACATCGTGGCCCAATGACCAAACGGGAAATAGCTCGCGTGGAGGCACTCCTCCTCAGTTCTGGCATCAAAGCCAAAGAAATCTCTCGTCGAGCCACGGAACTAAAGGACCTCCGTGACGCTGACGAGACCTATTATTCTGAAATTGCTGAACTAGCTCAGGATGATATCATCCCTGTTCCAAAATGCAAACAACATATCCTCGCTGCCCGTATCCTCTCAAGCGATATGCAACTTTCCTCGCGCATGTGGCAAGAATCTGCAGACGCCTTCGCCAATACCACTATCACCGGCGTCCTCAGAGATATCGAAAACCTCCAAACTCGATTATCGGATGATCTTACCCCCATGACTCGCAAGGCTGCTGATGAAGCGGACGAGGTCAGCAAAGACCTCGTAACCAGCCAAACGCTCACGGTTAAGAAAATTACGGATAAGATTAACACTATGATGAGGAGACGGAGGAGGAGGTTCAGGTGGTTGAGACGTGGAGGGTGGGTTTTATTGGAGTGGGCGCTTGTGGGTGTCATGTGGTACGTATGGTTTGTCGTGGTCCTTGCTAGGGTTTTTATGGGCGTGGGAAAGGGGGTTGTGGGTAGTTTGCGGTGGTTGTTTTGGTTGTGATGATTGTGATGGTGTTGCTTTGGGACGCAGGTTCGGCGTGAATGGCCGGTAAGTGCTGGGTCTCGGGACGGTGTTAAGATCGGTGCAGAGGTTTTGATCGCATTCGGTAAGATAGAATATTTTGATACCCGCTTATATTAAGCATTATTAATGTAATATATACTTCATACACTGCGATAAGATCCCTCAGTTGTGTTGAGTCTACTTGCTCATCCTATCATTAATACAAACGTATTTGTAATATTGCCTCCCCTCTCCCCGTCCCCAAGACGAGTCACCGTAACAGGCACGATTATCTTACGATTTTGGTTTTTTTCTCAACTCTTGGGTATAGTTAGCAGCATTTAAATTCAAATCCTTCTAGCTTTGCTAGGAAGGCTCGAGAATTACTAATTCAAAAATACTCTCCTTCTCATCGCTTGTGGTTAAAAGACTACAAGAGAGGCATGTAGGCTTTTCTAATACCCCAGCTCCTAGGAAATTCCAACTCATAGCGTAACAATTTCTCAAGGATAATAGAATCAAGGTCTCATATGCTACAAGGTTATTATTATATTAAGGTGGTGCCTCGAAAGCAGAAGGAGCTTACTAATGGCTCAACTTTTCTCAAAATCAAGGGTTTCTAGGCGAGAACATACACTTGATGATTAACGAACTTAATCTAACCTGGGAACCTCCCACTTCCTCCGAGGAATTCTTGCAGACTAGCTCATAGCATGCATTCAATGGCATCGTGCTAGGGGGTTATCGTCATGAGAAGTTGTGTTAGGAGAAGTAAATATGTATATTAAGTGAGTTGGGTTAGTTAAAATTAATTATAGGGGAGTAGGAATAGAATATTCTCCAAGGCACGAGAACCGAGTTGGAATAACAGATTAGAGCTGGATATAACCTGGGAGAATTGTTGGAAGCGTGTGACAGAAATTGTAAGCCAAGTTGGTTATATACCTAGGTATAGCAGTCTGACGAAGAGACAGGACGATATTGTACCTATCCTGGGAGACATTCATTTCATACATTAAAAAGTGGTAGGTGACATCAAGTGAACGTGCTGGACGTATCTAGAAAGGTCATCGAGTGCAACAGAAGGTGACACAGACCTAAAGGTTTGAGTGTATCAACAGGGCTTTCTAGTGCAACTTGCAGAGTTACGGTTAAGGCAAGGGAATTTGGGATAATTGAGATGAGAACATGGCCACCTTTCAAGTACTCTGTATGCCTTTTGATAATGTCGAACTTCTGGCAGAATTCCTTCTTGGTAAGATTTTCTCGAGTTTTCATTTAGGTACTCGAACAAGTAACATTTTGTAAACAGAAGATATTAATCTCAAGACTTAAAAAAATTGGTATTAGCTCGCGTAGCAACAGTGGTATCTCCCCGCCCATGCAACAAATATACAAAAAAGAATCTCGATCGATTGCATCTCAGTATCATCGCAGCAAGGATCAAAGAGCTCATTCTAAACATTATGCTTTGCAGTCGCCCTCATCCTAATCACGGATTTCCTTATTCCCCTTCTCCCAATTTTCAATCTGGTGCAATAGGTGGCACTGGATTTACGGAGCAGCCATGGCCGCAGGGGCCTGGTAGCCCTGAGAAACAACACCCTGCTGGCTCAGCTTTGCTAGGACCTCCTTCTCATGCTGGATAACAGAGCAGCACCCGCAGAAGGCGGAGAACAAGCAATCTGTGAGGGCGTCGCCTTGGATGTGATAATTTTCGCGGATCTCGCCACGCTTCAAGAATGTAAGACTGTTTGGTGATATGTTAATTGTTTGATCGAGGTATCGCACGAGAAAATTGGGTCGGGGAAAAGGATTAATGGAATCTGAGAAGGGGAAAACATACACCCATTGGAGACCGCAGTAGCTTGCACCAGCCCAGAAAAGACAGTCATTGTTGATACGATCATAGCCTGTCAAAGAGGGGTCCCGCATGCGAGCGGCGGTCTTGCCATAGACGAAGCAGGGACAGAATGTACCCTTGAGGCCTTATGGATATAGAGTTAGTAATGCCCAGTTTGATGATGGGGTGCGGAACAGGGGAAGTTAACATACAGAGGTTGTCGTTGCCGTCCAAGCCGCCGTCCAAGCAGTTGAAGATATCAGAGGTCCATGGCTCTGTGCCGGTCACGGTAGTGACTTGTTTGTAGGTTAGGTTGTTGGAAGCGGTTGGTTGTTGGGTGACGGGTTGTTGCTTAATGTCGGACATTGTTGATGATGAGGTGTATGAAGTGCTATTACTTTTTAGATTTGTTCGTGCTTTAGAGATGTATGATTAAACGTAAGGTATACAGAGGAAGAGAAGGTAAGAAGGAGTGTGATGGGATGAAGAGACACTTCCAACGGCCAGTGGGAAGAACTCTAGCCTTATAGAAATGGGCGGAGGGACCTTGCATTCGACTGTTGCTTTGTCTGACAGCTGAGAAGGTGATCATTCCACACGAGTCCAGTTCATCCCCTGCACACGCAGCCTCTCATCTCCACCACCGAACAATAATAACTCTGCGGAGCCGTGCAACCAAATTTGTGGTGGCCAATGTAGTACCAACGGTACAACCCGGGGGTCAGTGGTGAAGCAGCCATTTCGTACCAAGCATCGTTGGCTGACACTACCGACTGCTCCGACAGAGTGCTTTCTGGATCCCTGAATCCCACATGCTGAGTGATTGGTTTGACGAACGGCTGGAGTCGCTTGATAACAGAACACCGTGAAATGGGGATAGCTCGTGTTGCTAAAATTCAGCCTTGCTCATGTTTGGGGCAGTGATACCCCCTAGCGACGCCCAGCTGAAGAAGGTGGCGTATATAAAATAGCCCGCCTTACGTGCCAAGCGTTCTTCGGTACCTAGGCAGTCTGCGACGAAACCTGACCAACTTCTTTTGCTAGCGCGGTTAGCCCGCATTCAGGTACTACTCACGTAACTCACCTAATAATAACAGCAGGTTGATCATTGCCAGCGCGAAGAAATCGCCAGTTGGGCGTGTGTGTTGAAGAAGTCCAGGACTTTAATAAACAGCAAATCTGCGATGTGAAAAGAAGCTAAAGAATGCCACCTCTATCTTGACTCTCTGATAATATGCCTACCCTCTACGGCTTCGACATCGGGAGTATCTCTCCCTCTGCTTGTGAGCCCAAGCTATCGAAGAGCTATCGTCGCTAGCACATAGTTCGTGTTTTGCATAGCTTGTAGGGAGCCATCTACCCCAGTAGTTGCCGTTTATAGGGCTTGGGGATGCATGTGGAAGTACGAAGTACAACCACGTAAGTACTCCGCATGTAAATGTTAAATGCGCCCCTTCGTGCCCTTCGTGGTTCGACTTAATCGTACCTCGAGCCTTCATAGAGGTGCTATCCATAGGCTTGCAGTAGGCGTTGAGATGCTTCGTCGCATCTTTATGTCGCTGGCCATGTCGCGTCGCTTACCGTGCCCGAGTGTTTTGACGTGTGCGCGAAGGCTAGTTTGAACTGAAATCATGCAATATAGCCAGCGTGCTTGGGAGCCATGTTTGCACCGTGCTCGCAATATGGAATTGGAATTATCCACTGGATTGTGCTGTATGTGTAGGTACCTTATGTACCCGCTGTACATTGTGTAGTCGTCTATCTAAGAACTGTGTACGAAGTAGTTAGGAGAACCTTATTGCAAAGGAAGGACACGAGTTCCCGTGGGGGATGTGGCAGGTGACCGTAGTCAGGTGACCACCGCAGCACCTGACTTTGATTGCGCCTCCCCTGCAAACCTCGAAAAATCACATTGATATAATATTATATTGCATTACAATTCAGTATCAAGAATGTTGGCACTATGGCGAGTCTTTAGCATCATTAGCCGACGGCCACTCAGCGAAAAGATTTTGGAATATAGTGACATGGATACTACTACTTCGCCGAGCTCCACAAGGGCTCAAGACGTCAAAGTAATACCTGATTAATCTTAGACTCGTTGACTGGATAATTGACACCATGGAATTTGATGGCTCCTTGCGGTCAAGCTGAATAGCGACTCTTTACGCTTTGGGGCGAGTTGGAGTCAAGCTAAACACGAGTCTAATGATGGAAAGAAAGAAGAAGGAAACAAAAATTGGAAGGAAAACGAAATAGAGAATCCAAACACACTAGCGCCACTAGCGTGGCGCAAGGGCATCATGTGACCGAGAAGCGAGAAAACCCAGCTCCGGCTGACTCATCGAGCTACTCAGGGGCTCCACGTTCGGCTCCAGGCTCGGCTCAGGTTCGAGGCTTGAAGCTTGGAGCAGCGATTGCTTGTGATTACTAGGTCCAGAGACAAAAATGCCTCTGGGTGAGCCTGGTGAGGTCAAATTTCATCCTCGGCTTGTTATTATTAATTATCTGGTACTTCGTACTTCGCACAGTCCCTAGGTACTGTACGTACGAACTAGTAGTCGCGACGAAGTATCATAGGTCTGTATACGGTCACATCATGCCGCTTGACAGGGCGTGGGCCATCTATGTCCCGCGGAAAGGAGAAATACAGGAGCTATACCACGTTGCTGGTTCGAATTGCTTGTTATTATTATAGATGCCAAGCTTTGCAATCCGATTTGCTTACTCCGTACTTCGTGCTCTGAAAAGGGCAGCTACAACGGTCATGTATTGTCTTTGTGCATTGACGAAACGGCTTTGCTCAAGATAATGTACTCGGACTCGATTTGGGTGCCGTTGCGGAGGACCTTGGGAGGCGGTGAGAACTCATCTTTGACGAATCCCATCTTCTCGTAGAATTTGATTCCCCTTTGATTACTCGTAAAGCAAGTCAACATGAGCTTTTCCGTTCCTGGAATCCTCGCAGCGCAGGTTCTGAGAAGCTGCATCAGCGTCGTCCCAAGCCCTGTCCTACAAGCGACGAGTCGGTCAGCACGGGGAAACTTTAAAAAGGGGGGATCCACTAGATTTACTTACCCTTGTAGGGCTGAGGACAAGTGGATTTCGTAGCAGTATATGACAGGATAATCATCCTCGTATGTTGGCATGAAGGACATGAAACCCTCGACGGCGTCCCTGTCGTTTTTGATGAGGAGATACTTTAGATCGAGGAGCTTCATTTCCCTCTTTTTTGAGCCAGGTTTCCAGCCGTTTTGTGACTTTTTGTAGTCATCAGCGCTGGTGAACTCGATGAGATGGAAACATGCTTCGAAATCGGCAACGGATAGGCCTTGCGCTGCTTCTAGAGCGATTTTGTATTGAGTCTTGTTGGCTGGATGAACCCAGAGGCTCCATTCTTCACTGTGACGTGATGCAGTTCAGTTATTCGCCCATGCCATTGGAATCTGTTGGGCCTTATAACAGCGCGATAGATTGAGAAACGGTTAATGAGCTCCACAGGCGGTCTCCATTGATGGGGTTGGAAATGGAAACTATTGAAAGGAAGTAGATATTATTTTTGTCACTCACCTTGAGGGCAAATATTCTTGAATAAACTCACTCAAACCCTTCGAATTAGCAACATCAATTGGATCCATTCTACCTTGTCGGCCTCGTATGAAATGTTGTATGGAGTACCTAGGTATGTTGATGCTGCAGTATCAAGATGACGCTTACCGGCCTACCTAAGGCACCAACAATGCACTACATACATCCCTAGGTCCCGTAGTTGGTGAACTAGACCCACACCCAGATGACCGAAGGCCTCCATGTCGCATCGCCAACTCCAAATTTATTGACCCATCTCCTCTTCTCCCACTATAATTTATATATCTCTCCGCTCCTTTCTGGACCGAGACGAATCGCATATGCCACCATGCTTCTCGATTCACATGCGCACTTGCATGCGTCCTCAACTATGTCTCCAATTCCAATCTGATCTTCGCACATACAGCTCCTCCAAGGTCAAGAGACCTAGTCGCTTCGATTCCAAGAAGAAGACTATGAGTCTCGACGATGTACATTGAATATACCCCGCTTTAACTCCCTTAAGCTAATTATGGCAATTTTGATAGTTTCTCCAAAGATCCCGCACCATTGCCCTATACCGCAACATCGTACGAGGATGCAGGAAAATCCCGGACCCCACCACGAAGAAGGAGATGTTGAAGTTTGCGAAGGAGGAGTTTCAGAGGAATAGCGAGGTTACGGACCCTGTACGTTCAACGGACTCTGGTGGAATTGGGGATGAGAGTTGAGGGAAGGTAAACTAAAACTAAAGAATGAGCAGACGCAGATTCGGTATTTGACGTCCACCGGGAAGACCCAGTGGGAACAGATGGATAGGTATATTGACGGATTATGATGTGACGGCAGGGGAGAGAATATGTAAAGAGGGCCCGGGAAAGAGGGAGATTCATGGGTTGGCAGGATAATATCGTATGTACTTGTACAAATGACATGAGGCCATATTTCATGTCCAGAACTGGTGCCCTTGTTAATGCCACTAATATGGAAAATGGGAGGACTACATATTTGAGTAGTATTGGGGTTACCCCATCACCATGATGGGGCATATGTAAGATCTTACATGCCACGCTCCACTTCTTCCCTTCTGTCAGTCCGTCTAGCCTGAGCAGCTTTCTCGAATGGACTTCAATGTCTCCTATACGACGCCGTTCCCATGCAATTGATACTCGTACAAGCCTTATATATACTCCAACTCCCATTCAGTCTCATGTATATCCACCCGGACATCCGCCAGAATCCTATTTCCCCTGCCTCTGCTTGTGCTTCGGATTCAATGAGCAGATTATATAAACGTGTCCACGTCCCTTCTTTCCACCTTTCCTGCGTACGCTCTATCATAACATAAAGTTAGCATCAATTTCATCCAAATCTCGCCCGCTCAGGTGCCCCTTCAATTGATCTTTCCCGGCCTTCTCTCTTCGTTCCTCGGCCTCATGGCTGCCCCCCTCCATCCCCCATCCTCCAGACCCCAGACCGGGTAACAATCAAGTGACATCCCCCCCACTCTCTATAACATTGCAAGAATAAAACCAGACTCATACCTTGCAGCCCTCACATAGCTTCTTCACCGAACTCCTAACTTTCATCCCCCTGACTTGCTGCTGCAAATTCCCGGCCACCACCTTATTCTGCCATTGGAGGCTCCCTGCAAGCAAACCCGTTCTCCGAAACATATTTGCGCTCCATCCATTCGTTCTCGTGGTAGTATTCAGAGCTGAGAAAGCTCTTCTGCTTATTGAAGTTGGCGATCGAAGGAGTGGTGTGCGCACTGTTGCGCGTAGGAGGATGCCGGTTATTGACGGTGGCTGGCACATGGCTGCAGTTTGGGAAAGATTTGGGTGGGATTGAGGAGCGAGCTGTCGTGGATGAGTCTGGAGTCTAGTTAGGTAGGTAGGTTTCGATATCGCGAGATTTTGCCTCTGGGGCTGGGACGTTGCGGCCTCAGGCAACACACGTGTATGATTGGTACTGTGTACTATCGTGGTGCAAATTAGAAGAGAGAGCGCACCACCAACGGCTGAATAAAAGCCCTATATTACTCCATTATCATATTTTATTCGTCTTAAAAAGTATTTTTATATCTATATCCTTTTATCTATCCCCCAGCCTAATCAAATACCTAGGTAAGCAACAATTCACGCCTCAAACACCAAATCTCCTAATCGCTAGTCGTACGTATTCCCTACCCATATGAACATAATCGAATGACTGCCATTCAGGATCTCAAAAATGTCTTGAAAACCTCCGAGTTGGTGCAATCTTCCCACGGATACCCGATCTTTCGCAGGAACGCCTCAAGTTCCTTCAATTCGTCATCGGGGCAAAGAATACCCGCCACAACCTTCGCGATATCGCCACCTGCGTTCCGGTACTGGAAGAGAGAGATATTGTATCTTGGTTTTAACGTGGAAAGGAACTTCTCCAAGGCGCCCGGCCGTTCAGGGAAGTTGAACATATATAATCGTTCACTGGGCACGCCAGAGGGTCCTCCGACTAGATAACGCACATGTGATTTTGCTAGCTCATCACCGGAGAGGTCAACGGGAGCCATACCGGTAGCAGATATACGAGAAAGCAAGGATGAGAGCTCCTCGTCTCGCTGTAACGCTGGAGATGTGAGGGATATTCCGATGAGGACGTTTGCGCTGGCATCTGTGGCGTATCGGTAGGAAAATTCGGTGACCATATGTGGCATGATGGTGTTGATGAGTTCGGAGAACGCCCCAGGCCTCTCGGGGATGGTGACCATGATCAAGGCTTCTTTTTTCTCTCCTAAAGCAGCACGTTCTGCTACGAAACGTAGACGGTCGAAGTTCATGTTGGCACCTGAGGCGATGGCGACAAGGTTCCTGGAGCTGTCCGCCGATGGATGTGCTGCGACGTATTTCTTCAAACCAGCGATGGCGAGAGCTCCTGCGGGCTCAAGGATGGAACGGGTATCTTCAAAGACATCCTTGATCGCTGCACATGCCTCGTCGGTGGTGACTTGGATGACTTCGTCCACGACCTCTTGACATATTCTGAACGTCTCCTGCCCAACAGTCTTGACGGCAGCACCATCCGCGAATAGTCCGACATTCTTCAAGACAACCCTCTCCCCTTTCTGAAGCGACTGCACCATCGCATTCGCGTCGTATGTTTCCACGCCGATAATCTTCACATGTGGAGCTATACGCTTGACATACACCCCAATGCCAGCAATCAGCCCGCCTCCGCCAACACAACAGAATATTGCTTCTAGCTTTTGTATGTTTGTCTGTCTCAGCAATTCCATCCCAATGGTGCCCTGTCCTGCAATGACATATGGATCATCAAACGGAGGAATATTTGTAAGACCATGAAGCTTCTCCAGTCGCCCACATTCTTCCTTCGCAGCGTCGAAATCTGCCCCATTCAACACCACCGACCCCCCTAAACGGGTCACATTAAGATGTTTAATACTTGGGGTACCTTTTGGCATGACAATGGTCGCAGGTATCTTGAGTTTCCGTGCTGAATAGGCAACCCCTTGTGCATGGTTTCCTAACTTCTGTAAGCATAATACTCGGGCAGGCCAGAGAAGCTCCTACCAGCCGAACAAGCAACCACTCCCTTCCAGCAAACTTTGGGATCTAGATGCGCCATCTTATTGTATGCCCCCCTCAGCTTGAAGCTGAAGACTGGTTGGAGGTCTTCCCTCTTCAACAAGACCTTGCATTCTAGCCGATTGCTTAGATTTGTAGCAAGTGTCAGGGGGGTTTCCTCCACCGCATCGTAGACTCGCGAGGTGAGGATGAGTCGTAAATACTATCATCGTTATATATTAGCACCATCTTAAAGCATCTAGACTCGGGAAGAAAATACGTCTGGATAGCCATTAGGCAGTAGAAACTCCTCTGGGATAACCCCTTTAGTCTTCGATTTCGGGGTTGCGCTCGGCGGTGAAGGATTCGTAGAATATTCGGTCAGCGATAAAGAACTGAGACTTGGAGTTCTCAGAGCTCTTGGGCGGCGATCGGGGTTGTGGTCGCTGTCTTTGCCATTGCAGTTGGCCTCGTCATTATTATGGCCATTGCCATTAAGCACCACTCCATTATCCATAATTAGAATGCGCGGATCGTATCTCCAGTTGATCGTGGGTAACGGATCCAATGTATGTAAGATTCATAAATTGTTTGACCGCACACTGATGCCGTGGGGTACAAGTATTTCCGAGTCGCGAAGCCGGAGCTGCAGGGGCCCGTTTTCCACAGGGGTGCCGGGGAATGCGGCGATAACGACCTCATCAGTCGCTTGAACAGTAGTCCAGACTCCAGGTCAACCAAGTCCAATTCAGTCGTCCATAAACACGTCACCAGAATGTCGAATGCGCCTCTCCCGTCATCTTTCGATGGCAATGCGTATGTCAATTCCTCCTCGATGCCAATGCCCTAACTCTGCGGCCAAGGGACCCGGCTAATCCGGATCGTATCACCAGTGACTTCTACGAAGAAAACCGGTGGCAGAAGCTCAGTCGACGCCTTAAAGAGGAGCCTCTGGTCCCCCTCGGTATATGCGTTTGTTCCTTTCCCATTCTTTAAACTACAGCCCAACGAACAATCTATTCTAATACTTTGTCTTCTCAGGATGTCTCCTAACATGCGCGGCCCTCCTGGGCGCTTCTCGCTCCATCCGCTCCGGCGACCACAACAAGACAAACCGCATGTTCCGCGCTCGTATCCTGGCGCAAGGCTTCACACTTGTGGCCATGGTCGCTGGCAGCGTATACTGGGCGGAAGACCGGGAGAAGCGGAAGGAGTTTGAGGGCATATTGAGCGAAAAGAAGCAGAAGGAGAAGAATGAGGCCTGGATTAAGGAGCTGGAGGCTAGAGATAGGGAAGAGAAGGAGATTGCGGCGTTGAGGGAGAAGCGGAGGGCGAGGGCTATGGATGGGGCCCATATACCGGAGAAGGTTAAGACGAAAGTGCCCGAGGCTCAGACTACGGCCGAAGCCGCGATGGAGAATCCGGAGGAGAAAGGCAAGGGGATTCTGGATAAAGTTTATGGGATGGTGTCGGGTAGGCCTAATAAGGAGCAGCCAAGCGGGAACGACAGTGGGAATGGGGAACCGAAACCACCTCGAGGTGGAGCGAAATCCATGATGGAGGACGAAGACCAGAGGCGGAGAGGTGTATTTGAAATGGTCCAGGAGCTTGTTGCCAGTCGGAGATAATATTCCTACCTTATCAATTTGTACAAAAGCGTCGGGAACTAATCCGGCAGTCATAGGCAGATGAGGGCAACTTTCGTATTTATGTACATTGTTAGCTAGCCTTCATGATAAAATCGCCATTCAATACTCTGTATCTTCGTCATACAAGCCACAAGGGATCAAAATGACTCCCTAAGCGGAGACCAAACGCCGCTCTGAATCCTATACCCCAACAACGGCTCTATCCGAAGTCCAACTCCCAATACTAACAACGCCTTGCGGGCTTGCTCAGGACGCCATATCCCTAGACCTAATTCATTGACCCACCACTCCGATCTCCCCCAATAAGTCCCGCCATCTCCAGTAAGGCCCTATCAGCTTCAATATCCCCAGAACCCAAATTGATTTTTCTCCTCGCCTCTGCTTCTCTCTCCTCCCATGCCCATAGTTGTCTTTGGTGCTCAGCCTCTGCATCTCCGCCACAACCCCAAACCTCCAAACTCTCAATCTCAAACCTATCTTGAAAATCATATTTCCTGGTGCTCGAATTATGGAACGCCCCGCCGCCAGAAGTGTAGTTGTGGGTGAAAACGCCAAATTCGAATGAGGAATCGAGCACCAAAGAGACAGCGCCGAGGTTTATATGCGGTGCGAGGCCGGATGTCTGCTTGGGCTTCGGATGAGGGCATCCAAATGCAATGCCAGCGTGGGCGTAAGGGGGTTTCGTGAAGGAGACATAATCTGTATTTATAGTTGAGGCGTGGAAGACTTCATGTACAGGCTCCAGTTGGAATAGTAATGTTTCGGCATCACCGAAGCATTCTTTGTGAGTTTGACGCCAAGGCTGGGCGAGATATATCCCAAAGGCGAAGTGTTCGGACTTGCTGCTGTCTGGAAAGCGCTTTGCAGGTAGTGTGTCTGAAAATGCTCGTTCTTGGCCACCTTCTGGAGGATCTGAGATCCGGTTCCCTGCCACCAGAAGTATGGTTGGTGCTCGCCAATTGAAGACTTTGGTTTCAAACCCTCCCAAAGAGAAGCCAGCATCAGTACCGGAGTACAGAAGACGGAGCCGCCGAAATAGCTTCTCGCCAGGGATGAAGAACGATAGTTGACATAGAACGTTTAGATCTAGGATTTCCCCCTCCTGCGACAGAAGCGGCTGGTCCAGCAGTCGATCCACTTCTGATGGTGGAGCCGTTAATTTATCCTTCCGCTTTGTAAAATCGAGATCTTTGGAAAATAAAAAGTGCTCAAATAAGGAATTGAAGCCATTGAAAAGATATGGAAAGGAGATGGATATCACAGTATTAAATTGACGTATTTTGACGCCGGGGGACTTTTCCACGTTCACAAACGCAGCTAAAATGTTCTCCGCGGTCTTGCGGAGGCCTCCCAAGTGCTCACCAGTCAATCTCCCTACATGGCGGGAAAGACTCTCTTGGGGATCGAGAGGGGCAATGAATAGAAGAAGCATAATTAGCTTCTTAAGATTGTCAGATGGTATAGAGGCTTGGGCGATGGGAGGGCCTCCGTGGTTGAACACCTCAACTGCGTCAAGAGACTCTAGCGCTGCTAGAGCCAAGTCATGATCATCATCGTCCTCCTCGTCATCGTTGGTGGGCTCATCAACTGCGAAGCCAGCGACATGGCTTCGATGAGCCTCGCCTTGCACAGTATTCAGCTCTAAAGCGGGGCCTTTTCCAGCTTTCTCTGATTTACCGCTAGGTTCTTTTCGATCCCAAACAGCAAGACTGCGAAATAACAGCTTCGCTCGATCCCGATGCCCTTTCTTCAGTACTCGCTGGTATCTCTCCGTCATTATCACAACGACCATGACCATCTGCTCAAATCCCAATATGACCGGCGCATCTTGGCCAAACGGGAATGCGCCTAGATATGATACCATCTGAAAGATCACGGAGGAGACGCCGAGGATGTCGGGGATCTCTAGGAATCGTGCGAGGGTATCCTCCTTGAGATATGCCATTGAGTCCTGGCGCTCTGCAAGGCTTTTGAAGACATCTTGGAAGGAATACAGTTCGAGAGGAGTGAAACACTTTTTTGCGAACAACAGAGCCTGTGATGTATGTAAAGTCAGCGGTGGAGGGGATGCGGGGTGTTATAAATCCCATGACGCAGAACGACGTACCAGCTCGTGGCTCACCTGCTCAGTAGTAACCTGTTTCCCACCAGTATCGGACTGAGCTTGCCCCATGATGTATCGATACGTATTTATTATATTTATTAGGTCATATGGGCAGACGGTGGTTCAAGTCCAGCTTGAGGATCTGAAATGATGTTGGTAGTTGCGCGTACGAATAGGTACCTATGAATTCAGTCTAGATCCCCATTGCCGAGCACAGTTGCATGGCCAAGGGAGGTTGCTCGTACAGCACCTCGTACTTTGTCCACAACCTCTTTATTATACTCGGCACCTATCTATATCATACTACAACCCAGGCGCCCGGTTTTACATCTTTACACAACTCATCTTCCTGAGGATATCCCAGTAGCTATAACGAGTTTTACTGATACCGCAAAGCTCCCGTGTTCGCCTTTATGGGTTTATAGCCTTATATCTCGGTCTCAAATTACGGCTGCCCCCGTTCCTGTGGTCCCCTTTCATCCATGCGCTAACATTCTCGAGCTCCAAGTAACAGCCCAATCAGACCTTACTCGTACGTGATGACATTCTAGCATCACTTGGCTCCATCAGACAGATACCGGACAGATGCCTACTCATGAGCCGATCCATGGCCGTGCCAATAATGGGTCTAGAGTGAATGTAGCGGCGACGCCGGGGCTCGATATCTGAAAGGGCATCATCAATTAAATATCCAACCTTACTTCCCTAATTAGGTCAACCGTCTATAAACAACACCGTTCCCCTTGTAAGTTTGATCATTCACTCAACCCGATGTCAAAAGCAGGGTTTGCCTCGGTATTTTCACAGATCCCGGAACCATCTGATACTCCTTCGATTACTACCTAATTTGTCCGAGCCTTTTTTACTCTCTTGGACTTCTTGGACGGTCCCTGTTCATCTCCCGGCGCACTCGCGGGCCTCTTCTTTTGTGACGACTTCGGCCTCACATTGCTTGCCGGACCCGTCGGATTGTCCGATTCGTTTAACGCTCCGGACATTTCATATAAACCACGGTGCCTGACGTTCCCCTGCATATCGTTCTCAGAGCCAGTCAAAGATTCGGATATCTCAATCATTAGGTGACTCGGCTCCGGGAGGCTGGCACCGACGAATTTCCAGTTTTCAGGGAGCTTGGGTAGAGCATATGCTAGAGTTATTGATCTAGCCCTTTCCGGACCTAAAATCTTGTCGAGTAAACCTCTTCTCTGGATCCTCGGTTGGAACTCAGGGACTGGTAGTGTCGTTAGTACGTTTACATATCTGGAAAGGCAGTACTTGCCATCTTGAAGGTCTCGCCGCATAGTGAAGTCAAGATAGGCTTGTTGATACGGCGTTTCCCCGAACGGGAAATGCGGTCGCTGTTTTGCCCCTCGATATATTTCGACAGGACGATCTCCTCCCCGCGACTTTTGCGGTGGTGGTGACAATCTCGGCTCTGGCATTCTTTCAAATCTAGGCCCAGAGGTCATCATACCAGTTTGGATCTCTGCACTTTGACAACGGACTGGGAATCTTCGCATGTTGAAAAACTGCGTTGTCATCTTCCTGGCATTAACAGTGTGACCGTGTATGACCCTTTGGATTGTCTCCACTCTGGGAGCAGCAAATTCCCAAACATGCTCCTTCTCAGGGAAGCGTGACTCCCAATTATTACTAGACTCCTCCAGAATCTCCATCTGAAGCAGTGCCGCAGCTTCGCCATCAGTGACGGCGTTTGGATCTCTGCCCAGGTCTATTCCTGCCCCCTGCGCAAGGTGTGGTGCGATCTTGTGCAACTCGACTGCAAGGCGCTGCAGCGATATTCCCCCGACATCTGACGTCGCGGGCTCCGCATCACTCCCCATATTCGGACGGTCCTCTATGCTTATTTTCCCCACACCTTTTAGTGTAACATTCAGCCCCACCAATTGTTCCATGAGGTAGGTGTCAGAATCACCATGCTCTCGTGCGAGCTGGTGCAATAATCTCGAAATGTCCCGACCTACTCTGAAGGCTAGCTTTTGTAGGTGGTAGAACTTGTTTGCCTGCACAATAGGGGGCCCCATCGTCCCATCAGCATCATATTGCACCTCCAAATTGCCGAGTTCGTTTCGTCGAACGCCAGGAGACTGCTCTGCGGACTCTCTCGCAATTACAAATTTATTTTCCGGATGTCCGCTGAGAGGTATTCTTGATATTTGATATATACCACGGTCTGAGTCAATGCTATCAAATGTTAACGCATATCAGATCTGAAGGCTACTATATTCTTACTGGATCCGATTTGCCTGCCGCATTATACCCAGGTATGTTGTTATCTTCCCATCGTCCCACAAATGTACCTCGTTATTCCTCCTGTTGAATCGATTTTCATTCAACTTATGTTTGAATGGATAAAATCCCATTCCTTTATGGCTTTGCTGGTGATGATCATGCTGGGGATTTTGGAATAGCTCAACCTCGGAGTATTCTTGTTCTTCCGACGGATGCGTGACTGGCTCTCTCGGCTTCCAAAGCGGCAAGATGTCCCTAATTTCATCCACATCCTGTTCAAATTCTCTAAGCTCTGCTTTTTGTTGGGGAGTGAGAGCCAGGTTCAAATCGTCATAAGACTTGCGATCGCCATCCCAAGATGGCGCTGCTATTTCGAATAGCTGGTCAATGCCCGCTGTTATTAACTCGTCTTTGTCCCACAACGGGTGAGCCTGGTTCAATCCGCGACTTATTGCTTGTTGCACCCGGAGAAGTATCCGCTGAATCAGGGCCCGTGGCGCTAATTTCTCAGCTTCCACCAAGCGAGAGCAAAGGTCTGTCAAGCGGGACTGTCTCTCCTTGATAATGTCCTGTTTATCTTCGGTGCTTGCTACCGTGAAGGGGCCATTCAAGTTGGCCGGCGGATGCAAGTTCTCAGGACGTTCACCTATTAAGCGAGTCCGAGCAAGTTCATAAGATAAATCTTTAAGGTGTCGGAATTCCATCAATTCCTTAGTGAACTTGAAACTATCCATTTCTACCGGCCGCTTAGATGGCTCTAGTGGTAGTGATATTGGAACTTCTTTTGGGGGAGGCTTGTATTTTGACGGGAGCTCTAGCTTCCGAAAGCGATCCTCTGGTCGGTGCTGTTCTTGATTGGTGGCTACAAGGTTTAGTGCAAGCTCTATCGCTGCTCGTTGAATACCTCTTCTTTCTGCTTTGCCGCTGAAATCCATAGAATTGCTTTGTGTGGTTGTGGTTGTGGCTGGTTCTCTAGTTTGTAGCACCGCATCATCTACTACAGCACCTACCTCCTCAACTACCACTGTATCTGCCTGTACTTCAACGTTTCCACTGCTCGTTTCTTCGATGGAAGATATGTCCCCACTTGGCGGGTGGTATTCTAAACAGTAAACACCTGCGTTTCCTTCATCTATTTCTCCTGGGCTCAACACCTTGATAGTGTTATGGTTTAGCGCGAACGCATCCATTGAAACCGAAAATTTGATGTCGGCCAGGTTGTTGACATGGTTGGGATCTTGTGAAGGCACATGTCCATGGTATTCCGGCTGTCTGAGTCCATTGCAGTAATTCAAGAAAGCGCGCTCATCCACAACACTCCCGAGACACTTGATTAGAAGCTTCTTCTCCTCCACGTCCAAATCACGGAAGCCACCACTAGCAATCCTAGCTTTACGGAGGGTGTCTTCTACTTTCTGAGCTTCATCATAAATCGCTAGTGGGATTATTTCTTTTGGTGGGAAATAGAAAACGCCCGGATAGTCCGTTCTTCTTCTCCCAGGCTTCAAGACCATGAGTTGCACACCGCCTTTGAACCTTCTGCACCATGTCCGAAACGCGCGTTGGAAATTCCTCTCCGCAACCTTGAACTCTTCGTTGGCCTTTTCCATCTCCTTGTCTGTGACGGTGCCAAATAACACGCTTCCATATTTTTGAGCTTTATAGTCCCTGTCTGTTTTTGTGTCCTCGTACTTAGCATATAGGGCCTTTAGATGGTTGGACCCATGCACTTGCAAGAGCTCTTCCAATTTCTTCTGGTCTTCCTCTGTCCGTGTCCTCCCTGCTTTGAGGAGACGATTTATTTCATTCTGTCGGCGTTTAAGATAATCTGGTAATGGCTGCAATGGTGGTCTGCGCTTCTCGTCTATAGCACGATACCACGGCATTGTATTGCCCTGTTTCAGGCCTCTCATTGGAAGCCCTTTTGTATCATGCATCCAGTACGGAATCAAGCCTGGCTCTTTCAAAGCCCGGGCGTACGCCCGGCTTTCAACCCAGAGTAGGTTAGTTTTCTCTTCAATATCTTCCGGGGCCATCTGGGCATCTTCCCGCATTGCCTTCAAAAAGTCAACTTGATCATCTTCTCTCCAAGCTGTAAATGGCGGATGATCATCTCTCATCTTTGTTTCGATGCCCATGGCTTCCTTCTCTTCTTGGAATTTCTGTGTATTCTTAGAAGAGACTAGACGAAGAGAACCAGGCATTATCGATGGCGAATCACAGCAAACCGAATCTTCAGGTCCTTTCTGGGTTCTTCTATCCCAGTCTCGGTGGACCTGGGCCATGACCTTAACATCGCGGAGGAGGCTTGCATCATGGTCAAGTTTCTCATCTAAAATATATTTGATGTATTCTTCCACCTCACCTAACCTTTCGCGGAAACCAAGGTATCGATTTGGATCTTCATCCGCGAGGAAGTTCCTGGCTTGGTCAAGGCGCTCATTTACCGGAGGTTGTGGGTGGTCCTTGAAGGCTCTGGATTTGTTGGTAGGTGTTTGGCCCACCTCTGAGTTTGCCCGACTATTAGTACATTAGCACATATTATTTCGAAAGGGAAACCCGGCGCATTAGCCTTTTATACCTAGTAGAGTCCATAATTATCTTGGATTTGTCTATCTCCTGTTATATACGTTGCCGGAGCCGGCCAATCTGTGCAGAACTGTACGACCGAGACTACTATACGAAAACCCTCTCGATGATCCGTGGTTAATTTTTCAAATAAACTTAGAAGTAACAAATGTTGGCCTTTGGGTTCCCGGAGCGATAGCGGATTGAGATAAATCAAAGACATTCCAGCCAGCAGGCCGAACAAACAAGCAACAATGGTAGGAATGCTACTGTCAAAGCGAATCCCGAGCCCCCTTTGACCCGAAAGCGAGCAATCGAATTTACGGCCAACTCCGGATTCTGAAAACGGATGCAGCCCAAGACTTCCTCGCGGGAGCGCTTCATTTACGACGCCTTAACGAGCTTCGTATTAGTTAAAGGGATTCTACTTGATTCTCGACTAGTGCCTATATAATTACCCCTACAACCCGGCTTCCAGTGCATAGACAAATACATCGCACAACAGTACACCGCATGTTACTGCTGAAAACTTCTTCGAACGTGCTATCAAATCATAATCATGATAACTGCACGCAATAGTGTAAAGGATCATAGTCGTAAAAGAACAATAAATCAAACTAGGAGCACTCAGTAGAACCATCAGCCCACCCAGTCAAGTCGTAAAGATAAGGAAAAAGGAGACTCATAGCACGAAAGGTACCAAAGGTAACCGAAGGAGTTCTTTAAAGCAATAGCTAATCTTAATGTGAGTTTCGTTGGCGAGAGTACAACGGCTACTTCGGCCAAATATATGGTGCCAATTGATTTCCGTGATGGTTGAGACATATCTCACTAAATGTACCTAGGGTGAGGATAAAAATACTCCTTTAAGCAAGATTAGACTTGCAGATATGGAGATTGGGATATAGGGGAGTTTTGAGGGCGCATGAGGAAAGCACATAGGTGGTGGTGCTTATGGCGCAAGAGTCCTTGCGAGAAGCTTGCTTGACGAGGGCGGTATTGAACGAAACCCCAGAAGAGAATCGGAGGGTTGAGTAAGCTGTGTTCTCTCTGCTTGGTTATGTGATTTGAAGAACGGTCTTATATAACCTTGCTCTAATAGGGATAATAAGGATTATGATAAGCCTGTCGTAATGGATTCTTAACACAGTTAGAAGCCCTAACGTGGGTATATTGGACATCCAAGCTCAAGGCCTAGCTAGTGAATACCGAAGTCGTATTCAGGGGTTATGGAAGTGAAGATATCTTTCGTGATCCAAAGTATTTAGAATGCTTCACACTCATCTGTGTCAGCAACATCATCGATACTATAGCTAGGCACAGCGATTTTTTCCATCACAGAACAAGCCGCTTGGACGGTTTCACTATCCACCTTGTTCCACCTTGTTCCGCCTTGGCTTTGGTATGAACCACCCATCCATGCTCATCCCAAGACAAAACCCATGACAAATGCTTCCGTAGTATTAAACCACAAGGGGTCGAAAGTAACACCGTGGTACGTTAACAGGAGATTCTGGAAAAGATCTAGCTTTGTGATGCGGTTACTATGAACAAGCACCGCCCAGCCAGCGAGCATGAAGGGGAGTTTGTCTGCAAGCTGGGAAATCAAGACAATTGCCAGCAATAGGGCACAATATGACTTTGAGGCCTCTTTGCCTTTCACGGCTTGCTATCTCATCAAAATCCCTTTTAGAAATGGCATGTTCTTGGGCAAAGACTGTAAGCATGTACTGAATATAGCCATTTGAATACACGACCATTACTACGTACTCTGTTAGGTATAGAAATATGTTAAGCTTCCAGAAACTACAGACTCCAGAAAAGTGATGAAGGTTCGAAGAATCGATATGCAATGCTCGTAACTCTTGCTCTATTCTCTTGAGGTACACAGTCTCTATGACAGAGGATATCAAAACAAATATGAAATTTCGCACTAATAGAGACAGTGCCGTTGATCCAATGACAAAATATGTGGAACCCAACATCAACTCCATGTTGAACTTTCACTTTCCTAGAGTTTCTAGTCAAAAATGCCGAATTTATTCCTCGGGCAGCCCTCCGAGTTTCAGCTCAACATCTCGAATGTAACTTTGAGCGAGATTTCCGAAAAGAGCAAAGAATATGACAGCGTAGAAAGAAGACGTTTGATCACTAGATTCCCTCCAAAGATCCAGCGGCAAATTGCGTCCAACTTGAACCAATTGCCTATTCCTAAAATTTTGCACCGAATAACCAACAGTATGGCAACGAATGAAACGGTAGAACCCTCCTATTATACCATGAAGAAAATTTCCTTGCCCCGTACGTAGTGCATATCGCCCAAAATAACTTAAGATCAAGGAAAGACAAATCATTCATGCATTGCATGCGCCGGACGCGCTGAAGATCCCCCCCTTGCCGTTATCTCATCCTAATTCGCCATCTAAGCGCCCCCGCGACATATCATAAATCTTCAATAGGTGGCGTCCTAAAAGGGGTTCGAATTCAATATTTCCAAATGCAGCAATTTCAAAGTGAAGATCCCACATGCCCGTTGAACGACCTCCTGCGGCGGTCGCGAGCAAGCGAAATGAAATTGATGATGACAGCACATTATTTTCCGAGGGCGGAAATGAAATGCAGATAACGGGGGGGATACTCCGTGCACTTAGACCTTCAACCCAGAAGTTTCTGGAAACGACTGCGCTGAAATTGGAAGCATGCTGGCGATCTTATGTATGTAGGATCTTAGCTCGCAATTTGCGAAAAAGCTCGGGATGTGTAAATTCTGTAAGAAAAGGGCATTTTTAAGTACACCGAAAGGCAGAAATAACCGGTATATCCTCACTTTATCGAATTCTCTTTCCCATTGCGGCACGGAAGGGAGCTGGCATTGTTGTAGGTCGGGGTACTTCGTATTTTTTTTGACATTATTTAAGATTGCGAATTGCAACCCCAACCTCGTTCGGGGCTCAAGATGAACGAGGTGGCACGTGACGCGTGGCGTCAAGAGGCGTCGAGATGTGGCTAGTGCACCTACTGAGCAAATGGGGGGTCAGGGGTATCAAGTAATCAGTAAATCAGTAACCAGTAACCAAGGGGCGTACCAAGTACACGGTGTCGTGTCGAGACCACGAATGGACGCGTCTCCGGAAATAGCTAGCAATGCATATGTTTCCCTAAGTAACAGACTTCCCCCCCGGCCCATCTGCCAATCTTCAAACGACAGTATATCATTCGTCAAGCCTTTGAAGTGAGAGCATCCGGAGTATTTAATGGGGTTCATACTAGGAGAATGCCAGCTGACGACACGGCATATTATTTGCACATCATCAGCACTTGGGAAGTTGGAAGTTGGAACATGGAAAAACACCTGCTTCATTCGGGTCCTGGCCGCATTCGAGATTCAGCTCCTTCCCCGCAAAATACCGGGTTGTGGCCTTTATTAGCCTTTGGACCCGAGAAAAAGGGGAGCCTGGGAAACGACGGGGAGATCGTCATCCGATGCACGCCGAAGGCCAATGTTTGGTGCGGTGCAGGCCTGGAAAGGCCCATGCACGGGGCGAATATATTCTTGATGGCTTTGGTTTTGTTTGTTTGTTTGTTGATGTGTTTTGACTGCAAGAGATAGGCATCTGGAATACTTCGTAGTGGACGTGGAAAAGGCCCTCTAAATATCGGCCAATGTTTTCGTGTTTTCGAAGCCGCTGTGGCTTGTTGTTGTGTAGATCGGGCTGAGCTGACGTGACCTGTCGCGGGCCAGGTGTTGTACATTCATTACCTTGCCGTGTACGCCGTAGGTGATAACGCATGAAATTGACCAAACAAAATCCCAATTGTACTGCTCCGTACCTAGAGACCAGAGATAACCGAGATAGGCCTTTAATATTTTCTTTTGCTCATTGCCGCCACCACATAAAGCCTTCGTGTGATGGTTGTTTATGTGAGGGATAGCCGTGTTGCGTCTAGAATACCTGTAGCAAGTCCGCTGCAGCAATTTTGACTTTGAATTAAGCCCTTTCCTCGGTGCATCTCGTCCTTGTATGCTATAAGGCGTATTAGATTTTGAAAATAATCCCAGGGACGGCCACGGTACTGCTCCGGTATGCACTCCGCACGCACGCACATGTATCAGAGTTATTACTGTCGTAGTATCCAAAAAGCCATAAGAAGGGGTTGCGCATCCGTCTGCACTCACAGTAGCATTCCGTCACAGCGGAGCAACATAAATAAAGTACCTTACGTAGTACGTACGAAGTAGTATGTGTGCACTTTCATTCCGCCTAAACGGCAGCAGCAATTCATCCTGCGTGGTACCGAGAGGTTGGGATCAGCATCTTGTCACAGCACCCACTCAGGGATATTCCAACAATTTGACGCCGTTTGGCGATTGGGATACTTGCACATACCTTGCAAGGGGTCTCGATGGTTAGAAGTTTGCAAGAAGCAGGCATAGGATACAATGAGGAGAGCTAGCAACCGATTCTCAAACAAACCATCGCACCCAACGTTTGTTCATAAAGATCCGCGTGTCGTAATCAAGGCTCGCGTACGAAGTGCTTCGTATGCCGCTCTCGATACGCCGGACGTTGAAGGGAGTACCTCGAAAGTACTACGTACCTAGTAAGGTCCGTCCCCGCCCTCACTTCTCTGTACTTGGTACTCAACGCGTGCGGTCGCGTCACGTCCATGTATCTAAATAGAAAAAACGCGAGTGGCAAATCCACTTTGGGACCTAATCCTCCGGTCCCAGCCTTGTGGGTTTACCACGCCATGAACAGGCAAACCCATGGATCTCGCAGTAGGGTTTCACACTGCATACTAAGTACTGCGGGCGTCAAATGGCATACTCCGTAAATGGGGAATGTCTCGGCGACTCCTCAAATATGTCCTACTGTACCTTGTGTAAATTTTCCTGCTTCACTTCTGCTGCGCTTGCGTGCGTGCTCCGCCTTCGGGGTTTGGTCGGTAGAGACACGAGCTGCGTCACTAAGGTAAAGGCTGGTGACCGAGTGATGGTGATGGTGATAGTGGAGTACCTAGGTCCCTACCTTAGGTAGTAGTGGAATTGACTTGGGCACGAGGACGCACAATGCGTGCCATGCTGGGGCTCAGGCTCGGGCTCAGGCGTACTCGTGTGCTGCAGAAACGACAGGACGCCTTGGATCGGGATTCCAGAACTCCTGCCGGTAAATCCAAGAAGCCATGGGATACTACGTGGAGGCCGCGGCTTCCCGCAAGCTCCATGCTGGAACAGAAACAGGCCCAAGGTACGTAAGTACCTTCGGTAGGTAACTCTACGCAGCTACTTCGTACTGTCGTCTGGAAGTCGCGGGTTCCCCGACTCCAGCCTTCCACCACGACGGCCAGTTTATCCTGCCCAACATCACAAACGCGGGGTCTGGCCGGGATAGGGCTAATTGAGTGGATGGCCTGGAAGGGGGAGCCCGTACAGTCCCAGCCGAGGCCCTGACTTCTGAGGACTTCGTAAGGATGGGGATGAGGATGATGATGGACTCCGATGGAGTTGGCTAGCCGGGATATACTGCAGCGCTGGGGGATTGGTGATCGGGAAGCGGTACTCGTAGGGATTGTGTACTCCGTACAGTACCAAGTACGAAGTATCTCCAATTCCATCCAACTGTGACACCGTCACACTGCTAGTGAGCAGTAGCACTGTGTGATGTACTGTACCGTACCTAGGTACTGGATGGCTGGGTGTGGGTAAAGATGGCGACGGCGACGGCGACGGCGGGAAGGATTGTTTCGTACGAGCGACAGGTTGACGAACTGGTGGAGCCATTTGGTGCGATTCTGGCAAGACTACGAAGTCCGGAGTAGTGCTGTACTCCTGTCACTGTCACACTGCCTGTTCGAGTAGCTGGTAGCGTAGTACTCCTCCGTACCTACGGTCCTACTGTAGGTAGAGTACGTAGTTGCCTTCAGCCAAGACGTTTGATCCTCGACCGGGCTCCAATTGCCTGCGGCACTTGTCGGGGACAGAGTACGAGTACTTCATACTTCGTACTATGTAAACAATCCGCGTACGGAGTATTGGCGTCGTCTGGGGGTCTAAGCTCGCCTCGGAAATTTGGAATTGACGTGATCAGAGCGCGATGATTGGCCACATGAAAACACGAAAAATAGAGTTCAGCCTCATCGCCGCGCTAAGACGCGTCTAGGTGGAGAAGCAGAGTGTCGTGGGGGGCACCCGGGTGTGGCTGGTGAGCAGAGGTGGGGGCCAGAGTGGGCGGTTGGGCCCGAGGAGTGCGGGTTTGGTTATTTGATAGCTGCCAGAGCCCCAGAGGGACCGGTGCAATGTGGAGTGCGGTGGAGGGGGCTAGATAGAGTTTTGTACAAGCTAGAAAAAGAGAAGAGTTTTCGCTGGGCCAGGCACATGGTAACGGGGACAACGCGGCTAAGTTTTGAGGGTATTCCCAGAATATCGCCTAAGATGGTGCCCGTTCTATCCGGCCCCACCCAGGCGCCGAAGAAGTTTTCGAAAACGAGTAAAAAGACAAGCAAAAGGTCAGCAACGACAAAGAAAAATACAAAAAACGCATCAGGACAGCATGGTCTCCCTAGTCCGCCGTGGAGCCATGTAACAAACTACAATGGTCTTGTTGAAGAGGGCCATGTGCAGGTTGGTGGAGATATAGAAAGATGCAACAGGTGCAGGAAAGCATGGGCTTATCCTAGATACGCCCCGTCCAAAGCCGATGCATCATGTCGGAATTTTCAGAGTTCGTGACTCGCGAAGGATATCGGGTTGCGAGGCAGCGGGCAAGAATGAGACTGTAATTTTGTGCTACGAAGTAATGCAGACGAGACGTTTCATGCCAAACTCTGGGGCTGGGAATAATTCAAGTATACAGCCGATACGAAGTAATCGTAACGTCCCTTCCGCTCAACTAAAACCACCGTGGGCTTGATAGTAATTGTTTCGAAGGCCTGGCCGGAAGCACAGTGCAATACTCGAGTATCGATTGGCAGGGCAGCAATCCCGCCTGTGCATCGCGGCGCGCTTGCTTCAGTCCCCGAGCTGCTGGTGCTCCGCAAGCTGGGCTTTCTAGCTACGCAGCTAGTTAATTTTCTTATGGATCAGCAAAACCTGGGCGGCTGCGGGTATTGTCACGGCGAGTCGTCCGTGGCTGGGCGGTTGGGCGGTTGGGCTGCGGTGGAGAGGGCAGATTTGAGAAAATGCAAATGCCACTATCCATGCAATAGGCGCCGCCTCAGATTGCCTTACCTAACGGACGGAGCCGCCACGAAACGCGACGCGACGCGACACCGAGACGAAGGAGAGATGCGAAGTACATGCGCTTGCTATGACGTATATGCAAGTTGGTACGGAGTACTCCGTAGGTAGTTGACCGTGGACACGGGGGCGATCCTCGGTTTTGTGGGGTTGTAATTCGAGCACACGAAGCAGCGCAGTATACTATAGGTTTGGACTGTACAGATGAAAAGGGGCTGGCCCTCCAATGGTTGCGGGTATCCGCCCGCCTATGGGATATGGGTTATAGACACCAGGCGCACCGTACTACGTATAGGGGACCGGTAGGGTTTTTGATTCGAGACGGGCATCCGACGGGCAACAATTGGTAAAATCAATGGGCGGGATGGGATGCGTTGGGATGATTCTCGGTCGGGAGGGAAGCAAGGGAGAAACGTAGAAAAAGGGGCTCCGCACGGGAGGCAACATACTGGGCCTGGACGACGCAAACAGATGGACGACGCGAGGGAATCTCTCTGGAGAATGATGATCGAGGAGCGGCGTCAATGTCGTTAGCCGTGGTCTCGTGGCGGTGTCCCTCGAAAGCCCGAAGTAGTGCGTCGTGCGTCGTGATATCTCCAGGCAACCGAGGGTAATCCCACCTGGCTGGAGGTGCTCGTGCTCGTAGGGCAACACCTCAGGACGTGGTGAAGCACGATGTCATAATTAGCATGCATAATTCCAATTCCAATTCCAATTCGAATCCCAATGCCACTGCCTCTCCACATGGCGAGCGACGAACAAACACGAACGCAACGTAACCGACGATCAGGTCGCAGGAACGGCGAAGTAGCGATGTCAAGGCTGCATTCGACGGGACGATTTTGCTGCACGCAATCAACCACCATTATTTGTTATCATGGCCGGCCACAACTTCGCACAAGACAGACAGGCCTCGCGGGCGACCAGGAAGTTTCAAGAACTGGAGCATCAGCCATGCGATAGGCCGGCCGTCGCTTCGCCCAGATGCTATGGACGCCGCCACCGTGGACGCAATCAAGCTGACGGGCATGGGATGATGGCATAGGGCCGAGCTGTGGCCAGATGAACGGAGGTGAGAGGAGCGCAAATTGATGAGCTGCTGCTAGTCGAGTTGGACCTTGGAGTTGGAGCATAGTGAATGGCAAATAGCGATTGGGCTGGAGATATCGGGTTCAACTGCTCTTCGTAGGCCGTAACTCGTACAGTACTCGAGTACCTCGTAAGGGGCTGAGGGTTGATCAGCGGAGAGGCGGGTTGGCTTGAACTTTGGCAGTAAGGAGTTCCCTGACCCATGAGGAGAGATGCTCCAGGGATGCCAGATGAGACGAAAAGGAGAGGCGAGGAGAGGGTTGCTATTCCCATGCTTTCCTATCCATAGAATTCTATGCGAAGTACTACGTGCCAACAGGCTTCTCGAATCTCCCTCCCAAGCAGCTTCTTCGAGGCCTCGGCCGGCGCTGGCTTGCTGGGCTCACTCGCACACAATTGACGACATCGATATCTTCTATAAGTTCTACTCCGTAAGGGTGGCTGCAAGGCTGGATGAAACACAAATGTCGCGTTGGATGCTGTGCGTAGGTACTAGGTACGACCGGACGTCGTATTGCATGGTGATCGACCAGCAAACAACCACGCATCCGCAACCAAGATCTCGATACTACTCGGGTGCACATCACACATCTCACATCTCACATCACACACATCAGCGAGAAATCGATTGTCATCAACTAACTACAGGTACAGATGGGCTTATTATGCAAGCTCCTCCGAATTTACCACGAACGAAGGTACCTATGGGCACTACACAGTGTTATTATACAGCTATAGATCCAAACATTCAGCGAGATTGGGGCCGTTATATCTATAATTATGGGCTCCAGGGTTGAGGAGTCGAGGACATCGAAGGTGTGAGTGTGAGCAAAGCAGCGGGCTCGATGAATAGTGGTGCTTTTGTACGGAGTACCAAGTACGACGAGCTTTGAATCGGCACGAACTCAATGGCTGCAGGCGGCCTGCTGAATACCTAGGTACCTACCTAGGTAGTGAATACAGCCAGCCAGCCTAGCAGTGTTCTGTGCCTCTGGAGTCTATCATGTCATGTCATCTCATCTCCAAACGATCCTCCATAATCCATACGAAGTACGGAGCACTGCGTGAATAATAGTCCACGCCTAGCGCCGCCCCAAGCCAAGCGTTCCAGGAGAGTGCTGGTAGCCTGGGTACTTTGTACTCGAGCATAGTACTGTTCAACATATGCAACTTACATGTACATGTACCAAGGCTTTAATTCAAACCAAACAATGGGTGAACCGGACTCTCTCTCAAGTCTCGAGTCTCGACTGCCCCGGGCCCGGCCTGAGATTCTTGACCCTTGACTCTGGACTCTGGACTCTTCACCCGACGGTTTGAGTGCAGGAGGCTGACGGTTGAGCAACGCGGTACCGCACCGCACTGTACCTCTGTTTCCAGTGTACGGGGTATCCACCGTGTTGTTCGCGTCTGCGATGCGGAGCGTGTTGTGCGCGTTGTGTTGCTAATAACTTGCTGCTCTGCTGCCTGCCTTGGTTCTCTTCTTGGTGGCCAACGCATGGCGGATCGCGAGCTGCCCAGTCGCAGGTCGAAACGCGACACAGGCCGGGTTGTCGCTCCACACGGCGATGGTTCATGGTTGCTCTCACCATGAGGATGTTCCAACTTATCCCCGGCCCCAGACGGACGGGGCGGCCAAAGAGCCAGCGGCCCAGTCAAGCACGAAGCCACAAGACAGGACAGGACAGGCCGGCAAGGCAAGGCCAGGAAGACCAGGGCAAGGCAAAACAAGGTGATTTCGAAGGTCTAATAAGCTGCTTCCAGCCGCTGCATGGCGTAGAGCACTTCCTTCGTAATGACAGGATACCCTATAGCATAGGTACATAGGTAGGTAGCGACTGGCCCGTAGGCAGAGTGCTCCTCAGGCTGCTCCGGCCGTATAGCGCAGTGCGGTGTACCTAGGTAGGTAGTGAGTGGTACTGTAGGTATATACATGTACCTTAATGTACTATACAGTAGGAGAGGAATAATAATACAAGTAATAATAATAATACCAATTATACTCGTGCTTCGTACAGTAAGTAGTACAGTAGTACACAAACTGTACGTACCATACATTCTACGCCTGGGCGAGGAGCAAGCGGAGATCAGTCGACCTAGTGGACCGGTGGAGTCCAGGCTGACCAGGAGTCTAGCAACAGCAGCAGCCAGCAGCCAGCAGAACAGGCCTGCCCCGAGTCTCCACAGTCCGCCTGTGAATCCCAGCTCCGGGCTGCATCGCGCTGCTGCTTGCTGCGCTGCTTCTGCTGCTGCTGGTCATTATTGCTGGTCACTATTATTGCCTCCGTCCTCCGCCCATGGCCTGAACCTGAACTGAGCTGCGCTGCGAAGAAAAGGCGCCGTAGCCCCTTCCGGCCTAGCCTGCTTCACCCGGCCCCCAGCGCCATGTCGCTTCTGCTCTCTCACGAACTCTCCCAACTCACATCTCACACCTCTCTTATCCTCTCATCCTCTCCTCCATCCTCCTCCACTCCCCTTCTCCTCCTCATACCCTCGACCCCGTCATCAACCGAGGGCACAGGAAGGAAGGACTCCTCTCAGGACCATTGACACCGTGTTGCGTTGAAGTCGGGTTTCTGCTCTTGGTGATGCTCGATTGCAGCACCAGAGATCCACTCGCCTGTCCGTAACTGTCGACTCCGAAAACATTTCCCCCCCCACCCCACAACGAGGAGGCAGAGCAGATTCGAATACCCTTCGATCCACTGCCGTACCAATTCCTCTTCTCCTCGTCTTTCTCTCGACTTAGTATCAACCTCCCCTCGATTGTGCAAACCAGAAACCCTACCGAGTCCTCCCCAATTCGTTAATTGTTCAATTGACCCTGCCCCCTTTTGCGTCTCCCGGAAGCTTCGAATCTCCTATCGAACGCTCTCTCACCTCTCCACGAACAACCTCATTTCCCGTGGCTGCTCGTTAGAATCTCACCTTCCGTCGTTTTGAGGGTCCTACAGGTGGTAGTCGTACATTTGGAGCTGGTCACGGAGTTTTCAACTCGCACCGTTCAGTTTTAAGATTACACTCAGCTGCCCCCGAGTCCAGCAACAGGTACCCGTCCTATAAAGGTGAGACTACGAGCCCTAGATATACTCCGTCATTCCAGAATCAAGAGATCAGCAACTGACGGTTCCTCCCTTGCCAGCATTTTGCATGCCAACGGTCGCGTTCCTGGTGGCATTCTCCGCGAATCTTGTCCTCCACGATTCGGCCCACGCCCACATCCCACCCACACCCAAGCAAGAGCAAAGGCTGGAGACGTTCACTCGTTCATCCCGCCTTCGCCTCTCGAACCCCACATTTTAGAGGATTCGGCATCTGCCAGATCCCTTTTTCGATCCCTGGGATCAACTTTCGTCTTAGAATAAGATTCTCCAAAAGCATCTGCAATCTCCCGTCGGTACGTACGGTCTCCCGCCATGGCATTCTCCGGCACTCCCTGCCATTATTCAGAGACTCGCTGGCTTCTGCTCCCCCCTCGCTGATATAAGATGGAATTCCTGCTAACCTCCCTTCGTGTCGACGTTAGATCTGATCGGCGGCTCTGAGAAGTGGATCCCATATAGGTCTTGTTTTGCCGGCGGTCTCGTCTGGCCACTGTCATTCTTTTTTCGTATAATTTCAACCAAGTCACTCTCTAATTCTCTAATACATCGACGCATCGGAGGATTTCCCCGTTCGACGAAAGCCCCACGTTCTCTTACAACCAGTGTCTACCGAGCACTTTCGGTCGAAGCTCCTGGCGAACTTGACGTCCATTCTTTGTACTTCACCACCACCTTGACAGACCTTCTCACCTTTACACATCCAATATGGCGTACCGTTCCGAGCCGTGCGATACCTACTTCGTAGAATCGGACGACCCGTATCCACAACGTGCAACTCTCGATTACATCAAAGTGATGGGTCGTCGGAGGCAAGAGGCTATGGCGAACGAGCTCTCGAGACAGGCGTCCGACACCTATATGGACGACATCGTCAAGCATATGCACCAGATGGAGGTTAATAGCCTTGGACTTCCTACCCACATTTGTTAATGCTAACCCTTGGCAGGGCGAGACACTTCCAGACGTTGCGTCTATTGATATCCAGCAGGAGATTCAGTGGTTTATGCGGCCATATCTCATCGACTTCCTCATTGAAGCTCATGCTGCGTTTCAGCTTCTTCCCGAGACACTATTCCTCGCCGTCAATCTCCTAGATAGATACTGCTCAAGACGAGTTGTCTACAAGCGACACTATCAATTGGTCGGATGTGCGGCACTGCTCATCGCTGCCAAGTATGGCGACAAGAAAGAACGGGTGCCAATGATCAGGGAGCTAAAATCAATGTGTTGCTCTCTCTACGACGAGGAGATGTTCACTCAAATGGAATGGCACGTCTTGAATACCTTGGACTGGGTAGTTGGCCACCCCACCGTTGACACCTGGTTGCAACTGGCATTGAAGGACGGACCAGCATACGAAGACGTTGAGGTCGAGCACATGGCGTTGTATCTCTCAGAGATCGCTTTGTACCACAAGGAGTTCATCTCAAGGAAGCCTTCGGTCCTGGCCCGCGCTTCTTTGGCTCTCGCTCGGGGTATCCTTCGTCGGCCTGAGGATACCATGGAGCATCATGACCACGAGGTCAATCGGGTCATCCTTGATCTCTCTCAGAAGCTCGACTGTCCATCTCAAGTTCTATTCCGCAAACACGTCTCACCCCATACCTCACGTGTTTCAACCACCGTTGAGCACTTCCTACGGGAACAAGAGGCCATGAACAGAAGAGCCAACCCACCAACCCCCCCTACGGAGACACTTGCCCTTCCGAAGCCTGTCCCAAGCCAAGATCTGTATCCAGGTACCCCCCAAAAGCCGTATGGCAACATGGTCCATGGTTATATGACGCCTCCGATCACCCCAGAAGGTGAATACTTCGTGGGTGGGAATGGTAATGAGATGAAGGGATACCATCAAGCACCACGATGCCCCGTCACTCCAACTCCGCAAGTGAACAACCAATATCTCCACCAGAATTACCAACCGTACCACAATGAAATGGACATGCACTGATTCAAATGTCCCATGGCTCCCATTTCGATCCCCTTGAAACACCACTCTCATATGTACCACAATTTGTATCGATTGTGCGCGATTTCACTCGATTCCCTCCCGTTTTGCGCCAAAAAAATTCCCCAAAAGAAAGTTCATTCATCTGTCGGCATAAGCGTTCCTGATTTACGCATCTCATCATCGTCTCAGCATTAGCGACTTAGCTGTTTTTACTGTTGAAGTTATTAGCGAGTTCGATCCTGCGCCTTTTTTTTTTCATTTTCTTGTTTTCAACCTTGAGGGGAGCAAGGCTGCAATGCCATTCTTGCACAGTAAATTCCGAGGAATGGATGGATGGAATTAAAAAGTACGTGGCGGTGGATGATAGCATTGGAAAAGAACACGATGGATGCTTTAAAGGCATCAGATAGATTGCTACTATTGCATGGTATCCCAGATGGACGGACACATCTGGAAAGACACGGAGATAAGATGTTGAAGGAGGTACTAGGGGTTAGGTTACCTTGATTTCGATGCTGCATTTATTTGCATGCTCTTGGATCAAATTAATATGCCCCCCTGAATGGATGTGCAGATGGTGGTGGATGAGATACCCTTTGCGCCTGCTTGCTAGTGTGTATAGATGCACATCAGCATAGTTGCGCTTCAACTAGTAACAATGTGAAACTCATGGAAGCAATACTCTGGTCCATTGCCTTGATTGTTCCCTTACAGGTCCCAGCTGATCTATTCTTCGTGAAATTAACTATCTCGTCGCCGTTTCTGTTCTAGGCTAGCTGCATTCCTACTCGTATTCCTGCGTTGAACCCTACCTAAACCCAGCACCCCCTTCGCTCCCCAATTAGGAATGGAATCTACTAACGCAATGATCTTCCTAATTCTATTATAATAAGGCAATGGGACAGGTTGTAATCATCCGATAAATTCCTGTTGATTTTTATGTTCCAAGCCTGTGCTTCTCGGATAAGTCCTCGAGGAGTCGGATGGTTTCTTTAATGTCTTCAACGTATCTAGGCAAGAACTTCGGCTCTTGGAATGCCTCGGAGTACAGTGTGGTTTTAAACTCAGCAGCCCCTGGCATATCCCTTTAATTTTCGAAGGTTACTCGAGATATTCTAACACTAAATCCACATTTTGATATCCTATAATTCAATTGACAGCTATTTCTTGAATGGCAATATATGGTCTTAAATGACAGCATGGAATAATTAGACATTCTAATAGTACACTTGTGGAAAGCCTAATTAGCTCCCCAACAGTTTGGCTAGATGTGAGCTGTGGGTCTATATCATACAGCCAAAGTTGGTATTTCTAGGTGGGCCATCCTTCCACAGCATGGCTAGTTCCATGCATTGTGATAAGAGGTGTTTAGAACAATATAGAGGATAAGAGGTGCATTAGACTCCATTATGGCTATGACCGACCCCTTAATTCACCGTTAGGCCTGTCCCATGAGGCGGCGCTTTTCAAGTCCATCGACGCCAGCCATCGCCTCGTCAGGATGGAATTAATCCCCAAGAGATGGCTTTAGGAGGTGTAGAGATGGTTCCTTCCGGCTGTATGGCTTTTACACGGTAGCTTGTGCTAAGACACACTTGTTGCGCACGCCTTCACCTCCTCCCACGACTCGGTATCCAGCTCTTTTGCTAGCTTCAAAGGTGCCACTATAAATATCACCAAGGTTAAGTGTTTCCATGGCCAGGCACGAACTGTCACCACTTCAGAACAATATTCTATCCAGGTAGGTGCTTTTACAATCGATGTTACTAGATTCTTTGGGCGAGATCTGGCGCTAGGGGAAACAGAGTGTCCCAGCTTATAGAACAGCGACTCGGAACCCCACGTTTCAGGGCATAGTCTCTTTCTAGGTGTTACAAATACATGAAGTAAACGATATTGTGCCAAAATTGGTAATCCCCGGATTTGCCCACAAGGAGATAGGGTTAGGAGTCAAGTGAAGTTCCCTTCCCGCTACTTGGGGGCTCACAAGCTTTGATGATTTTGGATCCTTACCCAAAGCTATATCTCATTCCGAAAGACCCAGAATCAAATGTGAAAAGGGCTTCGCAAGCCGTCTAATAACTTGACAGTTGCCAGGAAGCCCCCAGAGGTGGTAATTTCTCAGACTATGAAGGAAAATGAATATGTCGGACTGACTTCTCGAATAGTGGTTTCTGTAGTGCCTTCCCGAGTCCGGTTCCGAATTTGCCAGGTGCAACAAGATAGAGCCAAAGCTGTTGTATATGATTAAATTAGGTAGATGATGTATGGTACATGGAACTCCAGATATTGTAAACCGCAACCATTAACGCCAGCAAACAACTGATGCACCCTAGGGTTCCAATTTATCAACAGTAAACGCCCCACCTACTCATAAAGCATAGTATCAATCCACATCCATCCATCCAAGACCACCAACCCACTTCTTCTTTGGGCCAGCGCACATCAGACACTTCCTCTGCGCGCCCAAATTGCTCACAGCGCAGCTATGACATACCTGTCTTGAGCAGGCCGCGCAGGCATAACTGGGCCCGCTTCCATTATGCATGTCAATATCCATCATGACATCCATATCGACGGAGTCGAAGCTATCGCCTTGGTTGAGCGGGGAATCGCAGTCCTCGCAATTGGTAGCCTCGAAGAATGAAGATTTCGCAAACATCGTCAGAGGCGTATTGCTCGACGATGCAGCGGAGTTATTGCCCGGGGATGACTGGCGAGCTGATGATGGAAGTGCCCAGAATGAATGTAAGCTCGATTGGTGTCCGCTTTGCGAATTGCTCGCAGGCACAGCGGCTACAGGAGCTTGAGGCGCGAATTGCATTTGTGGAGAAGTTTGAGCTGGAGGCTGGGTATTTTGCTGCGCAGAAAAGAGGAGAGATAATGTGTGTTCTAAAAGAGCGATTAATACGACGGACGCGTGTATGAGAGGAGGCATCATACGATGAACATCAGACTCAGAGGGACGGTTGTCTCGATGGCGTTTGCGGGTGCGAGAGGAGAAGAGAGATGGGGTCGCGATTTGATTCTGATTCTGATGGGATTGGAGATTGTCAATGGCCATGAAGCTCGAGCCGCCGAGGGGAGACGATGAAGATAGAAGAGAACTGCTGGTGCTGATCTCTGAGTCGGAGCGCTTGCGCTTGAGAACCATGACTGCGGTGGTAAGATGACGGATCCGAGATGGTAGGTAAAAGTCGGAGGAGAATTGACGATCGGGGAGATGAGATAAATAGGATGAACTGAGACCGGAATAGGACTTGAAGAATCGAATTGGGGGTGAAAGTACTTCGTAGCTGTTGAAGGAAGCATACAAGGTATATGTAGGATGGATGGCGTAACAGGACGAGCGCGAGGGTCCAGTACGCGACAATGGACAATGAAGGGGGCTGGAACGACGCGACGTGAGCGCGAACCACTTTAGGGGCTCGTTAGGGTGCCATACTGTGATATAATCCCCGTCAAATCTTTCGACAACAACAACATCAACAACAACGTCGGACCCAATACACACCGTACAACAAAGACATAGCAATGATGGGCGCATCGAATAGACGAATTTTCGATTAGCAAACCACCTTTTATACCCTATCCCGCTTTGGCCCGACCTTCTCGATGCCGTTGAACGTTCACTCTCTTGATGAGAGACTTAACACCATCTAAGCAGGCGCTTCAAATATCTAAAATAGAACGCGATCTAATCATGGATATACTATCTAGGTGCGTAGCTTTTGAGTTGCTACACTCATCAAGTCTATTCAAAGGGTGTTGAGGAAGAAGCCGATCAATCCCTAGCGTGCTTCGCTCTCTAGATCCTGTGACCGCGGGTATAATAAATCTCCCTTCTACTGTGCACCATACGGACCGTGTCTGTTTCCCCAGTTCATTGACTATAAAAGTCGATTGTGTGTAAACGTTCAGATATTCAATGAGTTATAGTTAGCCCCAGGTCAAGACCGTCTTTTAGTCCTTGATGTCTTGATTTGAAGATATATGAGTTCTAAAGGCTTCATTATTTTCAACCCCAGAAGCGTATAGCTTGAGGCTGAAAAGAAGGGGTCTCTCATCAAATATCCAATATCCTTTATCCCCACACACTATTTCCCACCCGGCAATGGTATCTCCAGGTTGCTGACTCTTGCCAGGTTGTTATGCTGGGCTTCTGGAGCAGACATGATTCGAGGCCCCTACGACGAAGCTCGAATCCAAATCCATAATTGAGATCCATTAACTGCAGGTCAATGATTCCTTGCAGGTAGACGCCATGGTGATGGTAGAGTGCGTCCGAATCATTCCGGACGTCAAAGAATATAATAGGTGTTGAGGCATCCTCCAGTATCTGGCGTAATGAGCATGGCTCAGGGCCAGCGCTATGGTATCAAAGGTTCGCGTATCTAGGACAGTTACGTCCAAGACCCACGTCTGGCCTAATGATCTAATGTAGATCTGAAAGAGGGATAAAGCCCCTATGCGAGACAGATTCCAGCCCTCACAGTCACGGAAGTATTCGGGGTTGGTATCTGTGCCCCTCGGCGAGTTTTCAAGGGCCGAAAGAAACTCCATAAGGCCCTCGTTGGTATCAACAAATTTAAAGGGCTCCAACAGTGGGTTTGATGGAATCTCCTCAGAGGAGGGACCGGAGCCTCTCGGAAGCTTGCGAAGACTACACAATTTCAGCAGGTACTGATAGTACTGTGTGTCCCTGTTCTCAGTCGTTGTCTCAGCCAAGTACTGGAGCGTCCATTCTTTATTTATCGGCTCCGCAGCAGGTGCCGTCGCGGGCGATGGCCGGTTCTGAAGCGTCAAATCAGACAACGACGTATCCCAGGCCATCATATCTCTTTTGAACTCATCCAAGCACTTTAGATATACTGAGGTGATAAACGCGTAGGCTTTCGGGATTATGTTGGTAGGAAGTCCAAAAAATTTGCTGGTAACGCCCCTCACTCATGCTGAACCCACGGACATGGTCGTATGCCACCTTTTCCTCGAGGAGGAATATGGGGCTTGATTTAAGCTCAGCATTTGCCAAGTCAACCAAGTCAGCCATTCTGCCTAAAAATTTGTCTGCGACAAATATATATATCCCTTTTCGAAGTCGATATCAGCAAGCAGAACACCTCCGCAAAGTTTGGTAAAGGTATGTCTTAGCAGGATGAAATGTCAAGTAGCTAAAGAGCCTTGCGAAATTATTGTAGCTCTACACGTATAGTTGGGTGCATAAGTGCCTTTTTTATATACGAAAAGCGAGTCACCTAATACTAAGGGCCTACGAGTGCTTGACCGAAGTCTAGACTCTGTCTGATTGTCATATCTAGTCTTTGACATCTTTCGCGTTTCTTTGTTACTTTTCTGCGCTGCTCTTTGCTACGTTAATGTGGCGTTTCCAAAGTTCTATTTTCTCTGTAAAAATCCCGAATCATTATGCTCTTTTGCAACTGCCCTGCTTTGTCTCTCAGGCTGCGGAATGCTACCGGCACCAGAGGCTTGGAATGGTGGGAAATTGAATGTCGTTATCCATTGTTGCCTTTACTTTTTTTCCCTGTTTCGGTTGTGTGTACAAGTGTTGCGAGTTACATAGAGTTATATAGAATTATGTGTGGTAAACCCCATTTGTATGTCTATGGCAAGACCCACCCTGCTATCTCTGGTCATAAATCTATTTCATAGCCATGAGCCAACTGGACATGCATGTTCTGCGTTACGGGTACTCTTCCTTTATATTCGCTATTTCGCCTGCTGGTCTTCAGCTTGTTTATTTATGCCCGTTGTAGAAGTACTACTTCTCTTTGCCAATGTCATCCTCGGGGATTGTTTTATATAACGAATTTTCTCCTTAAAACTGTACCGTACCCCTGCTGCATTTTGGAGAACCCCTTGTTGGGAGGTTTAGGCGAGGGGGACTAAGATATAGGAACAGCAGGCGCCAGAGTCGAGGCAAGACAAAGCGCAACAACTCCTAGAGACCGGGAGACACCAAAACATTTTGGAAGGGGTGCCGAAGGAATGAATGGCATTATCAGTGCTCTCTCTGTCTAGTGTCCCGTCTTGGGATGCAAATTTCAATACCACTAGCAGCCTCTCAATGCTTGATTTGCTGATCATGGCCAATTGGATGTTGAGCCAAGCCCTTCACGAGTTAAAACGCTGGTGTTGTAGTATTCAATTGATGTAATTTTGTCCTGCCGATGCATATGTCTAGAAATTTGGCTTCTACCCCGTCTCGAAATGTTGTTTAGCAGCAGTCCGGGTTTAACTTCCGGCCTACAAAGGAGGTAGCAACAGGCGGACTAATTTTCAATAACATCATTCTCTATAACTATTCCTGGTTATCCTTGTTATCAATAATGAGCCCCTTTACGATAAGTCGAGTCATTCCCCCCTGAGAATAAAGCGATAAACATGAACCCCCGATTTCCTAAATCAAAGTACGCATTGGGAACTATTATCAGCCACTCTTAAGAGTAAGGCTCATTCACAAATTTAATAAAATTGTCAACTCTCGTTTGTTTTCCTTAATCATAAATCAATTTATATCAACAAAAATGCAATTCCCAGTTGGCTATTCATGCTAGCGGTTGGATGACGGAAAATGGCTAGCAGAAATAAATATCATCCATGCCCACAGTCTGCCTAAGCTATACCCCTACACGTCAGCCCACTTCAACTTGACGGCACCCATAACTGCTGCTTTGGTTGCACATTCTACCGCCATAACCCACGGGTACGGATCAGGGATGGGTTCATATTTTGCCAGGCAAGATGCTTGTGAACCTTACCAGTCAAGGGGTCAAGAAACCAATCATCCTCAGTCCGGCCGCAAATAAACCTTTTCACCTTGTCATCGTCACTATCACTATCAGTATCAGTGCTAGTGTTAGTGTTGGTGTCGCTGTTGGTTTCAGTATCCGGCACCAGCACTGGCGGCGGACGGTAATTCCCAACCTTCGCCATCGCGATGGTTATCAATTCCTCAAGTTTGGAGGCCGCCCATGGTAACTTTTGGAGTTCGCCACGGAACTCACTCCCCAAGTACCCACAGGGCATTTCATCCACCTCGGTCTCGATTTTGCTCCGTACACAAGCTTCAACCAACAAGTGTTGGAGCGCATGGCCTGGTGGTAGGGCAAAGATGGACCGGAGATGACTGACCTTAAGGAAACTCATATGTGCGATGAAAGGACTGTCATCTTCAGCAAGTATTTTTTTAACCTGCTCAGTAACTAGTCTACCTGCAAAATCCACTCCATCAGTGCCCACAAAGTCTAAAAGATGGGCAAACTCGATCAGTCTCGAAATTTGTTGGCCCTCGGAAACGTGCGGGTTGTTGCTTACATTGACTTGTTGCTGGTAGAACAACTGCAGCAACATCTCGACGCTCTCACAGGATACCACTCCTTCCATCTCCGGCAGATCTACCACCCCATATTCGCCTTCCTTCCATGTACCATCATCTTGGAAGGCGCTGGCGAAAAATGGCGAGCAAAATTTTAGAAGCTCCGCTGGCGCCGAGTATTCGCCAATAACAGTGGTATCTTCCTTGAGGATTCGGATCCGCACGGAGGGTCCTGAAAGACGCGGAAGTATCTTCGTCATGAAGTCTTTGGAGTCCATGGCCATATTGATAGATATAAGACTGGATATCTGATAACAGACAGGGTTTGTGGTGAAGTTCCAAGTATTTGTGCGATTGAAATTGTTGGAGAAGATATTGAATATTACATGTAGCCCGGAAGCCATTCGATATTTATGCTTGATAAAAACAAGCAGGTAAAAAACACTTCCAAAACCCTGATAGAGAGCCATGGACTAATAACCATTCACAAAATAAAATACTGGGAACTATTTAGGAACAGTTTTGTAAGCCAACAATGATAACCATAACAACAATGGGTAATTGAGTAAATGATTGAACACACGGTGTAACCACTCCACAGAAGAACAGCAAATCAAAACAAGTAGATTTTGAACCTAGTTGTCTAAACATGCCCACCGAAGCTGCACACAGAAAACAAAGGCAGAAAGGTACTCGCTCTAGAAGTACCACGGAGTCATAATTTCACTACCTGATCTAGGTCCAAGCGAGAAAGGATATTCTGGACTATCTCAATAAATGTCCTACCTAACATAGCGCGGCATACTAAAGTATAATTTGCAACAAACTGCATTCAACTAATCTACCATCTGATTAATTGCATCGGCCGTAGTAACCTCAGTCTGTCTTGCTGCTATAAGAGTAGCTAGAGAAGCCGGACGAGCAGTCATAGTTGGAGGAGCAGGAGCAAGTGGTAGTGGTAGTGGCGGGCCCGGAGAGGGAATTGGAACTGCTCACGAAGGAAGGGGCGCCTGCGAGAAGGAAGGGATTCGGCGACCACATCAGCTACATAACGATGTTAGGCTAGCCCTCAAATTAATAGCAGAATATAACTTACAATAGAATTCGCATCTTGCGTGCTCGTCATTCGATTTGCAATTACTACAGGGAGTATATAAATATCCACATAGACGTACACTTTGAAGGGGCCCTCTGCCCTACCCATAGACCCCATACTTAGACACTTTATACATCATCCCTTTAGAAGGCGAGTATAGCTTCTTTATTTCATCGACGTGCTATGTCCCATCGTCTTCTGCTTAGGGGTCTAAACTGGAGGTGCCGGCGCACAGGGAGTCTCAAATTACGGGTAGAGGCAGCGGTGGGGGAATAGGCTGATGGAGTGGCTAGATCTTGGTCTAGGGCTATTGCTGAATCTGGAGGTAGAGATAAAGTTAGAGCCGAAGATACTTCACATGAGTCTGGGGAGGTAGATCCGGCCTAGAGAGAGTGCCCTGGGTGCGAGGGAGTGGACAGTGACTCAGCAACTACCCCAATATCGACTATAGCGACCATATCGACATGATGTTGACACAGCAGTTAATATCGAGGCAACGTGGAACTTGGAGTTGGAGTTGCCCAGCGCATAACGAGTATCTGCAGTGTACCGGGAAAAATCGCAGGCCACGCTCCACGACATGCATCCTCCCATGGCAATCCGGCGAGTCCATGTTTTCCACGAGGTTAGTTAGGATGAAGACTGTTCCAGTCGACGGGTTTTATCAGCGACCAAATTTTAGATACCGCGGTTGGAAACGTTGAGAATCTAGGCTTCATAGCCGGCCTAGATCCTAACAAAAAGCATCGACGCCCGCCTTCTTGTCATACTCCATCTTCCCTTTCAATTCAATGAAGCGGAGAGGAATTCACCTAGGCTCGTGCAGCAGAGAGGAAGAAAAGACCCGAGGAACAAAGGGAGAGACGGATAGTACTGATCCATTTTGCTGATGTCTAGATGGCGACTGCGCCTTGAAAATGGTTACACAATAGTGATTCCTGAAAATAAATTCCGCCTCTCCGCACATTAAATTACAAGCATCAAATCAGTTCTGAAGGTAGTGCTAGCAGCACAGCAATTGGGCGGAAATGAATTATTAAAATAATGATAGAAGAGCCATCGTGTTTTTTCGTCCACATCGCATGCCCTCACAAAAGAGTCATTTTGTCTTTCCACCCAACTATCAATCATCTGCGCGCACGATTCCTGGTATCAATATATCATCGCAAAAGCAAAATCCAAGCAAACATCTGGCGATTCGACTGCTACAGCCAAGGCTTTAAACAGTGTCGCGCTCGGACTTGATAACAGTTCTTTCTTCGCGTCCCTTTACAGACCATGGGAAGTGGGCGACAGGAATGACAAAGAATGAGTTGCTGAAAAAGAAAAAGTTAGCTTAGGAATGCTATCTAGATATGGCAATTGGATAACGTACCTAGAATCGGCAATACCTGCCAAGGCATTATACCACGCCAAGAGCGCCGCGAATAAGCCAAAGTAGCCACCGGCCTTTTGGCATGCAAGGTTCCCCTTTCCGGCGGCATCGGCTTGTAAATGGCCAATGGCGAGCAACAGGAATGCGATGTCAAGAGTGAAGAAGAGCATGAAGAAGGCGACGGTGGAGCGGAGAGTGCAAATCAGCAAAATGGTCGTGAAGATCCACCAGCCCAGGAGGAAAAATCCCATGGCGTTGTTGAAATCATTGACGCCATGTCCTGTAAGCTTTCCTGTTGCCGCGTCCTTGGGGGAGTATCCAGCCGCGATATTGAAGCTTGGGGTGAGGATGATTGCAAAAGAAATCCAGAAGCCGCCGTATGACGAAAGAGCCGTGGCACCAAAAGTATTTCCAACAGCGACCTCCCTAGAAAGATATGATAATTAGCTATACAGGCCTTATTTGTTGCTAAACCAAGGCTCGAGTCGAACATACCACATGCCAGCGCAAAGCTGGACAAATCCACCGTATCCAAAAGCTAAAGAAATCATAATATTCGTTTCCGATACATTTCTAGCCTGAATGTTGATGAGGGACAAGACGAAGGTAGTCAAGGCGAAAGCACTCAATCCAAGAGGGGCCGGGTTGGCAAACTTGCGGTGGTCATTGGGCCTGTAAAGACCTGGCTGGAACTCACCACCAAAGGCAGGCAGACGTGCTGATTCTGTCGTGGTTGTGTGTGCGAGGGGGTTTCCGCCATAGTATCGTTGGTTGGTTGCACCGTTGGTGCCATGCTCAACGGCATGGTCCTGGACGGCAGTGTCCTGTTGATACTCCTTGTTGAGCGCCGGATCGGCAGTTGCTGTTGTCGTTGCCATTTTGTACTGTACAATTGGAAAGTTTGGTGGTGTACGGAGGAAATCGTGTATCTGATAGCCCAGCTAAACGACTTCTATTATATTGATATATTGATGCCCGATTCGAAGTGAGGAGAGGATGCCGCCACAGATGACTCTAGAGCGAAGCAACGAGATATATATCAATCCGGGACACGAAAGAACACTTCGCAGCAGAGGGGAGGAAGGCGGGGGAGGGATATATAGCAATATTGCCAGGGCCGACGGATGATGGGGTAGCAGATTTCATGCAGTCTGGGGATAGTTTGACGGGTGGCACACTCACATCGGGTCGGGTACGACGACGTATTCCCAGTCTAAACTACTGGGTCTAGGAAGGGTGGTTCCTCCAAGAGGGCAATACCTCCATCTGGACCCTGCTCGCGGCGAGTGTTCCACCAAGACCAGCCCCAGAGATCAAAAATAACACCGTCAACACCCCAACATAACATGGCGAAAGTGTGCAGAGCTCTCCCCTGGAGCGGCTTGTGTCAGGCCAATGCAACGGTAAACACGACGGAGCGGTGCTGACCAGTGTGGCGACTTGCTGGCGCGCCGATCCAGCAAGTTGCAGGCACCGCATCCTTGGGGCCATATGTAGGGCGTCAGGCAGTATGCGGCTTAGAACTTTACCATGTTCTGGCAGAGAGGCTACTTTGGCACCAACAAGTTCATCTCCGGGGCGGTCGTTTTCTCGATTTGTCCAGGCGAACGATGCCAGGGATAGGGATAGGGATAGGGATCAGGATACCGCTGTTGTCTCGTGCAGCTGCTGTGCTCGAGGGGTGGAGGGTACTACTGGAGGTACGAGGTACCTACTGTAGCACGTAGTCATGTCGTTGCTCGATGTCGATGATCATGTCCGTGTGCGTAGTACCTCGGGGCATTTTAACGGGCCATCGACTGAACAGTAGTAGTGGGCAGTTAGCTTCGCCCCAAGACCGAGGACGACGGACGTCACCTTGCCAGTCGCCACGTTATCGAGCGCGCCGGTGTGAACTTCTGAAGTGCCGGGTTTGCCACTAGCGACGCCTTTCAAGTTCCATCTGTGCGAAAGAACAAGCCGGCTAGCTTCTAGAAAGTCTTGTGCGCGGAGCGTGGAGCTTGAAAATGTTTCCTTCTGGCGGCCAGCCCGTTGCCCAGTAGTCATAGTCGTAGTCGCAGTCGCAGTCGCAGTACTAAGTCGGAGGCTCGCCGCAACTACTGACTCTCCGGCAGAGGCTTACTGCGGGGAGACGGGGGCGCCGGTTCTTGCAGAGCTGCTTGGTGCGTAGCCAAGGGCGTTGGTGGGAAGATCGGGTCCACAGCAGTAGTGCAACACGAGTAGGATACTCTGACACGCTGTACGAAGTACAAAGGACAAACTCCAGAGCGCTTCGCAAGGAATATCAGGTACTGTACAGCACTATACTCTGTCTGTACAGTGCTATGTACAGAGCACCGCCAATATCCAGTCCCATCTCCAATAATGCCACGGGCACGGAAGATGCAGATGTACAGTACCACGTTCCGGGGCACTTGGGTCAGACCAAGCGAGGCTGCGTGCTCCTCCGTACCCCTTGGGCGCACCGCACCCGGGGCCTCGTGGGCCATATCGGGGCTATCGGCCCGGCTGATGAGCCCACAGTCGTATTTTCCCCCCAATCAGGCTAATCCGGGATGTCCAGATTCCCAATTGCTAATGCCCTGATGCGCTATCTAATACCCAGATATATACATACCCCAACTCCAATACCCTGATGCTCGAATCGCAACAACACGCGAATACGACATCTACGACATCTCAACTCAAGGTACATACATGTACATGTACAGCACGTAGTAAAGTCATTGGCAATGTTTTATTTCCGCTTGTCCATAATAACCACCTCTGGAGGCATGCGGGACAGGAGACGCGGAAGGAATGTCACGGCAAGGCCACTTGGTGCGTGTAGCTATTGGGGCGTTTTGGAGACTGGACCACGCAAACTATTGCGAGCTGCGAACTACCGCAGATTTGGATACCGGGATCACTCCCTTCGATTCCTCACCGACTAAGAAAAGGAACTGGCGGTTTCATACTACGGAGGTCAAGCGCCTCCCAATGCAAGATCAGCGGCGCGAGAGAGGCCATGGGTCGATATTATTATTACGGGGTAATATTGTTGACAATCATCACGACTGCCAAGTTCCAACCATATGAACCAGCGCAACTCCGATGACAAACAGCCTGATTGCTACCACGCCTTACGGAGGTACAGCCCATAAGTATAGTAACAGCGGACAAGGGTCTGAACGCAACAGGCGATTTCAACACTTGATAACTTTTGATATACACAACCAAAAAACTTCATTTAAGCACGAAAATAATGCTAATGAGGAGGACTATACACTTCTCCTTTTTCACGTTTTGGTGATGCGTTGTGGTTGTGATGCAAGGGGAGTAAAGTGAGATCCCTGCTAGCGCTATTACTATACTTATGGGCTGTACCTCCGTAAGAGTACCTACTTTCAAGCAGGTACTGTACAATGCTACCCCATGCCGCCAACCAGTTTGTAGTATTGTACGTAGGTCCAAAGTCCAGTCCAGTATCGTTTGATTGATTAATTTCGTTTCAACCCGGCAGCCGTACGAAGGAACCAGCCGTCTAGACTCTAGGCTGCTGCACATAAATGAGCTGCCTGCTGCCCGCCCTCCTCCTCGGGTCGGGATCGTATCCAACATTCGAAGGCGTGGTTTATTTGATATTGCTATCCGGTCATCAAATCAAACCAGCCGAGTTATGTTGGCGGAGAGGCGAAAAGCGGTCGTTGCTTGCTAAGCCTTGAGCCTTGAGCATGTTTGTTCGCGACGTCAGCTGCGCCGCATCGCTGCCCGGCGCATTATTGCTTGGAACTTTGGAAGTGGTTAGGCGTCGCAGCCTCTCATAAAGCTTCGCAAAGCCGAATTTCTTCGCATCAAGCCTTCCACGAAGCTACCGCAAATCCTCCGCATTTTGGACTCTTGGACTCTTGGTATGTACGCGGAGCACGGAGGTGCTTTCGTTTCCGGATCTTAAGCATGCTCGGCGGCGGCTCAGCCTGTTGTGTCCTGGCTGCACCCGCAAGTGCGAGATCGCGATGATTTGAGATTGAGATTGACAGTGCCGGTGCTTGGCCTTGAACCCTTTTGATGACGATCTCCAAAGACCCTTCCGAAGGCTGCATCTGCGATTCTGCGGTGCTCCCCTCGCAGGATATCGGCTCTGGCCCGAAGAGATTCCATTCTTCCCCGATGCTATATTATCTCGATGTATCTACGCTTCGTCCTCCCCTGCCCGCTGCATGGCTACGTGTAAGACCATAAGATTGTTTTAATAATTGCTGCTGCCACGACTGGAACTGCGAACTTCAGCGGCGGCAGCTCGCGTAACTACATCGAGCCAGGTCAAGTAACGAGATCGCTATGCGAGCCAAGTTGAGCCAAGTTGGCCCAAGTCAAGCCAAAACCCTTTGGATGGTTAGCGGCCAGCCAGAGCGAAGAGAAACGGAGACTAACGCTCCACTCCGCAGCTCACAATCCTCCACGACTCCACCGGTCAGAGGACTGAGGACGGTACTCCGTACAGGATACCGGTACTTCTAAATTAAGGTTCTCTGGAGGCGCTCCGTAGGTACTAAGTACAGTTATTCCAGTACTAAGGCGGTCGATTTTTTTGGTCCCGTGACCTGTGGGAATCAACGCCAACCGCCAACTTCCCAAGTACATGTACATGTATGTACTTGGTATCAAAACTCGGCTCGGATGCAATTCTCAAGCCCTCGTGGAGAACGGGGGTACGGTACAGTTCCTCTCCCGATTACCGTCCCCCGGAACGAGTAACAGTACTCTAGTGGATGATATCTGAGAACCCCTCCGCGTCACGGCGTCACCCCAGGCCTTCTTCCAAGCTCCAATTCCAATAACATATCTGCCCGAGAGGCTCGGGCGCTTCCGTTACCCCGAACGTCAGCTTTCCGATTCATGACCCAGGCAGTCGGAAATTCTAGACCAAAAAGAACCGTTTGCTCCAAGAGTCATTATTGGATGCCGGATCAATGGATGGAAAGTTCGAGGAGCTGGGATCCATTAGGCTAAAATGGAACCATGTACCTGTATCTCCTGTCTTCACCAGGTTCACCTGACATCGGCCTACGGAACATGGAGAGGAGTACCTAGGTACTGTATCCGCATATACAGCGAGTGGTACGAAGTACTGTACATAGTATGTACTTCCATATACTGTGCGAGCCTCTTTTTGTTTATTTTCTCGATCTGGAGAGCCTGTGCGAACGTTTGGCAGCAATTTAGGGGGTGCTTAACAGTTCAAACTTCAGACGCTCCAGGAACCCCACAGTATCTACTTTGTAGAGGTCGTCGAGTTTCACTGCTTCAAGTTGAAATGTATGTCAACCCATAACCAGCGCCTGCTCCGGCTTGGCATATAAGATGAACATTGGGGTCTTGAGGCCCTCCGGAGTAGACATACGCCATTTTGGTCAGCCGGCGACATTCCTTTTTCGGGGAATTTCGCCCGCGATTGGCATGGTGTGCTGGTGCCAGGTGGCCCCTGTGCAACGTGGAGCGCTCGCCGCTACCTTCGTACAGAGGTACATTTTTGTAGTGCGTAGTACCGATGTCCATCTTCGGATATTCGAGATGACTCTGGAGAGATAGAAGCTATAAAAAGCATTGTTTGTTTCGTGTTGGTACTACCCACTTGGCATGTACATGTACTTGTTTGTACTTGTACTACTTAATAACGGATCCAGTACCCCGTAGCGCGGGGTGATTGGCGCCCTTGCCAGAGTACCAGAGACTGGCAGTTCTAGTGCCAGATCTTTCTCAGTATCAAACGTATGTCATACACTAAAAAGACCAGAACGCCGCTCGCCCGCCGTTCCAAAGCGGGATTGTAACGTCCGCTGCAGAAATATTTTGTTGGTGTGTTGTTGGTGTTCATCTCGAGGGACGGCGAATGAATCGTCGATCAAAGTCCCCTGATTTTCCTACTATCCATACACCGTGCCGAATAGCACAGTCCCCTTTCATTTAGGGTGCATCCGACCCGACGCTGTGGTAGCTCCATTTCAGACCTTGTAATTCGCAATATATCCAAATTAACTCGCGTATTCGAATCGTTGCAACTTTATCCATCTCATACCTTTTTTTACAGGTGCAGATGTTGGGACAATGCTAGAGGTTGATATGAGCAGGCCACCACGCGGCCCATGTAAGGCCTTCATTTTATTCCTCTACGGAGTAGTGAAAGTTCAGCCGGCATCTTTAAGATTGTCCCCCTTCGAAAAGAGCAAAAGAGTGTCTCGAGTGTTCGCAAAATGACTCAGCTCACTACTCTCTGTCAAAGCATGCCAATGGTAAGGATATATCATTACACTTGCCAAAATGCTGTACCTATTCAGCTTACCATGATTTCCTGAATATCTTGAAAATTGGACGTTGGGCATTTGGAAAAACCCTTCTCGAAAGCCTCAGTTTATCGATCGTATAGCGTTTCTTTGGCAAATAGGTTGTTGTTCTTTTAATTTCTGTTTGTTTTATTGGATATGTATGAAACCTAGGCTCGACCCTGAGATTGTGATAATATACCATGGGGCATTCCAATTGCCCACGAGACAGTCTATACTCAATCCTCGGGCTACTGTCAGCTACTCTTTGCACCAAAAACAAGTTCCGGTTCCATATAGTTTATAGCTAACGGCACCAAAACGGCAACCACGACCGCCGAAGGCATTGCAATAAGAATACCCTCTCGTCTGTGAGCGCCTCGGGTCTACATTCTCTTGGCTATAGAAATTAACATTATGGCACAATACGAGGAGGGACTTTGTCTTCAAGCAGAGCATAAAGATGGCGGCCCCGTGGATATGAAGTCAAACTAATGTCTATATACGGTGCTTTCTACCCCTGAGTTGATATGTGATTTGTATAATTTGCTCGGCTACATGATTACACAGAAATCAATAATCCCTGGGGAGCCATTACTGATGATATGGGAAGCGTCGTCCACTGAACATGATCATGAGATGAGAGATGCGCAACCAAGCCTATATCTAAGATTATGGGGATGAGGAAGCACTACCTGCAGCTCAATGGAACACATAGGTCAACGGAGACGTGGGCTTCCACACCCCTCCCTCCCTGAAGATTCTGCTGATGACGCCACAGGCGCTACAGTTGGTCAGTTTTGACTCACCACCTTAGGGCATTGGCTATCAGATAGTTAAGAATTGGTATAGGCGAGATCCTCCGGTCTATGAGGTTGAGGAGGAGGATACCGAGTCGTCCACGCCACTACTACATACTCTGTTCAACTAAAATGGGGCTTCTTTTCGCTATTGCACTTCTCTACTTTCTTTTTACCTTTTCTTTTCCGTTTTTGCTCAAGATTCATGAGGCTATCGTTTCATATTACTAGGTTACGATGATAGCAGCTAGCTCGCCCTAATAAATGACTTTAGGTGGAGCATCCAAATGTCCACCCTGAGATAAAGGTGAAGTAAAATAACATCAGAAAAAGTGGAAGTTTCGCATCGTATCCCTATCGATATAGCTGTGGATACTGATTGCACGTTGGAATCTACGTCGCCCTGTTCCTTAAGTGGATATATCACGCGTAGTAGCATTTAGACTTTTTTATAAATCAAATCCATACTACAAAATATTAATTTCATCTTGCAGTAGTCAATAGTATCTTATGTAACTAATAATGATTATAAAATTTGTTTAATTCGTTATCAAGACCAAGGGCGCGCTATTTCGGACGAGAAGCAGCCGAACCCCCACTTCACATGCAGCTACACGACCAACACAACCTTCAATCTAGAGATTCCACTGTAAACTCATACAGCTGCGAGGATTGTTTTTATTGCACATACAGAATCAATATCCAAAAACTAGCACTACAAGCTTCAAATACGAACCTTTGGTCCGGGATCGTCGAGCCCCTTGAAATATATTGGGAAAGACAAAGCTCCTCTCGTACCCCTCGTTGCTTGGCTGGGCTCACGTCAGCGACGACAAATATTAAATACAAAGCTCCCTCCCTCCCCAATCTCTCATGTGCACACCATGTCATAGTGTATATCCAAAGTAAAACATCACTAACACAACCATGAGCATATCCATAAGTTCCGTGTCAATCGAGCACCACCGCCCAGATGAAACTCTAGGGATCGGCGAGAGCACCCCCAGAATATCATGGCGTTTTGCTGGCGATGCGAAGAATTGGATACAGCACTCTTACGAAATTGAGATTTCAAGATTAATTCTTCCTGCGACTGGGGAGAAAGAGCTGCGTCAGGAACAGCAAATATTCAAGAGCAAGAGTCAAAACTCCGTGCTCGTGCCATGGCCGTCACCCAATGGTCTCAAATCACGGGAGCGAGCAAGTGTGCGCGTTAGGGCTACAGGCGGGGACGGGGATGATGCAGCAAAGCTTATAGAAACAGAATGGTCGGATTCATCTGTGGTCGTCGAGGCCGGATTGCTTGAGCGTAAGGACTGGAAGGCTCATATCATCGCAGCGAAAGCGACATCCCTTACATCGAGTGGTTCGCGGCGTCCTATTTTATTCCGGAAGCCATTTAAGGTCAGCGACTCCAAGGTGGTGCTATCGGCCAGGCTATATATTACATCCTATGGCGTCTATGAGGCACGGATTAACGGTGTGAGGGTGGGTGACCATGTGCTTGCGCCTGGATGGACGAGTTATAACCACCGGTTGTGTTATCAGACGTTTGATGTGACGGATTTGATGAGAGTGGGGGAGAATGCTGTTGGTGTTGAGGTTGGAGAGGGTTGGTACGTTGGCAGGCTGGGCTTTGACGGCGGAAAGAGATGCATCTATGGGGAGAGATTGGCCGTGCTTGCGCAGCTTGAAGTTATCTTTGATGATGGCGAGAAGCTGGAAATTGTTTCCGATGAGAATTGGAAGTCATCAGTTGGCCCAATTGTGGGGTCAGAAATTTATGATGGCGAGCTATACGATGCCTCGAAGGAGGTCCACAAATGGTCAATTGGAGAGTTTACTGATCATGGTTGGGAGGCGGTTGAAATATTGGATTTCCCACAGGCCAAGCTGATTTCTCCTGAAGGGCCTCCTATCAGAGAAATCGAAACTTTGAAGCCGAAGGATATCTTCAGAAGCCCGTCAAACAAAGTGATTGTGGACTTTGGGCAAAATTTTGTTGGTGGAGTGCGATTTCGGGCATCCGGTTCGCAGGGCCAAAGGATTATCTTGACGCATACAGAGGTTCTGGAGCGTGGCGAAGTGGCTACACGGCCACTGCGAGATTGCAAGGCAAGGGACGTTGTGATGCTTGGTGGAGAGGACATCGAATGGGCGCCTAAATTTACCTTCCATGGATTTCGATATGTCCAGGTGGAGGGATGGCCGTCAGATACAGGAGAACCTGCTATGGACCATATCGAAGCTTTTGTAATCCACACAGACATGGAACCCACTGGCTGGTTCGAGTGTTCCGAGCCAATGGTCAACAGACTTTGGCAGAACATCCAGTGGGGAATGCGAGGAAATTTTGTCGGTATCCCCACGGACTGTCCACAGCGAGACGAGCGGTTGGGCTGGACCGGGGATATACAAGTATTTGCGCCTACGGCAAACTTCCTATACGACACGAGTGGTATGCTTTCCAGCTGGCTGAAGGATCTCGCCGTGGAACAGATCAAAGATTCCAACGGTATCGTCCCCCAAGTCATACCGAACGTTCTCGAAGCCAATCTGAACACAGCTCAGGCGGTATGGGGAGATGCCGCAGTTATTACACCTTGGGATGTGTATGTCAGTTTTGGGGATAGAGATATCTTGCAAAACCAATACAAGAGCATGACAACTTGGCTGAAGAGTATTCCACGAACGTCGCAAGAAAACCCGCTATGGGACCCTACTAGCAATCAACTCGGCGACTGGTTAGACCCCTTCGCGCCCCCTTCACAGCCTGCAAATGGCAAGACTGATCCCCACTTCATTGCAAATGCCTACCTTACTCATATCAGCCAACTTGTCTATGAAATTAGCATTGTCCTGTCAAGACCCGACTCGGAACGGAACCACCTTTGCCAGCAAGCCGGAAACATCAAGGAATTTTTCCAGCACCAATACATCACACCAGCAGGCCGCCTCGCTCCAGACACCATGACATCCCTCTCACTGGCCTTAACGTTCAACCTCTTTGATTCCGATTCCCATACTGATTTCGCCCGTGACAGATTGGCGCGACTCGTCCGCCAATCTCAGTTCCGCATCTGCACCGGATTCGTCGGTACGCCCCTCATCTGCGCTGCCCTATCATCAGGCAAGTACAATCAACTGGCATATAGGATGCTGCTTGAGAAAGGGTGTCCGAGTTGGTTGTACCCCATCACGATGGGCGCGACGACCATGTGGGAAAGATGGGATAGTATGTTGCCTAACGGACGAATAAATGAGGGGAGCATGACCAGTTTCAACCATTATGCGTTTGGAAGTGTGGGAGCTTGGTTGTTTGGGGTGGTGGGTGGGATGACGATTTTTAAATTTGATGTTGTCCGGAAGCCATGCGATGGAGAGGGGATAGCGGGAACATGTGCAGATGGAGATCTAAATCGTAGCGAGGGCTGGAGGGTAATTCATTTCGCTCCCCAACCTGGTGGAACGATTACCTGGGCTAAGACATCGCATTTGAGTCCCTACGGCCTTATCTCCAGCGACTGGCAGCTTGACACGGCGTCCAAAGTGTTCAAGCTGGCCATACAGGTGCCGCCCAATTCGAGAGGCCTGGTGCAGTTACCTGGGAAAGGAAATGGGGAGGAAACTGGGAAGTTGATCCATGTGGGAAGCGGGAAGTGGGAGTTTGAGGTGGTGGGATATGAAGTCGCAGATGGGCAAGAGTGGCCGCCAAGCCCGGTATTAGACCCTTTTGCACAGTATGAGTGAGGAGAAGGACGAGGAGAACATAAACAGGGAGAGCTATGCCTGAGGCTGTAAACGCGAAAGCGGGTGGAAGCCGTAGCATTCGAAGTGCTGCATATACTTGCTAAAGTGGGAGTCTAGCACAGGGAAGCAGAGCCAGGTATCATCGGAATTTTCCCATATCTCTGATACGCAACCACGAAACTGTGTCTTAGCGCACTGAATCAAGAACAAATACAGAGGTTTCTGCTGCACTAGGGTTACCGGGCCCAGACCGCTCAATAACTCAAGTAAGTGCTGTAGGTGCGGAAACTGATAAAGGTCCATGAGGAATAAACGTAGCAAGATATTTAACCATTGTGCACAACATGGCAATCCCCAAGGGGGGCGAGAAGTGAGAGGGCAACCAAAGCAAGGGAGGAGTTCATGTAGCTCCAAGCTGATACGGTTATAGCATGATCAGATCAGAAAAAATAATAGTATAGATAGTGGATAATGGATACTAGATAGTAGGAGGAAAATTGGGGGGTAGCACTACGGAGCTGCAAGAACAAGCCAAGGTTCATAGCGACACAGCATTATTACCTCTAACTAAGGATTGACTGAGGATGCCGATCAAGTCGCTATTAGCTCTCACTTGAGATGTCCTGCGTCTAGCATAAACAAGATTCGGATGAACACTTGAGCAATTATAGGAATGTAGATGGAAAAGTGGGACTCGGTCATTATTCTCTCATTCCTTGGCAGGAATCGCCTTCATCATAATGAGCACCCCCAATACCTCATACTTCGTACAAAGTAATGATCTGTGACGGACGGGATTCGCTCGCATCGTCGGTCTCTCCCTTCATTCGAGGTGTTGTGGTGTTGCAATGCGCATCAAACCTCGCCTGTCTCGTAGTCGTCTCAATAATGATGCCAAGAAGCGCTTTTACGTCGCCCAAAAGGGGTTTAGCGAGCGCGCTAGCCCACATAGCGCCTGGTACGGAGGTACCTCGAACATCAAAGCATCGTCTGTCGGGTCCTCACAATATCCGCTCGCAAATAACACATTGGGGGTTTCATCATTTCGTCTGATCTGGCCCACCTTGGCCCAGTTCATGACCCACCAGCCTCAAGCACTCTCGGCCTGCTGTTACAGTCCAGCTACCGGTTGTGACCCGAGATGCCCTGCCCTACCCTGCACGCCCACGCCAGTCTGTGACACCCAACAACGACGACTTGAGACTCCACAGCGGCAGGAACACGGAGTATAGCAAGTGTAGTCGGACGAACCCATGCAATGGGTCGTCTCCAATAGTAAACATGTGTTTAGGTGGGGCAATGGTTCGTCCCAAGCGCGGTCAGTCAGTATGATCGACATTGCGAAGGCTAGGTAGGAGGTAGGAGGATGACGGCACAAGAAACCGTGCTCTGACAACCTTTGGCGCAAGGCATGAGAGTGGCCTGCGTTCTATATAAACGGTCGTGTTTCCCTCAGTGCTGGAATTTCCTCTTCATCATCTCCATCTTCTTGCTCTTTGACCTTTCACATTCGTTTCCAGTTCTGCGAACTCTTACTTTCAATTCACTCCTTCTTGGGCTGGTCCAATCTTTAAACAAGCGGTTCAATTCTGTCCTCCATTTTCATCACATCTACGGCTATCACTCCTTCGAATTCTCAGAAATGTATTCCCAAGCAATCCTTTTCGCGGTCCTAGTGGCCATTGCTGAAGCTCGGTAAGGCGACTTGGTATTTCAGTCTATTGACTCGCGCTGATGGTCATAGTTTTGGGCAAGAGCAACTTCCGATTGCTGCAATTCAAGCTGCACCAGGAGGAGAATCAGGGCAAGCGGCGACACTCGCTGGTGCATCTATCTCCACCCTGCTCGGAGCCGCCGACCCTTGCGACAAGGTAAATCGCCAAAATGAACGGAAAGTGCATCTGAATATGACTAACAAATAATCAGCTAAAGCAGGCCGACTTGATTGTTGCGACACTTGGAGACGGTGCTATTGCAGCTGCGCAAGGACTTGTGGCTGCCGAGCAAAACTTCAACCCCTTTGCCACTGACATTCCGTCGATTTGTGGTGACCCAACCCTCCCTACTACTGCGGCACTTCGAGGTATCGTGCCATTAGTCGATCCCGCCGTCGATGGCTCCGATGTAGAGAACGCCAACTCTGCTGCTTCTCTCAAGACTCCTTTCGACGCCACGGGTTTGAGCGTTGCCGAAGTCATGGCAGCTAACGGCTTCTCCAGCCTCAACGTAAAGGGAGGAGCAGCTGTTGCCGCCCCGGCTGCCGCTGCAGGAGCAGCTAAAGGAGCAGCTAAAGGAGCAGCTAAAGGAGCAGCTAAAGGAGCAGCTAAAGGAGCTGCCAACGGAGCTGCCAACGGAGCTGCTGCTGTATCTACCGCCGCACCAGCCGCCGCCACCGCCGCCGCTGCCCAGGGTGGCTGCGGTGGAGCTACGACCCTCGTCACAGTCACCAAGGCGAAGGCAGGCAAGGCAACCGCCGCCGCCGCCGCCAAGGGCGCCGCCAATTCTGGTGCTGCCGCCGCTGCAGCCCCCGCTGCCGCAGCCACAAACAATGGAGCAGCTGGCGTTGACCCTGGCTTCCAAAAGTCCTCTATTGCGGCTCTCGATTTCGGAACCTGCACCCCTACAATCAAATTTGAAGCTGGACTCAACGGACGGAAAGAGACGGAATCAACCTTCCAAGCCATCGACCCCCAGGTCAACAAGGGACAGCAAGAGGCGTTGAACCCAAACATCATCACCAACCGCATCTGCGACCAGCTCGGCAATGTCTGTGGTGCTAGTGATGCTGCTGTTGCCGCATGCACTGATGCTAAGGCCCAGATCGCGGCCCTAGGAACTAAAGATCAGACTACAGCCGATGCATGGAATACTGCTCTCGGCTTTGCTGGAACTGATACCAACCCTGATAACGCTCCCCAGCCAGGTTTGGTTGGCCATGCGTAGATGCCATATGACGACTTTATGAATATGAGTGTATCTAGTGGAGGGTAGGAGGATGGATGATGTACTAGTAGTAATTTGTGCGGAATGAGGAATCACAATTACATGCACGCTTTTGCTTAATATTTGATGTGTTTTTATGAAGACATTTTGGATAGATAAGGGGTTTTATAAACACAATTGAACACTTCATACGTGTCAACCCATAATATTACGTCGTCGGGTGCAAGGTGCTCTGCCTATATCAGATTGGACAATCTCGTCGGCTGCCATATATGTTGGTGTTATTCATAACATCGAGCAATCATTTCGTTCCTTTTCTAGAATATCCCTCACTTGCCTAGGTAATCTGGCTACGAATCTAGGCAAGATTGGTGAAGGATATCAATATCAATAGACCTGGAAGTCTTTTCGCTAACCCCTATTTCCCGTGACATGCCAGGTGGAAATGCAACATTTTGCTGCATATCGCATCACCAGCATATGGCGAGCAGCACGCCAAGTCCACAAAATAGTATACACCTTTTAAGGGGCCACGATATATCAGAAGTCTAGCAGGTCCTGCGTTTCTCCAATCGCAGGTGAGAATTGTGCGGAAGATGGCACTTAACCACATAACAATGAGGTTAAAGTGGGATTGGTAAGATAGTATATCCCGGTGTACAAAGAAAATGACTCTGTATCCGTTCTCATCGTAGGTCTATTTATGGCCCATAATGATTAAGCAAAGTTGTGTTGTGCCGGGCTAAGTGAGGGCATGGCTTTGTGGGCTAGTCAGAGCGCAACTGCTCAATATCGCTAAACCTTTACTTAACGAACTACGTACCTTACCTACCTAGTACTAATACAAAACGGAATCAATAGGGAGTGTGGGCGCTATCACTTGCCATACGACTCCGAGCGAACACTCCCAGCCTCTAGCCATACCTTAATTATAGCTTTTGTTTCTGCTAGACAGTTGGGCTCAGCAAGGGCATGGCATAGAAAGCTCCAGCTGTTTCACAACAGGGGTCTTTGAAGAGTATAAGATCTAGCCCGTCTTCTAGTCTCCATTTTAGCCATATATACTACCAGAGGGGAAGAGCAAAGGATACGTTTGAGAAATTAGACTCTTAAGACATCAACAGGTTCATAGAAATGGCAAGAAATTTTGGGCGGGTATTATTAAAGCGTGAAACTCGATTTACAATTAAGGGATATAGAGTATATATAAAATAATAGAAATCAGACTTCTAAATAGCGTTAGAGTATGATGTACCTAGTATAAACGGGCGTTTATTTTCTAGATCGAGACTTAGGTTGGCTTATTGTTACTCCTCGTATCCGTGGCCAAGGCCTTCTCGAAGACGCGCATTGTGTGCTCCCAAACTTTCTCACGCCAACCGCGTTCTCTATATTGCTCTAGCACGCCGGGTGTGATGACTTGCTCGCTCAACTGATCAACACGCCAAGCGCCTGAACTGTATATATCACTGGTCAGGTGAAAAGCCTGTCTCTCACCGCAATCAGCCGCTGATATGCCGATAAATAGGTTCACTATTGCAACAAGGCCTTGGATCAATGCCAGTACCACCTTCCAGGTCACTCCAGATGACTCTGGCGCAGTCATCCGGGAGAAAATGTCCGTTTTCACCCAACCAGGAAAGGCGTGCACGAAGGTGATCCGCTTGTCATTCTCGGCCAAGTGCTCAAAGGCTAGGCTCGTCATAGTGGTGGTGTGGTTTATGGCTGCGAGGGTAGCCCAGTGGTGCGGGATCTCAAGACCGAGGTCTTCGTCACGCATAGGCTGCTCCCTACCGCCGTTGAGCACAGTTAAGACTCGCGGCCGTGGGGACTGACGAAGGAGTGGCAGAAGATTCCAAGTGAGCCGCATCCTGGAGTAGTACGAAATGGCGAAGCACATTTCGAGGCCCTCTTTCGTGTCTATGCGACCTGTCAGCGCTTAACAAAGATTCAAGACCAAGGGACGCGTACATTCAGGTCCGTTCAGAGGCACCAGGCCAGGACTCATGTATAAGAAGTCCACCTTTCGCTCAGCGGCGATAATCTTCGTACACACGGCATCGACATCGGATAGAAGCGAGAACTCGGCTTCAAGAAACACAACTTTGCAGCTTGGGTTAAGGCTTTCCAACTTCGCACGTTGGCTTACAAAACGCGCCGCGGACCTCCCCACGACATAAAAGGTGGATTTAGCTAGCATCGTTACCATCCTCTCGAGCGTGCCAGCGCCGATGCCGCTCGTGGCACCGGCAAAGACGCACACGAGTCCTTCATGGTGCTCACTGGCAAAGCGCGCATTGCATTGACTGATGGCCGTAGCCTTCACCATGGTTTGCGGCAGTTGGGGATCGATCAGGGGAGTGACTCTTAAAAGATTGGCGATTGGCGATTGGCAATTGGCAATACTCGTCGACGATGATGGTGATGGCGATGGTGATCGGGATCAACGATCCAGATACACAAATGTCCATGTACATGTACATGTACCTAGGTAAGGTACCTAGTATATACGAAGTACGTCGTAGCATCTACTACCTTACCTCACGCACGGAATAGGGAATTGAGTAAAACCCGGCGGGTTAAAGCCGACGGCCCTGCGAGCCTGCATTAAGTCCAGTGAATGGTCCAAATAACTGCAAGACGAGAAACACCTATTAGTTACGAGTACATGTTACCTACCTATATTGCGCCGCCGCCGCTTTATTTGCAGAGCGAGTTCCCCTTGAAGGCTTCCAGCATGGACGAGCTCCAGCGATCGTCCCAGGGATGGACGAAGTATATTCAAATCCGGTCAGGCCTAGACTTGGGACTCGCACTACTCAGACCCCACCGAGAGCCCACTTCTGAAGCTCTCTGGAGTGTAGTCGTAGTTAGATCGTAGTTAGATCGTAGTTAGATCGTAGTTAGGTCGTGGTTAGTTGGATCTGGTTGGATTGTACGAGTAGCGTGGGGTTCGTCCTTCGTAGGGCTGTGTTTAAACAAGGCAGCTTATGGGTCTTATGGGCCTCTTGTGGGTACTCACTGCCTACCTAGGTAGTTACTACTCGGCGGTAGCCCTGCCAGGGAATACGAGTTCCAGGTAGGTACTGTACTGTAGGTAGGGAATAATACATATATGGTTCTGGCTCTGATTACGCTGTGGCGTTGCGGCGTTGCCACGTTCTCGGTGGCAAAACAAGAAAAGAAGACCTCAGCAGCACCGAATTGTCTCTACCAAGCACTCGTATGAAGCATTCGAAGCCCCCATACTGTACTTCGTCCTCGTACGGTAATTATTTTGTTTCTCCTTCTTTTTCCTTTGGTCTCTTTCCCTTCTGCGGCCATGCTACTATGTACTGTACACTCGTCTCTGCCAAAGAAAACCGCCGGGGTTGCCTGCACGGCGCTTCCCCAAACGCAACCGGCTTCAAGTTGCTGACAGCCGAACCACGAGCCACGCCAAAGCCCCAAAGACCAACAAAGGCACGCAAAAACAAAGGCCCAGATCGTACGAGGACCGAGGGCCGAGTACGTGGTTTGGCGAATGTATATTTCCGGCTGAGCATACAGATACAATAATAACCTTGCTGCCAGCTAGGTAACTGCTAACTGCCATCTCCCATCTGCCAACTACCGACTTCTAGAGCACTCAGCCTCGTCGGATCTAGGACTCCGGATTCCTCATGTCCATAGCCTGGCGGGTCTCCACTCCACGTCTGTTTAAACTTTGAGCTTGCCGTCGTTTGACCTTCGATCCACCGCCAATTCGTCTTCCTCCCCCGGCTGTTCCGTATCAAGCAAACAGGAACGGGGACGGAAACGAGCATCAATCCCTACGCATCGCCTTTAGATCCTGCTTAGCTGGCTTGGTAGTGGCAGACTGACTCTTGTCTCTCGCCCCTCCCCGCTATAACCTCAATCCCCGACCTCCTCCTCACATCTCACGCCCCCTCCCCTCCCCTCTGCTATAACCTCAACCACCGACCTTCTCCTCACATCTCACGCCCTTTCCTGCATCCTCTCCCGCCCTCCGTCCCTCCCCATATCCACCGGGACCATGGCGTCGACTCTCTTCGCCTCGATGCTACTGGCATCGTGTCTAATAGGTCCCACGCCGACCAGTGCGAACACGATACAGATGGACATCGCCCGGGATCCTGCAGCACAAGCTGCCCAACTCCAGAACCGCTCTCTCCTTAAAAGACGCCTCCGGGCCCGTGCTGAGGATACCATTACCGCCGAGCTGGGGAATGACATGTCCCAGGGACTGTACTTTGCAAACGTATCCGTAGGCACGCCGCCGCAGAATTTGCAGGTCCAGATTGATACGGGCAGTTCCGATATGTGGGTTCCAGCGAGTACCGCCTCCGTTTGCAGGACATCGGCCAGTGAGGGAGGCGGATGTGATGGCGGAAGCTGTAAGTCTTCATCGAGCGTAACGAAGTCTGCTGTTCCTAACTAAATCGTGCCCATAGTCAACTACAAAGCATCGTCAACATTCGTAGATGTAGAACAAGGGGCTTTCAATATCAGTTATGTGGATGATACGAGTGCCACCGGCGATTATTTCCAAGATGCATTCTCGATTGGAGGAGCATCCGTGAAGAGCTTCCAAATGGGGTTGGCCCTCGAAGGCAACATTGGGATTGGCATCATGGGCCTTGGGTATAATAACTCGGTGGCCAATGTTCATACGGGGAACGGATCGGTCTATGCCAATTTGCCAAACGCCCTCGTTGATCAAGGTTTGATCAAAACAGAAGCGTACAGTCTGTGGCTGAATGATCTACGTAAGCCACCCTCTTTGTTGTTTGGATGAAGCTCATATAGGCTGCAGAATCAAGCACCGGCTCTATTCTTTTCGGCGGGATCGACACCACAAAATATAGCGGTAATCTCACGTCCATCGGCGTGTACGCCGGACGACGGACCAAGGAGGTCACTTCGTTTACCGTTGCTTTCACCTCCCTCTCAGCCACCAGCAAGTCAGGTACTGATATGCTCACGCCGTCGAATTTCGCCGCTGCTGCTATCCTGGACTCGGGAACCACTATCACACTTCTCCCAGATTCATTGGCGCAACTTGTCAATGAAGAGCTTGGAGCTACGTATTATGGTAGGCTTGGGGCCACCATCGTCCCATGTGCTTTGGCCAACAATGATGGCACGCTTGACTTCGGATTTGCCGGCCCGGGAGGGCCCATCATTAGGGTTGGGGTGTCCGACCTCATCCTTCCCTTGACACTGACCAATGGTCAGCGCCCGAAATATTCCAACGGTCAAGACGCATGCCAACTCGGAGTCGAAGCTGCTGGAGACCTGCCTATCCTGCTTGGCGACACGTTCTTGCGATCTGCTTATGTGGTGTATGATATGGTCAACAACCGAATTGCGCTCGCGCAAACCAAGTTTAACGTCACCGAGTCTAAAGTTATACCGTTCGCCAGCTCAGGGGCGCCCATCCCATCAGCATCATCGGCGCCCAACGAGGCTCAGGTGACGCAAACAGCTACGGCATCAGGTATTCCCCATGTTGTCCAGACGGCTACTGCCACGGGCGATGGTGCGGCCGCGACGTATAATTCGAGTCCGACAGGCTTGAATGCCGCTAGTGGATTTGCCTCCACGAGCACGCCTAGCGGGAAGAAGAACGCGGCTGGACGAGGGCCGGAGCCTTTCGCATGGTCGAGAGTTTTTATTAGTGCGATCGGTTTAGCTCTAGTGGGAGTTGGTGGAGGGGTTTTCACACTTATGTGAGATGTGGACGTAAACCGGGTGTGGGTTCTGGATTCGACCGTGTTCCAACCTGGAAGATAGTGGCCCAGCATATGAAAGGTTTTCCTTTTTGTTGTCATGAGATATAAATGTGGTCGTCCGTGGATCTGGACGGAGCTTGGAAGCTCAGGAGCTTAAATGGCGTTTGAGAAGGGAACATTATATGGGGGGCGAGCTTAACGCATTTACATAACTCGGTAGTTTTGTTTCAGGTTAGATGGCGAATATTGGATGTTGTTGGCGCTTGGTAGGTCGGAATAGATCTGTGATGATTCATATTTGACAATTCGACCGTCCGTTTCTCATAATTCCGCTGTACAGGTGAGTTTTGTAGTTGTGATATGATTGTGCGAGCTGTAGTTTCCGAGTAGAAGTTGGAGAGGGAGTTGAAGAGGGAGTTGGAGAGAAAGTTGAATAAAGACTAAGATGAAGAGTAACTGAGGGGAGGTAGGGGGCAAGTAACTGAAGTAAGGGGGGACACCTTGCTGGTTCGTCAAATTTGGTGCTCTTGAGGGAGCAAAGTAGCAACTATATATGTACCTACCTTAGCTGCCGAACTCGCTGTTGCTAATTCATTAATTAAACTAAACCCAACAGTATATTAAATGTACTCGACTCTATTTTCTACTACACGCCAGGTGCTCGAGTATATACCAGGGTCCAGTCACCTGGGCGATACTTAATTTTAGCTGCGTCACGTGCGATAAGCAGAAGGAATGCGGCTTATCGGCCATCCAGGTCAGCCTCGTTTGTCCGCCGACCGCCATCTCTCTATCTCTCCCTCCAACTCTCCATCTTTAATCTTATGGACTAACTTTATCATAAACAAAAATGCTTCATTCCATCTTCTAGTAGCAGCAACAATCTGAACACAAGTCGATGAGTACGGAGCACACAATGTCACCAGCCCCATCAATACGCACATCACCACCATCTGGCAAAGATCCACCGCGACCGCAGCCAGCCACTGAACCATCCTCTGCTGTTTCGAGTCCACCACTCCCACCGGCAAGGATATCTTCTTTGCAGACGAAAGATGATAGACATAGAGATAACGATGAGGATACGGATGTACGAACAATGCCTCCACCTCCAGCACCATCTCATTCCCGTCCATCGATCCCTCAAACGACCTCCTCGTCGAGCATCCCTCACGCGAATACATCCGCATCCTCCTCTCATAACCTGCCACCTTCCAGTTCTGACCACCAATCGCGACTACCACCCCTGCAAAGACAAAATATGAATCTCTCACAACTAGAAACCAGCTCTAGGGGCCAAATCCCCCCGCAAACCCCCGGCCCACCCGGTTTTGCGCCCTTCTTCGTTCTAGTCGATGATCCGGCCAATAAAAGCACGTATCATCCGCACCGTGTGCATTATTTGTTTAGTGATGACGAGGATACCGAGGTTTTGACGAGCGCTTTGGTTAGGTCTTTGGAAGGGCCCGGTGGTAGGAACGATGAAGCAAATGGGAATGGGCCGGGAGAGCGACGTGGCGAGGAGGAGGATGCCTCTTCATCGGAGGAAACTTCATCTTCTGGAGTTCGACACAGTCATAAAAGGAAGAAGGGGCGGGAAAAGGATAAAATGAGGGAAGCGAGACGAGGAAGGCAAAAGGAGCGAGAGGAAAGGGTCCTTATAGTCGACATAAACGAAAAGGGTGATGCTATCACGTCAGTAAACTCCCTCTGCCAGCGCTGGCAGGTCTTGAACGCTTCGATTGAATCGGCTCCTACGTTTGATGCTCAGGATGACCATGGTGGGGCGGGGGATACGAATAGGGGGTTGATGTTGAGGATTGAAGGATTAGGCGTGGAGAGTTTGAGTTACGAAGATGAGAAGGGGAAGGGGGGTGGAATAGGGAGTGGGATGCCTTTAGGTGACGAGGAAATGAGGGAGCTGTTGGAGGGTTTCGATAAGAAGATGGAAGTTCTGAGGAAGCTGGTTGGAGAAAACGCGATTGAGGGGTTGGGTGTGGGGACGGGGCATGTGGATGGAGAGGGCGAAGGAAGGGGTGCGAATGGATAGATGATTTATTCCGGAGAAAGACCTTTGACTTTCCTATCGAGAGATCTATCTGCTCTCCTTGTATATATTAGTTATAATATACTACATATAGTATAATCGATGCTATCATAACACGATGCCTTCCTGCGGAGTATGAGTAGGAATACCTCGCAAATGCAATAAGGATCGCAACAGGGAATGTAAATATGGGCGAAACATCTCACCAGTACGTTTTTGATACCTCATCTCCATCATCCTTCCGTCGCAGGGCGGCCAATACCCACTTTACAACCCCTTAACGCCATGCAGTCAACATATATATGTTCATCTCGCGGTTTTTTTGCGTCAGTGGTAGAGCAGAATGCACGTATCATTCCATGCCGCAAACCAATAACTAGGTTCTTACGCCTGCTTGAGGTGATCCACCCTTGTCGGGAAGGAGAATGATTTGAACCGCCCATTTCTCATCCGGGTAGGCAAAACCAACACGGAACACTTTTGCTTCAGTGGATTAGTATCACTTATACATAGAATGTCCATCATAGCCAGACCATATAATCACAAGAACGATTCCAAGTTAACAGAAACGAAATTTCAAATTAAAGTATCCTAGTGTCTGTAACTCCTCTAGCGCAGCTTCACTTTCTTGCCTCGAAGGGAACAAGGAAAAAGAAACCGGCGTCAACCTTGACGCTCTTGTGTTTTGAGTCAAGACTGTCACATTTTCTTAACTTGACTCGCGATTTTGGTCCTATACAAAACGACAGATGGTGAAATACACAAATGAATGTGGTGGGTAGTAGCTCCACAGGCCTCCAACCCACGGTTAGGGAACAAATGAGGGTACTACAGATAAGGAAAGAAAAACGCCAGACAAATGCGCCTATAAATATTTGAAGCAAAGGTATCTGTTGCAAAGTCGAGCTCTCCTCTTGTCCTGACGGCGAAGGCACCAACGCCCATAGTCCGCTTATGCTTGGAAACTCCGCTCTTGTCTCGTCTCCGGGGTCCATTCCTTGCCTGGGACAACGATCCTCTTCTCGGGAGTCCATCCCTTTCCTGGAACAACAGGCTTGTCGTTGGTAGACCATTCAAGACCCGGAACCACATAGCGCTCTTTGACAGGAGGAGACCAGGGTTGGCCGGAGACAACGCGGTGCTCCGTAGCAGGGAGGACGAAACGTTTGGTTTTTGGGGCAGCAGCGGCGGGGGCGGAGATGACGAATTTATAGATGAGGACGACGATGACAATGATGACGATGATGAGGACTGGGGGGGTTTATGTCAGTAGGCACAAAGGGGATAGGGCGGAAATAAACTTACTAGTAATGCCCAAGCACCACCACTTCCACTTTCGCGCCTTTTGAGCGCTCTTGATCGCCGTGCCAATTTCTGCATTTCCCTTATCCATGTGCTCCACAACCTCCTCGCCCTTCATCTCGATATTCGTAACAGCTGCTTCTTGTTGTACGACCAGCTCGTTCATTTCATTGAACAACTGCGCCAGTTCAGCCATCTGCGAATCGATCTTCTGGATTTCTGCATGACGGCTCCGGACAGCGCTCAGAGCCGATTGGCTTTGGCCTCGCCGGTCACTCTGCATCAAGGCTTGAGAAAAGACTTGGCCCCCATCCGGACTATCTACCGCACGTCTGACCTCTTCCTCAGATGCCTCGGGTCGCACAATGCGATATTGACGGGCAAGCTGATCTTTCAATTTCTTTTGAAACCCAACATCTAGCGTTCTGTACGCAGTCATCGAAGTCTTTAACTTGGTGTCCACCGCCTGCACCTGGGCGTATGTCGGGCCCCTTTGCTCCTGGTTTTTAGGATCCGACTTAAGGATTCTAATTTCGCCGACCAAGGAGTGATATTCTTCCATTATTTTAGCGCTCTCCTGATCCAGCCTTGCAGATGCAGCGCCAGGATCAGCACTATTGAGGCATGCCTGTTGCAAGCTTCTCAATTCGGGCAGCTTCTGCATCTCAATAGCGTCTGCTGCGGACCTTATTGCCGTGCATTGGTCCAAGACTGCTCTTGGATAGCCCTTACTTCCAGCCTGAGCGGCATTGTTTGTGAGGGGTTCGAGTTCGACATTCTGACCTAGAACCCGCGTTAATAACAGTCCCACGGCTCGTCGAGGTCATCATTGGCTTGCCTGCATAGTCGTCCCGGCCCATCGCTGGTGCATTCCCATATTGTTGGCGGCCATACTGCTGTTGCCCCCCATATTGTTGTTGGCCTCCATACGGCTGCTGGCCTCCGTATTGTTGTTGTTGTTGTTGTTGGCCTCCATAATTGGACGGGGGATCGTATCTCCCTTGTGATTGCGATGGAGAGTCTTCTCTCTGATCATATGGGTTTGCACGCCCTCCATATCTATGCCGCCCACTTGTATGTTAGTATTGATCGATGACAGCTACGACGATGTAGGCTAGAGGACGAGGTAACAAAAAGCATCGAGGCTTGCGGAATGACTGACCCTCCTGCGTACTGCGGATTATTGTTAGCCAAGTTCTAGCTGAGCAACTGTCGCTCGCCGGTTAAGTTATGGAAGCCGGATGAATCCCCAGGTAGATAACTGCGTGCCATTGATAATAGAAGCAGCAAGCTGGGCACGATGGGATCGCAGCACGCGAGGAGATGGGGATAAGAGTTGAAACGGGGGGGGGGTGGGGGGTGCGTACGCTCATGTTGACCAACTGCGGCTGACGCCTGGTCGCGGCTCAGGCGTTGAAGTATATGTCGTTCGGGTGTATTGGAATGGAATGGAATGGGATGGGATTAGCAGCGGTGGATGAGGGAGAAGAATTGAGATTGAGATTGAGGTTGAGATTGATCGATATGGATGGCGACGACAGAAGGAGCGAGCGTTTGAGGTTGAGCGGGAGGTGGAGAGGCAGGATGAGTGGGTGTTTGAGATGGAGGATGGGGAGGAAGAATAAAGGGACAGAGTCGAGTCGAGTGGAATAAGGGGTCGCCGACTCTCAGATGCGCGCGCGCAGCAGGACGGACGACGGACAACGGAGGTTGCAGGTTGCAGCAGTGTTGCAGGTTGCGGTTCATTAGTCAGCGGCAGCGCCAGTCAAGAGTCAATCTAATAATAATAATAATAATATAATACTGTAAGTACCAGGCAAGGTAGGTAAGGTAATGACACTACCCATTACTCAATACCCAATACTCAATACCCAATACTCAATACTGAATACTCAATACTCAATACTCAATAATCAAACACCCATCTCCATCTCCATCTCCATCACCACCGCCACCGCCTTGCTCAGCCACACCCACAAAACTACCTCGACCTCTACTTCGTATCAAAACTTCAAAACACGAGCAGCCTCAGAACGCTAGCCACGCCCACTTCTGGCGTATTTTTGGAATCTCGCCTTGACCCAAGCAGAAACGAGTATATTATGTTTCTCCGTGTGTGATCCCAACAGTCACCGACTCGCCGGGACCTACTTTTACATACCTACCTTACCTAGGTACTCGTACTCTGTACAGTACATAGTTCGGTGCCAGCACTCTTCCTCCCCGCAGGAAATCGAGCTCCCCTTCAGCCAGAGTAGTTCCCTTCTCGACACAGCGACGCAATCGCTGAGGCCCTCCAACAATCCATAGAGACGCCATGGCGTCCGTTCTTTGTACTCGCGTACTGCTTGCGTCTCACTAGGGCAGTGCGGCTGAGTCGCTATTTGCTGTACTTACTTCGTACAGCGGCCGCTCCATTCGTGATCCACCACCACTACCAGTCTTTCCTTCAGGCCACAAGTTGCCGCCCCGATATTCTTGATCTGCCACGAGAACTACATATCCTTCCGCTGTCGGAGGCCGTGACCAGCTCTCCTTGCTCTCCTGGTCGCTGCCAAAGTGCCGTCTAGTAGTGCTGTGCTCGATAGACTGATTTCGAGCAGACCAGCGAAAGCAGACCAGGATAGTGCTTGAACGTCATCCGAATGTGAGCTACGCCCATCGATATGCAACAGAAATGGTTCCACAGGTGATGCTACTCCATTCCTGAGGTAGCTTGTCCACCGAAAGAATGTTTGAAAAGTTTCAAGCACTCCTCTAGTCAAGTTCTTTTAAATTGTAAAATGGGCGACCCCTGCTACCTTTTCTGGCTCAATAATTATAGAACTACTTCGTACAGTACAGGTTTACCGCTGATCCACCTATTCTATGAAATATAGCTTAGCGCGGCCCTTTTTCTCTCTACCATTGCAAATAGGTTGCCTACGCATCGCCTAGGGGATTGGTTTCTACCTAGGTGGATTCTTAATAGTAGCTTAACAACTCCCGTGTGACTTTTTCTGGTTGCTCTTCCAAGAGCGCCTGACATGCTACTGACTTGTTGATCCAGGAGCAGCTCGACTGCTTCTTGATGGCAGTTACACGCCGCTACCCTTAGTACGTACGAGGTTAGCTAGCATAGTAGGCATAGTACGCTCATCTTAAAACTAGGCAGTTGTCTTTTGGCGTCCTCCAGTTTCATCTCGACATGGCTATGCAGGGTAAGAGTTGAGGCAATGAGAATATCGGCTCATTCGTACTCTTGCAGGTGCGCGACGCACGTATTTTAGTTGCATGTTCCATCACTTGGTCGCCTCAATTTACATGGTCGCCTCAATTTACAAGACAGCTTTGGCTATGTTACAATTCCACCCATCTCATTTTTACTTCCCTTGCAATCAACAACGCCTCCGACATCCCAAAGTCCGATACATTACGGGATACAAAGGTCAATCCAGCTCCCTAAATAATCCATTTGGTTCCCCTTGCCTTCCTTAACAAACAACTTAACTAAGACTTCGAACTCCTGGAGGTTCAACCTTCCCCATCCACCACACTTCTCCGCTAACTTAGCGGCATTATCACATTTCCAGAGTAGGTACAATGTTTCCTGGGAAGGCTGGCCGTCTGCATGATTGGCCTCCTGAGATGTGGCCGATGTTTCGTGAGGTTCTGGCTGAGGCTGTGCTTCGGTGTGATTGTTCGTCGTCAGGGAAAGCTCCTCGGCGGTTCCAATTGGGAACAATGCGTGATCTTCCGCATCCACGCCGGGTAAGTCTTCTGCGAAGCGTGAGAAATGAGGCGCTCGGGTTGTGACAGGAGCCATAGGCGCTGAGTTTGGACGGAATTGTGGGAGTGTAGGATCACGGTAGGAAGGCGATGCCGATAACAAGGGCTCCGGATGCAAAGCTGGAGGGTGGGATCGAGGAGGTAGGTGTTCGGTTGTTATATCAGCTGGTTCAGAAGGTTGGTGATTGCACAGATACTGATCTTCGTTCCCGTTCGAAACACCATCCTGAAGGGCGCCCCCTTGTAGAAGGTCTGAGATCGCCACAAGTTCAGGCATATGATCGCTCTGTTGGTCTGTTATTTCCACCTGGTATCCAGTCGACTCTAAAAGCTCTCCAAGTGGCCGCTGCCGCACTTCCTCCACTTCGGTTTCTGGAAAATTTGGCCATACGGGACGGGTTTCAACTGCCTGTGTATGAGTGGTTTCTCGGCCCTTGGTTTCCTCGGCTTCCTTCTCGTTGGCCCATGCATCAAATTCAGGTGTAGTAAACAGTGCCCTATATCTCTCCCGCTGGTCTTTCAACTCCGCAGCCTGCACTGCTAAATCTTCTTTTTCCTTGAAAAGCGGATCCAATAGCTCATTGAAAGCCTGTTGCGTGACTTGATATAGGATCTCCTTTCCAGAATCTCGCTCGGCGTCGGGGATTTCTATTCCGCCCCATCGTTCAGGAACACTTCTAGATGACGTGGAGGGATTTGACCTTGTATCAAAATCATCCATGTCTTCAGCAAACCGAACCTTTGATGATGACCGTGAATGCATTGAAGGCCGATGTTGAGATTTTGAGCTTTCGCCTGTTACTGCAGAATCGACCAGGACATCGTCGTCCTCTTTCCAACCACTTGGGGGAGCAGCACCCTCTTCTTCATCCGTATAGAACTGTCTCCGCTTCCACCGGTCATAGATCTCCCGCTGAGCGCGCTCACGATATACAGCGTGAGCGATAACCGTTTGGCGGCTCTCTGGACTCACGTCGTCGACGCAAGTTCCGGGACCCTCAATCGCCTCAGCATCTTCGTCCGTTACAGTGACATAGCTTGGAAGCCATGACTGTTGACCTGCTACAGAGACAGATCCCTCATCAGATTCCGATGAAGAGCCCTCATTATCATTATTCCCATCTTGCCCGGTACGCTCACCTAGGGAGTGTCCATTCGCATTTATGCGTCCTTGGAGTATGTCTTCGGCTTGTTCTCGTATTCTTCTCATATTCCGCACGACGTTGGTCAATTGTTCCTGTGTCTGCGGAGGGTTCACCATAGTTTCCCAATACCCCCCACTATTCATGTTATCATTCCTGCCACCATGCCTATCACTGTCTCTGAGTAGTTGGTGATATCGACTGAGAGTCATTATATTCTGCCGAAAAATATCTTCCCTGTTTCCAGTATCACTGCTACTTTCATTCATGACACCTTTGCCGTCGATAATCTCAAGGTCTCCATTCGTGCGCGACGTTTTTCCTTCGCCTGCACGCACATCTGGAGCCCGAGGATACCGTCCGTCTTGTCCAAAGGCACTGCTAAGAGGCTGTCGGCTGTTCACAAGTCGATGTGCTTCTGTGCTGCTCATCTGCTGCTCTTCCATACCTTCTAACATATCCCGATGCATTTGACGATAGAGAACGTAATATGAGCGGAACATCCGGAGAAAGTCCTTCCTATCAACGTACCCATCTCCATCTATATCGTAGCCCTCAAAAATCCTAGCCCATTTATTCTTCTTTTTCCGGTATCCAATGCCATGAAGGAATTCCGGGAAGCCGATGAGATCATCTTTGTTCGTATCGTAAAAGGCAAACATTCTATCGAATATGAGGCTTGGGCTTGGATGCCTATAACCACCGGAGGGAACCAAGCAACGCTCGAAAGTCTTACGGTCCATAGCCAAGCCGATATCATCTGGGTCTTCTCTCCAGTCCGTGTTGGCCATGAATGTCCATTGTTCCCAATATGCATCCAACTCAGGCCTCTCGAAGCCTGTCTCTCGTGACAGTTTCGTCGTGATCTCCTTTGGAAGCACCCTCATGACCGAGTCCGGATCTCCCGCATACCAAACTGGTTGGATATTCTTAGGTCCGAACGAGGGCCCCGGCACCCTAATCTTATAGAAGATATGGGTCTTCGTATGAAGTCCTTGTGATTCGCAACCCTCGCAGAGGTCATAGTCGGCACAATTAGAACATCGATATCTAATTCCTCTGATTGGCACCGCGCCACAGCCATTGCAACCGCACCCCCTGTGGACATAGGCATTTCGTCTTGTGGCGTCTTCGGAAACTCGAAAAAGAAGCTGCACGATGTTCTGGCCATTCCGCTGGTAGGCTTGTGGCAGATTGTTGAAACCAAATTCCTCCTCGAATGCCTGGTCGTCCACCACGGTATCCCCATCAGTGAGGGTTCTCGCGACTAAGTGCCCTTCTTCGTTTTCATTTTGTTCGGCATCGTTGTCTACGAACAGGGAGGATGGGTCATCGTCGGTCGTAGTATTCCGCCTTCGCCGTCGATGGATGGCGTTTCTTCGATGTAGCCCTCCGCCGGGGAGGGCAGCAGCTTCGGCTTTGTACGCAGCACTGCTATAGAGATAATATGCGCCACAGGCAGCTGCGAGACTCGCGACTAGCAAGACTGCGGCTCTGCTCCTTGACAGCGTGCTCGAGGCTGTGGTTGATGAAGCTGACATATCGGTGCTGTTGATGAAGCATTAAGACCACCCGTTGAGGTCTACCTAACCGTGGAACTCATCGCTAGGGGTCTACCTATCCTTGAGCAGTAAGGGCTAATCTTTTGATTGTATCGGCTTAACGAGATAGTCACGGCGTTGTGAAAGAGGTGTTTAGAATACACTGCTGGAGCACTGGATCATCACGGCAATACGTCGTAAACTGCCTTCCAAGACTTCGCTTCGGGCTTCAGCCTTCCCTGCAGCCTCATCTACATCTACAGCACATAAAAACTCCGGCTTCGACTACACTTTGTAGAGCTGCCAAGACACATAGCTGAATTACTACAAGGAACATTGTTGTTATATATACAAATATATCGCGAAGCATAGGGGGACAAGTAGGTCCACTGCTAGCACCCGAGGGCAGAGCGTGACATCCTTCGGTGGGTATCTTCATATATTCCTCGAATGCATTCCTTGAGACATATGTCTAAAAGAGCCACGCCATTACTGTATTTGAGTTTAAGATTTCCTTTATCCGCATTGAAGTTTGGTTGTCTCTTTGAATTTCTAAATTCGAACATAAAGGTCCTGGACAGTTGGGATCCTGCTTCTGCTTGGCCATTTTGGCAATCGCTTGTTGAATTTTCATAATGTGGAGGAGCCGCAAACAGTCCATGAGGCCGTGAAAGACCTTCTCTATCAGCTATCTAACCCCGCGCAGTTCTCTGATGTAACTGTTGTGATGGTGCCATATGGCTGGGGATCGGTCCATATGAGGTTGAACCTTTCCTTGGATTAACAACGCGATCAATAAAGCGGGCTTTTCTTCTTTCAACTCACGAGTCATCAGGGTAGGTTGGTGGGTTGTTGGCGCCCAGTGCCTCCACAATATCTGATAAGTTGTGATGCTCCCAACATATCAGAATATTCTTGGAGGCTCCTTTTGCGTTATATGCCGATACCAGCTTAGCCACGCATTTGGCATCGTCTTTGTCGCAGGAGGTATCGACTGTCAGACCGAGATCGGTGGCCACCGGTTGAACGGTCAGCAATGGGCGCGTACGTTTTCCACCTTGAGAGCGCATTTGCAAATGTTAGCTTACCCGCACCCCTCTAATTATAATATAGGGATAGAGTTTGGCTACTGACTTGACTTTGGCTGTTCGGCGATGATATACCCGATGTTATACTGGGACGCACTTCCAAAAACATTCCGTAAACATTGAGCACGCTGCTGGCCTTGGATGTTAAGACCATCGCCCCCGTCTGCAGGCTTTTCCCCATGTCGGATTAGATACACAGTCTGTGATGCAGAGGCGACAGCCGCAAGCAAAGCAGCAGTGGTGAGATTGGTGAAACGCATTTTCGCTCGTTTCCGTGTGGATATTCTGATATGGCAAATGGCTTGAGGAGGCAGTTAAATCAGGAAATGACCATTCTTATAATCATCGAGGTTTAAAATTTGCCTCGAAGATCTACCATGCCTCCATGACATCTACACCTGGGCTTGCTCCGTGCAACGGAAAATATCCTTGTCATTCAGGCACGGGCAGGCCGGAGGATTGTCCTGCCATTCCATTTAACACTCGATCCGAGCCACATGGTTTCACGATCCGGCGATATTCTGCACGGTAAGCTTATTTCAGAGCTAGAACCCTTGCTATTCCACCGCAGCGTCATCGCTATTGAGCCAGTGAGAGCAATCCTGCAACGTCTTGACATGAAGAGGATGGTGATAAATGCAGGTACAGTAAGAAAACATGAGATATATTTCGTCCATCTCATCCTTCCGATATTAGGGCCGATGGGGGTTCCGATTCAGCAAGTGGATAAATCGCGATGTTGATGGTAGACATCTGCGATACCAAGGCATCAACATACAAACATAGGTTTTCTTTTAGTTTGATATTAATCCCACTACCACATAATACACAATAAGTATAGACACTATACTGCCCTTGACTATGTCGTGGAATATAACTACTAAGCTTTTCTATCCTTACCTACGTAGGTAGGTACCTAGCCCTTTTCAAGCAAAGTGCGTCGACCCGTGTTGGTATCACCTAGCCCTTGATTCAACGTTACCTATTAGTGCTACTTCCATCTTCAGCTGCCTAATCCAAATGCACAGCTCGTAATTACAGTATGTACCTATTTTCTATACGCAGTACTCCTAGCAGTAATACCATCCATCCAGTCGTTGGAAAAATGGCCAACGGGCCCTTAACACGCCTGATGCTTGCTTTCTGGCGCTCTATATATTTCGATGTAGTGGTATGAGTTCCTCCCGTCGGTTCTTAAGAAAAATTGGTAGCTAGATGAGGAATTTGTTCAACTTTACCCTTTAGGGTCACAGCAGTGCCTTACGGCTGCGATTGAGCATTAGAGGATACGTGAAGGTCGATTATTGACTTGTGCATCTACGGAAGGTAAGATACTTAGGTGATGTAGAATTTAGGAGACTGGGAGGGTCTAAGATATTGGGTGGAGAATAGGAGGTGGATACTGGCATCACAAATTAAAAATTTCCTTATGGGTATATCTACGTCTCATAGGGAGATTCCCAAAGCACGCTGGCACGCCATGTTCGCCTTGAAGTCCTCCGTGCCGGCCCTTAAAATAATACCGGGGAAAATATGTGCAAGCTAGGAATATCATGATCATAACTTCATCCAAATGACCCTCACTTCCGCCCTCTTGCCAGCAGCTTCTCTCCTAACTCAGCGATGGCGTTGCCCCATGAGACTTTCGTAGACCGCCCCTTCTCCTCAACTACATTCCCGCACCTATTGAGAAGGAATTCCCCCATTTTCGGCTCGTTGAACCTCTCACCATAGACAATAGTAGCGCTTGGAGCCATCTCAACAACAATACCCTCTTCCCTACTTTGACTAGTTAACTGAACGGCAAGTTCGACTTTTGTCGTCAAAGGCACAATCAAGAGCGATGACTTGATCATTACGGAATTGTCAGATACTTTGGAAATATGCGTAGGACAGCTCACGTTCAGCAAGAGAATATCATCGACAACGGTGGCCGCCTTGTTCCAGGAAATGCTGACGGCTTTCAGAAGGTCCTTCACATGCGTTTGTGCCTGCGATAATCCTCGAATATAGCCACGAATGGCTTGAAGAAAGAATTCTCGCTCTACTGTCAATGGCTCAGGATTGAGCTCTCTGCTTGCGCCGATGTACCAGAGATCGAGGCGTGCATTCACAGGGTGCCTAGCCGAACTGTCGGCTTCGCTCGGGAGAAATGAGGCGGCGTCGAAAACAAGCTCGATGTCCTTTCGGTAGGTCATAGAGGTAGTAGTACCCGAAACACCAGTAATGGTCCAGCCATGCTCCTGCTCAATAGCATCTACCTTGGCTATGGAAAAATAAGTACAGATGACGTAGAAAGGTGGGGGATACAAACCTTTGAAAGAGTTAATTTCACTCGAGGTCCATCCTCTGCACTCTTCCCTAATTTTCTCTGCTTTGCGGATTTCTTCCATGCAGACTTGCTTTCTCTCGGCACTTGTTCCAAGCTCGACTTCTTCTGCATCTAGCTGTTTACGCAGATCGGTTATCAGCCGCCTTTTCGTTTCAATGTCCGCATCGACGGCAATTAGATCCTGGCGAACGCTACTTAGTTCTTCAGGGTCGCAGTTGGCTAGGTCTTCCGCGGCAGATTGGAGGTCAGTCACTTCATGCTCGAGTACTTCGGCCTTTTGAAGGAGCTGGGGAAGCACAGAGTCGAGTAAGATTTGTTGATGGTCTAGAATCTCTTCATCATGAATCATCCCTTCCCTGGTCTTTTCAAGACCCCCTGTCAATGTGCTGAGGAGAGTCATTCGCCAATCATACCACATTTCTTTGCTCAGAAGTCTTGCATGGGTCTTGACATTTTTCAGCTGATTGTCCATGACGATCTTCATATCAGGCATGGCTGAGATGTATTCGCGGAAGAGGGGGGGGTTCTCTTCGAAAGTCTCGGTTTCAATTTCGCGGACGGTTTTCCGACCTTCTGAGATATAGCTTTTAAGCTCATGACAAGCCTGTATCACGTTAATGACTTAATCACAGGCCAAGCTTTAACACACTTACATGTTGAAATAACTCGAGCATTGGAATAGTAGCGGCTCCAGCGGCAACGCAATCCTCGAGAGATACTTCGGTATCCTCCTTTGGATCCTTTGGATCATCAGTTGATAGTTTCGCGGCAATGGTATGTCTACGCTTGGTTGTCGTCAATTCCATGAAGCGGATATTGGTCATATTTAAAAAGTCCTGTAGTTGGATACGGCCATTCTCAACACTTCCCTCGTTGATCTGTGGGTCGCCGACGGCTTTTCTCTCCGTCAAAGGTACCATTTGACCCGTGAGATTAGCTTCGGCATCTTTGAAATAACCTTGGCTGCGAGGAGTCGTAGCCTTGGATATGTCTGTAGAAGAGATCGGTGGGGCGACGACAGAATCGGCGGTTTCTCCCAGGCTCTTACGAGCAACACGAGCAAGACGTCCGGTTGTTTCGGCCTTAGATGGAGGCCCTTGAAGCCTGACGTTTTTTACTGGGCTGCCTTGATGGCCTTTAAGACGTTTAACCCCCCCATCGTCATCGTCATCTTCATCGTCATCTAACTCAGCCGGGCGTTTCCCCAATACCCCTTTAGCAGCGCCTACGTGCAAACTCTTACGCCCTTTCAAGGGCCGCTTCTTGGGCGTCAAACTTTGGATCATCTCCTTGAGGTTCAAGGTGGCATCCTTCTCATCGTCGGGATGATCTGCTTCGCGATCCATGATGCTACGCCCGTTTTCACAATCCTCTTCTTGGTTACACTCATTGTTAACCTCCTCTTCGATAGCCCGAGGCGCATCAAAACGCACACCGCGGGTAACTTCGCTAAGATGACTGGCCACAAAGGATTTTGCTTGCTTGCCAATTGATCCGCGTCGATCCAGAAGAGCAGCAACTCGGGGGGAGCCAAGCCCTTCGCGGTCAAGACCGATACCCGAAGAACGCCTTCGCTGAGGTGCTAGCACCACAGTTGGGGTTGAAACTCCAGTATTCTGATTCTTCTGGAACAGCTGGCTTGGGGTCACCGCTTGCTTGACTTTGGCAGATTGCGAATTGGAGGAAGCGGCCCGTAATTCGGTTTTGAGTAGTCGTTTCGGCGATGTTGAACGAACTGCAACACTTCTTGAAGGAGGGGTCTTCCCGGGTGTAATTGGGCGAACAGGCTGGGGAGTCAGTCGTTTTGATGGCGTTGTTGGATTCTTAACTGGTGTACTGCAAGAATCAAGTTTGGATTTTCTTGGACTAGTGGAACGTCTTGCCTCAGTGCTACGACGAAGGCCGTTCCCACGGAATGCAGCGAGACTCGGGCTACCTGTTTCTGATGCCACTGTACGTACTGGCGCTGATTCTTTTAGAGGGCTAGTTGCAACTTCTAGTTGGAACGGGGAGCTGCCTAAATCTGTCTCTACTTCCATGACCCTTTTTGCCTCCGCTCGGCTTCTCGGGTCTGGCCCTGGTTGCAAAATGCTACCAAGAGCAGTGGTTATCTCCATGCCAGTGGTTGCATCTTGCTCGTCTTGTGAAGGCGAATAAATGGATGGGATAATGCCTCCAACAGCGGTGGTGATATCCATGGTGTCGTCTCCAAGGCTAGAATCTATACTTTCCCGGGGTCTCGTGTCGCGATTCTTTTGCGTAGCTAGTATGGAAAGTTTACGGGTTCTCGCTGAAGGGTTTCCTTGAGGCAGCATACCCCCAACGACTGACGTAAATTCCATGGTTATGTCTTCGTCGTTGTCCGAGGCTGTTGTATCTGGCGCCTGATAAATACCGCCAACAGCTGCCGTAAGCTCCATTGTACCATCGGCCATTGATGATTCTTTGCTCGTAGATTTCCGGCGTATACTCTGACGTCGACTAGGGGTTATAGGTTTGCGCCTCGTACCTGGGCTGTTAGAAGACTTGTTAGAGATGATTGCTCCTAATGCTCGCGTTACGTCCATTGACATTTCGTCGTCATCTGGTTCTTTCCCCGAGACTATACCACCCATTGGACGGGTCATTTCCATTGTTATATCGTCATCAGCTGGTTCGGTACTGGGTTGTAGGGTATTCTCCTTGACAGCGGCAGAAAATGGATTGATGTTTTCTTGGTCCTGTTGAGATTCGAGATTTTGTACGGAAGCAGACTTTGCCCAAGGTGCAAATGACGCAACAACCTCTTCTTCGGTCAACTCTTGATCTCCATCTTCATCAAATTCGATACCCTGAGTACCAGCTTGACGGGCCGCCTCTCTCAGAGCCTGATCTAAGCGACTACTAGACCCGGTACTTGAGCCGGACTTGATTGATGCCATAGACATATCGGTAGTCTCTCCTCCATCAATACTCATTGCGGTTTCGTTGTCATCTGAGTCGCTGTTCGAGTTAGAATCTGCCTCTTCCCCCCCGACCTCAAAAGCATCGCCTGCGGAGCTACCACTGAATGGACTTGAAGAAAATGCTTCATCATCGAGGCTGTTGAAATTCATAGGAGGTATCCCCGAGCTTCGACGTCGCTTTGCCTGATGCAAATCATGTTGATGGTCAAGACTTGCAACATTTTTGTCTCCCTCTGCTTGCTCTGGTGGTGTTGAAGGAGTCTCAGAAGCATCAGAGTCTGGGAGACTCGGTGTTTGTGAATATGGTGACTCAACAGAACCACCGAATACCGAAGAGGCGTGGCGAGTTGAGCTCGTTGCATTCGATGAGGTGGTGGAGTCTTGGTACTCAACGACTACATCCCAAGTATGAAGTGTAGCCTCTGGCGCAAATGATACTCGGCGATTCGCAAGCGATTTCCTACGAGCATCCCGTCGAGAAATGATCTCCTTTTCCAGTTCCTGCCTCTCTTTCTCGTCCCGGTCCCTTGCTGCAGAGTGTTGTTCCTCTTCCGTACGCAACGTAACGCGAGTCTCATTAACAGCAGGATTACCGTCCATCTGAAAAGGATTCGGGAGGCGGTCGGCCCCAGTTATAGTTGCGCCAGGTCCGGGAGACAAGGCGAAGTCGATTAAATCTTCTGGTTTCTGCGCCGATGGCGGGGTAGATTTCTTCGGACCCCCTTTTCGAGCTGAGATGTGGGCGGGAATTTCTCGCAGCGGCGGCATGGTCGGCTTCAAAATAGACCTTGGAAGCGGCTGAGGAATAGCAGCTAGGGACTTTGGCATAATCAGTGATCAATTGTTCGGGCGAAGAATGAGTAGGCCTGTAGGTACCTTTCGGCGATTTCCACTGGAATTTTTGAGCGCATCCAACCCCCCAGGACCTATACTTTTACTTCTCGACTTTTTCGAGCCTTTGTCACCTGGTGTGGCCCTCTTCCCGCCTCCTAATGCTCCGATATCCGCCGTCATGTTCTCTTGATCCATCATTCTCGCTGTTGGGATATGTGCGAGCGACTTCCGTGACTTTGGGCGCGTCGCCGGGAGCGTAACCTCTTCCCGTGAAGCCATTGGGAGCTGGGTGAGCTAGATGCTCGAAGAAGAAGACGACTATCTCAGTGGCACAGTTGCTAACGGCTATTCATGTTCCTTATGCTTAGCCCTTCGTTGAATATGAATATCAATATCATCATCGCATGTCGCATGTCGGTTGCCATGGGTCCGGCACGTAAACAAAGCACGGTGGAGCGCGTCTCGGCTATGGAGACCGCTAGATCATGCCCGCTTAGCCCGTATTCCTTTTAGCCATAGTTAGGCCGAGGATCACATGACGCACACAAATTCCAGAAGCGAGGATGAAAATCATCTCTGGCGACTCTCTCCAATTTTATCAGAAATCGACAACCCGCAACCGCCATCTCGACGACCACCGATTTGCGACTTCGACCACAATCCGAATCCGCAGTCATGGCCACCGAACTTACCGTGCAATCGGAGCGCGCTTACCAGAAGCAGCCTCACATCTTCTTGAACTCCAAGACAAAGGCAAAGTCCCGGAGAGTCGGCAAGGGTGGACGAAGATGGTACAAGGACGTTGGTCTAGGATTCAGAACACCAAAGACTGCCATTGAGGGAAGCTACATCGGTATGTGTGGAGTTTATTTGCGCGCACTGTCAAGCCGGGAATGGAATGTTGGCATACTTGGATTTTGGCCCGTTGAGGTGGAGTAGAGAGGCCTCGAGGTGTTGTGTTGGGCCGCCAACAAATATCCAGAGAGCGCGCCTTGGTCGATGGAGGATTTATGCTAATATTTGGTTGCTACAGACAAGAAGTGCCCTTTCACCGGCCTTGTCTCGATCCGTGGCCGTATCTTGACCGGCACCGTTGTGTCCACCAAGATGCACCGCACACTCATCATCCGCCGAGAATACCTCCACTTCATCCCCAAGTATTCCAGATATGAGAAGAGACACAAGAACTTGGCTGCGCACGTTTCACCAGCTTTCCGTGTTGTGGAGGGTGATCAGGTTACCGTTGGACAATGCAGACCATTGAGCAAGACTGTAGGTTATCCGTGGCTCGCCGGCCCCTTGCCCGTGCTGTGGAGATGCTGACAGATGATGGAATAGGTCCGATTCAATGTTCTTCGCGTGCTTCCCCGAACTGGCCAGGCTGTTAAGCAGTTTAACAAGTTCTAAACGATTTTCTTCTGGGATTCTTCAAGGCTGCATGGTGTTTGTTGTCTGCGGATCAGCTTAGAGGACTGTGCGCAGACGATATTTGGTGGGGGGCTAGCATGGGTAAAAATGTGCATTAGCATTAGCTACCGAAAGTACATCAATGCAACCATCCTCTGAATTTGGACGCCATTGAATAGGTGATGGGTGCGGAAAGCTACGATGCGCTCCCCCTCTACTGACCTCGATAGAAGTCTAGCTCTGATTATTTTAAGCATTCAATTGAATGGCAATCGTGCGAATACACCTGTCTCCGAGGATCACAATCGGCCGGATTTGTTGCAATTTTCCCACCTGCCTTGGTTGGTAGCCTGCGAGGTCCTTCGATACTGAGAATGCATCTGCTAATCCTCATTTCAAGACTGGGAAACATACTCCTAGTCGATACCATATAAGCATTGCACTATTTAAGTTTTTAACGCATTCTGTAATATGCCCAAGGGGCGACCCCATCTCGCCGTGGATTGTAAAAGACGGCAGTAGGAGGGCAGAGCCTACTTATGCTCCAATCTTAGGAGATATCACCTTCCAAACCCACGTTTCAAGGAGTTTATTATCTCCAGATATCCCAAATATGCAATTCATTTCCTCTTTTCGTGAAAGATTGCCATAACAATATTAGGATCGCGTCTTTTCGCCCACATCGAACCAAAGTAACCACTCCCTAAAATGCAATATAGTAGATTACCTTCAGGTCGGAACCGATCTCGAATCCAATAACTTCGCCAAGTGGTAGGTTATGCTTTAATATTATCCAACTTCTAAATTTGACTTCCGAAAAGATTTCTTGTGTAATGTCTTACGTTTCKTAGTTGCTAACATGGCCTTAGCTGCTAAGAAGAGTAGTTGGTCAGGGAACTTAACGTCATTATCACTACCTACATGACCACGTTTTAGGATAGACATTATTGCAAAACTTTGTTGCAAGGCCTTCTGGTATGAGCTACAGTGTAACGTAAGTGATAAGGCTTGACTACCAATCTCAAGGGTGGGCCCACCATTGCAATGCCGGGCATGCCTTGATGCAAACATTGACTTGCGGTATAGTTTTTTGGTTATTGGCTCTTTTAAAGCATTACTCTAGGGGTCAATAAACTACTTTTGCTTGTGGATGTAAACTATTAAAAGTGAACGTAACAAGAGCATCCACATAGATCTAGAACACATGTAGAGCCTCTGAATAAGAAGTTATATTTTCAGATTATAGCATGGTTGTTTGCTATAGTAGGCGACAATGTTAGTAATATCAATAGCTTAAAGCCAGAGTGTCTTATATCTTTAACCTGTTTAGTAGAAAATAGGAGCCTGAAATTAGATTTATCCTGCTTTGCTCGCGTCTTCCTACTGTTGTACATTTTGAATTTGCTACTGATTACTTACTTAAGTGGGCACATTGCTTATTAACCTCTCTATAGATCAGTATAATAAGATATATCTTAAGTTATTTGTTGTTTATTGTATATATATATAAAATAGTCATAAGTTGTTGGTGCTAAGTACTCTAATTTTGTGAAGTAATTGGACCCCTCGAAGTTAACAAACTACTCTATAGTGAATCTCTTGAAGAGTGTGAATAGTTCTACCGTTTGCGCGAGCTAGCTTAACTGCTATATAAGAAGCCTCTTCTCTCTCAATTCCTTTCCTTCTTTCACACAACCACCACACAGCCACTACTTAACCTCAACAAGACCTGTCTACAAATTACAATCAACACTTCACAGTTCAGAACAACCTCTCCCCAATCACAAACCAATACACCTCCAATCACAGCCCTGACTTTCACTTCTTTCTGCTACAAGGCCTCAACTTCAATCCCAATCGTAGCTTCAGGAATTTACCTCCCCACCCCAAAACCGATAACATGCATCGTTCTATTGCCATCATTATTGCGATCATAGCTTTGCTATCAAGCACCATGGCTTTCAGTATTAAGTTCGTCAATCGTGATAATTACCAGCGTACTGTCTGCTGGTTTCCGGAGCGCAACCATAGCGGTATCAAGGACAACAACTATCCCGATATTCCAGGTACAATTGTCCCGGGCAGAAAGTCTGTTACAGTTGGCATGCCCGATTCAGGAAATCACGCCCTTCGCCCAGGATGGGTTGGTGCTTTTCGTACCATCTTTGATGGTGGGGACCCTTTTACACCTGCTGTGCGTGGAGAAGTGAACTTCGAGGACATCCTGACCTGGTACGATATCAGTATGGTTGACAATAATTCTGACAACTCTGGCGTCCACTGGCTTTACCCAATCAGTGGCAACGACGTCCACCATGGTTGCACGACATTTCCTTGTAGCAATGCATTTTCGAAGCCAGGTGAGGCACAGACACAGGTCACTAACGAGCATGACCTTGAGTGCCTGATCGGTGGATAGGCGAACTGAGCTAAATATAAGTGCCACTTTTGACTAGTAGCAGATCACTCAAGGGTTGCAACACTTGGCGTACACCAGCTTGCTCTCGACATGGTCACCTTTCTACGTCTATTACAGGACTTTTACAGCAGGCTTCTATTTACACTTTAGGGCTACAGGTCTGAAACCCAGCGGCTTTTATGAAATTCACTATCTGGCAGATCGGCGTATCCTTGAGGACGTTCATAATCAGGCTTTGTGCACGGAACCCCACCACCACGCAATCTAGCTACTACACCCGGCGTTCTTGTGGTGCTGGTCTAACAATACCATTGCCTTCAATCATCTTCTTTTGACTTGTTTATGATTGTGATTTGTGGTTGAGATCTTTCAAGTCACCTGTAACCATTGCATCATATGAAAATTTCAGTCTGTAGTTGGTTACTTATGTTTTAATTGATTCACATATGAGATGACTAAAAATACAAAGGTGTGCATTACAAAACCCTATCACCATTGTTACGTGAAACTGCTGTCATGTAAGCCCCTTGTTTCGGTTTTTGAATCATAGCACAATAACAACGCTATTTTATGTAGCCCTTGGTTTAAACCAGACCTAAGTGCTTAGGGTTGGTTTGTGGGGACGTCCATCTCTGCCCTTGACAAGTGCCGCTTATGCTGGTCTTAGCCTGGCGAAGGACGAGAGTTGGAGGAGATTACTATATAATTTTACTTGGAAAATTAACAGGAAGCTTCAACTTGTTATATAGCGATGCTAACTCCCGTGGTATAACTAGAGGTAAATTTATGCTCCTAAATCTCTCGCAGAAACACTTCCCTCCGGAAAAATGAAACGAGCCTTAGAATTTAGGTAGGGATACTGTATGGTGTAAATCAAGTTAAGAAATTATTTATCCCACCTTGATTATAAAAAATCTAGTAGCTTTATCTTTGTGTTTCGTTAATATGTTTCTTATACTCGGTACCTTTGGTAAGTCCCTACGTTGAGCAAAAGGGGTGTTGCCCCTTTAATTCTCGCTTATAATTGGCGAAAAGGGGCAAGACAGGTGAAGCCAGCCACTGGCAAGCCACATTACATTGGGATATATACCGTCTATCACCCTCGGTTTGTGAAGACGATGAGAGATTTGTTGATATATCGTGCTACAAACGAAGTAAAGGGCCCTTAACGATAACGGGATTGGGATTGGCTTGATTACCCTCCTGCTAAGTAGGGGTAGCGAGGCCTCCAGTCTAAATCACTGGGTGATGCAGCGTGCGGACCTTTGCAATGATATTTTCAAGGGCCGGCAGGTGGGAACATAGATATTACCATGTCTAGTCTAGCCCGGTCATATTTACTGTGGGGTAGGCGTGGTCACTGCGGGAACAAGATTGTTAAATTATTGAACCTAACAAAAACTTTGAAAATCCGAACTGACAACAGATAATGAATCGTCGAAACGACGGAATTCAAAAATGTATCCTCCTTGCATATCCTGTCCCGGCGACTCCAGAGTCTACGAAGTACTCGTGCAACGCCAGATGATTATACCTCGGCCTCAATTCCGACCAAAAAAGAAAAGCGTACGATAACGATAGAGCGGCTGGGCCTTTGCAAGTTTGCATCTAGTAAGTTCCTAGGAAAATGGCGCGCTAGTCTCGCTCCTTGAGTAGAAAAAGTCTGTAGGCAAAACAGGAGCTGCCGCTTTAATTCTCGTCTTTAGACTTCGGAGTACGACAGATGAAGCCAGCCATATCGTCTTGACTGGTGACTTCAGAACCCGCTTTGGAGGAAATTCGGAATTGCTATAAGATTTACAAGGGGCCAGAATACGTTTGATGCATATTATATTGTAGTTCGTACTTTGTAGTCTGGATCTTGAGCATGGCATGTTATTTCCGGAATATTCGCTTTGTCCCTAAGTACCTTAAGGTACCTTAGTACTACTACATGGGTGGTCTGTTTAGCCTACCGAGCCCAATAATACCCCTTTTACCGCTCCTTGGCCCGCCTTGGGACATGATAACCTCTTGCGGAACGGAGCGTGAGCTCAGTAATCGCCAATCGAGAACGCCACCAGATCTGCTGCAGTAGAAATCTGGGGAAGCTTCTGAGGTGGAGCCGAAAGGAATGCGGAGACTCGGCTTGACGGGCCCGAAGTCATATTACTGCAACCGTATATCAGATAATCATGCCTTACCTAGTCAAGGAAAGCCAAGCCGACGATGGGCTACTCATTCATAACTTGGAACGGCTTCTTTAGCTATGCTACACCTTGCGAAAAGGAAAACTCCTATGGGACTTCGTGGCATTCGAGTACTCTCCTCGGTACTCGGCTCACTCAGCCGGCAGTAACAGCTAAATCTTGATGTTGGGTGGGCCCGTGGTTCCGAATAAATTGCGGATATATTGCCCTGGGCCTAGTTGAGAGTATCATCTCTCATATACCTCCACACTTTTGCCCCATCGGAGCGTGGCTGCCGGAACTCGCACCGCCATTTCATTTCCACCATGTGGATGACTTAACAAGCTGCAGCTGGGATTGGTGCTCGGAACGGAAAACTACATGGAACGAGTTGCGAGATGCAGTGGTCCCTCTAGATGGCGGATTGTATAAACTCCGTCTTGGTCCTTGGAGCCCTCTCTGACGCGCGTATTTGGCTAGGAGGTGTTCTATAGATTCTTTGGTATATCTTTCGAGTGCCCGCTTCTTGTTTGTCCTTTGTTAAGAAAGCATTCTACTCTCTCTCTCCCTCTCGCCTTCTTCTTCCCGTACTTCCTCCTTGGCCAAAATGAGATTCCAGAGCGCTCTGTCACTGGCAGCAGTGGTTACCAGCGCTTCTGCCCATACCATATTTACCAACCTCAAGGTTGGATCAACAACTAATCCAGTTGGCTACGGGATCCGAGTCCCATCCTACGATGGCCCTATTCAAGATGTATCCTCATCAGATATAGTTTGCAATGGTGGCCCCAACCCTACCACGCCATCTGACAAGGTCATCGACGTTAAAGCGGGTGACACAGTCCAAGCCATCTGGAGACATACTTTGACCAGCGGCTCGGATGATGTGATTGATTCCAGCCATAAGGGGCCCACTATTGCATATCTCAAGAAGGTCACCGACGCAAAAACAGATTCCGGGATTGGCGGGGGTTGGTTCAAGATCCAAGAAGCAGGTTACAATGCGGCGACAAAGACATGGGCGATAGACGACCTCATCGCAAGTGGAGGCGTCCACAGCATCAAGATTCCGTCCTGCATTGCCAATGGCCAATATCTTCTTCGCGGAGAGTTGATTGCCCTGCACGGCGCAGGGTCATCTGGCGGTGCCCAGTTCTACCTGGAGTGTGCGCAGATCAATGTCACTGGCGGCACAGGGGCCTCAACCCCTTCGACTGTCTCCTTCCCAGGCGCATATAAAGCCACCGATCCTGGGATCCTCATCAATATCTACCAAACGCTCACGAGCTACACCATTCCTGGCCCCGCACTATTTACCTGTGGTGCCAGCTCCGGGCCATCGGTCCCAGATATACCTTCGACGCCAGGAACGACACTTGTTACCAGCTCGAAGCCTAGTGCGACGGCAACCCCCAACAACCCATCCGGGGCGCCGCTCTATGGACAGTGCGGCGGAACGGGTTGGGGTGGAGCGACCACTTGTGCCCAAGGGACATGCAAAGCGACGAATGAGTGGTATAGTAAGTTCCTCCCTTCTCATTTCACTCTCTGAGCTGTGTATGAGACAAGCAGCGGTTGGCCGAGCCGGCGAAGCTGTACATTGGGCTAATATATGTTCGCGTGATATTAGGCCAGTGCATGCCTTAAGTCAGTTGGATTTGAACGAAGAGAGTTCGTCTCGTGAATGTTGTAGCAAGGGATGGTGTAGGCTGGCGAGTTGGGAGTTGGAGCTATTCAAGTTGTATATACTGGGTCCCCTGCCAAATTAGAGCCTGTTTCCTAGCTTGTATATAGATCCTGTTTGCCGAGAGACAAGCGCCTTATATGCGAGAAAGCCTTTTCCAACGTTGATGTCGATGCCTGGAAATCCGGCAACCCGGTTACAGGGCGGCCGCAAAAGTTTTGAGAATGAATCAGCTGCGACCAAGAATTAGTTCGGCCAGCCTAAAGACACTAAGGGGAACATAGAGAACGAACAAGCTCACGACAATCGGATTTCACAAGCCCAAAACATGACATTTAGAAAGCACCACGGGCAATTCTACTCAGTTACAAAATAATGAGAGTACACAGTTTGCGAGCCAAGCCCTTCCGCACAGTTGTCCAGCCAAGAAACTCCCGCTAATAAGCACACGCCAACCAAATACATGATTGCCAATTGGATTCTTTGCCTTACTTCCTAAACACCAACCTAGAGTTATACGATCGCACTTACTAAGACAAAGAAGAGTAGGAGTGGCTGATACCCTATTCCCATTTGCGGCCAAGCATTTTCACCACTTGGCTATGGATTCGACCTAGTCTCCCCATTCTCTCCAACTGGAGTCGGCGCAATCCTTCGCTTTTTTTTCTCGCCCCCAACATCCTCCCTATCGTTTTCACTAGCTTCCCGTTTAATACCGCTGACCGAGCTCGTAGTGCTTCTTGGTGTTTGTGGCGGTGTCGTCATCGGCATCCCAGTAAAACTCAAGTTCCCCGCGGCAATACTAGGCAAACTCCCCCCTACTAATGTAGGGTTACTTATGACTGTACCCACAATTGGGGTAGCATATGAAGCTTGCGTTGCTATCGATGATGTGGAATTTGACCGTGTAGGGGATGACGGTCGTACCGACGGATTGGAGTGTGCGGGTGGTGGCGATGGGGCAACGGAGAGGTTGGAGGAAGTTCGATGGTGATGGCCGGAGGCTGGGAAAGGGGATGGTGGAGCTATAGAGGTAGGGGTTGCCATTGGTGTGTTTTGTGACGATGATACTGCGGTGTTGCTGATTATCGGATGCTTTGCGGTTGGTACTTCACCAGTGTATGGCTGTCCAAGCTCTCCGGAGGTGAATGTGAGGGTGGAGCAAAAACCATCTGACGAGGTCATTAATAAAGTTAACCCGTCATTAGACCTAAGAAATATTAGTGGTAGAAGCTGAGATAGTAGAGCTGGGTTTACCAAGTCAAGTCCGTGAACGTGGCACAGTGAAGATTGCTGACGATGCATAGCGGAGTTTGTTGTTGTGTATCGTACATTAAGACAGAATCTTCTGTAGCAACGGCGTATATCATACGGTATGGTAGAGAGAATGCCATGGCCGGGCCCTGTGTAGAAGCATTCATCTCGACTTCCGAAGTCCTCAGCTTGGGCGATGAAGTTCGGCAGGAGGAATCACTCATTTGAGGTACAAGTGGTGGAGGTTCCATGAAGGAAGCCGCCGGCGATTTTGGAATAGCCGGTTCAGGGAGAGCAGCCATGGCATCTTCTGTTGACGAGGTGTCAATGGTGATATGCTTGGTTTGCGGAGGTGCCTTTCGCTGCGCGTAAAATATGGGGGAACATTTCACCACTACCGAAGGCTTTTTATGGCCTGGGAGGTGGGCTATTGGGGGCTTGTTGATCCCCCCTCGCGTGTAAATGTATACCGTATTGACTACCTCGTACACCGCCTTCGCTACTTCATCTAACCCCTTATGCTGCGTCTGATATTGTCCCGCGGGAGTGAAAAGAAGGCTACCGTCTGGTGTGAACGTCAATCGGCGGAAGAATGATTTAAGGGTATCGTTGGCGTATAAGTTGGCATTCTTGACACCGAATCCATGGTATGGTTTTGGTGAAGCTTCCATTGGCATTACGGCAGGCAATGGTAGGGATGGTGCTGGGGACGCGGATCGTCGCATTGACATGGCTGGGGACGGGGCTCCGAACGAAGACCGCCTACTATGGCTTATCGTACTCGGGGGGTTCATTGGCAAGGCTAAGGATGTAGGCGTGCCGGGACAGGAGGGCACTGGTGATCCTACTCCATTGCTCGATTCCTCTCGAGACATCTGAGAACCTCGAAAGCTCATATCAGGGGGAGCTGGGCTGTTTGAGGAGATCCTTCGCCCCGGCAAGTCCATTTTTATGTTGTTCCCAATCTTCTTAGGTATGTCATCGCGGTTATCGAGGACATAACTCCCATCCTTGGTTCTGAGGGTATAAATATGGACGGAGCGATCGGAGGATTGTGTTGCAATGTATTCGTTTAGAGGGTCCCATGCAACTCCTTGGACATAATGTTGATGTTCCGCAATTTGCCGTATGAGTTGACCTAGATCAATTAGTCTCAAAAGTAGATGAAGGAGCCAAATAAACGTACCAGTCTGGGCGTTGTAGATTCTAGCAACATTGTCCATACTCCCTGTTATAAAATAAACGCCATCAGGAGACCAGGCTAGGTCGTATATCTCGGCGCCTGTTGAACGGCACATGTGCCTTGTCCGCCATGATTCTTTGTCTTCGATGCCATCGTCTCCAAAGGTAGGTTTGGAATTTTGGGAGTCGAGAACCCATGTAATCACGTTGCCATCGTCGCCGGCGGAGGCTAATACATCTCCTGGTGAGGGTTAGGAAAGACGCCAAATATCCGAGAGGGACGCGACTTGCCTCGGGGAGCCCACCGCACCACGTTAACAGTTTGGGTATGGCGGACCATGGTACACAGGTATTCGACCTTCCTATCTTCTCCCTCCGCATCTATTCTCCATAGCTGTTGGGGGCGTCAGCATTTCCTCCCTCAGTTACTGCTAGCCAGACTGCAACCCACCCGAACATTGTTATCACCACCGCCCGTTGCCAATCGACCTTTCCCGTGAGGCTGGAAATCTGCCGAATAGATTGGCGCATTCTCGGCATGCCAGTTGACAATGATGGGGGCGGCTTTCATGCTGGAGGACTAGTTGCAGCGGACGGGGCAGCCGTGATATTCCTTGGAGTCGCGCCAGCGCGGGGAGGCTATGTTATTCTACCGCAAAGCAGCTTGAAGGCGACCGATTGTGAAAGTGAGCTGAGTATTGGGCTATGGGGGAGTTCAGTTCTAGAGGCGCCAGAAAATCGCATAGAAGAAAGAACAAAGGAAATCAAGAGGCGGTCGGTTTAGAGCGGGAGCGTAGGATGATGCGGATCCCTGGTGTGGTGTGTATATCGCCAGGGATTAAGGTTGCGTAGAAGCGGAGGTCGAATTATCATACAGTGGTACAGAGAACAGGTACTGTAGCGCTACCAAGGCGAAGAGCGAGCGCCCGGGAGCTTGGATTGAAGGGGGTATTCAATTCAGCAGTGCGGCGGAGGAGAGGAGAAATGCCAAATACTGTTGGTATCTAAGGTAGGTACCTTTAGGTAGGTACTGTACTGTAAAGGTACATGTACTTTGTAGTGCGCCTTCATGCTTTGAGTGCGAAGTCAAACACGCCTGAAAGGAAGCACAAGGGGTCGGGCGTCAAACACACCAAAAAAAGTTAGGTCTGCAATACAATGCCCCTGGGTGGCTGAAATGGACTGGATGGCACATTGCACACACCGATTGCTATTTCTTCGTTTTCTCATTTGTTATTTCTGACAGTGTCTCCAGATCAAATGCTGAATTCTTCGGCCTCGTAGCCCACTCGAGCACAATTGCTCCGGTCTATAGGCTACCTACGAAGTAATGGTAAGGTGCCTTACCTTTGCCTTATCCATGGATAAATACGATAAGCATCATCCCAATTTGTGTTAATGGTATTTATTAGTTGGCATGCAGCTTACAGGCGTTTGGTCCTCCTGTCCCTTCAAGTTCCGAAGCATCAATCAAGCGCCAATCGCCCCAAAACCCAATTAACCCTAAACTTGGCCAGTCCGGGATGCAGTGGCAAAGCATCAGCACTAGCACCAGCACCAACACATGCACATGCACAAGCCCGCGCAGAAACAGAAACAGAAACAGTTACTAGTGATATATACTCTGTGGTGTTGATGTTGAGGAAGAGCGACGGAACAAGAGAGGGGCGTGTCCGATGTCTGAGCTCGACTGGACCAAGTACGAGCAACCAAGGAGCAAGCAAACCATCTCTGCCAGAGGTTAGGTTCACTCATAACTGAGCTGCTGCTTAAGGTATGTATGGGCGAGCAACAGCTTATTTACACACTGTTGCGGAAGCCCTCATTTGCTGGGTAGCAGTAGACGAGATCATGGGATGGGATGGGAAGAGCGCAGCTTGAAGTTATTCCGGATGCCCTGCTATTGGCATCTCCTGTGAGTCGGAAGTCGTAAGTCGTTCGATCTCCACGGCTTGCCGTCCGTTATTGCAATTACAATTGGATTTGCATTTACATTTACATTTACATTTGCATCCGCACTGCTCGTTTCTAGTAAACTGATTCCATTTCGTCCCCGGTGTGTTAGTTGGATGTTGGACGCCTTTACTGTGGGAATTGGTAGACACTCCGCCCCCATCGCTGGGAATAATAAATATATATTATTTCAGTTGAGTCCGCCCACCTTCGCTTTGTCGCCTAGCCGTCCCCCCCACCGCCATCGCGCCATCGAACTGCTGCAGGACCAGGTATTTATCATGTATCGGAGTAATGCTTCGTCCTGACCGCTGCAATCACCTACCCCACTATCCACATTCCCCCCAAGGTACCTAGGTATTTACCTTACCTATTTACCTACAAAAGCTTGCCGTGTGTGCTGACTTGTGTGTTGTGTTGTGTTGGGCTCCGTCCTAAATCCAAGTTTTTACATTGAATACGGAGCAATCCCCTTCGGCCCTCGCACGCCGGTTGACTCAGACTCAGACTCAGACTCAGACGCAGATGCAGACGCAGACTTAAACCTAGACCGCCTCTCGTGCCGCCGCAACGCAAGCGTCCAGATATTACGTGATATATAAGGTACCTGTACTCGAGTGAATCTTTACTCGTTGGCTACTTTCATACACATTCACACATACTCGTTCACTGCGGTACTGCCTTGTCTTGGTTGGATATTTCTCCACACCGTATTGCTGCAATATCCTATCCGATCTGATCCGACCTAAGAATGCTGCATTTCCAGAATATTTAGGCCGTTCATAATTACTCGATTCAAGATGCTCGAGGACGGTTCAAGGTTGACTGCTGCAGGGGTTACTGGCCTTGTGCTGGTGTTGCTTCTCACTTTCCCGTCGTTCACTAGCATATCAATTCACATCCGAGAATCCAAGTCAAATCCCAAACCCAAAATCTACGAAGATGAAGATGGAGTTGCAACGGAGCAATCAATGGCAAAGTACTCGGCCAAGATTCCCAAGATCTTCCATGTTTTTTTCACGATTTCCGGCCTCTCTGCCGCCGTCGCGCTGGCTATCCTCGCCACCATAAACTCTCCTAGAGGCATGTTCGCTGATGACTGGTTGAATGTAGCGCAATGGGTTCGTCCTATATACCTCTTTAAACCCGGCGTCCAAAAGGCTGACATTAACTAGTTCCTACTCGTGGTTCAGGCGCTCACCATTGCAAGCGTCCGAAACACGCTCAGATCTTATACCCTCGGGGTATTTTCATTGATCTCTTGCATGTTACTTCTTGCAGTGCTTCTGATACAAGGCATGCTTTTAGCTCAAAATGTTGGGGTGAGTAGTTCATTAGGAGCCACTGGTCTTCAAATTGCACAACTGGTCCTCGTGGTCTTTGCTGCGCTTGCTAGTGTCTCCATTCCACGTCGGCCAGATGTATTTTATGATGGAGCTTTTGTTGATGGCATGAATACTGTATCTGCTCTCGAGCGCTACAGCTTTTCCTGGGTTGATCAACTACTTGCCCTTGCGCGGAAGAAGAAAAGACTGGATCAAAATGACTTGCCGAAAATGGATCACTACACTCGAGCTAGAGACCTAAGCGAAGACTGGAGACGGAAAAAACATACCCAACGCCTATGGATAGAGATATTTCTGGTTCACAAGGCGCAATTCATCACTCAATGGTTCCTAACTCTCCTCCAAGCCTTTGGGAATTTTGCCCCGCAATTCGTTACGTATCACATCTTGCGTATCCTTGAAAGGCGAGTTGCGGGACAGGCCGTCAGTTCCGAGGCTTGGATTTGGGTATTGATGCTCACTCTGACTACTGTAGGTGCCGCCTGGAATGAAGCTTGGTTGTTTTGGATTAGTTGGTCGGGCCTCGCCATCCCTATCCGATCACAGCTCTCAAGCCTCATATTCCAGAAGGCTATGCGAAGGAAAGATGTGAAAGGCACTTCTAAATCTAGAAAAATAACATCTAGCGAGGGCACTGATCTTATGAATGCACCCGGTGACGAAGTTGCTGGAGACAAGCCGAAAATCGACGGGGATAAAAGTGACCCAAAAGGCAAACAATCCACGGTTAATCTCATCGGTGTTGATACAAAGCGCGTTTCAGACTTTTGCTCTTTTAACAATTACTTTCCAGGTTGTCTTTTCAAGCTGGCCATATCCTTCTCATTCCTACTGAGCATCCTTGGGTGGAAGGTGTTACTTTGCGGATTTTTAGTTATGTCTCTGACCCTTCCTGTTAACATTTACTTTAGCAAGCGGTACTCAGCCGCACAGGATAGGCTTATGAAGGTTCGAGATGTAAAGATGGGAGTTGTTACGGAAGCACTACAAGGTATGCCTTGAGAAGGATGTGAGAAAGTCTCTATTACTAACAGCCTGGAGGTATCCGGCAAATCAAATTTTCTGCTCTAGAATCTAATTGGCATGCCAAGATTGGCAAAATTCGAGCCAAAGAGTTGGCTGAACAGTGGAGTGTTTATGTGTCAGTAACGCAACCAAGCCCCATAGCTGCATTGACTAACTCGAGACCAGCTCCGATACTGTTTTGATTTTGTGAGCTGTGAACCTGAGGGTGCAAGTTAATTTCCCGCTAACATTCGATAGCTGCTGGATCACCGGGCCTGTAGCACTTTCCGCAGCATCCCTCTCTCTCTACGCCTGGCTATATGGAGAGCTATCTCCATCAGTAGCTTTTACCTCCATTGGAGTATTTGGGGGTCTTGAGGTAACATTGGCTGTTATCCCAGAACTCACGACGTATCTTATCGATGCGTGGATCTCTATCGAGAGAATTGAGAGGTACCTGAACGCCCCCGAGATAACTAAGAATACCAATGACGCACCGAATATATCGTTTGAAAATGCGTCGATCGCCTGGCCATCGGATGAGGAAAAGGAAGATGGCGACGAGCGTTACGTTCTACGAAATGTCAATATTTCATTCCCGGAAAAAGAACTAAGTGTCGTAAGTGGCAAGACTGGAAGTGGCAAAAGCTTGTTGCTAGCAGCTATACTTGGAGAGGTTGACCTTCTTTCCGGGAAGATCAATGTCCCGCGATCTCCTCCTACTGAAGAACGCCATGATCACCTCGCTACAAAGGATAATTGGGTTATTCCCTCATCCATCGCCTTCGTGGCTCAGATTCCCTGGATTGAAAACGCTTGCATTAAAGACAATATCCTGTTTGGTCTTCCATTTGACCAATATCGATACCAGAAAGTCATCGAAGTATGCGCTCTGAAGAAAGACTTGGAAATGCTTACTGATGGAGAAAATACCGAGATTGGAGCTAATGGCATAAATTTAAGCGGTGGACAGAGATGGAGAGTCACCTTTGCTCGTGCTTTATACTCACGGGCGGGTATATTAATCTTGGATGATATATTTAGCGCCTTGGACGCAAACGTTGGGCGATTCACGTTCGAGGAAGGATTAGCAGGCGAGTTGGGTATTGGGAGGACCCGAATCCTAGTCACACATCATGTCGCACTTTGCAAATCAAAAACCAAGTATATCGTCGAGTTGGGCAACGGAACTGTCGAGAATTCCGGCTTAGTTCAAGATTTTGAGAGCGACGGCACGCTAGACGAGATGATAAAGCGTGAAGAGACCGAGCAAGAAACCCAGGAGGATGAAGAATCTACAGCCGTCAACTCTGAACAATTCTCCGATAGTGAGAATACTAAGCAGTTTAAGGAGGTCAATTCTAAGACAGCTGCCCCGAAGAAGTTCGTGGAAGATGAAGCGAGGGAAAAAGGCGCAGTTAAGACTGCTGTTTATTTGAACTACATGAAGTCGAGCGGTGGCTGGCTATTCTGGTCCGTTGCAGTCCTTTCGTACGCTATCGTACAGGGATTTGTCACTGGTGAGTTGCAGCACCCTAGCACTTTATTCTTTTCCTATAGTGCTAGTATCTAGCTAGGCCGGAGAACTCGATAAGAAAATTCCGTAGTATAAAGCTAGCGGAAAGAAATACTAACGTGGGCCAAGGTCGATCTTGGTGGCTTCGTCTTTGGACCGGCGATACGACTGATCAGCACCAAAGTATAAAACATACGCTCGCCTATTCATTCCAAGTCAATGGCCTCTCGCACGGCTTTACCCCTTCACTCAACTCCAGCGCTCCGATCAAACACACTGACAACATTGGATATTACCTAGGTATTTACGTAACACTCTCTGTCGTGTCAATATTCGTTGGGACATTCAGATATTGGTGGATTTATACTGGCTCCATTCGCGCATCCCGCAGCCTTTTCGACAAACTCAGCTTTACTATCCTCAGAACCCCCTTGAGATGGATGGACACTGTTCCTCTAGGCAGAATTCTTAACCGTTTTACAGCGGACTTTACTGTCGTCGACGCTAAACTTTCTATGGATATTGGTTTCGGAGCCAATAATCTATTCCGCTTAATTGGAATTATGATTGCAGGGTGAGTCAGACTCCCTAAACATAGACAGAAAGGCTATGCTACCAATTAAATTTCTCTAATCCGTGAGCTCTCTTATTAAAGAGGCTCTGGGTGTATCTGAGAGGATTACAACTGCCTCTACGTAGTAGGAGGCCAAGGCTTTGGTGTGCTGCTTTTGTGTCTATTTCGAGACCTATATCCCATTTCTTATACCGCTTTCTAACATATCCTTAGTATCTTCGTTTCGCCGTGGGTGATTATCCTGTCCCTCATGCTCCTTAGCCTATGTCTCCATGTCGCCCTCCGGTTCCTACCCGGTGCCCGAGAAGTTAAGCGTCTTGAGTCCATCGCCAAGTCTCCTATCTTCGAGCAATTTGGTAGCGCTCTGACTGGAGTTGGGACCATCCGGGCTTTCGATAAATGTGATGTGTATATTTCACGCATGTTCTCCAAGATCGACGACCATACTACATCCTTCTGGCACCTTTGGGCATTTAACCGCTGGATGGGCTGGCGCATGGCTCTGATAGGGGGGTTCTTCGCCACATTTATATGTATATTCATTCTGCTGATGAAAGATATTGATGCCGCACTTGCGGGGTTTGCCCTTTCCTTTGCACTCGAATATGGCCAAGTGGTAATCTGGACCATCCGGCACTACACGAACCTCGAGCTCAATATGAACGCCGCTGAGCGTATTATGGAGTACTCAAACCTAGCAACAGAACCACTTGACGGCGCCGATCCTCCTGCAGCTTGGCCTAGCGAAGGTCGCCTTGAAGTTAACGACCTCGTCGTTGGTTACGCTCCGGACCTCCCACCTGTGCTAAAGGATTTGACATTTACAGTTGAACCTAATGAGCGGATCGGAGTCGCCGGCCGGACTGGGGCTGGCAAGTCCTCTTTAACGCTCGCTCTCTTCCGCTTTCTTGAACCCCGCGAAGGTTCGATTCATATCGACGGTCTTGATATCTCGACCATCAAGCTGCAGGCCTTACGCTCCCGCCTTGCTATCATCCCTCAAGATCCCGTTCTCTTCTCCGGGACTGTACGTTCCAATCTCGATGCCTTCGACGAGCACACTGATGCCGAACTCCGCGACGCACTTGTCCGTGTACATCTCGTTTCCTCTTCAGACTTCAATACCTCCCCTGCGTCACCCACTTCGCAAGCCTTGCCCGCAACTTCTCCCGCCGGCAATTGCAACACTTTCACCTCTCTCAATTCCCCTATCTCAGAAGGCGGCCTCAACCTCTCCCAAGGCCAACGGCAACTCCTCTGCCTTGCGCGAGCCATCGTATCCCGCCCTAAAATCATGGTTCTAGACGAAGCTACCTCCGCCGTGGATATGGCAACCGACGCACTCATCCAGCGGAGTATCCGTGAGGAATTTAAGGATTCGACACTAGTTGTTATTGCACATAGATTGAGCACTATTGCGGATTTTGATAAGATTTTAGTTATGGGCGAGGGAAAGGTGGTGGAGTTTGGGACGCCAAGGGAGCTTTGGGACAATGAAAGCGGTGTGTTTAGAGCTATGGTGGGGGAAAGTGGGGAGAAGGAACGGTTGGAAGGGATTATGATGGGGAATGTGCCGCACGCGGAGTAGCATGGGGAGTCAACAGTGGTTTGAAGTAGCACCGACTGGCATTTGAGCAAAATTGTCATAAACGAGGGGAGAAGGAGAGTAAATAAAACGGTGCGATTATTTGCATCACATCGAGTAATATTTGGACATTCACGAAATCACCACGTGTATATGAGTGGACAAGCGGCATGATGTATGGGAGTTAGTACACAGAATAGACTTACAGTTTTTAATACCTTAAAAAGTAGCAAATATAGGTCATCAAACCCCCTCTTTACCACCTAAAATGACCCTAGCCATGATAAAAGGACAATATAATCATGTTGTACAAGTAATTTTAACTTACTATCTCCACATCATATACCGCAACCTCTCCCTAAATCTAGACTAACCCTAACATTCTTCACTTATAGGTCAGTAATTCATAACAGAAAGTTGGTTACCGCTCCAGTTATTTTATAGATGCCTCCGATTTTCGGTCGACCTATTTAGTAGAACAAAACCGAGTCAAGCAGACCTTGTACGAAGCTTTGGGTTTCAAATTTCATTATCATCGCACAAAAGATAATTTTGATTGGACTATCAAGTCTGCAAAGGCCCACCCATACCACCATAAGTGATAGTCTTAATGATCTGGAATTCCGCAATCCCATACTTACTGCCCTCTCTCCCAAAACCAGACTCCTTTACTCCGCCAAACGGCGCCGCAGCATCGCTGATCAACCCCGTGTTCACACCGACCATTCCCACTTCAAGTCCTTCCGCAACTCGATTAACGCGCTGCAAATCTCGTGAGAAGAAGTAACCGGCTAGACCAACCTCGGATGAGTTAGCCATCTTGACGACCTCCTCCTCGGTGTCGAATTTAAAAATTCCGGCTACGGGACCAAATGTCTCTTCAGATGCGAGAGCCATATCCATAGTCATACCTGTGATGATGGTAGGTTGGAAGAAGTTGGCGCCAAGTTCGGGCATTTTTTCTCCACCTTGGATTACTTTCCCTCCCTTCTTTTCAGCATCGCGTACGTGAGCATCGACTTTGGTGACAGCTCGGTCGTGGATTACCGGACCGTGAGTTACACCTTCCGTGTAACCACCACCAACCTTGAAGTCTCTCACTTTGGCAGCGAGCTTTTGCGCAAATTGGTCGTAGATCCCAGCTTGTACGTATAGCCTGTTGGCACAGACGCATGTTTGCCCTGAAGAGCGGAATTTGCTTGCAACTGCGCCTGCGACGGCAGTATCGACATCTGCGTCGTCAAACACGATGAATGGTGCGTTACCGCCGAGTTCAAAGGAGAGTTTCTTCAAGGTGGAGGACGATTGCTTCATGAGGAGTTTACCAACGGGCGTAGATCCTGTGAAGGATACCTTCTTGATAGCTGGGGATGTGGTGAGGATTTCGCCAATCTCTGGAGTGTTCTTGAGTCCGCTGACGATGTTGACGACACCTCTGGGAATACCAGCTCTGTGGGCGAGTTCGACAAGAGCGAGGGATGTAAATGGTGTTTCGCCGGGAGACTTGGCTACCACTGTGCAGCCCGCCGCAAGAGCAGGGCCAATCTTTCGGGTGATCATGGCCGCTGGGAAGTTCCAACTAAAAAGATTAAGAAGCTGGTTATATAATCCACTTGAGATTAGGGCTGCTTACGGTGTGATAAGCCCGCAGACACCGACTGGCTCCTTCATTGTCACCACCCTATTGCCAGCAATTGATGCCGGAATTGTCTCTCCGTATATTCTTGGTGCCTCCTCACTGAACCACTCCAAGAACGTGGCAGCATATGCTGCCTCCCCCTTCGCATCTGCCAGAGGCTTGCCATTCTCCCACGTAATAAGCTTCGCAATGTCCTCGGAGTTTTCAACCTATTCCGAACGGGTCAGCCCTATTCTTGGTTTGGACCTGGGAATGGCCCATATAGAGCATACCATCAGGTCGTACCACTTCCTTAGAAGCTTCGAGCGTTCCCGGCCTGTCTTTGCTCGAAATAAGGGGAGTGCGGTAGCCGCAGCGTCGATAGCACGTTGGGTATCAGCGGCGTCAAATTCTGGGGCGGTGCCAATGAGTTTTCCAGAGGAGGGATCTGATGAAAATGAAGCGTGAGTGGATGCGGAATTCTGCGAGCTATAAGCGTAGTGTCATGCGTACCATGCACTTCAAATGTCTTCCCCGATCTGGCCTTCACCCATTCCCCATTGACGTATGCAACTCCTGTCTTCAGCAGTGACGGGTCATTGAGCCCTGGGACGGTATGAATATGAGACATAGTCGAAGCTAGGCGTGTATAGATAGATGTAGATGGGAGTGTAAACTGTTGAAACCACGATCGTGAGATTCTACATGAGGTGGAAGCTGTGGCTCTAAAGACCAAACTATTGGCCATGGTGTTGAGAGGGGCAGGCGGTCAGGCCAAGGTTGGAGTTCCACCTGGAGATATTTGGTTGCGTCGTCGTGGGAATGACATAGGATGCGGGATGATGATAATGATAACGATAGTGATACAGTACTTTTCCGCACTGTGTATACTGCCGAGGTAGGTAAGGTAGGTACCATAGTGTGACATCATGCCTTACCTAATAGAGTTAGAGATAAACATCAGACGTAATACGCGTAGCGAGTTGCACGACTTTTTGCGCGATTAGTGTTATGATCGCTTCCTGCTCTTTGCTTTTCCACACTCCTACATGTATGCAAAACACCTCCCCATTCCTCTCCTTTCGCATTTCCGCATTTTCTTAGATACTATATACCTCGGCTACCTTCCTATGGAATACTCTTTACGAAGCACTTTGTATGGAGTCGCAGACCAATTTTCTTAGTTCAAACTGAATCCTTCTCCCGTTTCCCACAATAGCAAATGGCAGTCCTAGTGCGCCGCCCCTTCTCAGGAGATAAGCCCTACACCAAGCTCAAAGTTCAGAGTTCCATGTATGCAATTCAAAATTTATATTCAACTGCTTGATTATGCTTGCCCATTATTTTGCTATACTCCGAGAGCACAAAAGTTCTAGGCCCTGTAGCTCGCTAGCTAAGGGTAGGATCGCATTCTGTCTGGGTTGCGGCACGAGGGTTGAGATCTGGACTGGGCCCTGCGAACAGAACTATTCAAGTGGCCCGTACGAAGTATTTGTTATTAGTGGGATTAGCGTTTCAGTACTCGTATTCGAGTGCCCCCGTATGGGATTGTACTTGGAGACTTTTGAAGGGAATCCTTCGATGGCTATGAAGTGCTAGCCTAATGCAATAAAGCGTTGCGAACTTGAAGCCTAGCAAAACGTGTGTAGCCCTCTCCATGAGGCACATCCTAATTCCTGAAAGTTGTATACCACTATACTTGGGTCTCTGACACGTTGTGCCACCTCGTGCGCGCTGAGCAACGGTTGCTGCATCTTTCCTTCACACTTTGTAGTAAATATTAACTAGTCACAATGGATCTGGAATATGTTTTAGGTGGGTGACCGGGAGATTTTGCAACGCTGGATCGTTCTTTATATCGAAGTGCTTCTCCTCACTGCCTCTATCTTCCCACCCTGTCCGTCGCTTCGCTCTTCTTTTCCGTTTAATTATCTCGCTATAGCCCGATATTATGTTGCGCAGAATTCATACCCGCCAATTCCAACACACCCTTAGTGCGCTCGCTGCTTTGACTGTACTTATCGGCTTGCAATATTTTGCTCTGGACTCTGATAACAGCAAATTTAAATACAACGCTCGTCAATCACAAACTATCGTCATTACTAAGTCAAGAGAGCCCGGTATGTATCTCCCATCCCTTAGTATCTATTGTCCCTCTGATATAAACTTACCAGTCTCCAATGCGGGGCCCAAAGTAGAACATGAGTATCCTCCCTCGCAGGTCAGTATTGTGCCACGTCCTTCCATCCCCAACCGACCATACCGTCGACCTCCAATACTGTTTCGAGCTTTAATAGAGAGTTTGAACGCCGCTGAAAAAGTTCTGATTTCCAAGCCGTGTTAGACTTGATTGGGAAGTGGAACTCTGACGCCCAATCCAACCCCAACACCTAGTCAGATATAGAACAGGAGCACTGGGGCAACCTCAAATATGGCAATAACACCTTGCAGCCCTGTACATCAAAGCCGTCATGACACCGGAGGATCGAGTATTTCCTAAGCTAGAATATTCTGCACCGACTAACAGAAGCTACAACTACCTCCGCGGCGCCGAAGCAGCAATGAATATTAGTATCACCCCTGCACCGCGTAAATCCATTTTCGCCCTCGATCTAACCAATGTGCCCATCTCCTTCCACGTCTCCTAGGCTCGATAGCTGAAACGATGCGCTTTTTAGGTATCTCGGTACTAGATACACACTCACTAAAAGTGACATTGGTCCGAAGGCGAAGAACCTGCTTCTTAGGCCTCCAACAGACCACCGCGATCAATACTACCCAAATACTACCGGAATTGTTATTAACGATATAGCGCTATGCATGAAGAATATTTTAGAACAAGTTAATGAACGGTTTTATCAGAATGTTGAGATGACTTGTGCGATGGACTAGCCGGTGTCTCCCGGCCCCAAGCCCCCATTTTACGATGTGTGGGTAAGTAGAGACATCAACGGGGAGAGCGTCTTCCCTGTTGGGCTGTGGGAGATAGGACTTGTTGTGGAGCTACGAAGGGTCACGAATTGCGCAGTAGACTAGAGTACTATTCTAGGTCTTCGCGTCATGGAACGGTGCCACTGCCTTCACGGCGAAGCCGTTTCTAAAACGCCAGATCAGGTTTCGGTCCAGCTACGAGGGTGAATGCTATACGGAAGAACCAACACTACTAGGCAAGGATAATGTCAACTTGATGATGAGAGGTCGAAGGAGGTCAAGGAGCGCAAAGGCTACATGTCGAGACTCGAGAGGGAACATACACCTCCCCGAAAGCATTTCTGTTCAGCTGTTTTACGGCATCAATGCTCAGCACATAGCCGTTGGACGATCATTGGCGAAATGGTTCAAACCCCGCCATATCCCCGCATCAGTAACAGCCAGGATATTACCACGAGCCTAGGTACTCGAGTACTAACTGAGCTCTCCACAAAATGTTGAGCGCCGGAAGAATTAAATCGACGTGTGCGATCACCCAGTGCTTCCTACATTAATAGACCATGGGTCCTTCATTTATCTTGCCAAAGAACCCGTGCGTCTTATTGTGGAGGCATCCGTCCTGCTACGCCAAAATATCACGACAGAAGGATTCATGATCTGAGAGAGTGGTTATTCATCATGAGTCGAACGGGTAGAGTTTGGACGATCGTCAGCACAGTTGCTCAATGGTCGAGTTGTGCGCTAGGTAGTTCCATCGGCCTATCAAGCTCGCCGCCGACAGAAGCTTGTGATCCTATTCCGGAAGCGTTTGTCAGTTACTCGATTGAATTTTCGTCTTTCCCGGACTTTGCAGGTATGTCTTCCGTTGCTTTTCATGACGGCCACCACCGTAGTACGTACCTACCTAACTCACTGTGCTAGGAAATATCTCGAGCCCAAACACGTTCTCAAATAATTTGCTGAACAATCTGGGAAACCTTACTGGAACCAAGCCATTCATCCGCGTGGGAGGGAATACTCAAGATTACGCTATATACAATGCAAGTCTCGAGTTCGCGCTGAATGGCACGGTCAACCCCAATAGATCACCTGATTACCCAACCACTATCTTTATCGGTTCGTCGTATTTCGAGTCCTATAGCACCTGGCCAGATACAAAGTACATTCATGGATTTAATATGGGTCTTGGCGGAAACAATTCTGTTGGGTTGCAGACTCTGAAGGACACTGTGCCCCTTGCATGCAAAGCCCTTGGAGGAGGAAAATTGCTCTGGTGGGAGTATGGAAACGAACCGGATCTCTTTTCGACATCAGCTCAAGGGCCCGTACGGCCACCTTCATGGGATGAGCAGATCTATGTCAGCCAATGGCTCAATGGAACTAAGGAAATCAGACGACAGCTTGAGAATGCATGTCCAGAGCTCACGACTAAAGAAAGCTACGGGTATCTTGCTCCATCTTTCGCCGGCATTAATAACCATCTCAGACCCATCAAAACATGGCAAGCTGGAATTAATTGGAATGACGATATCAAATTAATCTCCTCCCATAAGTACGTGTTGTTCTCTCTATTATTTAGCTCTTACTAATGCGAGAAAAGTTATATTGGCGGGGCGACCCAGCCTGGAGTCACACTTCAGGGAACCCTAATGAACCACACCAAGACCATCCAGTCAGTCAATGACCAAGCCCAGCTTGCGAAGAACCTCACCTATACTGGCATTCCTTTCATCCTCGGGGAAACCAACAGTCTGTACAACCAAGGCGCCCCTGGCCTCTCAAATGCCTTTGGTGCCGCGCTTTGGGGCTTCGATTTCAACCTCTACTGTGCTTCCGTCGGCATCCGTCGCGTGCACATGCACATGGGCACGAACTACCGCTACCAAGCTTGGCAGCCCATCCAGACCGATCTTGCCACTCTCGGGACAAAACCTCCTTATTACGGCCATGTAGCTGTGGCAGCGATGATGGGTAATCTAGCTGGGGGGCAAGAGACGAGAATTTTACATATTCCCATGGAAAACGAAAGGGAGTCTGCATATGCTACATATGTTGACGACAAACTTGCTAGAGTCGCAATTATCAATATGAGGCAGTATAATTATACCGTCAATGGGACCAGCCTGGTGCTGAATCCTATCCCTAGACCGAATAGGGAATATACGTTCCAGGCACCGAAGGAATGTAGCGGAACTGTGAGCATTCAAAGATTATACGCCAATGGCAGTGATGCCATCTCTGGTATTTCATGGGATGGCTGGAGTTATAATTGGGAATTGGAGGGCGGGAAACCCGTTAAGCTGAACAATGTTACCGTGGGAGAGACCGCGAAGGTTGAGAGTGGCCTGATTAGGGTTAATGTTTTAGATTCTTCGGCTGTGATTTTGAATTTCAACAGGGAAATGAAGTTTCTGGAATTCGCCACTACTTCAGGTTTCCCTTAAAAGTACGAGGATCTAGTTGAAGTAGGTGAAACGGAGATTGGATTTGCTGGTTAGAGGGAATGTATATCAGAGGGGTATTTTTTAGATTTGGCTACATATATACATATCTTTTGTCTTTACACCCCTTCGACACGCCATCAGGCATCCTGAATCCGAACTATATACAGTGGTACGTTCTCAAAACATTAAGGATACTAAAAGCCTCCATTTCCATTTCCATGATCATGCCATTGCTCGTTGTACGCCGCAGATTATCATTTCAACAAATAAAATTGCGGACAAGGGGGGAAACAGATACCTGGGTATTCAAGGTCATACAAGAATACACTAAGTATGTAGAAGACGAATTCCGACGAGACAAACTTATGAAAGATATACATCTTAAATAGATGCTGTTAATTCGCAACTTCTAGCAAAAGTATTTTTGTTTACTAAAAATAGAAGATCAGGGAAGGACCAGACGACGCCGAGAGCCCTAGCAGCTGGGTTTTATTAAGCAACGACAACACATATACTGGTGATATAAATTGCCATGAATATTAGCTGTCTCTGACAAGAAAATTCCTCCCAGTATGCCATGCCTTCTCAACTATCGCCAAATTCTTCGATCGCTGTACTCTTCAGCCCTAATCGCGATCACCACAGTTCGATGTGTCGGTGAAGGCGGCTAGGGTTTATATATGATTTTTATACCATCCCTTCTATCTACTTCAATATCTACGAAGTCACAACCAAATATCTGGCCATTCCCAAAACCCCACCTAAAAGAATTGCCACCGGCGGGATGACATTAAACCACATCCCCCCAACAAAACTCGTTGCACAAACAACGACCCACCACGGGTCATCACCCAGACTCTTGCCTGACGCGAATCCAGCGTCGACAAACCCAATCTGCCACAACCTATACACGGCAGTGTAAATTAGACCAACGGCTGCGGCATTGACACCCCTAAGTCCACTCTTAACCCATCGTCGAGCTCGAATCGCGCTCCAGAGGCCCATAGTTCCATGTACAAGTATGATACCGGGCAAAAATATCCCCAAATATGCCAAGATAGCACCGAGAGCAGTATTGTATCCGCCAAAGACCGCAGTGAGCCCACCCAAATAGACGGCAAAATTGAAATTGGGGCCCGGAAAAGATTGTATGATAGCAAGACCAATCAGGAAATCCCGAGGAGAAACCCAGCCTTCACTCACGACGTATTCTCGGAGTAGGGGAATGACAACCGGGCCACCTCCGAAGATGATGGTACCGGCGAGGAGCATGTTGGAGAAGAGACGGAATAAGAGAGGGCGATTAGGTAGAGTTGCTCGAAGGACCATGATAGCGATGAATACGACGAAGAATGAGACCACTATTATGGTGCCTATTTGCCAGGATATGTTGATCAATCGGGCAGGGGGAATGATGCGACGCTCCCCAGTTTCTCCTGATGGTTCCGTGACGGACGCTAGGGATGATGGATCGCCACGTTTGACCGTTAGCTGACTTGAACGTGGCTTTCCTGCTTGAACCCGATCTGCATCTTCTGTTTCTGATGTCCTGGTGGGTATTTCCATGTCCTCCTCTTCAATGCTTGGTTGCCTTTTCTTACCCACTAGGCTCATGATGCATCTCGCAGCAGGATGGAGAACACGATAATCGTAAATAACAGACATAATACCCGCTAGGAACATCAACAATGGGAAGTACCACAAGGCATTATACATCAACCCTGCACATGCACCTAGGAAGACTAGGATCCTAGTCAATTTGTCCGTGATAGACTTTTGAGCCAGTTGGACGGCGGCAAGCGCAATAATGCCAACTGTAGCAGCGTTGAGCCCAGAAAGGAGCGCGTAGACTGGCCGTGGAAGAGTTTCGCCGATGTGAGAGACGCCGACGGAAAGGCCGTACATGCCTAGAGCACCAGGAAGACTTGAGAATTATCAGAGTTTTGTTCGAACCGAGGGGCTGGAGGAACATATCGAAGTGAACGTTACCTCCAGGTAAGAAGTGCTAATACAGCTGGTAGGAAGCCATAGTGGATGAGAACCATAGAGTATAGTAGCTTTGTGCTGGCTGGTCCGGAGAGCGCTTGGCAGAGAGCGAATATCTCTTGGTACTATGCCATTCAGTATAGTTAGCAGTTGTCACATATAGAAGAGGGGATGGAATGAAGGGAAATAACCAACCAATTGCTCGTCGACCCATCCTAACCGAGTAACATATTTATCATAGAACTGGCACTATCTATCAGCCCCTACTTTCACCAGCTTCAGCCTTGATGCTTGTTGTCCTCTCCAAAAAGCTCCAGCCCTCAAAAACACCAATAAACCGACTTCAATTTGTAGGACCTGTGATCCAAATACCTTAACATAAGCTAGGATTTCTTACGATCTTAAAGTGCACAGGTGGACCCCCAAATGCCGTGAGCCCAAGATACCAAGTATGTCCAATAACCTCCCGAAATCGATGTGCGAAGCGACGGACACTCGCCCATGACGAGGATGCGATGGCCATTCCCGTCTGTTGCTACAATGCGTTTTTGGGAATGGGAACATAAGGAGGCCTGTCCGAGAAAATAAAGTTCAGGATATTCACGCATGCCCAGTACTCCGTACTGGAAATCCACATCAGGCGTAGCTGGATACTAGGCAGTTATTTGATTGGCTGGATGAGGAACACGTGCGCTGTCGTCAGCACCACAAAGGAGCACGCATTCTGCAGAGCGTAGTTGGTATGACCGGTCACAGCAGCTGGAATGGCCCTTAACAAGGACTAAACAGGGTCTAGCTATAGGCCATACGAGCTTTGCACCTAAACGCGCACAGTGGCTGGCCAGCCCCCTAGATTTAAACCCGGGCGCGCCTGGTCGAACCCTAACATAGTAGTCCTACTAGTAGGGGCACCCTAGTTAATGGCCGTGCAAATAAGGACCTGAGATGACCCTCTAAGAGAACATTTAAACAGCATTTGAATAATGTTTGAATAACGTTTGTCAAGTGTTTTAAAAAAGATTTGTATTCGAAGCTCGGTAATTTAAGAAAAGTGAAATTAATGTCATTTAACTTCAGAATAACCGTGCGCGATTAACGTGTGTGTTTCGCGACAAGAGCAATTAAAGCTTTGTATTAAATATGCCTTCGTCTGTTGTATATACTATTAATCTCTATTATATGACCAACTTTTCTTATATAAAGCTTTAATTTCTAGCTATGTCGAATACTGCTGCCCCTATACCTGAGGAGCTTCTCCGCAATTCAAGTCTCTCCCTAGATGATAAACAATATCTTTACCAGGAAGCTGAAACGAAGTATCCTGTTATTCCCCTCCCAGATGTTCTGTTGTTTCCAGACAATTCATTCTCTGTACGTATACACTTGCCAAATACTTGCTAAATACTTGCCAAATACTTGCCAAATACTTGCCAAATACTTATCAAATATTTGCTAATTACTTATAGGAGCCTACTACTTCTATGCAAGATAATGAAAATATCCCAAAAATCTTTACCAATCCTAGTTTGGATGGGCTACGAGTCTCTGAACTTTTCTATGGCACCCGTCTACCTTGGTATCCAAAAACATCAAAGTCCGGCGTAGGCTATTGTCTCTCTGCCCTTGGGTATCTAGAGTCACTAGATCTAACAATTAAAACATTAATGTACAATGTAAGTTACATAGAAATTGTTTACAAAATGTATAAATATTAATATTATATAGGTCCAGTATAGTTATTCATCAACATATCAACCGCATAATAAACTAACTCGATCCGAATTCCTAAATAATGTCCCATGTATTCGAACTACGTTCCGCTGCTCAGGAGTTAAAGTATGTACCCATCATCACGAGTCTCTTTTAGACCCGCATACGGAATGGGATATAGATGCTTGGGATAGAAAAGCAGAGCGAATGTCTGCTGTACAACGGCTATTTATGGAGGAATATCACCCTGTTGATACATACAAACCGACTCTTGAGTAAAGTGTTTACCTTCTACTTTGAAATTGTTTTCTAATTATGTAGTCTATATAATGCAGTTATGCGGGATTTCAAGAGTCCACACCGGAACGGCTGTCCATTTTCAAGTTACTATAATGATACTGGACTTAGTCGACCTTGTAGCGGTTTGCCTGTTGTACGAGAGTCTGAACATAGGGTATAGTCTTTCCAAATAATTATAAAACGTTTACTAATTATTTAATTAATAGGATTTAAATGGAAACAAAAAGTATTATATTACCTGCAATCAGGCGACATATGCAAAGAAGGCGCACCACTACTACTACTCCATCCCTACCAACGCTCATATACACCTTGCACATCTAGCCCAGCTATTAGAGTATGGCTACGATGGAGTACAAGAGAAGTGTTTTCGCACGCTCCCTCAAACATCACGAAGACGTCTTTGTGGTACGTATCTAGTATTATATAAATATTCTTCAAATGTTTTTCAAATACTTGTTAAATACTTGTTAAATAATTGCCAAATACTAACAATATTTATAGGAGTTCCGCATGATCAAAGTTCCCAGCTAATAAAGAAGATTCCATGTTCAGTCAAGTTCAACATGTTAATCCCAGTCGACTTAAAGAAGACACCGATTATTCTATTTTCCTCACATGGAATTCATTCTCATAACCCTCCTCCTCCTAATCAAACTCCCCAAGAAATTGGCGAGCTCGTTATCAAAGAGATCYAGAGGCATATTAAAGTCGGAGCTATAGCAGGTATATAATATACTTTACTTCTGTTTTTGAGACGTTTATTAACTATTTTAAGGGACTCCTGTTCATATTATTCCACCTAATGGCCATCGGCTATTTAGTCTATATATAGACCTCAAGAAGAAAGATCCACACGCTGATATTTGCACTCTTGACCCTACACTATTTAATACTAGTCGGTTTGCAGCTCTACGTCGGGCGCAGATCTACTTACAATATCCAGACGGTACTGACTGGGAAGGTTAGTCTTCTGTAAATATTTTTTTAATATTTTCTAAACGTATATAGGTGTTTGGAGTTACTATATCTCGTATCACCAAGGWCAAAGTAGGAAGATCCCATATATTCGGAATATGGTACATAACGGCGATATTGGAACTATTTCCTGCGCATTTACAAAGCAAATCGAATGTATGGCTACCTGTAATACTATACAAATCGACATGTCATATAAACGGGTTCATGGGCAGTTTAATGAAATTCTTATTGGACAGTTTATGCAAGAGTTTCAACGGTGTAAGTAAATACTCTGCAAACGTTTTACAACTATTATCTAATTATTTAAGTAATGTGTTTTGGTCGAGTTTATACCAATAAGCAGTCAATCTGGGCATACTATAAGGCGTTTATGGAGTTCTTCTCAGTAGCAGATAATATACTTTCGCAAGCCGAGCCTAGAAAAGGGCTACAGTGGCACCACATACATGGCCAGGGTATCAAGGCTATTGTAGTAGATATGTGTCCTGCCCAAGCTCATGGTAAGTTTTTTAATTACTTCTCAAACACTTATCAAGTACTTGGTAAATACTTATCAAATACTTACTAACTGTCTTAGCATTGGGTCTTTACTTTTGGACAATTGATCCTGAATTCCCAAAGAGACCTTGGCAGTGGCACGTCGAGCGGACTCTTATTTACTGTACAACTCATTTCTTCCGTGGTCTTGAAGCGCGCTTTCCATCTGGCTCTGCATGGGGCGAGGTTATGCGTGAGCTATTGAACGTTAATAGCGAAGAAATGTTTAATACAATTCTAGATGAAGTTGATAAGAATTTGTAAGTACTCTCCCTTTAAGTTATATTCGTATATAATTCGTTTTATATATTATTTCTAATTCTTATTCTTATAGCCCTAATGAAGCAGCATATACAGCTCATAAACGGGTCCCGTGGATTAAGTCAGGTCTTAATCCTCTCTTTTGGAAAGGGGATAAAGACGTTTGGAATAACTGTACTCGAACAAACCAGTCTCTTGATTCGTTAATGTCGATGTCAAATCGAACTGGGAGGGGGCAAGCACTTCTACTAGCAATTCTAAAGTATGTACTTTGTAATTGAGTTCGAATCGTTTTCTAATTATATATTAGGGGCATCAACTTAGACAAAAAGCTAGTAGAATATATTGACCAATATAAACGCTATGGTATTCAGTCTTCATATACCCCTCCAAATCCCGTAAATGCGATCTACGATAAAATCAGTAAGTGGAGTTATACTAAACGATTATTAAATCAACTTGAATTCGTTTATAAAATGACTTTAGTCTATATACTAATAAATATATAGAAAGATTAGAGAAAAGGCGGCTCAAGTTTATAACTCCTTCAACAGACCCTGATAATTCTGATCAGGTCCCAGAAGTATATGAGCCACAGCCAGTAGTATCAAGTAGCGGAGGGACGAAGCGTGTAAAGCGTATAGGAAAGGAGCTGGCTCAGGATAGACTAACAAAGTCTAATAATTACGAAGAAGTCAATTGGGAAACGAAGAAGAAACRGGAAGAATGGGAACTTGAGAAACAGGCAAGGGTAGCACGCGAGCGTCATGAGACAAAAATGAGTAACCTTCAAGTCCAGCAACTAGAAGCGGAAGTAAGGATTAAACAGCTTCAGGCTAGAAAGCTTGAGAATGAACTACTTAATGTTGAGATATTACCTACGCCTTTTAGTAGATAGATAGAATCATCTTTTAATTAGTTGCAAAACATATATTGAATATATATATAATAATAAAAACTAAAATTCCAAATACTAGAAAAGAAAAGTACTAAAGAAATAATAATAAGACTAAACAGCTAGTCGTCCTCTGGCTGGATAAAATGTTGGATAATCTTGCAGTTAGACTTTTCCCAATTATCTGCAAGTATATCCGGACATTTACGCTCTAGTAGGATATTAATTAGAATTTGTTTTTAATTCGTTTTATATATACTTACTATCTGAGCGGCATAAATCACATCGACCATTATTTCTAATCTTATATAGGTGTTGGACCTGTACTCGCATTGCATTTATATTTGGCTTCTAAATATTATTAGTATAGTTTTAGAATTTTAGAGTTTTATATACCCCGTTTAAAAGAGGACAGTCCCGTATCTGAATAGAGTTGTCTGTATCGTCTTGCGCTTCTGGGCTAGCTGGTAAGCTATTTTGTTTTTGAATTCGGGCTTTTTTTGTAGCYTATATTAATTAGTTATAAAATGAATTATACATAGTTTATAAATAATCTTACTGGCTGTCCTTCTTTTCCTTTTGGCTGATTTGGATTTCCGTGTAAACGATCCTATAATACTATTAGTTTATAAAAATATAATATAATAGGAATATATACAATTATCCTTTGTGGTTGATTATTATCAGAAGGAAAGTCATCGTAGATACTCTATTATATAAATTAGTAAGATATTTTATATATTATAAAGATACATGCCTCAATAGGTAAATAATAGCAGTCGCGGAAAGAGGACAAATCAATAGCTTGAGACGTAGGGGACTAAAACAATAGGAGAACG